TGATCCGTGCCGTGGGGCAGTCGCACACAACGACATCACGGCGCAGAGGAGGGGGCGGGCATCCGGAGACAAAGAGCGATGTGTCAAGCGAGTGCGAGGAATAGAACACTGACCCCCACAGCCTGTCTCTGTGAGAACTGGCCTGGAGGCTCCTAGCTGATCACAGGCGGGGCTTGGGGCGCGAGGGAATGTTCCAGACAACGTCATCCACTTTACACGTTGATGGTGAATATGTTTTACCCCAGTTTCTTGATGCCTCGTCCAATGGAACCCGTCGGGGACTCGGGGCGCAGAGTAAAAGTACGCTCTACGGTGATCCTCCACGGACTCGACATGGGCAATGAGCTATCCCGATTTCAAATCCGGCTTCGCGATGCCACATCGCAGAGAAGACAGCAACGCCAAGGCCTCAAGATATAGTTGTCATACAAGCTACTCAATTATACGATACCTTTCGGCCATCCTAGTACATCGCATGCCGTCGCTGCCCGAAAATTAGGCACATCATAGCCAAAAAGCGGCCAGACGACCCGGGCACCGGTCAGAAGATCGTACGATGATGAAATTTTGCTGCTTTTACTGAAAAGTGCTTTGCTAGTTGGGATAATTTCTTAGATGAAGATCGGGAGCCAGGCATGGAACACCATCAATACCCACTACACCAAAGGGCCTCTTGGGGGCAAATACCCTAGCCTCGGAAGCGCTTACACTACACACTACACATTGTCGGAATTCCCGGAAACACATCAGGATTCCGCATCCGCAAACATTTCCGAGAAGGGAAAAATGGTGTATATGTCCCAGCAATATCTGCTGTCTCTATGGCCAGAGGGGTGGAGATAGCTGAAGCAATATCTCAACAAGCTGTATACCCACCTAGTCTCGGCTTAAGGAAAATTTTCTTCGGTCCAAGGGAACGCCGCTCCGCAAAGTGGAAACATTGACGGCAGAAACTGACCGGACTGTTTGCCTGCGGCGTAGACGCTCGGTGGAGAGGCATTGGCGTTCGCGGCTGGGCTGTTTGTTGGGCGGGTCGCGACATATGGCCGGTCGTCTGGTTGACGGCCCGTTCCGTGTGTGAGCTCATGAAACCATGTATGCAGGCTCTGATTCGGCCGCGCAAAAAAAGGAAAAGCGAGCGTCAAGGAATTGGGTTCTACAACGCACATCAATGATGCAAAACCTTATTTCCCCAAATCCAGCGAGGCATGCTATATACGCACCCAGGCTTCAGCAGGGAAAGAGCAAGCCCATCGTCGACCAGCCTCGTCCGCGTGTGGGATCCGGAAGTCGATCGAGCCAGGGGAAGACGGGCACCCCGTCCACGAATCATGTGAGGACCTAGGCATGCGAACTGCCGGAAGAGGCAAGTCTATGCCGAGCATCCCTGGGGTGCACGCCCGGAGAAAGGTGAAGCAGCCAATGGCATAACACGAGGCTCTGGTGGGCTCTCTCTTTTTTTTGGGCTCCTCTTCACCTACCTGCCCGGTGGCTACCCCCCACAAGTAACCCATCCTCGGGCCTGCGTCTGCTCCCACTTGACAGCCAGCCACTCTAGCCTGCAGGAGGGTTTCACTTCTTTTTCGTAGCATCAACGGGTAGTGTGCAGTGTTCCATTTGCCTGCATGATCTCCGCAAGGACTAGACGCGCAGTGCTGGTCTGCGTGCCATGAGCACTGCGCGCTACGCTTTTATCCAGACGCGGCACGGGAGAGCAGGCCACGTGCATATTACCCTCATATCGATCCCGAGTGCTGTTGACTCGGGTGGCTGTTTTGTCTCCCATGTTTTATGGCTTGTGCCGCAAAGACGCGTCTCAGGTTCAGCCTCCTCGGTGCATCAGATGCGGCCTGATTGGTTGGGCATCACTCACACACACATGGGGGGGTGGGTGGACGGTGGCCTGAAAAGCGGCCACCCTCGCACAACATCTCCACCCGGGTATCGACGCGAAAGTTTACTTCCCCTCAATGCGAGCTAATTCTGAGCGGCTGCCGCTGGACAGAGGGGTTGGTTATGATACAGGAAGCCTGGTTGGTGGTGGTAGCGGTGGTGGTAGGGGATAGAAGGAGGGGGATGGGGGCGAGAGCCAACGAGACAATGCGCGGGATCTGAGGAAACACAGATCACGATCTGTATGTCTCTCCTTGTCGGAATTACAAGCCGAAAGAAATACCTTGTCAAACCTGCCCCAGTTCTCCCGGCGGCGCGGCGTTGTGCACAAGGCCTACCGCCTATCTGGGAAAAGCCTGCAGATCAGGACGGACCGGAAAAGCATACGCACGTACATACTTCCATATACCCATACATCAATGCGTACACACAGACGTGCCTACATGCATATACACAAGCAAGCAGACATACGGACACGCACGTCATATGCATGTACGGCATGCATACGGAAATCGTACCCGTTGGCTGGCTGTTGATGGACTGGAAAAGCCACCTTGCTCTCTCATGGCAGTCATGGGAAATGATGCTGTGTCTTTGTGTGTGACGAATTCTTTGGCGGGGTCCACGGCTACGAGGGCCGGAGATGATGGACTGAGGTTTTGTCGAACTTGGTAGAGGTGGTGGTGGTGTGTGTGTGTGTGTGTGTGTGTGTGTGGGTGTGTCACAGCGGAGTAATAGTTGTGTCAGTGAAGGGCACAAAACAAGTTACAAAAGCTGGTATGGCTCAGTGACGATAGTCGGGCGCGCGATACGACCTCGGTGAGCAAACTTGGGCAGGGTGGCATGCAATGACATCTTGGGTGGGAGAGTTCGGCTCTTTCACGGCTGAGCTGGGCGAAAAGTGATACATGATAGACGTGCAGTTTATGTCGATGTCTCCGCCTTGCTTGCTCTCTCCTGTAGCTTACAGGCAGACATGTGGACAAGGCAGACAGGGAGGCAGACGGCACAGAATATCTGGACGGGAGATAGTCTATGTCTTGCAGACGGGTGAAGGTGATTTGTCACCGTGCCGAACTTGCATGTGCGTAGATTGTCGTGCAGGCAGGTAGGCCATTCTCCTTCCCAGCCTACATGTTAGCCCGTGATGAGTGTGGCTCTCTCTCTCGACGAGCATGAAAAAAAAGCACATTACATACAACGGTTGACTAAATCACTTGACTGATAAGCTGACTGACTGACACCTGCGGGAAGAAGACGGGACACAGGCAAACACGCGGTTCTATGTTGACGTTGTGTAACTGACAGATTCTTCTGGTGGCTGCGGTGGTGGGTGAGATGATAGTGTTGATAGAAGACCATACGGAGAATCCCATGTACCAGCAGCCTACCATGTTGTGGACTATGTACACAGTATCAAGATCATAAATGATCCAATACATAAACCGAGTCCCAAGTTATCTAGATGATACGAAGACTACCTAAAGTACCTTGGTGAGCAGCACACCATCACTGAGTACTTGTAGATACGATACCAAGCACATGGCACCCAGTACACGGTCCCCTTGAGTACGTACTCCATTACCCCGCAGCATCGCCGTCACCACATGTGGCAGAACCCCACCAGTCATTTGCCTTGTCCCATAATTTCACTGCGGGCCGTCGCCAAGCGAGACGGACTGGGGAAGGCGCCAGAGCAGGGAACAAGGGCCTGGTGTTCTTCCAAATACGGCGGTGCCACAGTTTAGCACTTGACAGCAAGTAGCGCAGGTGTGGACGGGAGGAGTTGGAAAATCTACCAAGGCTTTTAGAGACTACTGTGCACGATATAGAGCCAATATGATGAGTTGTCATGCATCCGTAGCCACAGGAATCGGACACCCAAAAAAGACTTGGACCCAGCTGAACCAAGGATCTACGTCCAAGATACATATTATGCCCAGGTACGGTGTTATAGATGCATACTATGGTACAGAGATGCTGTTCGGTACGTACCGGTGTAACGATTGGCGAGATCGAAACGGACCCAGCCCCTTGCACCCCTGCACCCTCGTCCCCTGGCACGCCCTGGCTACGTACGTGACGTGACGCAACGCAACGGGCAATTGTCTCAACGTCCCGACCAACGTCCCGTCCAACGTCCAAGCCGGGCGGCTCCAGGTCAAGCCCCGCGACGAGGACACCACAACACCAACACCAACGCCACAACACAACACAACACACAGCACCAGGCACAACACCTCGTAACTATCACCTGACACCCTATCCGTGACCTAGACAACTTCCAACCCCCACAAGGCTTGACTTTGACACCTGCTGCACTCAGTGTTATCTGCCTCCGTCACATGTCCCCTCTCTCCTCCAGGCACCAACATATAGACATCAATAGACAGACACCCTAGAACCACCACCCAGACAGGCGTTTACACTGTCTCAGCTCATTCAGCTTCGATCTGTCTCACCCTAGAGAGCATCATCTCTTAATTTCAATACCTTATGCGCTAGTCCAAACTCTATTCGCACGCGCGTATCTGTTTCCGGCCAGGTGACTTTTACAGTAGGTTCGTGACGATCATCTTACTTTCTCTCCTCGTCCTCGTCGTCACCTCCTCGCCTCGTCCAGCTGAGATGTGTTTGAATGCTTGTACCCGAGTTGACTAGAATCTAGGCACTTCATTTTTGCATCTTTCTTTCTCGTCCCGTCCGTCTTCGGCTGTTGCGTTCCTCATCAAATACCGGCAAAAGCCCGCTACCCACCCTTGTTCCCGACTCGGCCATGACCTGTCACCTTTTAGCCGCTCGACATTCTCAATCTTGATATTGAACCACCGACCTACCTCTTTTGTCGCGCGCGCGTCGCATTCACCCCGGCGGCCGACCCACGCGAAGTGACGAGTCCCCTTGCTCCTGTTGTCACGCGCCTGTAGTTCTCCGAGAGACATCAGGCGTACCTGCGTTGATGACATCCGTACCCAAGTCCCCATTCAAAGCGCGAGCGCACTGAGACGGCCAATTTCCCCCTCGACACCTGACGTGACTGCGCTGCAGCCGGACAACCCTCCCGTGCCACTGCACGGCGCAAGCCTCGGTACCCAACGGCGAGAGACATGGACTCACCGACGCCTCTTTCCTCCCAACCGGCTCCCACCTCGCCAACCCTTGCTGCTGCAGGAACGGTGCTCCCACACGACGACACACAGTCCACACAGCTGGCCCACCAAGCGAGCCACCTCACCCTATCCACACAAATGCCACGGGCAACGACGCCAACGGCTGCTGTCTCACCGGTCGTACCTCCGCCTGCCGAGCCCCCATATCCCGCCCCCAAACGCACGCGAGCCTGCTCCGCCAGCTGTACTGCCAGCAGCGATGGTTCCCCGCCGCTACAGCGCCCGCGGCAAGCTTCCGCGCCGATCGGACCATTTCTACTGTTGCCTGCCACTACCCCATCGAACCCTGGGTCGGCCGGCGATGCCCAACCGGCTCCACCGATATCACCACCACCATATGAGCACTCGCGCGACAGGGGCGGGAACAGCGCAAGGAATGTAGGAGACGCTGCGTGCCAGCAGGTGGTGGACTGGCCCAAGCCTATGCTCGCAGCCGACCATGCACTCGGTGCCAGTGATGCCCTGATCCTCAGTCCAGCACACGAGGACTTTACACTATTGTCTGCTGGGCCTGACGACAAGGTGACGCTGGCCGTGCTTCCGAATGAGGTGCTACTCCACGTCTTGGGGTTTTTGGACGTGTCTGATTTGCTGTCCACCTCGAGGGTGAGTACATGTCTGTCCATTCTCAGACGACGCAGAGACTGCTCTCTCTGGGTATACCTCCACATCCCCACGAAATGGCCCCATGACGTGCCTGCCAAATCATCTCAGGTTCCTCTCTGTGGGCAACCTTCGCGAGAGCGTCCATGTGGGAACCTTCGTGCCATCTTGCCCTCCTGCTCCCCCAGCATTCCCCCGACGCCTGTTGATCAACATCCAGCTAACAAGTATCTCCGCCCAGACCTCCCACCAGTTCCGCTCCCTGGCCCTCGCGCCGATCCTCCACCGCCTCCGCCTCCGCCACGCGCGCAACGTTCTCCCACCGCTGCTGACCAGCCCCTCGCGCCCGACGCTGAAAGACCTTATGCACCGCTCCATCTTCATGACCAAGACGACGGTGGTTTCGCGGCGACTCTCGCGCTCGCTGACGGCGATCCGGCTCTCGCGCCGGCTGGCTGCCCGCCCGGAGCCAGAGGCACTAGTAGCGCGGTCCGTGCTGCCGCCCGAGTGCGTGCCGTTCGGGTCGGTGGCTCCTGGCCTGGTGGCCAAGAAGCGGGCTGTCGAGCGCGAGCAGGTGCGCGATGGCATGCGGCGGTGGGTCGGCGGCGTGTGGGAGCGACGGTGGCGGGAGAAGGCTGAGGATCGCCGCCGGTGGGAGGAGCGCAGTGGCGTGGGCCGCGTGTGGAGGCTGCGGCGCTTCTGGGAGCGGGTCGGCAAGGGAGAGATACAGGCGGGCTGAGACGTTGACCGGCTTGTTGCGCGGTCGGGTATGCAAACTGGTAAGGACCCGAAACTTTGGTGACATGAAATGATGGCATGATTTGCGATGAGACGATATGACAGTAGATGATATTTATTGACGACGGCGTTTTGGCATGGCTGGCGTTCTTCCCTGGGGGCATCTGCTCTGGCCCACAGGCACGCGATGCTCAAACAGCGTCGTGGCATGACGGCATCTGGTTGCAATGCTACACACGATAGGATGCTGAGGGACTCATTGCAGATAGCGGGATTGTCTGCAAAGTACCTCCACTGGCTTTTCTGCCTGGGACTTGCATTGGACGTTCCAAAGAATTGTGGTCTTGATAAAGTTGCCCACGCAGCATCATTGATCGCATACATTATGTATACATTGGGATAAACCGACCATATGTTTCAAACAGCGTGCCCCCATAACGCCAGTGTTGGAAAGAAAAAAAAAAGCCCTCCAGAGATGCTAGCCACCGCCTTGAACCGACCCATCGCCAGGCCATGCATGCAATGCTTTTCACAAACAGCCATCCCTTACGCTCTAAACCTGAAACCTGCCCAGTCATCATCCTCCTCTTCGTCTTCCTCGTCCTCTTCGTCGTCATCATCCTCTTCTCGTGCTTCTGCTGCTCCTCCAGCTTCCTCCGTGTTCACCTCCAACTTGGTATCCTCGCCCTCCGCCGCAGCCCCTGGGGCGGCAGGCACGCTGCCCCGCCGGATGGCCTCCCTTTTCTCCTTGAGCCTCCTGACGCGGGCCTCGAGCTCCTCCATCTCCTCGAACTCAGTCTCGAGCGCCCGCGTGGCCTCCTCCTTCTCGTCCTCGAGCTGCGCCTCCGCGAGCGCCCGCCGCCCCTCGCGCTCCTCCTCCCGCGACTTGGCGGCGACCTGTTCGGCCGTCAGCGGCGCGGCGGCTATGACCGCGTCGGCGGAGTAGCCTGCTGGTCCTGATGTTGTCGGCTGGGCGGCGGCGGTCGGGAGCGTTGGTGGTGGTGGTGGAAGGGCGTTGACGACTTCTGCTTCGAAGGCGGCCCAGTCCTCGTCCTCTTCGGCCGCCGTGCTGGTTGTTGCCCCTGTCGGCTTTGTGGCTGCCGTCACGAATGATGCCCTTGGGGCCGATGTTGTCGCGGATCCTGGACCTTGGCCCTCCTGTGGTATAAGTGGGCTCCTCCCAATTGGGGCTGTCCTCGGAGTCGAGCCCCCAGATGCCCCGTTTGCATTCGGAGTCGCTGGTCTTGAAGGGATCTGCAGCTCTACGCCGTGTGATGGAGTCCCCGAGGTCCGGCGCGTGAGGGCTGGGGGCGTAGAGGATGGCGGCGTCTTCTTGCTCGCATCGACGTCCGCTGGCGAGTCCTTTTTCTCATTACTGTTACTGCTGCCGCTCGGTGCGGCGGTGTTGGACATGGCGGCAGCAGCCGCGGAGGAGGGAGCTGTCGGTGAGCTGATGTCCTGCTTGCTTCTCTTTGTGCGTATGGTGTCCTCTTCTGCGTTATCCACATCGTCCATTTCCACATCGGAGTCAGTGTCCCCATGTTTACGCTTTTGTCCTCCACCTGCACCTGCACCTGCGGCCCCTGGCCCGCCAATGATCTGGGCCAGCAGCGCCTCGTCGCTCAGGGTGTCCGTGCTGCCGGATTTAGACTTTTCGGGCCCGCTGCCATTGGCGCCGGTCGTGCTGGCCGGCGGACTGGCCTGCTGCGGCCGCTGCTGTCTCGATTTTTGCTGGGCGAGCAGCCGTTGGCGGTGGCCGACGCTGCGGGCGTGGCCCTCCCATAGGGCGTCGCTCTTGAGCGGCTCGTGGCACACGGTGCAGGTCAGCTTGCCCGTGTCGGTGTAGGAGGCATGGGGGTGGTTGATGCGACGGGCTGCGCGCTGCTGGCGCAGGAGGGAGCGGGCGTCGGACATTTCGGAGTCTTGGGATCGCTGGACGGTTCGGATCGAGGCTTGGTGACAGACGCGAGGGGCAAGAGGGCGCAGTGCCGGTCGAGGTCGTTTGTTGTCGCTGTTTGTCGAGGAAACAGTCTTGCTTCCCTGCGTATTTGTTCTGCGCGGCTCAGTCGCTGCCACCGCTCATGCTCGCTCACTCACGACCAGGCACTCAATCAGAGAGAATGCCGTCACAAATCCAATGACCGCATCCACCTGCTTGTCCGTGACGTATAGAGGCGTTGGTCTGCTGAGGAAGGAGAGGTCTTGATCGTCTCGTCTCATTCATGCTTCTCGACGCTCCACAGTGCAAAAGCAGAGGTGGAGCCATTCGCTGCCCACCGCCCATGCACCGCACAAGGGTAGCTCCAAGGTACGTACCGAGGACCTAGACAAGACCCGGCAGGCATCTTTTTGACTGCTGGAGCCGAACGTCACTCCTTCAGCTGTACGCCTGTGGAGTTGACTTTCGCTTAACTGACGTCCCTTTGGCAAGTCGACGACGAAAGGTGATGTGAATTGCTTTCAGCATTACAATCGACGCCTCTTCCACTTACCGCGACAATCAAGAGCCCAGGTTCACCGGCGAGGCGCATGGATCGCCAGCCTCTGAACCCTTGGCCTCCCTCGTGGGAACGGTGACATACAGACGTCTCTTCTCTCATCGCCCTTAACCTCAACCTCATCTCCACCCTGGCTCTCACTTTCATTTCCACTACGGCCACGCCTCCGCCTACGGTCCTCAGCCTTCCTGCTTCCACATCAGACTGACTTCAGTCGCACGGTGGAAGCACCCATCGGCAGACGACAATATGGCAGACCCATCACAGCATCAGCCTCCAAACATCTCATCCACGTATCCCAATCCTCCTGACTTTCTCTGGCGCGACTTTACACCTGAAAACATTTCGCGCTACGACGACCTCAGCAAGAAATGGCACGAGGAACACCCAGAAGCCGACACGCAGGCCGTCACCCTCATACCCGACCTCCCAGTGGACCTCAGACATCTACAGCCACCGCCTGAGCCTGCGGAAGGTGCATGGAAGCTCTATGGCGATCGATTCACCGTGAGTCTCAAAAGGATCCTGCTTTTGAGTAGGCCAGCTGCTAACAGATCGCCCAGCTCAAAGATGAATTGCCCACCCTCGAGGAGATGGGCGTGCCTCGTCTCGTGCCCAGCGCGTCCCAAACCACGCCGGCCAACCACTCGTCTTCAGACGCAAACCGCGAGCGGGCTTTGAATCTGAAACGGCTCGCAAAATCTGTCCTGCTCAATTTCTTGGAACTCATCGGTGCTGCTAGTATCAACCCCGAGGGAATAAATGAGAAGGCGGGCGACATCCAGACCATCTTGTTCAACATGCACCACGGTATCAACGAGTACCGGCCCCATCAGGCGAGGGAAAGCCTCATTCAAACCATGCAGACCCGCCTGGATCAGATCCGTGCCGAGACGGCCGCTGTGAATGCGGTCACAGACAAGGCTAAGCGCGTCCTTGAGGGACTGGGTAGTATCGAGGTACCTGCACCGAGCAAAGCCAGTCTGGTTAAGGATCCGGCCGGCAGTACTGGAGATGTGGCGTATGACCCAGAAGATGAGGAACTGTGGGACGATGCAGCTGAGCTTGCATGACCAGGCTCTCGACGGCTTTATGAGGAGAGTCGGGTAGGCTCAAAGTCATTGGTTTTCATTGAGGCTCTGGTGGTAGTCGTGGCTCCTATGGTTTTGGAGCTCGTATATACCCCTGATATTTTAGCAATTCAAATCTGAACTCTACATTTTGACCATTTGAATATGTTCCGATGAAACAAAACCCCAAGCTTGCGCTTTTTCATTGTTGATCGTAGGCCTACAGCGCCCTTCCTTAGCTGTCTTGACCTCAGCCTATCAAGCCAGAGACGCAGAACTAGGAAAGCTAGCAATCTTTTAAATCCGACTTCAATCCAACTATATTTGTTCATGGCATTGAATCGATGGGTGAAAGAAACGAGAGAGGTGGGAATACTCAAGTGCCCCATTTCCCCATCGGTGTCAGAGAATCACAATTGATTCACACTTGCAGTGCTCCAGTCCCTATGCCTCGTTTCCAAGCTTGAAAATCTCACTTTGGCAGCTGAATTCACATCATCGAGCTCACCCTCCCATACCTTCCAGCAGTCTGTGACAAAAGGCCAACAGGAGCTGAGGCCGATGCCCTGTGGTGAAGTCTGACGCCACGGTTCCTTGCGACTTGCAAATGGTAAAATCAAAATCGAAAGTAATGAGCCGAGCTCGGTAGTCAAAATTGCCCCAATAGGTTCAGTCAAGCGAGTAAAGTTGAATGATCTACGCTGTTTCAGGTGAAAGCGATACACTAGCCAGTAGATATTTGAAGCAGCACCGGGAAGTTCCACACCATCTTCCATATTCTCCATGAATTCTAGTACATAGTACAAATGCATAAAAAGAAGCATATTTTGAACAATACTGTTACAGCTACAGAACTATAGTCAAAGTACCGAAGAGCTGGCAACCCAGAAAGCCCAACTGTTCCCTGCGCTGATCTCTGCGGACGGTGGTTCCTGTCACTCATTTAGATTTTGAAATGGCATGAACTCATCGCGAACTGGGACAAACTTTACGTGAATCGAACTTCAAACTTCAATCGTTAAGATGCAGAACTTTCACATCTTTGAATGGACGACTGGAGATTATTCACGACTCCGGGAGTGCTTCGGTGTGGACTTCGGACTTTGGGGGCAGTTTGGATGGAAAGCTAGGGAGAAAACCATCAGTAACGATGTCCATTAGCAGCTAAGTGAAGGATTTAATCGTAGTCATAACCGCTATTAAAGGATTCGCTACATTGGAGAAAAGAAAGAAAGTATAGCCCTCAATTTCCATTAAACCTTCCTGAACATCCACAGAAAGAAAAAGCCCAATGCGCCCTTTTCCTACTCCGACATCTTTGACGATGCTCAGAAAACGCCCTATCAAACTCCGCGTTTGCTTCGAATGAGTTCCAAGTTTGGCCCTCGCCCTCGCCATTCCATACCCTCAATGATCTGGTGCAAACGGCACTTCGTGTGCCGTGTCGAGGCATTTTCTATTGCAACCCTCCTGGGATATGCCTAAGCATGATGCCGACTTCGAAGGAGATTGGACTTTTCCGCTCGTCCTCCTTTCTGAGACGACTAACCAGGTTTGGACGGTGGTACGCACAACACAGACCTTTGAACTCCACACCAAGCCGATTGACTATGCCATACTGACAAACCTCGTTGTCATCGGTTGTTACCACCAGATGGTGTTTCGCCTAGTCCAAGCAAAGCAGATCCCCAATCGAGTGGAGAAAAGCAAAGACGATCGACGTACGGGATCTGATAGCACAGGGTCCACTATCTTGGAGCTACCTTCGACTGGGGTTCGATCAAAAGGGGAAGCCTTCACAGGGGTACCATCTCAATATCTTGCCTGCCACCTGTTCTCTGATACTACTCGGCCCATCACACGGGATCAACCGCCTCATTTATCGATCAAAATGCCTTGTCTCCCCAGAAATAGACCCCGCTTGCGAAAATGCTTGACCCGTGACCACAAAGTGTAGGAGATGCTGCGATATCTGGCGGGGTTGATCCAGGTTAGGTCCGAAGCCTATCTGCGCGGGTGCGGTGTATGAGACACATATCCGACCTCAAGTGCTTTCGCCACCTAACTTGGAGGGTGGGCTGCGGCTTTCTCATGATGTTTCAGGCCACATCGTCGGTATCCGTGAGCAGCAGGACCTGCAGTAGAGCGTGCGGGAATCGACGCTTCGGATCGGAGCTCGTGAGACGGCAAGGCAAGACCCGTACATACGTACAGTATATGATCCTGCCATGTGAATGGGCGCTGTATAATGAATCGCCGGGCTCTTTCAGGGATCGCAATGCGCCAGTGCCCTATCAGCGGCAATGGTAAAAGAAGCTCATATAAGTGATGTATATTATATATTTCATATGTCATGCCTTAGCCTGCCTCGAGCCTGCATCACTGGGATGTCGACTGTTATTCTTGACCGAAAAGCGAACCAGTGACCGCGATCAAAAATATATCGGCCGAAAGCTACGTGGACATGGATACCCAGGACAGGAGTGTGCTCGATAGTTGCTAGATCGCATTCTCTTAAGGATACCGCGGCTCCGCCCAACCTTATTGAAAGCCACCCGGCGGGTTTAGTCTCGATACTCCTGCGAACTCCACTTCGCGCGTGCGTCGTTAGTGCCCCGGGACCTTCCCCGTATGTGGGTGTGTTACGCTACAGGGGATGATAGAGGACGTACAACACGAATATGGCTTTCAGATACTTTGCCAAGGCTCAATACATCGCAACAATAGCGTGCCAGAGATCACCACGTTAAAAACAGGGTCTCTACGGATGTAGCCGAAGTCTTAACAAAATCTGATCAATCCGTCCAAAACCTCAACTGTCATGGAATAAGATTTAATGGCGGTGGACGTAGGAGACCGTACCCTAGATATCAACGTTGTTTCTTTGATTGGCCCGGCAGTTCGCAGGAAACACATCAGATGAACGAGACGATAAAGGCTTCAGTATCAGCCTCCTTTTGATATTTCTCCTTTCAGATGTGCCATCTATCTCCAGCTATGCGCAGAGGTCGTGTATGAATGGCGGGATTGGAACAGAGTGATAGCTCTGCGCACTGGCAAAGCTCGGACCTGGATGGGTCCGGAAGGTCTACACATTGACCCCCGATAGGCGAAAAGCTCCTGGGGACCCTCGCTAGGCATTTCGCATTGCATGAAGAGGCGCGACGTAAAGGGCCATGCTCCTGCAGCTGTCATCTAAAGCGGTACTACAGTATCAGCCGGAATGCTGCCCCGGCTGCTCGCTACCGGGAATAATGGCTAGCGATTCCCGCATTGTAGATTCGTCACGGGATTGTTCTACCACCTGCCAGCAGTAAAAATGACACCGAGAAGGTTAGACACTACTGAATCTGTCCTCAAGCCTTGGAAGCAAGCAGGATTTGGCAAAAAGATTTCGGCCCGCTTGGTGTAGCTGCGGTGCCCAGAGCGCAGGCCGTGCTGATCTTCGAGCCCTGCAAGGGGCAACGATGAACCTTTTAGTTCGGTCGATCAAATTGATGTGGCTTGGCCGCGTGTGCTATTTGATACCAATGCCGCGAACAAAGGAAACCGTAAAGGAGAGCTGAAGACCAGTCGGTCTCGCTCTTCTATCAGGAAGCGCTTTCTGTCGTCGTTCCAGCGACCTGTAAACGTGAAGTTCCTTCGGTTCATGATATCCTACTCATCAATGTCTAACTCGATTATGCGAGGTTTCTTTGACAAAGCTCAACCTTCAGTAACCTTCTCGACGGTCTCAACGATCCGATGGCGCCACAGTCGACCTTCAACGCGATAGTGGGCACCTCGGTAGCGTTCTCGTTAATCGCCTGTGCGTCTGTGGGTTTAAGGTTATACGCCCGAGTTCGTATCATCAAATTGGCGAGGCACGACGATGCTGTGCTTATTCTCGCATTGGTGAGTCTTCTTGATTGTCAATGAACCATTTCTGCATTCGATATGACTGTTTGGAGGCTAATGAGGTGTAATAGATGGGCATGTTAGCATACACCGTGTTTGTTTGCGCACGTAAGTCAGGTTCAGTTTTATTTTAAGGCACGACACTGATCATTCCCTAGAATTACCATACGGCTTGGGTGTTCCAATACAAGAAGTGCCGCTCGAAGACCTGTCCAAAGTGCTCATGGTTAGTACAAATCATCACAGCAACCAAGATGAGACTACATACTGACCGTCACCCATCATGTGCAGTACTTGTGGGCAAGCATTCTTTGCTATGCCGTATCACTGGCCGCTATCAAGACGTCGATCCTACTCCAATTCCTCCGTTTCCTAGTCGGCAAGAAAGTCACGAGACTCTGCTGGGTTATGGTCGGCGTGTGTATATGCTATGGGATATCCTCGGTCTTCGCCACGATTTTCTTCTGCGTTCCTGTATCAGGGTTCTGGAAGCCTTCACCCACAGACAGGTGCATCAGCAGGCAAGGACTCTGGCTCGCGCACTCGGGCATCAACATCGTCACTGATGTCATCATCTTCCTCATACCTGTGCCAACGGTTCTCCAATTGAACATGAATATGAGGCAGAAAATCGCTGTGATTGGTGTCTTCTGTATTGGAATCATGTCAGTATCGATCGTCATGAACAATTTCGAGGAGAAAGGCCACTAACATCCCTTACAGAGTGTGTTTGATCACTGTTCTGAGACTGGATAGTATAATTACTGTCGCTAGAACCTCGGATGTGACATGTAAGAAAGCATTCTCAGACCTTTAAGCATCAAATCACTGATCATATTCTTTTGCAGACGACAACGTTAAGGTAGCTATATGGAGCAATGCCGAGCTCACAACGGCAATATTCTGTGCTTGTTTAAGCGGCATCAAGCCATTTGTTCAATGGGTCTCCACACGAAAATCACTTTCTCGTTCTCGACAATCCTACATTTTGAAGATCCCCGGAGACATTTTCAACTCGGGCAATAACCGCAACACGGACAAGAACCTGAGGAACACGAGGCAGGAACTCGGTTCTGGACAGAGCAGTAGCCGGTTACAAAAGGATACAGCAGAAGATGCTGCAGTATCTGAGCTTGAACTCAGCTCGAATTCTGTATGATGAGATATGATTCTGTTGGATTCTCATAGCGTTTGCCCCTGGTATTGATTCCCATAATGTTTAAACTTGAAGAATAAGGCGCGACTGATGATACCCAAACACCCCAAGAGCTGTTATTCATTGATTGTTTTGTTAGGCAGATGGAGATAGTCGAGCTCGAGTTGATAGACCGTGGGCAAATTCCATCGGATTGAAATCTACATTTTCCTGCTCGCTTGCTGCCGATGATTATAGACGAGAGTAACTATCGTGAGGCAGTAACAAGATCTAGCTCCGCAGAGTCTGAATTGTAGACTTCTTTTTGTAGATTCTTGTCGTTGCTTGAATGCTACGTACATGATTTATGCGGGGGCAACTAAATATTCTCCCTACTCCATACACCTGAGCATCGAAGGGGAAGAGAATTGGCGAACGGCGATATGGGCACATTTGCGTGTACAAAAGGTTTGTGAATATGCAACTAGAAGGAACCATGTTTCAATCTCGGCATTCATTGATATATTGTGCTCAATGGAAAGATATCGAGTATGGAACATGCAGTGATTATTATAACCTTCCTTAGGAGCTTACTGTCGTCTTACTGCTTCACTGTTTTAATTCGGCATCGTTGCCAACTTCCGCAAATGGTACACGCAGTTTGATCGAGGGCTGATTAGCTGGAGAAGGCGTAAAGTCTGCACAATACGGTAGCGGCTTCTAAGGGAAATCGGGGTACATTTTCACGATTAATTTGCGATTTAAAGAAGTCAACTGCGTGCAAAGAGCCTTGGAGAGGAAAATATTGGAAGTTGATCAAGCTGCAATGACAGTATTCGAAGCAACTGGCTTCTGGCCCTCATGACCAGCGATCTACAATAATTGTGCAACGAATCGGAGAAAAAGAGCGGGCCACCACCAATCCGAGTTTGTTCGTATATTTAAGTCCTGTCGTCCATTCAAATAAAGGGGCTTTCGATTCGAATTGATGATCAGAAATTGGTTGCCTGGGAACTGCGGAAATTGCACATCGCATCATGAACATTCGAAGTCACATTGGTGAGGAATTTTAGATTCAAAGGGAGGCTCTAGCAAACATTCCCGCACTGCTCGCAATGCTTGGCTAGCAACCACCGGATTCTCATAGGATTTGCTGCCGAGAATAGAATATGCCATCTCATCAAACAGATCATTGCAAATGACGCTGGGACTCTCAACCTGAGCAGTAACCAACTTTTGATGGCTCGCAGCTGTTGCTGCAACCATTGTACAAGGTGCATGGGTGAGCGGCGTCGGTGCAGACGTTCTTCAGGGTGCAAGTATCACCGTAGTTGGAGTTGATGCCGCAGACCTCTCCTCCACCATAAGCTGTGGTGCCCTCGATGTAGACATTGCGCTTGCATTGGCTGGAGCACTGTTGTAATATAGATAGTCAGCGGGTGGGCCTGGAACGAGGATCTAGGAGTTGGAGTGGGGATGGTTTCTTACGTTTCCGCACGACCTGTAGACTTTCCCGTAGTCGTTCGCGTAGAAGTTGATGATCTGTTTCCATTTCAGATTCGGGTCACGTGCGAGTCTTTTGCCTTGAGACTGCTTGATTCAAAGTACTTACGTTCACGGTGCCACAGCCATTGTGTTGAACAATCTTGTCACTCGCTTTGTATGCTCCACCTCCAACGATCCAGGATTCTTGGCCGGCCTTATCTCCTTTCTGTGGATGTGGTCAGGAAACCATGGTCTTGAAGTATTACAGAAAAGTTATGGAGAGGAGACTCACAATAGTGATGGCATCTTCGCAGACATCCTCAAACCCTGCAGAATGTTAGCATTAAACATATCTCATCGTCTCAGGGGTCCGAATTATGGCGTCTGCTACTCCAGTTTTGGTGCGGAATACGAGACTTACAGATGAAGTTGAGGGTACAAGCACCCAAACAATGGACTCCCTCCATCTGATTTTTCCCAATGATACAGTTCTGTAGCGTGCCGCCGGCCTGCACCAGGAATACAGCGTCGGCATCGCCGCCCTCGCCGTCCTTGCACGCGCCTGAGCCGCGATCGTACTTGGCCCAGCCACAGTCAAAAACCTCACCCGACTTCACTGTGATAGGAGATGAGATCGAATGTGATGCTGTGGGTGTAGGCAGCCCGCCCTCGTAGCCCAGACATGCCAGGGCCACAGGAAGGGCTGAAGCCAGAGCGAGAAGCTGAGTTGGAAAGACGGTCATGGTGAATTCGTTGGAACCAAAGCTGCTGGTAGAATCTCGGTCGCTCTATGGCTATGAATCACTGGCAGGGTTGAAACTGTCAAGCATTGCTTTCTCGATGAAGAACACATGGTATTTATGCTAGCCAAATTTGTGCACTCTCTTCGGCCTGGTCCACGAGCTGACATTAGAAAACAACAGCCGCGTTCACTTCGTATTGCTGACTGAGATGCCATTGGCGGATATTCCTATCTTTCTCAACTTCCACCACTGTCAAGTATTTGTTCCACTCATTTCCTTGGATACACTTCAACTCGACCTTGCCAGGCGGGCGAGATCATAGTGGAGCACCTCCGGCTGTTCGAAAAATATGCTTAATCGTACTAAGCTTATCAAGGACGTCGGAACTCGGTCGAACACATGACTTTCCCATTGTCGACTTTTCTCCGGGCTTGGCTTTTGTGTCCTGGTATGAAATCGCGTGGGCTGGGTCTTATCGCGCTCACCTGCTCACCCGCCAAGACGGCGGATGGTACTCGCTCTGCAGCCAAGCTTTGGGACTCTCGGGACTGGATTTCGCGTAAATCAACGCGCAGCTTTGGACAGAGGCTTCCCACTATGTCATGAAAAGAGAAATGTTGGACCAATCGTCTAAGTTAAGCGGAGACGGCTTGGATAGGAGGTCGTGTTTCCATGGAGATACTGGGCAACACAACCGCAATAATTCAAATTTATTCTGTCAGCATTGAACGAATGCTCCATGGAGGCCGCATCGGGCTCAGAAGACATATCATTAGGCACGCAAGAATCCCAACATATCTAATGAACGGATGACTTTCGAGTTCGAACAATCATCAGCTAAGCACCGGAAACCGTAACATTTAAATGTTCGAGACGTCTATAGCCCGGGTGATTCAGTAAAATTCTGCTACATATGTTTAGATTCTCGTACAGCTGGAATCACCGGCCGAGCTTTTACCACCAACGCTTCGAGCCAAAGACAACAGCGAGGCTGCAGCTTGCAGCGCAAAGGCGGCACAGGATACATCTTGGCAATCCTCGGGACGGATTGATCAGGACAGCTGGATGATATACCAAATAATGATTGCGAAATTGATATAATGCTAATGCATTTTGCCCGCTTGCTCCGGTCAACTAAGAGTTTCCGCCGCCGCGAGTCAGGCCATCCACAAATTCTAACCGGCTGGTGAATGCCCGTCGTATGAAGATGATCCGATGCGAAATCCCTGAGCCAAGCAACCAGCGGCCATGATTCCTTCACGCGTGCGAACCAGAAGCCATCGCCCAGAGTCTTGTTGACCAACATCTGCTTGGATCTGGTCCTCAATAGGAGGATTTGTATTTTCCAGCTCCGCAAGAATGGTGTTTTCATAATTAGCTCATTTGTCAGTACCTTACATTTTGCAATGAGTTCCATTATCTTCTATTACCTTGTGAAGAGATGTCTGGACTTCTCCATGACCTTAAAACCCTGGCCTGTGCCCTCTAGACAATATGACCAGACGTTCATGATGTGTTCTGATGTGCATTCTACAATCAATCATTGCGAATCTCTTAATTTTATATTTATACCTGTATGTTGGCAGAGGTCGGTTTTCACGTTTTACTAGCCTTCAAACCCACGAGATAATTATGAAGCTTTACTACAACCTGCGATTTTATAACAACCGAAATAGGATCTATGATTACCAAGCACCCGAGTCGCCAGAAAGCATACATACAAGTGCATCGTCTCTCTTTAGTGTTCGAATTTTGCGGAGAGGGGAATATCCTGGTAGTGAGCGGGCAATGCAACGCTCGAGAGCGGAATTGGCATTGGGGAAACTGGGAAAGGAGCTAGATCCTTCGTCTGTTTCTGCAGTACACTAAGGCTACCACCAGTCCGCGTCCAAGACGCACAGCGCAGCGCGGGAAGGATCATCTTATCTTAGGGGTGTAAGGGGCGCGTTGTTTAATATAATCTTTACAGGCTAAACTGCACGCGACTCTAGCTCGTCCAATGAGCCTTGGGTTATCCCTTACACTTAGCCGTCTCTTGGGGGCCATAGGTGAAGGTATCTGATGAACTAGATATCTACCACCACGTACCGTCCCGGTGTGCAGACTCCGCTCCTAGACCCCAGATCCTGACGTAGATAAGTTTTGACCGGTCACAAAAGAGGCGTTGATCCCCTCCGAAGATCGAATTTGGGAAAACAATTGTCTCAGCGACTTCCAACCAAAACCACAATGAACTCTGTTACTTTGAACAGGGCAAAAGGTTCAAAATGCAACGATGGATTTTCGCGCGAACATGGCGAGTGTCACGAGCGCTATGGAATCCGGCATGAGCCTCTGTGGTAAGACGAATGCTGTCATTGAATCATGGAATGATACCCCTCCTCTCATGTACGCCCTTCACAACGAGCTCTCGGATCTCGTTATTGTTCTCGACAACGTACAAGCAGTCAGCGAGTCCACGATATCCGGTCATAGCAGGGAGCATGCTGAGCTCTTTGCAGACCTTGAACGCCCTCTGGCCGAAGCATGTCGACTCCTGACGACAGTTGAAGTCCTGGTAGCAGAATTGCTGGAGGCGCGCGATGCTAGAACACGATGTAGAGTCTTGTCCAAGATTGGACATACGACAAGCCTCAAGGACCGCTTGAGGGATGTAAGGACAAAATTGGATAGTTGCCTCCTGCTTCACAAGGCGTAAATTGTACCGTATCCTTCCTAAATTCGGCCGAAACTGATGTAATAGCCACAGCGTAACCTCTCAGACGCAGCTTGATCTGAAGGAAATCCACGGGATCACGAAAGAGAGGAATCAAAAGTCACTCATGGAGCTCGACACTCACAAGATCAAAGTGGAAACAAAGCAAGAAATTTTAAAGGAAAGGCATGATAGGCCATCAAGTCGAGAATTGGCGCTGGGTCTCGCATTACCTTTCGTGGAACGCGGAAATCATAAGCATATGACAGCAACCGATATGGAAGATCAGAAGAATAGCGTTGCCAAAGTCTTGGAGAGGATCGATGGGCATAGGATTGGGTTTGATAACAGCACAGTTGTGCAGCCCGCGGAGTCTTCATCGCCCAGAAAACGCCAAGGCAATGCTGTAACGAAGAATGTGGCTCCTGCTCCAGCAGTCGCAACAAGCCTCCATGCCGGCGCAAAAGCACTTGGGGCCATATCACCCGTCAGTTTCGTCATGCAGAGTCGGAGAAAGGCAACATGCTCATCAGCCTGCCCGTGCGCATGTCATTCGCGGCCAGCTCAGCACATTTGGTTCCGGAGTGGGCTTCTCGGGATGCTTTTCATCGGCTACTCGGGCCAGCCAGCAAAGGGACCGCAGTGTAATTCTATCAACTGCCTTGAACAGGGAAGAACCTCATTGGAAGTCAAGTATGTTTTCCCGGGCTGGTTCGTATACTATGCCATATCAGCAACGTTCAGCAAAACAGTCCAGGGAAGCCCAAGATTCGAATTGGTGTTTAAGAGACGCATCGACTTCTTCCCGGGCACGATCATGCTCGCGGTCAAGACAGACGACCTAGAGGCACTGAAGCTATGTCTTAAGCTTGACCCAGACGCGATCAACTGTGTTGTCCCTGGCTCGGGCTGGGGCCCCTTGCATATTGCGATAGAGTTGGGCTTTATCAAATCTACCCGATTCCTACTTCAACAAGGTTCCGATCTCGATCAGGTCGACGACTACGGGAGGTCTGCCGGCGGTTCTTTCATTTTAAACCTGCTCTCTGGCAGATATAATGCAGAACAGCTCCGACAGTTCAGCGAGCTGATTTCTACGTCGAAGTACCTAGATGACCTCGAGCTTTCCCACCTCAGCAAAGTAGTCGTAGGCATCTGCCAAGGCGACATCCACAAGCTCGTCAGGACCCTCACAAAAGAGGAACTCGACCACAAAGACGCAATCTTTCAGATGACAGCAGTCCACTGGGCCGCTGTTCGCCAAGACGACACCACCCTGCGCGCCCTCCTCGACGCCGGCGCCGCTCCCGACCTGAACAACCTGACAGGCGTCCGACCGCTATCCCTCTGCCTCAAGAAGGGCGAGAACCCGGACGCAATATCTTGCTTCGAGGCACTGGCCAGCTACGGGGCAGACTTGAACCACCGCGACCCCGTGATCGGATGGCAGCCCATCCATTGGACCTGCAGGACGAACTGTGTCCAAGTGGCCAAGCGCCTCGTCGCCGCCGGGACCGACGTCGACTCCAGGGCACTGAAGCCAGGCGTTAATGACACACCTGCAGCGGCGCTGGCGGCGTGGTGGGGCAGTTTTGACGTGCTCAAGTTCTTGGTGGACAATGGCGCCGACATCGAGGCTGACAACGGCGTTGGCCATACGTCCCTTGTTGCTGCGCTGCTGCAGAACCAACATTCTTGTTTGAGGTTCTTGCTTGAGAGAGGAGCCAATTATCTCCTACCCGAACTGCCAGGGGAGAATATTCTTCATCTAGTCGCACAGCTTGGGGATGCTGAGACGATGTCCATTTTCAGTGCGGTTGGCATGAGGGGTGTTGACGTTGACGAGAGGAATAAATCTGGGCTCACTCCAAGGGAAATATTTATGAGAAAACCCGCGACGGACAAGATACAGGAAAATGCGTTTGAGGAGCTTTTACGATCAGTGGAAACACTGCGTGGTAGTGAAGATGATTTGCTTGAAGAGGATGAGGATTTGTTCTTCGATGCGGAGGAAAGTAAGTGATATTTAACATGACAAACGGGTAGCAATCGTAAACGTTAAGCAAATGGAAGAAACTCGTATGCTGAATCTACACTCCATCCTTGGGTTGCCCTTGATGGGACGTTTTAAATTACCACCCAGCCAGGACTAAAGGTCACGAAAAACTCAACCAGACCTGACAGCATCTGGCTGGAACAGTTACCTCGCCCTTGAGTTCGAATCACCTTCATGGCTTTTGCAAAAAAATAAGTGCGTAGCCGACTTGTTCATTAGGAACACTTTTACTCTACAAGGCATCTATAATGGTATCGAAGAATCTTACACAATCTGCCCAAAAGTCCAAAGAAACAGAGATGAGAAAAGAGGAGGGACGCGCGGTGAGGGTGAAAAAAGAAAGAAAGTACACGATGATTTCGGGATCAGATCCCTCCCCATCAACACGGTTCAAGACAGACCTCGGCCCTTGGGTATCAGACCTCAGCATCCGCTTACCATCTGGTTCAACGCCAGAGATTCCAAGGGCGGTAGGACTCTCTGTGATGCGCTGCCAGGCAGGTTTAGCACCGCGTCGCGTGAAATCACTCCAAGGTACCAGGTCGAGTGAATCACGTACAGCGTGCGCCGTCTTGGCCAGCCAACCTATTTTCGCACTGCGAATAACGCTGGAAGAGTTGTTGCCCGCCATACCAACTCGGCCAAGAGGGCGTGCTGCTGTCTGGTGTGTGATGCGTTCCCCCTATGTACCTTTGCCCAACCAATCGAGGTTTTGAAATTTTGCACTTTTGCACTGAAGACAGCATACCTCGCCAACGTTTTCTGTCCATTGATCCTTTCTACGATTGGGCTTCTTTTTCTACTCGTGTTTCACGACGAACAAAACGTGGTGCCTCACCGCCAACAATAATGTAATTTGCTGGAGCTCAATACCTCCACGAAGGTTCTCGTATGGGATGTAATACATTTGACAGGATCTGAACCAACTTTACAACATTAAAAAGTCCTCCACAACAGAATTTCGCCCCCACATGTCCGACTGCTACCTGCGATCGTCGAATTCACCTCAAAAGTGGACAATATCTTGACCCTCAACGTTGCCGTCGTCTTTCGTTAAACTCTTCGTGAACCTGGCGGTAGCCGCTCGTGACTCCTTGGAAGCCGTCAATAGAGGCCGCAGCTCCCTCCAGAAGGAATGGCAGCGACATCCGGACTGATGGTATCCCGCCGCCGCGGCACCAAACTCCCTGATCATGTCATCTGGCAGCGACCTAGCAGCCTCGTTCAGCGCATCACGGACTGCGAATTTCCAAATCAAGTCCCTCAGCTCACTAGGCAGCCTGTTCAGCTTGACAAATCGGCGTATTGAATCCTCGCCTGAACCTTGACTGGCAAGTGTAGCCCCAGACATGGCGTGCTGCTTCCCGGCAATCCATTCGCCCCAGTCTTCGAAAACCACGACCGCTAGCTCTGACTCCTAATCGTGCTCAATGAATATGCCGTCATCTTTCGTTTGGATGTCCTGGAACGCCTGCTGAATTTCGTCGAAGGGGTCGAAACGTCCTAGAGGCCGACCACCCCAGCGCAGGTATTTCGCCTTGGCCTCGTGGACTTGAAGATCTTCACAAAGACGCCGCCTCGTCCTTTCCCATCGCGAGAGCTTGTCTTCTAAGCACCTGATCTCATTGGCAGCGGCAACATTTTCCTTTTGTCGCCCAAGCCGAGCCGCCTTGTGCTTTGCACTCTCGAGGTCGCGTTTGAAGAGAGCAACAGAAGCCTCCTCCTCTTTGGCCAAGTAATCCTCTTCCTTGATGGTGGGCTTCATGTTTGATGGGAGCTCTCCTTCGACTCTGTCGAGCAGACGCTGCACGCGGCCACAATCTTGGGGTGCGCACCACAGCTTTCCTCTCTCCCAAAGCATTCTCAACTTCTCCTGGACGAATTCACCACCATGAGCTCCATCGGGATCAGGGGGTGTGTTTGTAGCATTAAATGCGTAAAGGTCGATGATCTGCTTGATGGTCTCCACCGGCACAGCCTGCCATCCTCTGAGTTTACCACGTTTTATCAACCTGGCTTGGACATCCTTGTAGGCATCTTTAGGGAGCGCCTCGCCAAAGCGATTGTCCACAGTGCGCGCTACAACCTCCGCGTGCTCAAAGATTTCAGACGCCCGGCCAAGGCATACGTCGGAGTTTCTGTTCGAGGCGGCTCCTCTGTCGGCAGCGATCATGGCTCGTAGGGCAAAGGGGATTTCGGGGTGCGCTTCGCATAGTTCGGCGACGTTTTCGGAGTCAAATTTCCAGCCAGCGTTGCCGTCAACCGTGAGGAAGCCATAAACTCGTTGTTTGTCTGCGGCGCTCAGCGACCTCCAGAGAGCCCTGGCACGTTCTGCGTACGTTGGCATTGTTGTCTTGAAGGGGTTGTCAACCGACGAGGGGATTGGGAGGATTGCTTGTCGACGAAGCTGCTTGACGAGCGAAGTGAAGAGTCGCAAACAAGCGGATGAAAGGTCGCAAACAAGCGGAAGAAAAGTCACAACAAACGGATGAAAGATGCAGTCTCGGCGTACATTCATGAAGTCGCCAAAAAGTCAAAAAGCGACACTGACCACAAATGATGAATTCACGTGCCTTTCTGTGAGCTTGTAGAGTGCTCCATGAGAGGCCATACAAATCAGAATTTCGATCAATATCGTTCTTGTTTGGCTGCGTGGGTGACCACCGTCCCACCAAGAAGGATCAAATTATTATCATCGTCAGAAGAGCCATATGTTAAGGAGAAAAATGAATTTCTGACCGTAAATCTACCCAAAAATCATGTAATCATCATGTGCCTTGTAGCCGCAAAGAAAGTCTAGCTCAGCACTTGAGCTCCTCTCCTCTCAGTGATTCACTCCAGTAGCCAATGCATATGCAGTAAGGAAAAGACAAGACCCTAAGGAAAGTCATCAATGTTCGTTAAAAAGAAAAGCTTCATCAAGCCACAACAGAAACAGCCACGCTTTCCCTTCCATCCTCGCGAGCCTTCTTCTTGAACAGCGTCTTGAGCAGACTAGGCTTCCTGCTCCCAAGCGAAGGCTGGAATACCGACTCGAGCGAGTCCTCCTCCCGCTGCCTGCTACCGTCCTCGATGGCCTTGGTTTGGCTCGTCCGCACAGTAGTGGCCTTGGACCGGGACGTCTTCCTGCTGCGCTCGCTGCCCGCCTCGCTGGCGGCATCTGTACCAACCTTACTGGCCCGGCTGCTCTTGCGCTCCGGCACCTCGATGTCGTCGCCGCCATCCTCGGTCCTCCGGCTGCGGTGGCTGCGGTGCGACTTGGACGAGCGGTGCGACTTGACGGTGCGGATGGAGCGCCCGTCGTCGCGCACCGAGCGCGCCGCGTCCGGCGTGATGAGCTCCAGGTCGGCGCTCTCGGCGATGCTCCGGGCCAGGTCCTCGTCGTCGACGTCCGACGGCACGATGCCGCGGCGCCACGTCTCGATCGTGCTCAGCTCCTCCTCCAGCACGAGCGCGTCGTCCTCGCTGCCGGGGCCCGGCGCCCCGTACCTCGACCCCGCCTCGAAGCCGGACTGCCCGCTCCGTGGCATTGGCTGGTCTTGCATCTCGAACGCCTGCGCGCTGGCTTCCTTCTCGGCGGCGACGGCCTTGGCCTCCTTGATGCGCTTGACGATCTTCCAACCGCCGAAGCACACCACCGTGACGCCTACGGCGACGCTCACGCCTACCAGGAACTGGGGGCTGGCCAGCAGGGCAAAGATGGCGGGGGACCCACCCTTGACAACGCTCAGGAACCCGGGGCCCAGGGTCTTGAGCAGGGTGCTGAGCTCGGCAAGCAGCAGTGCGACAGCAGCTGCGGCCTCGGGCTTGCGCTGGAGGTGGTCGATGATGCTGGTGGCCGAGTGCTGGACGGCCTCAGCCTCGTCGAGGAGGGTGTCGATGCGGTTCATGAGGGTGCGGGCCTCCTGCTGCCTCTTTAACTCGGCGTCGATGCGTGCGCGCTCCTCCTCGGCCTGCGTGACGGGGCCCAGGTCGGTGCGGGAGGCCAGGTCCGGCGGGATGTTGCCGTAGGCAAGGTTCATGTCGATCTCCTTCTTCTTCTTCTTCTTCTCGCCAGGTGGTGGCTGGCTGGGCCTGATCGTCGACAGGTCCGACTCGGACGCGACGTGGTGCATCATGGCGGAGCTCTGGCGCGGCACGAGGGCTGGCTCCATGGTCATCATCGTGGATGGCGGCGCGGTCGGGGCGCGCGCCAGGTTCGGCCTGCTCATCATCATGCTGTCGCGCGGGGCCGTCTCGGCGTAGGGAGAGCGGTAGACAGCGGTGATCTGGCTGGGCGCGCTGGACGACACCTCGCTGTGGGTGCGCAGATTGCTCGCCGTCAGGGGCGGGCGCGTGCTCTTAGCATCATCACCGTCGTGCGTAGTCCTCCTGGACCTGTGAGATTTGTGAGACCTGTGGCTGCCGTGGCTCCTCTTTGAGCTGGCGACGGACCTCGCCTCAGTCCTCGCATCGTCAATGGACCGCCTGCGGTCGCCTTCATCTATGCAGCGTGGCTCATGGGTGTAGTAGCTGCCCTCCTCGTATGAGAGGAAGTGCCTGCGTTCTGGCACTTCGTAAACCTGGTCCTCATAGGTATACTGGGACGGGGCCGGGCCGGCATAAGTCTGGGCCTTCTTGATACCAGGTCGCAGCTCGGCGGCAGCGGCGCGTTCGGCCTTGAGAGAGGCCTTCTTGTCCTGATAGGCTGCCTTGGCCTCCTTGAAGATGTTGACAATGTGCTTTCCCTGTCAAGTGGGGGGACATCCCGTTGTCAGTAGTCGATCCCCGGGTGTGAGTGGGTGTGCAGCACGAGTAGAGGAGGGTCTTTCTTGGGAACCGGATTGTGGGTTTGACGGCGGGGTTGAACAACAGCACGGGAGGTCACCGTTTGACTCGGGGCTGGAAGAGCGACCATGTATGACTGGGACAACAGCTGGGATACTCACATTGCCAATGATCTTGCCCGACTTGTTGATGATAGTGACCGTCTCTGTGAGCTGCATCTTGACAACCAGTATATCCCTCACACCGTCCTAGAAAAAAGGCCGACTATCCAGAGCCAATTACCGATCTAAAATGAGTTGACGAGAAAAAGAAGGAAAAAGTGCGTATAAATCCAGGCCCTCGGAAACAACAGGAAGGGCTGTAAAGGTCGGTGTCCAGCCTCCTGAAGTCACTCTGTCGACAGACGTCAAACGGCGAAGAGGCGGTCTGCGAGCCCCCCTTTTCTGCGCTATGTAAGTACTGTGTGTGCGTATACTGCAGTAGTGGCGAGTCCCACCCACGCAGTAGACCACTGGATATCGATTCTCCCGGAGTGCAGAGATCTGAAACAGAATCCACAATCTTTTAGTTTCGACGAGACGAGGAGGAAGAATTGAGTGAGGGTGGTGCTGTGTAGTTGATCGAAGGTGAGAGAGGGAGATCAAGAGATAGAAACAAGCAAACAGAGACACATCAGCCGTTTTCTTTCTTCCTTTTTTCTCCCTGTCTGTCCCGCTCCCCCTCGCATGTGTCAGTGGTCAAGATTCAGCCAATGCATGAAGGCGACAGTGTTCTAGTTCCCGGGATCGCCTCCCGGACAGCCCCAAGACCAGCCCAACCTTGTGCCGCCTTTCGACCTGATTTAACTGATTTAAGGCTTGTGACAACCGCCCAAGAGGCCGCCCTGGCGCCAATCGAGCAACGCCGTCGGGAAACTCCATGGATGCAGCCGCTCCAGCCGCCCGGCGGCCATTGGCCCAGTCTGCCCAGGGCGGGGCGGGGCCTTGCAGCTCCCAGATACCAACTCGGATTCTTCCCCTGGGAATTCCAGCTCATCCTGCATGCAGCAGCTCCCCACGCCTTATGCAGCTATCCCGTGACCTGGTTCCAGGAGGTCGGAACTGTCGGCAACGTATCTGTGTACTGCAGCCTGTCTACACTGCACAGTGGGATGGTGGATTCCAGTGAGCTCAATAACGGCTTGGCTGCGTTTCTAAATTCCACCTGGAGTTCCAAGTTTGGGGTGACGGCAGAAGGCTATAGCATGCCACCATATACCAACCGAGTTCATGCGATATAGTCACAACAGCTGATAGTAACCTCTGTCATTGGCCAAGGGCAAGTCAGAGCTTCGGTTTGAGAGGCAACCACCACCACTAGTCGCAGTGGCAAACATATCTCAATGAACCAGTGGACAAAGCATGCTTTGACTGACAGGCCTGGGCAGCTGTTGAGCATTGCTTAAGAGCTCACTCCCTGCTAGGAGCTGCTGGAACACAAGGATAGGGCTGTCAGCTGCAGAACACGCATGGAGACCCCTTCAGTGCATCAGAAAGTGGGAGGAAGATCAACAACGAGGTTCGTCGAACGAGGGCTCAACCTCACCACCAATTACAAATACCACGAGTGAATGGATACGCACACTTTCCGGATGAGCTACTCAAAATGTCGTGGTTATATAACTCATTAAATCGTGACTAGATAGCGCTCAGGAGCCCAAGCTGGTATTTAACTGCTCCGTATGTAAAAACAATAGTCTGTAGATACAGACAGATGCACGCTCAAGATCGTAGGTCATATATCATATGCCCAGCAAATGCACTTCTCCACCATGTACGCCCCTAGTATATGCCCCAAAATTCATGCATGCATGAACACCCTCCTAAGCGATGTAAACCGGCAGCCGACTCCCGTACAGCTCACTCTTGCTGATCTGCACGTCCTTCTTGTGGAAGTCGTGCAGCAGCAGCCAGCACAGCATCCGGAATACAAGCGTGCACCACACGTTGCCCGTCAGCTGCTCATGCAGCGTCGTCGACATCCTCTTGAGCCGCGCCATGCCGTCGGGCGGGTGCGTCGGCGTCACTAGCAGCTGCGGCGTCGACGAGCGCCTCGGCTGCATCTGCACCGTCGCCTGGTCCGCCTTCTCATTCAGGTTCGGGCTGCTGAGCTCCGACCCCACGCTGTCGCGCACAATGGTCGCATCGTCGTTGCCGTTGGTGTCCGCCACGCCGTCCCGCAGGTCCACCCTCGACTGCGACGGCGAGTGCACGTACTTGGTGCTGTTCTTCTTGCGTAGCACTTCGTGGCAGTTGCGCGTCACGGCCTGCGCGACGGTTGTGAAGTAGATGTCCATGAACTTCTGCTGTTTCTCCTCAGGCCCAGCCGAGTTGAGCTCGTCAAACGTCTGGCTCTCCCTCGAGGACAACGTAGACTCATCACCGCTGTCTGCGCCACCAGTAGCACTGGACGACGCGCGGGTATTGAGCAGGCGCATGACTTCCTGAACATGCTCGCGGATGACTAAGGACACGAGGTCTGAGCCTTCGTCCTTTAGATACTTGTCACACTTGCCGATCGCCTCGTGCAGCGCCTTCAGGAGAACCATCGGGAACACGCTGTCGTCGCGCCACGCCTTCTTTGTCTCAAGGTGCTTGGCCACGTCGTAGACCCATTTCTGCAACTGAAGCAGGTGGTCGGTCTCTGGTGCGATATCGTCGTCGTTGACGGCGCGGTTGAACTCAAGGATGAGCTTGGGGAGGGAGAAGTTCTTTTTATTCCAACTGTACGTTGTTGGGTTGGGCAGGTAGCGATAGTACGTGTCGGGCATGTACATTGACTTCGCAAGCATGCCAAGGATCTCGAAGGGAACTGGACGCAGGAATTAGCAAAGAGGTGGATGCCAAGTGCTGCTTGCAATAAGCGCTGCTTACCAGGAAATAGATGCGCATGCTTCTTTTGTGGATCACGGAAGTAATTTGTCGTCTTGGAGTTGCAGCCGAAGTGGGTGAGCGATTCGACCAGTTCCGTCGTGCTGCCGAACTGCAGCACCCAGGTGTTCTTGGGGTCCTCGTGGTCGTACGGCATCTTGCCGTCCTTGCCTGCCTCTGGTCTGTAGATAGTGGACACATTTCCAAAAGCCAGCAATTTTATCTCATCGGTTGGGATGATGCGGTTCTGCTCGAACTTGTTGCCTCCGTACATCTGGAAGTTAAACCCGATCCCCAAGTCGTCGACCTCATGGCCAGTGAGCAGATAACCATTTCCTTCAGCCAGGTACTTGTGGTTGGAACGGTCAAACTCTCTCCAGTGCAGGCCCAGCATTGCTGCTATCTCGACGATATGGCAAATGGTTGTGGTCGCATAGGGCTTCTTGAGTGCATCGGGCATGGTGTCCCAACTCTTCAACTTTGGCTGTAGGGCGACTACGGCAGTGTGCGTTTCCCAGCCAGCGACCGATTCTGGGAGCACAGCCTTGGGCCCGGAGCGTGCCACGTCCTGCTTCAGCATGTCAACCTCCCACTCGTGGCTCTTGTATTCCATCTGCTGCAACGCCTGCAGCAGGACTGCCCAGGTGGCGCGCTCATTGTCCGCGGTGTGTACATGCGTGTGGAGCTTGGACGACCTGTGCTGCTTCCCCGCCTCTTGCTGCTCCGCCTTGTGCCTGTCCTGCTCTGTCCTGGCAAGTGGCAAGGACAAGGTGTCTACCTCGCTTTGCTCTGTGCCCTGAAGAAACCTGACCTCTTCCTTGGGGACGGGTCCCCTTTTATTTCCCGGTGGACATACGAAGAGAACAGGGGCCTCGAAGCGCACTTCGAATCGAAGTTCTGACCATCGGAAGATCCGCCTCCTTGTGCCGGCCCAGGGTCCCATCACCCGCTCACCACAACTTGAGTACCCTATCGCTGAGGCATAGTATTGTTGGAGGAGTTGCAAGATTGCACCGATCAAAGCAATGACCGAGATGACCAGAGCCACGATCGACACAATGTCATTGCTATCCATGTTGACGGGGTGTTGCGGAGAAGAGACGGAAAGAGTGTGTACCACGGAAATTGGCTGCCGTTGAAAGGGAGGATCAGGCTGGCGGCAGTATAGAGGAAAGGAAGATTGACGGAGAACTTGGTCGTAGGATCAGTGCCTCGTCAAGGCGAGAATGGCGGTCATGATGGATCTTTTCTATCTGTCGGAAACCAAAGCCAGGTCAGCATATCTGGAAGAGGACCAACAAGAGACAGGGAGTTGCGACACAAAAAGGTCTCAGACGAAGAAAATTGCTTGGGCCCGTACAGTATGACGAGAACGGCGCATTCGATTGGACTGGAAGAGCCTCAGAATGGCGTTGGTGGACAAGGCTGAGGTCGAGCTGACGGTCAGATGGAGCCTCTTTGTACAGGTGGGACAGCCACATCTGGGTCGAGACGCCGCTTGATGGACACAAAGGGTCCGTCCCAAGGGGCTCGCTCCCAAGCGAGTTGCTGTGCCGCATGGAAGGATGCAGAATGGTTCGAATGGAAAAGAGCGGTCACAGGATGTCGATGCCTGCACCAACCGAGCACCGGTAACGCGAAGGACCCGTCGCCGTCCAACCGTCACGGTTGAAACTCATGACAGCACGGATGGGTGTGTGGGCGTGCATCGGGGCTGAATCCTCCCGCACCTCCTGCTCCTGTCCTGTCTGGCTGTCTGTCCCAACAGCGCGGCACAGTCGTCGCATTGCAACCTTTCAAACAATTGAAGCTTTCATATCCAAGGCGGGTGGTTAACGCTAGGTCCCCACCGGCAGCCCAGATTAAGTTTGGCGGAGGATTTTGGTGATCCATCAAGTGCCCACCAAGCTGAACCCTGCAGTGGGGTAAGGCCCGCAGGCACTGGAAGGATCACCCCAGAATGTTGCCGCCTTGTGCCCATGTCTCACCTCTCAACTCGACAACACACGACTTACACCACTTGCTGTACCTCAATTTGCCTGGCCATGCTCCCTCATATTGTGCACTCAACCCGACAATGCAATATCATCTTTGAGCAAGAGGAATCAACTACACTGCTATTCATCCGTGTTCCATGTAAAAGTCTCTCAAAGGGAAAACATGATGTGTACCAAGATGGCACACTGGATGCCGCACTAGAAATCTGCTGCTTGACTTGGACAGCATTGCTGCATGTCTCACCCCTATTACATCATATTGTACGTCCGTACGACTACCATCATTGTGAGGAGCTTATCTCCGAAATGGTCCCCCCCCCCCCCCCGCCTATTTGGTGCCTCAGCAAGCTTCGTTGAACGCTCAAAATCATCAGATCATGAAGTACACATCGCCACAGATGGCGCTCAGTAGACTCTAACTACCACTTTAACATCCCTCCCATTTCTGCACTTCCTCTCTGTATCCCGTGAAATCAGAACCGTGACACCACTGAGCTGAACCGGGATGGCACGAAGGAAGAACCCACGCAAGATGGTACGAAAACGACATCGCCCAAGTCGCAAGCGCAAGGAACTCAAGCCCTTCCGCTTTGACTCGCTGCCAGGAGAGATCCGCCTCGAGGTCTACAATCACTGCTTCGTCTTCCCCATCTTGAATACGAACGTGCACGACGGAGATATGAACAAGGAGGACAAAATATTATGTTGACCATAGATTTCAGTCTATTATCCTGCCATGGCCAAGATCTTCGACCCCATGACTTGACTTACCGAAGTCCGCAGCAGGAGAGAGCCATCGAAGTGTTGTGAAAAATCCGGCGCGGATCAAGGCGACCTCGAGCCCGGAAAACATGAGAAATCATACCACTCGGGCGTATAGAACTCTTTACCTGATCCTACCCTACTTGAAATGCAGCCTGATGATACAGCCGACACCACCCAAAGTCCAAGCATGGGCATAGGCAAGGCGGGCTCTGAAAAAGATATCTGGACTTCTTGGGTCACGAAAGGAGAGTGAAAAAAGAAGAGAAAAAACAGAGGCTTGATATATCCTGTTGTCATCACACACTTAAGCACTCTCTTTCTTAAAATTGAGTGAGGAATAGACGCAATCAGAGACGACTCAACGTGAAGCGATTGCAGAACTTAAAGCTTGAATAAATACAGCCTTCCACAATCTTCTGCGGAATCTGTACGCCAGAGCTCATAGCCTAAAGAACGGAAATCACTACAAACCAAGCGACAATATAGAACCAGCCAAAACGATTTACAGTACAATCCCTAGCGCAGTCAACATCCACTCAAACTCATCATGCATGAGATATTGTTGGCTCCTGAGGCATCTATGCCGCCTATGGCGCCTATGCCTCTGCCCTGCCCCATCCCCAAGATGATGCCGGCGGTCATCACTACCGTCATCGGAGTCGTCCGAGTCGTCCGGGTCACCTGGGTCGTCATCGCTCCCCCCTCCCGAATGGCGGTCTCCATTGGCGTTGCTATGGTTTTCATCATCATCGTCCTCCTCTCCGTCTCCTGGGGCGGCTGGATCGACGGGTACGAAACCTCGGCACGGTAACAATGACGGCGGTGGCGAACTCGACGTGGTACCCTAACACGACCATGGCCGCCACAATGTTGGGCGTGAATTAGTCGGTTTTATTAGAGCAGTTGCAAAAGTTTTGCGTAAAATAAACGAACATCCATGCATCATGGTAACAGGCACATGTTTCGTATGCAACAGGGAAGATTATTAAGTCACATATTGATATTGGACTCGCCGCCTGTGGACAATAGAGCGTTTGAATCACTGTATACTGTTATACTTTGATCAAGCCATTGAGCAGAGTCCAGCCAAGCCTTGAACGAGTATAGTCTGTCCTCTTCGGCAGCACGGCTAAGCAGACTGACTTAGGAGCTGGTCTTTTGGTTGTGGAAGATTACAATACATTTGTTTACTACAAACAGAACTGTCGTTTGCATTCTTTGCAATGAATCATTATAGAAAATTTCATTTCAAGCATAATATGATATATGGGTGTCTAGAACCTAAACTTGATGAAAGGCGGTATATGTAGAATGAACAAGACCCAACCCTTAATGATGGCAAAGGGTCAACTATCGGGGTCCTAAGCTCGATGTATCGTACGAAAAGTAATTGCCTTTTGAAATTGGCGTAGGCATCTCTTTCGATTGTATGTCATAATTTGTGTCAACTTGTTGGAACCTTTTAAAAAACTGGAAAGTGTAGAGAACACAAGGGGCACACTTCATGGGAGCTTGTCTTATAGTAATCCGTCGAGCTGGTCAGTATAGACGGTAGCTTGACGAATCGTAGGTCCAACGTAACACCAGGCTTCGAATTCACTCAGTCCTGCTTGTTGCCACAAAGAAGCGACTGAGGACTTGAGATGGAGAGCCGGCCATTGGCAGTTGTTCTGTGGCTAGAATCTATTCAAGCCACGTTATGAATCGTTGACTACAGTGAATTGATTGTTCCATATGAGACTCATGGATTATTTGGTCCAAGTCCGGCCATTCAGATGCTGGAACCGCTTCAATATTCAGACTTGAGGATATTCACCCCAGCAAGATGCTTTGAATACGGAAGAAGCAGTGAATATTGACGAGTTCGAGAAGTATATCAACTTTTCGCAAATGGGTTTCTCTCAGATATCATGGCAATCCCTCGATTGTCGCTGTCAGCCTTGTCGTGGCCTCCTTTCCACGCCTTTTCGACGTCTTCTTTCGTTGATCTAACTTGCAAGACATATTCAAGATGTCTCGACCCAACACCCCAGCTTCCTTCTCCTCCGTCTCATCCTTCCAGTCTTTCCTCTCTGACGACTCCTACCTGGAGAAGTTGAAGCCTGTAGATGTGGGCTTCGCTGAGATGTTGACGGAGATCAGGGCTATTGATACGAATCGAAGCATCCTTGCAGAACGCAAACTCCAATCTCATACCCAGAAGCGCAGAGATCAGGCTGATCTTTCTCCAAGAGAGGACTGGACATCGAGGCAGACCAGCGAATACGAGGCGTACAAGGACATGGTGAAGTCGCTTGCTGCTGCGAACAAGAAGGCGGTTGCATCGAGCAATATTGCCAAGGCTCAAGATGACGAGGCCAGCTGTAGGAAGGCATTGGCCGACCAGCAAGCTAGGTCCACTGCTGCCATTCGGTACCTTCAAACTCTTTCCAAGAAACGAGTATAGATGGTGCTGGTACTAACTTCATGCCTCAAATCTAGAGCAGCAGAGGCTCGACTTGGCTTCATGACCAGATACCCTAATGCTTATAGCACCCCTTCCCACGCAAACCACATCAAAGCGGTGGAGGATAACCTCAACTCTGCCAAGCTGGCACAGAGAGAGGTCAAAGACCTGCTGAAGAGTAAGTACAACGCATTATCACGAATGCTAGGATGACTGCCAGTTTCTCTTCCAATGATGCCTAACACGTGTATTTACCAATAGGGCTTACCGCAGCAACGAAGCAGAGGCGATGAATTCCAGTTCTCATCAGATGTGTGACTCCCGAAGGGATGTCCTCTTAGCTGGAAGTATCCAGGCACTTTGAATACATTGGCTTTCTACAAACAGATAGTCGAGAATGGATGATGGCGGTTATTCAGCGCCTTTTGAGAGCAGCGAGGCCCTATTGAGGTGCTCTGGAAGAGTGATCAGACACTGGCTCAGAGAGAAATACAGGACAGACAAGGATGAGTCTTCTCCAGGCTCTATACATCTATGCAATTTTCCAAGCGAGCTTGATCATGCCTGGGTCCTTCGTAATTTTGCTGCTGTTGTTTCTCACAATACCATTGTTGCAGCTCAGGCTCCAGGGCCGCTGTAATCAGGAAAAGGGTGGAGAACGACGGAAATTTTCACCGAGTCTTGAATACCGGCCGTAACTAGGTACTAACTACTTAGATGTTTAGAGGGAAATAATTGCGGCCGACGTTGCTTATCTATGTCTGCAGTGTCCAAGCCCGGGAAAGACGTCGAATATGTCCCTGCCAGCTCCAAATTGGACCACAGCCGTGGCCATTGGAATGTGGATCGGTCTTAAAAAACGTAGGCTCTTTGTGACGAGGTGAGCTACAGGCTGATTTGGGTTCTTCTTGGACATCGGGAACGGACTCTACGGACTCTGTTCAACTCCGTCTTCAACGCAATCGCAGAATGAGTAGGTCACACCATATCCCGGTATTCTGGACACGACGATACGGATCATACCTGTGTATGCTCAGTCGAACGTGGCGCAGTGCTTACTTCAGGTCAGCCAGTTGCTTATAGCGATAGACCGGGATCTGCATATGGCTCATAATGACTCACCCCCGGCCTGTCGTAAAAGGGTAGCCTCACTCCATGCCACGCGTTCACAAAGAAAGGCTCATGGATTCCACCTTCGCAGCCTCGGATCAGTCGCAATTCAATAGATTATGAAGACTAGGGTGTCAATATCATTCAGATACGAGTAGAAGAGAATTTAACAGCGCTATTCAAAGCGGATTGATCGAGAAAGACTTCTCTCCGGTCTTATGATAGAGTCAAACGGGTAGCATTATGAGATCGAGTTGCTGTAGAAACCCGCATTGTGGGCGAGGAAAGTAAAATGGGGATCGTGAGTCCTGGAATTCCCTGCAGGTATAGATACGGAACTGTGAATCCCGAAACACTCCCTCGAATATCACCGACACTACTCGGGGATTACATTCTCTGGCCAAATTCTTCACATGTGATAAGGCGCGTACCAGAGCCCATGCTGTGTTACAAGTCCCCTTCCCCACAAAACCCTACCAACCCGGTCGACTCATACCGACCAGGAGTTTTTAAGAGTGGGGGTCCGCATTCATCTTGGCGTTGTAGACTTTCACCTCACTCCCTTCGGCCGGAACATATGAGTAAGCGCCGAGGGAGCTTTTTCTTGCTGGATTTGTTCCCGATCCGTGATTCGCTCCCGAGCATGCCGGTAGAGTTGTTGAAATTACATTGTACTAGTATTTATTATTTTCGTAGCTGGGTACAATGTGTACTCGCGTACCGGCGTATCGCTTTGACGCCCAAGACGCAATTTGCGGATGAACAGTCCACCGCTCGGGCAAGGACATCCGGGGTGATACTTGAGTGTAATTATCTCAGTTGATTACGGTGAACTCGAGCACGAACATGACGCGGGCGGGAGCCATAGAATACAGTTGCAATACTATACACCTAGAGGCCTGCTGTCTACGACTTGAGGAAGTAGGCACGCTAATTTGCTGGACAGAAGCCACAACATTCCTGAGTAGCCATGCAATGCCAATATCATTATCAGACAGAGGATAGCCATCGAGCTTACATATTCATGCAACGCGGTATCACCACAAACTTTCGACAGGTCAAGACGCGACAGGAGGGGCAACGTGAGATCTAGGTCTGCCCCTGTCGCAATACACGTATAATGGGGCTACGATTAGTGTGTCGGACTAGTGCTTCGACAGAGAATCTCGGACGGTCTGACGGCTTGGAAGCTTCTAAACTTCTTAGCTCCACAGGATGACGATAAGAATGGCCACCCAAGTGCCGATCAACTGAGTCGATCCAAATTCCAGCCGGGTGGTGCAGCACACCCCCAAAGTCTTGGAAGTCAACGAAAAGGTGGCCAGGCAGATTAATCAGCGCCCAGATGTCAACACCCACACCGCGCAAATTGTTCAGCCATGCGATCTAATCTTATGTCCACCCTACCTCCGATACGACCGGAAGAGCGGCCCAAGCTGCAGTGGTACGTGAGGCTCATGAATCAAATCGTCGAGGCGGTGACCCTTGCCTAGATGAGCTAGGTTGGGTTGGTCCGCACCGACTCAACGCATTTGTAATGTCAAATAGCAAAATGAGGCTCGCCGATGACGTGTGATTCGTCCGTCTCACCCGCCCGGGCACCCAAATCGTGTATTGTCCTCCTATTTGCTGCAGTCATGGGTAACTGATCGTCCTCAATTCTTTTTTCTCTATTTCTTTCCTCCCCGTTCGCTTTTAGAGTCCTGCCTGAGCAAGGAGTGTAAAGACGAGCAACCTACGAGGTGAATCGACCTTGGAGCTGTTGAGGTACACTTCGAGGACCTTTGTATCTGCAAGCCAGTGTCGTGATCGACTGTGCCAGTTCTCGCATCCGACAACATTCACTATGTGGGGCACGACTGTAGACGAGGCGAAGCTGTCAAACGCGGAGAATCGCCAGCTCAACCAGTGGCATAACGAGGTCCAACCCAGCACGACTGGCACACGTACACTTCACGATGCACCCGGTGAATCTGGGTCAAGTTCCGATGAGGTCCGCGAAGGGACATGGGGAGAGCACGATGTGACTGTGCCCGATGAGGGTCGGGCCATGCATGACTTTGAGGTCCTCAGGAGGGAGCTCACCGGCATTTCCAGGTCACGGTCCAGAGCGAGCCAAGCAACACGAGGGACGAAAAGGCCAGCATCTCAACCACGGCAACCTTCAGCTGGAAAAGACGACATAGAATCACAGGCTGGAGACCTCGACGAGAAAGAAGATGACGACTTCGAGCTGGAGGAATTCATGCGGGAAGGCCATTTCGAGAAGCGTAAGGATGGAAAGTCGGCTAAGAAGGTTGGAGTCGTATTCAAGAACCTCACTGTCAAAGGTGTGGGAGCCTCGGCCACTTTTGTCAGGACCTTACCACAAGCTGTTCTCGGCACCTTCGGCCCTGACCTCTATCGACTCATCTCTCGATTCATCCCTGCCCTGCGACTCAAGTCTGGCGAGACTCGCACCCTCATCAATGACTTCACTGGTGTGGTACGGGACGGCGAGATGATGCTAGTACTTGGAAGGCCTGGATCTGGATGCTCAACATTCTTGAAGGCTATCGCCAACAACAGAGAGTCCTATGCGTCTGTCACAGGAGAGGTGTCATACGGTGGCATCCCTGCTTCCAAACAGAAGAAAAACTTCCGCGGAGAGGTTAATTACAACATGGAAGATGATGTCCATTTTGCGAACCTGAATGTATGGCAAACATTCGTATTCGCTTTGTACACAAAAACAAAAAAGAAGGCCAGAGACGAGATACCCATCATTGCAGAGGCACTGATGAAGGTCTTTGGGATAAGTCACACGAAGTATACTCTCGTTGGAGACGAGTACGTGAGAGGCGTATCTGGGGGTGAAAGAAAGCGTGTCTCGATCGCAGAGACATTGGCCTCCAAATCCACAGTGGTATGCTGGGACAACTCCACCCGTGGACTGGATGCATCCACTGCATTGGATTACGCCAAGTCGTTGAGGATTATGACCGATATAAGCGACCGCACGACACTGGTCACCCTATACCAAGCCGGAGAGGGAATTTTTGAATTGATGGACAAGGTGTTGGTCATTGATGCAGGTCGCTGTATTTATCAAGGACCAGCAAACGAGGCCCGGCAATATTTCACCGATCTTGGCTTCAAAGCTCCAGAGCGTCAAACGACCGCCGATTTCTTGACAGCTGTCTCCGACCCGAACGAGCGTCAGTTCCGTGAGGGTTGCGAGGCAAGCACGCCCAAGACGCCAGAAGAGCTCGAGAGGGCCTTTCGGGAGTCACGATTCCAGAAGTTGGTAGAGGAAGACATCCAGTCTTACGAGGCTTACCTTCATGAGACCAATCACGAGGATGCGAGAGAGTTTGAACAGGCCGTTCGCGAGGACAAGTCCAAGACTGTCGCTAGCAAATCCAGCTACACCGTCAGCTTCGTCCAGCAAGTGCTAGCTTGCACGAAGCGAGAATTTTGGCTCCTACTCGGAGACACGACCACGCTCTACACGAAGCTCTTCATCATTATCAGCAACGGTCTCATCGTCGGTTCTCTCTTCTACGGACAGCCACTCACAACGGAAGGGGCATTCTCTCGGGGTGGCTCCTTGTTCTTCTCCATATTGTTCTTGGGCTGGCTGCAACTCAGTGAGCTGATGAAGGCCGTCAGTGGCCGAGCAGTTGTCGCACGCCACAAGGACTACGCTTTCTACCGACCCTCAGCTGTAAGCGTGGCCAGGATTGTTGCAGACTTCCCCGTCGTTTTTGTTCAAGTCTGCATATTCACTATCATTATGTACTTCATGACTGGTTTGGATGTCGTGGCTTCGAAGTACTGGATATATCTTCTCTTCGTATACACGACGACTCTCTGCATTACTTCGCTGTATCGGATGTTCGCCAGTCTGTCTCCGACCATCGACGATGCCGTGCGCTTCTCTGGTATCGCACTCAACCTGCTCATCATCTATACCGGCTACGTTATCCCTCGCACGCAGCTTTTGTCGGACTACATCTGGTTCGGATGGCTATACTGGGTCAACCCAATCGCTTACAGCTTCGAGGCAGTCATGGCGAACGAGTTCTCCGATCGCAATATGGAATGTGCTCCCAACCAGTTGGTACCACAAGGTCCGGGGATCGATCCCGCCTTCCAGGGTTGCAGTCTCAGTGGCGCTGAGGTAAATGCCAACTCGGTCAGCGGCGCATCGTATCTGCAGACGACGTACAACTACACTCGAGCAGATCTCTGGCGCAACTTTGGGGTAGTCATCGCTTTCGCCGTCGCGTACATCATTGTTACCATTTTAGCTACCGAGCTCTTCTCGTTCGCTACTAGTGGTGGTGGTGCCATAGTGTTCAAGAAGACAAAGAAGGCGAAACGTGTCTTGCAGAAGCAGCAATTGGCAACAGCAACAATCGACGCTGAGAAGAATTCCGGTGGAGGAACGACACAGCGTCCGAATGGGAATGGCACCATCACTGCCACCGAGGAGAATGAAGCGCTCGAGTCGATCTCCAAAAGCGAGAGCATCTTCACCTGGCAGGATGTCGAATACACGGTGCCTTATCAAGGCGGCGAGCGCAAGCTGCTGAACAAAGTCAGTGGTTACGCCAAGCCAGGTGTTCTAGTAGCCCTCGTGGGCGCCTCGGGCGCCGGAAAGACTACGTTGTTAAATACCCTTGCCCAGCGTCAGCGCATGGGTGTCGTCTCTGGAGATATGCTTGTCGATGGCAGTGCTCTGGGCCTTGAGTTCCAACGTGGCACAGGCTTCTGCGAGCAGATGGATCTCCACGACGGGACAGCCACGATCCGAGAAGCGCTCGAGTTCTCCGCCATTCTCCGCCAAGACCGAAGCATCTCGCGCCAGGAAAAGCTTGCCTACGTGGATAAGATCATTGACTTGCTGGAGCTCACAGAGATGCAAGATGCTATTGTCAGTAGCCTTGGTGTCGAGCAAAGGAAGCGACTCGCCATCGGTGTTGAGCTGGCCGCCAAGCCACAGCTCTTGCTGTTCCTAGACGAGCCCACCTCTGGCCTTGACAGCCAGAGCGCTTGGAGTATCGTGCGCTTCCTCAAGAAACTGTCGCAGGCTGGTCAAGCTATCTTGTGCACGATTCATCAGCCGTCCTCGCAGCTCATACAGCAATTTGACATGATTCTGGCTCTGAACCCGGGTGGTAATACATTCTACTTCGGCCCGGTTGGAGAGAACGGCAGCGCCGTGACCAGATATTTTGCGGACCGGGGCGTGATTTGCCCGCCGAATAAGAACGTCGCCGAATTCATCCTCGAGACGGCAGCCAAGAAGCCGAAGAGGGAAGATGGCACACGCATTGACTGGAACGAGGAATGGCGCAAGAGCCAAGAAGCGCAGGACGTGCTCTCTGAGATCAACAGCCTCAAACTCACCAGGAGCAAGTCGGCCGGTGCGCACAAGAAGAAAGACGACGAGACGGAGTTCGCCGCACCGGTGTGGGAGCAGACGATAATGCTGACGAGGCGACTGTTCACGCAATACTGGCGCGACCCATCTTACCTGTACGGAAAGCTGTTCGTGGCCGTCATTGTAGGCATCTTCAACGGCTTCACATTCTACCAGCTCGGAAACACGGTGCAGGATATGCAGAATCGAATGTTCTCTGTCTTCCTGATCATCACAATCCCGCCGACTGTTGTCAACACCGTTGTGCCCAAGTTCTTCCAGAACATGGCCCTCTGGCAGGCGCGCGAGCATCCCTCCCGAATCTATGGCTGGTTCGCTTTTACAACCGCCCAGGTTGTAGCCGAGATCCCCATCGCGGTGGTCTGCTCCGTGCTCTACTTCCTACTCTGGTACTTTCCTGCAGGCCTACCGACCGATTCGTCGACTGCGGGGTATGTCTTCCTCATGACGATGCTGTTCTGGCTCTTCATGAGCAGCTGGGGCCAGTGGATCTGCGCCTTCGCGCCCAGCTTCACCGTTATCTCCAACGTGCTGCCCTTCTTCTTCGTTATGGTCTCGCTGTTCAATGGTGTCGTGCGGCCGTACTCTATGCTCCCTGTCTTCTGGCGCTACTGGATGTACTACATCAACCCTTCGACTTGGTGGATTGGCGGCGTGCTGGCTGCGACGCTGCACAACACCCCCGTGCAATGCGCGCCGTCCGAAACGGCCCGTTTCGACGTCCCCTCAGGCCAGACATGTCAGTCTTATGCGGGCTCTTTCGAAGGAGCAACACATGGCCGTCTGCTGAATCCGGACGCCACTGCGGACTGCCAGTATTGTGCGCTGACCAGCGGGGATCAGTACTTGGCCCAACTGAACGTGGCGGCAGGGGACAAATGGAGAGACTTTGGAATCTTTTTGGCCTTTGTGATTAGTAATTGGGCGCTGGTTTACTTCTTCATCTACACCGTGAGGATCCGCGGCTGGAGCTTTGGATTCGGAAGATTGTTTGGCGTGCTTGGAAAAGGTGTCGACGGTTTCAAAGGTTTGTTCCGGCGCAAATCCGTGGATGAGCGGGCATAGACTGACAAAAGACGGGATTCGGTATTTTCAAACCCCACGAGATGCTTTGGTAGAGTTTTGCTTCAAAAGCGTAGGGTCAATTATTGGCCTTGTTCCCTGGTCACAGTACTATTGTTTGCCAAGATCAGCGTTGGATGGTACTGCTATGGTAGAATGTCACTTTGATTATATCACATCAATAGAAAAGCTCAGTGCTTATGAAAAGCATGACTCGTCCTGTCCACATATCGTGATAGCCGTGTAACCATTTCATTTGGTCTGGCCATCCTTTGGCCTCTTGCTCCCCCGATTAACACAGCCCAAGCCCATTCGGGCTTGGAGTACCTTGCACCAACACCTGCAGTAGCGTGATCCTTCTATGGGTCCCATAATGGTATTAGAGTGCAATAGTAACATTCCCTCGAAAGGTCACAAACCAAAAGATGCAAAGGCACTTCAAATTTATCCCCATGCGCTCTTTTATCGATCGACCGGAAGCGATTCCAGTAGACCTATTTAAGGTTCAAGTGCTTGCCATGTCAAACAAGAAATGCACATATATATATACAAAAAGAGGGATCGAAGAAGCCTCTACTGTACTAGAGAAAAGTGGATACTGTTCTGAGCTTGTCGATTGTGGGGCCAAAAGAGACCTCTGACTGCGGCGCAGTTCTAAGTTGGGACGTAGGAGCACTTACAGGATCTTGGGCTAGTGGACCTATGCACCCTGCATTTCGTTGGTAATAACATCCGATAACTGCTGGAGCCCCAGCACCATCACGGTCGGTTGCGTTTTGGTATTTTGCCCTCTTATTTTGTGCTTTCCGGGTCGTCTTGCAGCTGCTACCAGAACCTGCATTCTTCCCACGCCACTGGATGTACCCCCGGATTTGATAGAGCTACAGTCCTTTGCGGTAATGAGCGTCTTTGGTGGCCTTGATCTTTGCCTCTTCCCGGCTGGCACCCCACCAGATGGTGTGAAGTCAAACTTCACGAATCCGCCAACCTACGCGCCGGTCGTGATCGCAGTCACTGTAGTGGTGCTATTCTTTGCATCTTTATTCACGGGATGTCGATTGCTTGCAAACTGGAAAAAGCTCACATGGACGGATCGTACGCCTTATACTCTGCCGTGTCCCCAAGCTGATTCACGCACGTGGCTAACATGCTACAGACTGCAACACGTTGGCCCTTATATTTTCCCTCGCACAAAGCGGTTTGATGCTTGCTCGTATGTTTAAGCCACTCTTTTCGTCATTGGTATTCTTGACCACATTCATACTTCACTCAGGTCTAATGTAGCTTAGAACTCAGATATGTTCGGCACCAGTGGGACATACCAGCGTGTTGGTTTTTCGGAGATTATGCCAAAGTAAGTCGCCCAACTGTCTTGCCCAGGTCCAAGTGTCGACAATAATAGTCGCTAATGGCTCCCCGAATACGGGAGAGCCAGTAGAAATTGGCGACTTTGAAGATCATTGCATACTGACATTAGCTACTAGTTGATTTTCAGTCAGCAGATGATGCTCGTGCCGGGTCTCATATTCTCCAAGGTGTCCCTCTTCCTGCTATTCCTTCAAATATTTGATATTCGGGATGGTATGAGGCTTGCTATCCGCATTGGTATTGCAGCTACCCTTATTATTTACTTTCCAAGTTTCCCCATGGCAGGATACTACCAAGCCCCAAGCCCAGGACAAAGCTGGGAAAATGTAATGATCACTGGCCGGCCACAGAATGGCATTTACTGGGGAATCGTGCAGTCTGCATTAGGGATCCTTCTGGACCTATATATGTTCGTACTGCCGCTGCCGATTATAACACAGCTTCATATTTCAAAAACCAAACGCAACCAGTTGGTGCTAGTGTTCTCCACAGCTTTCATGTAAGTTATCAATGTTTCTAATGCCACCAGAACTACATAACTGAGCTCAGAATTCAGGGGCGTTGTCGCCAATATCCTCTCTCTCGTTTATCGAGTGATCGAGTACAAGAATATGAAAGATGCCACTTGGTTTCTTTACGTTCTTTTGCTCTGCACGTAAGTTACTCAACCCCAGAATCCGCCCAGCTCATCCTCGATGCTTACATTGAGGCCATCAGCGTCGTGGAACTCAACATCGCTATCATTGTTTGCTCAGTCCCCGGTTTAGCAAAGTTCTTTAGAACTTACGCTGCTGACTGGACCCCGATCGAATCACTCCGGTCCAAGTTCTTCAGCCCTGGTAACTCCTCAAATTCTTCTGGCTCAAATTTATACAACAAACACGGTTGGCCAGCCGCGCGCCAAGCTGAACAGAAGCCTGACCCGCACGTGGAAAGTGCTACTAGCCAGTCGACTTCAGCATCGTTGCATCGGGGTGGCATAGACGAGTCTCATGAATATGTTGACTTGCAGGAACGCTGGCAAATCGACCCTTACTTGGACACGCGGGGCCCGGAATACTCGTGGATGTATATGAAGAACGAAATGAATGGTGTCTCCATTGGAAGAAGTTCTCAAGAGAAAGCCCATGCATTCCATTCTGGACAGGGAGCTTGAGGTACCGCTCGCAGGTCGTCAATGGCTCTTTATATGTATCAGGGCAGCGTTTGGTATTTTAATAGATGATTCTGAAACATGTATCTCAGACTTCTTTATAGTATGGTAAATAGAACAAACACATTTGTATAGGCTGGCATAGGAAATGACTGACCCGGTATAGCGATACCAAGCTAATACTGTATACCCAGGTATTATGCGGCTATGTAACAATCCAGTATCAATTGTTTTTGGTACCTTATGATACACGTGACCAGAGCAACCCATTCAATTGACTTTCACCGATCCTTCAGTCTTCTGTAACTCACCCCAGCACATTGGTGCCGTCTTGAATAGTCAACCTGCCCGGCCCCTTGGGTCACCATAGCCACCTAAATTGAATCGCTAAAGGTGCCGAGGGCATGTTGACGAATCGACTGACAATGCCATGTGACGAATCTTTAAGATGTCGACGCGCACCGTGCGGGACATGCAATGACCTCGATTTCAGAGGACACCAACGGACAGATCTTGATGAGAAAGAGCTCGTCCTAGATTTTGCATTTCAAAATCTTGACACAGGCTGTCCGTTCTGCCGTTTTTTGACAGCGTCAATAGAGTCACTTGTGAATGAAGACCATTGGAAGGCTAGAGTTGTTCTGCAACATGATGAAGTTGCGCCAGGGCAACTTACCTTGAAGAAGGGCGAGCCAATTGTTTGCAACTTCTGGTTCAGATATTATTCAAAATCTAGTGGGCGAGATGATGCCTCACACCGCCGCATCGAAGATGTTACACTAATCAGTGGAGTCCGCTTTGTTGTTTATTCAGAGGAAGATGTGAGCATAAAACCTTGAGACGGATGCTATCAATAGATCTTGCGACTGACTATAGTACAGGAGTGCTCCATACTCCCTTCACTGGCCACGCTTCCGCCCTTTCAAAAAAACGTCGAGATGGCAGATGCAGTGTCATTTGTGCGACAAAGCATGCTCCACTGCTCTACCTACCATGAAGCGCTCCAATGTACAAGAGAGGGTGGTAGCTTCATGCCAACGAGAGTCATCAGTATCGACCCAAACGATCCTCCCCTTCGACTGGTTGAATCGGCCACGAAGGCTACATCGTATGCTACGCTGAGCTATTGCTGGGGAGGTACTGTGCCGCCAAGCACGACCCGGGCAAACATATCCGACATGTTTCAACAGATCACAGAGGACGGCCTTCCAGTCATGTTCCGCCAGGCAATTCAGCTTGCCCAAAGCCTCAAAATACCTTACATATGGATCGATTCCCTGTGTATTGCTCAGGACTGGCCAGAAGATTGGGAGGCTGAGTCAGAAAGAATGTGTCTGTACTATGAGAACGCATCCTTGAATATCGCCCCAGCATCCTCCGACAATCCTTATGTGCCATTTATAAAAGAAATCGATAAGATTTGGTGGCCTATCAGCCTTGAAATCCGCGACTTGCAGGATAAAGTGTCTCACATCACTGTGAGACGGGTTCCCCGCCTCGACACTCAGAACAATGACTTGGGGACATTATTTGGTCGAGCTTGGACCTTCCAGGAGTCAGTCTTCGCCAGACGTACGATTTACTTTGCTCGTCAGGGAATGATCTGGACGTGCTCCGACAGCATCACTTATAATTATTTAGACACGCATAGCTGCTTGGGACTGACCGAGATTGCGGTATCCCAAATCCTTCCAGAGACTGATACCGCTTTCGAGAGTCCAAGTACAATTGGGGAATTTTCAAGCTGGCAATTTCTGGTCCACGAGTACTCGTCACGCCGGCTCACCTTCGCCACGGATAAATTACCAGCTATTAGTGGCGCTGCAGCGAAGTTCTATGACAGAGTCAAGTGCCGTTATCTGGCCGGGCTTTGGGCAGACAATCTTCCCCAGGCCTTGATCTGGAGATGCTTCGGGGCTCTTTCAGAATTGCGACCTTCACCCAGAGAGTACGTCGCACCATCTTGGTCTTGGGCCTCTGTCACCCGAACTGTTTCATACCCTTTGTGGGGTGGATATACACGTCCAATGTTGTTCTATTCAGGAGTCAAAGTCCTGGATTTTGATTGCGATGTTCCTGGGCGAAATCCCTACGGCAAAGTGTGTGGAGGGTTTATGCTTTTGAGTGGAAAGACCGTTCTGGTGAAAATCAAGGTAGATGGCCACCATCACAGCATGGTTTCACGTAAAGACTGGGACTTCTACCCTGATTTTGCTCTTCAGCAATCTGGAGAAAGCATATTCCGCTCCATGCTTGAAAAGAGTCCATCGCCATTCGAAGCCAACGTTCATTGTCTCTACCTGGCTACCGCAAAGGAGTCCGGACACGTGGGCATACCATCTTCACGCACGCTTTTCACTCATTACGCGTTGGTCTTGGGTCGCTCTGGACCCGAAGAGGAAGCCTCATTCTGTCGCCTGGGCCTCATGCAGTCAACTTCAGACAACGCAATGAGACTTTTTGACGCCGCTACTGAAAAGACTGTTCGCATCATTTAAAATGTATCTGGGCTCGCAAGCATATTATCAAAAATATGATGAATAAAAGCGGCTTCTTCATAGACTATACTCTTAATAGGCACAGCATTCACTAGCGTTGATTTGTACGGTGACGGGGCAGTGTGTCCTTCGCTATCGAAAATGCTTTTTGCGAGTGTTCATGATCAGCAAGGGGGTTCAGATCTCAGCTGTTGCTCTCACAATTCAACTAAATCAAGTCTTGGGCCACCGAGAAAGGCGGAAGCCCACACTAATGCCCGTTCCTACCAACAACAGCGTCAGACTTGAAGGTATTCAATTCAGGCGTGCATCACGAAATACCGTTTTTGTTAGCTTGATACCACAATTAGACATTCTAGAGATTTCTTTTCACTAGTTCAGCGCTTGCAACGTCATGTAACAGATTGTCGATCACCTGCACCATGCAAAGTGACAGGCCGGTCGCATCCACAATAGCAGGAAGTGTTCGTCAGCATGATAGTGTGTCTCATTGCCATTGGGGCATGGCACATAAAACGGCACCACTATGAAAGCAACGCAAATTGAACCCCTCCTTTTCGCGTAAGCATTTAGTCTCCTTACGAAGGGAATCGTGCAGACCTCTTCTTCCTTCGTCTGTCCAAAAGTAAATGTCTAGAATCTACAACTGCTTAACTCTCCAACCCGTGCAAGAAACGATATCCCATAGAAGAAATTGAGACTTGGACTAGCCATGGCGACTGCAGCATCACGAGCCGGGTATAGCAAAGAACAGCATGCCCATCAAACAGATGGATACGGGCAATATGTGGACATCCCATTCAGTACTCTCGAGCATCAGCTTCATGCCTCTGCACTGGGCGACTGCTCAGGCATCACTGTGCTTGACCTCGGTGGCGGCCAAGGCCTTCGGGCCCGCCAGGTCATCGACCACGGTGCTGCCGCCGTCGATGTTGTCGACTGTAAGTCTTTCCACGTTTCTTTGGTAAATTCCTGGCTCGGCTTCCGAGTTACAATTCTAATCCTTATCAATATAGTATCTCCGGAAATGATGCAAGCCGGCCAGAAGATCGAAGCGTCGCTGGGCAGGGGCGACAAAGTCATACACTGGTTCGAGGGTGACGTATCCAAGCCCGAAAGTCTGGCGAGTGTTCCTCTGAGATTCAAGGAGGAGGGTTACGACATGGTCATGGCGAATTGGCTATTCGACCATGCTGGGAGTATGGACATACTGGACGGTATGTTCCGATCCGTCGTCGCATACTTGAAGCCCGGAGGACGTTTCGTTGGCACTCGGGTCATTCACGGCCACACTTCCCCGGCTGCGACCACTGGCAAGTATGGATACATCTATGAGGATTTTGAAGAAATTCCTGGCGGGATGGCATACCGTTACACCTTGCACGTCAAACCTCCGGTTCAGTACGACGGCGCGAGCATGGAGGTGACCTACGACCCAGCTCTGATCAGCGAATTCCACGCTAAGTACGGATTGGTGGACACAGAGCTTGAGCCATCTGAGAGTGCAAGCTGCCTTCAAGAAGACCCGGAGTACTGGAGTCTGTTCATCGAACGCCCCAGCATGGCGGTGGTGAAATCCAAGAAGAAGCAGGACTAAGCCTCGGCAGATGAGTGCTTATTACAAGGGTATTTTCCAAAGCCGTGTGTACCTACCAGGGGGAAGGGGGGTTTCTGAATGTATTACAAAAGCATTGCAATAGCATGTCGCAATAGTATTGAAATCAAATCAATCAATTGATATGATTATAAAAAGATTTTCTGTCTTTATGATGTCGTGGTTGATAGCATGTCAACCACGACATCATGTCACACCATGTCAACCACAACATCAAAACCAAAAAAATGATATATCACTCGTCACCCACCCAACTACTTATCAGGTATCTTTAAGCTTGACTATATACTATGGGAGGGTCTACGGATCTACGGAAATATCTAAAAATAGGACCGGATTTAAATCTTATAACATTCAATTCAACGGACATGCGCTGACATGATATCGATCTTGACATGCGCTGACATGATATCAACCTTGACATTATATTGATATGACACAACCTTTTGATTCCATTTTCATTTAACAAGTATTTCTTAGTCTTTTGTAAGCATTTCGTTATCATTTTTAAATTTTTGATTTAATGTTAATATCGTTGCGAGAACGTGTGCATTGCGTGACCCAATCAAAAACCCCCCCTCCCCCTGGTAGGTAGTTGATGTCAACAAAGACTGGGATTGCAAACGTAGTAATCTTGTGCCTCCTTCAAACCAAATCAGAATTGAGCTCTCCTGTGCCCGCGGATCATAAACCGGTTGTGTACTGGCAGTATGCGTGCCGCAGCTTGAAGTACGTTCGTGTCCGAGAGACTGACTACGTGGTGGTTCATGTAATCAAAGACTTCATTGGATGGCTCGAGCGGGTGACCGTTAAACATCTTCGAGTCGCACATACCTAGGTTCTGCTCTTACAAGCTAGTGTTTGTTACGCCGCCGGACCTGTGTTACTGTTCGATGTCCCGATCCGCTACCCTAACCCAAATGTACCGGGATTTCCGAAGATCTGGCAACGGTCTTGGCGTTTGCGGGGTATGATGTGATTATCCGATTCTGAAGACTCCGTTATGCCGGGAATTCTTGCCATGATAACACGTGGAGAAGCTGTGCCAGCTCACGCCATTTGATCATGCTCCGATACACTTTGAAGATCATCAACATCTTTTAGGAGGGAGCATTACTTAGACACACGTTCGATAATCGAGGAGTCGCGTCTATAAGTGCCAAGCGGTGTCAGAAGTAGGCTCCGAAGCTCGGCTCAGTTCGGATTTACGTTTCACGGGCCTATTCGGAACTTCCGCGGTTACGTTGTCTCAGCCATTGACAGGACCGTCAAGGTTATAACAGGCTGGCAGACACCAAGGAAGGAGAACATAGAATTGGTGATCTACTTGATATCTGGACCACTTCCTCGCGGAAATACGCCATATAGCCTGGAAGAAAGACCCGCAAGAGACCGGTGACCATGAGCTCCGAGGCAGCACAGGCTCAGCATGGCGGCGAGTACCGCCAGTTCCTGCCCGACTTGAGCATTCCCAGGTTCACTACCATGCAGAAACAGGATGCTCATGTATACGCAAAAGAGTTTAAGGAGGGGGGCAATCCTCCATGGCTTCACGCTCTGTATTTGCACTGGCTCAAGCTGCTCAAAGACCCATTCAAGGGTATCACAACAGACGGTAGGTGTATCTTATCCTCTGCTACCAAAGTCTGCAAATCGGATGACAGCTGACATTGCATAGGCAATGTGAGACCAGACTTGTTTAAATTGCAAGACGAGGAAATCCCGATTGACGACATCGTGACTGCTACGAACGCTGTCGTTGCTTTGCTTGACCCAGCTCAGGCCAAGCGGGTGAAGTATCATGTTGATGCCCCTGAGTGGCGCACATGGAGCAACCCTGAGTTCCTGCTCAGCGACAAAGGGATTCGGCTTGACGAGATTAGCTCCGAGTTGCGAGAGAAGATCTTGCTCGTGCTGAAGACAACACTATCTCCCGAGGGATATCAGAAGGCATTGGGCGCGACGCGTGTGAATGGGTTTCTCGGTGATCTCGTCAAGTCACCAGCCATAATGAATGAGTTCAGCTACAACTTCGTCCTTTTCGGCGAACCATCGGTAACGCGGCCTTGGGGGTACGCCTTCTATGGCCACCACCTCTGCCTCAATATTTTCTTTCACAAGTCTCAGATTGTCATATCACCATGGTTCACAGGCGCCGAACCTAACCTTATTGACGAAGGGAAATACAAGGGAACACGGATACTTGAAGAGGAAGAAAAGTTGGGATTGCAACTCATGCAAAGCCTTCCTGCCGATAAACAGTCGAAGGCACAGATATACAAGCAACTGAGGGACCCTGCCATGCCTCACGGCCGATGGAACCATGACGATCAGCGCCATCTCTGCGGGGCGTACCGGGACAATCGTATAGTGCCTTACGAAGGCATTCTTGTCTCAGAAATGACACCTGACCAGCAAGAGCTGGTATTGGGGATCCTCAATCAGTATCTTCTCTATCTACCCGCCTCAGCCAGGAAGCTCCGCTTGGACAACATCAAATCATGGTTCCATGAGACATACTTCAGCTGGATTGGGGACTATGGCGATGCGGATCCCTTCTACTACAGGATTCAAAGTCCCGTTATCATTGTAGAGTTTGACCACCACTCAGGTGTCTTCCTCACAAACAAGGAGCCAGCGAAGTTCCACATTCACACGTTGTTGAGGACACCAAATGCTGGTGACTATGGTATGGCTTTGAGGCCGTTGATTCCTAGCAGCGAACAAGCTTTTACTTGGGACGGTGAGAGAGATTAGGACAATACGGTTAAGCCCTTCGGATGAGGCCAGAAGCGCTGAGTGTTGACACATTGGATGTCATCAACAATTATTTGTCCCAAACCATTTGAAATTCCATCAAAATTACACGGGCGAAGTGATAGCCCCTACGAGACGCTGTTCAAAACCGACGATCTACGTGGGGCACCAAGCTCGCTTGTCGATCCGACGCGTGAGGCCTGGGTTTGGCTGTGATATTGAGATATATCAAACCATTTGGTGGTCCAATGCACGAGCTTATGCTCCATTTTACCCTTCAGGAGATATGACATATTTCAGGAACCCGCTAGGACGTTTCGGGGAGCAACAATCACGTGTTGAGGATTCCGCGCAAAGAATCTTGTTGTCTTAACAATATACTTTGTTCTGCTGTATTATGGAAGTTCCCGACACTTTGAACGACTACTAAGCCTCGATTGAAAGGTATTTTGATTGACCAAATGCGGAGATGCCGCAGATGATTGCTCGCTTTAGGGCCACGGCAACGCTCCCCCCTGGCCGTTTCCTTTTTTTTTTTTTTTTTTTTTTCGACACTGAGTCCAGACATTGTTCACCTAAACTTTGCAAAGCCCGATTGTATTAATTAGCCGATTGGGATCAATGTCATTGTCTGTCGCATAGCTCTAAGGTGGGCGTTGAGCATGGTTTGAAGCTAGGTCCTTTGCCATCTAATCATACGCTGTGTGTGATACGTCGCAGTGAATTCTCCGCCGTTCTTATTTAATCAGCCTTATTACCATGCTTTTGAACGACCCATAGATGACTCAGTCCAATTACCAGAGACTCCGTTCTCTTCATTCATAAAGCCACATCACTTTGTAGCAAAAGTCAACCATTCGACATATGGAGAACACACGGCCGAAGGGCCGTATCCCTCTGCCTAGGGTTCCTGGTCTCAGGAACACAACAAGAAGAGTGGCAGCAACGTTCAACCCCAAGGCCATTCTTGAAAGGGTTGCAAGTAGAGGTAGTCTGCGGGATTCTGTTTCCTCTGTGCCAGTCGAAGGACCAGAAGACCCCGACGAGCCGGCAACTATTCTCACAAGCTTAGCATCCCAGCCCCCAAGCCCGCTTGCAGACCTCTCATCTCTGTTGCCAGTCGAACATACATTTGAGGACAATGACGGTTTCACAGCACTATGCAATGATCTTCTAATCCTCAATGCGCAGCAGCACAATGACCCCAACGTCCGCAGTATCAATATTCCCGGCAGTAGAATCTTCGTCAGCCCTTATCAGCTCTATCATGGTTACCATCTCTTAACTCAGCGTGGGAGGGACCTCAATGGCGGTATTTTAGCTGACAATGCGGGAACTGGTAAGACTTTTATTTGCCTTACCGCCTGCCTCCTACGAGCACTTGCGTTTGAATCTCAAAGAATGGTGAAACTATATTGGAACGATCAAACAACGGGAAGAAGAAGACGAATTGGTCGATCAAATGAGCTTCATCTTCCAGAAGGGGCTAATGGACGAAGTTGTCCTAGTCAGAAGGCTGGAGCCATTGTGTGTTATTGCGTCCCAGGCTCGCTCACCAGAGTCCTGTGCGATTCCACGCCTAGCGGTGTGAGCACTCTCTATTGCGCTATCGAGACATGGCCAGATATTTTAAACATAGTTCAGACAGCTGCAGTGAGCACCTCAATGTATCAGGTCTGCCTAGTACACAACGATGCACCGGTGCGTTTCATACGCCCGCTGCAACCTTTGGTCAAAACGCTATCCCGCGGGGTTGAGTCTGATCTCAAGAACCCTTCACCGGCATCGTTCATCTTCATCACGACTCTAAACTCTCCAAGGCTTTGGAATGTTTTCTCACAATATTCACTGCACATTGGACTATCAGTCTTCGATGAAAGCCATCAATTCATTAGGACTAAAGACTCGCTGACGATGAAAATTGCCTCTGCGTACTCTGGCAGTGGTGCGGATGTGTGGTTTGTCACCGCGACGCCCTTTTCCGGGTGCACTCTTGAGCACTGGGCTCCTGCGATAAGCCTCATAGCTCCGAATCGAACAGAGGCCATGCGGGACTTGGTGATTGCATTGAAGACTGCTAAATCGTCCGCAGAGGCTGATGACGCTCAACGCTTCGGTAATCTTTGGGACGCTGTCTTCGACAAAAAGCTCGTCGTTCGGCATTTTGCAACATCGACTTTCTTTGGAAAGTCTATTTCAGATGTTCAAGACATCGAGCCGAGGATCATTTCTAGACAAACACCAGCCCAGTACAAGGGGGCTATTCAACAACTCGCGAACCAGATTGCTCCAAAGGATCCGAAACTACGAGACCCAGGGCAACGTGGTCTGCTTTACTTTGTTTCCCTCTTCCCAGCAGCGGCACAGATGATGATCGACAACCCTATCGCATTTGACAATCTTGCTATTCGCGATCTCGTCCGGGAATCGAAGAACAGATTGCGTATCGAGCAGTCCGAACCCCTTCAGAGACTTGCTGATCAAATTATCAAAGAAAGCCCAAAGTTAGACTATATCCTCGAGGAGCTCAACCGCATGGGTCTGGACAAACGTGAGCGCGAGCCGACTGGCAATTCCAGCACCTCCAAATTTGGTGCCGGCGAGGACCTGCAGCTCAAGAAGATGGTTATCATCACCCCCACAGCGGTTTCTGCGATATTCCTTTATTTGGCTTTGGTCAGAAAGCGTAAAGACGTAGTCATCGTGCACAACTGGATTTCGAGCGCCGATAAACAGCAAATACTTACATCGTTCCAGAGCCTGAGCGCAGCCAAGCTCGTAAAGCACAACCGCATTCTGATTGCGCCCTACGCCGCTGCTGGCACTGGAGTGAATCTCCAAGTTGCCTCGTACCAGATTCTGACCTCACCGCTTCCGGAAAAGTCAAGCCAAGTGCAGGCGTTCGCGAGGACGAACCGCGCTGGCCAGCGTCTCCGTCCCCTGTCTCACAAAATCCTGGTTCTTGAGGATAGCCCCGTAGATCGAATTATGCTGGCGCGTCATGCTACACGGGAAATCGAGAGCAACCCTTTCCAAATCAGCGAGCCTCTGCGTCTCGCTGGAGATATTACGATGGGCAATTTAGTGGAACCCGTGGGTGTGGTTGATGAATATTTGTGTTCCAACCATGATTCCAGCCTGGGCGTGGGAGATCTGTCATTATTGCCGGAATCAACCAAAGACGAGGAAGGTATCGATCAGACAAACTTGCAAAGTACCAAGAATGACACGCCCAGCCCCCCGTCATTGCACACTGTGAGGGAATCTAGCTCAGGCACGCCTGATTCTCAGGCTGAGCAGCTCACGACTCCTCAGCGCCCCAGAACCCCAAGTCAGGATGACAATTTGAACAGGTTGAGCTCCTCTAGCTCGAGTTGGCAGCTTACTTACACCCCTCTGCGACCCGGAGTCCACAACCTTGGCCCTAGGCCCTTGCCTCCTCTACCAGGTCCGGAGCCTTCGTCTGATGAAGACCCCTTCATGAACACAACCCCAATTCCTAGGCGTTACCGAATCAATGTCGACCAGGATGACTTTAAGATCTGGGTGAGCGATTCTTCATCCCCATTGTCAGAGAATGACTCCAGCAGGCGACCAACTGGGCCCCTGACCGTCAACCTGCCCGCGGACTTCTCCCCATCATTCGGGAACATCGCAGCAATTGTGGACGATATTCGCCGAGGTGGTGGGCCAACTCAGCGAGGCAAGGCCATCAATTTGAGGAACAACGATGACGCCCCGTCCTCAGATCTTGAAGAGAATGAAATGCCGCAAGATGTTCGTTTTCCTGGGCCAATTGAGCGGCCTCACCTTGTACGACAGTATGGGGATGACATGGATCCTATCCTGGAAGGAGGAAACAGACCAGTCTCGGTCGTGGACCTGCCACGACCCATTGGGACTTTCTCATACCACACGGAGGAAGCCAAAGACCAGCTTGAGGAAGACGCACACGACGCCGGGACGCTCGCCCATAGACGCCGGGCTACTATCTCCGACGGCGGATCCAGCCGCAAGCCTGGACAGGAGTTTCACCGGACTAATACATAGAATAAAATCAGTGGGTGGAAAGGGGATCGGCGTAGATACCGCATCGGTAAGTGTGCGCAAGCGCAGGAATGAGTCAGGAGTTAAGGGTAGGTAATTGAAATATTTACTACTTGGATTAAGAGAAGGTGATCGCTGTTATTCATTGCTCAGGACGTCTTGTTGACCAGCCCCCACTTGAAATTTGAAGATGCCAATGTGTTAATTGTATGAATTTGTTCAAATATGAATCCATTGAATTCTCAAAATATTAATTCCATTCTTTGTATCTCTGTGGCAAAGACAATTGGCGGTATCTTTAGATAGTGCTCTGTGTTTAAGGCCTTTGGTAGGCAGGTATGGACCCTTAGCAGTACCCGGATGAAGCCCTAAATGCGGGTGGTTTTGTAACTGACTCTTACAATTTGTTTATAGTGGACGTCGCCGGATACGTATTTCTGACCTCGCTTACCGTACGTTTGTCAAGACCCTCCTGGCACGTTGTGGGTCCATTCTCCCACCATGAGTCAAGAAACATGACCTGAAAGGGAGGATTCTCCGTCTCTCTCCTTTATCCTAACATTGTGGTCTACGAAGAAAACTGTGAGGTACGTTATAGCTCAACACTCTTTCCACTTCGTAACGATGAATTAAAAATAATACTCATCACTCGTATCCGTCTCGCTCAGTCCACTTCTACGGACCCTGTCTCGCCTTCCTGCAAACCTCGAGGGTAGCCATGGCTTCAAAGCCCAGGTCCCAATGCTTTCATCTCGTCATCTATCCTTTCTCCTGTAATCCATTCTGTTCAAAGGACTGAGAATGTCGCTAGTCAATAAGCTCTGTTATCAAGGATTGGGTGGTTTATCACTGGCTGGAGCGTTGGCCAAGTACGATTTGAGACGACTGATTGGCGTTTATTTCCTACCTAGTGCGGAAAAGATTAGTTCTTTCTACCAAAACATTGAACTCACCGGTTGAAATGGTAAGATTATCGACAGTCATGAGAATATTTTACAATCAAAGGGGAAACAATTCTGTAGTACTATGTTGCTTGAAAGCTATGTCGTTTATTCTGGCCCCAGGCCCATACATTAAGCTAATTAATACATTACGTCAATAGAAGAACGCTTTCCTTAATATCTACAAATGAAATGCCCATATCCATGTGTCGTGATGTTGATTACCGGTTGTCTATAAGCCGGAGTCGTCTTGGACTAGTTTCGCCGTGTTGGCATAGGCATTCCATGCGTCGCATGTCTCATTCAGCTCGTCGCTGTCGATGAGGCCTGCGATTTCGGACTGCCTTTCTAGCATCTGAACAGCCAAACCCTCGGATGTGTGCCAAGCAATGTGGCAGTGAGTGATCCACACCTGGAGACAGAGAATATTAGTATATGATTTGCAAGGAGTAGCATGAGATACCAGGATATGTGAACTTACTCCGGGGTTGTCTGTGACAAAGGCAAAGGCGACCCAGCCACTCGCCGGCAGAAGGACAACATCGCGGCGGGGCACATTGACGGTCTGGAGGTTGGCCGTGGAAGCGTCATACTTGCCCGACCCTGAGCCCAGGACCCAGAAGTCATGGCCGTGCAAGTGAAGAGGGTGTGCGGCGCCAAGGCTGGTCTGGACGATCCAGTAGACCCATTCGTTGGCATTGGGCAGCTCGTACATGTTCTGCTCGGTCGCCCATGTGTTGTTGTTCTCATTGACCTGCTGCAAGGAGGGGTAGTTCCACTGGTTGATGAAGGTGCTGTTGCCCATGGACCAGTAGAAGCGGCCGGCGGACGCGGCCACGGCGACGGAGAAATCGACGTTGACGTCGGCCAGATCCGAGGCGTCGACCTGGACGTAGGGCACCAAGCTTGTCTCGTCGACACACTCGTCAATGGCAGCGTTGTCGTTCGCCGAAGAAGTAGGGTCTGCTGTCGAAGTGCTATCGTAGCGCACAATGCCCTTGATGTCTCCTGGGTTGGCGTTGTTGGAGCAGGCCGTTTGAGCGATGGCGCGCAACCAGTAGTTGTCAGCTGTGGCGTTGGCAGTCACAATGATGTCGTACCGCTGGCCAATGGCGATATTCACGACATCAGTGGAGTAAGGGTTGACGGAAACAAAGTCGCTGGCAATAACCTCCATGGTGTGGTTATCAATGGTGAACTTGAAATGAGTGTCGGCAGCTGCGTTCACCAGCCTGATACGGTATCGAGTTCCGGCAGTGAAGACTGTCTCATGTCGTGATCCAACAACAGTTCCGTCGTCCTGAGTGAAGGTATTGGTGCCGTTGATGAGTCCGGTATCCATTGTTGGAGGACCACTGACCCGAGACACAAGAGCCAGGTTATCTGCGGTGTCGTGGGACCAGTCGGCCAAGATCATGGAGCCCAGGTCAACGTCATAGTTGGCAGTGGCAGGCCCGTTGATAATGATGCCACCAAAGACACCATCCCAAGCCTGGACGTAAAAGTGCGAGTGCCACCATGATGAGCCGTACTGGGTCGCTCTCCACTTGTAAGTAGTCGTCTGCCCAGGTGCTGTAGGGCACTGAGTGATGGCAGCAACGCCATCGTTCTGGTTGGTGTGGTTCTGGCGAATTCCATGGAAGTGAATAGATGTTCCATTGTCCTGCATCGAGTTTGTGACATGAACGATGACAGTATCACCCCAGTCTCTAGAAAATCAGGTCAGCACATGCACAATGTGTTGAAAGAGTCCAGGAGTCATATCTTACGCGATGATCGTTGGTCCTGGGATCGTCCCATTGACAGCCAAGACAATCCTCTCCACTCCGTCGGGAGCAGCGGTGGTATTGACGATGTTGAACCAGTATTCCCTGGTCACACCGGTGTCAGGAACCTCATCGTAGTAGTTGGTAGAGATATCAAAGTCTCCCCAGCAGTTCCGTGCGTCAGGCGAGTTAACACATCGCTTAGACAGCGAAGGTGACGAGAGACCAGGAGCTGCCGCAATGAGTGGCACAAAGGTGAGCAGGGAGAGGAAGGCACTCTTGATACCCATGTTGACTGAAAGAATGTTGTACCGGTCTGGGTAGAAAGGGGAAAACGAAGGTTGTGGGGCGGATTAAACGACAGACCAGCTTGAGTGCAGCTGTGTAGAGTTGAGACGACTATTCAGTCGAGAATAGAAAAGAGAGATGCGCTGAGGATGGAGATGAGATGAACGATTCAAGGAAGACCTCGTCGAGGCTTTATGAACTATTGTGAGGCTAACATGATCAACACCACGAGCCTATGCATCGGCCCACATCGTCTCGGAAAGATCGATACCAAGTCCTAAGTCCATGGCCGAGTCAGATGTGAGCACTCAAGCCTCCTGCCGCCTGGCCTCGGCCGAGCTGGAGTGGATCTCAGGAGTTGTCACGGATAGTCGCCGTGGCGTGTATGGGGATGACTGGAGTCGTATGGACCTTGCTCGTAGCGATTCCGAAATCCCACTGCAGAAGTCTCTCGTATTCTTGTGGGTGTGTGTGCGTGATGATACCGCATCATGCATTTTGCCCGCTAGGTCACCTATGCCCAGTCAGGTGGACACTAGACCCATGGGCGCCAGGGCAGGAATATCTGCAAGCACGGCCGTATCAGCGTAATACTCGGATCTATTGAAACTTATCCGAGCCCGACATCCCTCGTCCGCGCGTGCCGTCCGGGGGGTCAGATACGTGGGTTCGTAATTGGCATGTCCCTTTTGGGATGTAATTCCCCACGCGGTATCTATGCGGCTCAAAATGGCACGATGCAACACCTGGGATATGCCTGCAAAGGGTAGCATGCACGAGCCTCCTCCAAGGTTTGTCGCCATCGAGCACGGCATTTATTTCGCTCCCGCAAGAGTGACGTCCGGCAAGACGGCTCAGAGCTTTGTGAACGTATGAGATGCTTGTCCCTAAGCATCAACTCCTTGATGATGCATTGGCGGGTAGAATTGATGGCGCTTGCAGGATGTGCCTTGCTAATGTGTAGTTACCAGAAAAGCTCAAAGGTTTGGACAATGCTACTATAGTGCAGCATCGAGTGGATGTATCTCGTGGCACAGACATCCTGGCTTACGCGTCAGACGGAGCCCACATAACAAACACCAAATATTGCTCGGCGGCTCAACCCGAAATTCAGTTAACGATATTATCATTGACAACACAGGAAGATGCAGCCACTCGGCGAGCGTCCGTGCCGTCATATTGGCTGGGATCATCCGCCTGCATGCGTGGGCGGTGTCAAGGGTAAGCTTGCGACGAAATGTGGATATTACTCCATAGACGAGAAACAGGAACCAACTGCCGCCCAGGCCCTGCCAGGACATTCGCAACACCACTCTGGTGGCGATACCTGTGATGAGAACGGGCTGTCAGGTTGCATGTCGCTCTACACGTGGAGATGTTTCGTGTTTTAGCGGAGGTTCGCACAGACTTGAAACATGTTCATCCTTTCTGGCGCAACAAAAACGCGTAAACGGCCTCTCCACAGATCGACTCGCCAGTACTCCTGGATCTGCATTGGCACTTGATGCCTACGAATACAATGTTTCGCCTCTACCGTCTGGACTGATGCGGTGCTCAATCGGTCATAGCTCCTGCGCCACGGAGGCGCGGATGACAGTCAAATAAAAGGCACGGCGAGTGCATGCAGTGTGGCAGCCATTAGTATCGATAGCCCAACACATCACACATTTTCGGCATGTCTCCTCTTTCAGGGGAAACGAACTTGCAGAAATGCAGGTCCAAGAATACGAAAGGTACACAAAGCTCTACTAGGGCGAGAATATGCAGGAGAAGCTCGCGTGGTGGAGTGCCTCGTGTACTTCTGATGGATGGATTCACCGTTGGTCTGCATCCTGAGGATGGGCGCCTAGCAGCAAAAAGTCATTGATAGGATCATGAGGAACACATGTAGGTTGTCTATCACAAAAAATCCTGTTTAATGTCAAGCGTTCCTTCGGATATTTCGGGACGGCCAACAGAAGCTATTGATAAGACGTTGAAAATGCATTCAGAGTTATTGGATCATCGACCGTGGAGCTTTTCGTCGGAAAATTTCAACCCTATTATGAAGCTTATAGCTCCATAGGTTCCATGAAAACGGGCGCTAGTCAAAGGAAAGGAGTCCGCAAGCCAGGATTGATCCGCGTAATGCAGTGGGGTTATGTTTGAGAATATTGAAAATTAGCCCCACCCTCCTTTGTGATAAACAACGGTTGTGTAGTCTCGATAAGCCCTTGCTAGAGGCTACAGAGTATTCTTGTGCGCCCCTGGAGGCGGCTCAGACACCCCGGGGGCGCATAATCTTGTGTATCCACCGGTATCCATTCCGGCCTGGGTACCTAGTTGGCCTCCGCTGCAACCTCCCCACCCACATGGTTAGCCAAGACTCCCAGACCTCGACACCAGCAATCATTTCCGGGGCACACAGACCCTTGACAATTGATCACTTGATGCACGTCCTGTAGTATTCAGGTACGAGACTGAGCCGCGTCAGCACCCAGGGGTTCACCAACCATCTCGGTCGCTCGGGCGAACACCTTCAAGGTCCGAACCGAAGACATGAATAAGTCATGAGTAAGGTAGAGCGCGCGCAGTGTATATCTCCACATTATTTTGAAGATTTGTTCGGCTTGAACATTCCTGATCACAATATATACTATACTTCGTGCTTCTCCATTATTCTGCTGGGCCACATTCCCCAATTCTTGTCTTCACACTCGTTACACATCACCATTCATTCGCTCTCTTTGTTCGCACCATGTTTTTCAAGACGCTCACTCTCCTTCTCTCGCTCGCGACTGCCGTGACACCGCGGTCTGTCAAACGCGATGAAGGCACAAAGCTATATGCCTACGGCAAGGGTATATCCGGACTTGAAGTGTATGCTGGGCTCAATGGTAAGTGTGAAATTTTTATATCAAATATCGTGAGATTAGAAGGCAAAAGGAGACTACTTGGCTGACCATGCAACCAATATCCAGGCACCGCGTACATTGCAGCCTCAGCTGGATCCAACCTCACTGAGCTGACTTGTAAGACTAATATTTGTTTCCCTTAGTCTACAATGCATTTGGTGTGTCTCAATTTCCCAGTTGCGCTAACAAATACTCAGGGGCCTCCCCATCCATGGACACTACCTGGAATGTCACTGCGAACAGCACTGATCCAGACTTACCTGTCGATACCGGCAGAGTGTTCTACATCATCAACTCAGAGACTGCCTATGAACCATGCGGTTTCAAGTCCCCTAATGAGACTATTCCCGCTGACGCCTCCACTACTGGCTTCTTCTTGTTCGGGAAGCAAGCGTTCTGGAGCGATGGCTCCAGCTACGAGGCTCAATTCTGGGCTCAGACCACCAGCGAGACGGATTTGTACACTCTCAACTGGAACAAGGCCGGTACCGATCAGACTGACAGCGTCCCTGTCACTCTCAAGACCGTTGCACCTACCACGTTGGATCGCACCCGGCACCGCCGTTAAACGGCTCGTTGTGGGAAGGGAACCCCTCGGGGAAAGGACAGAGTAACAGAGAATTTTGCGGGCTGATGACGAAACTATGAGAAGGACAAATGGTTGATATTTTTGATTCTTGTAATATTAATGGCAATTTACTTCGTTCTTTCTCGACTTTTCTGTTTGACTAAGTGAGTGATGGTTTATTGTATTATCGAAGAGCATAAATCAATTGAATTTCAGTTCAGTTTGTAACTATCAAAAGCAGGCAAGCCAAAGACTAGTCAAGCTCGGATGTTCTTAGTGATGCCTGGCTGAATGCCTTCCAACACTTCCATCAGCTCCTTGTAAACTCGCTCCTGAACTTGCGCTCCCTCCTCACTCAGTACGAATTTACTTGGATCTCGGAGTATACAGTTGTCCATGTATCGACCGTGTGTCTCCCTGCTAGCAGCTGCTGCAGACATCAAAGTTCGAGACCCCATTTCTGACGTCCTTCCTATTAGTCGTACGGCAACTTGGAGCACACCCTGCAGAAGCCAGGGTGCATGACGGAAAATAGTTGAATTGCAAAAGCCTGGGCTGAGAGCGTTTACAATGACAGGATCATTGGACGCCATCTCGGAAGCGAGCTGCCTAACGATGAATACCTCCAAGAGCTTTGATGTATTGTATCGGTCTTCGTTCATGTTCTCCTTTCCTTTGAAAGCCTCAAAGATTTTGGGCTGATGCCGCTCGGAGAACTTTGCCTAATATGGTGAACGTCAGCCACCCGGATATTATTCATGTAGGAACTGTATGAAGGATTCGCATACGAAGAAGTGAGCATCGGAGGACACCACCACTAGTCTCGGCTCGACATTGTGCCTTGCTGCAGTCCTCCTCAGGGCAGGCAGCAGAAGCAGGGCCATCAAGAAAGTCGATACGACATTGACAGCTATGCTGCTCTCGAAGCCTCCGTCACACTCAACGTAGGTCCCGATTGCCAAGCCGGCATTCTCGACAAGGACATCCAGTCGGTCCAGCTCGGTCTCCGCGCGGCGGCAGAAATGCTTGACGCTCTCGAAGCTGCCGAGGTCGACCTGCCAGACGTCAACGACGCCATGTGTTGATGTAGACGCTTCGATATCGGCCGCGGCGGTTTTGCCTTTCTCGAGGTCGCGACAGGCCAAGACAACCTTAGATGCCCCCAGACGGCAGAAGTGACGCGCGGCTTCCCGGCCGAGACCCACATTAGCGCCGGTCACGATTACTGTTTTCCCATGATACTCGGTTTCCGGGTAGGGCAGAGCACGTAGTTGACTGGTAAGAAAGTATGCCGGGTACCATGCAGGTCTAATATGTAATATGCCGGTCAGTTATTTCCACGCTTTGAAGCGCGCGACTCGCGTGGCTCGACCGGGATGTTGTCTTACATGCTGAAGTAGTTCGCATCTGTCAGCCACGACAATGCATGCCGTGTGGGCGGGGACGCGTTTGCCATGTTGGTTGGTGCTATTCTGGTAGCGAACTATTGAACAGCGGTGAGGATGGTGCAAGCTGAGGGTTTACGTGTCGGCAGACTTAGACGTCAATAGCGCCCTGACGTTGAAGTCAACCATGAAACACTCTGCTGTGACAGCGCTACCCCTGATAGATCGTCCGAACACCGTCCCATTATTGGGCTTGGCAACGTCCTCTAAACTGGCAAGCGCCTCTTTCACGCCACCTTGGTGATCTCCCCACACACAAGGCTAGTTGTTTGGCCCGGTGCAAAGGAACGCCACCTCCCAGAGGAACGGATGCACCCGTTTTCGTGCACCTAGCTATGCTTGTCATCTTCGTGTTGAAAACTACGGTCCCTAAGCTGACGAGAGTTTCGCCACCGCAGTCAATAGCAAGAGCAGTGCCACGAAGGATCATGCACCATAGAATTACAATTATCTCAATACGGTCGATTGGGTCACACATCCCTCGCTATCTTTCACCCAAATTCCAACTGTAAGACCTCGCATGGAAGGAGGCGCCGGGCTTCCGGATCAGAGGCTCTTCGTCTCTGCATTCAGGTGTGCATGTGAGCTTTGCGATGGCACCCTCATTAGTTCCAGATCTCCATCTTTCCCATCGAAAGGCTTCTTCCGTCCCGGAAACAGGACCGTCGCACCGGTTGGTGCAGGACTGTCCTTTTTGCGAAATCCGAGCCCTCCACGCTCGTACATCCTAAACTGGACATGGTTGTTCATGAAGGCATGGGGGTCGTCGATGCAAAGCGCACAGAGTAAAGCGATGACACCGAATGGAATGGTTGCGCAGAAGAGGATCCTAAAACTGTAGCCGTAAGCGCCACGTAGCGCTTGCCTTAGAGCACTCCGTACTTGTGGGCTCAAGTCTGTGAGTTTGTCCGGGGTCCCGACATTGTAGGCCACAGCATCGGCGAGTAGTTTGTTGAATGCAGCATCAGTCGGGCACGCGCCGAGTCTCTCGCAGACAGGTCGGAGCCTCTGGGCAGTCACACGTTCAGACGTGGTTTGAAAGATATAACGGAAAACTGCATTCCCGACTGCTCCACCGGTTGATCGGAACGTCCCTAGGAATCCAAGCGCTGTGCCGAGTTGGGAGTGAGGAACATGCATACCAGCAATCGCGTACGATAGGACCGTGACCCACGTGAACATTGGCACTCCGAGGCCAGTCAGAAGTATGTAGGCGTAGTAATTGTTCGGGTCAACGGACGCCGCTGAAAGTGCGAGGAACACAACCTGCATCGCCATCGCTACCACCATTTGCCACTTGATTGTGCAGCGTGGCACGTATTCCGGAATCCTGTGGGAGATGATAGGAAAGACGACACCAACAAGGAGCTGAGTCACTGTATTTGGAAGTGACATGACTCCTATTTCCATCCCGTCTGTAGTGAACATGAGCAGAGAGCCTTGAGGGAGCAAAGTGCTCATGGCGTGAAAGTTCATTCCGCTCATGAATAGAACGACGAGGATGGCGACATAACGGCGAAACATCTTAGGCTTGAAGAGATTAAGTGGGATCATCGGGTTGGCCGCCAGCGTCCAATCGTAGATGACACCTAAAATCAGGGTGGCAGGGCCGACAGCGAGAGGCGCAACGGTAAAAGGATGATTCCAAGGGAAGGTCTCTCCGCCTAAAGTGAGGCCGCTGACAAGAATCACGAGCCCAGCAGTAATGGAGAGCAGACCAATATAGTCCAGCTCTTTGAATTGCTGCCGACGAGTCTTGTGGAAGTCACCCCTTGGTCTTGAAACAGGCCAGTACAAAAGCGCTGTAGCCTTGAACGCGAGAAAACTCCACAGAATCGCGATGTAGTACACCCATCTCCAGCTAGCGTATCGGGCGACTGCATTTGCGAGAACTCCAGAAATGGTTGCCCTGATAACCAGGAATCTCATGTTAATGCTTCGGACCCAATATCACAGTTCATTGAGAGAGACTCACCAAGGAACGTTGATGCCCGCCTCCACTATGCCAACTGCCAGCGCTCGCCATTTGTTCGGTAGCATCTCAGTTGCTGCAGCGAAGGCGTCGAAGAGAAACCCGGCGCCCATGCCAATTAGTGCCTGAGCAGTGATGATGATTTCGATACTGCGAGCAGTGGCCCCCAGTATGCATCCAATAAAGACGAGAAGATTCCCGACAAGAATGATATTGCGCCTGCCGAATATATCGCTCAGGTATCCTCCCACTCCAGCTGCCGACGCGCTGGCAACGGACCACGCGCCGACAACCCAAGGGATCAAGTTCTGGCCGCCGACTTCCTCAGTGACCACGACCAGAATCGAGTTCAATGCCACGAATGTTAGCCCAAGAGGCGCTCCAAGGGAAATTGCAAGGGCCTGGTGAGATGCCGCTCAAGTTAGCCATGCACACGGGTTGAGTGAGCGCGGTGACCAACGCACAATCATTGCTGCCCATGTCTTCTTTCCAACGTACACAAGTCGTGGGTTATCGAAAAGTGCCGCCCTGTGCGGATCCTCTTCGAACTCGATAGCCGCCTTCGTCTCCTCAGTCCATTTCTCCCAAGAGTCCTTCTCGGGCTCTCCCCCAACAGCCCCAGCCTCATGCTGCTTCATGTTTGTGTCCTAATAGACGGCAAAAGTGTCAGAGCAATCGGCCAGCGAGCGTTCTTGACACAACATAGGCACGATGGTTTGCAATAAGGGAACGATAGTGCGGAGCCACGTGTTGAGCAATTGGGACATTGAAGTTGGACAGCTTCGAATCCGATCCCAGGACAGCATATGAATAGGTGGACCACATCGACCACATATTGTACCTGCATCAACCCGACTTCCATAGCCTGAATATGTCAGCCATTTGACCGTGAGCAAGGGTCTGTTAAACTTAATTGTAAACGAGTTTCAAAAGAGTATCCTTTGCTCGTGGACACCACCCCGAAAGTAAACCTTCTTTGCTAGCCAATCGCACCCGATGTGACGGCAGACCGGGATGCCCACATCGTCCCAAGAAAAGCAAAAAAACCTTAATTCTGGAGGTAGCTCTCACGACTGTGACGGAGATCCACGCTGATCAACATTGCGACCTCCTGACAGGCTGACACTGTGACTTGTGCGTGGAAACTGCTGGCGAGACACTGGCACCACACAGACTCGCCACCACGAGAGCTTAAACAACGCTGCGTCTTGGCACCCGTACTTCTACAGATCGGAGTTCGACGTTTGCCCGCTTTGCTGGTTCATTTGGCATCTTGTCCTGCATTGCTCCTTCACTGGATGAACAGTTCTCGGTCCTAGCCACGAGAAAGCGAAAAGGATGTGCATATGCATTCGTAGCGCGCGTTGCCTAGAGCTCATCCCGAGTGTTCCGAAGAGGGAACTGCCGCTCTTAATATATTGCGTGACGATCATCTGCTTGTGTCTCATAGTCAAATTTGACGGCACAGCTACCGAAAGCCACCGTCATATTATGTGCCTAATATTGCTTCAACTGCCAGAAATCATCCAATAGGACGTGGCCACGGAAATCAACGTCAGTTATGGATGATTTCTCATGCCATACGGCGCCGAGAAGCGACTTGCCAATCACGACACACATCAACATAAACAGCCTTGCACGAGTGACTTTTTCGTTAAGCTGTCCTTAACTCATTACACCACGCAGGTAGGTTCTGGAAGCAATCTCATGTTGCTCCAGTTGCCCTACGATGGCTGGTGTCGAGAGTACTAGCATGGGGGAAAAGAGACGGGATGCAACCAGATGTTGCGTCAAGGCATCGGGACTCGAAAGTTCTTACCAGTTCCGGGAACTTGGGAAACTTGGAGCCGTTAATTTTGCTATGGAACAGACCGTACTGTTGCAATTGGAGCCTCATCACGACAGCACTCGAAAGTATGTTGACTGTAGAGTCGCACATTTGCTTATAAATGCGTTCACACATGGGCCTTTTGTCTGACTTGTGAAGATCTGCCGTGTGGCATTTTGACTAACAAATTCTCTGCCACGGTTTCAAGGGGGAGGGGTTGCGCATCTCGAGGTTTCTCACCGGCTGGCCGTAAAAGCTTGATCAGGTTTCCACGTGTGATAGATAAGCTCGATGCATTTGTCGGACAATACGCGGGAAAAAATGCTGTGAAACCTCTCATATTCTTCCGTCGGAAAATGACAGTGACCAAGGGTTCAATATTACCGTACCATTCATTTGCCGCCTCAATAGCATACATCTGAGATTTCTCATTGTTATGCTACCTTGTATGTCTTCTTAAGACCAACTTCGCGCACGCATTATTTTTCCCTTTCTCAGTGTTGTGATTTGTGGAGTTGGTCAGACCAATTCCCAAACGACTTGCTGCTAAGGCGGGCGCAACCTTTCCGTAGGAGAAGCCTGAGATCACAGTTCATACTTGTGCCTCATCTGGCTCAATATGAGCAGCGACGTTGCAATCAAAGTCGCGTTTCGGCCTCGGCTTTGCGGCAGCGACACGGCAAAATCTCAAGCCCGATATCCTGCCATGCTACTTAGTCATATTGGGCAATGTGGTAGTGTTTCAGGGCTCAAAACATGTTTCGACGCATGACATCTTGCACTCGGATGCTGCACTGCTCTTTTGGCAATCTTTTGCTTGAATTATATCTCGCTCTGTTTAGAACCATGTCTTGCCACCGTGCTTGGTACAAAAGATCTAGACCGCTGCCGACCTGGCATACGCAGCCGCCTCGTGGCCCGCGACTCGTCCAAAGACCACGCATTCGAGCAACGACGAACCGCCCAACCGATTGTCCCCGTGGATGCCGCCGGTGATCTCTCCAGCTGCCCACAGACCTTCAACGGGCCTTAAGTCCTGTCCAGCTGCACCTGAAACCAGGATTTGGCTCTTCTCGTTGATGGCAGCACCGCCCATGGTAAAATGCGTGATGGGAGTGACTCGCCCGACACAGACCTCCTGCTCGTCATCTGCGGCAGTGCCTGCCAGCCTCCAAGACCCAAACGTCGTTCGTCCAAATTCGTCTTTCGCCTTGCCAGCCGCAACTTGTGCATACTCGTGGATTGTCTGCTTCGTCGTCTCATCCAGATCTTTGACTTTCTTCTTTGTCAACAGACCCTTCCATAAATAGAACCCAATGTGTGATGACGCCGCGTCACACGCTCCGGGATCGAGTAGGAGCTCAACGTCCCATTGAGTCAATGCCTCGACACTCTCCTGGTCTGGCTTTGCGGAAGGGAGACTCATGATGACATTGCTGACATGCTCCCTCGTGTCCATCTCGTTGACAAAGCGCTTCCCCTTGTGCAGCAGAATTCCTCCCTCACCCCTCAGCATTTCGGCAGCCAGGAACTTTACCCTTGCCTGAGGATCAGAGGGAAGAATGAAACCTGTCGGATGGATCTGTACACTTTCCATGTCCACGAGATGAGCACCTAAATCTGTGAGTATATTGTGTGTTCCCGGCCTGTTGTCGTTTGTCGAGGGGAGACCGGAGAGATCAGGTCGGTATTGCTTCAACAATCCCCAGGTATCACCCGCAAATCCTCCAGTCGTGAAGACCACAGCGCCTTCAAGCGTGTGTGGCGAGCCTTCTTTGGTGTACTGGACCCCCTTCACGGCGCCTTTATCCTCGGTTGCTGTCAGTATCTTGCTGACCTCACATCCCGTCTGAAGTTCGAAGTTCGGGTCCTGTTTCAGCTTCTCCAGCAGCCCAGTGACAATTGCCGCCCCAGGCGGGAGTTTGCCGCCTCCTCTGTGTGTGCGAGGGAAGCTGTGGCCGCCCAGTTGTGCGACCACGCTTAGTTCAACTCCGATCTCGTCCACCAGGAAATCAACTGCCTGGGCAGAGGAGCCAGTCAATCTCGAAATGAGTGACTCGCGCTCCTTCCGTCTGAAGTTCACCGCAGAGTCATCCGCCTTTGCAAGCCTTGCGCCCGCGGATCGGACAGTGTCGCTGTGAAATGACGTGTCAGGCCCCTTTTGAAATCGGGTCGGTGCTCCATTGATCCCCGACGAGGCCTTGATGCTGTTGCCGCCGGGCTTCTCGGCGCGCTCGAGGAGCCGGACTGCCGCGCCGGCCCTTAGAGCAGAGTACGAGGCCGAGAGACCGGCTAAGCCGGCGCCGACGACTATGACAGTCGGGGACTGTGTGTTGGGTGGCATAGTTTGACTGGGCGAGGTTGTTCCTTGCTCAGCAGCGAAAAAGTATTGCCGGTGATACACGAAGACAGTAAAGGCGGTCAAGAGGAAGATGAGTAGTAGTTGGCGCCTCGTCATGCCAGCATCCATGGCTATTGGACTCAAGCAGGGTTGAAGAAGAGCATGTTTTCGACGCGTGTTTTATACGAAAACGGCAGTCAGCGCACGTCGTTCTGGTGCAACCTTCAGGCAGACCAGCATCAGACCATGTTGTCCATCGAGTGGCATGATCTTGGCATTCGGCTCACGGAGAAAGGCCGTGTTTCTCCGGCGAAACCTTGACCTTCCGATGACCACACTCGAAGCCGTCCGTGGCTTACTAGATGTCACATGATATACTGGTATTCAACACGAATGGTACTCCAGAAACTACCAACCTTCGTTGGGGGTGCTTTCTTGCCTTTCAGATCTGAACCCACTTATGTATGCTAGGCCGACGCCACTTTTCACAGACCACCTCAGCCACCTCCTGAGCCGGCGCCACACTTTGAAGTTCGGAATCCTCATTGCGAAAACAAACGAGCCTTTTTGGTGATGGAAATTTTGGATAACTAGCACAAGCTTGCATGGGTCTCGAGCTTGATACGAATGGCACAGATCCAATCAGCACTTAGATACCACGAAGTATGTTCCAAATAGACTCGGCAGTATTGATTCGTGTCGGGGCGCTGGAAAAGTCTACAAAATGATATCGCATTAAATTCAATGCGTGTCCGAATATGGAGGCCCCTGCTTCCATCGACTATTCGCGCGCTGTCCCCCATCAGAGAACTTATAGAATTCGGCATGGCAGTAGATCGTTATCACACAGTGGTAAGTGTCGAAGAAATGGTGATCCTGCCAAGTGTCTCAGTGGTACTGCTGTCACAGTCCTCGATGTCTGCGAGATCTTCGTGACTCTTGCAAGCACCACTGGTTCTCACCTAGTCTTTCAGACACATACAGACAGGCGTAGCAGCTACTTTTTTGAACTCGTATCAATTTGGGCGTCACAAGGTGTCAAAGGATAGCAGTAATTTGTGACATTCGGGAGCAATCCGTATCTTTCGAGTGACATGTTGGTCAAGCGGCAGTCGAAAGCTACATGGAAACTGCGACGGAATCAGTTGGGAAGCTTGTACACTGTCAATACTGACGAGTACCCGCGCCCTGTCAGCCCTAAAGGATGATACATTTCTCACATGCACAGGAAGATGTGTCATTGACTCGATTCAACGCAATGGCAGCCGCACGCACATGTTACTAAATTGGTCATCTAGAAATTCCTGGTTCAGTGAGGAGCTCATTGAACATTCTTGTATGACTCGACAGAAGTATCTAATGTTCATGCATTAACAAAAAACGGACGCAGTCTGTTCTGCCTTGGAATGCCTGAGACCCGACGCCAGACTAAGCATCGCCTACCGCTTGCAGTATGGACGTAGCCTATAGTAGAGATTGACGCTCGAGGGAATAGACGAACAGGATGTTAACGCCTTGCCGTCATATTTATCCTCAATTAGCCTCTCACAATAGGCTGAACACATGAACTTTGCGGTTGAAGATATTGTACTAAGCGAGTCAATGCGCCAAAGACAAATCTGATGCAACCCCTCTTGCCTGACGACCACAAGTTACGGATTACCGGATCGCAGCTCTGAATTTCTATACCATTGATTTTACAGAGTGTTGAGAATATCAAATGCTGAACAATCCGGACATGTATTTACAGACCTAGCTTGAACCCTGAGGACTTTCAGCTTCGGCTCGCCATCTCTTGCTCTACGACCGCGGCGAGTTCCATGTTATTCTCCTCCAGAAAGAAGAAGTGACCATTACCCGTGATTCCAAGGTCACCAAATTTCACCCAAGTGACGTCTTTCACCCCTGCCTGCTGGAGATACGAAATGAAACAGTGATCGTATGTAATGTGAGGGGAGTTGGCAGCGGTGAACATCACGTAGGGCACCTTTGCAATCTGAGGCAGAGACCGAACCACGGTATTGTTGGACTGCACAAAGCAGGAACGGTGTGCCGGCGTGTCCTGGCCGACTTCGACCGTGATTAGGTCTTCAGTGACATTTGCGACCGGCGGCTCGTATGTGATGCGAGTATTGGTCAGCCCCCAAGGCCGACTGCGAGTACGTCCAACGGATGGTACTGTAGAGTTGCCGATAAGGCTTTGAAAGGGAATATTTCCTGGCTCTAAATTGATTGTCGCCCGCACACGCTCGGGACACTCGTCTGACATCAGTGCAGAGTAAGTTGCTCCCGCTGAATGCCCCAACAGAAATGACTCTCCAATGAGTGACAGCAGCTTGCAGCCTGCTGCCCGCATCGAAAGCTCTTGGGAAGTGCTGTTTGACGTCAACGGGACCGTTGAGGCGAAAAAGGCGTCAAAGATTGGGTCTCCTTTTGTTCCATTTCCTGGCCACTTATCATGGCCCTGCGACTGAGGATACGCATTGAGAATCTCAGGGGCAGTGAAGCCGTTCTCGTGAATGGATACTGTTGAACCGAGGCGTAGGGGGTATTTGGCGACATCGTTCTGTGCGCTCCGCCCATTGGCAGTTATATCGAGTATGTAAATCTGATAACCTTTCTCAAGGAAATACGATGCCCATCCTTTGCGATTATCTGGTGTATTAAGCCAAACATTCCCGGAAGGAGGACACATACTCGCCTCCAATGAAGAAGATATCTCGGTGGTAAGGAGGCCCTGCGGGTTTGCAATCGGGCTTCACTGCATTGATACCAACGCAGCTGGAGTTTGATGCAAGAGATTGACCAAAGCCAAAGGCAGCCCAGGCGAGCAGCCCTGCACAGGAAAGATACCCATTCATGTCTGTGAACAGTTCAATCGCTCGATGATGACTATCGTCTAGCTGTTAAGACTAGCCAATTGATTATGCACGTTGAACGTGGTCAAAAACATAGTCCCTGCCATGTAAATGCTTCGGGGCCCAATAGTGCTTTATCTGTTGAGATCCATGTAAGCAGGCGGGCAGGTAAGGCACTAAGTAAAATTGTCTCAGCGGATGTGGATGTGGCCTTGCAGATTATTGGGCCTGTAAATGGGCTAGCAGGGCCGTAACGGCGCGCCTCCACAAATCGCAAATTATTGTTGTGTGGGATTCCCTCAATCAGGGTACCCGGAAGCCCACATCCATCGCGGTCCGGGAAGTCTAGAACTTCGGAGAACAGACCAGATTGATATAGATTGCAGCAAAAAGGAGATTCAAACCGGTGGGTCGGTAAAGGCAGACGGAATCGGGCTATGACCGAAGCCTGCGGTATACCGGCCCAAACCTGGAGCAGTACTAACTGCTGTGGTGCTTCAATTTTGCAGCCTACTGTGCATTATGATGCCTATCATGACTACCGGATTTGCTGACTAAAGATCGTGTCAACAAGGATTTTCGGATGCCCATGTTCAGGTTGGTGTAGAAGAGTGCCAGTGCCAAGTTTGGCAGAAGAATGTCTGTAAGACTTCAGTTCATACTCACCAAGTTGATTTCCGACAAAATGCAGTAGCTCAATGAACATTGTCACAAGCAGAGTACAGTCATACTGTCGTCAAAGCAAGGAATGTCGCGAAAAGTGCAAAATCAGAAGTCTTTCCGTGTACGCACAATCATTTGACAAGGAAAACCCCTAAAGGGATCAACAGTATATGGTGGGCGGATAATCGATCGTATGCCCGGCTTCCTTCCTTGTGACTTGAGTCATATCTTATTCAAATCTTGCTCAAATTTGATGTGAAACTTATATCGTGTTCCCAAAACTTCTTAGGTATGTCCAGGGGAAAGCAGTGTTACTCAGTAAATCTTCAATTTGACCACTTCCAGCCGTTGATGCAAAGGCAAATTAATTCCTACTTATCCAAGAGTCAAATTGAATGAGGTCGTTGAGCCAGATTGCTCGGGATCGGGACTCGGTCGTAGCAGTGTCCGATGTCGCGATAGATGTTTCCACCGGCATTTGTTTCTCAACCCGACATATACTAGACTATCATATCGATACTACACGGCTCAGGAACGCGCACGTGAGGGTGGTGTGGGGTTTTAGCTGCCACGGGATCGGCTGCTGGTAGACCTGCCATCCGCGAGAGCGAAGCCGAAGCACTTTGTGAAGTTACAACTTCCAAGAAATTGGGAACTTAGCAACTGAGCCCAGAGCTGGGCGCGACATCTTTGCCGTTGTCAGGAGTCCGCCCAGAAAACCAAGGATGTAGTGGCCTGTCCAAGCCTTGACTAAAGGACAGAAGCCGAGACCGAACCAAGCGGTGCGGGTCAATAGACCTTCGGGAAGTCCAAGGAGACGGTCCCCTTAGTTTCGCCAAGTTGTAGCCAAGGACACAAGCTCCCTCACGCTGCAGGAAGCGACCGCTTCATCTTCCCCTATGCACGGCAATTGTTTAACTAATATTCGACAAATCTTGCCATCTCTAAGCTCTAGCCGCCTCAGTGGTGATTTCGTGAGCTCCTTACCATGGCGTTCGTGGCATATAAATGTGAGCGGTGTGCCATATGAAAGATTTTGACAGAACGTTTGGCACATAATTTCCATGATCTTAGTAGTAAATTGCTCTCATCAAGTCCAGTCATGGCAGACAATCAGCCAGAACAGAAAACCGAGCTTCCCCTCAGCTCCCTCTCCCGAGCTCTGGTCAGTCGCCGAAGCCACAGGTCACTGGCCTCCCAATTCCGATCAAATAGATCTGCAAGAGATGTCGAAGCCTCGGGAGCCGCGCACTCAGATCCATTGGGACTCTCACCTCTAATAAAAGCAGAGTCAGAAATATCATCTATACAGGTGGAAAAGAGACGCAAAATTTCCATTCACCCCGAGAAGCCTGTCAAAGAATTCTACGAAGTGCAAAATGAAGAGATTCGGTCCTTCCTGACGCCCGTGGAGCAGCATCAGCAGTCCCTAGAGGACACTCAATCCGCCTCGGGTCTCCGATATCAAATTGCCGTCAAAGGCAGCCTTTGCGCCAATGTCTGTCTCTCGGGTCTGCAGCTCTATGCCGCCATCTCGTCGGGGTCCCTGTCGTTAATTACAACTATGGTGGACTCATGCTTCGATCCCTTCTCGGGACTCTTGCTTTACTTGGCCCACCGGACAGTTACAAAGGCTAGCCCAACCAAATACCCGGTCGGCAGAGCGCGCATATCCACAGCTGGCAACATCGTATTTTCTTTCGTCATGTTCACTGTGTCAGTCGTTATCTTGGTCCAGGCTCTCCAGACATTCATCGAAGGCTCTACCGCTGAAACGCGCCCTTTCTTCTTGCCGTCCATCATCTCAGTGTCAGCAGCTTTCTTCACAAAGTTCTGCCTGTTTCTGTACTGCTGGACCATCAAGCATCTGTTTTCACAGGTTGAGATTCTTTGGAGAGACCATCGCAATGACCTCTTCCTCAATGGCTTTGGTATTTTGACCTCAGTCGGGGGCAGCAAGCTGCGCTGGTGGATTGATCCAATGGGAGCCACCATACTGTCCGTAACAATCGCTGCTCTTTGGCTGCACACGGCATATGATGAATTCCAACTCATCATTGGGGTGTCGGCGGAGCGCGAAACGCTGCGCTTGATCACTTATATCGGTGAGTCTTGTGTGTACTCCGGTCTTGAGATTCCGATCAGAGCGGCGAGGTCACGAAGTCCACTGTGTGTGTCACAAACTAACCTGCCACAATCATGCAGCCATGACCCACTCGCCAGAGATACAGCAAATTGACACAGTCCGGGCATATTACTGTGGTCCACGACTGATTGCAGAGGTTGATGTTGTCATGCGCCCGGACGAGCGTGTCGAAATCGCACATGACGTGGCAGAGGCGCTGCAGATCAAGCTGGAGAAACTTCCTTCCGTAGAAAGAGCATACGTCCACATAGACTACGAGACAAGCCACAAGCCAGTAAGTGTTTTCTTAGTATTCCCCTCCTCGGCAACCAATAGAAGTTCCTTGGCACAACAAAATCTAACAGCCCGCAGGAGCATTGTCTGAAAAAGTTGACTTGAGTGATGGAGCTGGAGTTCGAAGGCGCAGTCTATGTTTCACCCCGTGGCTTAGAAAATCCCCAGTCATCTGCGAAGACCTCTGTCATTGAGCAAAGAGCTTTGCGAGTGCATTAACCTTGGGAGGCAGCTAAGTAAACCTGATTTAAGAAGAGTTGGTCAAATACAAGGAACGAGCGAATTAAATACTCAATGTTGCACTATGGTGCCCCCAACTCGTATGTCTCAAAGGACAGGACCTAGGCTTTACGCTTTTCCCCCTTTGACGGACCTCTCATCTCGAATTCCAGTACTCATGCCTCCAACCACTGCAATGAAAGGATTCAAATTCCTTTCACGTGGCTTTGAGAGTGTCGATTCGGTTCCTTGAGGAAACTAGGTGTCGTCTCGGCCATCGTCTATGTGGTATGTGGAACATCACAGGCACTTTCATAGATAGAAGTAACCTGCGACGGCGACGCCTATCATGACGATGGATATCCACTGCAGGAACATCTCGCTCTCGGTTTCCTTCATCCCTTTCGTTATGGTAGCTTCCCACGCGGCATTAGGGTCATTCCTCTCCGCCTCGGTGATCTCTGCGCTGCTTGACTTTTTGTTGGCCATGATAATGTATTGGATAGGTGTAATTTGCTGCCGGTGCTGATTCTGAGGCGTGTGGTGCAATGAGTCGGAAGGTTCGTAAAAGGAAGAGTATTATGGGTTCAGTTTGCCCAATCAGAAATTGACAACGGTCGGGATTGAATGGATCAGATGCGCTAGGTGACGAAACAAAACATTAATTAACTGCCCTCAACTTTCTCATCCTGTGCCAACACAGCGGGTGTTGGTCATATATGTTCTTCGTCGTGAGGATCCATTTCCCGGATCCCTGCATTCCGGACGGGGACGATTGTGGGCCGATGTCTTGTGTGGATCGTATGTTGCCGGCAGAAGTCAGGCGCAGGGCTGGCGGTAAGTAGATCCAACGAAATTAACAATGGAATTTCGCCTATTAGTGGAGCGCTCTCGCCCAAAACTTCGAATCAGCGGCTTGTGTCCGGGTGATTTGTTTTCCAAGAGACTTGATTTACTAGAAAGCCCCAGTTTCAAGGCTTTGTTTTGCTGTAGTTTTCCAATCAGTTCAATCGCATAAACAACCCGCCGACACATCTATTTTTGATTTTAAGTAGCATAATTTAGAAATCCAATTTTTACAAATTATTTCGATCAATTGAGACCGTTGTGGTAAAGCGTGTCAATTGCTATATAATCATTGACCGACCGAATCACAACCAAGTCTGCAGTCACATACGCAAGGCCAGATTTCGATTGCCAGACATAATGGGCAATGCCGCAGGGCCCACATCGCGGATCCTCAACATCGACGTGCGGATATCAGGTGACCCAGAAAATCTCGGCAAAAGACCCGGTACATTTGTCGAATGAGAGGTCCAGAAGGATCGGCATCAATGGTACCTGTGCTGATATATGCAATGCCATACTCACAGCCCTTTCTCGGCATAATTTTAGCCTTTCGTCATAATCTTGCTGACTGACGCCTCATAATGAGGAGACACAGGCGCCCAGGGCTTTGCCGTTCTCGGGCATTGTAAGAACAATTCAATGACCAGATATTATTCGTGACACGTGCACAGTCCATCCGGCCCATAAGTATCAGACATCTCTGAATGCTAGCGAATTGCAGAGTTTCTTCGCTTTAATGTGCGAAGTAACTGTGTTTGCAGGAATATTCAAGTTGATTGGCCCTTCGTACCAGTTGACAAACAATCATTGGTGGATTCCATCATATGGGTAGGATAGAATGGGGAAGATTCTTTTCCAAAAGGAAAAGAAAACACGATTTGAACACCAACGAGCGAGACAACCAAAAGTTCCACGTGTACATGGAAATAATTTGAATTGCAAGGTTTGGTTCAAATAATCGTACAGTCTATATGCATGTTTCCCTCACCGCTTCGTTGTTGTATAAGCTCGTGATGACATGGTCGTGGCATTCGAGTGAACCCTCTTCTTGTTTCTTAGCATACCTGAAGTATAGCAGGCACTCGACGTCGCAGAGCGTGACTAGATTTGATGTGGTTCCCGAGCGACACCAAATTCGCTGAAAAGAAAATCAAGAGTCTGTTTCCTTGTTGTGCGCGCTTCGCGCGCACAGCGTTAGCACGTTATACATTCCTAAGCGGGAGGTTTCATTCCTCATTGCGTTCCAGTGGCGTGGGATCCGCACTCCCACGACTCTTTCCCTCGTCTTCTGAAATCGCCGGTGAAATACATACAGCAAATGCCTTTCACATCTGTATCAGTAATAGAGGTCCTGTGCGCGGTAAATAATGTATAATGACACATTGCACCGCCTTTGCGATTCAGGTTAAAAATGCAACTCCCTACTATTGTACAGTATAAACTTAGAACCCGATTCCACACCTTTTTATCCCCAAGGTCGCCGCCCTAAATTCATTCACATCTTAAGCAATATCGTTTACTTCAAGGCTAAAAGAGAGGGTTCAATCTGAAATCACCAGGATGGTTCTCGTTACAGGAGCCGTTGTTGGGACCGTCGCGACTTGCCCTCCTCTTGTTTCCCTTTTTGGCCAGGCCGGCGCTACCGCTGCAGGTACTGCTGTAATTCCAACTGTCGCAGTGTCAGAGGGTATCGGCATTGGAGGCTCTGTTTTGGCAGTGGGCGAAGGCGCCGTCGTCGGGGCGGGAGTCATCGGCAGCGGTGGTAGCAGTGCCGCTGGCATCGCCCTTTCCACATTTGTCGGACCCATTGGCTGGGCTGTTGTAGGATGTAACAAGAACGGCGATCATAACGGCGACAAGTTGTACACTTGGGATTGCTGGAAGCCTGTGGTCAGGGATGTATCAACGCAACCATCTCACGGGATGACTCTTCACCGCCTGGCTACCCATCCGAACGTTCGATCTATGTCGTACGACCAGGGCGGCCTTTTGGTGGGAAACGTTTTCGGCGAACACTTCCGCCTCACTCCCATCAGCATTAAGGGGACACTGGCTTTTCATGCGTCGGTTTCCTCACCCTGAGGGTCATTTCGATTTCGGGACTGGAATGATACAGGAACACTATGGGGTTTTCCGGAACGGTGAAGGTAGTGTGCGAGATCAAACGATGTTTCAAGTTTTCCTTTTAACCGTGCAAAACCATGCGCAGGAAACATTTTGAATATGGCATTCATATACAAGTCATCGACGTGACCGCATACAAAACCGTCTACCGAAGATCCACTCCGTCGAGGCTGGCGAAGTTGATTGTTTTCCTTCTTTGTTTTCTCCTTTTAAACCACAGACTAGTCTTTCGACCCCGGCTATCGACGACGGAACGATTCGTCGAGATCATATAAGGCGAATGCATTATGACAAACATACGCACAGGAGCTCAGAATCCCATCCATGAGAACCATGTCAGCTACGAGTCTCGATACAGGAGAGCAGAGCTCTATAGCTATGGTGGCTGGTCAATTTGAGGATTATGGCAATTCTGTTTCCGATCTCTCGGACCTCGTTCTATCTCGTGATTGCAGTTTTAAAAAAGCAGCGGCCGAGTTGAAGTCTACGATGATTACTGCCAAGCGTCACCTTAAGAATCTGAATGCAAGGTACAAAACGATGATTCTTGGCGTACAGAAGGCTAGCCTTTGCTTAAGGGCATTCCAACTCGAGCACGTCAACTTGAGACACCCCATCAGGTGGGATTCAAATGCAACGGCAGAGGTCCAGGCGCATGGCAACAGGCGCAGATGCATAACATTGTCGAAAAGCTTGATCACAAAACAGGAATGATTTCAGGCACCAGGGCATGAGCCCAAATTGGCCGTTTGGTCAGTGCGCCACGAAGGAGCCGTCCCTTAACGAATTTGTTCGATTTTGAGGATTCAATTGCATCGGAGTGCGACGCACCATCCGCGGCATTTTCAACACCGGAGTTTCGACCTGTGGGTTCACAAAGCTCAACTCATACTTCCAACAGGGGCACTGTTTGCCCGCAAGATGTGCTTATCAATCGGCCATATTCTGGGGAGATGACGGCGTTAGTACTCTTTTTATTGTTGTTGTTGTTGTTGTTGTTGAAAACGGCGTAGTGACCTGCGCAACAGGCCCTAGAGGCCAATGGGCGGGCTAGTAGCGGCTCTAGTGCTTTTTAGAAGGACTTTGGAAGTGTTGCGGCCACGTTCTCGACCGGTTCGGTGATGGTGTGTGCCCTTCCAGAAAGATGTATCGTCTAGCAAGTCTGCATTTGAGAAGTGGGGGGTCGGTTATGCCGAGGCGTCGCGGGTTTACCGGGACGAATGGAATAACGTGCGGTCACCATATGAACAGAGTAAAGTAGAGCGAAATTTCTCTTCGGAAGATAGTATGAGTGAGAGTGCTAGAAGCGGGTTTTACGACCAGGATGGACTGAGAATACAGCTGACCCAGTATGCCCAGTTTAGGATAAAAAAAGTTTCCATGGTCCAAATTGGGCAATTGAGACAAAACATAAACGTCTTATGAGGGCATTATTATGGTCTTACATTGGTCTGAGTGTCATCAAATTGGCGTTGCAAACTCCAAAGGCGGTGCAGGTTAGTCCTCAAGAACACAGCAAATTGTTTTCGCCCAGCCAAACACCTCAGTGTTCGAGCCCGATCAATCCAAAACACATCATCAGAATACCTTGGGTCTTCGCCGTCGCCCATCTGTGTAGGCACCACGCCCGAAACTGTTCCCACCCAAACGTTCTACCACTGATGTGTAATCCATACCGCCGCACGGACTTGGAGGGTCCTTGATTGGAAAAATAGCTGATGTTTCAAGACCTTGAGCTTGGTTATTCAGACTCATACATAAAAGGGCCCCTAGTACAGACATCGAAATGCCCCTTCCCAAATGGAAACATTTTCGAGGCTGTGAGATTTTCGTTCGATTCCTTGACGAAAATCGAAAAGTCCAGATACGAGGTCTCCCAGGATAGAGCAGACGCCCAGCGACTGCTATCGTCATCACTCCCTCTCTTCTTTAATGCTCATCCCACAGGCTTGCAAGCAGCTTTCGATTCCTTCCGAAGTTTTAGTGTTTTGGTTCCGTCTTGCCTCTATTTGGGAGCAACTTACCCTGTCCACGGCTCTCTAGCATGCTGCACGGCGTGGTTCTGCGGCATAATCAGTCTTCCATACCTTATAACAAGTGTATTCAAGTCTCGCCCTATCGACTTACATCCAGCAGAAGGACATCTCCCTGCTTCCAGGAAACCAATGACCTCGTATTTCTGTATAATCGAGTGAGTAAACTTGCGACTTTAACCATTCTTGAAAGGAAAACCAACTTGATTATTTCCAGAGCCGTGTCCAAATACTTTCGCGGTATAAGAGACTGATCACCGAACTGCTTCCTGTCAGTCGCGAAGACTCAATTCTGAATTCGTCAAAGCTTACTAGAGCTGGTGGCTGGAACGCCCCTTTGCTGTTGATGTGTGGTGGATCCAGCGTTCCTGATTCGACTGCGTGACAGAATCGTGACACTACGTTGTTGAAGAAGGCAGTGTCTCCAGTCCGAGGGTGATCTCGCACAGCTTGCTAACATCAGAAATAGTGTCACTTGATGCTCCATCATTTACTCACCAGGCAAATGTTGCCAGACTCGCAGATCCCCGAGTTTGTTGCTCTCAGACTGGTTCTCCCATGTCGCTGTTGGTAAGCGTCTGATCTCGGCCTCAATCTTAGCTCTCGCAGTTTCTGAATCGTCACTCTGCAGGACCTTTCCTCCGTAAGCTTGCAAGACGGAATTTCGGGCCGACGAAGTTTGATCCTGTGGAGCATTTTCGTAGAAAAGTTGATATTTGACGCCCTTTCAAAGCAGTGTCAGGCTTGAGTTCCGGATTTATCGAGTCAGGAGACATTTGAAGCTGCGAACCTTTCTCTCAATCTCTTTGATGAACTCGGGATGCCTGTCCTTTAGGCGGCGGTAGAGAATGACAGAGTTGTTGATCGGCGTCTCACCGCCTTACAAGATTAGATAAGTCTATCGCAACAACCAGTCACGTCTGGAACCTACCTGTTGTTGGTGGTGAAAGACAATAAAAGAAGACATATGCCGGATAGTGAGGACTTAGGCCGAACTCATTGTGAGGATACACAGGTTGAGTATTCGGCCCCTCGTTGGCAGTAGCAACGTTTCGTGCGTGGATGACACGCCGCACCGGATTACCAATATCCTCATGTGGAGTCCAACCAAAGGCATGTGCGAATTGGGAGAATTCCTCAGCATTTTTCAGACCCAAGCCTTGGAAATATATCGCGCCATGTTGATCCAAGAGTTTTCTCAGTTTGCCACTTGAAGATAGCTCTTTCGCTTCAGAGACGAGCTCTGATACATCCGCATTCGGCTCGGAGGAAGCGAGTGATAGTGGGAAGTCCGTGTTCTCCGGATATGGGTCCGGGAGCTTCACGGAGGGGCCGTACGGGGTCGGCTGAAAAGCGCCGGCGATGGATCCCATGTTGACGAGTCCAAGTCAAAAAGATGACGAGAGCCAGAGGAATGGCAATTCCATCTACGACTACAGTCAAGAGAGAAGTTGTCCTTTCTCAGTCGCCGGCCAAAGTGTATTTCTTTCATTATATTGTTGCACTCATCTAGTGATTCTACTTCTGAATTATGCCATCTTCGACAGCGCTTGGGCGTCGATGTGGTTCCGGCAGATGACGAGCTGTGGCGCCGTCACGACAAATGTCACCATCGCACCCTTGCATCACGCCGCGATGTCGGTCCTATCCGGTCCACGTTCTCAGTAAGAGAGCATGGGTATTTCCAGCGCCGACAGCTTGGGTCATCAGGGATAGGTCCAAAAAACTCTTACGTTGGCTAGGACGGTCTTAAGTAGTACGCTACTTAGGCGAGCACTTCTAACATTCATTTTCAGGAGCCAAGCCCGTGGGAATGAAGGCGGGCCAATCCCATTCTAGATCAGTATCTGACGGCGGACCCCGGCGGAGACGAAGCCGACTTGATGCGACATCGATGGCGTTGAATAACGACTATTTACCGCATGGGCTCGGCAACTGGGTTCATATAAAACACATAATCGAATACATCGGGTTCCCATGCTTTTTCACCTTCTTGCAGTAGAAGATCATCGCTGTGTCGGACAGATGGTCGCTGCCATGTCTACTGATGTCGCGAAACAACCCCAAGAGGGTCAGCTTCAAGAGGTGCAGACCACGAAACCTGTGTCTCGCTTCACGCGATGGTTCCGCAGCCCCCTGTTCAACGTCATCCTCGTGGGCCTCATCTCTTTTACACAACCAGGCATATGGAACGCACTCAATAGTATGTCTACTCGGGTCTCCTGATATGCAACTCTGATCAAACACTGACGAGAACGACAAGATACCGGAGCTGGCGGACAGCAAGAACCCTACCTGGTCAACGGATCCAACGCTCTCACCTACGGCATAATGGTTTTTGGCTGTTCTATCTTTGCGATTCTGGCGAATAAGATCGGCCTGAATAAGGTGCTTATTATCGGGACTTTGGGTTACGCTCCTTACTCGGCATCTCTATATGTGAATAATCGGTAAGACCCTGGCTTGATTATGCTACGCACCACGCGCGCCGTCCAATAGCTGTCATGTTATTCCTATTCAAAATTCTTACTTTATACTCTAGGTATGGCGTCGAGTGGTTTGTCTTGTTCGGCGGTGCAACCTGTGGTGTGGCAGCTTCTGCGCTGTGGGCTGCGGAGGGTGCGATTGCTCTCGGTTACGCCGACATCCACGATCGAGGCAAATTCAGTATGCCAGACTTTTTGATCTCCTATTTGAATAGCTATTTCTAACAGGTTTCTTCGCAGCTGGTATCTGGCTGGGTCTCCGTGAGCTCGGGCAGCTGATCGGCTCTTCGATCCAGCTTTCTTTGAATGTCGAGAATGGCAAGAAAGGAAAGGTCGGCTATTCAACCTATATCATCTTGATCGCTCTGCAGTGCCTCGGTCTTCCTCTAGCGCTACTTGTATCGCCCCCTGAGAAGGTCATCCATCGCGACGGCAGGAAATCCTATGACCCCACTAAGAACAAAGCTGTGCTCAAGGAGTTCCGCAAGTGGGCAGGCTTGCTCAAGAGGAAACAATTCTACCTTCTGGTACCTATTCTCATAGGGTTCAATTGGAACAGTACCTACCAGGGTATCTATCTCACCAAGTACTTCTCCGTCCGTGCCAGAACTCTCGGCGCATTGACATCCGGGATCGCGGCGACAGCTGCCAACATGTTCTGGGGGTGGTTCTACGATCTCAAATGCTTCAGTCGCCCTACTCTCGCCAAGATCACATGGTGCAGCTTTTCGGTTATTATGCTTGGCTTGTTTGCATGGCAAACAGCAAACGAGAAGCTGTATGAGGACACAAAGCCCACCCTGGACTGGGCCAGCCCGGGCTTCGGTCGCGGCTTTGCTGTGAACGTGCTTTTCCGGTCAGCTCCAATTCCATGGCCCATACTTTTTGACAGCAACATCCTGCTAATATAGCCTTCCCAGTTTTATGAATGAGTCTCATTACATGTTTGTATACTGGATAATGGGTACTTTCTTTGACGACATTGAGACTTTAACGCTGGGGGTTGGCCTCGTGAGGTCCTTCGAATCAATTGGCTCATGCCTCGCGTTTGGTATTGGAGCTGTCAAGGTTTCGCCTATGGTGAACCTGATTATCGCATTTGTCATGTTTGTCGTCTGCATACCTGCAACATCGTTCGCGGTATTTCTCGTGCCAGAGAGGCCGGTGGACAACAGAGCGCTCGATTCGGACAACACATCAATTGAGTCCCGGAAAGATGCAGACCCAGTTTTTGTCGCTACAACAGCGGATGCAGTAGATGGACATCGGCCATGAGCCCCGGCGCGCCGGCTCCACCTGTGAACTGGAGATTGTGTGCTCAAGAGGTGGACTGAGGTGCGTTAACTGCATTTGGGTTGTCTCAGTAGCGTCGTCGTAATGAGAAATTTTAATCTGGCAACAACACCATAACAATGTCTTTCCAGGTTCGTTGATGAGTGACTCGTTTGATCTTACCCACGGCATGCCGAACTTCGAGACTGAAATGGTGCCATTGATTTGTAGAACAGTCGACCGGCCAGACTAGGGACGTTTACACGCAGGACCGGGATACGTGACTCGGGCTTTGTTCCGGAGGGCAGGCCCCGAGTAATTATAGCTTGTTCCGTTCCGACAACGAATTGAATGCGTTGGGTTGAAAGTATTCATCCGCTTCGGATTTATTGAATAGTGACATTGCTTACAAAAAGTAAAATTTAAGCAATGCTACATAAAGAAGCAGCTTACCTAGCAGCTCATCAGCTCGCCAATACACGTAGACTGTTTTATTTGTACGTAAAGTGGCAGCTGTCAACTTCGCAAAGATCTTAGACTAGCGCCGGATTTGCGGAATAACGGGGGGCGATAGGGCTTGTCAGCGCCACTCTTTGTTCATGACGACGGTACTAGATATGGTATCAAGTGGGTCTGGTGGAAGATTTTAGAGCAAATGGATTCCGACGCGACTCTGACGTATAACAGCCCGTCGGCTCTGCGAGTCGACACCCCTTTTAATAATTCTTTGTCCTCCGAATGTCGGCATGTCACAGTGCTGTCCATCCCACGCAGCAGTGACAAACAATGAACGACTCGAGCGCCAGAGAAGCAGAACACAGACAAAGCACGACAACAGACGCTGCGACACGGCGAAATTCTGGAATGCGCCAGGATGTGGACGGGGTGGAAACCCTGAAGGAAGATGGCCTAAGGACTCCGCCCTCCGATAGCGACGACAGAGACGAGCCAGAACACCAGGCACTCGCAAAAACGAAAACGGCGCAGTCCATAGCCGAGACACTACCATGGTATCGCGAGCTTCTTTTCGTTGCTTTGGTCTGCCTTGCACAGCTTTATACCCGTGAGTTCCTAGACGTCTAGTCCTCAATCCCGATTAAGGGCGTTCTTGCTGAAACACTATTGCAGAGGCTGGACTCGGTCAGGTCCTGTCCATTATCCACATTATCGCCGAGGATTTCGACCTACCAGAATCGCAGCTGCCATGGTTCCTCGCGGGGTACAGTCTGACCGTCGGGACTTTCATCTTATTCTCGGGCCGTCTGGGCGACATGTTCGGATATAAGACTCTGTACATCATCGGCATGGCATGGTTTTCAATATGGAGCCTGGTCTGTGGGCTTTCTGTGTACTCGAGCCACGTTCTCTTCGTGTTTGGCCGAGTACTCCAGGGAATCGGCCCTGCCTTGGTGCTGCCAAACGGTCTTGCGCTTCTGGGTGCAGCTTACGAACCCGGGCTCAAGAAATCCATGGCATTTGCAGCATTCGCAGCGACTGCACCGGCTGGTTCTGTAATCGCAGCAGCTTTTTCGGGAGCGTTCGCCCTGGCGTGGTGGCCGTGGACGTTTTGGTGCTTCTCTGTAGTCCTTGCTTTGACCACAGTTCTGGCCTACTTTGTGATTCCCCCGGTACCATCATCACACAAGGAGAACCGACCGAGTACGTGGCGCGGCAAATTGCTGCATCTTGATCTCCCGGGAGCCCTCACTGGAATCGCAGGTCTTGTGTTGTTCAACTTTGCATGGAATCAGGCGCCACTTGTCGGCTGGGACATGCCTTATGTCTACGTGACGCTGATTCTTGGTCTGATATTCGTGGGAGCGTTTTTCTGGATCGAGATCAAGCACTCTCCTGAACCTCTTGTCCCGTTCCATGCCCTGACATCCGACGTGTCATTCGTCCTAGGGGCGGTTGCATGCGGGTGGGGATGCTTCGGTATCTGGGTTTGGTATACATGGGAGTTTTTGTTGCAGCTTCGGGCAAGATCACCATTGGAGGCCACTGCGAATTTCGTGCCTGTCGTTGTGTCCGGAGCCATCGCTGCAGCAGTCGTGGGATCTCTCCTACATCGCATTGGGCCACCGGTTATCATGACTGCAGCACTTGTTGCATTTACTGTCGGAACAGTCCTCGTAGCAACTTGTCCTATCGAGCAGACTTATTGGGCTCAGACCTTCGTCTCGTTCATCATTACGCCTTGGGGGATGGATATGAGTTTTCCAGCTGCGACCCTCATTCTGTCAAACGCCGTGTCGCGTGAGCACCAGGGAATTGCCGCCAGTCTTGTCAACACGGTGGTCAACTACAGTATTGCTCTGAGTTTGGGCATTGCAGGAACCATAGAGTTGAACCTCAACAATGGTGGGACAACCCAAGCAGATAAGCTGAAGGGTTACAGGGCGGCGCTCTATTTTGCTATTGGGCTGGCAGTGCTGGGAATAGTGGTCTGCATTGCTTTTCTCATCAAATCTAGGAAGAGTCCCAAGAGGCCACAGGATGATGAAAAGGCATAGAGCAAATATGCATCAAATTCTCTTGGTCAGACTCGGAGTTGACTGAGCATCACAGTCTTAGCGTAAATATGCCAAAATCATGACTTGTTCAGTGACCCGAAATAAGCTGGGGGTCCCATCCATACAAATGCTTCACAAGTCATATGTTGTGTTCGGCAGGTGCAACTTTCGAAAACACCAAGCATTGGCAGGACGCGGCGGGATCGATCCACCGGAGCACAAACTGGTCGCCTTTCAACCCTCTACTGCTATTGTGGACTTCTCTGCCACCTTTGATACTATTTTTGGAGCTCTCATCGGCCTAGAGAATATGTTTCGGCCATATTGTCCGGAGCGGCACATCTTCCTAGATGCACGCAAATGGCTCCGCGAACAACCAGATGAGGTAATTTGTGGCGTCTCAGCCCGAAAGGTCTGGCCGGTCTCTGCCGACTAGTTGGTTTTGGTCCAATTGAAACCAAGCGCTCCCTGGTGTCTAGGAATTTGCACAGAATTCATGTCTTCAAGTACTGAGTTGATCTGAGAGGACGTGCTTGGGCTTTCTTCAAAATTACTTCGAGCTCACTCTCGCAACCGGTGACCGTTGGATGGGGTAGCTGCTGCACAATAGTCACGAATATAAATGGCTGCCGCCCTGTTTCCCCTGAAAGTGAAATTCTGTGGACTATTCGGGTTTCATTTTTCATGCATTCATAGAGAGATTGCACATATTCCGGGGCGGGACGGAGACAACTACTTGGAAGATTGTCAATAGAGGAACAAAGCAAGACTCTGGGAGTTTCTACTTGCCGTTGCCATTGCTGTTGGTTATATAAAAGATTAGAGTAGCGATTGTTCGTGAGTCTGCCGAAAATACCGGATTCATTCGCATGGTATATGATATCTCATTCCTACACTCGGATTTGCGCATCAAGCTCATCCAAAAACTGGTATTCCACTTCGACATTCGTTTTCTCAACACCTCTCCGTTGCCTTCTACCCTGCAAGAAAATACTTCGCATATTTGTTTAAAGAAACAAAAATCCTTTTGGAAAAAGCTCCCTGAACTACACAATGATCAAATTCGTATGCGCGGCGCTTACGCTGCTTATTAGTTGTAATGCCATACAGGTTGTCGACATCCCCAATGATCTCGGAGTCGGAGCTGTAACGGCAGAATTTTCAGCCGGCCTGAACACATATTTAGATGGGCCGAAGCTATCTGGAGCTGCCAACGAATCGTCATTTGAGTGGTAAGTCATCATTTTGATTCTCTAGAATTTCAGCTTACGCAGCGCAGGTGGTACTTTGATGCTGTATCAAGTTCCAGCAATGCTAGCATCGTGATCGTCTTGTACAACAACGGCCCAAAAAGTTTCATCAACAAATATTTTGATAGCCCACTTTCAATTTCTATTAGCGGATTACTACCTAACGGATCTCTTATCAACCGTCAAGTGCCAGCCGCAGGCGCATCAATCAAGGTAGACAAGAATGGTTTATCGGCTGAGTGGAAAAATGCTGGCGTCCGCTTCACAGGGTCCAATCTCGCCCAAGGTCGAGTAACTTATACACTGAATGTGGACTCTCCTAATTACCTCGGTATTGAGGGAAGTATTACCTGGGAATCAGTGAGTACCACTCGCAGTCACCAGCCTTTTTGAGAATGTACTGACCTCTTTTCCCTTATCGCGGGATAGATGGCACCACCTCATTATCCCTGTAGCATGGACAAGCTTGGCGCGACCGAAGAAATCATGCCACACATAGGCTGGTCAAATGCAATCCCCGATGCCAAAGTCAACGTCGAACTAACCTTCAATGGCACTGACACCGTGGCCTTTGATGATGGAATCGGTTACCACGACAAGAACTGGGGCGATCGGCCGTTCTTTGAGAGTGCTGCGCAGTGGTATTGGGGCCACGGGCGCATAGGGCCTTACTCGGTCGTCTTCTTAGACTCCCTCGACACCACCGGTAGAGAGTACGCTGCAGGGTATGTGACTGAGGACGCCAGGGTGCTGCAGGCCAGTTGTACTCCTACGTCTGTCGTTGCTCGTGCTTGGGGTTCCAACAGTGAGTACCCTCCCACTTCCGGAAGCGGACCCCTAGACGGACTGGGTCTTCAATTTCAGTTGGGCGATGGATCAAAGTTTGTAGCGAACTACACTTCAGAGACCCTTCTTGTTGCAATACCTGGGTACCTCCGAACCATTGGCACCGTCGAAGGCGGAATCGAAGACGGGCAGAAATATACAGGACGGATGATATTCGAGCAGTTCACTTTCATCCCCTCAGAGCCAGCTCCTAACGCCGACAATTTGCACTAGTCTCACGATTCAGAACTTCTATAATCTCTGTATGTTATCATTCAAACCAAAAGCCAGTACTGGGTGCTGTTACAATGCTTGTAATTGGTTATTTAGACACTCATATCCGCTCGCAGTGGCGCATCAGGTGTAGTGAAACATACTGCGAAAAGCCTCGATACATTTCTATTCAATTCATCTCCTTTTTCGTGATATATAACGATATGATGTGTCTCTAGAACTACGCACTTTTGAGAATATGGTCAGAGGTGCTTGAGTCCTTGGTTCTGTACAAGCTATAAAAATAGAAACAAAACTAGAGAAATTCTCCTCCCCCGGGTGGGTACGATCCACCAACCTCCTGATTAACAGTCAGACGCGCTAGCCAGTTGCGCCACGGAGGATATCGAGAGCAGTCAAGGTTATTAGATCAAACTCGATTGTGGCAATCCCGCAGGGAGTGAGGCTCTATATACTCCGTGTACTTGACTCAGTCGACGATCTCTCTTCACGCCAAACAAATTATTCTAGCCCGAATATCTTTATCAGCGAGAGAATTCACGAACCTCGCAAATTGCAACACCACGTTCTATAAAGCGCAAGTTCTACTCGAAACCTATAATAATCCTTAGCGGACAACAGTCGCGCATAACGAAAGACTTGTGTAAGGTTGTTCTAGCATTAGAAGCGGATCGTCGCCTTGTCGATGCAACACAACTTGGTTATCTTTGCCTTGTTGACGTCTTGCAAGTGAAACAAAGTCCCGAGTGTGAATCTGATCATGGAATTATATTGTGCTTGCTTACATGACTGCATTTACTAATTTGCATGCAACCATGCAGACAACTTCTTAATACATTAAAGCTCTCAGGCAACGCAGTTGCTTTGTGCAACCTGCTGCACAGTGCCAGCAAGCTGCCCTGCGAGGCTACCTGCGCTGATAGTAGCCCACTCAGGGCTTTGTCCCAAAACCCAAACAGACTGAGCGGCATCAGCCACCAAAGCATTGATGCTGTTGTCATTTACGGTGATTCTGTAGCACTGCCCACACTGACCGCACAATGTTGTTAGCATCTATATGAACGAGTGGCACAAGAGATCTCTATATGTATGAGCGCAGAGTAATTTAAGGTCGAAGTCAAAATCACTTCGGGCCACTCAAAAACTCACTTCAGTGCGGTTGACTGCAAGAGGGGACGCAACAAGGTTGGCTTGAATCTGGCTGAGTGTGGTCCACCCCTTCGAGGCGGCAAGTGTCGAGAAGGGGTTGGGGCCCTCTGCGCCGCCACAGGCCGTGTTCGCGACGGCGAAGTCAGAGTCATATACAGGATTGAAGCTGATGGTAGCCGGGGATTGGGCTAAACAAAGACCCAGAGTGGTAGCCACGAGCGCCAGGTTTCCGAAAGCGACCATTATGGTATTTTCTCAAGTAAGCTGTCTTAGACAGTGAATAGCCTGGAAGCGAGTGATGGGAATGAGAACTTTGTAAATGTGGAAAGATGATGCTCACGGTTCATTGAATTTGCCTGGGTGAACACACCTGTGCATTTGTAGGGTGAACCTCATTTACGTCCCGACGTTGCCGTCCAGGAAGTGTACAATCTGCAAATAGCATACTTCAATGGTTAATGCCAAGACTGGTGCCAGGAAGTCTTCTAGCCTCCGTTCCTCTGATTCGGGAATACCCTCCGTCTTGTTTCATGGATGGCCGCCCGTATTGTGGTGCAAAAAGCTAAACTCCGAAGCTCCAGGCTGGCAGCTTGGTCCGAGACTGTGATTCTGTACTTTTCCGCATCCATGTGCGTATGTGAACAAAATCTTACTCTTCATAGATGAGCCATTGCACAAGTCGAGTTTAGTACATGCCTACGTGGACTGGCCCTACGAGATGACCTCTGCCGTATGACATGATCCCAGTGGACGTTTTCTCCGCGGCAGCTTCGCACCAGACTGTGATTGCACTACCAGTCCCAGTATAAGACGTTGAACTACTGGCCCACCGTCCTGAATGTATGGCTCTGGTGGTTACCATAGCAGCTCTTCATTGATTCCCGAATGGTGTCCTGGGTGAACGTCGCTATGCCCTGACTTGCCCAACTACCCAGTCATTCTCTGGTCAAGAGTCTGTCGATAGTTTAATTGACTTGACCCAATTCGGCGACACGTGAATCATGCGCAGAATCTAAAACTTTGCTCGGCGACGGATACGCGTTTGTCGAAACGAATTTTCTGAACATTTTAAGCGACCCAGGAGGGATACCCTGTCGAATAGACTTCTGTATCCACAAGACGTTCCGTCGCTTACTTGAAAGTCTATCAATTGCGATTCCTGCTCTAGCCACCAAGATTTCGAAGTGGCACCCAGCAATTTTCAATCTCTGCAGATCGAACTGCTTGTACATGCCATACTCATGTTGATGACAGGCTTCCTTCCTATAAGCCGAGCCCTCCGGTGCGACTGCATCTTGATCTCCTTATCTCGAGGATGCACAGAAATCGTTCCGGTTCTATAGAGACTCGCATGAAGGGATCTCGGACTTTCTGCTTAGGTTGTGAAAAGTAAACAGCGTTACGAAGTCAAATAAGATCTCTCGGAATTGCTGTGTCAGAAAAGAAGCTCAAATATGTACGGTCATGATATTTTTAAGCCCTAGCGCATCATTGGCGCCATCAAGGGTTTTGCCAATATTCTCGAAGATGGCTTCGAAGAGAGAGTGAAATATGAAAGCCGGGAATTAGAGAGCTCAAGAGCATTATTGGGCTCCGACGAAGCTTCAAGAGCATCCACAATACCAAGGGGCTCATATACATAGAAGGAATATGAATATTACTGTAGTAAGGACCCAAAATTGTCTCTCTAAGGTCCCCGTCTCTAAACAAACGGGTAGTCGTCTTATCACCGCCCTACCTCTATTGTCCCGGAGAGCCCGTACCAAGCGTAGAGTTGGTCTCTTGACCAACGGTTGCAATGTTTGTCCACCTTGAACAAGGTGGCAGACCAGGTAAAAAGAAAGCAATACATAATTTCACCACTGAGTAAAAACCAGGAAAGATGCATAGGTGGAACAACGTAGGTTTTTCCTCTGATCTTATGACCGCGTTACTGCTACTTTTTGCATGAGTCTCATGTCTCGCACTAACCGGACAGGCCGGACGCTGGTTGTACAAGCAGTGTTGTTGTGGTGTTACTCAAGGTAGACTACTGTGGAATACGAGAAGGATTGCATGTGGGCCCCACAACACGGCAATAACCCAGTTCCAGGCAACCGTTCTTCGTGTATCGGCATACGCGATGTGACCACCTCGATATTGAGCAAGCGCCTCCCGCTCGAGTGTCACGCTGTACCGCCCAAGAGGGAAATGAATTGCCACTAAACACCACGTTTGGCCAGTAGGGTAGCCTGAATGGCTAGGTGACGCTCGTTGATTTGGGATTATGTGAGATAGAAGCAAAGCAAAACATCGCTGCGCAGTTATTGGACATATAGATCGAACGCAAGGACTCACCGGTGCGTAGAGCCCCGTCTCCTGAATAAAGAAGCCATAAAATTATGATCTGACAGTGGTACAGCAGGGGTCTTGAGCAGCTGGAGAACTGAAGAGGTCTTCGGGGAAGGACTCCGAACACCAGCCATATCCACAGGAACACGCTAGACGGCGCCCTAGGCAATGCAGCTGCAGGACAAGTTTTTTTCGACCTCAACAATTGAAGATCGCCATTTATTTAAAGTCTAGTGATTCCTTGATGCCTCTGGAAAAAAACCATCACCATCACCAATTCTAACCATACCCCTGTGTTCCTATCAGAGTCCCAGAGACAAGACGCACCTGTTTCTGGAAACCAAGATGCACTTCGCAACTCTCGTCGCCGCCTCATTCTTGGCTGTTGTCTCGGCTCAAGACACTTCCTATCCAACGATCAACCTTGGAGTCTTTGGTTACCCCCACGGAAACCAATTCGTCGCCTGGTCACCCTTTACACCAACCAAGACACAGGAAGTCGCCGAAGTATGCGACACGAGAGGCGCCATAAAGGGCACGGCGACATGGACCGCAATCAGAGTCTACAACACTTACGTGTTTGACCCTATCTGCCGCAATCCCTTCAACATCACCGACGACACCACCAACACCACCTACTATAACCTCGAGCTGGCGTGTGAGGACGATAACATAGATCTCACTGCGATTCCCCAGGTCACTGCCGTTGTCGACACAGCCACCAACAAGACGATCGAGACATGTGCCCCAGTGCCCTCGGACGGTCAGTATGACTGGTATGCGCAATGCACTAAAGATAGATCGGCAGGCCTGTCGTGGATGTTTTCCTGCTCCGCTCCAGAAGGTCAGGAGTGAATGAGTATTTCGGGGTTGCGAGAGTTGTGGTAAGGATGGGACGTGGGAGCCATTACTCACAATTGTATATATGGGCTCACTGTGAGGAACCATCTTAAGAACACATTCGCGTGTTCTCTGTTGGTCAAAAAAGCCATACAGGACAAGGAATCAGACCGATATAGAATCTTTCAGCGCAAAACAATTCATTGATCTGCATAAATTGGACTGCATGATCCAGAAATCGTTGCAAGATAAATTTTGTCCTGGTACAATATGTTCCTGATAGATTTAGGTACCACATGAGCATTCGCAGCTGGGGCTGTCCACTCGGCTTTGCCGCAGAATTTGAGAAGACGTTTGGGCATATACGTAGAGACTTCAAGTGGCTCTTCGACTTTATGGACCCTCAGCTCAGTTCACAATCCATTTGGACCAGGATAATCTTGTTCTCCGCCGATCTCCAATTTGTAGGTTCACCTGTTTTAGTAGACCGTCATGCCTTTCCAGACTATCTGTGCTTTGCCACCGGATCGACCGAGCTACTCACCAAGCGAAGATGTAATACATGAGATACTGACGAATGTAGTTTACGAATTGTGGTACAAGCTTAGGGGCCTCGTCATGGGCAGCCCGCAGTTGACTGACTGGAAGGGGCTGGCGGCTGACCATGCGACTCTGGACCGATGCCAGCAAAAGGCGCGATTGCCGGCAGATCGCGTTATTTCATGCTGAAGGAATAGAACCTCATTGAAACTCACCGAAGTCGGGGTAATGTCCCACGAAAGGGCATGTTAAGCCCTCTCCGAAAGTTCCTCGATTCCTGTCTTTTCCAATGTACATCCAAGAACAGAGCAAGCTTGTAGGGTTTGGGGTCAGGCCCCTAGACCAGAGCTTGATTCTCCTAACCCTGGCCGTCAGCTAGGTTATGCCGCTTGAATGAGAAAAACACGTCATGGGCTACTGTCTCAACGACACTGCTCTTTTGCCCCGGCCCGTTCCCATCGATGCATTCTCTGCTGGCTCCTCGGCTCTGTTCACATCGGCGAGCATTAACGAGCACAAATCTCATACCACAATGGCGGCGATCGTGCATACACTTCTGGCACTGCTTACACCAGAACGGCCTCCCGGGTCAGACAAAGCTACTTGACTACCAGGAAGCCGCAGTGCCAAACATCGGGCAGAGAGAGATTAGATTTTGGAAAGGATCAAAATACCTAGGGATCTTCCCCGTCCAGCAAATTCTTGACGACTACATGGGCCCAGGCAGAATGCTCAGCATCAAGAGCGACCAATCCAAGTCCGAACGCACCCCAACCCAGGACTACGACTACGAAGTGCGCAGCTTCAATACCACTGGCACTTGGAGGCCCATTAACGAGTTGGTTAAGGGTTTCAAAGCCAAAGAAATCTTTGTGAAGCCAACAGTAAAGCCAGAACCCCTAAAGCACGCCCTAGAGCTGGCATTCAAGTTTCTGGAACGTGGGAAAGCCAAGTTTCCGGTCGAATTCCACATCAAGTCAAAGAAGGTGCTGAGCCACGCGGACCTCTCACTGTTAACCAACACTCGCCTTGACCTGCACCCGGCTGTCATCCTGCGCTCCCTGCCCGAGAACGTGCACCAAATCGTCAAGCCGCATGTCGACATCCAAGCGGGCGATGCTGTGTGGGTCGTCTCGCGGCCAGGCCTCAGAGTGCCCGGGCGCAACGAGTATCTGTCTAAAAGTCCAGACAAAATGGTGAAACAGGTTGAAGAGATGATCACTCAGAGGAGGGATTCGGTAGAGAACCTAATCGACGCCGGCGAACTGACGCGGGATGGAAAGATGGTCAAGCAGGTTGAAGAGATGATCACTCAGAGGAGGGAGTCGGTAGAGAAGCTTGTCGACGTCGGGGAACTGACGCGGGATGGAAACATGGTTGGAAAGACAACTTACGAGCCTCGGCGAGAACCGAAGAGACCGGAACTAAAGTCGAGAGTGCCAGCATTGAAAGGCCTGAGTTGGATCAGACGAGGAAGGCAAGGAGACGGCGATGAGTGAGTTTGATACTCACTAGTAAGACTTTCACCAAATTGGCCCTGGTTTATGGATGGGGCGTTTGGCATCGTGCCTAAGTGGTGCATTTACAACCTTACAACGGCAGCAGTACTAATTCGCTTTCCTGTGTCGTCGACTTCTATCGCCTGACCCGAGTACTGTTCGGCTATTTCAACGCAGCGTCCACTTCGACGAATGACCGATCTTGTCCTTCCGCAGCATACACCATGGTCTATGAATGGTCCAAGCCAATGACCCCTAGAGATTTATGCCAGGCAGGTCACCATTGAAGCCTATGGCTACCCAAATCCCTAGAATTTGAGCTTGGGCTTCGTAAGACACTTACTCAATTGGTGTTGGGCATGCTTGCATTCTTGTTTAAGTGCATGCTGTTGAGGTCTTCGGGCCAAAATTGGGACAGGTGCGATCTTCAGGTGCTTTTAGCTTTTTGTCTGGTTTTGGAGGGTGGTTGTGACAATTCTGATTTATTTCGGACCGTGGACGCAATCATCTGCACGGCCTCGACGAAGTATGTTGGACCTGGATAGCACATTGGCGAGGGGCGTTTATTGGGGGTGTTGATGGCTCAGACAGATGCCACTGACGGAGTATTTTCCTTGGGTTAGGTGGACGGTGGGGTAAGGGTTGTCGCGGTTTCCGACGCGTGCTCCGACGACGTCATGTCTGCCTGCACGCAAAAGGGCGCGTTGTAGAAGCGTGAGGAATAACTTTCTTCGCTCCAACCGGCCAGAACGCTGGTGTAGGATCAATACAATATCATGCGACAACCATGGCGACTCAACAAGATTTACAGGAGCTTCTGCGGCTGCAGACAGCTCGCAAGATGCCAATGAAGGATGCCATGGTTCAGATCAAGGCTCTCCAAAGCGCAGGTCTCAGAAGGTGAGCCCCGCCCTGGCTGTGAATTGGCAGACATGGTGGACACCTTTTTGATCCTTAACAGTGTCCAGCAAATCGCCGATGCGCCACTGAAGACAGTCGAAACTGCCATTAGCGACGCGAAAGCTGCGCGGTCCCTACAGAATGCCTGCAAGGCACATCTCAAGCGCATGCAGGCCTCTCCCACCTCTGCCGGCAAACGCCCTGCGGCCGGGACGGCCACCCAGGAACAGGCAAGCAAGAGGACCAGGCTCTCTGGCGGCGATGGCTATATGCTTGGACCTACCGATATGACCCCTGAAGAGCTCGAGTCCTCCCTGTCCCTACCCCTCGACACCGACCAAGACCGAATCGCCGAGACGGCAATCCAGACGAACCGTGCTCCTCTAGTACTCGCGTTTGCAGTCGAGCTTTTGCGTCACACAATGCCTGAACAGCCTCCCTCTAGCAGGCTGTCCCTGGCGCAGGCCGTGGTCAGCGCCAATTCGCGTTCCAAAGCTGTGAGCATAGGGCTGGATAAGGGGCCAAGTGCAGACGAGGAAGGCTGGGGCGAGGGGCAGCCGAGGATTAGGGTGATGGGCCGGGAAATCGCTGTCCTTAAAAGAGGAGGGTACCAATGGAAGGGTGAGGAGGAGGAGCAGACACAAGAGTCGGGCACAAAGGGCGGCGCCACGGAACCCGAGTCTACCGGGTCAACGTCGACACTGCAGGCTGAAGATGATGCCAACCAGGCAACACCAGTACCACCCAATGCCTGGTCGACAAGCCCATCAGTCTCCTTGAAGAAATCGACCTTTATTGCCCGTGCAACAGCCATAACCGAACCTTCTCAGCGACCGAAGCTTCTCAAGTCCCTCCTTGACACACACCCGGAGCTTAGGACTGCGTCTCACAACGTCTGGGCCTACCGCATCCACGCTTCCGAGAAAGCCATAAGCAATCACCCCCGCGAAGCCTCCCACGACGACGGCGAGTCAGGCGCCGGAGACCTGCTCCTCCGCATCCTCCGCGAGACAAACACCATCGATACCCTCGTCGTGCTGACGCGGTGGTACGGCGGGATTATGCTGGGCCCAGACCGCTGGCGGCTGATGCGCAACGTGGCCACGTCCGCGCTGTCGGAGCGATTGCGCAGGACCGGCGTCGAGGCATCCCTAGGCGGCGAGGCGGTATGGGGACTCGACCTAGAGGGCATCAAGACCAAGTCCAAAGCCTCAGCTGCTGCGGGCGGCCTGCTGACCCACCGCCCCGAGGCGGCGCGCAGCTACCTGCTCAAGAGCTTCGCCAGCGCCCCTGCGGATGCCGGCGGCGAGGACGCCGGGTCGGCTGCCAAGAAGAAGACTATCAAGGCCGAGAACGCGGAGAAGGAGGAGAACCTCGGGCTGCTACTCGGGGCGCTCCGGCTGCTGTTTGACAGTTGGGCAGACTTCTTGACGGCAGAAGAGCTGGACCGGCGGGCGTGGAGCTGGTATACTGCCGTCCGGCCAGAGGTGGACTTTGGGCCGTCTGGCTGGGGCGCCAAGGGAACGTTGCGGCTGAAGACCGTACTGGACTTGCGGAGGAAGGCCGCCTGAGATTGGTGAGAAGTCAATAATTTCTGTGCAGCTATACGGATGGGCATAGGCGTTGAGTGCTTATGGGTGGCGAGGAGTTTGTTTGTACTTTTTGGGAATTTTTCCGGTCTACTTCCCTCTTTTTAGGGAGAATCATGATACCCTTTTTACCGTTTAGATTGCCATGGTGCCCCTTTTCAGTTCTCAAGAGTATTTCAAACGCACGAATCAAAAAGGAATGTGGCATGGAAGCTTCACAAGAGCAGATATAAGGAGACAGGACCTGTGGCCTCTCAATTCAGCTTCGTTGGCTAATTCATAGCCGGCCTGGGTAGCCATGGGTTGGTACTGCGAATTGTAAGACCAAGTCCCTGAGCACATGATGTTCTATTCTCAGTAATGACGAAGTCTCTTTGGGGGCTTGTGGGTGAAATGACTTCCTCACAAGATCCTCGAAGTCGGCTCGCCTGCGTGTGTTCTTTCCTATTTCAGGGTGTTTCTCTTCCAAGCTCAGACATGCCGTGCTGTGCGGGTGCTCAATCCCAGGAAACTTTACCTTGGTGGCCGCGCCTGCTACGGACAAATGTAGCCACTTCGAGACTGCCAACCTAAGGATATGTGCGTGGTGCCTTCTTCCTCCCACCTCCAGTTTCCACTTGGCCCATCACTTTCTTGCCATCCTGGGCCTCATCCCTCCAGCCACCAACCTGACCACGTCGACTTCATCCATCGGAACAAATAAGAGTGAATCAACGTGGCCGCCGCAGTCGAGAACCCGATAACAAAGTCTTCCTCCAAAAAAGAAGCACCGCTTGACTTCTCCTTCACAATGGGGCCCTCCAACGCAAACCGCAAGAGACCGACCGAATTCACACGCAAGGCCATTGGCCAAAGAACTGCCTGGCACAAGGCCTACAAACATCACAACCTATCCAATATTATCACTGGCAAGATCCCCAAGGTCATACGGGCCATCGATAGCGCCAAGGCAAGGCTGAAGAAAGCGAGGACTGAGAAAGCTGCCGATGTGGAGTGTCGACATCTTGAGAGAAGCCTATTGGCCATCAACGACAGCTACACAAAGATCAGAAACATTTTGCGGGAAGGGTACGTCTGTACACATGAATTTTGCCTTTTATGGTCTCTTCCATTCATACCCAACCTTTATGGTGCGGTTCCCATTTCCTGGTTTTCTTAGTATAGGCTGTCCATTCGCCAACCAAACTCAGCAAATTGTTATCGACAACGAACCACTAACGCTATGTTCTTTCATTAGGAATGACATGCATCGATGGAACGAGTTCCCAGGTCTTGAAGCAGTGGTCAACCAAGTCGACAGCATAGTCTGGTCTGATTTAAAAGGCAAAGGCATTCCTGGTGGGCGGGTCGAATTTGATCTCCCCAAATTTGACAACGGCACTTCGCTGAGCAAGGCCAAGGCCAAGAAACCCAAAAGCGTGGCCACTGATATCGTTGACAAGAGCAAATCAACACAGACGCAGAGCCCGAACAAACCAGGGCTGTCGATGGAAACTAAATCCTCAAAACTGCATCCACGACCAGAGTTCGCGGGCCCCGACGACCAACAGCAGCATCTTCACCAGTACGTTTATTCGACCCAATCGGTCCTTGGTGGCGATCCTCGTATTCCGAATTTTCACTGGACGCCTCAGCTTCAACGCTCTTATCCGGCTCATCCTCCATATCCCTGGCAAGAGCCCGTGCAATCGTACTACCATTCCCATGTCCTCTCCTACCATGTCATGCCTTACTACCAGGTCGACAACTGCAAGCCTGGACCCGGCAGATCTGATCATGGGCAACCCGAACCTCGAATCTCAGGCAGTCCTGGTCAACCCCAGCCTCATGCCTTCTCACAGCCTCCCGCGGCTGGAAGGCATCACGGCTTTGCACCTGTTGTATTTCTGTCATCTCCTGCATTTCAACCCTCTGGCCCTCCAGCACCGAACTCAAGTGCTCCACAAAAGCCACCTGTGACTTTGGAGACACTTTCGACTTCAGAATTGGGACCCGTCATAGCGAAGCAGCCTGACAACCAGCAACTATGCAAGAGGGAGTCTCCTGACCCACTGGAGCCTTCAATATCCGATCATCAGCGCTGCAAGAGGGAATCTTCTGACTCAGTTCAGCCCTTGGAATCCGGTCATCCGCGACTCCTCAAGCGCCGTAGGGCAGTTGGAACCGAGACTGTGTCTGAGGCTGATGACCCTCAGTCCAGCAAGCGCAGGCCTTTGCGACTTCCAAATGGCCTGCCAGACTCAGATTTTGGGACTTGGTTTGAACACAAGGTCACTCGCAACAAAAACAAGCTGAGCCGCATACGCTCGGATCTTGGTGCCTCTGGCTCGCCTCGGTGATTATCATCTCGGTAGGTCAGGTTTTATGCTCAGTTCGCATGGCCCTGGAGCTGGACACCACGTGCCCAAGACAGGCTGAGGAACAATCTGGAAGAATGACTGGCTTGATTGAGATCCCAAGAAGCGGGTGTTAAATGAACGTGCGGAGCGGTTGGGGGGGGGGGGGAGAGCGATACGCACAACTCCTTGCGAGCCATCATCAGCCCCAAACGAGTTTCTGGCAGCACAGATTTGCTAGGAATTCCCAGGCGTGTCATCCGAGTGCTATATTTAATGCTTCGCAAGCTGCAGATTAGCTCGGGGATGGACACTTCAAGAACTCAGGAACTCGCGTCAAACAGAAAATGGCGTGGATGTTGCCAGAACTGGGTGCCTAGTGCGATAACAAAACAAAATTACATTTGCCGTTTGCGTTACCGGTTTCTAAGGACAAATTCTTTGGGACAAGTTCGTCCCAGAGTCCAGCGTCAGGATGAAGCGAGCTCCCTGTCTTGATTGGTGTAGCTGAACTAGGCTCGGTGCAACCACATCTATCACGGTCGCAGAAACCCTGCTGGAATAGCGTCAACGGAAGGATACGGTGGCTGGCTGGAGTCCACTTTCGACAAGTTGCAGTCAGCGACTTATGCACCTTGAGTACCTGTGGAAATGATGAGGAGAAAAGATCTACACGTGTTTGACGCCCGAGCCGACAAGGAAACCATGACTTCTGTCACACAAATGAAGAGCTGCAGCAAAATACTACTTACCTAGCCGCCAAACACGTCATTTACGTGCATGGACAGAGTGAACTCCGCCTCGAGTTTTCTGTAACTCTACCTCGGTATCGCTCGTGATCAGGCGAGTCGCTTCAACGTGCAAACACCCATTTCATTTACATGGCAAGAACACGGAAGATCAGCGTGTGGTACCATCATCCCTCGGCAACATGTGCAGCCATTTTTTTTCGCATTGCAAGACCCGAAAGAGCAGGAGCATCTGGGGATGACGTATTCGCGAAAGGGGTTTTACGGCTAGGCAGACTTTCAACCTCTTAAACTTGCTATAGTTCACTATATCTGCCTTGCGTCTCGGCCGGCTGCCCATTCACCGCGTTTTCTGGTTGAGCGTTTAACCGTACGCAAGTAGTATGATAATAGTAGTAATAGCGCCTACGTCAGTAAAGTCTAGCACGTGTCTATGTACTATTTTGACAGATAATAACAATGAGCAGGGGTTCTGTATTATTAGTCCGAGCGGCATAAACTTACTCCCTGCGGATCATCCCGTCCCATGTTCTGGATAGGACTAGATTTCCGGACAAACAAGTCCAATTGAGATGAATTTACCAATAGTGTGATATAAACTGAGTGTCAGCTGAATATATTCTGCGCGGAATGTAACTCAAATGCAGCTCAGATATATCATACAAGGTCCGGGTATCGAAAAATAAACAACAACCTCGCATGAGCTAACTAACGGAGTATACTGCACATTGCCAAATCAGTGGCCGCTTATGGAAGATGTAGACACAGAGTGAAATATATGTCTTGTGTCACCTAGGTTCAAACCTCCTCTCTAAGTCCTGTACACATGTATACTCTTTCGTGCCGCAGCAAATGCTTCAATATGACGGCGGCACGACTTATCATCGCACTGTTGCTATCCTTTGGAGCCTGTGTCCCTGTTTCGGACAACGCAAAGAGACAAGATGCCGCATTTGACTATGTCATCGTGGGCGGAGGCACAGCAGGCCTTACACTTGCGGCCAGGCTTTCTGAGGACCCGTCTACCTCAGTTGCTGTCATCGAGGCCGGCACTTATTACTCAATCACAGATCCTTTGCTAGCTTCGACTCCAGCAGGCGACACAGTAAGCCCCAAACAGTTGAATGTGAGGTTTTTGAACTAACTGAGAAACAATCAAAAAGCTTTTTGCCGGGAGTTCTCCCACTGACACGAACCCGCTTGTAGACTGGGACTTCGTCACTACACCTCAGACAGGCGCAAATAATCGCCCGATTCGCTACCCACGGGGTAAATGCCTAGGAGGCAGGTAAGCAGCCTATGTAGTCCATTGGGGTGCATTGTCGCACGTGCTGTGCTTCCCGGCTGATTGATTGATGCAGCTCAGCCCTCAACTTCATGATTTATCAACGTCCAGACACTGGCTCTATGCAACTCTGGGCTGACGCAGTCGGAGATCAAAGCTACACCTTCGAGAACATGTTACCTTACTACAAGAAGAGCGTGCAATTCACGCCACCTGATACGAACCTGAGAGATCCCAATGCAACGGCCCAGTATGATGCCAGCGCGTTCGATTCAACTGGTGGACCTCTGCGGGTGTCCTATGCCAACTACGCACAGCCATTCTCCAGCTATCTCCAGCCGGCAATGGAAGAGATTGGAATCGCCGCAGCCAAGGACTTCAACAGCGGGGCTGTTATGGGCGCACAGTATTGCAGCTCGACCATTAATCCTGATAACGAAAATCGGGACTCGTCCCAGACCTCATTTCTCAGCGCGGCAGAGTCGAGGCCGAATCTTCAGATTTATCACTCAACTAAGGCGAGCAAGGTCCTCTTTGATGGGAATAAGGCTGCCACAGGCGTGTTGCTCGATTCCAACTTGACGCTCTCGGCCAACAAAGAGGTCATTCTCTCGGCAGGGGCATTTCAAACTCCTCAGCTCCTGATGCTCTCAGGGATTGGGCCTGCCGAGACGCTTGAGAGATTCGACATTCCCGTTCTTGCTGACCGGCCCGGTGTGGGACAGAACTTGACAGACCACATCTTCTTTGGGCCATCGTACCGCGTCAACGTGCAAACGCTCACGTACCTCGCCAACAACCTTCTGTACGTCACTGAGCAGTACGCAACAGCATTTCTTCCTTTCAAAGAGGGCCCTCTTACCAATCCCGTCTGCGACTTCCTCGGGTGGGAGAAGGCACCGCGAGCGGCCATCACTCCCAGCGCAGCCACAGCGCTGGGCCAGCTGCCCGACTCGTGGCCCGAGATCGAGTACCTGACAGCGCCAGGCTACGTCGGGGCCTTCACCAACCTCTTCCTCACCCAGCCCAACGACGGCTACCAGTACGCTACGATCCTCGCCGCCCTGGTCGCGCCGCAGTCCCGCGGGACAGTGACCCTCTCCTCGAGCGACGTGAACGACCTGCCTGTAGTGGACCCAGCCTGGCTGACGGACCCGACGGACCAGTCCGTCGCGGTGGCGGCGTACAAGCGCACGAGACAGGCCTTCGCATCCGACGCGATGCAGCCCGTCCTCGCTGATGCCACCGAGTACTTCCCCGGCCCTTCGGTGCAGAGCGACGAGCAGATTCTCAACACGGTGCGCGATACCCTCATGACGGTGTACCATGCGAGTTGCACCGCTCGCATGGGCACCGCCGACGACCCGACGGCCGTGGTGGACAGCAGCGCCAGGGTCATCGGCGTGCAGCGGCTGCGGGTCGTGGATGCGAGCAGCTTTGCGCTGCTGCCTCCAGGTCATCCTCAGAGTACCGTGTATGCTTTTGCCGAGAAGATCGCCGATGAAATCAAGGCTGGGAGGTAGAGGCCGGAACGACGATGGGACACAGGGATTCTGCAAGCGGTGTAACTGAGCCCATCGAGAATGATCTACCAGTGACAATGAGTGTAGGAGGGAAGGCGACTGTCTGCGTACATACAAGAACCTACGAGTATTTACTAAGCACATGTGTACATACATACCCTCATCACCTTCACCAATCTGCTCACGAAAGCCCAAATAAGTTGTTGCAATTTACATTCCTCCGACGTGGGCGAAGGGAATCGAATGAAAACCCTCGTCAAACTTACATGTACGTATAGCTTCTCTTATGGCAACGAGTTGGCAGCCAATCGCAATGCTTCGCACATCTCAGTAGCAATGGTAATAATTGGACACGGCTCCAAAACTAACTGTTTACAGGTCCTCTTCCTCTTGATTTGTAGGCGAGGACGTGCCGAACACCCAGCTGCAGGATGGCAATATATCAATTGCTTACAGAACACAATCAGTCTAGATTGTCTGACAGCTCAGAGTGCTTAGAGATGCTTATAGTAGTGATCCGAGTCCTATAAATACTTGCCAGTAATGGACTCCTGAATATATACTGAGAGATTCTTTAGCGAAGTTTCGCATTCTGGCAGTCATTTGAAATATTCAGAGTTGGGAGTTCTTTGCCACATGTCACCTTCCACACCCACGAGGACGATGGCAGCCACAGTGTCAATCATTGTCAAGATAGGGCTCGCAGGCTGATCAATACGGATTGGGAAAAGTATCGGCTCTGCAGTTTCAGGGGAATACCTGTCCCAGACCGGTTAGCTTATGACCTAGCAGTCTTACCTGCGTGGCCTATCATTACATGCACTGAAAAGGGGGTCGGCGCCTGACAAAGTGAATACGCCTACTCCAAGGCAGACACGCTTGAGCCCTGTATGTCGCTTTTCTATTCGTTTGGCCCCTCTGCGCCAGCCTGGGATCTTCGCAAGGAAGCAGCTGTGATTTTTCCATCAAGGCCTCCGCGAAGAAGTTCGACGATAGTTCCTAGGAATCGTAGCACCCAAGATCCCACAGTCGAAGCAAATCCTTAACATCCTGCCCCGGTCATGCGGCTAATTCACACCCGGACGCTTGAGCTCTTGGAGTTCTCCGGCGACAAGATACCCGAGGAATACGCCATCCTGTCTCACACATGGGAAGATGAGGAGGTCACTTTTCAAGACTGGCAGGATCTGAGTGTTGCCAAGAAGAAGAAAGGCTTCTTCAAAATCGACAAGGCATGCAAACAGGCTCAAGCGCATGGTTTGAATTACCTCTGGGTCGACACAAATTGCATTGATAAGAGTAGCTCAGCAGAACTGAGCGAGGCGGTCAACTCCATGTTCAGCTGGTATCAAGAGGCTACCACTTGTTATGCATTTCTATCCGACGTTAAACCAATGCCTCGAGAGTGCGAAAGCGTGACAGAGGACTATGTAAAGCATTTCTGCGAAAGCAAGTGGTTTACTCGCGGTTGGACGCTTCAGGAGCTTTTGGCTCCTTTCGCGATAACTTTCTTCTCTCTGGACTGGTCGGAAATAGCCTCTCGCTCAACAATGGCACAGGCCATTTCTGAGACAACCCGAATCGATACGGAATACCTCCAAGGGAATCGGCGGTATAAGAAGGCGAGTATAGCACAAAAGATGTCTTGGGTATCCAGAAGAGTTACTACAAGAGTCGAAGACATGGCATACTGCATGTTGGGTATCTTCGAAATCAATATGCCATTACTCTACGGGGAAGGAACTAAGTCGTTCACAAGACTACAGGAGGAGATTATTCGGCACTCGAACGATCAGACTATATTCTGTTGGACCTGGGTTGACCTGGTGCCTCCCGGATGGGCCAGTTTGCTCGCTCCTTGTCCACAAGCATTCAGGTACTCAGCAAACTATGTCAGCGTCGATTCCAGAATCATCAACAAAGTCACATTCAAGATGACCAACGCCGGTCTTTCGATTGTTCTTCCAGTCGCCCAAACCTGGTCCTACTATCTCGGGATCTTGAATGCTAAGCTTCACTATCATCCCACTGATTATACTTCTCGCCTAGCCTGCGTGCCACTCCAGGGATATCTAGACACGGACCGGATGGGAAGGAGAGGCGCTATGCAAAGAATCCCATTTCCTCCAGGACCGGTATCTGTCTATCCTCCGTGGGTCTTGTGCCAATCGCAGTTATACGTGAGGTCCAACCCATCTCCCGGACCTTTTTTGTCTACTGCCTCGTCTTGCACACCTTCGAGACGCAATCAGTATTCCTTTTTGCTTGTCTTTGACAGCGCTGAGGATCTACTTGATGACAAGACTCGGTCTTCTGGAGTCATGAAATCGAGAATGTTTAATGGTATTTGCCTTATGGAATCAGCGAGGGACATTATTGGCATCAATGTTTTCCCTCCTGACGCTTTCAATCGCAGAAAGAGCTTAATAACGTTCAACAGGATGTCATCCCACTCTGGAGCCTTAATAAAACTCGGGATGAAAGAACAGACACGTGTATTATTTATCGGAGTAAGCTTTCGCTCCCATCGGACATTCCGATGCTGCGGCATTGTCCCTAGGTCCGTTGTAAACGCAACACCGCCTGGACCTGAGCTCCTCGATAGACAACTAAATGTTATGAGGGCTAAGGATAAGGATTGCGAGGTCAGCTGGGGGGATGGAATCGGAATCACCATGGGTGAGGCAGTCCATGGCAATTCTGGCATGATCTGTGTAACTCATATAACTTGCGACCGGGGGAATGTTGGGCTAAACAGATTCGAACGGGGGAATGTCGACCTGAACAGATTGTGAGATTAATCAAACCGTGATTGGATTTCGGGTGGCAATAGTGACGCCAATCTAGATATCGTTGTAGCAGTTGGGCGAGTAGACGCCCTATTAGTAACTGGTTAAAAGACCATTAGTGGAATGACTGTCCTGGATATATCAACGATGCGGTAACAGGGACACATGGAAACAAACAATCCAGTCCTCGTTGAAGTCTTGTAGTTCTCGGCCATGTTCAATTGATTGTCGCACTAGACTACCAATAGAGTTAGTTGGCGTAGTGGAGCCCCACTGGTGCTGAAGGCTTCAATGCATATAATCATGGATAGAAGTGGTGTGATGTAATACCATGACCGCATAAGGGTGACCGAGTCCTGCCGTCCACCTCAAGAGAATCACAAAGCTGCTCCCCAAGCTTTTGACTGGCTGATTCGCAATCCCACGTAATCGTCGCCCATGAGTCCTCCATTGACGGCTATAATAAGGGGCCTTTGCCTCCTGTGCCTACCGTAGGTGTTCCTTCTCTTAGCGCCGCAACAACTCATCTACCTAGATCCCTAGCTCTCATTTTCAATTGTCTTGCAGTGCCTTGCAAAATCATACGATATCGTGCAGCCGAGTACCTCAAACTTCATTGTGGCTTGTAGTAGTGCGCAGATTGCTGGGCATCATTCAAGGTTCATTATCTTCAACAGAAAATTTCACTTGCTCTCTGAGATTTTGCTTACCAATTGAAGCCGCATCAGCTCCAGCCCCATCCTCAAGTTTGAAACAAGTTTGTCTTTGTCTTGGATAGACAGCGTTTCTTAAGTGTTCACTTTGATTCGAAAATTCATGGCTCGATCACTGAAGGAACAGGCTCAATTGCTCTCTGAGTGGCTTCAGAAATGCAACCAACTCCACGGCAACAAGTGCCACGTCTCGACACCAATTGCAGAGAGGTCTCCACAACACATTCCCGACTGGGTCATTGACACTGAGCAAAGCTGCATCGTGCCGGGCAAGGCGGTCAACAAATATGCAGCCCTCAGCTATGTCTGGAGCTCTCCTGTGGATTCCAGCAATCTAACGGCCACGCATAGGTTGTTGCTTCGGCGGGAGACCCTCAAGGATCTTAAAAAACCAGGGTTTCTATCATCATATTCCGTGTCGAAACAGCTTCCCATGGTCGTCCGGGATTCCATGACTCTCGTACTCCAGTCTGGGACGCGATACCTCTGGGTCGACTGTCTTTGTGTCATACAGCACGACGAATCTACAACCGACAAGATGGCCTTCCTACCTGAAATATACTCCGGAGCCTTTTTCACCATCATAGCAGCCTCAGAAGCCAATGGATTGCGTGGCTCTATCGTAGATGTGCAGAGCCCCGCGCAGAGAATCAGCTTGAACACTCTCCACGACGAGCTGCTTGCATCACACTGGGCTTCCAGGGGATGGACTTTCCAGGAACACATTCTCTCCAAGAGATCGATCATATTCCTTGACGAAAAACTGTTTTGGGACTGTTCTGTTGCGTGGGACTCGCGTCAGATGAGTTTAGAGGTTAGAGCCCCGCGCAAAGGTCAAGCACCCACGCCAATCCTGAACAAGATTCACAAGTACCGAGAACTGTCACGGCAGCTCGCGTCCCTTTCCTCTCCTGACTTAAATCTCTACATAGAGATGGTATGCCGATATAACCATCGCGATCTCACATACGAACAAGACGCCCTTCCGGCCTTTTCCGGCGTGCTCGATGCTCTCACTCGGGGTTTCCACGATGGTTTCATCAGCGGACTGCCATCGCTCTTCCTCGACTCCGCCCTTCTTTGGCAGCCTCTCTCGAGGGCGAAAAGAAGAGTGGCGACTCCTTTCGTTCAAAATCTGGCACCACCATCGCCTCTACCGTCATGGTCTTGGGTTGGATGGCAGTGCGTGCTTGATCCGGCGAGCCTGAAAGGCTGCCTGAACTACGAGGCTCACGTTTCTTCCGATGATGACTCGTCTAGCGAACCAATATCTCGGAGAACCATCAACCTTGTCCAGTGGCAAACCATGGATAATCCTTTTCGGGGAGGAAGACCAGTAGTGTGGTTTCGCCAGGCTTCACGAGACGGAATCTACTACCGCTACCCATCACCTATGGCCGATATCTTGTCGGTCAAGGCCCGTTCAGAGAGCATTCCTTTCCTCTCATGCACTACGACAACGGCCGAACTTCGCATACGTCGAGTCCTCTGGCCCTGTGCCAGAATCAAGCCACGTCAGTATGAATCGGCCACTTCCGTTTCAGTCTTTGATACATTTCTCTACAAGAATGATCCGGAAGTGGACACCTGTTGCCCCGTGATCACCCTCGAAGACGGCAAGGGCAGATGGGCCGGCGTGATGAGAGTGATGGACGACATTCCAGAGCTCGCTGCCACGCAATTCATCGACATCGTAGCGATTTCCCGTGGCGATTGTAGCTACTTCGACGCTGCCTCAACGTATGAGGCAACGATTGATAGAATGGGGTGCTACAGATTTAAAAGTTCGAATGGCGACCATTTCTATTTCGATTCCTCTACTAGCACTCAAGCTGACAAAACTCCTGAGACATCGTCGTGGCCTCTGCCATGCTCTCCTGTAGTCACCGAGAACAGACAATCTGGGCGAGACCAGGGACCCCTATTTCCCATCGACGGTTGCGGGACGCATTCGGGCTACGGAAAAGAGCTACCAGAGAATTGGCGTTACAAGTTCTATGACTTCTACAATGTGCTCTGGGTCCAAACTATAAACGGTATCATGTATAGGAAGGCAGCGGGGCGTGTGTCAAAGGACATTTGGGAGACAAGTTGCGGGCCACCCCGGAAAATTGTGCTAGGTTAGTTACTTGACCATGGCTAATTGCTCCACGTTGTACCGAGAGTATATACTGGCATATTGTCTGGAGCTGCTGTCTATGCAGCTGTTTAGAAACAATTCCACCCACATTGGGAAGCACAGCCTTGTAGAAGGCTGTTGACAGTTCGCCACAACCGCAAATCATTGACTCCTGTGAGCTACCTCGGTCGGGAAAATGCCAGATTGAAAGTCACTACGAGGATGCCGGATGACTCACCGGGCTACACGTATCACCATCCCAGGACGCACCCACAGGCAGTGCCTAACTCAGCCTCACCAAAAGAGTTCGTTTCTAATAAATATCAGAAATCTTCTCTTCATAAACCAAATACAAAGCGTTCAAGATGATTGGAACATTTCATCGACGTACACTCATCATACCGACACAAAAGCACGCCCAGAACATCAACATCTCTGATTCCAAACTTCTGCACTTTGAACTGTGAAATAATCACCATGGTGTTAACCAGAGACCAGATGATGGCTCGTTTGAAGCTTGCTCACATAAAAGCTCCTAAATGTAGAGCAGAAACGCTAGGTGCGTCGCCAAGTTATCTGGCAACGTTCACAAGCAGCCCCAAGGTGTCACGACCATGCCCTCGCTGATGATAGTATTGACACAGCGCTGTACGGGCCGTCCAAAGGGGTCTCTCCTGCTGAGGCTATGGATTTCCTTGAGAGACTTGAAGGGCCTAGCAACCCACTTCCAGCTGCTACCACAACTACAGCACTGCCTACGACCAAAAGCCGATTGTAGGCGCATGAGGGCTTGAAAGCTAAAGGATGATTCTCTGAATAGCAGTGCAATCAAAGGATCGAAGAGAGACATGTTTAAAGAACGGTTAGATCTAGTTAAGCTGTCTTCATGACCAGCAAATTAGATTGCTCTGGTTGCTGGGCAGGCAGGCCAAGGCGATGCGTAAAAGCGCGACTCTTTGGCTTGAAGACAAGAATCAAAGGCGGCTACCGAAAACTCCCTGTTTTCAAGTATTTTCTATTAAAATTTAAAACAGTCTACATATGTAGGTCACAACATTAGCTTTAGCCTTGTTATGGTTGACGCGTGATCGCAAGTAAATCCTCTGCGATGGTCGATGTCGAAACCCTAGCAAATAATGAGTGGAACAAAACGAGTACATACAATTATTGTTATTATTATTTTTTCGAGAAAAAAGAAGAAAAGACCGCCGATGGCATTCGCAAATTGGGCGTAACAATGCAAATTTTGGGGAATCTGGGCGTGTCTGTTTGTTACTGGTGATGAAGAGGACATTAAGCTGCGCAGGTGGGCCAGGCATAGAACAAAAAGCAACATGTTACGAAGATTATGCAGGATGGTCAAGAGAAGCCTATCCCGGAGGATTACGCGGTCGTAAGGCATGGTATAAGATCTTCATACCCAATGACTTGGGGATCTGACCATGTTTTTGCTGATGACCACCGTTGTAACTCAGATCGTATTGCCTTGTCACTGTTGCGGCTTCGACGACGACATCTGGACTTCGGGGTAGTTTCCTACGCTGCTGTCAGCTGCCGCGCCGAAGCTCTGTTTTCAGCACTGTCTGAGATCATCGCCAAATCCATGAGGCTGACTCACGTCGCAGAGGCGGCGTTCCGTACTTCTACGCTACATCGATTTCAATTGGAAGCCCCAAAGATGGTAGCGTAATTACTTCAAGAGGCGGTGGATGGCTCCCCTTTTGAGGACACCAGAACTCCGGGTCGGCTAGCAGATAGTGACCATTTTGTTCATGCTACACGCAATGCGAATCACAGCCGGATAGTTGTCCAAAGACCTGTGGGTGACTGGGCGTTGAGGAAGGCAGTCAAGAAAGACCCCCAGGCGTTGGCGGGCGCCGCTTCATACCAAATTGATATTCTGTTGACTTATCGACAGCTCAAAAAATTCCCCATCCATGATTTTATGAACATACGCCTCTCCCACAACAACGAAATCGCCGTTTCCGACAGGGCGAAACACGAAAGGCACGTCTGCACCGGGCAGGATCCAGATCGAGTCACCCCGACACATTCCAAGAGGACCGAGCCCAACATACCCTCTCTCGGATCGGAACGGCCGCCTTTGCAAGAGTTTGTTGAAGGCTACATTGGCGTACTTGACTCCTTGACCAACATCACCGCCCACTCTCACAGCCTGGTACGCCCGATGAGTCTCCACAGACGCCCGGGCTGTTTCCCAGCTGTGCACGTATGCGCGATCCGCAATCGGAGTCCTCCATAGGGCATCATACACTTCCTCTGCCGTCTTGTAGACATCGTTGGGGCACGGGAGGAGAGTGTTGTCGAGATCGTGGAGCCAAGTGGAGAGCCGAACCACGCGTGCTGCGTCGTCCGCAGTGTCACCCCGTTCGGTGAAGGGCTGGCCCAGGTACCCGACATCGTCGACATAGAACCCTTCGAGGTTCATTTTTCCGTTTATTCTGAATGAATTTTCTAGTGTTTGGCTAGAGCCTCGTGCGGAAGAATATGGACAGTACCGCCATCCGCCTCGAGTAATAAAGATTGATGACGTGAACAACGGCTGTGGCAAATCCTTCGACGACCAGTCCGGTGCCCATGACGGCGTTGATGTTTGCAACGAAGGGGCGGCAACTTCGTTCTCAGAGCTGTGGCCGGCAAAGGACAGCATTCGAAGCCCGTAGTAAGTCAAACATGCTTGGCCAACTTCTGTCCGAACCGTCGCCCAGTCCTTAGTGTAATCGACCAAAATATGCGGGCTCTGGTGAGTGTCAATCAAGCTCAGGAGGGCATAAATGTAATCTTTTTTGTCCGAGGCCTGGAGCTGCGCCAGCGGCGCCATCCTAGAGAGCAGGTAAAAGAGCTGGAGGAGGGAGAGGTCGCGCCTCGTGAAGGCGACAGGCGTCACACGGTCCAACGCCCCTGTGAGCACGTCTGCGAGCGCTGAGCTATCCGGCTGGCCAGCGCCTACGAGGTTTAGGTAATCTCGCACACCACACAACACCCAGAAGCCCCGAAAGAAGGGGTACCATGGTATCCAATCCCGCCCGCAGCAGACGATGGCGTTCCGTGAAAGCACGGCTTCCTGGATGACCCAGACGCGCCGAAACCAAGGCCGCTGGTACAGAGAGGTAATAGCGCCCAATCGCGCCGAGTTTTCAAGTCGAAGGAAATCGATCACGTCATCGAGTTCTCTCTGGATGGCCTGCACTCTTGGGTCAGACGAGGTCTTGTTGAAGGAGACCGCGGACCATGAGCGAATACCAAACCGGATCGCCGACGCACTCAGTCCGCGCAGGGCTTCGAAGGCGAGGTCGCTATCCTCGCTGGCCGGGCCGAGCCAGAGAATGGTCTCCATGGCTGTCTCGTAGATATTGTTCATTTGAGAGACCTGGCGGTTTCTTTCTGCCTCGTTATGCTGGTCGATGCAAATGGCGTCGACCCAAAGGACCATGACATTCGGACCGCCTCCCCCATGATTTCGGTAGTTGGCAATAAGATGCCTCAAAGCGTACTCCAGATTCCTTGTCACTCGGACCCGTTGATCATCGAGCTTTATTTCGCACGTGATGCTCGGGTCTCCCCAGGTGTAGGATAACGCTGTATAGTGGGGCCTGTCTTGGAGGCTGACATGCTCTAGCTGGCAGGATACCAGTGTTCGGTGATCAGAATCCAAGGTCGATCCATTCTCATCAAATGGTAACAGATGTATGAGACGGATTTCCTGCTTATCCGATCTCAATGGTCGGTATCGGAAGCTCTCCGCTGGCATCTCGTCTGCAGACTCAAACATGAACATCCTAGGTGCACTCCGATTCAATTATGAAGCTTAGTTGACAAATCATGACTGGATGACAGGATATCCCAGGTGGGGCTTGTATTGTGGCTTGGAGCTGAGACATATCATTGGTCTAGAATCCAGGGAGGACCGAGATACCTTATGAGTGTGAAGTGTGGGGGCACTGATATGATTGGAGGAGCGTGGGCATGTCTTGCTTTTGTCATTGTTACAGCTCTGGGGTGACTACTTCGGTCGCTATACTATGGGAGTTGTGGCAGAGTGGCCAATCTTCTCTATTCAACATGAATGAATATGTATTTCTCTATTATATATCTGATATCTCGGCGGCTGTAAATGTAATCTTCCATGCTCCTAACCTCTCCCTTCTGAACCAGCTCCAGTCCACAGACCTCCTCAGCGAGTCAGTCTTTCCCTACTCTTTCTGTTAATCCATACATTTCTGGCGGGTAATGTATGTGACAGGTATCTGTAGCATACGCACACTAAGAAAGAAATACTGATTACTACAGTCCAGCACAAAATTACACCGATATTCCTAGGCGGCCAGCACGTGGCTTTGTTTACATCATCTGCATGAGTCTTAGCTATTCAGAATCACATGTCCGAAGAAGGGCTGAGAAGAAGGGAACGCACTATTTTATACTTGAGATACTAGGTTCTAGAGAAACGCACCTGCTCTCAGACTCCAGTTCTGATCGGGTGGACTTGAAGACTGTGATTGATTGAGCATCTTTTAACGTGTCAGGAGACGCGCGACCCAGAGATGCGCAGCCTTGAGATAATATCACCAATCAGCTTAAGAAGTTCCGAAGATCCTGTGCATCCGTGTAAGTAATTTATGCCCAACACTTTAGCTGACCACAAAGCACGCACCTGGACTTCCCTTTCCGTGGCTTTCCGTTCCTTGGCCTGGTCGCTGGCAAGGAGCAGGCTTATAAGCTTCTTTTTCCTGCTCTGAACTTGTCGTACATACTGAACCATATGTGTTAGCCAGAAATTCAACCTAGAAGAATGGTTGATGATGGTGTGCTCACTTGCTCGATCGATTCCTGCACCACCAAGCGTATGGTGACTACAGGGCGGGTCTGCCCAAGTCGGTGGATCCTCGCCAGGGCTTGTTCTTCTATTGTTGGATTCCAATGAGGCTCCATCAGGTATGCCCGAGTGGCCGCGGTTAAGTTGAGTCTAGTACAAATGTTAATATTGATCGATTCGCTTGTGATCAAAGCGACTTCAGTATTTCGCACCCGACAGCTCCACATTGAAGGGACATGAGTAGCACAGCTGGCCCTTTTGGGTCTGAGAACTCCTGAAGTATGCTCTTTCTCTGCTTGTTGGGAGTTTTCCCGTCAAATTGGACGCAGTGTATTCCTCCTTGAGCAAGAGCTGCATTGGCTAAGTCTAGGGTTGACGTCCAGGACGAGAAAACGACACTAATGAGATATTGTCAATAAACCCAGGCACATAATAGGTCTATCTATTGAGACAACGACAGTTCTGAGGATAGCTTGCAACTAACCACTTTGTGTCTGAATCCTGGTTTCGGACATCCTCAAGAAGAGCGCCTATCTTTGTTGGCCACTGCCTCTGTTTACCAGCACCGGCTTGCACTGATGTGCATTCCAAAGCTTTAAAGTCTGGCTCAGAGACTTTCTCAACGGATTCCGTCAAATCCAATAGGCATGAGGAGCACCAAGGCTGCGGCCCACGATCTCCACTGGCTTCGGGAATCAAGAATTCGGAATTCGAGATTGATATTCCGCAAGCTTTGCAAACCCCAATCAACGCGAGGATTTTGAGGCAATCGGAGGTCTCGATCCCTGATTCAAAGCCCTCAAGTACATTTGTCTGCCTGGATGACAAGTTTGGGGGCTTCAACGAATCTTGGAATTTGGATAATCTTTGACAGCCGAGGTTACACGCCATCCTCAGGGCGTTGATTTTGTTAAGAGCATTCTTATGTCCTCCAGCCGTAGCCTTCGAGTAAAGAAGATCATCCAGGCATTGAATCGTGGCTTGTGCTGACTGTTGGTATTTTGCTCTCTCCTGAGCGTCAAACTTGAGCAGAATCGTTGTGTCCGTCCGCTCTGGAAGAGCGATGATATCAGCAGAACGCCTCAACATTATATACTGGAGTAGCTTTTTCAGTCTTTTGATGGCATCTTCTCTATCTCCGATTGTCCATGGAGTGAATATATGCTTGTCGACAATGCTTCTGTCTGAGTACGGATAGACTTGAATAAAGTGAAAGAGGCTGAACATATCGGACAGACCATTCTGAACAGGTGTTCCAGTCACGGCCCACCTGCGCCCAGCTTTCAAAGCAACAGCTGCTTGTGCGGTCACGGAGTTAATGTCCTTGATATTATGTGCTTTCAATGATCAGCTTGCTCGTTATGACCTCTTCAGGAATAGAAGCAGTGATTACCTTCGTCGAGAATAACACGATGCCAGTGATTCATGAAGATAGCGGCTCGGTGTCCCTTTTCCTGCCACTCCCTAGCCAAAGTTGAATACGTAGATATCACAACGTCGTAGTGCCTCATCGAGTCCATAAATCTATGTCGATTGGGGCCATGATGGCAGTACCACGAGAGACAGCCGGGGAACGTGTGTCTGGTAGAGTTGTGTCAATGAAGGCTATCAAAGGCACAAAGATAACCTTGAGTTGACATACTTTTCAATCTCGAGCTCCCAATTAGCTAAGACTGGCCCTTGACAAGTAAGCATACACAGCTTGAGGTAATTTACAGAAGCCCAGTAGAGATAGTTCACTCACGCTGAGGAGGTACCACAATAAGAGTTGAACATTTCGTGAGTTCGCTGTCAGCAACGCATTGATCTTTGTCATTTGCAATAAGGGCAAGCATGCTCAGGGATTTGCCCAGGCCCATTTGGTCAGACAGGATTCCGCCACGGAACACTGCCGGTGGTGAGTACTGTTTGGAATTCACAATATTGTTGCAGTACCTGGGCATTGAAGTCAAATGAGTAGTCGGTCTTTATGCTTTTGAATGCCTCACTTACATAGTGGTCCCATTTCTGTCAGCCTCGGCCGTCCATATGTCACCTTCAGGCGTACCTAGCTGCCAGCCTTGTTCGCGGCGAGTCATGAAAGTGAGCCCTCTTTTTTGGTGACTGGGCATGATTCAGCTCATTTTCTTTGGGTTCATTTCTGGTAGTTCGAGCATGTATTCAAAGTCGGCGCACCTTTTCAAGCGGGTTCGAAGCAATGCAGACCCTTGAGTCTCAGGTAAGTTGTCCTCGGAAACAAATCTGTTAAGAAAATCTGCCGTCCCGAGGTCGCGACTGCTCTGAGCGTGAATCGAAGATTGCCATGTGGCCTTCAAGTGGCTCGTTCGCAATCCATCAATATTCTTGAATTTGTGAGGATTCCAATATATGACATCTTTCTCCGCGTGAATGGGGTCTTGGAGATATACCCCGATCATCTGCAAGGTGTCTCCGAGGTCTTCTGCAATCTCTCTACAACCGTAAATCGTCACCCACATAATGCCCGCAATACGCCTGGGCTCTGGTTCCGGAATCCAGTGAAGATCATACTCAAGTCCTTCATTCGCAAGGAGCTGTAACAGTTTGGCGTCATTACTTGCCAGGTTCCCATAGAAAGTTTCTTTCGAATGTCGATAGATCTGGCCCCCGGCCTCCGCATAGAGCTTTGTTTTGCCCTCAATGACCCGCAAATTCGTTACGTCAAAACTTGTGATCTGGGAAGCCAAAGATCAGTATCCAGTTCTCTCCCATTCTCATCACAAAATGCATGTCATGGAACGCACTGATCCGAAAGACACTGTTTCTGCAGATTGAGTACGGGCGTCTCTTGGCGTTCCGGGACTTGGGGATGAAGCCTCAGAATAGTCGCTCTCTGGATCTTTTAGGTTTTGAGCTGATAGGCCAGCTTTGCTGGCTGAGGTGGTGTCTTCACTAGCGGAGACAATAGAATCGTAAACATCAGTCTGACTCTGAAAAGAGGTATCGATGAAGTCGAGTTTGCCTCCAGGCACTTCTTGCATTACCCTACGTCTTTTTTTAGGGGGAGTACTGCTGTCCGTGGGTTCCATGGCAAGGTGGGAGAAACGGGGGAAAAAGAAGGAAATAAAATCACGTTGCTGGGATTCAGGTTACTGCCCAGCCATGGTATTGTGGTGATTGAAGTCAAGATGAGGTCTAACAGTCTTGGTAGCTGCCAGTTCGTCTAGGTAAAGGTGAGCCGAAGCTTCTCACGAAGATCGAAATCGTGACGAGGGAGCGCAGCGCCCATCTTGGAAAGGATGGGAAAACATATTGCTGAGAAGCGAGGTCTGCGCCACCTTGGGGGCGCCCTCAGACTGACGTGTCAGACGCACAAGTCTGCCCGTTCATGCACCGTAAGCACAACTAGCAGGGCACGCGCATGAGTGTCTACAACTTGTGGAGTAAAAATTGGGTCTTAAAAGGCTACATACACAGCTGGCGCCCTCCTTAGGCTAATTTGCCAGTATCTCCATTTCTGCCCCGGTTCAGGAGCGGAGCTGAAAACCTATGTCAGCGTGGTCAGTAGCCTAACGAGAAAAGTGAACGACCAGCACTGATTTGGTCGATTTTGCTCATATTGTATCCCATTCAGCCTCGTCAACTCTTCTAAACATTCCACTTTTCTTTTTCACGGTCTTTCGATGAACGTAGCTAGACTTGACAACTAGCTTATGTTAATATGGCCCAGACACTACTGGAAAGAGCATGCCAAAGGTTTCGTGACGAGCTCCCGCCTGAGGAAGATCACGAGATACAAGCGACATCCTGGCAACACGTTCAATCCGCTATCGTAGATATTGAAAGGCAACTTGCCGCTCGACAATGCCTGAGGAACCTGGATAGGCTTACCCCGTACTTGAAAGCAGTTGAGGGATATGGGACCGTGGTCGAGATATTCTGCAATTCTTCGCCATTTGTTCCTTATGTGTGGGCAAGTAATTTTCTGCGCGTTTTATCCTATTCATATGTTCAATACACTCACCTAGACATCCATAAAAGGGTCCGATCAAATTCATCCTCGTGGTAGGTTTCAGGTCACGGGTCCACCTCGTGAAAATCCAGAATCTAATAGCTATACAGGCAGTTAAGGAACAGACTCAGGCGCTGGACAAGCTGCTGTCTGCATATGCACAACTAGGTCACGCTTTGCCGCGCCTGACAAATCTTCAAGAAGCCTTTAAAGAGAATCACGCTCTTCAACAACTCTTCGTCTTCTTGTATGAGGACATTCTGGAGTTTCATCGAAGAGTCTACAAGCTCATCCGCAAACCAGGTACGCAAGTTTCATGTATACAAAGGGAGAAACATGGATTGTCACTAACTTAAATGCGAATGCAAAGCTTGGAAAATTTCCTTCGCGTCAGCCTGGGGCCGATTTGAGCACCGTTTTAGTGCTCTGATTGACAACATTACAAAAACAACTGACCTGATTGAAAAGGAAGTCACAACACACCACATACTGGATGCCAAAGAATGGAGGCAGAAATCACTTGATGAATCTGTTCGTCGTGAAGAGCAATGGCAGTCAGAGCAACTCCAGGTGATTCTGAATTGGCTTAAGGCCGGGGAAAACGACCAGGAGCTCAGACTCGAGTGGCTTAAAGAGCGTTGTAACGATGGGACCACGTCTTGGATTACCAAGAACACCAAGTTTCGCTCATGGCTTCAGCGAGAACGTGGGAAACAATTGTTGTGGATCTATGGGAAACCAGGCTCAGGTTAGTACCCTTTCAACCCCATTCCTACACCTCAACGGGCCATACATACTGACCCAACGATCAAGGCAAATCAGTTCTCGTATCGCAGATAATATCTTTCATTCGTTTGGATCAAAAGAAGCGGGTGTTGTTCTTCTTTTGCGACTACTGTACTCCAGCACACGATGTCTCTGCCCAGATTTTCAAGGCCTACTTAGCCCAGTCAATTCGCCAAGATGAAGACCTCGTGCCGTTCATCTACGATAACTATGCTGCTAAAGGACGTTCTCCGACGATCAGAGTTTTGAAAGAGATACTCGTCACAATCTTGAAAGAAATGGATTTTGTGCGTTTGATAGTGGACGGAGTCGACGAGGTACAATACACTGAACATCGAAGACTTTTGCAGGAAGTACACGCGGTCACGACGATGGCCGGTGTCTCATGCAAGCTTCTCATATCTAGCCAAGACCTGCCCAGCATCCGATCTTTCCTATCGGCAAGGAAACCACATCACCTATTCTTAGGTGATGAAAAAGAGGCGATCATCAAAGACATGGCTACTGTTGTTCACGCTTCATTAGGAAATCTGGGCGAGATGCTCGGAACTGCCCTCGATAATTCGGAGCGACTGTCCCTTCAAAAACGGATTTTGGAAAAGGCCGAAGGTCGAGAACTACCTATCTTTATCACCCTGGAAATCGTCGACTTTACTAATGCGCTGCTTTGTAGGCATGTTCCTTTGGCTGAATCTGGTTTTGAGCCTCCTCGAAACAGCAGGGAGTTTAGAGGAGTTGAGGTCAACTGTAGACGGCTTACCACGAGATCTGGAGGAGATGCAAGCAGACCCTTGGCTTACCCGGTTGGTTGCGTGCCATTTCACTGTGCTAATCAGCCATCTTGTTTTAGGTACGGCAAGCTTCTTGAAAGAATACAAAATAATTGTGTTGCGTCGAGAGGTGATTCCAAAGTTCGTCGTATATTTCAATGGATTCTGTTCGCGGACAAGAAGCAAGCCATCCGGAAGCGAGACGTCCTGCTGGGATCAAGTATCCACGAGGGGTCGGTCACACTTCAAAGAAACACCAAGCCATTCCCCAACTCCCTTGACATTTGCAAGCCACTGATCGAGGATGGTCCGGGCGGCTCTGTGTCTCTGATACACTCGACACTGGCAACGTGAGTATTCTTTTCATTACTGAAAATCCTAGCATGCGCTGACAAGCCCAGATTTCTTCTTGTCTCAAACAGATGGCCCTCTGTCTCCTCCTGCACATCACACCATGACATCGCCTTCGCTTGCGTGTCGCAACTGACGCAAACGCTGGATTTTGCTCGCGATAACATCCCATCAACCGAATTGACGGAGAAAGTTGGGCTTGGTCTTTTAGGCCTCCAAGAGTATGCTAATGAGTACTGGATATTCCACGTCTTACGTTATATTGAGGCCCAAGATGGGCCGCCTGACCAACGAAGTCCCCTGTTGACACAACTGCTGAACTTTGCAACAAAACCTACAAATGTAGCAAAGACTCAACCCAATACTCTTTCCGGGTTTTCTGAGCCAGCCAGCCCAGCAACAATTCAGGAAAGGATTCCTGACAAGTTGAAGGTTGTACCGGAAATTCACGGTCTGATCTGCCAAGTTTTGAACTTTCGACAAAAGTTTGATGCGAAGCAGGCTTCGGAAGGGCCAGGCAAGTCAAGACAGCGTGGCCGGTCAAGAGAGTGTGCTAATCGTAACAATTTGTGCATAGATATTCTGGCCACGGATTGGGATCCAACAGTCCTTTCCCGCGCAAACTGGAAATACAACATCGCCGTCAAGTCGCTTCTCCATGCTTCGAGTTGCGATGGCTTGTCCCCAGCAGAATTGCAAACTTTCCAGTCTGAGTTTAGGCGGACTGCCTTCATCTGCACAGTCAGAAACTGCGAGCGCTCGCGTTTCGGGTACCCGTCCGCGGTTGAGCTCGAAGATCACAAGACTCGACAGCACAATGCCGGTTTCAAGTGCTATCATCAAAACTGCCGCTACAACGACATCGGGTTCACCAGTTCGAAGAGGCTCCGTGCACACGAGATTAAATTTCACTTCAGAGATTTGCCGGAAATACCTAAGACGCTCAAACGAAAATACCCGGTCGACGGCTCTCCGAAAGACACCGGAGCGACCGAGGCCCCAGCTCCCGTGCCGCAAGGGCCAGGGGACCCTCCTGATGATTTTTTTGAGCAGTATTGCTTCGATTTCATGAATAGTACCCTATATACCCATGGCTGGCAGAGGGGCTTTTCAATCACGGAGCGCGTAAAAAAGGCTCAAGACCTGTGAGTTTCGCCCGTTGGTAATTTCCTTAGTTTATCTTGATTCTTTTTAAGCCCCTGATGATTAGCTAGATAGCTAGCTAGCCCTATTATCTCTGTACCAAATGAGTTCTATTTATATCATTGATCTTTTCTATACGTCCTGTTCAACCATTTTTTTAACATAGCTAATAATCCTCAACTCAGTATTGCAACTACTATTGTTGCGACGCCTGATCAACCACCGCAAAGACTCGCCGATCTTTCCCTTCAATTTGAGCAGAACGCTTTGAGGACATCGCCAGATAAGGTAAGCTATTTTGATCATAGCAAGTCCCTAACCCATCCCTCTTCCAAACCTTTCAGCAGGTATTGACTTTTGCAGACCACATATGAAAATAAAATGCATCGAAAGAGCGCAGAAATGCTTGCTGGACGCAAAGGTCAAGTGCCTCAGTATTGAAAGGTTGTAAATATATAGATAGTACAGGGGTAAATAATTATCAAAAAAATCAATAATGGTAATGGCTGCTCTTATAAGCCAAGAATGTCACTATTGTGACGGAAATAGGATCACAGAGAACCAAACAACGGTATGGTCTTCCCGGCGATAAAAAGCCGGTAGTGGGTTTGAGCCCCTACGGCGTCTTTTGTAACAGACGTGCCGGGCGTAGAGTCTCTGAGAGTGGGTGGATCATGATGAGCGAATGGTACATTCAAATGCACCGTATATAGAGTGGAAGCGACAAAGGCATGCATGCTGAGTACGATGAGAGTGGACGGTGTGTTGTTGCCGAGCGGCTCGATTGGGAGTGATCTTTCAACATGCCAAGCGACATCGCTAACGCACGTCAGACGGGCAGACTTTCCCCTCGCAACCTCTATAATGTAAACAAAATTGGCCATCCTCCCAGCCTTTTCCTATATTCTCCCCGCTTTCAACATCACCAATTGACATGAAACTGTGATCATATATGAAAATGCGTCAATCCGCTCAATTTGCGCTCTGCGCACTATACTCTGCTGTGGCGGCGAGTGAGTCGCAGAAGCCGCTCTTAGATGGCGATAAGAGCGTCGGAGGAAGCCCATTCACCGAGGAGTATGCGAAGCACGTCGGCGAGCTTCTGGAAGAGTGGCATGTGCCTGGTGTGGCGATCGGTATTGTTGACGGGGATGACATCTGGACTGAGGTAGGTTCTGACCTGTCTTACACGGACATCGTCCTTGGAACTTCAGGGTCGAGTAAGAAGCACTGTATCAGTCAAGAGCATGAGAACCGCCGCTATCCTCCATCGGCCCTGAAGATGAGGAAACAATCGGCAGTCTATATGCTGACACTCCCAGGGCTTTGGCATCGCAACCTACCCATCAACCCCAGTGACGTCCTCGACGCTGTTCTACTGCGCCAGCACAAGCAAGGCATTCACAGCCGCAGCCCTGAGTATCATGATCGACTCGGGCAACTACACGGCGCCCGCGGTCTACGGGCAGCAGCTGGCCTGGGACACGCCAGTGCACAACATCATCCCGGAGGACTTCGTGCTCACGGACGAGTGGGCCACGACGCACATCACCATCGAGGACGCCCTGAGCCACCGCACGGGGATGCCGCGGCACGACAAGGCGTCGACGCACCGCGTCGCCTCGCCCGACGGGGACGGCACGCGCACGGCGACGGTGCGCGACGGCGTGCGCTTCCTGCGCTACCTGCCGCTGAACGCGGCGCCGCGCACCAAGTGGCAGTACTGCAACCAGATGTACGTGGTGGCGACGCACGTGGTCGAGACGCTCACGGGCGGCCGCTGGCTGGGCGACGTGCTGCGCGAGTGGATCTGGGAGCCGCTGGGGATGCGCTCGACCTACTTCTCGCTGCCGGACGCGCTCGCCGCGCCGGAGCACTTCGCGGGCGGCTACGCGTGGGACGGCAAGGAGTTCGTCAGCGTGCCGTACATGCCCGTCGACGAGATCGGCGGCGCCGGGAGCGTCATCTCGAACGTGGACGACTACACCAAGTGGATTAGGAGCCTGCTGCGCGAAGACGGCCCCGTGCCTAAGAGCGGCCACGCGGCTATCAAGACGCCGCGCATGATCGTCAAGCACCTCTCTGCGCTCCCATCTGCGGAGGGCCCGTACGATGCGCCTGAAATGTATGCTCTGGGGTGGGAGCTTATGAGCTACAAGGGCCACCGGTTTTGGACACACGCCGGCGGGATGCACGCCTACGGGGCAGAAGTGTTCTTCTTCCCGGACCTCGACTTTGGCGTGGTCGCGTTGGGCAACACGGCGATGAGCTCCAACTATGTGGAACTGCTTCTTGTCTGGGAGCTTGTTGACGAGAAACTGGGTATTCCCCAGAGTGAGAGATTCAACTGGACTGCTGCGTAGGTCTTTCACGACGGCGTTGTGTGGGACAGGTCACTGACATTCATTGGCATAGTTTCAAGGGACAGGAGAATCGGACAGACATGAAGCTCGAACATGCCATCGACAAGTACTATCCAGACCGCCCTGAGCACAGCATTCCGCTCTCTCTGCCTATCGAGGGCTACACGGGTACTTATTATCACCCGGGCTACCTGAACTTCACTGTTGAACTGGCCGACCCCGGCAAGACAACTCGAGCCAAGGCCGCTCTCACGGCGACAAGGCCCTACGCAACCTGGCCGTCCTTCAACGAGTTCGAGCACGTGTCGGGCGAGTATTGGATGATATTCATGTATACGCGAAAATTGCCTATCGGCGTTGTCAACGAGTATGCGCCGGCACAGTTCCGCGTCGGTTCGGACGGGAAGGCCAACGCGCTGGGAATCACGTGGTTATCTATAGCAGAATCGGAGGAAGACAATGTGGAAGGCCTCGTATGGTTCGAAAGGATTGAATAGCGGTAGGAGTAGAAATAGTCGTAGTATCTGTGTCACTGTTCGTTCTGAATTAGCCTCAAGGCACAGTACAAAAAAGCTTTCAAGAAACGAGAAAAGATCTTGTGTGCAAAAATTCAGACTGTTGAGCTTGATATTGAATCAACATGGGTTTGACTTTCAGTTGGCCGTTCTTAATGGAAAGTTTCTTTCATCATTTTGCGAGTACGAGCGAGGAGATGTAATGAAAGCGAGCTTACCTTGACACAAAGGGGATTGTGCGATGCGTGGTCTGGTTGATTGATCCCCGAGAAGCCCTCGAGGTCGCCTTTGTTGGAGTAGACGGAGGGAGGGCTAGAGCTTGAAAATTTGGACCGTCGAGGTAAATATTGGAGAGACGAGTGGGGGGGACCGCGACTGATTACCTAAGTGACCTCCAGCCCCAACCCTGACAGCCATAATCGCCCGTCAGAGCTGGGGGGGGGGGGTTAAGGACGATTCTTCCAATTCAACATTGGAAGGAGTGATGAACCAACACACCGCATTTTCTCTGTTATCAGGTACTTCAGAAAATTTGACCCTTCGATGATGCTCCAACATTGATTTCACATCCGTCTCACTTCACTGAACTAGCAAAAGCCAGCACTGAATTAAGCAGTGAGAAGTAGAGATAATTAGATAAATCGCGACTTACACAGGACCAGACGTTCCGCGTTCGTGTTCGCTTGCGTGCACAAGTTCGATGGAATTCGGAAATTCCCATGCAACTTGTAACGCCCTCAGGAGCCCAGACACAGATCAATCTTTGAATAGCCATGTTCTTGAACAAAGGGGAGGCAGGCCATCATGTTCTCCCAGTGAGGTCCTTTCGGCTCGAGCGTTCAATCAACTCAATCATTGATGCCCAGTAATCTTCGAGCTCTCTGGTCATACCCTCCATGCTCTGACGTGACAGACTCGGCACGATTGGTTGGCTCCCCTTGAGCTGATGTTCGACGGAGATGGGTTCAACGCCCGTGGTGCCGCGTGGTTGGGAAGGCATGATCAGCTAGCTGTCTATTAACTCACTCGGTGTTTGATGAATAGGAATCGTGGAATTTCTCTAGGAAGTTTAGTAACTTCATCGAGTTGAAATGCTGGATAGTGCACTAAGCCCACATTGGCCAGGCAGAAGGATGCTGAGTCCTTGAAGTAGAAGGAGGTGTGAGACGGGAACGATGTGGGAGGTGGTGGGCGAAGAAGGCCCACACATTTGTATTAAACGCAGGAGGCAGCAGCAATGGCACGATCGCCGCCTAGATGTCTTGACTTGCGACGGTCTTCTGAAATATACAGGCGCTTTATATGAGCAAGAATCTGAGAGAAGAGAAATGGCTTGGTGGGTTGTGTGCTCATGTGGCTAGCACAGGTAGGTAAATTAAATTTGCAATTCCCAGACACTCTAAGAGGTTTTGCAGAATATTGCTAAAGCCAAGAGGCTCTGGTCTGACATCCTCTAAGTCAGTAAATGAACCTCAAAAGCCTCGAATATAAGAAGTTCACTTTCAGATCTGACTGAATAACAAGCACTGCTGGCAGTCAGATACACGAATAGTTGGCAAATCATCGCACTTCACTAGAGAGCTGCCAAGTTCTCTATTCGGATCGAGGCGAGCTGCTTGTGGCAATCATCTGAGAATATTATTTAGATAGTCTACCAACCAGATTATTACCTGATTTCGCATGGGAATCGCGTTGAATTTACAGGTTGTTACTTGTACAAGAACTACAAGAGCCAACATAGCGTTTACAAATAGGGTCACTTGCATGATTGTGTTAATCAGAGACATGCCAGGTGTTGGCTATCATTGAGTTCTCGTGCGTACAATACCGTAGCCATGAGGATGACCTCTAATGAAGATGTGTGACACTGCCTCTCAGTACGGAGTCAAGGACGTACACAAATGAGAGCGCCGATGACCACGCTCAGAGAAAGCCAAGCACTCCGCCCACATGATCACGCGGGCCATTCACACATATCCAGCACCATCACGGACAGACGCAGGCCACAGTCACTCAGTCCATGCCCATATATTCAATCACCCAACACCACCACCTCTATCAGAACTGACACGAGACGGACTACTTCCCTGCCGCCTAACGGGCCAAGTCAACCCCCATCAAACCATTCGGATTCGCAGGGGTGTCCGCCTTTTCCCACACAACAAGCTCCTGACCATATAAGTACGACTGGCCGGCCACATGCTTCTGATGGGGCGCATTCCCTATTGTACTGTCATAAGAACAATCAGACAGCCGCCTCTGCGCCATTGTCCCTATAACACTTTCCAGCCGTCCTATCCTATTTCCCGTAACAGCCTCTGTAGTAGTAGTAGTTTTGATCATGGTCTTTCATCCCTCAGGAAGGTCTGCTCCCTGTCCGTGCCCGGTTGGGCGCTCCGAGCCACCAGCTGCGCAGGAGGCAAAACAAAAGGAATTAAAGGCATGCCCTTAATTCAGAAGCATGATATGTATGACCGTGGTCCGCATCCGTGCCTTCTGATTGTGAACCTCTTCCGCCGTTTTTTTAATTTGGTATAGTGGGGTATTTGCATGTGACAGTTTTGTCGTTCTCCGGTTGGAGGTCCCCCATATGAGGGATAGGAAATGTCAGTTCGTGGAGCGTCCTGTATCCACTGCCGATTCCATATCAGTTCGAGACGCAGATGGGCTGGCTGAGTAGTATCCGATCTCGTCCGGATGGCAAGCTGTGCTGACACTGCAGTTTCCGAGGTGTGTATGCCGAGAGCATTCCGCAGCCCTTGTGAGGAGAACATGGGTATCATCGGAACAGTTTGCTAATTTCACCGTCACAAATGTAACCCAAGACCTGGCCTCAAGCCATGCATGCAATGGAGCCATTTCAGCATGACGTTCTATAGTTCCTCTTCGTCCTCGTGTGCCTGAGCAGCCTGCGCATTCTGCGCGAGAGGGGCCGCCGGCGCAGCAGGCGCGGAGGTGGAGGCCTTGGGCTTGGACACTCCCAGAGCGGGCTGAGACGGCTGTCCCGATCCGTCATCCAGGGCGCCGGCGCGTTGCTTCTTGAGCGGACTGCCGACAGCGGCGGTGTCCTCTGACAGGCCTGGTGGGAAGAATGAGGGCGGCGCAAGTCCAGGGGCGCGCGAGCCGTCACCCCCAAACATCAAATTGGGAGGCGAGGCAGCTGGGTTCAGGCTAGGAGATCTTGGGTCCGGCGAGGCGGTACCCTCTGGTTCGGCTGATCGTTGCCTCTTGAGCTTTAGAGGCTGTCAGTACCAACTTTACTCTGAAAGGTAGATGCCATGAATGAGTAGACGTACCTTGATACGATCAACGCCTTCTGCAAGTTCACCCGTGAACTTGACATCCTCCGGCGCGGTACTCGGCTTAACATCCTTGTCGTAGATGTCCTCCATCTTGCCAATAATCTCAGGCTCCTCGTCGTCTTCTTCGGAGTCCTCGTCCATGGCGCCTAGACTGCCATTTGACTTCTTGCGACCCTTCCTCCTCTTGGACGACTCCGCTGTTTGGTCTCTGAAGGCGGAAAAGCCAACAGTTCCAGTGGTCTTGAGAGGGCCGAGGTTGGAGAAGTCGAGCTGGCCGGATCGTCGCTTCGCTGCGGCGGGAGTGGTTGCTTGCGCCTTGGCCGAGGGAAGAACGCCCATCTTTTGGAGTTGACCTGTTCATGCAATTTAGCTGGTGCTGGAGCAATGTCTGGGGAATGTACACTTACGCTCGCCGCGATAGTAGAATGTAAAAGTGGCATAGGGCTTCTCTGGCCCATCGATACCCGTTACCGTCTGTGTGCTGATCGTCTTGGGATCCAAGGTCTTGGGTTTTGCAAAGCTGGTGGTATGCTCGACATCCGCATCGACCCCGTTTGAATTTCCGCCGCCAACCTCGTCATCGTCGTCATGAGCACCAAACTGCGGCGAGTATTCGCCCTTCTTGATTTCACCAGATGCGATCACGCGGAACATGGCGACCTTGATCTGCCCTGCGGCCTCGGGGAACTCATCGTCTGAATCAGACATGGAGTCCTCGTCAAACACCGCTTCGACAGGGCTTCCCTCGTCGTTGCCGTACCGGAAAGTGTCTCGCGGTCCATTTGCAGGGGCGCCCAGCAATGTGGATTCGTTATCTCCTCTCTGCTTCCTGCGCCGGCGCTCGAACTTCTGTCGGCGCTTCTCCAGCCGTTCCTCGGCGTCATGGCCTTTTAGGTCCAGGCCGTTCAGCCATCGCTCCAGGCCGACCTCACGGAACAGGAATTCCCTCTCGGCCAGCCCTCCGCCCTCGGCATCGGGCACTTGAACCCATCTGCTATTAACCCAGGTCTCTTCACCGGGCCTTAGGAGTGTCGCCACCTCTTCCTTTGCGCGGCCGTCGAAGTAGATGTAGGCAGCGACAGTCTCGTTCTCGCTGTTGGTCATGGGAATGTAGGGGTTAACGCCATTGCCAGCCCTGCTGGAGGCCATATCCCTCGCGGCGAACTGTGGTGTGGGCTCAGGATTGTCGGAGCTTGGGCGAGGAGTCGAGTAGGGGATGGGCAGGCCTGGCGTCAGGAGGGTGATGGAGATGGCGAACTTTGCAGGCTCGGTCTTGCCAGAGTCCTCGCTGAGGGTGGGACTGGGCACGGGTATGAAGGTGTTGATCCTCGAGAATCTCGACTGCTTTTGCATGCCGTGCTCGGGGAGCGGGGTTCCATTCGCATGGATGCTCACCGCAATGCCCTTGAAGCAGGGCATTTTGGCGGCGGGGTCGGGCGTTTGCTCGAGGAAAGGTGAGGTCGGAGAGGGGCTCGAGACTGCTGGCCAAGTATGTAAGCCAGTGGTTTGCCAGGCCAGTGGGGATTTCTAGCAAGGTGTCGAGGAACTGCGCTGTGGAGTTTTTGGTGGTTTGGCTGGGCTGGGCGGCGCTTTGGGGGCGTTACTCGAGCAACGAATCTGGGGTCGACCCTTTGAAGGATGTTCGTGGGTTTGTTGTGCACCGGCCCACCGACAGGGGGATCGACAGCCAGAGACACACAGGCGAGCTAGACAGCTAAACAAACGCCCGAAAGCAAGGTCTTATCGCCTCGAATGCTCAAACAGACCCTCAGACCGTCCAGCTCGTGCGGAAGGGCGATAGAAGTTGTGGGCAGAGGCAAGCGGTGGAAGGCGAAGGCAGGTAGTCAAGGTTGACGCTGCTTGGTGGGTTGGAAGCTAGCCCGAGTTGGAGAAGGGCGGGCGGGCGTGTGCACGTCAAGTGGCCGAGTTGGTGGTTTTAGTAGAGATTGTGATTGTGAATGTGATTGATGACTTGACTTGACTTGACTGGACCGGATCGGAATCGTCGCGCCGTGACCAGGAGCACACGGTAGTCTGCTGCGCTTGTCCGACGATGGTCGATTTGGCCCATAGGAGAGGGGGCAAGGCAATAGGAATACGCACGGGAGAGGGACTCAGCGTAGCACTGTACAGTGTGAGGCTGAAGCCAGAGCCATCTGACGACGCAGCAGAGTTGCAGCCGACGAGAAAACAGCGATGGACAGGATGAGCTTTCCCGGTCGGCAGACAGCTGCTGAAGCTGGGATCATCCAGCCCTCGCTCGTGAAAAGTCACTGCCCCGCCGTCTGTTGGTGGTGGGGTACCTGCGAGACTTAGGACCTGGAACCTAGAGACAACATTCCAGCTGTCCGCCAGGGGAGGGGCAGACGGCGGGGTGATGGGTTAGGGTCTAACGAGACCGGACGATTTAGATACTTTCTTAGAACACAACATAGTGCAGTATGTTTGCATTTATTCACCTGGTAATATTCTCCTGAAAAAGGAGCCTATATATTCAGTCACTGCAGCACTTAGAATAAGCCTCTAATTGTCCATTGTTGCTATCGAGATTCAATAGTGACAAATGTCGGGAACTCAACCTGTCTATATCTCTCCCCTTTCTGTTTCTCGGTCTACCCAGGTAGAGTGTACAATTTCGAGGAGTGCAAGGCGCAAGTACGAGATGAGGGCTCTTTTGGTTTAATAGAATTACATTAGTCAAGATGTCTAATATTTGTTGCTACTTGAGCAAAGTGTGGCCCAGTCAAAAGGAAAGAGGTTGACATGTATCAAGTCTTATTTCGTCTGATCTCTATCTGGTTCTCTTTGGTTACTTGACTCGCCTGTGTGACTTCGCGCAATTATGGATCCCTACGCGAAATATTATTGAAGCCGTGATTTCGTATCATGTCTGGATTTCGGTAATCGATATATTCTCAATTTCTCCTCTTGACTGGTCATTATTCTTCTCCTGGACTCTAACGTTCCCTTCGAAGATATCGAATGATGGGTTCGTCCGTCTAGTATACGCCTTGCAGACTTGAGAACGTCCCTGTTTCTGCTGTCAGATGCCGATGCACTGAAGAAAATCGAGGGTAGGTGGGCAATTACCACAATCAGTACAAATCCAGCACGACATAGTTCTGCTCCCTTCCACTTGACTGGTTGAGCCCAACACAATCACGACAGCAGATAATGGAAACCTGCTCATCTCTTTTCGTGAACTCTAACGCAATCCATCTCTGACCGTGCAATGGTAACGTTGACTTTCAGAGAAGAGTATTGAACAAGGCGGTCGACGATAGAAGCCTTGGCAACTTGCGAGACCTTGGAATTTCTCATTGCAAACTTGAGCAGACATGACGGTGAGTCAATGTCGGTGTACGAGACATGTCTCCGAGAGCCAGATGGTCGGACTGTCCCACATCTACATAGACATTCCGAAGCTAATCGAGTGCAGAAATGCTGAAACTGACACGCTTTCATGTACTCGATTGATGAGATTGACCGAAGTTCCGTGCGGCTCTCAAAAAGCAAGACACTTGTACAGCATGCTGCATGCCGGTATCCTTCAAGAAAAGCAAGTTGTCGAAGTCTTGTGCCTGGATTATCAACATACTCCATTCTGCCAATCTAAATACTCTCGTGCCTGGGGGGTATCAAACACACTTTCACACCAAATCCCAACATCTCCCATAAACGCCATGCGGGTGTTTTTCAATAAGCATCCGATCCTTCGACTGGACGACAAGATTTTTCGTACCAGACATCTGCAGCAATGACTTGGCCCGCCACTCACCGCAGTCCGCAACATTAAGGGCCAAGCTTCACCTCCCTTCCATCAGTTCCCAGACATCCTCCGCTGCGAGGTCCTTCTCCTCATGCTCCCAGGGCCGTCCCTTTCGCTGAAACTAGTTCCGATGCCCGAGTCCCGCCCCTGCGGATCCTCTCCCCTGTAATCATCACCCGCCTCCTCGTCCTCAACGTCAGCCTCGCCGCCAATATCGGCCTGCGGCTGCTGCGGAGGGACACCACCCTCGACGCCGTCAGTGTGCCCCGGCTCCGGGTCATAGCGCAGAGGCGGCTGCTGCGAGGAAGTAGGGAACGTCATGGGCACGTCGTCGAGCGCTTTGCCGTGGCTGTGGCCCTCCTGCTTGATCCTCGGGTTGCGCCCTTGCTCCTCCTTTATCAGGCCCGGCCGGGCCCCCGCACCACCCCTGCCGCCTCCGAAGCAGACGCTCCAGAGGACCTTGGCGGCGACGGCCGTGGAGGCGAGGGAGACCACCTCCAACACCCAGAACAGCGAGGTGAACAGCACGAAGCTGGTGATCCACCACCTGTGCATGAACCAGCGCAGGCCTCCCAGCTGCGCCGTGACGGTCACGAGCACGTCGTACACCTGTAGGCTCTGACCCGCCTGCACGTCCAGAACCAGGCTCGTGGGCATCATCTTGCCCGGGCGGAACTCGAGCCGCTCGACCATGGGTACCACCAACTTTGTGGTCTCGGACGCGGGGATGAAGACGTGGTAGCCCAGAAGGAGCAGGCGTTTCGCGAGGGAGACCAGCGGGTCGGTGTACGGCATGATGGCTGGCCGCGTGGATCTGAAGAGTATGTTCTTGTCGTTGAGGACGCTCTGCGGCGCCGGGACGGCCCCTGTCACGGTCGACATAATCTTGCTAGCCGGGTTCTGGGCGTCGTCGAGGAGGTACAGCGCGAGCATGAAATTGCCGCGGCCAAGGTTGGTGGGTGAGTTGGGCAGTTTCAGCGTAACGGTGATGTCGTAGTCTTGGTAGTCTTTGAAGTTTGCTCTGGAGAGGGAGGCTACGCCGTAGGGATTGAGCTCGTATCTGCCCGGCACACAAGGTCATCAGCTCGTTGCTCTCCAAGGTAACAAGACAGGACAGGGAAGGGAATTATCACGCCACATACCCATACTGTAGGTGCACAGGCACGGTCATGACCTGATCGGGCAAGTACTCGTGATAGAACGCCAGGTATCCCACACAGGCGAAGCCGAACAAGATGGACGAGAGGAAGGCGAACAGCACTGTGGTCAGCAACGTGCGCTGCGCCGTCTTGGAGGTTGCGGCATTGTAGACGGCGCTGGTCGTGTCGACAGTCGCATTGTACGTGCCCCTCACGTACTCGACGCCGTCGTTGAAGTAGTCCATGGTCCTGCGCGCCGCCAGCAGACACTGGTGGCGGGCGAGGCGTGACCGGTGAGAAAGCGGGACCTCAGGCTGATTGAGGGTCTCGGCGGGAGACGAAGACGAGGGCGAGGATAAAAGGAAGGAGGTCCCCGTGTTTAGAGCGTGAAATGCATGGGCCTGGGCCTGGGCCTGAGCCTGGGTCTGGTACAGAGGTGGGAAGTTCCTCCTGGGGATTGGGTTCGCGGGCGTCGCGGGTCCGGCTGGGTAAAGAATGAAGTTGGGACGCGGTCGCGAAGTGAAGGGAGTTGGGGAATTCGGCTCGACGTCATTGTGGTGGTCCTGCCAGGGGTCATGGCTCTCGCCGTGTGGGGCTTCCCCAAGCAGCGCCCAGGGCGTCTCGTCAACCGCATCCTCGACCGTTACGCGGGGAGGCCAACTCATTCTGCAATGGTGGTGCCATGATTTCAGAGAGCTACGATAGCAGCATAGAATAGGAAGACCGCCATTCATCTTGTCATGGAGGCAATCATGTGATTATTTAGCTTCCTCATTTCTCTCAGCCCTGCGGTCTTGGAGACTGTCAAAGGGCACAACAGCCTCAGAACATGCACCTGTCATTTCTCTACACCAGTTGTTGAAGCAAACCAAGGCAAGCCATGAAAGAACATATCACCATTGGGACGTGCACAAGGGAGCCTGGGTTACTTTTCGTATGAGAGTTCAACATCTCTTTATTCATGCCTCATCCAACCTTTGTCATTCCTCGTACATCCATGCATGTCCTGGCTACCTATAGACATCAAAAGCATCAAAGCGTCAAAGCATTTCCTTCATCCTCATGAGCGTACTGTACATGCATGGAGCCCTATCCTGAATCAATTCAAACCAGTCCAGGCCAGAGGAAAGAGTCAGGGGGGATCCTTCTCCCTTCCTTGCCTCTGGCTTGAAAGGTGCCTTGCGCCTGAAGAAAATGTAGAGACCAAAGGAGAAACATGACAGAATTATGAGCGTCAACTGAGAAAGACATCCAACTCCATTATTGATGCCAATTTTTTGCGCTGTTTTGACAGTGTCAGACCGTCCTCGATGCTGGTATCTTCTAAATGGTCTGCAGGTAGTTGCTCGGGACCAGCCCGGACTGGCCATTGGCGCCGTGCACTTCGGCCTCCCACCACCCGTCGTCCTGGTGGCGTAGGACGGCAAGAATGTCACCCTTGTTGAATCCAAGCTCCTCCGGGATTGCTGCTTGGTACATGTACATGGCACGAGCTGGAAAAAGCGCGGTTAGTCGAATTGAAAATGGTTGATGGTCAGGAGTTTATTCTGCTTACCGAAATGCAAAATCGGTCTCCCATCAGGAGTGTACTGCCTTCCTCCGTCGGCGACGCTCTTGCTGCGCTGCCTGGATGCGGGCGCCATCGCTCCTGGAGGCTCATAGAGACCCATGGCCCTGTTACCCTGACTTGTTCCTGGTCGCCCACCTCGTCCCCTCGTCGACCCGCCATACGAGTCGTCCGTGGGCGCTGGAGACATCCCCCGAGGCATGTCACCACCTGGATATGCGCTATAACTGCTACCAGCCCTACTGGCAGGCCGTCCGTAGTCGGCTGTTCCGCGGAATGGCTGCGGCGAGGCTGCGCGCGTCATGTCGTTGGGCGTGTTCTGGCGGTAGAAGCCCTGGGGGGAGTTTCTAGCGTCCATTTGAACAGAACCATGACGCGAGTTCGTGCTGCCACGCTGGCTTGCTGCGTACGGGTTGGGGGACGCCGATCGATTGTTCATGCCTGGCAGTGGAGAGGCGCTTCGAGGTGGGGCAGGAGACGCGGCTCGTGGCATGTCATTGCCGCGGGTTGGTGGACGGGAAGGTGACCTGTAGCCTCCTGAGCCAGGCCTGTCTCCAGAGAAGAGGCTACGAGTCTGTTGGGTGTATTTCTGCGAGGTCTGCTTCATGGCCTTGGACGTGACCGCGGGCGATGGAACACCGAGCCTGTGTACCGGTTGGTCATAGGATGGAGGCGGTGTTCCCCTCATACCGGATGCGGCGGCGCTGTTGCCACTGAGTGGTGGCACTGATCGAGAGAACGGTTGCGATCCCGGGGCAGGAGTGGCAATGCCGTGATAGTGGTCCGCAGACATGCGAACGGATGACTGCTTGCCCAACGTAACACCCTTGAGCTCCGCCAGTGCTTGCGCGATCGGGTCATCCTCCTGGGCCTCCGGCTCAGGTGCAGACTTTTGTCTACCGGGAAGCTTGACAGGCAGCACATTCTCCCCGATGTTGATGGCCACATCAGCGTTGGCGTCTATGGGATCAGGGCTGGCAACTGATCTGTCTGGCAACAGATTTTGTGGGATATCCCGATCAGAGCCTGTCATGCTGTTTCCGACATGCCAGGTGTTCCTGTTGTTTGATTGAATCTCTCTGGCGTCCCTGGTGCTCTTCCGTCTGCTGAAAGGGCTTTTGTTCTGGAAGAAACCACTTCTCTTCTTCGCTACCTTCCTGTCTCCCCCAGAGGCTGGAGACGCAGGAGGGATGACCGCGTCCTGCTTGACAGGAGAGGTCTTCCCGCTCATTGGATCTCGACTCGAGTAGGATGTCGGGGCGGAGTAGTCGCTATGTTCATCTCTGCTCATTGGCCGCTCAGAGCCTGATGTTCCGCTGAGTTGAGAGCCCGAAGTTGCGCTAAGCTGCGAGCCTAGATCTGAGCCATTAGGATTGCCAGTACGGCAAAGCATCGTCATACCGTCCATTGGGTACGGATCATGAGGAACAGGTGCAAACTCGTTGGGGTCGAACTCTGGGGGGACTGGCCTCTGCAAATCACGAGGCATGTCCCTGCTATTCCGAGCTTCACTGCTTTGTCCTGGCAGCCTCTGTGGTGTTATCGTCCGTTCTCTGCCGCCAGGCGCCCCGAAGTCATGACCCATTTCTTTTGCCAAGGCGGAAGTGGGATCATGGTGGGATTCGTAGGTTGACGGTTGCGGCGATGATGAGCGGAAGGCCGGGTTGATACTCCGAGGGAACTGGGCTACAGAGTAAGCCTCATCCTCCGTCTCCTCGGTCGGTGTTTCGACGTCCCCACGACAGAAGTTGATGTATTTTGGTGGGTCTGGGATCTCTTGTCCAGTGCCCCTCTCCCTAATGAAGGTGATGATATCCTTCTCGACTTCCATCTTCTCCAAAGACAGTCGCACCTTCTCACATGACGCGTCGTCACTAACACAAACAGTCGAGGCGATGTTGGCGAAGGTCCAGAGGCTACTCTTTGTGAAGTCAAGACGTTCCTCCTCCAGGTCCTGGAATTTGTCGGCAGCTGCCTTCCACTCCCGATTCCACCTCGCAGTGGTCTCCTCCAAGGCTTTAACGGCAGCCTCATACTCAGTATTGGACGTTGCTAAGCTTATCTGTGTCTTCTCGAGCTTGGCCTTGTTCTTTCGCTCCTCCTGGCCCATGACCATGTGACCTTGGGCGAGATATCCCTTGATCTTGAGGCACTCTTGCTCGTATCGGTCTCTTGTCTGAAAGTGTGTTAGTATGTGCCATGCTTTGTGGTGCAGCATGACGAGTTACATACCTTGTTGACAAGCGCGGTCTGTTGTTGCTTCACCTTGAGCAGCTTCTCGATTGTATTTTGTACGATTTTCCGGCGCTCCTTCATGCCGCCTGCGAAAGCAGCCAGTGGCTCCTCAAGCTCTGACCTCATCTGGGCTGCATTATTCTGGTGCTGCTTTGCCATGCACTCGACCTCGCCTCGGACAGTATCCAGGGACGTCTTCAGACTGCCCATCTCCTGGGAGCCGAGCGACTTCCGGCAGAGGGACATCAGCTTGCGTGAATATTCATCCTCGATGGATGCGCGTGTGGCGTAGAATGATCGGAGCTCATCACAAGTCTGCTTGGCGGCATGCATGCGCTCGAGCATGGGTGGGACTCCGGCATCATCTTTGCCCCAGAAGTTGTTGGCGACTGTATGCGTGCGATCGACGTTAGCTTCAGTTGTGAAAGTGGACATATGGAGGGCTGGGAGAGGGTAGGGTGTCTCCATACAAGAGAGGGTGACCGTGGGTCCCTCAGAGGTTACTGACGGCATGATGCCTCTGCGCTACCCAAGGTCCTCTCACTGTGGTTATGCTGCTGCTGATCGGGATCGTGAGGGTGTTTGTATGCCTGTCCGTCTGTGGGTGGTCGAGACGGCGTGTGCCGCTGTGTGTACCTAGCTAGATATGCTCGTTGGTGATGCGGTCAGAGTCCGACAAGGTCCAGTCTCGTCAGTACGGCAGAGAAAGGAAAACTGTGCTTTAATCGAAGTTAAACAGTAACGATTGGGAACAAAAGCGAGTGCCTGAGTGCCAGGTAGCAAGCAGCAGCAGCACTGGCAGCCCAGGCCCAGCCGACCAGGGTGCCAAGCAGGAAGGAAGTATTGGGAGGCTGGGAGCTCCTTCTATGTTTACTGAGCCTAGTTCTGGCGGGGCAACGACCCCTCTCACCTGCCACCCATTGGACAGCAGGCCTGTACGGTTCGTCCCGTTGGCTTTTAGCGTCATTCAGCCGCGCTAAAACGAACTGCAGGATCCAGCCATCGCCATTTTGATAGCCAAAACCGGATTCGATCATGCCGAGCTGGGCTCGTCATTTACATACTACATGTATGTTACAGCTTCTTTGTGTTTTAAAAAAGGTTGAAGGATGGACTCAAAAACCGTCTCCAGACTCCCACAGGGCTGATCTACTATGCCTCAATGGGGTGCTAAGTATATTGGCGAAGGCTTATGCAGCGGCCTGCCTGAGGTCAACCCACTTGGCGTCAAATGGCAACCAACGGCTGGTTTCTCTTTGTGAAATAGGTTTTAAGGCCAATTGGCATTCAAGGTCTGCTTTGGAACGTCTGACCGCCATCATGGTATTCCCGCCCCTTTCCAAAGATGGTTTGACCGTTGCTCCGCTTTTGGGTAACCTGGCAGGGTGAACGCTGTTTTTTCACACATTTCTGGGTTCGGCAAGGTGGTTGACACGCTCGTAAATGCCAAGTATCTGGCTGGGAAACCTTATCTCGATCTCGGTGCCATTGGGTTCCAAAATATGCCCAGTTTGCCATTTCAAATACGAATATTGCTTCCGTCAAGGATATGTTAGTAGTACAGTGTGTTTCCTCTGTTACAATGTCATGTCTAGAGCACTCGCTGCTTTCGGTCCGGGTTATAATGTCTTGGATGGCGATGGAATGCCACCGCCGATCTCCCGCGAGAGAGCACTGCACGCATCCAGCGAATGTAGGACCCCATCTACTACCAGTCCCAACAATGTACCTGAAGCAGTATAGCTTGTGTTTAGCAACGAGTGGACACGAGAAGGAAGGGTAGACACGTGACCATCCCAGAGAAGCGGCATCCCAAGCCAGGAGAGTTGAAACCGACATGGCCCCAGGGATGTGTAAATCCTGTCATGCATGTGTCAGTCCCTTGCTGAATCATCAGCTGTATATCGGGAATCGTAGTGTCTTGAATGCTTTACCTTGCTTGATTCGAAGCGCAGTGCTCTGCAGACCTTCTTCAGAGTTGTCGGGCATGACAACGTCTTTCTGCAGCCTTTTGAACTCGGTCCGTTTCATGTCTCTTGTTGTGGTATTGTCACCAAATCTCGTTATCCTCCAGTGCCTAGACACTGCTTCATATTGAGAGGCCACTCTTGAAATCCATCTGTTAGCTCACGGGAGCAAAATAGAGTCACAAGCCGCCTGCATAGGTCATTGCACATTGCCACCACCATGGCAGGCTGGAGATCAACCAACATTTTACATCTGAGAAGAGGTATATGCATAAACCCAGACCCTAGTCTCCGATCAAAATCACCTGAAAGTATGACATGTAATATGGTGGTTTAGGATCAGTACTCAATCTTTCGGAATAAGTACTGTCCCCATATCTGACAAGTAGCTGCCTGGTCCTGAATGCCCCGGCCTGCTTATGGTTGGAATACTGACCAAACAGAAGAGACCTGGGTAGCTGAGCAAGCTAGCGATGAAGTAGTTTATCTCCTTTGGTATAAGTGGTCTGTAGTGCGACATTAGCATCAACGAAGCAACTTACATTCTCCCCGCACGTCCTAAGCAAGCACTGGCAAGCTTCACAGCTGACGCGAATTATCTTCCACCCAAGCAGGCCATGGCGTCCAAGACAGCAACACACATCCTGTACTACAATGCATTCTCCCTCAACTCCACCATGGCGCGCTACGCCTTCGCCCTGCGTGGGGCACTCAAACCCGGCCAATCCGAGATTACCATCCAAGAAGAACCATTGGACATCGGCCTGAAGCGCGAGCAGCTTACGGAGCATTACTTGGTCGACATCAACCCCAAAGGCGAAGTGCCTGTGCTCGCGCCCGTAAGCGGTGGACCTACGCTGCCGGACAGTGTGGAAATCACGTTCAAGTTCGGCGAGGTGTACGAGGATATTATTCCGGAGACACAGGCGGGGCAGATCAGAGAGTTGTTGGATAGGTTGCATAAGCTAGGGATCTTTTCGTTGACGATGGGGCCGCGGCCGGGTGTTGGGGCGGGGCAGACGGCGGTGTTGGAGGAAAAGTTGAAGGGCGACATTAGTGACAAGTATCGGGCTGCTTTGAAGGAGAAGTTGGAGCAGTAAGTATCTCGAAGCTGTTGGTCAGTGGAGTTTTACGGCTACCTAGGTACTGACCATTCTTGACAGATGGACGACGGTCAAAGTCCCGTCACTGACGAAGGAAGGGCAAGAGAAGTCGGCAGCAGACATGAAAGCTTATCTTGGGGACATTGACAGTTTACTGTCCAAGTCAGAGACGGCGTGGCTGCTAAGCACCACCAGGGCCTCTGCTCTTGACGCTCATGTAGTGCCCCTTGTGGCTCGCATGCTGGACATCAAGCAGGACGGTCTGGTCCCGGAATCTGTGGCGAAGTATGCGGCTTCGGCGATGCAGGGTCAGGAGTGGAATGCTGTGATGCAGGGCAGGACGACTCTGCCACCCATGCCACCGGCGCAGAAATAGTTTCATTCCCTTGGACGCTTACTCTGCCGTTGCCCGTTTCTTTTGATGGTCTGGTCCATAGTTGTTCTACAGGAGCTTGTCCCAACAATAATTGCTTCGAACGAGTTGGCATCAATGACGCATCGTCGGGCGTATAAAATAACCGTTTCGAGGCTATGCTGGCGGCCTCGAGATGGGTGAAGGGCCAAAGGGTATTGTCCTGCCCAGAGCGCCTCGTGTTTTAGAGGTTGCTCGCGTCGCTTTATCCGCCGGACCTGCTGATGCTTGGACCTTCACAGAACTAAAGAGATCGCGTACGTTCGCTGAGGCATGTAGACAAGTTGGACCACAAATCTAGATGATCAAGAGGTATTTGTTGATGTGTAGGCTCAGCTGGTGTAAGGTAACGGCAGGTGGGGCTCTGTGGCCAGGCGCATTCAAAGGAAGCCTTGAGGTACGTACCTAGGCTCGAGCTAGGCAACTCACCACTTCCGTGCAGGTGCGCAGGAGGTCTACAGTTTAGCCGGCCGGCAAACAGACAGAGCCCCCACTTTTGAGGCCATCCAGGCAGCGTGACTGGCCACATACCCACCACCTGGCTGACCACACTGAACTGGAGTGACTGGCTGGCCTTGCAGGTGTGCACGCCCATGGGACAACGCTTCCAACGACCCGCCTCGCTTGGGCAAGCAAACTCGAGAGAAGAGTAGCTGTCACCCCCGACATCCAAGGTTGAAGCTCACAGAAAGGACTGACAACATCGCCGTCGCTCTGCCTCACCTTTTCTCGTGTGACCGTTTCCTACCTCTGTATTCATTGTCTATACCCGGACAGTACATGTGATTCCCCTCAACCCCGCCGCTTGTCATCCCTGGTCCCGTGCGACAGGTCCAAGTCCAACCTCTCCAGCCAGAGCTCCATGAACGTCGACCCGTCCACGACCCCCAAGCTCTCTCACCACCACTTTCTTCTGCCGCCAACAACAACAACCAAGCCCTGCCCACCACCGAGTTGAAGTCAACATCCACCAGCTGCCAGCACCGCATCCAACAAGCTCTGTCGCACGCAATCTTGGTTCTTGCAGTCGCCTGCTGACGGCCCGTCTCGATTTCGATTTCGATTCCATCTCGGCCTCCTCTCTCTCGCCCACTCTATCCCATCGTTGCCCATAGCCGAGGACACCAGAACCCCAACATCCACCACCACTGTTGCAGCGGCGCGGCTCTGTCCTTGCGGATAGCAGAACCGTCTTCGCCCCGCCCCCCCTCCATCCAACACCCATGCTCCCACGATCGTCGGGAACATTTTCTCCCACTCCTCCGCAAGGCCTACAGACAGGAATCTCCCACTCCCCACATCCGTCGCAGGCAGGTGTGCTGAGTGCGGGTGCCAGCCCGAGTACCAGCAGCCCCACTGGGAACTACGCCGTGTCCAAGATCACCATCGCCCAGGTCTATGTGCTCTTGAGCACCCTGAAGGCGAAGAAGGACGACCCGGCCGAGTACGAAAACAAGGTCAATCGGCTCAATAAGGTACGTAACTGCCACCAAGATTCGCATCACCATTGACATCAACAACCCCATCGCCGCCATTCCCCAGGCTTTCAACAGCCGTCCGCTTCCACCTCCATCTCGTTCCTCAGCTTGAGCTTCATCCGCAGCTCCCGCCCTCATAGCCTCCCCCTTCTTCTTTGCAATCATCGCTCTTGCCCATGTCCTCAACCCCTTCCTTCTGGGCTTGTCTCCCATTGCACAGACTGACAACCTTGACCTCGCAGCTCATCGATGAAAACGGTATGGAGGTCTTTACGAAATACTTCACCAAGCTGGTGCATACCAGCGCGTCCCAGATTTTCCCAGGCACGAGTCGACCGATAGGTAGCGCGACGAATACCGGCAGTTACTCGCTGCTCCTGGAGGAGATGCGCAAAATATCTCACGATGTGGATCAAGCGACAAAAATCTCCGAGTCTATCGAGACAGGGACAGAGGACATCTTCCGCGACTTCGACCTCTCTACCTTCATGGAGCATTTCAGATTGGACGCCCTAGAGAAGACAATATTAGCTCTAGCATTCAAGTTGGGCAGCCGGCCTGATTTGAAGACAAAAGGTACGCTGCTGGCCCGTGATCAGAGTACCCTGCAGCAGCAGCGCTGGCAGCAACTAACATACGGTCTCTAGCTGATGCCATTCTCTCCACCAACTTTCCCACCTTCAACGCCATCCTGTCGCAACCGGACGGAGACCATTCCGACCTGAGCCCTCACTTCATTTCTGTCATCATCGATCGCCTCATACAATACCATCCTCCGAACTTCAACTCCGCGACACACAGGGAGCTGTCCTCCAAAGTCGAGACTAGATATGTTCAGCTCGATATGGCGACTCCTTCCGAAGCACTGGCCGCCCTAGACCTCCACAGGGTTCTTGTGGACAAGCCACCCAATGCGTTGGCCTTGTACATCCAAAAGGTCGGTCCTGACTTCACGCGAGACGAGGAATCCTGCGTTAGGCTCTTGCAGGAACGGCCCCCTTCTGTCCAGCTGAGCGCGGAACAAGTTTCGAATGCACTTTGGTACACTGCCATCAGCCAAACCCCAGAGCAAAGCCCAACCGTCCTCGTCGCTGGTCTTCGACGGACCCTGCCCCAGGGCTTTAGATGGCAGGACGTGCTGTCGTACTTTGATCAACCCAGTGCCCGGATATCTCCTCCGCAATTCCTACGCCTGTATAGAGCCCTGCATGTGGTTGCCCTGGAAGATGATGGATCCAATTTCGACATTCAGAGCCTCTGGGGTGGAAACTGGGCGAATGCAGATGCCCACCTGTCTTTCGTCTGTGCCTTTGGCAGTCTTACACCAGAAGAGCTGGACGCTACTACGATACCCGGCCTCCGACCAGCGTTCACCTTGGCCGAGTACGCGCAATCTCCGGCACCTGTGCGCGAAAGGGCGGCTTACGCGGTCAGACACCCTCTGGTCTCGGTTGACGCGCTTGCAGCTGTCTTTGGTGTCGCTCTCAGCTCGCAGCATGCTTCACAAACCACTGAGGCCAAACGCTTGTTCAACGAAGTAGTGGTGCCTAATCTAGACATCTTTGTTGTCTCCGCTTTTGGTGTGCCAAAGCCATGGCCTGAAATGGCGAACGACACCTTGACGACTCTGTTTGAAACCTTCTTGTTCAAGCAGCAGGAAGGTTATCAATTCGCCCTCGACAGCCTCTGGCGGAAAGACAAGGACTTTGTGAAGCAGAAGATTGGTGAGGCGCATGTACGACGACCCATGGACTTGCCGCTGTACCTTGAGCATGCCGAGTACCACGGCTGGCTGGATGAGTTCGCGTATGAGTTCAGTGGAGTTGGCTTGGATCTCGCGGCTTTTGCACACGGGCAAGGCCGGTTCGATATGGACCAGTGGATAAGAACAAATGCCACGAGGGGCGCCGAAGTTGTCAGATCTCTCCTCCAATTTGTTACCATCAAAGCGGACTTGGAGACAAGATACCAGCGACAACAAGGGGGACAGGGGCTTCTTAGAACGACGCCACTTCAGGTGAAGACAGTGTACCCTTTTCTGGGCTTTCTAAACGAGTTCTGCACTGCCGAGCTGCTGCAGGAATGGAGGGAGTGTCAGCGGCAGTGCACGATTGCCTACCCACGCCTCATCAACTACGGCGGCGCCTATGATGCCATAATCGACTTGAATGGCGCAGATGGCAACAATCTTCCTCTCGCTGCCATTAGTAGGATGGAAGATCATTACAAGAGCATGTATAGCGGAGAGACTCAGGTTAGGGACATCGTGGAGGCTCTTGAGCGCTACAAGCATTCCCGTGACCCTCTCGACCAAGACATTTTCGCCTGTATGATCCATGGCTTGTTCGACGAGTTCGTGCATTACCCCAGCTACCCCATCGATGCACTCGCGAGGACCGCAGTTCTGTTCGGTGGCGTTATCTCCAGAAAGCTCATCGATGGCACGCCCCAACAGGCTGGGCTTGAGATGGTATTGGAAGCAATCAGGGATTATCCTCCCGAGCAAAACATGCACAAATTTGGGCTGCAGGCCTTGATGCAGCTCTATCCCCGCTTTCCAGAATGGCCAAGTTTCTGTCGGCAGCTTCTTCAGATTAGTAGCCTGCAAGGCACTGAGGCCTGGAGAAAAGCAGAGATTGTGGTCAGGGAGCAGGAAGAGGATGCAACTCATCAGCGCAATGGCGGGGACGCTGCTCTCAACCATGATCCTCTCACGAACGGCAATGTGGCTGAAGCCAATGAACCGCAATTCGCGCCCTTTTCCTCCATCAACGTGGACCCTGTCCCTGTCAGCGCTGCTTTCGAAGACCCAACAGGTGAAAACCAGGACAAGATACAGTTTGCGCTGAATAATATGGACCAGGCTTCATTGAAATCTCGATTCGACACAATTTACGAGTCCCTCGAGCAGAAGCACCAGCAGTGGTTTGCCACTCACCTGGTTCGTGATCGGGCAAAGGTGCAGCCCAATCTCCACCAAATGTACCTCGACGTGGTGAAGCTCTTCGAGGACAACATTCTTTGGAATGAAGTCCAGAGGGCGACTCTGAGTTGCGTGGCTCAAATGCTGAACTCAGAATCGACAATGCATAGCTCCACCGAGCGAACCCAACTGAAGAACCTCGGTGGTTGGCTAGGCATGTTGACCCTAGCCCGGGACAAGCCTATCAGGCACCGAAACATTGCCTTCAAACAACTACTCATCGAGGCACATGACACGAAGAGACTGATAGTCGTAATTCCCTTTGTGTGCAAGGTACTGGGCCAGGGCGCGTCATCGGTCGTGTTTCGTCCGCCGAATCCATGGCTGATGGACATCATCCACCTACTCATCGAACTCTACCACAACGCAGAGCTCAAACTAAACCTCAAGTTCGAGATCGAGGTACTCTGTAAGACCTTGAGTCTGGATCACAAGAGCATTGAGCCATCAGGCGAGATTTTGAATCGGGTCATCGCGGAGGAGGCTGCCCAGGTCACTGTGGCAGATGGGCTGGAAGCATTCGACAACTTATCTCTGAATGGGATCGGGCAAGGGGTGGTCAGCAATCTTTTGCCTCATGCTGTTGCACCAACAATTCCCGATCTGCATTCACGTCTCAACATCCCTCCGGCGAACGAGATGGTTGTGAGCAACAGCCGTTTGCGTGATATTGTCCACACGGCATTCAATAAGGCTCTGCAAGACATTATTCAGCCTGTTGTCGACAGATCCGTCACCATTGCTGCCATCAGCACGCATCAAATGATTCGCAAGGACTTCGCTACAGAGCCTGACGAGCATCGCATCAGGAACTCTGCCATCAGCATGGTAAAAGCCACGGCAGGCAGCTTGGCTCTTGTTACTTCCAAGGAGCCGCTGCGTGCTAACTTCACCAACTACATGCGCCAGCTCTCGACTGACTTGCAGGGTGGCCTGCCTGAGGGGACAATCATCATGTGCGTTAACTCAAACCTTGAGCTCGCCTCCAGCGTGATAGAAGATGCCGCCGAGAGGCGTGCGATTCCGGAGATTGAAGATTTGATCGAGCCTGAGCTGGATGCTCGCCGGCGCCATCGACTGCAGAGGCCCAATCAGCCCTATGTCGATGCTTCGCTGAACCGATGGGCCATGACAATGCCAGATCCCTATAAGATGGCCCCTAGTCTGACTGGCCTGAGTCCGGAGCAAATGGCGATTTACGAAGAGTTCCAGCGGCAACCACGGCCAGCCACGACCACCACGACTCCTTCCCACATCGCCTCAACCTCTGACGCGACGAGGTCGATGGCCAACGAGATTCTCCAGGATCAGTACAGTTCTGTGCCTTCTGTCCCGACGCCAGCGGAAACACCTGCCATGCCTCCACTGGCTGGACACTCGCAGAACTACCCTCATGCCCACTCGGGCTTGACAAATGGACGACAGCCCGCCCTTAGCCAGGTTGACGCTAGAGTACTGGTCGAGCGCGTCAGTAAGCTCCTTTTTGAACTGCAGCGTGCAGCAACGGAGGCACCCGAGGAGCATTACGAGGATCTGCCAAGGGGGCATACAGTCCTGGACACGATGGATCTGCTCATTTCTAATGTGATCAAAGCGCGTACATCGACAACCGACGATCCCACACCGCACGTCGTTGAGCAGATCTGCAACGTTCTCCTCGGCCCATTAGAGGACAGCCTTGCCATCGAGACTTTTGCTCACGCCCTCAGCACGATTCGAAGGATGGGAGGCCCGGTCTTGAGCGACTTTGCTGTGCAACTCTTCCGGCGCCAAGATGGGTCCACGTTTCTGCGTCTTCCAATCATCAAGGCTTTTATTGGAACCGATCTGCTCGACTGGCGCACCTTGGACGAAGCCCTTTCCACATCCATCAGGTCGCAAGAAGAGGGAAGTATTCAGATGCTGGATCAAATCATTAAAGCGACCGTTCTAAGCGAGACACCGATGGCGCTGTTTGCCAACTTGAGCTCCAGCCTGGATGTTGCTTACGCGTGGATCGTTGCGGATCCTGATGTGCCAGGGGGCGAGGAATTGAAAGCTACACTGGACGCTGCTCGCGAGGCGCGCAGTCAAGTCCAAAATCGCGAGCAGATCGAATATGTGTTCGACGAATGGGTGTACCGCTTCCGAAACACCCCGGTGACTGATAAGCTCGCGCGCAATTTCGTGAAGCAGTTGAACGATCACGGCATCGTGAGGTCGAAGGACGACCTGTTAGTGCTCATTCGCGTTGCCCTGGACAGCTCCGTGGTGCAGTTCGAAGCCGCCATTGCCTCTGGCAGCAGCATTGATGATGGATATATCTGGGTCAACGCGCTGGCAGCCCTAATTATGGCGTTTGTCAAATCCACCGGTTTCGACGATACCGATCCGAAGTCGAGCCCAGCATCGCTGCTCGCCTCCGTTTGGGCGCTTGCTACCATGGTCCTCAACGATCACGCGAGGAAGCGCGGGGAGCTCTTCAACCAGCGAGTCTTCTTCCGTTTCTTCTCTCAACTCTTGCATGAATCCGGAGCATTCTTCGAGCAGCTGGGCCAACCTCATCGGGACGAGATGCTCTTGAAAATTGCGCCGCGGCTCTCCGCTCTTGGACCTTCGATGTTTCCAGGCTTCTTCTATGGCTGGCTTGGCCTGATCCACCACGCAGCTTTCCTCCCTGCCATCATGGATATGGAGGGGGAAGCTGGGTGGGCACCGTACACGAAGCTCATACAGCAACTGCTGGAGTTCGTGGGTGAACAGCTGAACACGGCCCAACTGCCTGACGTGATCCACAAGCCTTACGAGGCCGCCGTCAAACTATTGATAGCGTTGCAGCATGATTATCCTCAGTACGTGGCGACCAACTCAACAGCACTTTTAGCAAGCATCCCACCGCACTGCACTCAGCTCATCAACACAATACTGTTTGCTTCTGTCAGCAAGATGCCGGACCCTATGACGGCAGGCTTGGATGCTGCTGGCAACCAGACTGGGCCTTCACACGAGGCTGGAAACCCGGCTGGCTTCCTCCAGAGCATTGGTCTCCTCGAAATCCTCAACTCAGCCCTGGAGAATGGTCCTTCGGAAGATGCTGTGGCTCACATGACACATGCGATCACGCGAGGAGATGGGAGGACGGGCTTCGGCCCTACCCGCATTAATGCGAACCTAGGGGTTATCGAAGCAATCACGGCGTACATCGGCAAGCACGCGGTGCAGCGCGCCGAGGCAGGGCAGGCGGCATTTGAGCCTGGCTCGTCAGGCCTCGCGACGCTGTCAATGCTCGTGCACGAGCTCGCGGCGGAGCCGCGGCACTTCTTGCTCTTGAGCATTCTCAACCACCTGCGCGAGCCGAACGCGGACATGGAGTTCTTCAGCAAGTCCCTGCTGGAGATATTTTCTCACGACCTGTCGGACCCAGAGGAGACAGAGATCCGCGAGCAGATTGCACGGGTGCTTTTGGAACGGCTGATTGGATTCTGGCCGCAGCCGTGGGGCTTGCTGATCACCGTAGTGGAGCTGGTCAAGAACGACAAGTACATGTTCTTCGAGCTGCCGTTCATCAAGCAGACGCCCGAGGTAAGCAATCCATTCGCCGATCTCCTACTTGATACCTATGTAGCTAACTTCTTGTCACACAGGTCGCCCAGCGCTTTGCGGAGATAGTGACTGCGCATAGCTAGAAGTTGACGGAGGAGGCGAACAAAGGAACAAGAAAGCACGTATAATGATGCCTTCTGGATTTTTGACCATGACGGCGCAGGTACAGCGGGATGGCAAGAAATTTCATCACGTTGCAGAGACGGGATTGCATTGTACGGGTTCTGTAATTTCGCTGCTACACAAAAAGGGAAGGATTGAGAAAAGAAAAGTTCACGGGTGGGCGGAGACGGTTGGGCGGGAGTTGGCGTTGGGCAAGGCTGGATGATTCCATCCATTCATTGGTTCATGACTTCGGAGCGAGAGGGGAGATAGGCTGACCACCACACCTTGACACAAATGGGCGCTGTTGTTTGGCCTGGCGGGGTAACTTCGGCAGCGGACGAGGAAGAGATGAAACCAAAAAGAGCGGGATGGGGGATGTTCATGTGTGTCTCAGATCACGGTGTTGGGTCGGTGTATTGCGTGTGGCATTCATGTATATGTATGAGTATCGGACTTGTAATGAACAACAAACAGCATTGGGTTTCGGGCCGCGAGCCAGCCCTTCACTGATCGCCGCCTCCTCTTGTTCCGTATGTATGTGGGCTGTCCTTCATGACAATTGTGTAGCAGTGTCTACGTGGTTTCTGTCTCCGACCCCCCTAGCGTCGTGACCGAGACTATGTTGCATATGGCGTCTGTCACCTGACAGGTTCTCGTTGCCCGATAGTCACGGCATTCTCTCACCTCTCCTTCGGTCGATGTGTTAAAGTCGTGTTGCATATGGCATCTGTCACTCTACAGGCCCTCGTCTTCCGATAGTCCCGGCATTTCCTTGTTCAGCCTCTTGGTGGCAGCTGAATCACTAGTCATGTCTCAAACAATGTGTTCGCAGCCTACGTTCGTATTATGTGTTCATGTCCTACGTGCCATGTCATATTCAGCTGGCTTGAGATGGGACGACGCCGTTCTTTGTGGGATGAACGCAAGGCCACCTGTCGGAATCTACCGATCCGAGAGGCCTGACCGGGGCACAGAGATCTTGGGTCGCTGCCCTGTGCTGTGTATCCTCGGGAGCGCGATGCCGACAGTCAGTAGGGAATGGATTAGAGAAGGACCAGAAAAAGAAAAACGCAAAACACATAAAAATAACACACTGGAGAGAAAATCAAGAGCAGAGCCAATAGGGTGGAGAGTGGCGCCTGCCAGTCCCTGTGGGCCGCAGCTCGGCTACGCTGAAGAAGACGAGAGACGTTGTAGTTGGACGTCGATGTCAATATAAGCGTCGATGGCGAGAGACGCGGGATGCATGTCGCATGAGATGGCTCTTCAAGGCTAGCAAATCGTGCTGCGGGTGCGGCTGGATGGGCTGTGATGGGTCAGAAATACCATGCAGATTTCGATGTGGAGAAGATGGGCAATTTCGAATTATGATGCTTTGCTTTTTCCCCCTAGCCTTGTGCCCAGCAGCAGGAGGAGGAGGGGGTGTGGGATGAACGAGGGCGATAAGGTTTACACCCACCCATGAGACGAAGTTGAAGTAAAACGTCGGGCGGCTCCTAGGGCCCAAGCACCTGGGGTTTAGGGCCCAACACGGACTGCAAGCTGCAAGCTGCTTCGCTTAGGCATCCAACCGCCGATTTTCTTCAGAGGCGGTCAGTCCCCCACAGGTGGCTGCAGGTGGAAGACTAACATAGCAGCATAGTAAGCTGCAAGGAACAAGGGAGCCAACCAGCCTGGCGGTCGCTCAGACATCCCACCCTAGCCCAGCCCAGCCCAGCCAGGCCAACCCCCGTGGCACCATGCGACATCACGTGTACAGGCTTGACTTCCTGCACCTTCACCTGCAACGCGTGTCGATCCAAAACCGCTCACTCAAGAACCCCCCCGCGACCGCCCACCGCATCGCGCAGGTCCAACGCCTCTCAGATTGGGATTCGCATCCCCATCTGAACACTGTCGGATTCCAGAATTCGATTTCAAATCCTGCAGACCGGTCAGCTAGGGCACTTGAATCGAGCCAATCCAGCCAGCCACTCGCCTTATCTCCCCTAGGTCCGAGTCTACCTTTCTCACTGCTGCCTCCTCTCTTCTGCCTCCTGCCTCCTGCCTCCTGTCACACCGGTCTTCTAGGGTCGATTCAAGTGAATTGGGCTGAACTGCAGTGTTCTGGGCTAGGCTGGACCAGACTGGGCTGGGCTGAAGACGTCCTTGGGATGCGCATCCGACGCCGCTGAAGAGCCTGACTCTGCGCCATGCCCGTATCACAGCATCTGAGGCGAGGCATCCACGCTGCTTTGCCCAGGAGGGGAACACGTAACGAAGTGCCATCGTGGTCAGCAACATGGATTCTGCAGCATGACACAGCGGTGTCATGGGGAACTGCGCGCTGCTCATGGCCGCCTTTGGCAAGACTCGTCCCCGAGACACGGACGATCCACTCGTCAACGGCCAGGTCCCGCGCCAGGACACGACCCGACGACAAAGAAGCAGCAAGACCTCTCTCCGAGCTTGCAGAGACGTACAAGAAACAGCTTGTCGTTTTCGGCCTCGGTGTAGCTGTCATGGGCGCATACATCGCCATGGTCGTCCGCAGCATGACCAGGGACCCCTGTGCCGACCACCGGGTGGATGCTCAACATGGACAGCACGGCGATGTCCCGTCAGGCCGCCCTCTGGAGTTGCGGTCAGGAAAGATCACCGCCTCTGCCTTCGACCGTGAGCAGGACTGGAACGAGTGGCTCATGGGTATCACCAGCCTGCGGAAACTCATGGGTGGGCTTGCAAGAGGTCACGTCCTCGAGGTTGCCGTGGGCACGGGCCGGAACATTGAGTACATGGACTGGGACGACATCAAGAACAGTGCCCCGCGCCCCATGGACGAAGGTATCGGCTTTGCGCCGAACGCCAAGTCGCTGGAGGAGCTGGAGCGGGATCGTGTGAAGAGGAGGATGGAAAAAGGAAAGAAGGGCTTGGTCCTGCCTGGAGACGACGCTCCAGAGGTGTTGAGCTTCACCGGTGTGGACGTATCCGCTGATGTGCTGGAGGTGACATGGACGAAGCTGAAGAAGGCCGTGCCAGAGTTGATTCCTCGCCGCAGAAGGCAACCGAACGAGGAGCATCAGGTGCACCAGCAGCAACACCAGCAGCAACACCAGCAGCAACAGGAGCAGGACAAGGCTGCTGAAGAAAAAAAGCCCATCGCGTTTCGGAACCCGTTGAAAGCCCTGTCTGAATCCAAGACGCCGGCTCCTGCACGACATCCTGCGGCTTCTCCAACAGGCCAGTCCGGGGACCAGTCATTGGCCGCCAACATTGGCAGTGGTCGGATCCGTCTGTTCAAGTCGGATGCTCAATCCCAACTTCCCTCACCACCATCCCTACTCGCACCGGATGCTGCAAGCACCCTTCCCCCACCGCGCTACTTTGATACCATTCTCCAGAACTTCGCAATATGCAGCGTGGCAGACCCGCATAAGCTGCTAGCCAACATGGCCCGCGTACTGAAGCCCGGTTCCGGCCGTATCTACCTGCTTGAGCACGGACGTGGCCGTTACGACTGGATCAACCGCGCGCTGGACAAGTTCGCCCCCTCGCACTTTGACAGGTATGGGTGCTGGTGGAACAGAGACATCGAGGAGGCTGTGCGCAGGGCCGAGAGGGAGGTGCCTGGTCTCGAGATCGTCAGGATAGAGCGACCACTCTGGACACAGGGTGGTACGATGTACTGGATCGAGCTGAAGGTCAACCCACAGGAGTGAAACGGAAGCAGCAGAAGCAGCAGCAGTATCCCGCCAGTGGATACTCCTGAGCGGCCCACATCCCGGCTCGCCTCGTGATCTCGGGGCACTGCGGTGCTGAAGGCCGCGGGGAGGGCCCGACAACAACACGGCAAAATGGTTTCGATGAACGACCCTAGTTAAGCGACCAGGGCGGGCCGTTCCTAGATTCGCTGGTGGATCTGCAGCACCCCGTCAGATCAAGATCGATATAGGGTGTGACCTCAGAACTCATCCCACCAACGGGCTGCAGCATCAATTCGGTAATCGTGCACCCCCGTGCCTCCTTGTCTTTTTTCAACGGAGCACAAATCTCCCATGCCCGCCAGTGGGGAAAGCCTCTGGAGATTTGATGCGGCCGACCGACAGTGTAACTGGACAGAAAACGCGAGAACAAAGCAAAGCCGATGACCGGAAGGAAGTACATCTCTTTGCTTTTGTTTATGTCTCTTGCTTTTTTTGCACTGCGCAGGAGGCTCCGGAAATCAAGACCCGAAACGGTGTCAGACAACCGACCCAGTACCTTGGGCCTTCTTTTTCTGGTCATGCCTGCCACCGACCCTCACCGACTGACAGCTTCCAAGGCTGTTTGTTAATCTAGATGTAACTTAAAAACAAAAAAGACAGCGAGCCATCAAAGGGACAGGCGATTTTCTCCTCCGCACCAAAGCAATTTGTCTTTTTCCAACGCTCAAAACGGACATGGTCTCTTACCGGCTCCAACCTAAGGCAAGTGCGGTTTTTCATGTGACACGGGCTGGCGAATGGGTTGGTCCAGCTCGACGTGAGAACCTCGCTGGGTCCTTAATGATTCATTCGAACACCCGGTGTGAGACAATCATCATACCGCCTCCCCCCCCCCCCTCCATATCCTCATCTATTGCGAAATGACCCGTGGGATACCGCAGGCCTACATCCACAATACCTAATTATCGCCTCCTGAAACGGCGTCGTCACCGCTTCCCGGGCACGGCCATTATTCCCAGGCCCACTGTTGGCGGCTCTGTGCTGTAAGAAGAGGCCATCGTCAAGACAAGACAGAAGCAGTGATGTCCAATGAAGGCGAGGTGAAAAGCAACAATATTCATGACGCTCTCATGATAGGGTGGGCCGGCTGCTCATCTTCAGATCGCAACTCGTCTCTGGCAAATGAGACGGGGTCCACTGACGGATCTTTTCCGGGAAGGCGCTCAAGTCTGTCTCACGGATGAGCTGGAAGCAGAATCAAAAACCAAGTGGCATGTTCGCACACACGATCTGGGCCCATCAGGATGCATACCTGGATAGGCAGGCTGGCCGTCCGGGACGGCAAGTGAGCACATCACATCCCGCTACCGGAGAGTGTCTTCCTAGTCAACACACATATATAGGTAGGCAGGTTGGTATGTACACAGACTCACGATGCTTCCACGATGGCAACGTATCACACGGCAGGTGTGCTGCGCAATGGCATAACTCGTCCCTTCCCTCGCTTCCGTTCCTTCCACACAATATCAAGTGATGCCGGCAACATCGAACCTGCCATTCCTTCTCCTCAGACCATCCGTTGCTATTGTGACCTACCTTCCTTCTCAGACAAGATCCTATCACATCATCAATTCCGAACCAAGCACCTCCAAGACAGGGGCGCAGCCCGACAACACTCGTCCTGAGCAGCAGAACGATTCTCCAAGCCATCACACCTAGATCACTTCTCTCATCTTTTTTGCGCACGCATCTATATCCGCAGCATTTTTTACGTGGCAGGCACCCCAGGTACAGCAAGCATCTCAACCAGGGCTCACAAAGGAAATAAAAAAAACAACGGGCACAGGCACAGGAAAACGACAGCCCCCCTCAGCCATCCATCCTGTGGACCACGGCAGCTCCTGTGACAATGCGCGTCTCCGCGCCCGGCTCCACTGTCCGTTTTGGACAGGTCGAGATTCGAGGCGTCCAGCAAGTCATTGAGTTCGAAGCCAGAGCTAGAGACCATCAATTCGACAGAAGAACGCGCCATGGCCAACAAAAGACTGAGGCAGTCTCGCCCGAAGCCATCGAAGCCATCCAGTCCAGGACGGCCATCGTCGTCCCGTGCAAGGACGAGCCAATCAGTCGCATTGTCAACGTCTGGGCTGGGATCCCGGCAAGCAGCCTCCTCATCTCCGTCTCAGCCTCCACAGAACATGCGTACGCCTGTGAGAGGGACACGCTGGCTCAGTTCTGCCGTGACACTGGACGAAACGGCATTAGCGTCCACCAGCGCGACCCCCAGCTCGGCAAGGCTCTGAGGGAGATCGGTATGACGACGCTGCTGAGAAATGACGGCCGCGCCCACGAGGGCAAGGGCGAGGCGCTGGTCATCGGGATTGCTCTCGCTGCCACTGCGTCAGGCCCTGGGGCTGCCGACGAGACCGACCCGTCTGCCCAGACTCGCATCCATCAGGAGTGCCACGGGCACAACAAGAACGGCGAAAGAAATGGCAGGATCAAGGATCAAGCGCCAAATGTGCGGTGTGGCCGCGGCGGGCCGCGTGGCACCATCAACGGAAACGGGCAGCACTGCGGCGGCACCTGCGCGGCCACAGACAGCGGCACTTACCGTCACAAGCAATCTCGTGGCTACGCCGCCAAGAATGGTGGTCGTACTAGCTACTACAAGTATATCGGCTTCATAGACGCGGACAACTTTGTCACCGGCAGTGTCTCGGAGTACTGCAAGGCCTTCAGTACCGGGTTTCACCTCGCTTCGGCGCAGGATACCATGGTACGTATTAATTGGGGCAGCAAGCCAAAGGTGCACAACGGCCAGATCGTTTTTAAGACCTCGGGCCGGAGCAGTGAGGTTGTGAACCGGCACTTCAACCGATTTCTCGGCCAGCTAGAGACAAGGAGCAAATGCATCATCAGCGGCGAGGCCTGCGAGCGCGTCAACAACGACAATGGCGGAATGGAGCTGCAACACATTTGCACTGGCAATGCAGGGGAGCATGCGATGACCATGTCGCTGGCGCTGAAGCTGCGCCTGGCAAGCGGCTATGCTATTGAGCCCTTCCACTTCCTAGACATCTTTGAGCGCTTTGCTGGCGAGGACAAAGTCAAAACACCGCCGGCCTCATCCGTCCCAGAGATGCATTCAACCATCTCCTCTTCATCTTGCTCTCCATTTTGGGCTACCCCTGACACTTCACCCGTCTCATCCCCAATGTCGGACGCAGCCATGAGTGCCTCGCCGCTGCCTCTTACAAGCAGGGCTACCGCGATGGCTGTTGACCCGCGACCACTAGCACACAGCTCCGAGGAACCTACTGCGATTCCCAAGGTACAGATTCTCCAGATCCGTACTATGAACCCACACTTCCACGATACTGACAAAGGGGAGGCCCATATCACGCGCATGTGGACGCAAGGCCTCTCGGCCATGTACCACAGCCCATTGATGGCGAACTTTCCTGACTTCAAACAAAGCCTCTGGGATGCCATCCTAGAAGGGAAAGTTGGGAAAGTTGGGAACGTTCAACAGGACAGTGGCACAAAGCATGACCACTTCCCACCCACCCCGCCATTCACTGCATCTGTGTCTTGCTCGATGAGTCCTCCCTCTGACCACGACCAGGTGGTGGCTAACGGGGCCAACTTCGAGCCTGCGGAATGCAGGATCTATCCGCCCGCCGGAGACTTTGACTTGGCCAGGCTGAGGGACATGCTACTGCGCGACAGCGAGCTCTTCTGGTGGTCGGGTGACCCTGAGGACGACCAGGAGGACGTAGACTACATCGAGTACACTGATTCATATGCACAGGACACCACGGCTGGCATCTTCGCCAGGGATGAACCTGTCCAAGAAAGGCCGCTACAGCATGTGTCTAGGAGAGACTCTGGTGTCGACTTTGGCATGGACGGCGCCGAGCTGCACGGGGCCACTGATAACAACAGTCTGGGCATGATGCATGCCGGAGATGTCTTCCTGAGCAACACCAAGAATAACATCAGCATCAACGCCTTTCCTGTCCAGGGACCCATCTGCTAGGCGGTGGGTCTGAGTCTGACGTCAACAGAAACCGGCATTAGCAACCCTCCAGCTCGCACCGAATGCTCCGGTGCTGTTTAAGATAGGGCACACGGCTGGCGCATCAATATGTTCCGCGGTGGCAGGGACGACAGCTACGATGGTGAGCGATGCCTCTGGCGGTGCGTTAGAGGTTCGCGCAATGCATTCCGGAATAGGGTGCCGGGGTTATGGGGATATGCGGCCCACGTTCCCCCGTCGCAAGCGAGCAGATCGGTCTTTGCAGCATCGACGATGCATTTTCTGGAATAGTGGCTTGCCTGCATGCATACACGGCAAACAGTTGGCGCACAACGACTACTGCAGTGCAGGTCCCTCCGTACAGCCGCTGGGGCGGATTGATTGGCAATCGACAGGGTCACGCTGGAAGAAAAAAGTGACCAGGCACTGCGTGCAAGCCACCACAAAACGGGTCCCTGCTGCATTGGGTTTCCTTTTCTGGGAGGGGGCTGGTGTAGCTTCTTCCTTTTTCCTTTTTCAGTTCTCTCTTTTCTTTTTGCATCACGCGTTGGTTCATGTTTCACGACGTCGATGACAAAACGAAATGCACTGTTAGATGGATGGATTGATGGGGTTGAGGGTTTACGGTTGAAGAAAAGGAAGAAGTTGTTGCATAGAACACGGGGGCATCAACGCTTCATTGGCATGGGCATTGGTAGGACGTGTGCATGGGCATGAGCATGGGCATAGCATGGCATCGCATGGCATCGCATCGGCGTGGCGTGGCGTGGCGTAAACGAACACGACAAGATTGGGAAAATAGGACAGAAGGAAAATTACATACAGGGATGTTTTGGGGTCTGGTGTGCTATGAGATTTGGGTTTCGGGTCGGGTCGCCACGGTACGGTACGGTACGGTGTTGGACCTAAGGTGTTTCTTGAGAGTCCTGGGTGGGAATTACGGGGAATACGGGAGAGTTGTTCACGGACACAACAGGACAGGACTTGCACTTGAGATACAATTGCACAGATGGTGAGCTCGAAGCAATGAGATTAATACGGACGCTCTTTTTTCGTGGAATATTTTATTTAACCTGTGGCTTCTTCTGCTTAGATGTGTGTGATGCTGCGCTCTCTGGCTGTGTGGTGATTGGTCTTGGCACTGGGTGTGGCTGGTGTCTTTGAGCGTTGTTGTACCCTTTGTTTCATGATGCGAGTGGCAGCCACTTGGTAATGATTACCTACCTATTATTAGGTGGGCTGATCAGAACCACGGACGTGATATGCGCGTGTGGAGGATACAGATGATCCCCCTGCTACGTATCTATGTCTATATGGACTATTGTGAATATGGAATCTATGCATGGATCTACTTCCGCCATTATGTATTTCGATCGTAACACGCAGCCAGACATGTCTTGGTTGGGGGTGGGGGTTTTGGGCCGGGTTCAACTGCGTCGCTGTCGAGATGGCTGAAGAAAACGAGGACGCCACCAAACGCATGGTTCGTACAACACGGTGGTTGAGTGAGCGGGCTGGATTGGTTCGAACCCACATGTTGTGACGGCGATGTGATGTGTCGCCTGTCAACGCCCTGCGCTGTGGTACGTGCGTGCTCCTCGCTTGTCTTTTTCTCCCCTTACCCAAGGGTCTTTTTTACCTCATCCTGATCCATCTCCTCATCGTGTCCAAGGATGGGCACTGGGGCAAGGCCCGGGCAAGGACTTCCGGGCTTTTCCTATCTATTGCACGGCACATTGGTCCTCCCCTCCTCCCCCACGACGGCTGGCGGTGAAGGGCAGGGCATGGCAGGGCAGGGCAGGGCATTGCATTGATGGCGGGGAGTCGGGGATATGTACAATATTCCCAGAAAGTGGATCCACCAATGCAGGCGGTGGTTCGAGCTCAATTCCGCGTCAACAGAGACAGCGAACACCAAAATCCCCGGTTACATGAACGAACGACGCGGCCGGCCCGCTTTGGTGATGAACTGGCTGGCTGGCTGGCTGTTCATGGGCACAGCTGGGTTGTATGTGGGGGATGGGATGCTCCATACTATCACTCTGCAGAACGGATCACTCACTCTATCACGCTCACGTTTCTATGGTTGTCTGCCCCGTGATACGCTTTTCTTTTCCGGCGGGGCCCCGGCTCGCGCGCAAGTTGCTCCAAGGGGAATAACAACAACAACGGGACTGATCCTAAATACAACATTACACGCATGCTACGCAGTGGTGTACACTATCATGACTGAGTGGCTGAGATATTGTGGACTCGGGCGGGCAAAATGAGTGAGTTGTCCCTGCACTCGCCTTGCATGATCCCATCTCGAAACTGACCGCCCTGTGCCTGCGGTGGGGGTGGGGGCAAGCGCTGTTTCTGTTGTCTCTGGTCTATCTTTTTTTTTTTTTGCCGTGCAGAATAAAGAGGGGAAAAGATGGAAGTGGAGTGAGGACCCTTAGGATGCGTTGTTGTCAATGCGTTCGTGCGTGGCTGCAGCCGCCGTCACGATGACTGCTGAGGAGGAGGAGGGATGGGGCGGGGCCGCGAACGATCTGGAGACTTGCACGCGACCATCAAAGCCGTTCATCGATCGTGGCGTGGTGGCGACGGCTATGGCGATGTTACAGAGACAGGAAGAGTAGAGAGAGACAGAAAGAGGGGTCCAATTGTTCTGGACCTCACTCTCGCACTTTCCACCCCCCGCCACGAGTCAGTCGCAGGCCTTTGCGCCGCAAGAAACATGCTTTCCCGCCTTACTCGGGACGGGCGAGTGTTTTCTTTCATCTCATCTTCTTGGGGGGAGGGGGGGTTGAGGCGTAATAGATGGTCTGACACCAATAACCAAAGAGCCTCTATCGCAGGCGACAGACACGAACGCGCGCTGCCGGCCGCAACCTCGATGTGTGTAACCTCGATGCTTTTATCCCCCCGAATTCCCAGCCCCACGGGTCAAATTGCATGTGCCACGGCAAAAGATTCCACGTACGTGCACTACTACTGCTGTTATATACAGACAATATCAAGAAGGAATGAGCATGACTCTCAATTGGGGCTTGGAATTCCGCACCGTCTCCCCCCAGACGTGGACGATGATAGGTCAATGGCTTGCTCTCCAAATTGAGACGGATAAAAAAAAGGGAAAGGATAAGAGAGGGAATAGTAAAAAGAAAACATGGAAAAGGCCGGGTCGGTGGTCTCGGACCCGGGGTCTGTGAGCGGAACCAAATAACAGACAAGCGTGACAAGACAGAGGAAACTCCAAGCGCCCATCTAACTAACCAACCCATCTTTTTCAGCCCTTCCGCCCGGTCTAACCGCCCGCCTGTCAGAAAAAAATGAATAAGGGACGATCGCCGAGTGAACGGGCGGGCGCTTACAACACTAATTAACCCACCGTGGCCCGTGAAATAGACTATCATACACGTCTCTCTCGGATAGATTGACGAGGAGAGCGGCCGCCGCCTGCGCAACCGATTACTATGGTACACCCTAGACTTGGCGGAATGGCCAAGACAAGGGAAAAAGCTTAGGGCTCGTGGTGCCCGAGTTAGTTTGACTCGAACCGCCCTCCCATGAGCAAAGATTGAAACCGGCCGACCGAAAACCTTGAGCTAGAATGATGAACTGTAGTAGTCAGCCAATGCATGTCATGACCGCGCACGTCCCGCGCTGTCTTTTTTGACGGCCCTTCTCGCTAGGCACGTAACCTTCGTGCCTAGGGGCCTGCAGCCAGTAACAGCAGACCAACGCGTACAAGTCTCCATCACAACGTCGTCACCAACACGCCGGATCATCTGGAACTCTGAGTAGCGTGATCGTAGGCATGATTTTGAGCGCGCAGATCCTGATCTCAAAATGCATAGTGAAGTAAAGTAAAGCGAAGGGAGAATTCTTTGCATTGGTTTTATTGCGCCGTTTTTTCCTTCTCAGCAGAGCCCCAACTTTTGAAGCCTTTTTGTTTTGCCTGGTGACCTTTTCGTTTGACCCCCCTGGTTCCCCCTCCCTCTCACAAGCATCTACATCTAAAGGGGTAATCTAGAGTGCCAGAATGAGTTTGTCCCCTCCCGAACCCCGAATGTCTCGCTCAAATCAAGTCATAATGTACATATACAGTAGCTTCCAGCCCAGTAGCATAGTGGAGACATCCCCCCAGGATTATAATCGTTACATCGTTCGTAGAATAGATGAGCAAGTAGATGGCATGTGATCAGAGATTGTCATAGTAGACAGACAGGCAGCCCCAGATCTCTGTATACCTGCTCTTCAGGAGTGGTGATCGGACCAATCAATGGTGATACATGACGATACTCATTTGCTCGGTCGCACGCTCAGAAGTCGTCTAGGAGGCAGTCGAGCTCGTCGAGCTCGATTGTCTCGGGGCTCCGGTCCCACTCCAAGAGGCTGTCGAGCTTGGCCCAGCCCTCCGCCTCACCCTCCTTCTTCGTGTTGACAGAGAAGGCAGGGCGCATTGCCGGGCTGGCGAGGAAGGCCATCTGTGGTGGGTGGCTGGGAGTTGCGCCGGCCTTGGACTCGCCGAACAGGCTGTCGTCCTTGGCATGCTCGTCCAGCTCCGTGCTCTGGACGACAAGCTCAGACTTTGCCGGCAGAAGCTCACCGCTGAGCTTGCGTTTTTGCAGGCCGTCTGCCGTCTGGGTGAACTCCTTCTCGTCCTTCTCCAGCGGTGGCGACGCTCCACGTTGTGTTTGCACGGGGAGGGCCAGCGTAGGAATTGGGCGCCCAGAGAAGGATCCGACAGGGGTGGCCGGCATGGGCATGTCGTCGTCGACGTCGTCGAACTCGGGCGACGACAGATCCACCTCGGGCGAGGGGCTGAGCTCCCTTCTCCGTTCGTCATCGGCATCTTCCGAGGCCGAGGTCGCGCTCGGTGTGACGAGTGTGCGCGCATGCGCCGCGGCCAGAGCTGCCATCGTCGGCTCAGGCAGGGGCCCGTGAGGGCATGTTGTAAGGTAGAAATATGTTCTGCGCGGGTGGACTGTCTCGAGCTCCTTAGCCATGGGGCAAGGGTTGTTTGCGTTCCAGCAAGAGCGCTTTAGATAGGTAGACAGCCGGGACGAGATGATTGCAGAAGGATTTGCGGATCTGTGAGGACAGTGTTAGTATTATTAGTGGGGAGTGAACCATGGCGCGTGCAGTGTGGTGTGGTGCGGTGCGGTGCGGTGCGGTGCAGTGCACGATGCAGGGAGGGAGGAACGTACTGTTGGACGATCTTGAGCTGTTGCATCAGGACGGGGACGAGCTCCTTGACGATGTGGGGGCGGTTGCCGGCATTTTGGAGCTGGACGATGACAGCCTCGACGATCTCGTCGTTGACACTGCTCAGGTCGATCTTGGAGGAGGAAGAGTCGGCGGCGTCCTTCATCTCGACCGACGATGCCCTTGACCTTGGCGGGGATGGAGGCAGCTTATTTGCTTCGGACTGGTGGCGTTTGGCGGCAGGCGCGTCGTCGCCGGCATGCGAACGTTTTATCTTCTTGGAGACATGGGTCTGAGCGTCCATATCGGCGGGGCTGGAAGGACTCCTTGGGGAGTGCGAGGAGGGCGAAGTCGTCATCGATGAGGTGGAGGAGGAGGATGCGCTATGGCTATGGCTGTGGCTAGGCGAGAGTCGACTTGCGGCGGCGGCAGCTCTGGCGGCGTCGCGTTCGGCCAGAGTGACGGGAACGTGAATTCCCAGGGAAGGGAGGGAAAGCGACTTGCGACGAGTATTGTAGGGCATTTTGAGGGCGGCTGCGAGTCGGGCTCTAAAACGTCGAGGGTATCTTGTTCAAACGCACGAGGGAACCCCGGGTGTCTAGGCGTCCGTTTGTCTTATTTTGGTCCGAGTACCGTACGCACAGGAGAGCTGAGTTCAGGTGGGGGGAAGGCTGGCGCAAAGAGAAGATGCAGGCGGCAGAACAGTAACAATACAGGATGATGGTACAGAGGGATGGAGGAAGAGAGTGAGATTGATGGGTGGATGGATGGTTCAAAGTTGGGTTGTGCAGCGCATGTGAAGGGGAAGTGTAAGTTGCAGCACACGGTGAAGGAGGACGAAGGGATGGATGGATGGGATGGGATGGTAGATGGTACGGTGCGGGTGCAGTACGGCAAGGTATGGGTATGGGTATGGGTATGCAATGCAGGTAAGGTGGTCTGTCTTGGGTCTGGGCTGAGTTTGGGTTGGGCTGCTGGGTCAGAAAGAGGCAAGGCGGCAGAAGCTTGGGGGGGAGGAGGAGCTAGGAGCTGGGGGGTGAGAGGTGGGTGGTGGGTGGTGGGAGAGGTGGGAGAGGTGGGAGATGGGTTGAGGGACAGGGACAGAATGTGGGTGCACAAGCGAGAGAGAGTCGTCGACCTGAGAGAAACTTCCTTCGGTCACCCGTTTGTTCGTTTTCTCGTTCGTCCTCTGTCTCTCCCCCCAGTTCCCCCCAGTCCCCCCCCCCAAGGGTTGCCACGGTAGTAATGTTGGTACCTGGCATGACCAGCACACCCAGGTGGCGGCTGTATGTACCTTGCCTCGTAGCCGTGGCAGCAAGGCATCGACCAGGGAGCAGGGGGGTAGGTGGTGGGAGGGAAGGAGCAGGGCTGGGATGAGACGGTCGGAGAGACACGGACAACAGTCTGGACGCCTGGATGTCTGGCTGGACCTGAGCGAAAGAGTGGGCAAAAAAAAAAAAATAGTGCGAGAGTGTGAGCCTGCAGACCCGACAGGGGGCCCCTTCACAATCCATGACACTTGCATTAGCGCACCTGCATCTTCCATGTCGACCCCAGTCGAGAGCCCCGTCACCAAACTCGATCAGACCCACTCCCTTCCTGAACTGGTTTGACGCCGAACACGAAGGGGGAGGAAGGGGGACGTGAAGAGAAAAAAAAAGATTGATGTCGGATGTCGAACAATGCCATGCCCCCCCCCCCGGCTGCCCGGTTGGTTTCTGTGACGATGCCTCGTCTCGGCTTTGAAAAAGGCGGTAAGCTGATTTCGCCGGCATTATTATCGTTGTGTATGTTGTCTGGGTGTGGGTGGGATGGCCTCGGTTGAGATCAGAGACATCGAGTACATGCAATCTAAATGTCCGCGTCGAGGAACCCGAGGACGAGGCATCAATCAGTCAATCAGTATCAGTCTCTCGGTCTCTCACTCGCTCCATGAATCCATCGATGAATCAATCAACGAAGACGTGTGTGGCTACTGCTGACTGCTGACAACCAGACTATAGACTAACAAGCAGGCCATACCACAATACCACAATACCACAGTACAGAGGATGTTGGGAAGTGGGCACGCCAGCCAACTGCCGTTGTTTGAACTGTCGACCGGTTCGTGCTAGTCGTCCGTTTGCTGTCATCCTGCCTCTCTCCCGTTTTGGAGCTGGCCATTCCTCGCTCGTTGTGCCACACCCACATCAACTGCCACACCACTCATCGCCCATCTCGCACATCACCCATCGCACATATCATATTACGGTGCACATCGCATTCATCACAGTGAGTAATAGACCCAGGTGACAGCACCAAGGCTGCACCGGTCTGCACTCTTTCCCAAAGAGGTTTCATTTTCAGCCTTCTCCCCCTTCACTACTACCACAGCTGCAGCTTGTTTATTTATTCATTCAAACAAGTGCTAGCTGACTGTGCCTGTGCAGCAGACGTCGTGTAATCTCGAGATTCATCTCACTTGCATGTCTCACTCGCAGCATATCCGCACCAAGGGACGACAGACATGGCGACAAATCGCGACCGTCGGGGCCTCGGGATAGGTAATGAAATCATACACAGTAGTTCGGCTGTGCCACCCACTCTTTGCCAATCTCCCGAGGCACCAGTGGCCAATTGCGAGGGCGGAAATTGATGGTCACGAAAAATGACAAGAGAGAGGGAGAAAAAAAAACAAGTAAAAAAAATCTGAACTCTTAGGACATGGATCTCGTCTCTGACTAGTGGCTAGTGGCCAGCAAAACGCCCCAGTCCCAGGCCCAGTGCCAAAATGCGGGACCCATGGAATGGAAAAGCTCGGCTCGCCTGCCAGTTTCTATGTGTACCAGAATCCTGTCCTGACCACTGCCCACTGGCCACTGCCCACTCAGATGTGCTGCATCTGCAGTGACATCAAGAAATGTGGGGCCCAATCGCCCGCCCTTGCTCTCTTTCCCCTTCCGAGCTCTTCCTCCTTCTCTCTTCAAGCCGGCCAATAGGCAGCCGCGCAGGTCGAGGAACGGGCCACCTTCGAGAAGAATTCCATCGTCAAAACACCCGGTTCCCACACACCCTTGGTCGCTGCGTCGCCTCAACCCCTGGCTGCCAGGCTGCCCGCTGCCCGGGTCACTGGACAGTGAGCACTTTTCTTGGTCGCCGCCCAGTACTGCCAGTTCCATCCTGCCAGCCTGCCCAGGCCTGCCCACCACATTTCAGCAAAACTGCCAGGCCTCTGCCAGGTCAACAGACGAAGATCACTGACGAAGAACTGGACCACTGCCCCGTTTTCCCTCACCAGTCCTCAGCCCATTTCTCTTTGTCTGTCCTATGGGGAGGTTCACGATGGATCCCCCGACTCCTCACCTCGTCAGGCCAGGAGGTATTCTCTCCCCTCAGGGAGCCTCTCGGTCAGTAAGCCAGCCAGCCAGTCAGGCAAGGATCTTGATTGATCCCTTCTCTTGCTCTCCCCAGGTTCGGTTCTTTTTAGGGGTCCTGCTCATGGAAATCCCGAGGTTCTCGTCAACAGGACCTCGACGCAGATGGGCATGGTCCTCCCTGCCAGCGAACGGAGCATTCGGTGGCCCCCCTGGGCGCAGCACCACTCGGCTATCTCCATCAGCTTCCGCCTAGCCCAGACCAAAACTCGCGCTCCTGTTCCATGTTGTCAGGTCGCATGTTCTCAACGCAGTAATAAGGGGGGCTCGCGCTAACTGCCTAGGCATGACTTCATGATACGCCGACAGACCGACGCCGTCCGCCCAGCGGAATAGCCGCGGTGCCAGGACGGACGGACTGAGAGATGTGCAGGTCCTCTCCCCAGGTTCTGGCGTCGCTACTGCAGGTCGACTGCCAACGGGCCAGCACTGGTCCATCTCCCTTGCCTCCCAGCCCTCCCAGCCCTCCAAACCCCCGGCAGTGAGCGAGCGGCACACGACACAATGCGACACTCTGTGAACCCGGCTCCCCGTTTGGGACGGCGGCAGCGGCAGCGCAGCCGAAGGCGGTGACAGACCGTCACTTGTCCCCCTTGCTTGCATTGAATTCTATCGTGCGTGCGTCGGGCTGCTTGCTGCGCAGCTCGGAGCTAGGCATGCACGACGTCGCTTCTCTCCTGAGACGACGCAATCTAACTATAACACCTCCCCCGATATAGCCCCATCTCGCATTGGCGTTTCTCTTTTCTTATGGGTTGGCACGATCTGCTCCGTGCTTCTGGTCCATCACCCGGCCGAAACTGCTCAAAGTCGCCCGTGGACGGTTGCACCGCCAGTCCGAATTGGTACACAGTACCTAACCGCTATACCGCCTCCCACAATTGCATTGTTCACATTTCCCCGGGAGCCAGAGAACATAGTTTGGCCATTGTTCTGTGCCAAATTGACGTCCATCCAGAAATCCCTCGTGCGCTCACCCATCTCGAGTCATTCCCTGACGCCTTCCAAGCCCGGAGAATGAGAATCAGGAATACCCCGCACCCCCAGACGAAGGACTCTTGACAAGACGCACGTACGACAAGACGGCCCCTTCCAACCGCCTGGATGGAGGGTGGCAAAAGTCATGGGTCGCACCCCGGGCGGTGATCATCGTCATGTTCCTTCGGTCGTTTGGGAGGACCGGGGTTGTTTCATCGAAACAACGACCGCCAACCTGCCGCAGGTCATAGAGCAGGGTACCATCCATTGCTTCACGAGAACGATAACGCTCTCACGAAGGATCACGATCAACATCTCTATCTCTATTTCCCAACTTCCCTTATCGGGTTGTCCTTTCAGCCAAGCGGTCAAGCAAGCAAATGCGAAGCGAGGCCAAGAATAGCTATTGGAAAACATGGCAATCGGTTGAGCACCACCTATCTCCTTGATCGCGCATGAGCTTGACAGGACCGCAGGACTGTCGACCGTTGTAGCTCGTGTGGTGGCTGAGACCACCGCGCTTTAAGCCTCGCTGTGGAATGCAGTGATGCTTCACCCGCTCGCTCGCTCACTCCCCATTGCTTGTCGTGACGTAGACCTGAAGCGAGTTGGACGCGCTCCATTATTCTCGTCCCCCCTCTGTGATTCCCGTCCCGGCCCTAACCCTGGTGACGTCTGCTCCTCAAGTTGCCTGTTTTCCTGGAAGGGTAAGCAGACTTTGGCCTGTACAGTCTGTCTCCAGACAACTTAAGAAAAGTTTGTAAAGGGCTTCAGACCAATTCAAGCCTTGTTCAATTGAAAGCAGGTAGACGAGCGAAAGAGACTAGTCTGATATGGACTGATGGAGAAAGACGATGAATGGGCCGGGCGAGTTCCCCAGTGATCCCCCCGAAAGCTGAAGCGTGTCAGAAGAATAAGACGTAATGGAGATGACGAGCTGAATGTTTGCGTGATATTAGACTCTAAAGGCTTCATCATTGCCCTGTCAGGCGGGGATGATGTTCTTGCGTGACAAGACTAAAGGTACACAGATGCCCGTTTGGCGGGACGCGTGTCGTGTCTGTTTTGATGTTGTACGCACGTCACGGCCCACTTTGCCTCCTTTGATGGGGTCAGACGAAAAGGGAGGTTTCAGCTTCTGTAGCGAATGTCTGATGAGAGATGGTTGAATTCTAACTTCTTGGGCGAATCATTTCAGGGTGATCGGCCTTGAACATTTTGTGTTTGTTGTGCCGCGCCGTTCAAAAGAGTCGAGATGTCGCGGTTTGTAATTTACCAGGTGCTTAGCAAAGGCTTTTAAACATAAATGCACAAGGCAAGAGGAGCTGAATATAGAAAATAGCGACAACGAGCTTGAGCTCGGGTGTCCGAGTCACAGCCACAGGATTTCTGGGATAAAGGTATAAAAGAGAAATGGGTAATTACTGGATAATCAACTTATCAAAAGAATCTCTTGTACATCAGCCTCTCTTAGGATAGCCTTCCTCAGGATAGCCTTTCTTGGAAAATCTTCCTTGAGATAATGTTCCTTGAGATAACTTCTTGCATCATACTTTTCTGTTGGGCAAAGTTTTATACGGGGAAGTAAAGAAGTCATAAAGTTGCCTGGCTTTTCTGTCTGGAGACTGCGTGTCGTTGATGCTGATGGGTGTCAAACTCAAAGAACGTTCGACAATTCAGCACATCTGTTTCTCGCAGATATGGGGTTTCTACTTAATATGCACTTATTCTGCACTTTCATAGGCAATTACAAGCCGAATCCGAAATCTACAAGAGGCTTAGCATCTGCATTGTTCTTGTATGAGTATAGATAAGCTCATTTCTTTTTGGTGTGGAGGGTGGCATCCTGTCCTCTTCGCCCACGAACACAAAAAGCTGCCCTTGACGTTTCCCGGTCAATTGTTGGTCTTTGTCTCAATAATCAGTGTAGGTTGCGGGAATTGGTCTTCTGCGACTAAACTTTCGAAAAGTTTGCGGATGACTGTAAGAGATTGGAAACTCTTCTCGTTGGAGGAAACCCTTTCACAGAAATCAGCTAGAAACCGGCCGCAATCTTGCTTTCAACTGCAAGTTGAGAAGAGGCTAGCCATTACCATATACTTGCATGCCATTTTGGGGACCGATGTCTGTCTGTATTATCATCAGAACTTGAACTTGCATCAAATTATCAGCATTGTATCTGACGTCAGCCAGATTCTGCGTCTCTGTACATGATGGTGGTAAGCATGCAAGATGAACATTGTCGGACTTGGCCCACTCCACCGCGAAAGGCGACCAATTTCGGCCATCATGCTCTGATAGCCACGTATGATTTATGCACTATCTGAATGAAATATTGGAAATTTTAGAGGAAATCTGCGTTTGCGGTTATACGTGTCTGATTCCACGTAATGAGTGTCTTCACCCTAGAAGCCCGGATAGCAAATCTCACCTTGACCAAGGTTGAGATATATCGCTTGTTCTGTATTTCTCCCAATTCTCATCTGGAGTTCCCTGGTGACACAGCTCTATCTTAACGACCTTGGCTTGGTCTGAGAGGGGTAAACCTGACTGTCGTGTAACGATCTGTCTTATCTGCTTCTTCATGTCACTGGTCACGCGCATGAACAATACCCGATTCGGTCAAGTCTCACTAGTCAGATCATGGTATCGGAACTGACCGCTGTATGACCTTGGCAGCTGTGAAGTACTTGTATTCGCGGTATCTTCTAAGGCAAAGAGAATTGGTCAAGTGACTCAAGAGCTTTAGTGGTGAGTTCAGAGAGGCTCGTGGTTCAAGCATACGCCACCACATCGCGGCACGCAGCAGACGGCCGGCCCAAAACTTACAATTATCAAATATTCGGATGCAAAATGGACCTACGTTTCTCAAAACGAGAAGTCATAAGTTCAGATGGATCAATCCGGGCCGAGGCCAGCAAATAGAAAGCTGGGCACGCCAGGACCAAGAATGGTATACTCCCCGCTCCCTTCACTGATTTAGAGATGTGCAAGTCGACTTTGTCATTGCTGAAGTGACAGGTCTTAGGGCTAGCTCTCGGTTAGAAAGTGGCTTCACCTTCCGTGACTGTTGACTCAGGACTTCGTTGAATCGCCATGTGTGGGGTATTAGACGAAACCTTTCAGTGCATTACCCGACAAAACTCATTGGCTTTTCACCCCTGTGTGGCTGTGCTTGGCGTTTACTTTTGTTGTAAGTGCCCACAGGATAGGCGGGAACTGTGTCAGAGTCAACTTCGGTGCTCAAATCCGTGGGCCGAAGACAAGGTCATCGAGAAGTGTGTTTCTATTGTGGGCTTATACCGCTTCGGTCATTCCGTCAACGATGATAAAACAGGCTTTGCGTGTACTGTGAATATATGAGGTGAACCAAAGTCCAAGCTGGCTTTGTTCCTGAAGCCCTTCGGGCCGATCTAACCTATTTGTTTTTGGAATAGACTGAACACATTCCAATCATTCGAGGCGGAGAGTGACTTTGACAGCTGTCACTATCAGACAGTAGTGTGAGTCAATGAAGTGAGTAGTGAGATTCTAGACCTGTTGGAGAAAAGTGAGGAAGCTCGCTTCTTTCCAAAGGCCCTCATGATTGGTCAAGGTCTTAATCGACGTTATTCGCCAGGGGAGTTCGTGTCCCATGACGTGATAAGCGACATCCATCGCATTGCATTGACGTTGGTATTCACGTAACTGGGATTGGCCACTGCCTCTTTCTGTAAGCATCCGTCAGTTGACGGCATAGAGTATGATACAGAGACATGTATACTTATATTCGTCAGATTGAAGGGCCGGGACGCCATGATCTATTCTAAGCGTAATATATGCTTGTTGTGTAGGTAGACAATCGTCAATATAAGCACGTGATCTGTAAAACCTGTCACTCCGAAGTCGAATCACAACCGGGCACTTCAGTGGGCGAGACGAGGTAGAAGTATCGGAGAAGAGATATAGTGACTTCCGTTCTCAGCGCGATGTTGTCTAGGCTCCACAGCGTCTCACTTTGACCAACAAATACTCTCTTAGAAAGCTAGGCTGTCTCTGCATGAGAGAAGTATTTTCCTATTTTCACGGGTCCCGGGTTTCTTCATGGCCAGTGGAATGTCCGGAGGCAATCACTGACATTTGCGGTGACATCTGGGCAACCAATTTCGCATCTAGAATTATTCCACAGCCACTCGTGCAGTGTTTTCGACATGGTTTCCCTGAATGACATACATTCGGACAAACAATAGCTCTTCAAACACGTAGGATCCCATCATTGACTTCGCGCTTGAGTCAGCTGTTGTGCCGCCTTGTTGTTGCTCAAGTATCCGCGTGTAGCTCTGTACGGCATGCTTGCCACGATCAACATGGGAGTACATCAAGAACAGGCTCGCATTGCTTTGGCCCTCTAGCTTCACCGAGGCACTTTCAGGGAGACGGTGGATACCCCTTCAAATTGTGGTACATCATACGCGCGCGTACTTCTGAAATGGATCCAGAATGTCTGTGGACAGGATTTTCCGGAGTTTTACCGGCACAGCTCAACGATCCGCGTACAGACCATGGGGGTCACTTTGAGCTCTCTCAATACCCTGCCGCTTCGATATTCCGTAGGGCCAGTAGCTTCTTACCAGCAACTTGGTTTGTTAGTTTCATAAGTTTCACGCTTTCCGAGCCGAGTGGCCCTAGCGCTGTCTTCAACATCACCCGCATATGTCATGCACAGTCAGAGCACAGACGCCGCTGACTCTTCCCAAAGATGCTGAAAGAGGAAGAATAGTATTGAATACACGGAAGGGCCCGAAGGGACCCTGACATGTACCTAGGTGGCAGTTACGAGCCAAATATAGCTGTAGAGTACTGGCTGGCTGCTCGGCCTTTGAACATCTTACGGCTTTCGCGATTGGGCTGTAGTAACAACGCAAGGAAGCTTGTCACATCAAGACTTGATAGATGTTTGGCTTTCAGGTGTGCGATATTTTTGTTGGATGTATATACAAGTAACAGCGAAGGCTAGGCACGTGTCGCACTGTTAGCCTCTGTGTCTGCTGACCACCCCGTATCCCCAACGGATGGCCCAAATTTTGCTGTTTCCGGCGTCGCTACCATCAACGGCTGTGCCACCACTGCAGTCTCGTCCGTCGCGGATTTCGAGGTAGGGCCGGATGCTTGCGAGCGCCTCGCGTACGCATTTGCGTAGGCAGGCTTTTTCGACGCCGTGTGCTCGTTCGACGTAAGCCAGTGCATTACGATTGCGGAGAAAAGTACTTCGATGGAAACAACAAGTCAGTTTTGTGCATATTAACTCATGATGAGAACTCTCTCAACTCACTGTCACTGTTGCAACACATCAGGCATAACCACGACTCTTCACCATTAAGAGCCATAAGCACTGTCAAGTTCCTATAAACTCAAAGCGTCAGCTAAGAAGTTGGACAGAAAGGTCTTATTACGTACGTGACACTGCTAGCGAGGGTACAGCAAGAGCCGATGAACGTTTTCTTTGCCAATTTCCTCAATCTGATATTGGCTGGGGTTCTTTGAAACTGTAAGCTTTGCCACATGGTCTCAAATGTACCCGTTTTCCAAAATTCGGACCATTTGATTGTTGGCAATCCTTGAATGGCTTTTAGCAATCCGTTGTCAGTTGTGAAACGGTGGCTTTACTTACTTGTCAGTGGCACAAGAAAGGATAATGTGAGATATACCTGTAATAGTCCATGTTATTGACGTAAAAAAAAACAACAAAGAAGGGGACAAGGTCCCCAGGAAAGCTAACTCACATTGACAAGCGCATCGAATCCAATCAATGGTATGATAACAGGTTTTTGTAGTCCAATAACACAGTGTCCCTTGTCGAACTCGGCGATATGACTGAGAGTGTATTAGAAATATGTGCAAAGTATGCTATCTCCAAATCACTCGTCCAGTTGTCGAAGACAGCTGAAAAGAAGTGTGGGTATGTATGTCAGGCGATAGTCTCGGAGTCTTACAGAACAAAGTTCATGATGGTGATAACAACGTAAATTCCTTGACATTTGTTAGAATCAGATGAATACGGTATATTCTGATGTACATACCGAGCATTCCAAACGAATTGAAAATATAGAGTTTTGACTTCAGACGTGGCTTTTTTGAGCCGCGTACAATATGCTAGCCGCACATCAGATGAGAGTGTTCATGTCTTTCGACAAGATTATTCGACGTACCGCTCTATCGACGAGAAACAAGTAGATGAACTAGTCTCTTGTCAATACAAGAACTCAATTGGCATGGTTTGGTATCGACTGGTACTTACAACCTGCTGTGCGGTCAGACTTTCAGTGTGGTTGCCTTTAGGACTCAGGAGGACTGACCTTGCTAGATACGTATGCAAATAGACACAATCCCATCGCAGCCGTGCAAGCTTGTTCGTTAAAATTGGTGCCGACCCCGAATTGCAGCACAGTGGATCCGAAGACGAAGATGAAGCTAAACGCGTATACCATGAGGACGACTGTGGAAACTTAGTAACTACAACACTGGACGATATACGTTGGCGACTCGATCTCACCCCACATGGTATAAGGCAGCAATCGCCAGTCCTTCACCGCAAACACTTTGCTTGCTGGACTCGAACACACATGGTCAGTTCAATTGAGGTTGACAGCGACAGTGACGAGGCCAAAGACCATGCACGAACCTAGAAGGAAGGCTATCAGGCAGCCGGAGATAAAGGCGATGGTGATGCTAAGTGTTCGCCCATAGAGAGGAGGTTCATACCATCCCACTGGGGTCGGGCGCTGACCCGACGCCATGACGATTTGCGCAGCGACAATGGAATGGAATTGTAAACCTATCCTTAGTCGCGCGATGAAAACAAGCTGCGGCGCCAGCAGAATCGGATTCTGATGACTGCGATCACAACGACAGCCACAAAAAGCAAGGCATTGTGCGTGAAACCGGGCAGAAGTGGAATTTTGCCAGAGGCAGCAGGTGAGCACCGCCCAGGCGAACCCCGAGCCACGTCCCGGCCGGGCACGTCATGCTGCTACGGTCAAAGCTGTAAGGGAAAGCTTAAACGTTGCAGTGCATATGTGATCCCATCTGATCGATCCGTACGGGAACATCGCATCCGCTGGCATGACTCGCACGGAAACCTTTTCAGTGGCTGACTTTTGCGTTTCCTTGGAGACTACAGGCAGAGCCGGATGTACGTGATTCCCCCCCTCTGCTCGGCACAGAAGGGCGACAGAATCTCCTTGTTTTACACGGCATCCCTTGGACGCAAATTAGCTTCGTGACATGCATTGTGACCTCAGTAGACCAGGTTGAAGGCTTCGGAAAGCCATGCGGAAAACGATTTCGGGCGCCCCGCGAGATGATACGATTGGGACTTATCCGATCACACGCATCTGGAATTGACATCTCCTAGGTGCTTATGTGTTTCAATATGGAAAGATACATTACTAAGACATGGACCGGTCGAGAACTTGTAACCACCCTGTCGCTATTTCTTTCGTCGCCTCATTTGGATTGAGGCAACCTCTGCGTGTTAACTACGGCTTCGACGCGTTGCACTGCTTGAATGCCTCGCCACCAACGCCTTATCGAAATGCATCGTGTCGAGCTGAAAACTCTTCCGTTGGGGCGACTGAGCTGAACCCCTCACCAATGTCACCCGAAGGTCGATCATACAGCACCCGAAAATTGGCCTAGGTCCCCCGTCCTAGTCCTTCACTACACCTCTGATCCGGACGGATGGCATCGGACAGATGGCATTGTCAGCCAGATGGTCGCTACCGACGCTTGAGCTGTAGGAAAGGGCCCTTAAAATATTGGATACAACGTGTCTGCATATGCAGTATCGAAATCGGGCAACATACGGCCCTTTTTGCCAAAATGCCAAGGCGTCTTGCCACGACCATCGGAACGGAGCCGCAGGCCGCGAGAGCACGATACAAAATCACGTCTTGGGTTGTCTGGAGCCATAAATCAACGCCGGAAGAATAAAAATCCTTTCGCAGGCAACCTATCCTAGTCGATTGCCCCCAGGTGGCATATCCGAGTCGGACGCCGGTTAAGGAACAGAGCGGTCAATCTCCTGCCAAGACTGATGAAGGCGAATGTCAGCCCAAGTATACGAGCGGCGGAAGAGATCACATGCAGCGGGAAGACTTTGCTCGGCCGAAGATACTGTTTCGGCAAGGTGGCCGACCTTGTATGCCAATCCGAGATATCATTCAAGTCATGCTTCTCGCAGGACAGCCCGGACGAGTCAAGTTGTGGAATGTGGGATCTTCCTAAGGAGCATGAGTGATTATGCGACCAGCGAGTGGTACTCAAAGATATCGCGAGCACAGAAACGACGATACCTGGATCCTGTGTCGTGGGTAAGTTATTGCTTAGTGCTCCGACGACCTGTCGCTGGCTCGACCTGTGCCGCATCCTGTGATGGTAAATGATGGCTGATGATTTGGCGGGGGGGATGTCATGTAAGCCGCCGTCGAGCTGACGAATCCAAGGCATAATGCGGACAGTTGACGAGTGCATACTCCAGGGGTCATGGCGCGCACCAAAGTCTCCGAGGCAACTTCAGTGCCGATTCGGACCACTTGGGTATGGAGTACATCAAGACCACGCCAGGGGCAAGAAGGGACGTACCTAGGTGCTAGAAACTGGACATGCCTGGGCAGATAGTGGGAAGTCTTGATCGTAACTCAGCCGCGAAGGTCCATTATACGGCATCCGGCCCTCATCTCATTATCTCATTTTATAAGCTGACTGATACGGCGCTGTCTTCTTAGAACTGTCTCATATATATCCTTTAAAATCAATACTTTTGCAAAACCCAGCAACTCATTGGTTACAGGTAAGCCTTCTGGCGTTGATGAGTGTGATCACTAACCTAAAAATATCCTGCTCCATCTAAAACTATGTTTCCGCTCATCTGCGTCATATCTGGGTCACTCTGACAACTATTCCGCGTCTGTCCAAGCACCCGCCCGCAAAGTTATTTTCAGCAACACACCCCCTGCCATCTCGAAGTCATGACTAAAAGTGCCTCAAAGAGTTGCTACGAGATTGTGAGCATGCCAGACTACCTCGTGAACATCTTTGCGAATTCGTGGCTTCCAGTCGTTGGAGTGGAGCCCTGTTGCCAGGGAGCTTCCCGATCTACATGAGTAGTTGGGGAGTATTTCGTCTTAATGTGTCGGCCGCCAGCCGACTGAGAGCGCGTCAATGCTTCCTTCTCTGTGGCCCGGATGGGCGTCGACGTCCAATACGGAAAACAGACCACTTTGCCTCAAAGGGACACCGTGCTGAGCCACCAAAGAGCACCTCAATATCAATACAAACGCGAGGCGGGGATTTTGTGCTCGACGTCCGCCTCTGGGGGTTGGAGGTGATAACCCTTCATTTCTTGAACATCAGATTGAGGCTCCTTTGAGAAATGCAAGGAGTCAAATGAGGAAGCGAAATTATTCCCGCTTCTCGATGCTTTGTCGAATTCTGGACATTCTCAGACTCCAAACGGCTCTCTATGAGATGAGAATGGTTAGAATCGTCTGTGAAGCCAACAGTCTGACCAAACATAGCGGTGCTTGCAGAATGCGTGTCTGCTGGCATCCTGCATAGGCTAATTGTAAAACTTCAGACAGACATACTAAGCTAAGACACACTGGCGGATATCCCAGATAGTATATTCCAGGGCAGGTTACCCTAGGTAAGGTTATCCTGTGCAAGTTTATCTCATAGAGGGCTATACTAGAGCAGATTGTCTTTGAGGAGGTAAGTTTAGGGGAGATTATCCCAAGGGAGGTAACCCCAAGGGACATTATTTTAGGAGAGATATCCCTAAAGCATATCTTTCTAGGAACAGTCATCTCAAAAAGGTTATCCTCGGGGACATTATCTCAGCGTAGGCCATACCAGTGGAAGCTCCCATAGGAGGCACCTGATCAGCAACTGACCAACTATGTAGATCTCAAAGTCTGGATCTCAATCCCACTTGTTCGGCCGAACTCTACTGTGGACTTTGCTAGTAGATGATTTAATGTATTAATTCTATAAGTAGAAGGCGTAGTGCTTCCTATAAAAGCAGGTCTAGCAAACTCGGAGGACTGCCCTCCAGGAAGAACGCCATGTCGCAGTTGTGGGCTGGCTGTTCCGAGGACGACAAGACTGCGACTGTGAATTAATTCAAGGAGCACCCGCTGAGCAGATGTGGCCTCACTTTTCAGGGTGGAATGTTGGAGTGATTGAAGATCCGGAGTGGATCACTTTGTATGCTGGCCAGGGCGGCTCCATCGTCGACCGGATCTGCGGCATCAGCAACCACAAACAAGCAGTGCGCGTATTCATACGAGAGTCACTGCTATCCTAAATATGACTAGCAGATGGTCCTGCAACCCGGAATCTAGGTGTTCCTAATACAAAGTGACCTGGGCGAGCTGCTGTGTATCTGCGAGCCTACCACGCAACGACAATGTGATGGCTGTTCTAGGAACAGGAAAGCACTTTTGCTTACATACGCAGGCATTCCAGAACAACAAAATGCGCGAAGGTAAGCTACGGCGACCTGCCTAACTCCAAGGAAAAGCTTGTGTGGCAAGCACCCTTCCAGCAGTCATACACACCGCAAGGCCCATCTCACCAGATTTCTGAGGAAGCTTGCACTTCTGCTTCATACAAACGAATTTTACGGAATCTCCACCCTAATGACCGTGCACAGACCAGCCATCCACATCCAGCTACCTCTGGGGTCCGCTGCCAAGTCTTCTTGGCTACATAGTTGCTCCGGGAGCTTGGTTTTCAACAACAACAACTTGGTCTGGTGGTCTAGTGGTATGATTCGCGCTTAGGGAACACCCTAATGCTTCATTGCGCGAGGTCCCGGGTTCAATCCCCGGCCAGACCCTTTTGCTGGCATTGGTTTTACATTTTCAAGCTCTCAGGATGGAGAGGGAGGCAGGAATGACACCATGGAGATATCCTCTATATGTACATGTTCTGTGTTGTGTGCAGTGTGTTTGTCTTTTGAGGAATAAGGCGAAGAGTGTACTGTGTGATTGTGGAAGGTTTGGAGAAAATGCTGGACACGATGGTTGGTTGTGTTAATTCCGTGTTGTCTCCGGATGTGCCCCGGGTTCGCCTTTTGTGCTCCTAGCAGAGCTGCCGCCACACCAACGTTGGTGTACCTCACAATATGATAAATGAGAATCTACAGTCAGAATCACGTTGAAATTATCCAGGCAAGTCTTTCAGAGGCTGTTTATACATGATTCGAACAAATCACGAGAGCGGCTATTATTCGATTTGTATATACAACTTTTGGATATATACACAGTTTGACCAAACTTTACAAAGTAACTCTCCAATCTTCCTATGCATCTCAAAAGCATGAAAACATAAAAACGACGCCCACAAAAAGGTCTGGCCGGGGATTTACAGAAAAAATTTGGACAAGCACATGGTTGCATCTATTCAACCCCATACGTGAGCTGAATATCAAGCCAGTAACAAGCAACATCGCACTACTCAACATGCATAGTCATTGAGAACATGCTGGCAAGTTGACAAAGGTACAAGTGCGTTTGAATAGATGCCAAGCCAAGAAAAAGGAGCTTTTGACTGTGGGAAAACGTCAATACTGGGGCTAGGGTCTGGAACTCGCATATTCGAAGCTCGCTGTTGAGCTCAAAGATGTCTTTAGATATCGGACATTTTCCAGTGTTGCGAGATGCCGCAACTTACCCATTCCAACAACCCAGAGTACAGCGTCCCACTGGTAACTAATGATTCCCAATACTGACAGATTTAAATGAAACCCGCTGTGCCCTGCCCACTACTTCATGTATTTAATGACATGCCACTGGCTTGGTCTATTCTATCACCTTCTGTCTCTCTTGCGTATATTCGTTTTTTCCTATATCACATCACACTTGAACACTTCAAGTAATCGGCAAGGAAGAACAAATTTCAAAATGATGAGGAGGGTAACATTCAGGCGTGGACGTCAATGAAAGCTGGGTTCCTGAACTATTGGGACGAAAACGGCCACACCATCGAAATCATAACACATCATTACAGAGGCCACTGTGGCTTCGTTAGCTCCTCATCTAAGAAGTTATCCGACAGCAATGTATCCCAAGGAGCTTTCCCAAAGAAGGTTATTCTACAGAAGGTTGTCCTGTAACAGATTATTCCATAGAAGGTTATTTCATTTATTTTATAAGAAATTATCCCACATGAAGTTATCCCATAGGAGCACGAGAGATTATCCAGGCAAAGCGGACACCCGAGCTTAAGATCGTAGAAGCTAGAGCTCTTGCAGGGATGAAATGGAAGTACATCAAGCCACGACCAATCCTTCAGTCGGCGTTTCTTGATAGCCATACAGTCAAAAATTAGACGGCAGGCACCGGGATTGGCATCGAGAACTCACGTCATGCCGACTTACATCAGTTTCTGGGCATACCAACTCCGGATCAGCCCGGGTCACTTTGCTATCGGCTCATTCATTGCTGTTGACTCAGAATGGCAGTCAACAGAGCATGCTTGAGAATTTCTTACCGCATGCGCTGTTGGTGAGGTCGGATGTTTGTTGCCTGCATCTCGGGCTAGTCAACATCTTTCACATTCCAGAGGAATCGACAATCCCATGTGTTGCACAAGAAGCTATTGCGGGAAATGATATTCTGTGAGCCTGCTTAGGGCCATCTTAGCTCAGCAAAATGGCATGTGGACTTTGACCAACGTTTCCTAGGTACAGACTTCGGGTGGGCTGGTATTAGTCACTGCAAATCAAATGTTTGCAGCGTACAATGTCGGTGACAGGCCGAATGCACATTTGGGTGGAGGAGTGCCCAGGCGCTCAGCTCGGCAGCTCGGCAGCTCCCAGCTGCATCTCCGGGGGCGCAGATGATCCCCCCTTTCTGACCACACCGATCGGCGTTAGTGTGGATCGTACCCGTCAGATGTGCCTTCAGCTCCTCCCGAGTAGGCAAACACACCCTACCAGAGCTGCTGATGGATTGGCGCCGTGTGGCTTCATGACCCTCCCTCCCGGGGGCGCAGTCCGGGGGTGTCAGACTGTAGCCTGCAGCCTACAATTTGAAGCCTCGTGAGGTGAGAAAACGCGTCTTTTCGCATTCCTCCATAGTTCCTCCGGACAGGAGAGGTCGGTCTACCAATTTTTCCTGCTTCATATGTCTGTCTGGCCGCGATCGTCGTCGACAGAAGAGATGTTGAAGTCGTCTCCGCAGTCTGTGTTTTCCCGGAAGCGCGCTTAGCATTAGCAGCATTTGAGAATGGAAAGTCGGCCCCTCGTCTCACAGGCCCAATCCGACACGTCTGCGCCTGTGCCTGCAGATGTGGCGGACGCACTCGATGACTCGAGACTCGAAGACGAGCTGAGGGACTCTCCAGAGCGCATCCAATCCGACCCTCTCCCGTCCAGGCCTGTGTTCCCGGAAGAGCAGCAGTCACAGTCGCATTCCCAAGACACGCCTCAGTCGACTACTGGCCCCAGCTCAGTCCAGGACAAGCTGGCTGCAATCCACGACAGCGACCATGCAGTGTCGAATCGGACGAGCATGTCCCACTGGGACCCCGAGCCAGGATTCGCTCATGTCGATGGAGAGGTTGGCGGCGTAGGTTATAACGAGACCAAGGTCGATATTGTTACTGTCCCATGCCCCGGAGCGGACCCCGTCGAAACCTGGACCCGTGACCCCCTCCCAGATGGCTTCTTCGGCGACCCTGACCAGGTGGACCAGATATCCCACCCGGCAATAAAGGAGCTAGCTGGTGATGCCATCCTGTCGCCTGGAATCGGCGGCAACTTTCCCAAGGCAGCCCACCTGTGGGTCAGGCAGGGCATCCGCCGGTATGCCAGCACGGCTAGGGTCATGCTCTATAGGCATCGTGAGCTGACCGATAGCACCACGCTCGACGGCCTGGCTAGGGATTTACTGGAGAAGGTGCTCCAGAGGCGCGAGGGACACCATGTATCCCGCCCCGTCTTTTTCATAGCGCATAGCATCGGTGGGCTGGTGGTCAAGAAGGCCCTGCTCTTGGCAAGCAAGAATGAGAAGTACCGCGGCATCTTGTTCAACTGTCACGGTATTACCTTCTTTGGTAGGTCATATGCCCCCGAGTCCACAATCTCAACTGGGAGCTGACATCGACAGCAACACCACATCGCGGCTCTTCCTACATGTCTATGCGGAACTTGAGCGAAAGCATCCAGCTACTCCTTCACCTGCAGCGGCCACTGCCACCAACCCTGGCACATGAAATCCGAATCAGCAACAAGAGTCTTATCAAGATGCATGATGAATTCACAAACGTCGTCAGCGAAATGAGAGTCTGGAGTTTCTACGAGACAATAGACTCCCAACTCTCCGGTTCCGGCATGGGCATCGCAAACGAGGTTCAATTCTCTGCCCCGCTCGTCTCCATCAAATCGGCCATTGTCGATGTAAGACAGGAAACGATATACTCTTCTCTGGAGAGCGATCATGCCCACTGTGCGTCTTTCGGCATTACCAACCCTCGAACGCTGGCCACCTATCTCCAGGACTTGGCCGCTGCAGTCGCCAAAGCAGAGACCCTAAGCCAGACCATTCACACTCCCCTGAAGCTAAAGGAACATGTCAAAGTCGAGCTCATTGGATTTTATGAGGATCCAGATGCTAGTTTCGAGTCCGACGTTCGCCTGTATTTCACCAAGTATCATCTCGCAGAGTTTCTAAACAAGGGGCCCGAGAGATGCTTGGAAGAGCGTCTGAAGCGTGTCTCACGGCGGCACGGAGCGCGTGGGGGCCGCGAGGGGGCTCAGATTCCAGTTGACCGATCCAACAGCGGTCATCGTGGTGGTGGCTTGAATATCCTGACAGGGGTACAGAGCTTATTGAGGTCTGCTGTTTCCAGTTCCAATGAACAACGACGGCCCGACTCCCCCGATATCGTTGTTACACTCCCGTCAGCCCGGCCGGATGTCGAGGGACACTCTCCACCTCCGGCAGCTGGAAGACGTCCCCACAGTCTCACGCTTCCAGCGTTGTCCACGCCCGGATTCCAGCGTCCTTCCAGCCGAGGCAGTGCTGTTACGACCAGTACAATGTCTGACCCGACTGATCGGGAGGTGTCTCCAAGGGACGGGGCTACTGCTACACATCAAGGAACCGAGACCATCGAATCTCGGGCAAGGGCAGCATCGGACCATACAGGCTTGGACCCGAGGTCCAAATCTCAAGTTGACAGACTTAGCAAGACATCTGCACTGGCAGACTTGACTGCTGGATTCTCGAGGCCAAATGCTGACCGCAGAAAGTTCATGTGGATCCACCTGCCTTTCACGAACCCACTTTGGGTCAAGGTGAGCAAAGAACACCCACATCAGGACTGAGGACTGTAGCTTGGACGAGGCTAACATTTTCCAGGACATATTCGACAAACTATCGGAGACACACTTGCAGGACTTCAGCAAGCTTTTCAACAACGAAAATTGGGTCTCAAAGCATGTGCAGGGCCGGCATTCTCAGTCTCAGCCGTCATTTGTCAGACCCGCCGTCCACTACTTTTCTCCCGACTCGGTGCCATCTCCACGACTGTCACACTCTAGCCCCAAGCTCAACGCCGGTCCTTCACCTACTTACCTCTACGTCTATCTCCCGTACCTCCATTTCGATACATACAAGCAAATCATCAAGCGTAGAAACATCATGACGCGGAGGTTGGCACACGGTCGCTCTAGGCCAGTGCCCGAGGATATTGCCAACCTGGATTCACTCGAATCGCGCATGATCTGGGAATACGTGGGCCATGATCCGCCGCTGAATTGTCGTCGGACACTGGATCAATTTGGATATCCTTCTCTCAGAGACACGTACGCCCGTGATGACGACCAAATGCTGTACAAACTCACAAAGAAAGAGGCCCCACGACGTCCCTTTCTGGGAAAGACCTGGAGCGACGATCAATCGATCAAGTCTCTGGTCGAAAGATATTCGGTTGGCACAAAGCTGCTGCACGAGGTCATTGAGAAGGAGAAGGAGGTTGCTGCCTCGGAATCTGATAGTGAACACGAGGAAGAACTTCGCGATGGGAATCTATTGATGGTAGACCAACTGTGGCTTTGGGCGATTGATACCAGTAAGCCCAGAGATTTTCTCTTTGGCGATCATGTTACTGACCAGTTGCAGCAACATTGACGACGTTCTTCCCAAAACGAGAGTCTCGTCCATCCGAGGGAGCCTTGTTCCAGCAAGCAGATCTAAGGAATAGCATTTACAACGAGCTGAACGGTGATCTTACCGGGAGGTGCGAGAATGCACTAGACCTCGCAGCCTTCGTTGCTCTACATGCCGTTACCGTCCTGCTAGACCGATCATCACATCCCGATCTCGAAATCTTCCGCATATTCGAGGAAGCCATAGGAATATTGGTACAATAACCAGCTCTTGGCCCCCCCTTTCCAGTACTGAAACTGACAAAATGTTGCAATTAGACCGAACGAATGACATGGAACCTCAAGAAATTCCGCATGCAGACTTTCAAGGACGTTGACTCGGAAGACGAAAACCTGGCGGAGACCAGCGCCAAGTCAATCAAGAACCGCCACAAGCGCGAGATCGAGCGGGCTGAGCGGGAGAACCGCGAGAACACGTCCGCCCTCATGGAGCTGCGCGACATGGAAGACGAGCTGAGGACGCTGATGAAGCTCTTCGAGACGCAGACGACGATGCTCGGGCGGATGCTCGAGATTTATTCAGGCGACAACCTGAAGGACATCACCCATCATGGGCGGGTGTACCTTAACGAGGCGCTGGGAAGGCTGGATGAGTACAAGTCCCAGACGATTGAGATGCTGGACAGGGTTGCGGCGACTAGGGGAGACGTAAGTACCGAGATTCCATTCTAGTCTCTCTTAGTTTTGACTGACGCTCTTTCGTCTGTAGTACGAGAAACTCCTTGAGATGGCCCAGCGCCAAGCCCAGGTGGACGACGTGAGATGGTCCCGCCTGCAGACGGAGCTTGCCAGCTCGCAGAACCTGTCGGTGATGATCTTCACCATCTTCACCGTCATATTCCTCCCGCTTTCCTTCTTCACCTCCCTTTTCGGAATGAATGTGGTCGAGTGGAGTGACGACCGGCTCCCGACGATGGCCTTCATCGGTGAAATCAGCCTGCCTCTTTCGGCGTTCATGATCTTCGCTACCCTCATTGCGGCCTTCTCCTCTCGCGTGCAAATCTTCTTTGGCACGATCTGGCTGAGGTTCAAGAGGGTGTGGGAGAACTTCAAGGACAGCGCAAAGGAGCTGGAGCCCGAGGCCAGCAGGGAAGCTAAGCTGCGGCGGAGGGCGGAGAAGGCCCGTGGGGACAGGGAGGAGCGCGAGCGGAAGAGGAAGGACAAGAGTTATGACTTCTGGGCCACGGTGCGGCGTCAGAGGACCCTGGCGTCTTATGAGATCCCTGACTTGAATAGGGTGCGATCCTCAACTGGGTTCGATAGTTATGGAAGTGGTGGGCAAGGGGCGAGGAGGGCAACTTGGAAGTCCTTGGGGACAAAGTGATGACTGTCAACCAAATTTATTTACTATAAAATCCTCAAATTTAGTTCAGTTACAACTTTATGGGCTAAACCACCATCCGCGAGTCCAATTCCGTCATCAAGGCCATCGAGGCAGGCTTCGCCCATCCGAACCATTTGCAGGCGTCGAAGAGGTTCCTGATATCCTACATTAGCTTTCGTACCCCGTGAACCTCCTCAAGGTAGATCAGCAGTCGGGTGCGGCGGCCCGTGTCAAACGCTTCAAGGTACGCACAGTGCCTTCCCGCGCGTGCTATGGGTGTGAAGTAAGTTGCAAAGGACTTGGGACTGATGATACGGTCCAGCAACAGGTGGGTGTGCCTAGGGTGTGCCTAGGGTGTGCCTTTGAGGGTCTTGGCGCAGGTGACTGAGGTGGAAGCTGCCGTGCTGACTGCACCGTGCTCGGCGGCCAAGGCTGCGAGCTGCGCTGATGTTGTGGCTATGGGTATACGGGCCAACCTTTTCGAAAGCTGATCAGCAAGGACCATATGCACTCGCTGCCGTCAGCGCCGCGGGAGGCGGCCATGGGTGCCAGAACTCTTCAATAAAGCTGCTGCCCTCCAGGACTGTGCTTAATAGTGATGAGTCAGAATAGCCAGGAGGTCTCGGCTGCCCGTGAAAGGTCCAACCGAAGATCCTGCCTTATTTTGTCCAATATGGCATAGGAATATATCGTGGAATTAAGCTCTCACAGCCTGGACATTTATTGTTTAGTTGTGTATGAAGGCAGCGTCACTACGGCATGCATTGCGCCTGGGAAGCCCATGGATAGATTGTGAGTTGGTCCGCCTCTGATGATCTGAAGGGAACAAGAAGCCTTTCGGAAATAAATCATGCTGTTGTGTATTGCCATGACCAGCTGACATATGCAGCCTCTCTCAACGGGTGCGTCACGCAGATCACTGCTTCACTGTCAGGTCTGTGTTGGCGTGCTGCGCCCAAACTAGGATGATCATCGGGGCCTTCTTTCCTGCCTACGTCTTGGCAGGTATGTCGGCACCAAGTCCAGGGCTGCATCAGTGTCCGGATGAGTGCTGCATAATGTTTCCTTTGACGTGATTCGTTAAACCGGCCACCTTGGCACTCAGCGTTACTCATATCACCTAATATCAATCCGCCAGTCCATTTCGATGAACGACTTGTCGAGGCAGACCGGCAGGATCGGGTGGGGGCGAGATGTATTCACTGATTTTGCCCCCATCCTCTGGCTCCCAACTTCATGCTGTGATACCATAATTTGGTTTGGAACGGGCAAGTTTATCACCCTGGCCGTTCCGTTCTACCAGGTGCTTAGCCAAATTCCATCAGATCCTCACCATAAAAATGCCTAGGTTCCTCCTTGATGGAGTGCTATCTGAGACTGTAGAGTTTGCTTTTTGCCCGCCTTTTTCAATGAATCAATCTCTCTTATCCCGCCAACTATCTCCGAAATATGACTTTAGGTGTTTTCCACGATCCTGTTCAAGGGGCAACCTTTATGATAAATATTTTAGCAAGTCCTATATGCATCCTTGTTACGGTCTTCCGTTTCATCGGTACTAGACGTGCTGGGAGAAAATTCAACTTGGAAGATTGGTTTGCCCTGGTGGCACTGGTCTCCTTTTGCATTCACGCTTCTGCCGCTCTGTGGAGTAGGTACACACTACCTTGGTCATATCTAATAGACCTCAAGACGACATAGTGGAGTTGTCAGCTGGCTCAATCGGCTACTAATTCGAGTTTCAAATAGCTGTCGTAACCTTGAATGGCAAGAATCCGTTCAATGGCGAAATTCCTCGTTCGCAATATATTGAGATATTGAAGGTGCGCGGATATCCTCCTCGCCCTCTTAGCAGATATTGACCATCGTCTAGGTGAGTTATGTCATGCAGGTGAACGTCCCATTCAACCCGACCTTTGCGAAGCTCAGCCTCCTGGCTCTCTACTACCGCATCTTCTCGATCAAATCAACGTTCGCACGTTGGGTATGGTGTTTGGTCATCTTCCAAGTTTGCTGGTTTCTTGCCATGGTCCTTTGCAGAATCATGTTTTGTCTCCCGATTGAGAAGCTCTGGCTCGAGACGATACCAGGCCGTTGTCTGAATGTACCCCTGCTACTTGCTGTCGATTGGTCGGTCAACGCCGCCCTCGCCTTCGCCCTTATTGCTCTGGGTATGTGCATGGTTCGCACTTTAGCCATATCGAAGAGCGCCAAGCGGAGACTGGGGCTGCTGTTTGTCCTGGGAGGGTTGTAAGTGACATTGAGAGCTATTTAATAATCGGATCCATTCTGACTCTTAAAATTGAACAGCACAGGAGTCATTGACATCGTTGCCATTACTCAGGCCTACGGAGTTACTTGTAAGAAACTCGTCAAGCTTGCCATAATCTCAATGTTTGAATATAGAGCACGGCTGACTTTGTCTCAGCCAGTCTGACACCCGTTTGGATTGTAACCGTCCATATGCTTTCCAACTCGATCTGCTGCTGCGCACCCGTGCACCGCACTATCATGCCCGAAATGCCATTCGTTAAGAAATTAAAATCCAAGATCTACTTTCTCTACGGCAGCAGGAACAACGAGTCAGAAGAGTCCAACAATCAACCTTCGTCCACCTTCGTCACTATAGGTGGAACCGTGAAGAATAGAGGCACACCCAACCAGGAGTTGATAGAGCTCAACAGGGTCAATTCCCCTGGTGATGGGGAAAATACGACGGAGGTGAGGGAACTTGTGTAGGGCCGTCATGCTCAAGTCAGAGTCTAGGTCAGCAGGAAAGACCGGCAGTACATATACAACGGACTTTCGAGGTCGTCTAATAATATATCTTTTGTTTTCAAATTTCTGGTAGTCACCACGGAGTTCATAGATTAATTGTAATATTAAGTCATATTTTGCCGCCTTAATCGTCCCTTGCCGATCTGTATTCTGCAACCACGTAGACTATCTAGTCTATATACACGTCAATGTGCTAAAGCAGTCTTCCTCTCAATTATCATAGAAGCGCTCTTCCACCAGTTCCAAGATACTCTCAAAGACAATTTTTACTAATGAATTTCGTGGTCACTGGTCTATTTAATACAAAAGGCCTCTTATTGAGTATCAGACTATAAGTCACACTATCTTGCGTGGGTTCAACCTCACCATCAAGGCGGGCTTCTTCCACAACCCGGAACATTTGCAAGCGTCATTCCAAATGGTAATACCCCTTAACGCTGAGTATGGAAGACACCACGTTGGTCCATTGCAACTGAGAGACTGTATTGTGGGTCCGAGGGATGGGCCTTGGTTAGTATGCAAACGGCGCGAGCTTGGAGCTGAAGCGCAATACGGAATAACCTTAGAGTGTTCAAATGATGTAAACTACGCAAGCACAATAGATGATAGAAGATGCTTAGAGGATTTGATCATATACATAGATATGTACATATACCCTGACAAGACTATCGTGGTATTATGCGCGAGATGAATCAAGTTTGAGCCAAACTGTGTTTTTGAAAGAATAGAGTTCCATTGACTGCAAAGCTTCTATCTAAGCAGCTAGAGGCAAGCAGCCATATATTCACGTCCTCCAAGCACCATCAATTTCACCGCTGTTGAAAAGGCTTGAACCAGACCCAAAATGGTGGCCTTTCCCAGAACGTCATGAACTTGAAGTCCTTGTCGAAGGACAACCCATCTTGACCTGGCGCCGCTTCTAGGTCAAATTCCCATAAGACCTTCGCTATAAATATTCTAAGCACGGCTGAGGCTATAGCTCCACCAGGACAGCCTCTTGGTCCTTGACTGAAAGGTTTGGAGGCCTTGAGGTCATCATCTTTGTACTTCGGATCGAACCGAGGATGGTCTTGCGCCAACCACCGTTCGGGCCGAAATTTGAGTGGTTCTTCAAAGAAGCGTGCGCTTCTTGCCGCGGCGAAGTAGCTGATCTGGCAGGTCACCTGGTTGAATAAGAAATCAGAATACTAGTACGACTCGTGGCGTAGCCTCATGAGGTGTCGAGTGGATCAGCACGACTTACGCCCTTGGGGATGTATGCACCATCCACGAGAGCGCCAGGGCTCACTCGCGGCAATCCATCGACTGTGTCTTGGTGCAAGCGAAAGCTCTCATTCGCGCAAGCCTGCAGATATTTCAAATTTGCCGTGGTCTCGCTATTGATGGTGTCATAATGTCTAAAGGCCTCCCTCACTTCCTTTACCAGCTCCGCATAAATTTCAGGCTCCCCGAGGAGGAAGAATATCAGGGAGTAAAATTGGTTCGCGAGAGGCTGCCAGCCAGCCAGGAGCAGTTGTCCTGCCACATTCTCCAGGTGATATATATACTTCTCATCCTCGGGGGAGGGCTTGTCAGCTGGAACGAGTTGCTCAAAGTAATCTAGGTGCTCGGTCTTGCCGCTACGCTCGATGCGTGCCTTGACGTCTCGGTGTTTCATTCTGATGAGTTTCGGCATCACGAACCACACAGATGGCGGGATGGTGAGGTACATGAGCGGGCTGAGAAGGCGGAACTTCCTCGTGATTTGACTCATAGTCAGGAAAAGGTTCAGCTTGAGAGTTGCGCTGAGGAGTATGGAGTCTTTCACTACTCCACATTAGTAACTTTCTGCGGGTTCCAAGTGTCCAAAAAGCTTACTGTCACGCATCTGGTTCATAGCGAGGCCATACGTCATGTCTGCAGACAGATCCAGTGCCAGCCAGTCCGTCCAGCGTTGCAACTCAGCCCCCTTCCCCCCTGTCCCCTCAAGCTTCATTCTCTGAACAAATAGGTCTATCTGCTTGTGAACAGCTGTCTCTTTTGCTTTGAAATTCCTTGTGCTAAAGGCTGGTGCAAGCTTCTTAGCGATTTCGCGGTGTCTAACGGGGTTAGTTTCTCCGGCGATCCCGCCATCGCCGGTGTCCAAGGCATCATATCCGACCTGGACGAACAGCTCGAGGTTCTTCTCATGTGACAGGTATATATCTGACCAAAATTTCCAGTCAGGTTGCAATAAGCTCCCACATATTTCATGCTGGCGTCAACTGACCTTTTGCCGCCTGTGGCTTCAGGAACACAAGCTCATTGGGAGCGATGCGGACTACTTCGCCTGTTCGAACATCAGAAAACAGACCATAAGTGAAGACCAAGACTCTGTAGGTTACCGTATTTTTGAAAAACATCCTCGATTATCCATGGGTAATTCCCCGTGATGCTAAGTTGAACGAGTCAGACGGGGTCCAGATGTGAGAAGTGTCCCACTTTCTAAAGAAGAGTCATGGGCTTCCAAGAACTGCGAAGCGCAGCCTGTTGAGGTTCAGTACCTGGAGTAAGCCCACCAAGCATCGGTGATGGCAGCAAGCTTTGGCCCGGGGTACTTGGCGAGTGGGTGGAAGTGTAGATTGTAGATAATTCGGACTGTACCGTAGGCGATGATCTGTAGTGAGGAGAATGAGGCTTCTGTCGACGGTGGCAGGTGACAACACGTTGCGCAAACGATTTCAGACTCACCAGTGCAGCCGCAGCTGCTAGGCATTGGCCGATGGACACATGGCTGGTTATCTGATGCGGCAAGTAGCCTTGGGACGCCATTTATCGGCAGTGAAGCTCAGAATTTCGCAAAATCCTGCCGTTACGTTTGAGCAGTGCCAGATTTGAGTACCATGCAGTGGCTCTCGTTTAGAAAACTTCGCGATGTGCAAGTGACACAATGCAGTGTTCATGCGTGGCGATGTTGGCTCTTTGTCGCCCTGTTGGAAGGATCCTGTCTAATCAGAAATCCTGCCTAAATCATATCTGAGCACTGAGATGACAATCACCCCCAACCCCCCAAGTCTAACGTGCTGCGCCGCAAATTTCCAGCCCACGAAGAACAGCGCGTAGCGTTTAAGCAGTCTAGAGACCCCTCACACAACTACAAAGCTTATGCAGCCAAAAGAACCGCAGATCCACGTCGATGCCGTATGAAAATAGGGTTGTATTAACTTGCTCTCCATTGACTTGATGTAATTCAATCATCTATGTCGTGTGGTATATCTCATCAGCGTTACAACCCGATGAACAGATAGGCATCAAACTGAAGGCGTCTATTAACCCCTGGTAGTTTTTGCAGCTTCTCGGCGCGTCCTTCAAAGTCCATGCCTCGGAATTATACTCATTGCCTGCTTCTTGCAAGACCACAGGTGTCACATCAGCCTTGCATTCGATCATATCTTTCAAAGACAGGAGGCAGTGGTTGACGTGGAGCCAGAGTCGCTCCTTTTCGATATCTTCCGTCAGTCCTGCATGATGTTCTACTTCACCATGTACAATCTTCCGTATCATACCGACACAATGGATCTGGTGTGCAACTTGTTGAGTGTCAGAAAGGGACTTAGTTCCATATGACAAATGATGCAAGCAATCATGAATTTATGCTGGTTGGAACTTACATTCTGGCAACGATATCAAGGTATGGTTCCCGCCGGGCTGCAATGAATGTAGCCAATCCACATCGGGAGACTTGTCAAGTTTCGTGACCATCTGTCTTGGAAATCCCATCCACCCATCTAGCAATATCCATCAGCTCGGATGTCACCACTGAAATGGGCTTAGGCTGCATTGAACAGAAGAGAAGCACTTACAATCCCACAAATCTTTCCACGAGCTTTCCCTATTAATCTCGATGTCTCCGCAGTATTCTTCTGGGCAAGTCTCCCAGTCAAACCTCTTTGATTCGTAGCTCACAGCGGAAGCGATTGGACCTAAGGGGATGTTAGGAATAACTGTGAGGCCTGATCTCTCGATAGGGTGGGCTGCCTACTCCAGGGCTCCATGACTTCAAGGCAAACATCGTCTAGTCTTCGTTGCATAACCAGGAATCCAATGGAAGAGACCGTAAAAATCAAAGCAGAACAGACCAGCAGCCATATTACATTTTTTGAAGAGATTTCTTTTGATGAAACGTTTTCTAACTCTGCTTCATCATTAATTGAGCTGGTTTGGGAAGATAGCCCATCGTCCTCAATTCCAGTTGTGTCCGCCAGCAACTTCTCATCAATGATGCTATGATCTGTAGATCCATCCGAACCTGTAAGTGAGTGATACTCATCATATTTCCTAGTAAAGTGAAACATTTGGGCGTTGATGGCCAGTCTGAAGTGCAGAGAGTAACTGGTCGGCTGAGAATTGCAGACAGTGCAGCTGAGTGCTCCAGGAACAACTTGTAGAGGGCATAACCTAACAATGCAAGAGAAGTTGCGCTGAGCCAGAACGAAAGGAGTGATTTTGCGTAGTAAATTGCAACCAAAAATTCCTGCGTTGTGATAGGGTAGTACTGCAGCTTGTACTGTGAGTCCACACATCTGACCTGCATGTATGCTGACAGGTGCTGACAGTCGGTGACTGGACTTGGCAATCTGACCAGACCAGCGAGCTGTATGGCCTACTAACAAAGCACAGGAGCATCGCTCCATCACTGATTGCTTCAGTGAAGCTGCAAAGTCTCTCAACTAACGATGAACTAGTGATACCATGAAGCTCAGCGCTTTCTAATCTCACATCAAGGTCGAAAACAAAATATTACAAGCTTTCCGGTGATGGCGCCACAACATTTCACCCTCCTGATGCAGGGGCTCATTATAATATTCGTTTTCTGTAGCCTTTTCAATATTTACCACATATTTCTTCTGATCCCTAATGATGAGCTATGTGCAACTCGCCGGATGCCTTGGACCCCAGTTTCTGAAGGGCTGGAATATACCTGGCGCATGTTCCCTGATTTGACGTTCTTCACCAACTCTGAATACTTTGGGGAACCAGTTGAAGAGGCCGATAGGAAGTGGTCAGAACTGTTGCCAGGTCCGTGCAAAGTCCCTCGCGGAAGTTACAGCTGAATGCAAACTGATGAGCCGTTACAGACAGTCCGATTGCCATCCCCAAGTCAAGCCTGAATGCTCTCGAGATCAAGTATGACGAAAGTTTCACACATCCGCCGAGGGATAGCACACGTGTACTGGCATTACCAGAGGTTTTTGTCCAACTTGGATGTATTAATCTTCTCAGGCAGCATGTCGTGCGCCTGAAAGACAAGAGCTCGTATTCCAGAGTTGCTGCGTTCCAGGGGACTGAAGAAGACATCATGCACCAAGCAGATCTATGTATTGATCGTTTGCGGGAGACTTTCATGTGTTGGGGTGACCTAAGCACTATCTTACAGCAAATCATCACGGCTCCGGGAGACACTGTTCCAAGGAGCGCCATGGATTTAGCCACGAAGCACAAATGTCGCGATTTCAGTGAAATCGCGAGGTGGACAAAGGAAAACGCCATTGAATCTGTCAGGATGAAGGATTTGTGGTGGGGTGGCAGGGTGTTTTACTGAGAGAAATATTACAATTTGGGAGAAGAAATTGCTATACATTTGCAGGCGAGCGGGTGCATATTGACCGTCACTTATTCTACTTCAAAATGCATATTTCAATAGAATATTAAACAAAAACATGGAATGACCGAAAGCTCAGGTCATATCAATGCACACTGCTTAGACACACCGACCCCTGGCCGTGTCCTAGACGCGAGATACATACGCACTTGCCGGGTTGGATTTGAGACTCAGACCTCTAGAGCCTAGTATTGTATAGATTAGTCAATGTGCAATCATCCAAGGTATTTGCTCCCATGAAAATGCTAAACTGTCCGATTTGCAAATGGTCTTCATATCAGCTTGTCAAGCTGACAGTCACTAAACTGATGCTGACAGGACTTGCCAGTGTAGTGCTTGCCAGCGTACGCTTCAAATTACATGTCAGCACTTTGCATCATCATTAATCAGCTTCTAGCCAAAGAAATAATACCCAGAGATCCAGGAACCTGTCCATTTGCATAGCCTACCGCATAGTGAGGTAAAATTTGACGTTGGACACATCCGTCGAGACCAGCACAACAAGCTACCACTTACTATGGGAGCGGATGGCTATCTGCCGCTTGGTAATGACCTAGCAGATACCAACGCCGAAGATTTGGAAGGCTTTACACTTCGGCAACGTTCCAACCCGAAGTCTCGTCTAGTACCTACCATAGTCCTAAGCATTCTTTGCCTCGTTGAGGCAGTAGCTCTGGTTTTGTTGACACAGAGTTCCAACATCGAGTGCTTGCCAAGCACTGTCCTTTTCCAGGATACGGACGGCTTTAGTAACGCGACAACCGAAGCGGAGATAGATAGTGCGTGGAGTATTTATGGACTACGTGAGAAAATCCCCTCAAGAAGCATCGGCTCCGACTCTAGTGAGCCTGCTAATTAATGCCTATAGCGAATTCTGGGTTTGTTCACATCGCCAATCCCTCAGAAGCGGGCCTCACGCCAAATTCTGGTGTCGTAGGTGACCTCGACAATGTCTACATGATATCTGCCATGCATCAACTCCACTGCCTCCAACAGTTGCAAAAGATATTCCTGCGTAACACCGACGAGAGCTCCCCGGAAGCACAGTGGGAGAAAAACCATGCCGCTCACTGCTTCAACTACATGAGGCAGTCTGTCATCTGCTCAGCTGACGACACCTTGGAGGGACCAGACGAGCACCCGGAAGCCGGGCAGAGCCGTCTGAGAGGATGGGGGGTACCACATCAGTGCCGTTCATGGGATGGGCTGTTGGCTTTCAGAGACCAGCACTCCATCGATTTTGTTGGAGCACCATCATAGAAAGAACACCGCCTGAGTTATATACGCTGGACTAAACCATTTCACTGATGCTCCTTGTCAAAGGACAATCTCTCGTTTCCATCGCTTTGCATTTGCTGTGATTACGAGGATATGGGAGGCCGGCAAAGGAGTGCCGTAGATGAACGACGCAAAAACCTCTGCAAGTCCCCAGAGCTCTCTAATCATTTACCAGCCCCCTCCAATTCAGTTTTGAGGTCGAGCAACATTTGACGCTCCTCATCCTGATACTTGGCAAACTTGCTCCCGGCCATACCCTCTATAAGCGCGGAAGTCTCATTGATCAGACTCTCTGCCTCCTCCTTCTTGCCTCCACCTTGCTTCCAGAGACATTGGATAAGCATCCGCGTGGTTCCAAAAGCTTGGGGTGAGTCAACGCCCAGCTTGACATGCTTCTGCATCCAGGGCAGTACCTCGCGAGCTAAGCTCTCAGCCTCAACGAAGTTTCCATTGCGAATATCCAGATCAGCCAGCATGTTCAGCCAAGGGACTCTTGCATCACCCTCCATCGTTGAGAGCATTGTACGGATAGTTTCGGCCTCTTCTTCATAGAGACCAAGGAATTTCTGCAGAGTCTCGATGCCAAGCAGTAAGCGCTGCCAATTCACAGGGTCGGCAATGTGAAGCTTTTCGGGTGCTACTGCAGCTTGGCGGGTGGCGAGTCGAGACTGGAGCTCGGAGAGCAGGAAATGGAGCCGCTGGGATTCGGTGAGAGTGGCGTCGAAATGGATGTTTTCGAGCTCGTTGGGCTCGTAGCAGGTGAGAAAGTTCCGCGCGACGCGAAAGTCCAGACCCTTCCAGAATGGCGTATCGGGGACATCAAAATCCCACTCAAATTTGGGCTCCTTGGGTTTGTTGTTGTCATTTGAGTCCGACGCCATCTTGACTGCTAATCTGTGTCTACTGAGCGGAGATGAAAAGGACGTGTTTTGTTTGGCGTGTCGTGTTTGTCAAGGTAAGCTCAATCTCCCAATGATACAGCACGTTACTTATCGGCACGTGTTTTTCGTAACTGTAACACTGGTTTGGTAATATCGGAATTATTGGGGAAGCTGCCGAAAGCAACCTACTGGTGCTGACAGTCGCTGATCGCTGACCTGCTGACATCTGGACACTCTGACTGGGACATTCCACGAATGAGATGGACTTGAGGAGATCCTTGCCCCAGGTATCGTCCTGGATTTGTGCACTGCTACCCAAGATGTATCGGCATTCAATGGAGCACTCGCACCAAGACAAAAGATACTAACGGCCATACCAAAATTCACAGATACACAGGCGGAGGACCACGTTGAACTTATATTTTTGATCCTCAACTTCACTATCATGGCTTTACCAAAATCGCAGAACTTCACGACGTCACCAGTGTTCTGGACAATTTTGAATGCTTCATTTCTTCTAATTTCCCTGCTGTGCCTCGCGGCATCTTTTCAATTACGCAAAGACAACCATGGGACGAGGAACTCGGCCCTGAAACGGGTATCAACAGCCTGTATTTCGCCCAGCAAATTTGAGATCCGCCATTTGGTCTTTGCACTAACACTTTGACCAGCTCCTGTATTAGATTCAGTCCAGTTGGACATCAGGAACAAGCCTGGAAACACAACACTACTGCTTGGCTCATCTCCCAGTATTTACCGCCAAGATCCCAGCCACGCTGTCGATGTAGCCTGGGATAGGCTTGGCGATCTGCGGCTCATACCGCTGACCGCGGATGAGGTGAAGGCTATTGGGAAAGATCCCAAGGATGTGGTCAAGTTTCCAGAGAGCTTTGGGCTCGGCCAGGATGCATACGCCGGAAGAGTAGACGTCTTCCACCAGATCCACTGTCTCGATACTTTGCGGCGAGAAGTGTACTTTGAACATTATTACGGCAGTGTGTACCCAGGTGGTTTCAACCAAACAAGTAAAATGCACAGGTTGCATACGAGCCACTGCATCGAGTATCTGCTCCAAAGGGTCCTCTGCCAGGCCACCAGCGACGTGTACACGCACATGTGGACTGATGGAGTTGAACACCCTTTCCCTGACTTCAGCGTGGATCACAAGTGCCGGGATTTCGAGTCACTCAAAGATTGGCATGATAAGAATGCCGTTGACGTGGACAATTTTGTGAAATTGAAAGCGCCTCCTGAGGCCAAGGTCCATCGAATGTCAAGAGAGTTCAAGGAGCTGCACGGATGGTTCAAGGACCACGAGGATACGGGCTCGCACGGCGATGAGATCGCATGAGAATCTGACCATTCATTGTACTCATTCTAGTCATAGTCCAGCGGTCCGAAACAAGAACTGTTTTAATGCCTGAGGAGACCGCCGCAGTAATAAGCGGGACTAAATTATTTTTCCCGGCCTCAGAAACAGCATATTTGAGTAGGTTCCATACATTGCTTTCACATGAATATCATTTCGGCCTACCTACTTATGTAATTATCGTAGTGATTAGGGTCCCTGCATTTATGCATCTACGATTCCAGTGCACTTGCAATATGCTATCTTGATCCGTTCAGTGGTGCATGTCAGCATTCGTGGAAACGATGACAGTCAGCAAAGGAAGGCTTGGGGTCCACAAACGTATGCAATTAACTGGGGACGTTCGATAGGTTCATTGCATGCGCAGCGTTGCTATAGACTAATTGGTGCTTCTCCTCCAAATTTGATCAGCAGTCACTCCAATTCACTCTCGCAAGCGCTTCTCACGATGTCTCCTACCTGTTCATATTGCGCTATGCGAGGCTCAATAGAAGATAAGCGGCCCCGAAGTCTCTGGCCAGTGGCTGTCTTTATTCTGGCATTGACGATATTGGGCATATATGTCACCAGTGGTGAAGTGAAGAAAGATTTAGGGAGAGACTTTATGCTGTGGCGCTCCGGAAGCGTGGAGAGTCCCGCCCAGCATCAGGTCCTCGGTCCACAAGCACGCACCTTCAAGGCACCACAGAATTCCACGCCAGACGCTGGCCTCCATTTCTCTCTCTTTGACGAGGCACAATATCTTATAAAAGTGAGCCCTTATTTGCATATTTCACCGGACGGTGTGAACTTTGAACTGTACGGGATCTCGATGTACCATCAACTTCATTGTCTTGAGGCGCTGCGGGACGCCATCACGAACCCTGACCATCGAGCACATGATCATGAAGACACGGCAAAGGTTGGCAAGCAGACAGATCACCTTGTTCATTGCATCGACTACATATCACAGGTACGTAGCGTCTTCGCAATCCACCCACCAAAGGGATCTCCTCAGTCCTGACGCAACCACTTCATCTTTGCAGGCTGTGGTATGTACAGCGGATGACACGATCGAGCGCTCGAGCCGTCGCAGCAGCAGCGGGGAACCAATCATTGACGGAGGAGGTGTAATTCACTACTGTCGTGATTCCAGCACGGTGAGGACGGCGGTAGAAAAGTCGAAGGAAAAGCCCCTGTTCAAATCTAGGCTAGAAGCTGGTGACACAGTGTCCGTGTTATGGGATGAGCAAACGGATATGCATACCTAGTAAATATTCCATTGTACGGTAACAAATACTGTGCCCGCAACGGTCTTGGGAGTAGGAGAACAAATACAGGGCTCACGCCTTTGGATTTTCGACAAACATCATCACTATTCTTAGCTAATTTTGTATGGATTTGATGGACTACGGAGTGATCATTTGCTATCTTAACTTGGAACAGAAAATCAGGAACTGAGGATTGCAACAAGTAAAGTGCACTGAGTCTCAAGGTAAAATTTGAAGTATTTTATTGCATTTATTCGGTATATAAAAGCCCGAGCGCCGTGATCAAGGTTTAATTCAGACTCCACCCATAATATAATAAGGATACCTGTGTATGCGGGCGAATTTCCAGTCTCAGTCAGTGTGCTCTCGCCAATGCTTGAAGTATGGATTGCCGGGAAAGAGCTCCCAAAGGAATTCGATGTCTTCCTCTGGTCCGTTATCAAATCCGCTGGCGGCGATGATTTCGTCGGCTTTTTCTGGATTTAGATTGAAGTCCCATGCTCCAGCCCAGTTGTCTTTTGCCCACTGTTGAATCCGGTCAAAATTGCGACATGTGTGAGTTGTAGCTAGTCTTGGGAATATTCCTTTCTTGTCTGGCACGTTCACGTGAAAAGGAATGGGAGCAACGTCGGCGTGGCACATTATTGTCTGCCTTAATGAGTCGATGCAATGGTCCCAGTGTCGAAAGGCGTCCGTGTCGCGGTTGATGGTTCCGTTAGGCCATGTGACTTCCTCAAGACCGCCGTAGACCTCAGGGTAGAACACCTTCCGTATGTCATTGAGACAATGGAGCTCATGCCACACATCTAGCTCAATGAGATAGTCTTCTGTGCCTGGTATTGCCAATGTTGGTGTATGCAGCTTGGCAGCTTCCTCTTTAGATATTTTGGATATCCCGACTACATTGATATGGTCAATTTTGTTTGCTGGGGCAACGAATCCCTATTCCAAAGGGAAGAATAGAAACTCACAATTGTAGAGATTGCTCCAAAGTTGATCAGTCCTGCCATCAGCTGTTGGGTACCCCATATACTCGGTGAGATTGAACAATGCTGCGCGGAAGTGTTTGGCCTGAACATATTCTACTGCTTCATTTGCAGGAGCTGCTCTTCCATGTGAGATTACTGCATGCATGAAGATATAAAGCGGAATGAATACTCACAGTAGATTTCAACTGTGGGATCAGAGCCATGTTTCCGCCGTTCAATCATCAGGACAACAACCATAGTAAAAGTGATCATGTTACAAAGATATAAGATCCAAATGTGAAGCCGGTGTCCTCGACGGGGCCTTGAAGTGACACCCGTTGAGCTACTCATCAGTAAATTGTCATTTTCACTGTTGTTGGATTCATCTTCCATAGAAAGCTTTTCATAATACGGGAGAGTCTTGTTTGTTTCCATGGCGACCTCGATGTAGCTTGGTTGAAGGTTGATTGAGTATGAGTGAGATAGGGTTGAGAATGGAGAGCATTGACTTCAAAATCTGATTGCATTGAGAAACATGGACTGTCAAGAACTACCTGGTGTCAAGCCTGCACAAATTGACCAGGCTTCTTTCCCAGGCCGACCTGGCGGTTTCCAGCTTTCCTTTCAAAAATTCCATGCTGACTGCATAATGTCAGCAAGATGTGCCATAACTTTTGTGACAGCTGTCAGAGTCGATGAGGTAAGCAGATGAATCGCGCGAAAGTCACTTTGTGCCTCCTTCGACGAGCGCTTTGTCTAGGCAGCAATGAATGCGGTGCAATTGTCAGGGGGGGGGGGGTGTGCTCAATGTTGTCCGCCCAATGTCACAGCCCAACCCGCTGACATATGTACGCATCGTGACAGTCGATAGACTAAGACGGCAAGTGTCCGCCTCGATGGTCACAAGGCTGTTATATTAAGCTCAAGAACGGGAGGTTCATCAGTTAGACAGACACGAACTTTCAACTCCAACACATCTTACTTTCAAAACTACTCGACGCCTCGTACATCATGAGATTCTCAGGCCTTGCGCTCGTTTCCCTTGCTGCTTTTGCGGCTGCAGCCCCTGCTCGTGAGTGACCCCTCGACAGACACGGAGTGACTGAACCCTTCATTTTCACCAACTTACCCCCTATTCAGCCCATGGAGAAAGCGAGGATGCCGCTACGGTCGATGCCATCTCTAACGCTCTCTACGCCTCTTGGGGTATAATCAAGAGAGAAGGTGCCGAGCTCAGTGAGGAGCAGGCAGCCACTGTCGACGCTATCTCGAATGCTCTCTATGCCTCTTGGGGAATCATCAAGAGAGCTGAAGATCTCACCGAGGAGCAGGCCGCCACGGTCGACGTCATCTCCAACGCTCTCTACGCCTCTTGGGGAATCATCAAGAAGGAGTGATGGATTCCAGATGATAGGGTCAGACACCCTTCGTTGAGGGAATCAGGTGCTGGGGCTCCCAAGGCTTTCTCGGAGATGCAGGCGGAACTGCCAGGAGTCTCTTGATAGGTTGGAACATTCGTAGAGCTCCCGCACCTTTCAAATATCAGGCTTGGAATCTTGTCCAACAGAAAATCGATCACCTTTTATTTCATTAGTGAAGCTGAAAAGTATCGATTGATGAAGAACTGGGACTCGCCACAGTGACGCTCAAACTTGGCGAAGACCCGGTATAGACACGCTCCAATTACTCCACATATGGAAAATTGTAGTAAGCTCCCTATGACTATGGACGCTTTTCCTGCATACCCAGGTGGGTTTCAAGACACAGTGGGATGATTGGGTTGGCTAAAATTTAAAGAGTGGCAGTGGTGTCCAAGATGATTCGGAATTGTTACCTGTCACACAGCGTTGAAAGTCTTCAGTTTTCAAATTTCCGGATTGATGCCTGCTTCTAAGAGTAGGAGCACGATCGACTCGTGATTGTTTGCAACCGCTGCGTGTATCACACTTACGCCCCGGTCATCAAGGATATTCAGCTTCGCTCTCCTTTTCAAAAGTAGTTTGACAACTTCGTCATGACCACTCTGAGCCCCATAGTGCAATGCGCTGCGTCCTTCGGCGTCCAGCGCGTTGATGTCCGCTCCACCTTGCAGCAAAATCTCGACAATCTTGTGGTTCCCATTTTCTGAGCAGACGTGGAGTGGCGTTTTTCTCCGTAGTCTCGATTCAGCATTTGATCCATCTAAAAAAGAATCCAACGTGGCGCCTTCCGAATTCGAGCACCCAACAGGTGTCTGATGTTGATGGGTAAGACTCAGAGCTGAGGAGTGGCCCAAATCGGGTGCAGCTGGTTCGAAGGACTTCGGCTCCGTTTGGAGAGACGAGTTGGCAGTGCAACCTTGCTCCAAATCGAAGTCATAGAGAAAGCCCAAGTCGTGCCCAGGAAATGAAGTGGGCGTGATCGGAGACACCAAGGCATTTTGTAAAATTGGCTGCGGTGTTGATGGGCGCTCGTGCGCTATCAGTGGCGTTGGGTGATCGGGAACTGTACGAGGAGCCGCCTTGGCACCGCATTGGTGACAAAGACTATGTCGAGCATCATGTTCGGGATCTTGAGAGGTCCGTTTCTGCGCAGCTTTTCGTTGACCTGTGGAAGACGGGGCACAACTTTGTCAATAAGCTGGTCTCACGATTGGAATCTTGCAGACATTGAGACTCACGAGAGTTGCGCTGGGCAATTCTATTTTGAATTCGACGTCGCGCACTGGGATCGCTATTGTTCTGATCCCCATCCTCATCCCTAGCGGTTCTCGATGAGTCAAGCGCACTGAGATTTTCAGAACCCAGCATCCTTTACCGGCAAAAGGGCATAGAAGCGTCACATTTGTAGAGACCCGAGCTTGAAAAATAGATGAAGACCGTGGCTTGTAACCCTGTGAAAATGGCGGGAACGATATGCCAGCGCCAATAGTGACCTAATGTTGAGAGATGGCCCAATTCCTGAAGCCTCCATATGTAGTTCCATCCGAGCAGTGTCACAGTAAGCGGCGCAGGACCTGATAAGCTGAACATGCACTGTTGATTTAGGTTGGGGCGGGACTTTTGTCAGCACTATATTCTGATGACTCCATATCTGGTACAGTGTATGTGCATTATTCAAAAGGATTTCCAGTTATTTATGCATGCTCAATATCCCCGCAGAAGACGTGCTGGCGAGCGAGCCTCTCTGCCTTAAGCATGTAAATCCTGCCGTTCCTTCTCGGCTTCGATGAACCAATCACGTATTGAGAATCAAAGGGGGTCAGCCTAGATCGTTGCCTCCCATGGAAAGACCACAACAATGTCACCCTGAGCAAGACTTAGTCATGGCCCTGGTCCACAGCAATATCTTCGTGCGTCCTTGGCAAACCACCCTGCGCTTCCAGGTAGCCTTCATTTGTGCGTTTGTAGTACATTGAGCATCGTCACCAAATAAGAACTATTTGACCCGGACTACGAGATCCAGCCAAAAGATTCCAAAGACGAGAAAATATCATGTCTTGGCGAATATGGATGCAAGGCTTCGCAAACTAGTTGCTGGTGAGACGGCAGCCTGCGGACTTTATGTACACCACAATGTATTAGTGCTCACGCAGTGACTAGTGTACCAAGCACTGTATTGTCGGCATTTGTCGTGATCGGTGAACTGTTCTCTTCTATAGGAAGGTGTGCTTAGTGTAATGTGCTTACGAGGCGTAGTCACCAGAGTATTCTTAATTCGGCAGGATTTCGGGCTATCAATAATGGTGAAACATTCACGCGCGATTCAAGATCGCCCAAGTCGTTTGTCCGAGATAAATTCCACACGATTTCAACGTTCTGCGGCAGCCCAGACAGGATTCATGCGCTGGCCTCCGCGATGCTCTTCAATATGCTAGATATCAACCTCAAAAGCATAGTCACAGGCACAAGAGACAGGCCATCATCGGCATACTCAGCCCTTCCGTCCGACGAGAACCTGCAGAGCAAACAGCCCACTTCACCAGTTGTCATTGCCCACAGCCACCGTCGATACATATTGTATGGTGTTGGCGTGATTCTGACAGGAGCAGCAGCAGTCCTTCTTGTCTTCATATTCACTTTCAAGTCGGAACCAACGCAGCGAATTGCCCATTGTGGCTCCTCTGCTAGCGATGCTCGAAGACTGGGCTGCCGTTTCGACATCATGAGCTTTTCTTGGCTTCCTCCTAATTGTTTTGACGAAGAACTTTCCCACGATTTTGACACAATTCAGCCTTGGCAATGGTTCGCCGATGCGGCGGGGACCCAGGAAATTCCCAAAAGCGAGGTGCTTATGGGTGAAGCAAAATCATTGTTCGTCTCGTTCCAGTATCATCGAACACACTGTGTGTTCATGTGGAGAAAGCTTCACCGGGCGTTGGGGGCCAAGGGGATGGTGGATAGCTATATCGGCGGCTACAATCATACAGTTCATTGCAGTCAGATGCTTTCAGAAGGGGAAGGAGATCTGTCTAGACTGAATACTCTAATTATCACCAAGTTCCCAAGGTGTGAGTCGAGAACAGTGTATATGTAGCTGGAGTGATGAAGTTGGACATGTACACATAGGTTATGACAATTCAACACATAATTCTTCTCACATTATGCGGAAGACTATAGCCTCAGGAAGACTCGTCTCGCTTTGGACCATTTCCTAGTCCAGTCATCTCCTGCTGCAGGGTTGAATAGGAGTGGAAGTGCGAACCACTCTTTCACCCTTCGTTCTCTGGGTTGAAGAATTCAAAAGCTTCGTCCAACGACTCTTCCATATCCTTCTTCTTGCCAAACTGATCGTGACAAAAGGGGAGATTGTGTGGCGCCAGGGGCGTCGAGCGGAACAGCACCCGATTCCCTTTGATCGTAGTCATTTCCTCTGAGAAGCTCCGGATATGTTCGTACATTCCCTCAGCTGTGCCAGCTTGGATGTAAAGAGGAACCGACAACTCGAATGGGTGGTGTAGCGGGGAAATGTAGGACTCTGTCTCCGGCGAAAGTTGCCCTTTAGGCCGGTAGACGTCGGCTCCCCACTGCAAGACTGAGCTGTGCAGGACGTCAACTCGCGAGAGAGCTTCCTGGTCGTAATCCTTTCCGGCAGTTGCCGTTACGTGGACCCAGGGAGAAAAGAGAGCAACGGCCCTGGGTAGCGGGAGCTTTGTTTGATTGCTCTGGAGATACCGCGCAAGCGCGATGGCGACATTGCCGCCGGCCGAGTCTCCCGACACGATGATGTTCTTGGGATCTACTCCTAACGAGATTATGTACTGATAGAAGGTGACAGCATCCTGCACTGCGGCGGGGAAGCTAGTCTCAGCAGTGCCGGATAGGCGGTACTGGGCCCAGACGGTCCTGTCCGCTTTGAAGTGTCTGTTCAGCAAGTTGGCGATGGGCTTCCCTGATTTCTCGTGACTGAATGCGAGGACGAAGGCACCACCAGGGAAGTGCAAGACGACTTTCTGCTTCGCGAGCTCGGATGAGTCGGACGAGGGCGGGCTTGGAAACCACACCGCATCAACTGCTGCGGGCTTGACGAGGTCAGAAGCCGCCAAGGCGCCCGTGAAGAATGCAGCGGGCGGCGGTTCGACCCGGGCGTGTCTTTCTCCGGCTTCTTCAGGGGCGGTGTAGACGGGGCGTTGAGACCGTATGGTCGACCAAAAGATGAACAGCATCCTCGCCATGGCGGCCTGCACGTTGTCTTTCACGCTCCATTCCGGTAAGGGCCGCAACGGCTTGATGGTATACACAACAGAAAGTAGCAGCAGATGGACTGGCGTTTTGAGAAGAAAATATATCGTGTAAATCGCCTTGAAAGGCTGTGACGACCATAGAGTTTTGGATGAGTTCATCATGAAACGAGATTTTGTCCGCCAAAGGGCTGAGTGCGAGCGTTAATCACAGTTGGCTCACTTGAGAGCGGTGTAGGTGGACACCTTGATGACGATCAAAAAGTGTTTGCCTTGCTTACGCGCCAAGTCGTTCTCGAGTGCTGAGTTAATATCCACCAAGTGCTCTGATGAATCGTTGGACAGGCCACGTACGGCCAGGCATTGCAACAGTTTGAGAAATCAATCTCGACTGATGATCGCTGTGATAGATTACTCGGTCAAGGAGATGCTGCCAACCTTGCCTAAGACGAATTTCGGGGGTGGGATGTTGGTTGAGGTGGGCCCGCCGCGCCAGCCGCTGTTCGTCGAGCGGGCTTCGGGGATCTCGTGCCCGATCAATCAGGCAGCCAGCATATATGCGTTTAAGAGGGAAATGATGGGTCTGCAGTGTAACACGACAACGACAGTCAGCTATTGTGCGAGGCTGATCGCGAGTCGTCCGTGCAGTTCGGGACGTGTGAGCCGACCGTGTGCAAGCTCCACGTAGTGATTCAGCTGCTGGAAAAGCAATTTTCGAAGCCGAAGGACTGCAGAAGATTATTCTCTGCATACAGGTGGCTGCCAAATTCTTCCCTCAGCGCCAGCAAGTGTCGTGGGGGATTGGACAGGCTATGCCGAATCCAGCTGTCGAAGCCCTCGTCGCCGTGGGCCGCGCGGGTCGTCGCCGGCCTCACCGCGCCGGCCTTCGTGCAACGCGGCGGCGTGTTGCGCGACCACAAGTGGATGTGCATGCTACTATTCCGCCACCTGTACCGCATGGAGCAGCAGCAGCAGCAGGGCAGAAGCATGAACGCGTCGGATGATGGCGAGAAGGTGCGCGCGCTGCTCAGGGCCGCCAAGACGCCTGCGGACGCTGCGCCCGTCGTGACGCACCTGTTCGCCAACCGTCTCGCGCGGTCGCCGCACGTGCCAGTCGCAGACATAAACTAGGCCAGCGGGCAGACCCGTTCAGTGCGGACTCGTTGATGGATGTCGAGCTGCTCTTTTGGTTCTCGAGCGAGATCCGAGCCGGTGTGTCTGTCCTTCAGATCCTTGGAAGCTCGACCATCGCGCAGCTTGGGGCCGTCGCTGCGGCGAGGAGCGAGCATCTACACGGCCGCGACCTGGCTGCTTAGGCGATTTGCCTTGCCTTGGTAACGTTGGGCCGCTTCCTGTCACAATTTACCATGGTATGTGATCAACAAACTGGGCTCTTGACCAAGCCGCAGAGTCACAAGTCCGTTTTGAATTTACCAGAGGTAGTAGAGGGTCTTCCTAGGTATAGCTGGGGTGTAGGGCTACCATCTACCATAACACGCCACTCAGATAATTTTAAACTTTTTGCAGTACTTGCTTGCTGTTGGAAGATACATTGGCCCTGGAAACCATGGATCTTCCCGAGTTTCTCCTTCAAGCTCTCCCAGTTTTCTTGAACCAGCGGGCCTGCCTGCTTAAGTTTTCTGGTCAAGATCGTTTTGAGGTTGGAAACCAAGGGGCTTGATGTAAAGAAGGTTCGGTAGTCTAATGATAGGAAGAAGACTGTAAGGGAGTTGATTTCTTGAACGAAAGTAGGTTCTTAGTTGGGAAGGAAAAACCGGCAGTGGCTTTGAAATTACCTGAAGGCAGCGCGTTGTGGTACTCATCTCACCTTTTGAGGCCCATTCCCTTCATCGAAGTACATAAAATCAGAGAAGTAAAACGTCTTAGACGAAGCTCGACTTAAACCTCACTTCTTACAACTTTGCAGCTCTTGCGACCTTCCTTACTTATCGCGTCGAACGTTGGGCCACTGTGTAAATGGTTCTACCCTTTTACATCTGCCCACCATCAATTGCTCGTTTCCTTTGTTTTCCCAACCATACGCGACCCCCTCAACTGCTGACCATCAAAACTCGAGGTCACTCAGAGTTCCAGAAGCTGCCAACCTGCAAAAGCATCCTTGCATACCACTCTATTCAGAAGTCGAGGTCCACATCCTCGCACTGACGTGAATCTGCAATGGATCTCATCGCCATTTTGGACCTTGACGTCTTGCAACCAGCCAAGTCAAGCGTACTGCTTGCATTGGAGCACTTCAACTCGAACAACTTCTCCCAACAGCTGCTCAGCGTCGATGACGCGCTGGAAGCCTTGAAAAAGTCCAAACAGGCCCTGACTCTCGAGCTTCAGGCCACGAACGATCAGAGCTGCGCCGCAAAGTCTGAAGCATACAAGCAGTCCCTCACCGATCTGAACAAGTTGCTACTGAGATTCGAAGAGCTCCAGAAAGATGCACGACACGCGTTCAACTTGCGCGCTCGGCCGCTGCATCAAAACAAAGGCATCCTAGATCTTGCAACCGAGCTGCAGCTCAAAGTTTTCGACCACATCAAAGGAAATTTCGAGAAAACCGAATGTCCCTGCCGCGACAACTGGAGCGAGATCAACGACGTTAAAAATTTAAGGCTCACCTGCCGCCTCTTCTGCGACAACGTCTCCCACCTGCTGATTCCTTGCCTCCACATTTCTCTCCACACGTCGTCTCTGCAGCACATGGAGGAAGTAATACGCCATCCAACAATCTCCCCGGGTGTACAGCTCTTCCGAATTCACATGGAAGTCCGTGCAGTCTGCTTGGCAGAAGATTTCCAAGTCTTCTCATCTGGTTTTCGCAGTTACATACAACTTAGAATTAATAACCTCGAAGAAGAGCTCAGGACTGAAGACATTGAAGTCTACAAAGAAAGGCGGATGAAAGATTCTTTGATGAAACATCGGCGCGTCTTGTCTTCCTGTGCGCCATTTGCGGATGGAACTCCTTTCGAAGAGGGCTCATACCTGGATGAGGCCACACTTTCTTTGCGAAGAGGATATGAACACTATCAAGAACTTATTCAGCAGGAAGAAGAAATGCTACACAGCGGTTACTTTGCGCGCGCTGTTGCTGCAGCCGCGGAAAGAAGCATGAAAAAGGTCTGGCTTCTCATGACAGATGATCGGTTTCTAACACTTCGAGGATTCAGACTCGCTGGATTGTCCTTGAGTGAAGAAATTGGGGACCCGGATGCCCTCGTCACGGATTACCATCTGCCTAAATATTGGAGCTCATGGCACCGCGGCGATCTAAGAAAACCCGCACATTCACTCCTCTGTGAATTGCCTTTAGCGATGCGTGCCGCAGGGGCCTCGTTGGTTGGAATCAAGGTCAATATGTGGATTCCTTGGAGGTTCAACCTTCCTATGTCGCAACATCAGGTTTCAGGCCTCGGAGAGGTCGCCCAAAGCCTGGAACATTTCGAGTTTCGGTTTGCCGAGAATGAGCGGCTCGATTTTAAACCTGACAACGATGAGGCAGTGAGCTTATTTACTTATCTTTCCGCATCCATGGGCGCACAAAACGTCCCGAAATTGGTGTTGAAACTTCGTTCCAACAACCCGAGCTCAAACCAAGTCACAGTTGGGCCTCTGCTCGTCTCTAAAACTTGGCAAAGACTCGAGTTTATCCACCTCGAGAGGATTTCCATGCACCTCCACGAATTGGAAAAGCTTGTCGGTCTGCTTCAGATGGGAACAAAGATAGGACTTCGCTACACCTATTTAGCCAGCGGCACTTGGGCTGAAGCACTCGACCGTCTCCGCACCAAGGCTGGCCTCTGCTCTATGTTGCGAGGCGCCAGTGGAGCGGAGTGTGAAGAGATGACGGACGAAGAATGTTGTGATATCTTTGGGGATGTCTACGAGGATTGGCGGTGTGTGGATGCGGAAAAGAGCAAGGTCGAGCAGTACATCACGCGCGTTGAGGGCGTCAAGAATCCCCTGCGCCGGGATGTCGAAGCGACTGAGGCAACGGCAGAGCCTTGAGTGGAAAGTGTTGCAATTAAGGTGGACGTGCTTCCCGTTCTGTGGCCAGTAGTTCAGCACAGCCGACGCTGTTTCTGCACATAGTCAGTTGAACCTGCTCCATCGCACTTGGCTCACACGGGGGGCCTGGAGCGCCGTCTGACATGGAGTTCGATCACTTAGCATGGCGGTGGCTACTGCAGGCGTGGTTCTCATCCACCAGCTCATGGTATTTCCCTCGTTTCAGTTTCCAAAGACGCGCTGTTGATGGTCCGCGGAGAAAGTCGAGAGAAGTCATAAAAATGGAGAAGAAAATGCATGAACGTTCTAGAATCCACTTCGGCCTCGTCTTACTCGCAATTTGAATTAGATTCTGCTAATTATGTCATTGACTCGCTGTGTGAATACATTGCGTTACCACCACTTTGTGTTCTGCCTAACTGTCGCCTGGTTTTGGTTGAACTGAATTACGAATTACGATCCCCATGCGTTGACTATTCATTGCTTCTAGAGGCGGACGCCCATGTTCCCTCCGAGAGCTTTTGCTTGTCACTGTTGTGAAGTTTCATGTAGACCCTTCTTACTGGTCTGTCTCTTGACCGCAAGAGTAGCGAAGATTCTACTTGCCTCCATCTTCTAAGGAGTAAATAATATTGGCAGTTGATAAATCAAGAAAACCGTGATGTCATAGTATTGAAGAATGAACATGTCATGCTAACGATTTATTTGAGATATGAGAGATTAGACACAATTTTTAAGCAATGTCCCATGGAGAGATTGATAAAACCAGACACAGAAGTAGAGGAAAGCATTTTCAAGAGCCGTTCCCAACACATGAAGTCTCTTTCAAGACAGAACGGCATCAACTTCTCTCAAGCATCATTCAAATACCAGAGCGCCTTTACGAAGTACTTGTCTGATAAAGTCGAAAACGACTCAAGACATAAAGGAAGTGGTTAACAACAAGGGGTCGCCAAACCAACTTCAACTGGGAGAAAAGGCACCAGCCCAGGATTGTTGCTATTGCGAATATGCGAGTATGGCGCAACAGGGATCTTGATGTGTGCAAACCCAGTATTTCAAATACTAACGAGGGCAGGATTTCTTACTCGCATAGTAGATCGATGTTTCAGGACTGCGAGTCAAAACCTGATGAGGCTCAGAATCCTATCAGTTGAAAGGGCCTGGCAAGCTCATGTTACTAGCAACATAATTGAATCGAATGACTTTTAATGGAAAGCGTACACTACATACAGAACAACCAATTTCGCTGTCAGTGTTACAAACTCCCGAGACATAGCCCATATAGCTCTCACGTTGTAAAAGAGTCAAAAATACTTTTGAATAAACTTTCAAAATTTTCATTAAAATCTCCACATACCCAAGGGCCGTCAAATTCATCAATACCATTCCGAGAATGACAGTAAAGTCCGTGTGAAGACGCCCTTAACCCATATCCATACCATACAAGTCCATCCCATCACCTTTCACCAACCCCGACTTAGCGGGAGGATCGAAAGTCGATCTATTGAAAAACTCTTCCTCAAGAAGCCCTACACACACCCCCAACAAGAATAAGGTCAAGCAACAGCTTAGTTACCAGCAGCAGCCTTGGCGCCCTTCTTGCCGTTGGCCTTGGCAGCGGGTGTCTGCGCAGCGGCGGCGGCATCACCGGTCAGAGCTCCGGGGCCCAGGGCGACGGCGCTGGCTGCGGCGGCCGCGGCGGCCTCGCCCTTGGCTCCGTTGCTGGCGGCTGGGTTGACGAAGTTGGCGTCGTTACCTGAAGCAGCGGCGGCGTTGTTGGCTCCGGCGGCGTTGGCATTGGCTCCGGCAGCGTTGGCTGCTGCGGCCTTGGAAGCCTTGGCTGCCTGTGCTGCGGCGGCGCCGGCCTTCTTGCCCTTCTTGGCCTTGGTTGCGGTGGCGGCGGTTCCAGCGGCGTTGGCGTTGGCGGCAGTTCCGGCGGCGGCAGCGTTGGCTGCGTTGGCATTTGCTCCAGCAGCGTTGGCGTTGGCTGCATTGGCGTTGGCGGCGTTGGCATTGGCAGCGTTGGCATTGCCTCCAGCAGCGTTGGCAGCGTTGGCGTTACCTCCAGCGGCGGCGGCGGCAGCGGCTGCTTGTCCCTTGCCCTTCGCCTTAGCAGCGGCTCCAGCAGCACCTGCTGCCTTTCCCTTGCCCCTGATTCACAAACATCGTCAGTACATGGGTTTCCAAGAGAGCTGTCCCTCTAGGAACAGAATGGGGCATATGGTTTTACTCACTTCGCACCGCCCTTGCCCTTGGCCTGGCGCGACTCCAGAGACGACTCGTCACGGGTCTTCAGGTTACCGAGGAGACCGCTGAGGATATCACCGACACCACCGGCACCGCCAGCCGCATTGGCCTGGTTACCTCCGGCAGCTCCACCAGCAAGTCTAAGAGGACTCATGTTAGAACAAATTATTCGACCACGTGACGTTCCATGGAGTTAGAACATACCCTTCGAGGAGCGAGGTGAGCTGGTCGCCGCCAGCTGCTTGAGCATCACCTCCAGCTGCCTGAGCATCGGCACCACCGGCAGCTTGTGCATCGGCGGCTTGTGCAGCGGCCTGCTTGGCCTTCTTGCCCTTCTTACCAGCAGCGGCCGTATCAGCAGCTGCGGTACCGTTGGCAGCTGTTCAGGTATTATATTAGTGTCTTGTCTTTGTCATGAACGATATGAATTATAATCGAGTCGAGTCCCTGTAGACTTCGCCTGTTCGACCAAATAAATAATTAGAGGTAGCGTCTACTTACCAGCAGCAGCGGCGGCGGCTCCCTTCTTTCCGGCCTTCTTGGCCTTCTTTGCTGTAGCGGCATCGGCAGCAGCAGTTGCGTTGGCAGCGGCACCTGTTGAGAGGGGAAGTGTAAGTGCTTGATACTCATTGCAAACTATCAAGGGACATGCAACAACCCATGGTTGAAGATGCCCTTGCTAAGATGAGACTAAGCGAAGTGAACTTACCAGCGGCACCCTTGGCCTTGTTCTTCTTGGGCTCCCGAGCGAGGATCTCGTATGCTGGCTCGTACCCGACGGCACGGATCTGGTTCTGTTGCTGGACATCGCCGGCGGGCAGAGAGGCGACATAGCCAGCTCCTGCAAGGAGCAGCATGGCGAGGCTTCCGATGTTCTTCATCTTGGCGGTTTGTGGAAAAGGATGGTGTGTTGTGAAGGAAGGTTAAGAGCACAGCTAGATGAGGCTGTGTAAGTATGGGACAACCTCGCCGTGGGAGTATTGGCCTACAACACTTCGTGTACGTACCTCAGAGAATGGAAGGGAAGGGATCAACCCGTTATTACTTTTGAAGGAGGGTGGGCAAAAAAGGAACCAGATCCACTGGAACGAGAGAAGAAAGTAAGCTTAAAATGGTGCAGAAGATGCCTGATCGAAAGAATCTCAATCTGGCTATGGAAGAGAAGGAGGAACGGTCTTATATCCATCTGGTTTCTCCATCTCATGCTGCGTCCAGTCCTCCATCCTTGTTTGGACGGCCCGGGGGGTTGGACGGAAACTTGGGAGCCGTCTACTCTGGGACGTGGACGAGGTTGCAACTTGCAATGACCTCGACCTGCTAGCGTCTAACGAAACATCAACTTCATCTCATCTGAATGTTCCCAGACCAAGGATGACAGTCGGGTTCAAGGTTGGGCTCATGTTACCGGACAAGGATGGGACGAGCAGGTCAAAGGCCCGCATCCAGGGGGGTGGGACACTGCCCAGGGTGTATGGAGACGGAGCAGCAACAAGCTCTCCTGTCAACCAGAACGATGAGCTGGGCGGGTATGTGCAAGCGACTTGGCAAGGAGATCGCAAGTGATCATAGCTGGGTGACGTGCTGCTGTTAGCCCAAACTGTTTGTGCACAGCGCCTTGGTTACCGAGTTTGGCAGAAACCAAACAGGAGGAACCGTGATTTGCTGGGATCACCGGGCTGTTTGGGCTTGGCAGAAGATCTGGGAATCATACAGGAGAAGTAAGGCCATTGGCGCCGTGTGAAGATCGTGGTAGCACTGCACGGTAGTTGAGATGCATGTCGATGTGAGAGCAGGGGTGAGCCAAACCGTGGATCAAACAAGCAGGATACCCACCTGGATGGATATGTCAACGGCACGGTGGGTAAAGATAGAACAGAGTCCAACCCTATGAAGTAACGCTCGCACGTCCAGACTCGAAGGTGCGAGATTTCAGCCATGTTCCAGAAAATTGGGGCACGGGGAGGAGAGGAGAGACTGTGGCGATCGTGGGGGATTAAGCCTCGGACCCTTGGTGCTCAAGGCCCACCCCCTTCACGTCTACCGAGATGTAGTGCGCCAATTGTTGATTTTCCCAGGTTATTCACCAGTGTTGAATATAGCCTCCAGGAACACTTAGTTCCCGCGGAGATTTAAAAAATAACTTCCAGCCCTGCAGAATAATTCAATTCTAGGCAGACTAAGGAAACAGCCGTGAAGCCGATCAAGAGACATATCACCAGGTCTCTCTCACTGGTTGGACCGTACTGAAGCCAAGGCAGAGCCTGGGTGGGAGTAGACCTGGGAGACACGAGCTCCAGCATGAAACTTGGACGATCCTCCATGAGATCGACGGTGTCCCAAGGTAGCGAGGTGCAGGAACGGCGGAGAAGGGAATCCACCCAGGAAGGTGTTGTTGAAATGGGGAACAAAACCGATCAGGTTGCTGTGAAGGACGCAGTAAGGGACGCAGTAAGGGACGCAGTGAGGGATCATGAGTAGCTGAGAGCCAGGCTCCCGGCACCGTAGCGTCGGTAGTCGCAGGATCCGCTCACAGTGCTGTCGTATTTGTGTAGTACAGTACGTACTCCCCTGACTTCCACTGGGCTTCGTCCGTGGTGAGGGAGACGGCCATGGAAGCAAAATGGGGCAATCAAGCATGAGATGATGGCGGCTGGCTATGACGATAGCGAAGGGGATAGCAAACTGCTCACCAGGCAGAGCCTAGGCTGGAACAGTTCGCCATCAAACCGACACTGCATTGGCCAGGCACAGCGTTTCGAAGGGGGGTGGAGCTCGGGGGAGAGTCCCCAGCAACCCTGTCTTGGCACAGATAATGTTTGAAAGAAGCTTAACAGAGCCTCAGGTACACCCCAAGTCTGAAACATGGCGCATGTCTTTTAGTGTGCTTGTACGGTGGACTGTGGGCCCCGATCTGTCCCTGTTCCAGAGCCAAGACTTTTGACGAGGGGAAAGTTGAGGAGAGACGAGCCTGACGGGGCTGCTGGCTGATGGCAGTTGAGATGACAGCAGCCTAAGCAGATGATGGATGGATGAGTTGAAGATGTGATGAACCCGAGGCAGTGTCTGTTAGAGTTGTGGAACATGCCGTGGTCCGCTGGTTGGTTCTTGATTCGTTAGATGCTTAGACGTAGGTTCAATGGCCATGAATAGCAACAAGATCACACAGTCTCTTTCTCGTCAGTTCTCATCCATCAGGCTGCATTGATGCCTGGTCGTGAAAACGTGGTGATGTGCGCTTTAAGCTTCTCCTCACTCCACAGCCAAGGTGGATCAATCGCCAAAAGCCAAGTCCTGAGCTTGACGATCTGTTTTTGGTTTTTTCTGGGTACGAGAGTAATCTGCAGCTTGGATGTGAACTTAGGAGATCTGCTAAATAAAATAAGAGTGAATTTAGAGAGAGACGCGATAATCCACCGCCAGGACCTGGAGACGGGAGGAGACCGAGAGCGGTCAAGGACAACAACAACAACAACACCGCAACTGATGATGAGAAAGTAGTAGAGTATCTGGCCAAGATGAAAAAACAGCTCATCCAAGAGGCTAGTCAGGCATTGCAGCAAGACTCTTGGTGGTGTGTGGAATGCGAGACAAAGAATGGCTCGACGAGTGGATTGGGCAGGTGAGTGGTCTTGGTGGTGCGAGTGCCCACTTAGCTGCTTGAGATAGAGAGGGCAGTAAGCGAGACAGAGAGGGTCGAGAGAGGGTTAGGGGCTAGGAGGGAGCAGAGTCACAAGCAAATCTGCAACAGCGAAGAAGCGGCAGGTCGGTGCCGGATGCGGCTTGCGTCGGAATCGGAAGAGGCAGGTGGGGAAGAAAGACCTCGGCGAACAGGAGGCAGTGGCCACTCAGACGAGTCCTGAAGAAAATGACCAGTTGATCGGCCCTGGACCCAGCAAAAAGCTCAGCCAATTTTTGGCCGCCCCAGAAGATAGAGGCAGAGCTCATATGCGATGCGTCATTCCAGCACAACAAGTGGTCGACATCACCACCAACCCCTCGCCCACGACACCAGTTCCAACGGCCAAGACATGGTCCTGTAGCATCTCATGCTGATGCTCTACAAGCAACAAACTCTGGATTTCGGCTGAAGAGCATATCCCGTGCCCAATGCCTCGAGTGCACTGACGATACACCCCCGCCATCCACCACCAACGACCTCGACGCCACACGTCCCACGTCCCACACACCTCATCCTACATTATGTCTGCACCTGTGAGGTTATCGGGGCGACTGGCCAGGACAGCAACGCCCCTTGCCAGAGCAACATCACAAGCACCAACATGTCCACGGACAATCACAACATGTTTCCCTCGAAGGACATTATTACGCCAGTCCTATGCGGCGACAAGCAGGACAACCCACACTCGGCTGTTCTCCGTCAGCGCATCACGGTTCATGGCCACCCCAGATGACTCCTTCGACCCTGCCACAATAGAACGGGAGAGCGATCAGGTTGATGTGTGTATAATAGGTGGAGGTGCGCGCCCATTCTCCCTACCCCTGCTCTCGTCAGACTTCTCGACGTATTCAAGCCCGTCTAACCAACATACCCTATACCCACAGGCCCCGCTGGTCTCTCAGCCGCCATCCGCCTCAAACAACTTGCCAATGAGGCCGGAAACGAGGACTTCCGCGTCCTGCTCCTCGAGAAGGCTGGCGAAATCGGCTCCCACATCCTGTCCGGCGCTGTCATCCAGCCCAATGCCATCGAAGAACTCTTCCCGGACTGGCTGGCCGAGGACAACGAGTCGCGCTTCGACGGCGCTACCCCGGCTGGCGACGACCACATGCGCTTCCTGACAAAGTCAATGGCAGTGCCCATCCCTGCCCCGCCGCAGATGCACAACAAGGGTAATTACATCCTCAGTCTCAACCAGTTCACCAAGTGGTTGGGCGACCGCGCCGAGGAGGTCGGCGTCGAGGTCTACCCGGGCTTCAGCGCCAGCGAGGTGCTGTACAAACCCGATGGGAGCGTCCTGGGCGTCGCCACCAACGATCTGGGCATTGGCCGCAGTGGGAAGCCCAAGGACACGTTTGAGCGCGGCATGGAGTTCCATGCGCGCGTCACCATGTTCGGCGAGGGCTGCCACGGCAGCCTCAGCAAGCAGGTCATCAAGAAGTTCGACCTGCGCAGCGAATCGCAGCCACAGACGTACGGCCTGGGCGTCAAGGAGGTGTGGGAGGTGCAGCCAGAGAAGTTCAAGAAGGGCGACATCACCCACTCGCTGGGGTACCCGTTGCCTTACGACACGTACGGTGGCGGCTGGATGTATCACTTTGGCGATAACCTGGTGTCTGTCGGGCTGGTCACGGCGCTGGACTACCCCAACCCGTGGATGAGCCCGTATCAGGAGTTCCAGAAGATGAAGAAGCATCCATTATATGCCTCAGTGCTCGAAGGCGGCAAGTGCATCTCGTACGGCGCCCGCGCGCTGATCGAGGGCGGCTTCCAGTCTATCCCGAAGGTCGCCTTCCCCGGCGGTGCGCTCATCGGCGACTCGGCCGGCTTCGTCAACGTGCCCAAGATTAAGGGCACGCACAACGCCATGAAGTCGGGCATGCTGGCTGCAGAGGCTGCCTGGAACGCGCTGAGCACCAACACCGACGACGGTTCCGTCTTCCTGTACGACTACGAGAGCAGTCTGCGCGAGAGCTATATCTGGAAGGAACTCAAGGAGGTGCGAAACCTGCGGCCGTCCTTCCACTCGCCACTGGGCATGTATGGTGGCATCATGTGGTCCGGGCTCGACACCTTCCTGCTCAAGGGCCGCGTTCCCTGGACATTCAAGCACAAGACCATGGATCACGCCGCTACGAAGCCCGCCGACAAGTGCACCAAGATCGAGTACGAGAAGCCCGACGGCAAGCTGACATTTGACATCCTCACCAGCGTCAGCCGCACGGGGACGAACCACGAGGAGGACCAGCCGGTGCACCTGCAGGTCAAGGACTGGGAGAAACACACCGCCGAGACGTGGCCGGCGTTCCAGGGCCTTGAGAACAGATTCTGCCCCGCTGGCGTGTATGAGTATGTGGAGGACTCGTCTAAGCCTGAGGGTGTGAGATTCCAGATCAACGCGCAGAAGTGAGTGATATCCCTGCTTCCCTACGACATCGAACTTTTCCTGGGTTTGCCGCTCTCCGCATCCTTCATCCTGCTATGACGTTGACGCAGTATCAAACTGACGCTGACGATACTTCGTTCCACGCAGCTGCATCCACTGCAAGACATGTGACATCAAGGCTCCGAACCAGGATATCAATTGGCAGGTCCCACAAGGTGGCGAGGGCCCCAAGTACTATATGACATAGACGGGAAGGAAAATGAGATGATGTTTGTTGTCCACCGCCATTGTACATGAGATTAGATGTTTAGGGCAGAGCGCGCAGTCTCCCAAAGAGGCATTTCGATGTGATTGTTACAGGTGGACACTTTTCTCGGTATATACTTTGCAGTTCATACAGAGCCAAATTCGGAGTCGGAGACAAAGCAATTGCCGTTAAGCCCATAATCCCAAATTGCCTGCCAACCGTCTTTTTTTCCGGTGGCCTATTTTTTTGCCTGCCTTTCACCATCTGCCGTGCCAAGCGCATTCCGTAGAGGAGGGAGGCAGGCAAGATTCTGAGACCAGACGAGGTGGAGGGATGAACTCTCTGCCCTCGGCGCTCGCGCAGCGGTGGACTGAGTCGCGCGCACGGAGATACCGTTGGAAGGTGAAAATCGAATTTTCGCAAAACAGTAAAAAGAAGGTCAAGAAAGAGAAGAGAAAAGTGTCCCAGACCTACGAACTGGGGGAAAAAATAAGCAAAAATCGAAACGTGACCTGCTTGCATATCGCACGGCAGCGGCTGTCCGCTGGGCAGGAATGGATGATTAGCCTCACGGCACTTCGATATGGGGAAAACAGAGAACGGCAGGCAGATAGACACGAAGCAAGGAAAGAACGCGCAGCCTTCCGGACATGGCCGAAGCTTGAGCCAGGCCGGCCGACTGCGTCGAGGTGCCACGGGTGGCGGTGGCCAGCGTCCAAATACCCACCGCCCACTGCCCAGAAGTAGGCCCGGCGGAACCGCACTCGCCGTCAAAAAGTCCATCCGTGAGCCCCAGCGCGTGCCGTGTCATGTCAGGCCCCGAGCGCGCCTGGCGCCGGAACGAGAAGGCTGGCTGACTGACTAGCCAGGCTGGCTATGTAGACCACAAGGCAGGATGATGGACCAGGGGACAGACGCAAGGCTGCTGGCCGACAAAAGCCCAGGAAGCCAGCCTCGCGAGGAGTGGAGCCAGGCATGCGGTGAGCGGGACCACACAGGTCAGCCACGCAGATGACCTGGGCACCGCAAGAAGGAAGGCAAGGTCCACATGCGCACGGGCGAGGAGGAGGCCCGATGCAGCCACCCAGCCTCGCGATGGACAGACGAAAGCGTGATACGTCAATGGCCTTGTGCAAACTAGCGAGGCTCGGCGTGTCCATCACTCAAGGAACAATTGGGCCAGAGGGAGCCAGAATCAAAAAGCGGCTCAACAAGCTCAACAATGAAGCGGGCACAGACAATATCATCAAGTCACTTGACTATCCAAGCGCCTTGACACGGACGAACAATGTTCCCAGTAGCGCAGAGCACGCCACAGACCTGGAATGTTGGCAGGCACAGCGCCGAACGAGAGCGAGCGCGAGGCTCTGCGGTCGAGCCTTGGGGCCAAGAAGGGGAAGGACACCAAGGAGCTACTCAAGAGACTTAGACGGTCCAAGAGCTGCAGGCTTGGAGGTGGTGGGCTGCTGGTCGTGTATCAGCCTCGCGGAGGAGGCGTTTGATGGGCAGCAGTGAACGCGCGGCCGTGTCAGCGGGACAGCCACCACTTTCCGTCGTCCCATCTTCTGTCACGACACACTCACACACATATAACGTGCAAACGGCAATAATGCCGTGGACAGACGCAGGAGGTAGGCAAGCATGGCAGGCAGGCAGGCAGGGCAGGCCAGACCCAACTCCGGCCGGCCCGTCTATGCATAACATCAGAGCAGCACCCACGATGTGGCCACTCTGGCCCGATCGCTTTGCCCGCCCACAGTGAGCAGCACCCTCTCGTACCGACCTCCTACCGACCTCCCGCTTGGCCGACCTGGACGAGGCCCACCGTCGCCACCTGGGATAAATCCCCAAGGGGCCTTCCCGTCGGCCGGCCGATTCAATGACCGCCCCTCGGAACGGATCCTGACTGGGTCGGATTGGGTGGTGATGTCCGAGGCTACCGGCAAAGGAGGACCCTTTTTTTTTCTTTCCTTCATGGAGAAGCCTTGGTGATGAGGCTCAACTGACTCGCCCCGCCCACACGCAACCTGGCCGGATCAAGACTCAGTTCTTGTTTGCTGCAGCAGGGCGCAGGATGCAGGATGCATGGTGCAGCAAGCATCCAGACTAGGTTTTGATTGCTCTCTGGGGCTGTTCGGCCCCTGATGTTGCTTTAGAGCAGCCCAAATCGGTGTTATCCGTCCAGCCCGGCCTGCAACTCATCTCTTTTCGTAACTTCGCTCCCTGTCACGAACAGAGCGCGAAACCTGCGCGCGGGTTCGGATGTGGGGCATTGTGTAGCGTAGCAGCCACGGACCAGCCACGCGGCTCTTTGACCTCGGATGCGCTGTTACTGGACAAGTCGCATTTGTTGAGGGAAGACAGAGGGATAAGAAAAGGGGGTGAGGGTGACAAGCATTTCCCTTTTTCAACATGTCAGACTGGTGCTGTAGGTAGGACTGGCAATAGATCTGATTGATTGCATGCGCCGCCAAGCAACGAGACACAAGACCGCTTTTGATGGTCAGCGACGCCTTCTCATTGGTTCGAGCGAGGGAATGGGCGTGATGCGAGGAGGCCGGAGAGGACAATCGGAAATTGGTCCCTCTGCAGGCCCCGTGAAGAAGCAGAGGAATCAGATGCAGGCGATAAGGGTTGGACAGGGATGCACGAGGGTGAGACGGGACCGGCGCAAGGAGCTTCTCTTGGTAGTTTTGGAGTTGCATTTCAGCGCAGCCTTTTTTCCCTCCGCACTACTGGGGTGACCAGGGGCGTGCAGGACCGATCTCCTCACTTCCCAGCATCATCATGATCATTCATCCCGAGGTCCTGTCACGGACGCTCCACTTTCAAGATGGAGTGTGCTCCGTGCTGTGAGCTGTGCCGCACAAAACCTGGATATCGCAGCCAAGAGGAGGACCAAGACAGGTGACAGACACCAGAATAGGCGATGCAACAACTACGATTTTGGTCTCTTTTTTTCTTTCTTCTCATCTGTTCGTATCCGATGCGCAAGGCAACAGAAGCATCGCATTGTTGCTTATTAGGTGCCGGGGATGGGAGCGGGATGCTGCATCACACGAAAGTAAACGATTGCGTGACGGAGGCCGGTTGCAACAAGCAACCCAGGAATGACTCATTTCCCAGAGGGATGGACAAGGCTGGCCGGCGCTGATGCTGGTTGGCCAGGTTGGCCGGGTTGAGCTCGTGAGAAGAAGAAAAAGGGGGCACGGTCCATCCACGGACGGCCGCTGTCGCAATGGGGCGGGGAGGGTACACAAGGCGCGAAGAGGAAAAAAATTCCTGGCTGGCCGGCCGGCTGGCTGGCTGGGCGCGTACCGGTACATGTCAGACTGGGCCACCCACACGCTTGCGCATACGACGCTCCCTCGCTCCATAGGCCCAAAGCCTGGGCCGGTGAAGCCACTAACTCGGAAACAAGCTGTTAAATCTGGGGCTCTGTGCCCCCTCCCTGCTTTCCCAGCTGGGCCCAAGGGCCAACAGGTGCAGGCGCTGTAAAATCAAGGAGCGGCGTCGGTGCCTCGGGGAGGCGAAGGGATGGCGGATGGCAGACGCGTTCCAAGTTTGGCTAGCAGGATCAACTCACCTCTCGCTCACACACCCCTCGTGATGCTGGCGGGACGTCATGATGAGACTGTCTTGTCGGCGTCCTCTTTTGTTCTCGTAGGCCCGGCGTACATAGTAGTGATGATGGGGAGGTTGCAGCACCGTCCAGCGTGCCAGTGCAGTGCACGAATGTCGTTAGTCTGGAAGCGAGGTTTGGTAGTCGAGCCGGTGATTGAAATTGGGTTGCGAGAGATAAGTCAACGCGACGGTGGAAGGTTGCAGGGAAGAAAGAGATGAGCAGGCCACCAGCGAGAGGAGGCCCAGAATAAGATTGGGATTGCCGGGCGGCTGATGCCTCAGGCCGCAAAACTCTGGCTGCTGTCTCCCAGTCAAATTGGGCAACGGACCCCGAAGCGGCGCTGATCAGCAAATCACAACCAGGACAAGGGAGCCAGAAGCTTATCTCCGGGGGTACCAGCTGACGGGGGGGTTCTGCATGAACGAAGCCGATAGCGTCGCATGGATGCGAGAGGCTAGAGAGCCTGGAGCCTAGAGCCTGGGAGCCTGGGGCCTGAAGCCTGGAGCCTGCATTCGATATAGGTAGTATTTGTCGCCATCACAGCCTTGCTAAATCAAAGTCAATGCTGTTGCAATACAGTCTCTCATATTGCTGCTGCGATGGATTATTATCGTGGTGTTGAGCGGATGTGACAGGTAGGCGTGCTCGGGGATTTCATTCCCATGATTCGGTCGCGGAGGTTGGCGTGAAAGGGCCGATTCGTGGCGAAGGGAGAGGACCGGGAATGGAGCCTGCATCTGTTCTGAGGCAGAGCCCGCCCATCGCATTGGCAAACATCACACAACAGGCCTGTTGACATTCAGGCAGCACTGAGCCTTGTTGATCGTTTCTCATGGGTGAGTGCAAGAGAAGTTTGATCGTTCGAGAGTCCGTCTGGGCGTCGCGGAGGCAGAAGAGGCTGGCTTCGTCTCATGTGCTCGCTCGTTCGCTTCTCGCTCATCGTTCTCTCGCTCATCGTTTCGCTCGCTTCGGTGGCAGTCGCAATCGGGCTCGAACTTTTGACACCAGGTGGCTGTGGTTGGTCTTGGCTTTCTGTTGTCTTCGCTTCGATGCTCTTCTTTCTGTTTCCTTTCGTTTGCATCTGGGTCATGCTGTCTCATGCATGCTGCTGTTGATGCTGATGCTGGAATGGCATCTGTCGCTGTTCAGTCATGCAGGATCCGAGGGGCGGGCGATGCATCGTGGTTCCCGCCCAAATGGTTTGAGACGAGTGGATTTTAGATCAGGAGAAGGGATGTTGGGTGATGTCTGGGTTGGTCAGTGTGGTGTGAGAGAGTGTGTGCGGGCGAGTGTGAAGGAGGCATGAAATTTAGGGGGGTGAGAAGGGTGCCATTGTTTCAGAGTTGTGATGGGTTCTGCAGGCCAATGAATGCATCGAATGCAGCGAATGGAGGCAAGTGACTGACTGGCTGCAGTGGGGGAAGGACTGGACGAGGGATGACGACTGGTAGGGAATGCGGTGGGAAAGCACAGCAGAGCAGAGCACTGATGACGAGCGCTACTGCTTAGACTGACTGGCTAGACTCGAGTTGAGTGGCAGGAAGTGGCAGGAAGGAGTGGTTGGTTGGGTAGTTGGTTGGTTATTGGTCGCTGCTCGATGCTTGTTGCTGGGGCCGCTCAGCCAGACAGGCACGAGCAGCACCAGCAGAACCAGCAGAACGGGCTGGAAGGAGGTAGGGAAAGTACCGGTACATGGGAAGAAGGAGTGGGGCGGGATGCAAGTTCTACGCACGCCCAGGGATGATGCCAATGGAATTCATGCCCATCAGGAAGGGCCCCACTTATACCAATCCGGGTGCGGCCTCTCATTGGGTGCAGCCTCTCGCCAGGGTGGCACTACTGACAGCCGAAAAACTGTGAAATCCGGGTGCCACAGCTGCAATTCCTGCTGATTCCTGCCTGAGGTTGCCACTGCTGCTTCTATAAAGAGGCCAGCACCCCCCAACACCGCCCGTTTGCCCTTCTTTTGGAGCGGAAGTCCCGACCGGCCCTACGTATCCCTACATTAACGTTTGGCCTTGAACCAACTTTTTTCTCACTCCACACCACACACACCACCCACGCACGCTATTTACCTGCCATCGCCGAGAACCTCAACTTGGTTGCTCCTTCAATCAACCTCGGCGACAAATACCAACAACTGCGATTCATCACTCCAGTGATCCATCGCCATCAATCCTTTCTTTCTTTTCCCTTGGTCGCGCCTCTGTGTGTGTGTGTGCGCACCGCCCCTGTTCTCTTTTTTCCTAATCCGTCCTTGGCCATAAAGGACATCCTCCTCCAGGTTGACCTTTGTTGCCCTGACGACCTATTAAGGCCCGATCTTCCTTCTTCTCTCGAGACCACCCCGAGTCAAGGCCCAGACCTGCTGCACAGGCACAGTGCTCTGCACTTGAAGAAGAGAAGAGAAAAAAAAAGAAAGAGACAAGAGAATAGAAAATCCTCATTACCGTACCTGAAAACCAGTCCAAGCCAAGTCGCGCGCAGCGATTCGAGTCGTCGGTATTACGTCACACACACACCGCAAACCTGCACCGTCGCGTCGCGTCGCATCGCATCGCATAGCATCTTCGTCGCCGTCAAGTCTAGTCATCTCCTCGATACACTCGACCGACGAAGCTTCCAAGCGCCTTGCACCGCATCGCACCGCCTCGCACCGCAGAAGCAGTTTCGTGGACAGTACCGACTTCGAAGAACTCGCCTGCCACCGTGCATCTCGTGTTGTGTCGTCGTTGTCGTTGTCGTGAGCAGTCGCTGTAGGGGAGACATTCACTTGTTCTTCTCCCGCAATTGGTACGTCACTGCGTCTTCCCTGAGGACCGTCGTGAAACGCCTCTTCCTGGGGGAATGATGAGCTGCTGGCAACGGCAGTGTCCCCCAGTCACCCACCCCCAAAAGAGCCTGTCTGCCCTGTCACTACCGCCGACCCCGCTTGCCATCGTAGAAAAGGACAGGAGGCGATTTTCCATTTGCCTCTTGCCCGTACTGGCCTCCCATACGTCGCACGCCACCTCGAGAACTTCACTAGACGCATCATTATTTACTGTCAACAACTGTACTAATTATGATTCCAAATATAGATCTGCTCGATTCTTCTGTCCTGGAACCTGCTACGTTGACAACATCAACAAACGCAATCATGGAGGCTATTCAGACCCATCCTGGCAATGCCAACCAGGCCAAGAACTTCATGTCTCCTGGCTCGCTGTCTTTCCCCACTGGCCACAACGAGTTGACGCCTCCTGGCGATGCTGGTCTCAAGGCCCCCCAGAATGGCGCGCCCGCTGGCTCCCCCCTTGCCAATGGTAATGGTGTTGCGCCTGCGACTCCTGCTGCCACCCCTGGTGCGCAGCAGACTGGCAGTGGCTTGACCCCAACTCTTCAGTAAGCTTGTCCCTGAGACCAGTCTGTGTGCGTGGTCTTCATGATGCTTATGCTGCATTCCTAAAGGAACATCGTGGCAACTGTCAATCTGGATTGCCGTCTGGACTTGAAGACTATTGCTCTTCACGCCCGCAATGCGGAGTACAGTGAGTATATCCGGAGTCTTTATACTCCACAGGATTACTCACCTTGAAACTAGATCCCAAGCGTTTCGCCGCCGTCATCATGCGTATTCGTGAGCCCAAGACGACGGCTCTGATCTTTGCCAGCGGAAAGATGGTTGTTACTGGTGCCAAGTCTGAGGATGACTCCAAGCTTGCCAGCCGCAAGTATGCCCGGATCATCCAGAAGCTAGGTAAGGCACTATCCTCGAGTACATGTAGAGACTGGAAATGATGAGTAGCTAACATTCTTGCTACAGGCTTCAACGCCAAGTTCACGGACTTCAAGATCCAGAACATCGTCGGCTCCTGCGACATCAAGTTCCCCATCCGCCTCGAGGGTCTGGCTTCTCGCCACCACAACTTCAGCTCCTACGAGCCTGAGTTGTTCCCTGGTCTTATCTACCGCATGGTCAAGCCCAAGATCGTGCTCCTGATCTTTGTCAGCGGCAAGATTGTTCTCACCGGTGCCAAGGTCCGAGACGAGATCTACCACGCCTTTGAGCTGATCTACCCCGTCTTGCAAGATTTCCGCAAGGTCTAAAACACATCCTACCTACCGCCTATCCACCTGTAAGATTACGCGCATTCATGATTTCACGACGCATACCCCAGACAGGCACCCAGATTGCTGCGTATTCCGTTCCCGAGGCAGCACGACATCCGACCTGTTTGTTGTACCACACTTTTTCAGTTCTGCTTTTTTTTGCTACAGCATTGCATCGGCGTTACGACAAGGAAGGTTACAGTCGGTACGGACTACACCACGAGGACTGCGAAGGAAAAAAACAAAACAAAATTGGCCCACCTATTCCCCCCTTTATTACACTTCGAAGACGATAGATCGCACCTCAATCGAGGTGCGCGCGCGCGGAGAAGAGAATCAGCGCGCAAAACGCGGAAGTAACATAATTTTGATGCGGTCCTGGAAAGGTCGCAGCGGAGTTGCTCATGGTGTTATTGAGCAGGTAGTCGGGGGGATTTGAAGAGCGTACACCAGTCGTCACCCATCGGTATTCGGTAAAAGGTTACCCGATGACAAGCTCTCACATCTGCGTGTGTGGATTAAGGAAAGAAACTGGTTTTTGACACAGCGATGCGGCATTTGAGAGGAAGAGGCCGCAGATTGAGCGCGCCGTACCGCTGGCTAGACCCATTTGATGGGACTCTCCAAGTACATGAGTTGGCATTTCATTCAACATCTGTCCGCTCAGGGCTCTCGACAGTATGCTAGGTGGACCTACAGACTGGACTTTGGTGTCTGGTCGGCGGCCGGTGCTCTTCGTTGAGTATCTTAACTTACTTCCCCGCTTTGGTCTCCTAGATACTTGGTTAGCCGATGATAGATAGCCACCATGGTCAATGCCATAAAGTTGCACTCTCAAAATCTTTTCTCGTGATCGTACCTTGCCCGTCCCTCTACGTTTGTACATCACAACCGTGACATCTTCTTTTCTCCGTTCTTATTCATCTCTTCCCGTAGAATCAACCCAGGCACCCCGCCACGGCTCCCGTCCTCCGTGACGACCTTGTCCCAGGCCGCCGCCCTCTCAGAGCCGTCCTTGCGGAACGACCACTTTCCGCGAAACGCCTCGGGGCACCGCCCGAACATGGTGGCGGCGATGCGGTCCCCGATGACGGGCAGGAACTTGAACCCGTGGCCGCTGCCGCCCGTCGCGAGGAACAACGACCTGTAGTCCGGGTGGTAGTCGATGATGAAGTCGCCGTCGGCCGTGTCGGTGTACCAGCACAGCTTGGTGGCCTTGAACGGCCGGTCGTGCAGCTCCGGGAGGGGCACCATCTCGCGCACGGCGGCGCGCAGGGCCGCCTCGTCCGCGGGCGGTATGGACTGCGTCGGCGGATCGGTAAGGTGCGTCGTTGGCGCCGAGAAGGTGGTGTTCCCCACCGCGGCCCCGGCGGTGGTGGTGGTCGGGTTCAGGTAACCGTAGGCGTGGCGCGCGACCTTCAGGGTCTTGTTGGCCGGCGTGATGATGAAGTACCCCGACGATAGGTTCAGCAGCGTCGGCACGTTGGCCAGCTTTGCTTGCTCCTCGTCTGTGAGGTCCATGTACGCCAGCACCTGGCCCGTCGCCACCGCCCGCCCGCTCAGGTTGATCAGCCCGCCCGTCCAGGCGCCCGTTGCAAGCACCGTGAGGTCCGCGAGGAGCTCCTTGCCGTTGCTGCCCGCCAGCTTCACGCCCCGAACCTGCGGCGTGCGCCTGTTGTACGTGCTGCACACCAGCGAGGCGGCCGTGCCGTTGACGAAGGCCACGCGCCCCGTGGCCCGCACCTGCGCATACAGCCAGTCCATGCACGCCTCTGCGTCGGCCCAGCCGGACCGCCTGTTGATGTAACCCCATTCCCCGCTGCCGCCGCCCGTGCCGTAGGCGCCGCGGATGGCGGATGGTGAGGGCAGCTCCTCGATCTTGGCCGAGAGGGCCGGGTCGTGCGCGGCCAGGGCGCGGACATTGTCCCACGAGGAGCGGGCGTAGTCGATGCCCGACGCCTTTTTTGTCGTGTTGTTGGTGGTGATAATCAGCCCCGTCTCGTTGTAGCGGCCGTCGGCGCCGGGCCCGTCAGGCTGCCGCCATATCTCCTGTGCCTCGGCGGCGAGGGCTGCGTAGGCCGGGTCGGCGTAGTCCGCCCGGATGATGCGGGATGTGTCGATGGAGGAGGCGTCGCGGCTGGGAAAGACGCCCGGCTGCGGGGAGCGGTCGAGGACGGTGATGGTCGTGGATCTGGGCAGTGCTTGGCTGCGGGCCAGGGAGAGGGCGGTGCTCAGCCCGAAGACGCCTGCACCCAGGATGAGGATGCTGGAGGGCGGTGGGCCATTCTCGTTCAGGGACGAGGGTGGCTTTGCGGTGGTGCTGAAGGGGGAGGGCGAAGGCCTGCGGGAGGAGAGGTGGTCAGAGGGAGAGTGAGCGCGGAGGTGGAAGTGGAAATGAAAACAGGAGTAAGAGGGCAGAGGAGTGGAAGTCGGTGAAGGGAATTGGAAATGGAGGAAGAAGAAGGGGTTGAATAGAGATGGTCGGGGGCTGACATTATCTCGGCTGTAAGGGGGAAAGTAAGACTCAATTGGCTCGGGGTCGGGGCACGTAGGTGGGGGAGATGCAACTCAATGAATGTCAGCCAGAGCCAGCCCAGACCAAGGCGTGTTCCGTGCTGCTGAGGCTTGGATCTGGCGCTGGACCTGCACTGTCGTGTTGCTTGCTCGCCCGCTCGTGCTATTCACGTCCGTTATGCCAGGCTCGGTGGCGTGAGTGGCACACGGCGGTCAGGATTCTGGTTGGGGGGCCTGGCTGATGACCGGTCGACCTGTTTCAGTATGGCCCAGCGAGTTCCTAGATTGTGCTGTCTCGGTGATGGAATGTGAACGGTCTCAGGGCGGTTCTGGCCGCAAGTCGTCGGTGAAACAGACGAGGAGCTTGCCGGTCTGTTGCAATTTGTCCCAATGCCTCGAGACCGCGAGAGAAGGGACGGAGAGAGCTTTGTGTCTGCACAATTTATGTAGCGTGCAAATTCCATGCCGGAGTCGGAGCCGGAGGAGGACGCCATGCCCAGCTTCTTTCGACTCAGACTTGTTATCGCCCTCACTCAATCGTGCTCGCCCGGACTTCCCTGCTCAGTTGCGCAGCTGCATTGCTCCACGATGAGGCCACTGTCCCCGCCCACACCCACGGCCACGCCCACTCAGCCTGTCATGGTCTGATGATTTCACTGCGCGGTAGATGGACCCGGCGAAGCGGGAAGTATGAGCCGTCAAATTCCACGACACAGCATCAAACCTCTCGAGGCTGACTCCGAGGTGTCATCCATCCAACGAGAGCCGCCCGTCACTTTTCGCACCTGAGTCATTCATCGTTGTATTCAATGCTTGCCATTGACCGAGCTCCCTCTGAGCCGTCATCAAAAAGCTGCCGTGGTCAGCCAGTCGTGACGCCAGAGTTGGTTTCCTCGCCCCAAGCTGTTGTATGGAAGCCAGCACTGTAGCTGGCCAACATGGCTCGTGATTAGACACAGGACATGTCCGTCCCTGAGCAGGGCTGACATGACAGTCAGTGACATGTCCCGAGTGACTGTTCGATGGCGGCGCCCAAGATTATAATAATTGTCAAGCAAGCTCAGCTTTCTTGTCCCATGGCTGCCATTTGTATGCTTCCAATGTCGGGCATTCCTTGAAGAGGAATAGATTAGATTGCGCAAGACCTCAGTCACCGAAGATGAGGTTGTTCCTGCATTGGGCAATTGCCAGCTCGAATCGCCCAGTGCCTCTGTAAGCCCTCCAGAAGCTCCATCTCTTGGCTAAAACCTGAAGACCGCAGGTCTCATAGCTGGTCTCTCGACCTTTACTAGAAAGGAACACGTCCTCGCGCAAAGAGACACCCGTGGTGGTGTCCAAGGGGAACATCGGCTGCGCGGTGCTAAAGAGGATGCCGTCCCACGGACTGGAGCATGGCATTCTTTTCGATCATATCCATACGACTAATAGCTTGAGGTCCATTCGGCGTAGAAGACCAAGTCTCTATCCAGAAACATGGAGTGAGTCAAAGGTAGGTGCCGGTGATAGGGTGGTGGACAGTTGAAGAGCTCAACATCGATAGCTCCGCCCTCCATCTAATATGGCCCTGGTTAGTAAGGCAACCCTTCAGGGACCATCGGCACAAGCAGGGGTCAGCTCCGACCCCCCGTCCCACCTGAACGTGCATTGCATCGCCTGGCCTCGCCCTGCTCAACCATCCGTGTTTCTCTCTACCATCTACCGTGAAACTTCTCGAGATGCACAGCTTGCCAACAGGCCACTGGGGCTGGTGAACTCATACTCACACTCATTCACTCTCAAATAGAGCAGACTGAACGCCTCAGTGACAACATGATAGTAACCGTCTGCCATGTCCGCCCCTAATAAGATCGCCGAGTTCCCCGACGTCGAGGCCAAGCTCCAGAAGCCTACGAAGCAGTCCGCCTTCGAGCGTCAGAAGGCCGAAGCCGAGGCCAAGCGATTGCGAGAAGCTGCCGAGACAGCCGCCGTATACGAGGACTTTATCAAGAGCTTCGACGCCGACGCCGACGATGACGAGCGCAACCACTCCGACCGAGGTTCAGGCGGCTTTGGACGCCCGCCGCAGCCCAGGGGTGGCGGCTTTGGAGGAGGGGCAGGTGGAGGACGCAGGCACTTTGGTGCACCGGCTGCGCCTGGGGCCATGAAAGCCAGCGGGCCAGGATCCCTCGGCCCTGCACCGCCGCCCATCAGCTTTGGGAAGAAGAGGACCTACGACGGATTTCAGACCAACAACGACAGGAGAAGGGACCACTCAGCGACCGGTTCGGGGCGGCTTGGTGCCGGCTTCGACGACAACGAGCTCGGCCAGAAACCAATTTCGAAGGCTTTTGATGCAAGCGACGATGAGGAGGAGCACACGGGCCTGGATCGGTCAGAGGAGAAGGCTGTGGCACGCCCAACACTACGACTTGCGAACCTACCCCCTGCGACGTCTCCTGCCGTGATAAGGGCCTTGATACCGACGAACCTGGTGGTCGAGGGCGTTAAAATACTCTCTCATTCGGCTCCTGGTGTCACCGGCACAGATCGCAAGTCGATCGCCGCCATTGTGACCCTTTCGCAAGAGACAGCGGCATCTGAGATCGATGCCGCCGTCAGTGCCCTTCAGAACCGCTATCTTGGCTTTGGCTACTATCTCTCCTTGCACCGGCATCTTTCATCCGCTGCTATCGCCGCGGGATCGATGACAAATGTGATCGTCTCGACAGTGTCACATCCATTCGGTGCAAAGCCGGTGGCTCAACCTGGACCTGCAAGTGGGCCAGACACGCGGGGCCGCTTTGCGCCTCCATCTTCATATAATCAGATGGGAGCTGTCAATCGTGGCGTCTTGTTGCATGTTCCTGTGCAACCACCAAGCGACATCAAGCAGCTACGCATGATCCACAAGGTAGTGGAGTCGGTGCTCGAGCACGGGCCAGAATTCGAGGCATTGTTAATGTCACGGCCTGATGTACAGAAAGAAGAGAAATGGGCCTGGATCTGGGACGCCAGATCACAAGGTGGAATATGGTATCGCTGGCGCTTGTGGGAGATCCTCACGGGAGGTGGGCAGTCGAGAAGAGAAAGGGGCAAATATCTCCCTCTCTTCGACGGGGGTTCTGCCTGGAAGGTGCCCGACAAACAACTAGCTTACGAATACACGACGGGTGTGGACGGATTTGTATCCGAGTCTGAATACGACTCGGAGTTTGACGACGAAGACGAGGACGAGCCCAAGATCATTACAGAAGGGACCAAGGAGCCAGATGAAGTATTCCTCAACCCGATCGAAAAGGCCAAGCTCGTTCACCTGCTGTCACGGCTACCGACGACACTCAGCAAGATACGCAAAGGCGACATCGCAAGGATAACCGCGTTCGCGATAATGCACTCGAATCGAGGTGCCGATGAGATAGTCGACCTGATCGTGACGAACCTCGAGAAGCCCTTATCATTCAGCTCCGCCAACCCAGACCACCTCAACGATGCGGGCCCGGACCAACCAGGCGACCACTCGCGAGACACATCACCAACACCCAAGGACCCAGACCCTGCATCCCGTGACACGTCGGGCGCCAAGCTCGTGGGCCTCTACGTCATCAGCGACATCCTGTCGTCGTCGTCGACAAGCGGCGTCCGCCACGCCTGGCGGTACCGGCAGCTGTTGGAGGCGGCGCTCAAGGCGCGGCGCTCGTTCGAGGGGCTGGGCCAGCTGCCCGAGCGGCTCAGCTGGGGCCGGCTGCGCGCCGAGAAGTGGCGGCGCAGCATCGGGCTGGTCCTCAGCCTGTGGGACGGGTGGTGCGTGTTCCCCAACGACTCGCAGGAGCTTTTTGTCCGGAGCTTCGAGAACCCGCCCAGCCTGCGCAAGGATGATGACGACGATGAGGAGCTCAAGGCCGAGGCGAAGAGGGCTGCTGCTGGTGGGAGCCGCTGGAAGACCGTGGATGCCGCCGCGGCGGAAGTATCTGCGGCTGAGGATGGTCTGCCGCCCGATGGGGCTGACTCGGATGGGAGCTATGATGAGTACACGGACGACGAGGAGGCTGATAATGAGCTGCTCGCGCGGTACCACATCGACGGTGAGCCACTGCTTGACATTGATATTGTCGGCCTGGCCCTCGATGGCGAGGATGACATTCAGATGGGAGAAGACAGCGGTGGTGGGTTCGCGCCAAATGTCAAAAAAGAAGAGGGAACCCCTGATACCGAGACGAAAGCCGGCGGCCTTTCCAAGATGGCGTCTTCTTCGTCGCTAGGTCCTGGAGGCAAGCGCAAGCGGGTCACTGCTGCGGACATGTTTGCGGATTCTGACTCTGATGGTGGGAACTAGCTGACTGGCGATGCCCTTTCATAATGAATCACAATATCTCACTCAACTGCCTAGATATACATGGATTTGATTTCGAAGTGACAACTGGTTCGCTTAAAAGAATTGCCTATACAGGCTGCCCAGATGTTTCTCTGAGATCGGTCGAGTTGCGTGGCTTTAAACACATACTACTCACTACCTACCGATCTTCCCATCCCAGCAAACTCACTGCTTTTTGGACTTATCACCCCAGCCCAGCCATGCCCGCAACGTATGCGCATAAAGCACGCCCTGCACGGAGAGAACGAACCCCAGCATCCCCACGACCGCCCGCGCCCCCACGGGGTGCACCCACCCGACGTGGCCGCCGACCCAGGCGCTGGTCCCAAACAGCGCCAAGTCGTACAGTCCATGATAGAGGACCGACGGCGCGATGGCACTGACAACGCCGCGCCACCCGGGCGCCGCCGAATCGTCCACATCCGCATCCGCATCCGCATCCGCGCCGCGCGCCGCGGACAACACCGCCATCGCGACGTGGCCGGGCAAACCGATGAAGACTCGCTCCAGCAGCGTGACGGCCATGGACGGGCCGGTACCCGCCGCCGCGGCTGGTGCAGCGGCCTGGACGTACGCCGCCAGCTCGACGAGGGCGAAGCCCAGCGACGCGGCGGTGGCTGCGCTGACGGCGGCGCTCTTGCCCAGCTTCTTCTTCTGCTGCTGCCTCTGCTGCCTCCTCTGCAGCCAGGCAACAGGGAGGTACTTGAGCAGCTCCTCGGGCAGCGCCGCGGAGAAGATGCTGAAGAGGACTAGGAAGGCGGCGTAGCGGGGGCTGCGGGCCATGGCGGCGCGGGCGGACAGCTGCTCGGGCGTGAGGGTGGAGACGTCGGTGCGGATGAACTCTGTCATGTAGTCCCCCGCGGAGGTCGGGCCGAGGAGGGCGAGCAGGAAGAGGTAGCCTGACACGGACTGGGCTGCCATCACTGCTGCTAGGCCGAGGGTGCCTGATAGGGCGGAGATTGTGGCTAGGGCCCTCAGGGAGGGGTCCCGGGACGGGCCATCTTGTGCTCCTTTTGATGGAGGCGGTCGTGAGGATGATGATGAGGTTACTGGCGACTTGTCGCTATCTGAAGGGAGGAGGCTGAGGGTGAGGAAGCGGGGGGTGAGGATGTGTGAGAGGGGCGAGTGCAGGCCTAGGAAGGAGGTGAGCATCTTGGTAGCCTGGGTATCATATCATGATAGCTTGACGAGCTTTCATGGAAGCAGCGAGTTGATCTATCAAAGGTGGGTGGTTTGGTTCACTTATATCATCTAGTTAGTTAAACGAGGCGTGTTGTACATACACTAGTCTCGCAATTCACCACCGAAGGATGCGGTTAATATCTTGGGCGGGAGAATGCGGAGCCGAGCTGACTCGTCTGTCGTACTGATGCCTTCTTTTTCTCCTTATGATTGAGACTGAACCATTCTGACATATCGCCGCTTCGATGAGTTTGGTTTGTGATATGCGGCTGACCGTGGGTTATATGCCTCCCAGGTGGTTCTCAGACTTCTGATCACACTCCAGGTTGATACTGTGTAAGTGCTGGGTCTTGGCTGCATATGAATTGAGCTAGGACGTAGTTGAAAGCTCGTGGGTAGACACAGGCAGGCCATAAGCAGGCTGGTAACAAAAGACGGCTCTGACGGATCAAGTGGATGCAGCTTACGGGGGCGGCTTGTAGCTGGTCTGCCTGGTCAAACGTTGGAGAAGTCTTGGGGTAGACCAACAAGGTGCGCCCAGAAGCTTACCATTGCCATAGATAGCACAGAAGAGGACGCATGTGGCCTAGAAGGTTGGCCGCAGGAAGGGTTACAAGGTTTACCGTGTGCCCGGTTCTTGGAGCTGGAGCTCGTGATATGTGACAGGCTCTCGAGACTTCCTCACACCTGGACCGCCACAACTGCCAGACTGCCAGATTGATTGATTGCCTATGCAGATGCAACGTGGTGGAGGACTGGCGGTTTTAAGAAGTCCCAATGCAGGGCTATGATGAGCCATGCGGCCAATGAATGATAATGAAGAGGAAGGGATCGTCATGCATGTCGCCTTGAAGATACTCAGGCCCCAGAAGGAGAAGGTGAAGGGGAGAGTGTGGGTGGGGTTTGGGTTTGGGGTACAAAGATACATGTGAAAGATGCTGCAGACCGTCTACCTGCCGTAATCCGTAGTCGTCCCGACCCCACCCTCCCGTTTTTAAGGGTCCGCGACCCCTCTGGCCATTCCCTTGCCTTGGACCGACCCGAGCAGCGGTTGATTTCAAACCTGCTGCTGTGCTGGGCTGGACACCGTCGATTGTCGTCCGTCGACCGTACTCGGTAGACCAGTCTACGCTGTAGTCAAGTCAGTCAGTGACTACTGTCGCATCCCGCATTCCGTACAGCTCGCCGAATCCGTCCACCACGACACCCTCACCGGCATTTGTCTTGGGCCTGCGTCTGGTCTGCATCACTGACTTCATCTCGATTCCTCATTCATGCCAGCTCTTCTCACCATTAGCTCAGTCGAGTCGAGTCGCATCGCATCTCATCGCATCGCAACCCCGGCATTGAACCCGCCAGAAGAAACACCCCAAATCCGAAACTCGAAACACCTCAGATCTCAGGAGTAGGCCGACGCGGACCGATCTCGCATCGCATTATTCCACCGTACCGCACCGCTCTTCAGCCCGACGCCGACTTGGTTTTTCCCACTTCTCAATCTGCAGACAGGTCTTCACAGGCCCCGCTGCCCCGGCTGAAAATCATAACAAACCTTTGAGAACCCCCTGCTGCCAGTCGTCTGCATCCTCGCGTCCTGTCGCATCGAATCGCATCGCATCCGGTTCAATCCGGTTCCTTCCATTGTCTCCCCGCCTCTGCCGTCTTTGCTTCTTCTACCTGGACCGAGCCCAGCAAGGCTCGGAGCGCCGACGACATGGCCATCTGGGTCGGGAAACAGAAAATGTCATGGTGAGCAGCACCCCTTTCTGCTTCTTGTCTTCCCTCTCCTCTCATCTCTTGTGCGGCCTTGGGCTTTGAGGCTCGGCAAACTGCCTTTCATCCCGGGTGTAAATGTGCTCAGAAGTGGACCATTGAAATGAAGCCCTGTCTTGACTGCGGACGGTGGTGACACCGTGCATCGTCTTCATGATCCACTTCTGTCTCACTCGCTTTCCTTTTCATCTTGGCCTGCTCATGGTCTCTTCCGCTGCTGGCCCGCCCGGGTAGCTGCAGCGAGCAATGTTGTTGTCGCGCCGCGGGTCTTTGCTGCTGTCTCTCGACTGTGCATGTGATACCATGCTGCTGAAGACTCACACTCTCTGTTGCGCTCACCCAGACTGACCTGAGTAACAGCCGGTCTTGTATCAAGGGCCACCGCTCCTCAACATGCAATCACCTCGGCGGGCCTCTATGGGCAGTACGTCCGGCCGGCAGGCCCAACAAGGCATGCGTCCACGGGCCAGGCGACCTCTGCCTCTGCGCGCACTACTTTCCTCTCACCTGGCTCAAGGCCGCCATCCCGCGCAACAAGAAGTGCTCTTGCCAGGGACAAGGGAGCAGCGGCAAGAAGTGCATGTGTGGTCACGGCAATGGAGCAGCGGCATCAACGCCCGACGAAGAGACACAGCCCATCTTCTTCCAGGATCTGGTGGCCCGAGGCCTGCAAGTGACGACCGAGCCAGTTGACATCGACGTGCCTACACAACAACCTTCCGCGTCCTGTTGCTCAGGCCCAACGCCGGCGCCGGCGCCAATACCAAAACCAGCGCAGTCTTCTTGCTGTTCTCAGCCTGCCTCAACTGCGCCGGCGCCTCCTATTTCAGCGCCAGCGCCGTCATCCTGCTGTTCTCAACCAGTAAAATCCGAAGCTTCAACCCCCGCACCATTCACAAATGGGAACGGGCACATGAAGACCGAATCATTCTCCTCGACTCCTTTCGCGACACCCGCGCCCGTACCGGCGCCGCAGTTTCAACCAACGCCCGACTTTAAGGTTTTGGCATTGAACGCAGCCCAGGCAGCCAACGCGAATCACGGCGATCATATGTGCGAGTGCGGGCCCACCTGTAATTGTGTGCTCTGCATCGACCATCCCTACAATACTGCCACGATGAACCACATCGCCTCGGAATTTGGGCACATGATGACTACGAATGACTCGACTATATCACCGACCATTGGCCACAACGGCGGCGCGTCTACTGCATTCAACCAAGGATGGCCGCCGAGCAACGGCGCCATGGCCAACAGCATGATGGCACCAGCGCAAACCTTCAATGACGCAGTGATGCCACACCAGTCACCACCGCAGCAACCTAACGACATCTTCCTAAATCCAGCCGACTTCCAGATGTTCAACTTTGCGTTCCCGCTCGATAACATCAACCAGTACGACCCGCAGCCCGACTTCAGCTTCGGCGCGATGGCGCCCGACATGGACATGAGTGGGTTGTGCGGCGGGATGCCGGAGGGATGTCCTTGCGGTGATGACTGCGCGTGTATCGGATGCCAGGTCCATGGCAAGCCCACAAACGGATTGTCACCGACGAATTGGAGTTAGTCATGGGACTATCAAGCTAGGGCGAGGGCCAGCCCCCCTTGTTATGCACCGAGAACCATGGAGGAGCTATGGAGGAGCTGGTACCTGACCGAAGGAAGTGAATGGAGCGGATGGCAAACTGTCGAGGACTTTTGCAAAAAGTTGTACATATTCTTGATACCCTGGGTAAATACGGGCACGGAGGAGGGGGTCAGCGATCTGAGGAAGCATACAGCATGGAGTCCCCTCGAATTCTGATTTTTGTTGCGCGGTTACAATGCATATTTGCTTGAACTTGGAGGCGTGCCAGAGAATGAACCGAAATTTTCGAGGTAGCATGATGCGCATATTCAGTGGCAATACTATCAAAAGCTTACATTGGGAGTCAACCAGCGAAGCATATGACCAAAATCCGCCCAATACTTGCTCTATACAGGACGGTGAGCTCTGATAAGATAAGACCGACTGATCAACGGGTAACTCCCTGAAGCGGGCCACACTAAGGCCCCAACCCGCCGCCTGGAGATCAGCGCCATAAACCCTGCCAGCCCGCCAAGCCGCCAGTGGGTTCCTGTGCGATCGATGATCTTCAGCAGGGGAGTTGAGCTCTATCAATCGATAAAGCAAAGCTAGCAGTGTTTCTCTCCAATTCCACTTGGCAGCCCTTTGGTCTCTCGTCCCAAACACCCGCCTCGAAACATTCGTCAAACGACCACGGTTTTGCCAAACGTCCTTCGAATTCCTGCCTGCAGCACGCCATTCCATGCCACTTGTTGTACACTACGGTTCTAGCCGGGTCATCTGAATGCAAACAGTGATACAGGGCTAGCCCACTCATACGCGACGACGCTGTTTGACGTGGCCCGCCGAGGCCAAGCAGGCTACGGAAGATGCCCCGCGACCGCAGAGACGAGCTCGGCGAAGCCTCAAGAGCTGGCCACGGTGGTGCGAGAGAAGGGAGCTACGGCCAGCATGAATATGACAGTCACGATGCACGGAGGACGGTTGGGTCGAGATCGAGATCGCCCAGGAGACGGCCTGCTGCAGAAGACTTCTACCGAGAAAGGTCGCCAGAACGCCATGCAAGCCACCACGACCGACACAGGCGGCACCGACACCGCTCCCGAGACGTAGCCAGCGAGTCCCCCGTCCCGGGCGAGGACCGAAAGAGGCACGACCGTCGCCATGACCACCACCGTCACCACCACCGAAGCAAGCACACAGCCACCGCCGACCTACCGTCCAACGCGCGCCCTCTGTCGTACAAGCACGACCTCGACGCCTTCACGCCCCTGTTCGCTTACTACCTGGACGTGCAGAAGAATTTGGACTTCTACGAGCTCGACTCACAGCAGGCGCGCGGGCGGTGGAAGAGCTTTGTGAACAAATGGAACCGTGGCGAGCTCGCGGAGGGGTGGTACGATCCGGAGATGTTCGAGCGCATCACGCGGGATGCCCCTCCTGCTCCTGCGAGGACAGCTAGTGCGCGGCAAGACGATGCGCCCAGAGGCCGCGGCGAAAGTGAGCAGGGAGAGCGGGAAGGATCTGCACCCTCGCACAGTCCGCGTGCTGCCCTGCCCAATGACCATGGGCGACGAGATCTGAACAACGACGACTCCGACTCTGACTACGGGCCCCCGCCGCCCCCAGGTCAGTCCGACCCAACTGCAGGCGGCGACCGCAAAGGTCCCGGCATTCCCACCCTGTCCGACCTAGACCTGCAGCGCGAGGCCGCGGCCGAGGAGCGGGAGGAGCAGCGGAACGACCTTCGGCAGGCGCGCAAGGTGGACCGCGCGCAGCAGAAGGAGCGGCTGGACGACCTTGTGCCGCGCGCGGAGCCCGGGACGCGCGAGCGGATGCTGGAGAAGAAGGCGCTGGTCAACGACAAGATGAAAGGGTTCCGCGAGGGCGGGGACGCGATGGAGGAGGTGGGCGACGGGGACCTGATGGGTGGCGGGGACTCGATCGCTGAGCTCAAGCGGGCCAAGGCGGCGATGCAGCGCAAGAAGACGGAGCGGGAGCTGCGGCGCGAGGCGGAGGCGAGGGCGCGCGAGGAGGAGAGGCTTGAGAGGTTGAGGGAGTGGAAGGAACGGGAGGAGGAGAAGCTGAGGGGGCTGAAGGAGTTGGCTAGGGCGAGGTTCGGGTAGGATAGGCAGGGAGAGATTTGGGGGTGAGCTGGCATATGGCTTTGATTCATTTTCGAGGTCGCTGCTGGTGAAGGCTCTCGGGTTTATTCAGGCAGCCGCCATGGTTACCGTGAGGATGGAATATTTTACGTCTTTAGCGTCGGTGTTGGTAAAGCATAGCATGGTATCGGAAATTGGCATACATTACATCATAGGCCTTAGTGTCGAAAACAATCGACATCTTCAATATTCAGCTTTTGGGCACTACTGTTGTGTTGGCGAGAACTTCATCTTCGGCTCATAAGACGGATGTAGTGAATTGGTCACATGACGGCAAGTCGGTCTATCTTGGCAATTTTTTATATCGGCCATCTCAACTTCACCACACCTTAGGACCTCTATGTCCAGGTTATTTTCACCTTATTTCTTATATGATAGATCAAACATAGAGTCTTTGTTCATTGATACCCCTTTCGAGCCTCTCAATCTTTTGGATATATATCTCACGAACGGCACTAACCAGCCTGGACAAAGTTTTCAGTCAAGAATCTCACAATCGCCTTTCACTCACAACTGCACCACAAAAAACAGCCAGCACATATTAATATGGCCTCTTCAGACCACCAAGAAAGCGATGAAGAGTCCGGCCCAGGAGGCAACCTCTTCGCCGAGCCAGAGGACTACTACCCGCCCTCGCCCAAACCAACCAAGCAGACCTTCACCACCCGCGACGGCGACGTCGTCGACCTGCACCTGGTCGGCTACTCGCCCACCGAGGCGCACCACCTGTGGAACGGCTCCCGCGTCGCGGCGCAGTACTTCGAGGCCGACCCGGCGGGGACCGTCCGCGACAGGACGGTGCTGGAGCTGGGCGCGGGCGCCGGGCTCCCCTCGCTGGTGGCCGCGGCGCTGGGCGCGCGCCGCGTCGTCATGACCGACTTCCCGGACGCGGACATCATCGCGACGATGGAGAAGAACATCGACGTCTGCAGCATCATCCCCGCCGCGGGCGGCGTCGCGGTGGACAAGGACGGCAAGGCGCTGACCAAGGCGGACGTCATCGTGGCCAAGGGCTTCGTCTGGGGCTTCGACCCGCTGCCGCTGCTGGCGGAGCTGCCGGCCTCGCATCCGAAGTTTGACGTGCTCGTCCTCGCGGACCTGCTGTTCCGCCACTCGGAGCACGGCAAGCTGCTCGACACGATCCGCGACACGATGGCGCGGGACGCGGGCGCCAGGGCGTATGTGTTCTTCACCAGCTACCGGCCGTGGCTCGCGCACAAGGACATGGCGTTCTTCGACCTCGCGCGCGAGCGCGGCTTCGTCGTGGACAAGGTGCTGGAGCGCAAGATGGAGCGCCCGCTGTTCGAGGATGACCCTGGGGACGAGGAGGTGCGCAAGACTTGTACGGGGTGGGTTGTGCGGTGGCCTCGCGAGGGGGAGGGCAACGGGGAGGCCGAGACCGTAGCGTGATGCGGCGGCCTGTGGTGGACTTGGAACTTGGGAGATGAGAGGCCTTGCTCAGGAAGACGGACTGGCGGCTACCATGATCGACAAAAGGAAGAGAGAGAGTGCTCCTTCCAACTTTCGACAGATTGCGCTCCCTTCTGCGTATCACATATTTCGCCACCGGAACAAGCGTCTCATGAGGACTGCCATTGGAAAGCGCCCGCAGACTGAGGGAATACCAGCCCGGGCTCCACATAAACTACTTATGACTACGAGGTGACTTTAAAATGGTGATAGACCTAGATGGGTCCTTCAAGGACTCTTCCAAGCAGCAGGTCCAGGGCCAAGGCCCTGGCGATGGGTAGCAGCGAGCTGGGAGACACGCCACCCGGGAGTCATCGCTGCCCGTCCCCTCTGCCGCTTTCCCATGGGGAAGGGGTCGGTCCGACGCGAATGGGCGTCCTGAATACTCGTGCTGCACACGGAATGGAGGCGGCATTGTGACATTGGGGAAGGTATGGGGTGTAGGCCTTCATACCTCTGGCCGGTGACCGAGTGATCGCTCGATCATCATGTTGGATGAACGCCTTCTAGGCCGTATCGCCAACCAGAGACTGGAACGTGAGTGATAGTTGGGAGGTGGAAGCTACGCAGTGCATACTGGTGGAAAAGCGAAACACAGGAGGTTATCCCGCTGGAGGTTGTCCCAGAGGGGATTGTCCTACTCGATGGAAGGTTGTACAGGTATCCAGGTCTTTCAATGGTACCTCCCATTTGGGAGAGGTGCATGCTCTTATTCTTTGTGCCGTCCGGACATGATACGTATATGCATAGCGAGTGCGAGACCCCTCCTACATCATTACACATTATTTAAAGGCCTGCCCATGTCCACGCCATCAGATCCATGCTCATATACGTATGACGGTGCTTCGTGTCTGCGTGAAAGATCGTTGCTCGTCAAAACATCGCCGCTTGGCGCCCATCGTCGCAGCTCCTCCAAATGTGGGCTGGAAAATCGTTCGCCGGTAGCGAGCGATACAGAAGGGTGCGCTCCTTATTAGGCCCCAGATTGCTCTCTGGATTTATACAGTCCACGTACCGGGGCTCCGAAGCCTTTCCTTCCCACGGTGGTCTCCCTGATAGATTCTTCCAGCATCTCGAAGTGATTGTTCGCTGCTCGTCTCGAGCCCACTCAAGGCTTTGGCCCGTTGGGCAGCCCCAGACCAGCGTCATATTTCACCGTCTCATGGTACAAGCTTCCAGGCCTGCTGGAATACTCTGGCGGGTGGCTCTGGTGATTGGCAGGGCGGAAACCATCCGTCACGATGAAGGCGTTCGCGTTGAATGACGAGCTCGTCGAGGTGGACCATCTCCTTGGGGCCTCACTGGAAGAGCCGGGGAGTGGGGCAGGCGGAAGTGAACCCCCCGAAATGATGGAGTCAGTGTCAGGAAGTGATATACCCGAGCGAATGGAGTCAGCATCGCTGTCGCTGGCCAAGGTCGTGACATCCCATGAGGAACAGCCACTGCCTGGCGCAGAGGTCAGGGAGTGAGTCCGTGACCTTGAGCTGGTGCTGCTGTCGCTGGGTGTGCTGTTATCTTGGAGGGACACTTGTACCCATTCAGATCGCAGGTGAGATGCTCGGCTGTGGTATGATGGTGCGGCGGAGCGAATAGACCCTGGCGATGAAGACCTCGTCTGGCCGTAAAGGCTTCTACTTGATAGTGAGGCAGGTCGACTAGGTGCGTCGCGAATCGACCCTGGACGTCTATCTGTGGCGGGTTGGTCTTCGACGTCCTCGGTGTCGTGACCGAGCTTTTCTCTATCTATAGCGGCGGATGCTTCGTGTTGTTGAAGGTACAAGACTGACAGTAGGATGGAGAAGGTGTAAGAGAAACTATTTGAATGTCAGCCGTCAGAAGTCCCAGAAATTTTCTCTGTGGGCTCTTCATACATTGCAAGTGCGGAAAGGCCGTAAACAGTCCGGGGAAAGGTGCAAAGCTGGTCGAGCTCGCCCGAAACCTCCTGGGCCATGGATCCGAATCGGATAGTCGTGAAGCCATCAGCTGGTTGACGAACAAGATCGTTTCCATCATCTACGAGAATTGTCAGCTACGTACTGAACAGAGTAGGCAGAGGATCATGATGCCAGGCAAGACGGAGGGACTTACAGTTGTCTCGGGTGAGACCGTGGCAGTCTGCTGGGACGCCAGAGTAGCTCAAGATAGTGATCTTTGCTAGGTTAATACCCATGATGGTCAGGTCTGTGGGCACAGACATAACGGCAAAGACACGCCATGATCGAAGACCGAGAGTCTTGAAGACATGGACACAGCACACGACTATTGTAGAGTACACGAGTGACACGAGGCCCTGTAGGGTTGTGAGAAGGTCGAGTAAGTATGGATATCATAAAGAGAGCGGGTATTGACCAAGAGGCATGAGCATACCAGGATCTGAACCCCTTTCATACGGTCATTCTCGCCCAGCCGATTCTTCTGGATGTGATCATACAGCAGACTGAAGGAGGCATAGACGAAGAAAGACGAGGACCACTGCCATATGCGGATGGCAGTGAGGCAAAACCCCACGGCGTTGAACCTTCTGGGCGGCGGCAATGGCTTCTCATCCATGGTAGGTTATCCACGACTCAATTGCGTAGACCTTTGGTTGCTAGTTCGTGTACTGTGGGCCCCGGGAAGCAGGCAGAGGGCCAAGATGGGAAGGCCAGGCGGGACGGACGACGGGCCGGATGCAGCGGAGGTCTGGTCTTCCAGCGACCCTGGGTGAGGGAATTGAGAGAGATGGCCCGTCTGCCGGTCAGCAGATACAAACACCACAGGCGACGTGCATCGAAGACGCTATGCAATGCTATGTGATGCTATGCTGTGCAGGCAACGATGTCTTTGCAGTGGGATAAGGCACCACTGATGACTGACTGACTGACGAACGAAACCCAGATGTCGAGCAGGCGTATGGTAGTCGAAGAATCGAGAGGCAAAAGACCAAGCTGGCCTGATGAACCACAAGCGTGGAAGAATCGTTAAGTTCCAGCTCAGCCTCAGTCGGTTCAATTGATCAGTCCTGTTCCGTCGAGTTCGAGGTCACGTAATTGCCCTCTACCCCTCCAAGCATTGCTCGCTCGTGTCAGAAAACGTTGCTGCCTGTGCCGTTCAAGCCATGGGTCTCAACGGAGCCAATCACGACATGCAATCACCGTCTAAGCCACCGTCCTAGGAAATCCGGTGACAGGGGAGCCCCCCTGCCACTAAAGCCCTAACCCTCCACACGCAAGCCCGACCTCCCCTCCCCCAAAACACAAACAGACTTGGTCTCCTCTTTCCAGTCAATTTGCACTTGATTCGATCATCTGCTCCAAGGCTGTGCTGTGCCACTTCAACACTTCAACCCCCACTAAGGATTACAACCTTATTTGCTCTGTCCTTCCAGCTTCTGCAGCTAGTCCTTCCGTGGCTGCCGGTGACGCGGCTTCTTGTCTGACCATCCCACCAAAGTACTTACTTGCTCGAGGTTTTTGTGGCCGGTGTGCTGTGATGCCGTCGTCACCTGTTGACGCGAGCGGTGGTCTCGTCAAACCACGAACCCGCCATCCTGTCCGCCGTGGTACTCGTCGGGCGTGGTTATAAGTAAGATCTGATGCTCTATCGGTAAACCAGGGTCGGGTCCCTCGCTCTATCCGCTCTCTGATGTTATGGTTCTCTCGTGGAAACCGAGAGAGCCCATCAAAAGGCGGATGCATCTGCATCTGGAATCTGCTGGTTTGAGGGCGGGCTTTTACATGGAACTACGTCTCACCAGCGGATGCAGACACAGGCAGGAACCGGCCGCTTCTTGCATTTTCTTCTTCCGCGAATCTGGCCGCGGATTGCCAGATGTGCTTCAGACCAAGACCACTGCATTCTTGCACCGCCAGCCTGTCTCTATTTTGAGCCTGGGGGCTGGCGTTTGGCTTGCTGGGTCCATCAACCAGCCAAGACCACTCGTGCCCCATCAAGTTGCTTGACCGACCCGCACCTGGCACCACAACAACAACCCTCGCAGTCGAGAACCAGGTCTCCAGCCCAGAATATGTCATCACGAGCAAAAGCTAGCACACCACAAGCTCACGGCGTCGAGCCACAATGCTAGCCTCAAACCTCAAGATCCGGACAACCCCCAAATCATCACTGGCGCACTGACTTGGTCTTGTCCAACCACGGCGTGGGGCCACCCGCTACACCTGCATCGTACGGCCCCCGAACGCGGCTCTGAACCCGAGAGGCACTCTCTGGCGCCGAAGTCTCGGTCTGCAGCTGCACTAGGGCCTCAAGGGACAGCGCACTGGGGATGACACTACAGACTCAAAGTTGTGGTCGATTGTTGCAAAGGCTGGGCCCCCGTCCTACCAGGGATGCTTTTTACATCCTCCACCCGTCTGCAGACAAGCCTTAGTTGGGTGGCTGCTTGCTGCATCTGGTGCTTGCCCGGCCCCAGTCCTTTTGTGGTCAGAAGGAGCACAGCAGCACACAGCCCCGGGATCGCCTCTTACCTACATATCAACTCACTCCAGCTCTTCCAGCTTGCTCTCACGTAACACCACATTTGCTAGACTTTACGAGGGTTGAATCCGTCAAAACCATCCCCTCGTCCCCGGCTAGCATGCTCTTACTCACCCTCTCTCCCTTTACCCACATTTCACCTCTGTCTCTCCCTTAATTGCTCTACGTCGCTCGGTGCCGTCTCTCTGTCCCTTAATTATTCTCCGTGCCTCGGTGTCGTCTCATAGCCCAGTTTATGTTCCTTGGCCTCGTATAAACTCTTCACGATGGGCTGGGGGCTCACGCGATGGATAGTCTCGGTGCGCGTGGTGCAGCTTTTGGGCTCCTTCATCCCTGGCGCACTGAATGGATGGCTGCTTTACTATGTCTTTTCAAAAAGTGTCGGGTTGACTGAGTCAATGATAATTTTGCAGATACTAGTATGTTGTTCCCACCTGTTGCTGATCACCACTCTTCGGCATCTCTTCCTCTACGCCTGAGAAACAATCCTCGGGCTCTTTCGTAGACTTCAGGCATTGTCCATGGCAGTTCATCTCTGACCAAGGTCATAGGTCACCATCCTTTTCTTTTACACAATACTGTCACTCCTGGTGATACACAGCCACGGCCGCGCCCAACGACCATCATGGATGACCGCCAGCGTTTGCTTTGACGTCATGTTCTGCTTTTTCGATGTGGCTATTATTTCTATACTTGCCTCAACAGGAGTCCCGTCCAACTGCAGTGGATTGACGAAATTGAATCCCTGTATGACTATCCATATCAGACTATATTCACGCACTTCTCGCTGACGACGACTCTGTTACTGCAGTGAACCAGCAAAATGACGATGATCTCTTGTCGGAGGGATTCGGTTTGGCTGGTTTCGGTGCTGACCACAAAAAGGGAGCGCTAGATCAATACTGCGGCATGGAGCGCGCCTTTTATTTTGTCGCCCTAGGTCTCCTGTGCGTTCACAGCATATTCAATGATGTCTAAATCTTCTGGTGCGAGTCACTAACACCAAGGCAGCCTAAGCTATATTATCGTCATCATCTTGTCGGTTCTTCGAGTCTGTGAATTGAGGATGGTTCCCAAGGATAAGGTCGACGACATGCTCCGAGAGCGCGAGGAGATGATTAATCTGGAGCACAAAATCCATGACCAAGAGGCTTCAGCGGCGACGCCAACGCACAGCATGACACCAACCACGCCTCAGGGCAATCATGAATTTGGAGCGACGGACACCCAGCCCTACTCCCACCACAGTTCAACGCGAGAAACAACGCGCGACGCAGCAGCCTCATCATCGACGAGGCCTGCACGCCCACAGCTGAGATACGCCGATTCAATACCAGGACCCTCATCATCATCTTCATATCGCACGCCTCGCCCCACCGAACCGGTCTCCCCACTCTCGCCAGTCTCTCCCATCTCCACGGCAGCATTGCCGCACGACCAAGGCTTCATACTATCCGCGACAGACGTGAGCGCCAACCTGGCCATGGTCGCGGACGGCTCGCGGTACAGCCCGAACGCCGACCACAACCAGCTGCCGCCGTACTCACCCGGTAACAGGGGGGCAATGCGCGGGCACGGCACTGAGAGCAACGATATCCGGCTCAGCGAGTATGTCAAGGGGGCGACTGCGGCGCAGGACATGAAGGACTCGCATGGCTTCTGAGGAGCGCTTTGATCGATGATGGATGAGAATGGAGGGATAGATTCGACCAAGGTTACGAAATCATCATTCCTCGTCGAAGAAGATACCAGATGATTTGACACAGCTGCGGACATGCGGCTCATGATACGCGTCGTAATACGAATTTACGTTTGAAGAAGCTGGATGGCTGACAACGTTGGATGGCAAAAGTGTTGTGTTAGAGATGAGAGGGACCCGTAGACAAGGGCTGAATGGAGTTTGGGGTAGTCTTGGGGATTTGATACAGGGAAGTGGCTTTAGGATCGTGGTAATATGCCTCGTCGAACGAGATTCAGATCATTTTGCATAGCTGCCGTTGCCCGTGCGTTGAAGCGCTTCGGGCAGGATTTCATTAGGCCATGAGATATTAGTCTTATATCCTTATATTAGTTCATAACTTCAACCGCTTCAGCGGCACTCAAGATCATAGCGATTGAATAATGGTGATCTGTCCAGGTGCTCAAGCATCTCTGTTTTAGAATCTCCTCTTCCCTGTTATTGGGTATTTAACCACATAACGGTAGCCTCTTTGCCTGTGTATACAATTGATAATTGCTCGTATCTAGCTTCTCTGCGCCACGACTAATAGACTTGAATGGCCTCAAGTTGAATCACAATATGTGTCTATTGATATCCTGTTGAATTCCATGCAAGCATGGTTCCCAAAGCTCCTGGTCGGCGAGGCATCGCAAGACAACATATACAAATACAGCGGAATTCACAGCCACTCATTTGCAACAAAATGCCAATAGAAAGTTTGTTTGACTTCTGTCCAGAGGTGATTCAAGCTGCGGTTCAAGTTGAGAAAGCGGCCACGTCCCAAACACGAAGGGCGAAGTACTTGCCGTCCCCTGAGCAGGTTATGCTCCCACTCACACCTCCCACCCCATTCGATGTCCTATAGTTCTACCAGTGAGATTCGGGGCCGCTTCCTAGTGCGTTCGGGACCGAAATGCCGGCAATTGGTGGTATCACAGCAGCAGATCATCAAGATCAACACACACAAGCTTATCCCGCGGACGAGTCGGTGAGCATAGCGCTGACCAGGCACATAATCCCGAGCGGGAATGCGGGTGAGATTACTGAGGTAAGAATTATTATCTCTCGCCTGCAGGATCAAGCCCGCATCAGCTCCGACCCCGGCGCCGCGGCCGCATAGCTCGGCGGGCGGTCCTCCAGGGCGCGGCCCCACGTCGCCGACTCGCTCGTCCCAAGACTCATCTCGATCGTCCAACCTTCAGTGAAGACCTCATGCCCGATCCAGCTCTTCGTCCACGGCTGGCCGTTGACGGTGACGTTCTGTATGTAGATGCTCTCGTACGCGGAATCCCACCCTTCTACAACTTTTACTGTGGCTGTCTTGCCCGTGAGCGGGTGCGCGATGCTCACGGAGCGGAAGAAGGGCGCCGAGAGAAGGTAAACGTCCTGTCCCGCAACGGGGAATAGTCCCAACATGCTGAAGAAGAGAAAGCTGCCCATGGCGCCCGAGTCGTCGTTGCCGGGCAGCCCCGCGGGCGTGGCCGTGAAAGATCCGGGTATATACCCGTGGATGCGCGCGGTGGACAGGCCCGGCCGGCCGGCGTAGTGGTACAGCCACACGGTCGAGAACACAGGCTCATTCGAGATGTCCGCCAGCGCGGAGCCGTGGAAGTAGCTCAGGCGCGCGACGAAGGCCTCGTCGCCGCCCATGAGCGAGATCAGCCCCGCCGTGTCGTGGGCGACCAGGAACTGGTACTGCCAGATGCTGGCCTCGAACGTCTCGGACGGGTTGGTCGTCAGCGAGCAGAAGCCCGCCAGCGTGGAGCAGGCGATGGGGTCCTGGTAGCCCCACGTGCCGTTGGCGTATTTTGGCTGGAAGAACCCCGTGAAGCCCGTGTCGTTGCCGTTGATCAGGGACGTCTGGTCCTCGCGCCAGAGGGCCTGCCAGTTGGTGCTCCGCGCGAGATACTTTTCATACAAATCCGACCTGCCCAGCCCTTGTACCAGCGTGGCGAGGTTGAAGTCGTTGTAAGAGTACTCGAGCGTGCGCGATATGCTCCGCGAGTTAGTGCCGAAGCCGGCCGGGTCGAAGTCCAGGTACGGGATGTAGCCCAGGCTCTTCCAGCTGGCGAGACCCCCGCGGCCATGCTTGGACCACTCGAGCGGCTCAACCTCGGCGTCCTTGGTGACCGCCTCCAGAGCAAGGCTCCAGTCGATAGTAGCGGAGAGGTTCTTGACGTACGCATCGGCCAGGACGACGTCGGCATTGGAGCCGCCCTGCGTCCAGCCGTTGCACAGCGACATATGGCAGTCGGGCAGCCAGCCCTCGTGGCGGTATATGTCGAGCAGCGAGTTGACCATCTGCGTCTGAGCGGCTGGGTCGATGATGGTGAGCAGCGGGTGCTGCACGCGGAAAGAGTCCCAGATACAGTAGTACGAGTCGAAGTATGGGATGCCGCTGTCCCAGTGCGGGTTCTCGCCCGTGTAGTTCTGCGGCGACATCATCGCCCGGTATATCCCGCTCCAGAAGCTGGTCTGGAGGTCCTCACTGGCGCCACCTGCATCTATGGATACTGGGCTTAGCTTTTGCCTCCACGCGCTCTGCGCGGTGCTGACGAGGGCATCAAAGTCTTCTGTTGGGTCTGGAATTTCAGACTCGGAAGTGCTGCAGGCCTGTTCTGAGCTGATGAAGCTGATTCCCATCCTGGCTGTGACTATATTGTCTGTTAGTCCTGAGAACCTAGCCCAACCTCCTGCCTCGAGGTAGAACAGATTGAAGCCCCTAGTCACAAACAAGTCCTTCGGCTCCGTCCCTGCCCGGTTGTTCACCCACACTCCATCCTCGTATATGTCAGCCCCGAAAAAGTCAACACAGAAGTGCATCACGTAGGAACCTGCCCCAAAGCTCGGCAGAAACGTCCCATTCCCAGTCATGCGGCCGGTATCCGGGTCGACACTGACGGAAGCATTTTGACGGCTCTGCCACAGGTCCGTCAAGTCCAAGAGAATCAACGAATGAGCTCCAGCCGAACCATTCCCTCCATCTCCAAGGGCACTAGAGAAATCGAATCGATACAGCGCGGTCCGCTCTGCAACTGTCATCTCAGCTTTAATGCCAGACTGAAGCTGCACACTGAAGTACCCAGGCTGAGCGACCACGCTGTCGTTGACATATGGCAGCTTCCTATCCCCGATGCGGAAACTGCAGCTATTCACATCGCCGTCGTCAGGGCATACTTGCGGGAAGAGCGGGAAGTTACCCAGGCTGGGGTTCCCGCCTGTCCCGGAGTCGTGGACTGAGCTGAAGCCCGTGACGTTGCTCCCGTCTGTAGCAAAGCCACCCGTGTTCTGGCCGTCGACATTGGCTACGGCCTTGGCGAGTCCATAGGGAAGGGAGGCGCCCGCGAAGACGTTGCCGCCGTTCGTGGAGCCTATGAGGGGGTCAACGAAGGCCAGCGGGTCGAAGGTGGTGTTTGTGTTGTTTTGTGCTAAAGCTTGGAGCGCGAACGTAGTGAGCGTGGTGATGAGTAGGCGAGCCATAGTCACGATATGGCAAGTAGGTGGCAAGCAGCTGACGGTGAAAGCAATAGGTCTAACGAGTGGCCGAATGTTGTGAATTCCTCGGGAGAATCGACACCCCTGAAAGTCCCAATTGGTGCATGAGGGGTCGAGGTCAAGGTTCTCGTATCAGTAGATGTCAGTCCACGAGCTTCATGGCATCCAAAATCTACAATGTGAGCAGGCAGTTGTAATTGAAATGTAGAATATCATACGTGCTGCCTGTATGGAGCTATTGAAACTTGAAGCTCGAACCAAATAGGATGAATGTTCGCAACCGCGAAATGAAGATCAGTGACGATGCTTTTCTCTAATCCAATGTCTCCGCAATCACACGGTTCCCTGCCTCATGGTTACGTCGACGAATAGCGATGCTCTCTACCCCGCGTGGGACCCCGGAAATGGCAGGTGTTTTGACTTTTCTAGATACGGGAGAAATAGATGAGTTGCAGATCTCGGACCGGGGTGCGCGTCTGATCATTTCGCACTTGTAGAGTCATTCAGGACGTATAGCAAGAGATAGACATCGCTGCCGCGGCACTGTTGATCTGCTTCAATGATCTCATCAATGTATTGAAACCACAATGTTTTTGCATACGTATACAGATCTGGACCCCTATTCGCCCCCGCTGTCTCAAAGTGCTTGACCCTAATGACTAGGCCATGTTGCTGACTGCGTCAGAACTGCCCACTTTCCAATGGCTTACCCATTGGTTGTCGGCTCTCCGGTTCTTCAATCCGAAGTAGAAAAAGTGCGCAGACGTGCTTATGTCCACATAAATGGCTGTGCAAGCAGTGGGCTGCATAAGATGAGAAGGAGCAATTACAGAAGCCATAGTCAAGCATCAAAGATTCTCCGAATCGAGGATAACCACATTATTCGAGGCTATGGCAGAGCTGCCTGTTGTTGGTCGTCAAGATCAGGTTGCACGTGCAAAGTAATACGCTAGTTATGGCTTACTCTAGCTGCTGGTATCTGCCTACGCAATATTTCACGAAGCCTGGACACTCCACCTCACCGGGTTTGACCTCAAACGGAAACCAGCCATCTGGTTCCTGGCTCTTTGTCTTGTAAGACATTGACTATGTCGCCCTCCACACCCTACAAATCAAGGCTGCTTGACTCCAAGGACTTTCGCGTTGTCCGTGTCGCTGCCGGCCGGTGGCATGACCCGATTCGGTGCACGCTGATCAACCGTAAGCTTGGTGAAGAGTCCAAGGGCCGCCCATACAAAGCGCTGTCATATGTTTGGGGCTCCTCTTCGGTGACAGACATAATCTTTCTCCAAGATCAGCCGATTCGAATCACATTGAATCTGTTCTGCGCTTTGCTATACCTTCGAAACGCCGAGGAGGATATTTTTCTATGGGTAGACGCATTGGTGGGCTTCGATCTGATCACCTTCATTTGTCAGCCTGTTAATTGAAATTTGCTTTGTTCAGTGCATCAATCAACAAGACAACGAGGAGCGAAGTCTGCAAGTCAGCATTATGCAGCTTATTTACAAGAATGCTGAACAGGTCATTGTGTTCATGGGTGATGGGCGTGGCCACAGGGTCAACCGCTCCTTGTTAAAAGAGCCACCGCCTTCGCCGACCATCACCTTGCACGGAGATAAAGAGGATAAAGCATTCTTGACTGATTTTATGAGTATATGTCGTTCCAGCGGCCCCAAGGAACTGAGCTCATCTCTCACGGCTGCCGCCTGCGCCATTGGCCTCATACGCCTATTCTCAGATCAAGATACTGTACAGCAAGCCTATTTTGAGCTATCGAGACTGGATGAAAGCGTCATGAGACATTTGTTTGAGTGCCTCAGAGCCTTCGTTGTCTGCCCGTGGTGGAGGAGGATCTGGGTCGTCCAGGAGATCACAGTGGGCACTGCTCCCATCATCCAGTATGGCACAATTACGGCACACTGGAAAGTCTTTGTTCTAGCTGCGAAGTTTTGGTCTTTGGCAGGTACCGGATACTTGAGAGGCATGGCAGCCATTGGGACAGAGAATGTGAAGGTCTTCACACGGTTCGCTAATCAATTATCCAGCCTGGAGCGAACCAGAAGCAAATGGCTTGCAGACGGTGGAGCCGATCTTGTTCGCATTCTTCAGGAATTTTCCGATCGGGAAGCCAGTGATGATCGTGATAAGGTCTACGGGCTTCTCAGTCTCGCGAAACAGGGTCCCCGGTCTATCAGGCCCGATTACAAACTCGACGTTTATGAGACCTACCGAGCCACAGCTCTATCCCTTATCCGTGATGGACAGTCTCTAGCCTGCTGGGCCGGCGACCAGAAACGCAAGTTTCATCGAGGGCTTCCCTCCTGGATTCCCGATTGGAGTGCCGCCCTCGATCCTGGAGACAAACGCCGTATGGACTTTATCGACAACTACAACGCAAACAGCGGATGGACTCTTCAATTCGTCGAGGACGAGTTAAGCTATTGGATCACGGTCGAAGAACAAATGAAGCAACTTATGGAGAGCTCAACTAGTCGCTCTGTACGGCTACCACAGTCATTAGGGCACTTCGTGATTCAGTACATGGCATTTCTCAAGCAACGGGACAGATCACTACCTTTCAAGGTCGATGCAGATGACTTACGTGAGTCAGGTGTGGACCGACTGGAATGGAACGAGCAGCACGGAATCGTTTCTCGCTCGAATCTGAACCACCTGAAATGGTGTCAACTGCGGGGGATTAGTCCTCGCTCCGGGATGAGCCTACTATCGAGATGGATAGATGACTTGGAGAACTGGTTCGAGGCAAAACCGCAGGATGATTCGGTAAAATATAAAGAAATTCACGTGGAAATTCGTCGGCATCTGCGAGATCTGGGTGTTGCAGTAGAGGACACAAACCTTGAAATGGCACGCAGGAAATCGGACGCCGAGCTTGCCCTCCTAGAGATTGAATCCATCATTTTGGTGAGTCACGGCCACTCAGAATGAGGACAAATGGGGGCTGTATATTGATAAATGCCTCTAAGCAAACGGAAATCAGTTTGGCCATTCAACGACTATTCGAACAATGCCAGCGGCTTCCATCCTTGTGCAGTAGGTTCTTGCCCCTAAATATCCCTCACTCTTATACTACAGCTGACGGCAGAAAAGCGGCCACCGAGAGTAAAATAGCCCCACGCATGCTCTTCAAAAAGTCCTACGTTCTACAAGGGTCAGCCTCGTGGTTGACTGGAATCACATACTATGGACTCCAGTTGCATATAAGCGAAGGCCTGTCCCAAGATTCATGGCGTATAATTCCGGCGCATTTAAGTCCAATGATACCGCAACACGCCCTGACAATGCAGACCACTCCTTTAGACTGCGTCGATGCTGTTGGATCACGACTACTAGGTTGGGCCGACACGAAGTCAGCGATGTCCACCTTGGCTTCCTGGCTTCATCTTCCGGACCCCAACGTCGTCTTTAGGTCTGATGATGATGAAGAAGAAATATGGCTGGACCCTGGGCGCGTACGGCCGTTCGCGAAGACCATTATAGGTGGCATCTCTTGCCTTGGTGTTCGATCCCGGAATGCGAATGAAGTCGACTTTGCCCCCCTGGAGAATTGGGTGCGGCAATCCCTGGCGGTCGAGGTAGGTTCCGGTGGAATCTGAACTTACTGGAAGCGTGTAAGCTGACGTATCGAAGGACTTTGCCGTGCCTCCGAGTCCCTTCTTCGAAGCTGTACAGGATGCCACAGATGGCCGCGTCTTCTTCTTGACCAGGGATGGTTCAATGGGCCTCGGGCCTGCGTCGATGCAGAATGGAGACACGATTCACATTCTTCCTAGTGGGCGCACGCATTTCGTCCTTCGAAAGAAAATCGCAGATATAGACTTCCCGAATTTGGATGACCCGAGGTGGATAAAGGATTTAAAGTACGCGCAATATGAACTCATTGGCGATTGTTACCTGCATACCGATGACAGGCTCGAAAACCAATTTTCGAGCGAGGAGGAACCGGTTGTCGAAGGATCTCTCCCCTTTGAGCTGCTTGGAACTAGCTACTTGAAGAGTATGTCACTGGAAAGGAAAACTATCATGTTGGTATGAAGTCTCTAGATGCCATAACGGAGACTAGTCCAACCTCACTCCTGCGTCCTGGCAGCCACGAAATCCACCAAGTCAAAGAAACTTTTCTTGAACCTGCGCTCCTGTGTCGTCCTATTGACAGTCTGGATCCCAAACTGCTGGTCATAGCTGCCAAACTCCCAGTTGTCCATGAAGCTCCACGCAAATGCCCCCGCAACATTGACCCCATCTTCCCATATGGCCTTCAGCACCTCGCTCATGTACGTCATATAATAAGTGCTGCGGACGGAGTCGAAGAGCTGGTCTGAGAGATCATCCTTGGTAGACTCTCCAAACTCGGGGAAGCCAAACTCAGTGAGCACAACGGGATAGCGGAAGGTGTTCCAGAGCCAGTTCAGGTAGGTCCGGAGGTACTTGGGCGTGATATACACGTAGGACTGGGAGCGGTAGCCGATGTTCCAGCCTGTCGTGGTCAGTGTTGACTGGTTGACGCAGAGGGGGTACAGAGGGTCCGAGGTGTTGCCTGCACATGTTTCTATGCCATAGCTGGGTGGAGAAACGACTGTCGCAGTGTACGGGTCGATTCCGACAAAATCGGCTGTGCCGTTGATGTACTCCAAGTCGTCCTCTGTGAGAGGCACGTAGTCTGGGAATGTCATCTTGAAGGCTTCAGGATAGTCCTTGCCAAGGAAGATCGGGTTACCATATGTCGAGATCTGCAAGTCGTTGAAGTGGTAGGCGGCATCCACGTCCTCCTGATTTAGGGGATCGCGAGGCACGCCGAAGTTGTTGTTGAACTTGAGCGCTATTTGACCAGTGCCGTTGAGGTCATCGCGGTAGAAATGAGCAAGGCGCGCATGTGACTTGATCACGGTGTCGAAGCTCTTGCCGTTGGTGCTGGACAGAAATGGCTCATTGTACGTGTACCAAACCGGAACCCGGTCGGCGAAGTGCGTCATGACCACTTTGCCGTAGTGAACGAATGCATCCTCGAATGTTGTGTTGTCGTAGCCCCCGGGAAATCCGCCCAGAGAGCCAGAGATATCAGATGGATTCTCATAGAAGTTGAGCGGCGTATCGAAGTGAATCAGTGTTACCAGGGGTTGCATGCCCTTTTCTATCACAAAATTAATCAGGTCATCATAGTGGTCGAGACCTTGCTTGTTGACGGGAGAGCCTTCGAGGACAAATGGCATGATTCGACCCCAGGGGATTGAGAAGGAGTAGTACTGCACTCCTATTGAGGCCAGACGCTCGATATCTTGTTTGTAGAGATAGTAATTCTCGTTGGTCACATAATCCGGCGTAGATGGTGAGATAAGCTCCATGACTGTCGGTGCTCGGCCTTCATCGGCGATGGCGCCCTCTATCTGTGCAGCAGAGCCTGCGACACCAAACATGAAGCCCACGGGGAGATAGTAACAGTCCTGAGGTGTGAAGTATTCCGGAGGCGGGAAGATCAACTCGCTCGTCGGCACCGGGGTCGGCGAGACTGTGCTTGAGTAGATTCCTCTCGTGGTGAAATTAGCTAGCGAGACTCGCTCCCACAGAGCAGACCATGCCGCCTGGCCGTAAGGATCCGTGGTATCTGTCGGGGAGGCAGTGGCATCTGGGTACCAATTGCCCCATGTTGTCGTAGACAGATTGGGCAACAGATAGCTGAGAGATTCGTAGGGCGGAGCATATGTGGCGGTGATTGCCGACGGAGTTATCGAGGTAGCTGTCCTGACGGTCTCTGTCTGAGTGAAAGAAAAGGAAGAGAACGCGTATGTTGGGCTTGCCGTCGCGTAGAGTGCAGATGCCGGGGTTGAGCTACATTGAGGGCGAGGAATACTGCCGTTGGTGGGGACATAGACCTGTTGCGCCAGCGATCCACCCACTACGCCTAGAAGGAGGAGGGTCGACATAGCTGTGACGACTATGGAGGTAGAAGTCAGATTCTTCTGCCCAAGTGTTGAATACAGGAGGAGATGCGAGTCTTTCAGGCTTGCCTGAAAAGCTGTTTCTTTGTATTTATACCCCAGGATGCCGCCTAATTGTAGGTACATACTTGCACAGGTTATTACCTAGATCATGCTTCCGATCATGAGCTTCATAGTGCCACCTCGGTGACTCGACGACTTCAGGCCCACTTAGGACGTCTTCGTCCAGGGATGTCAAGAATACCGAGCAGTCTTACAAGCTCAACCGTGCATACCCCCGCGTATTTGACGGCTGTTCCTCGGGCAATCTGGGTGAAATGGGCCCTTTTTCAGACTAGGCATTTTTGCATGGAATGGCCCCGGTACTTGTAGTGGTTACTTATGCGGTCATATCGCGGAGCATGTTGTGGAGAAGAAGCCGGGTTCGAGGGGATAGACTTGGCACTTGGTGAACATTGGATGAACACCACTTCGGTATACTTTCAATGTTGTAGCGAGTGCAACTTACGCTGTGCCTACCACCCGCAGTCGCATTTCTGGCTAGGAGGGGTGGCCCCAGGCATAAGCGAGACAATATATGAATATTCGAGCTTCTGTCACACATCACAATTGAGTCGGAGTGCAGGTGTCAGCGCACGCGTGGGGCAGAATCGCTTCCCCAGATCCCCACAATCACTCCACGAAACTCATCAAGCAATATGCGGGGCGGTCATGTGGCCACAAAGGGTTTAAGATCCACAGTTTGGATGGTCCGAAATTGCGTCCGTCCTCGCAGCTCCGGCAGGAACGGGACCGGAAAGGTGGAGGCGGGGTGATCAGTCTGCTGAGCAACGTACGAGATACCTCTATAGTGTGAGGAGCTTCCATTGAAATCAACCAAAGTTCTCCGTCCCGCCTCAAGGCTATTTGATTTGCACTGGTCTACACCGAGAGGTATAATTCTCGATCCAGTTCTTGGCCATAGTTACACAAGCGAAGTCGATTAAATCAAGAATTTACAAGCAATGAATGTAGAATGCCACGGACGCAGCAACTTCAGTAACAAATAAGAAAACGCACTGTCGAAATGCAAGGCACTTACATTTTCGAAATGGATTCGTGTTTTAACAGTCATAATATGATTATTATCTGAAAAGTATTGGTATGTAATAAAGTCAAAGTAATACCAATAATAATGCAGTTCTAATAGTTCATTACTTTGTATTATTATGAGAACTATGAATGGAATAGAGATTTGGTCCCGTAAAAACTGATGAAATTGGTACAAAAGCCCCCCATCTACAGTTGAGTTCTACGGGCCTTGGGGGTTAGGGTGTCATTCTCACAGCTTCCGCCACTTTTGCGAATTTTACTGCGGTGCCTGTATTACGCCCTATTCTCACGCGTGTGGCCGCTGACTGTCTAACTCAGAACCTACTTATCCTCAATTTTGGTTCTGCCAACTCCAATTGCTTGGAGTATTCGAGCTGGCCAGTTGTGTGAAAGACCATTTTGTCGATCATGGAGCAGCTTCCCGAGAGAGTCTCGGGCCGCTTAGCCGGAGCCGGGGTTGAACAAGACGGTGCGCGGACTGACGAGGCAGAAAGCAGTGAACTCCACCGAAGCGGTAGCAAGTGGTCCAGAGTAATTGAACCCGAGGGAGATAAGGAGAAGGATCGACTCCAGGCCCGTTTGAGGGAACACACCGACGAGGCGCCCGCAAACAGCAGCCAACAACGCCACAACATTGTCAGATCGCACTACAACGTCGAGGACTCGAATTCTTTCGAATTAAAGAAGACGGACGAGACTCACTTGAAGGAGCTCCAAGAAAACAAGCAACACTATGAACTACAGGCTGACACTGTTCCTCTGCTGATGGGCCCCTCCACATCAGACTCCGAACCAGACTCTGGGGAAACAGGAACGACGGCCATTGCTCCAGACAGTATAAGCCATGTGATTCCCGATCAGATTGGACACATGTTTTTGGACAGAACACGAAATGCTTGGTTTAAAAGCGACAGTCTGCACCAGCTGCAGGATGCTGAGGACGATCCATTCGCTGGCATTCCTGACTTCACTGTGGACAAAGAGTGGGAGATGCATAGTCGGAGGCCCGATCAGAAAATCCAAAATTTGTGGCTTGACGAGTTGGAATATGACTGGGAGGATGAGGGCATCAAAACCTCGCCGCAGCACATGCGGCCTTACAAGCATGGCTCGATAGAGGACGTCAAGGAAACGGAGCAACTTCCGCCACCGGAGCCCATGGATAAACAGCAAAAGCAGCGCATCAAGACGTCAGCTCCACGACCAATCAAAATCGACGCGGGCGAAGTCCTGGTGTCAAACCATGCCTCCACGGAGTTATTTGACAATGGCACGGAACATTTGTTGAATAATCAAAAAGAGGCGGCGAAGAACCAGGGCGAAGAATGCCATGCTGAGCATACGGCAGAAGGCACTCGGAATGATTCGAGATCAGAAGATGCCGAGCAGTCCTCTACTCGTTCTTCACAGATGCAGGATCATCGCGTGCCTTGGGAAAAAGACATCTTCGCAAAATGGATTGCAAAATGGGTGACTGACACATTTTGGCCACCATCAAAGGGTTACCAAAGAATATGGTATCTTTGCGTAAGTAGCTGGCCCTGATCCTGGTTGTAATATATCACTTACAGGTCCCTTTCGATGCATAGGGGTGCGGCCAGCACACCTACCTAGATGTCAGAGAACTTGAACCCGGCGGCGTGGAGATGGAACGGCGAAGCATCAGCGAAAGCTCCGCAGCGGCGAGGCGAGCACACTCGCCCCAGAGCAGTGCAGCTTCTGGCGTCCAGGCTCTCCCAACTCCGCCTCCAGTTCACCTGAATCCGATCTCTTCTAGAGACACAGCATCCCCGAGCTCGCCTTCTCAAGAGACGCCATACGCACCGCGACCAGACCTTAACCCCGTCTCAACAACCTCACCTGGCCCATCCGCGATAATACGACGAGACACAATGTTCTTGCTAATCTGTATCAATGGTATGGCGTACAAGACCTTGGGGGAACTCAGATGTCTTGATATCGATGATTCCTGTAATGACGAGCTGCTAATTAGAGGCATCCTTAACCAATATGAACAGGCTCGTAAAGGATGCCGATGGACAGTAGATTTACTGCTCCCGACGTGGATGCTGCCAGCTACTTTGATTAAGCACTTGAAAAACATATGGGGACGTTTGCCAATTTCTGTGCGGATGCCGTCTATTATCCGAGAGTCACTACTAGCACAGTCCATCTCAGAGTGGTGGAATTGCTGGGCACCCGACATCAGCTTGTGGGCCCCGCTACACATAATAGACACAGCAGACTTCGTCGAAGTAAGCGCAAGCCTCATTCCAATCTCCCAGGTATCCATCAGAATCGCCCCCTACTGACACCCGGAAGTTCGAACTCATCCCCCATCCCGAAGGCAAGGAGGCCTTCCCTTCTCACTTCACTCCCGGCCGTTGGCCCGCGCCGGATAATAAACAGTACCGCTACAGGCCTGTCCCAATGAGATGCATTAAGACTATGAACCTATGGCATATGCGTCGGCCCGGCCCCCATACTGAGGTCTATTGGTACAACACCGTGCCTAAAAAGGTGGACGGAGCGCTATACAGGCCGTCGGGAACGGTCGAGGACGTCATAGGATACGGAGTGCGCATCAATGAGAGGCTCAACGATGTGCTTGTTCTCTGGTGGTCTTTAATCTTTATTTTGGCCACCGGGGTTTTCGTCTATGTGTACTCCAGATGCACGAGCGACAACTCGTCGGCGTTTGGGTTGGGTGCGTACTTGCTGGCTGCTTTTACAGTGTATATTCAGCTGCAGTATGCGTGGTGGAAGAGGGCATAAGGCTGACAACACCTACATCGGAAAAATCAAGAATAGAAAATAGATTCAAATAAGTCGTTTTTGTTTGGGGGGGGGGGGGCGGGAACGGCCAGAAGGGCCGCAGGGACGGGTAGGTGAACAGACTGGAGGCAGTTCTTGCCCCTGGTATTCGGTTCGGGGCATTGGACTAGCTATCGCAACGAGGAGCCAGAACGGAAGCACTCATTGGGTTCCTTCCTCGTGCCTCGTTGCTCAAATCGGGGCAATTTTACATGACGAATCACAGGGAACAGCCAACGGAAGGCTTTCAGTGATGCAGTGAATACTCTTACCTTTCAGGGTTCCAGCTTCCCTTCACTGAGCATGATGTGTAGTGTATCCATGCATGCCAAACGTGAGATTCAACAGCGTTTCATAGATGAATCGATGTGGGATGAATACAGTCGTAAGGATTGAGAGATGGCGAAAATCAATGGAAACAAAAGCCTTTCTGAAAACTCCTGTGCTTTCCATCCGAGACTTCCAGATTATGGCTTTCAGCCATCCAAATCGTCTCATTTGTGGATCCTAGACAGCGGGAAAAATCTGGCGAGTTGACACCAGCAAAAACCCACCATTCTTTCTTGGCCAAATGTCCGTCTGAGGTCCACGACGACATGAGACATTTCCAACGTCCAAGGCCGCTGACACATGACATTGAAGCGGAACAAAACAAGCCTCTGCGAAAATGATTGCAAGAAAAAAGACGTTGGGCAAGTAGCTCCGAGAACGCCACACGGTGCCGTCAATGTCCGCTACTGAAGAAAGGGTCTTCGCTGAAATCCTGTTGATCGGTGAATCAAGCTCGTTAGCTAAGATAGATCCGAGTCTTTCGCATAATCTTCCCAAGAGTCTTACCCAGGGATAGAAAGGGTTCTCTAGCAAAGTACTGGGATCAAGTGAAGCTGGTTCTTCGAGAGATGCTTGCTGATATTGATTGTTAGTGGGTGCTGTTTAGTCTAAGCCGCCCTGTGGCGGAAAAAAATGGCCAAGAAACTCACTGGAAATGCGATACGACCGGTGTAGCTGAGATCAAGTGGAATACTCCCCAGAAGAGGATCCTGGATAACTTTTGTATGAGCCTTGGTTCCGCTGAAGCAACAGTCTTCACGAAATTGCCAGGACTCACGGGAATCGTAGCGAGCTGGTCGGAGTCTAGACCGAATAACATGAATGGGTCAAGTCGTCCCTGTCGTCCCTCAGTTCAGTTCTTAAAACAAAAGGCCAATCGATACCCACAGTGATCCCAGCAGTCTCACTGCTGCTCGCATCGGATGGAGCTGAGTCGCTCAAGCTTCGATTGAAGGCTTCAGGGGAGCTCTCAGTCGAAGACCAAGTAGCAACAAGGCTGGGAAGAAGTGCCGGGACGGTTCTAGTGATGGTAGCACATTGAGAGCCTCGTGGAGAGTTGTTACCATCATGTTGAACTGCCTTCAAGGCTCTAGCGCTAAGCTTGTGACCGTTTCGAAGATGGTCGTAAAGCTTGTCGCGCCGGGGGAACCGCTTCTCGCACAAATGACATGGATGCCGTATACCAGTGTTTGAGACGACGTGGCGTCTCAACGTTGATAATCTGCCAAAGGTGGTGCCACACGTGCACTGAAATGCACGGTGCTGAGTGGTAGATCTATGGTTTTCTAGTTGATGGTTTGTCTGGAATACAGCGGAGCATACAACGCAGTAGTGCTTTGTACAATGCGCTATGGCATGCTCCTTGGTATTCCCCGCGGAAATCGGAATCAACCCGGGGGAGAGAGGTTGGTCAGGATGAGCACCCGGGTGGGCATCAACCGGAATTCGTTGTTGAGGCTGACAGGAGACTGTCTCCCTGCTCATTCAAAAAGGATCAGCAGAACTCCGGAGGCATCTCTGCTCATTCCGGAGTCTGGGCTTCGATCAGGCCTAAAAGACGGGTTAGAATCGTTATCTGGTGAGCCATCCGCTACCACACTCGCGAGAGATCTCAGTGGGTGTGATTGTTAAACTTTGTCGGATGAACTATAAAACGTATCTGTGGGAAACTTTGTTTCGGTGCAAACCGTGGACCAGACCGTGAAGCACATCCGGTTGGCTTACCTAGCCGGCTTGCGGAACGTGGAAAGACTATATACGGGTCAGTCCTTAGGATATGTACGGGCCAGTATTTGGACCGAGGGAAAGGAATGGTACCAGGGCCTACTTCCTATGACAGACATCTCGCTTGGTAGAGACGTATTGGTGGGTGGGTTCGGATGTCCGCACGCATCATGCTTGAGAGGAGTCGCAGGCATCATAAGCCTGATAGTGAAACAATTGAGCTCTTGTTGGAGAAACGAGCAGGATGCTCAGTTGTCCCAAAGCCGGCGTAGCCAAATACCGAAGCTCAGACTCCTGGCGGAGCAGGGTCTGGGCATTACTGACTGGGTAGGTGTCCATTGAAGGCCCATTTGCGTTGGCCAATTGGTCATTTCGTTGGTCGTAGCATCCAGGGACATATCGGGCTGATTCAGGGCAGACGATCGATATATCTATAGCTTGAAGAGAGATTCCCACCTTCTCTTTGTCTTTTTTCTCTCAAGCTCTTACTTTGCTGTTTAGGGGAAAGACAGAAAATCAATGTAGTATACCTTTTGCTTGACCCACTTAAGTAACGAGTCGCGGACAAAGGATCACACTCGTCGAGCTATCAGAGCACACAAGCCTGTTTATATAATGTGGTTTGCTGGAGCGGTAGCGCGGCAAACAACCAATTGCCAGTTACACTGCCCAGGACCTGATTCCCACGGGGGCTGAGCCGTGCACCCTCTAAACCCCTCGCAAGTCAATGCAAAAGGGTGCGTCGCAGTCCCAAACATGGTTCTATGGCCAATTGGAGCTGCACTAGACTGGAGTGGCATCTCAAAGCTCCTTATTTTAATAGGCTGTCTGTCACCCTCGGTCAGCAAGCGAAGTCTGGTGGTGGTCTGGATGCGTTGTCCAGACGTCGACCCGTGCCGATAGGTCTATAGGATGAGGGGTTCAAAAACCTGCAGGTGCAAGGCGAAGTGATGGCGTGAGTGCGTACGCAGCCACTGGGATGAAGAGAGCCAGTTCATTGGTTTGCCAGCTGTTGCGCAACACAGTAGACAGCCACCATCGAAATTTCTCATGTGCCAGGGTGCAAATGCTCATCTCAGAATCGAGGCAGACTGCAAGAATGCTACATGTGCAGGTCGAGTACTATGTTGGCTGCCTGCCGTCGTGCCCTGGAGCCGGCGTAAGACAGGCCCCTTTTTGGCCCCCTTTCTACAAAGATAGCTCGGACTCTGTTATCGGGAAGATGAGAGGGAACTCATGGGGCAAGAATAGCAAAGCAGACATTGGGCGGAGATCAGAATGCAGTAAGGAGTGCGTTAGTTTCAACGCCGAGGAAGCATGTGCGTGGGATTGGAGCGATAACTGACGAGAATGTTTAATAAAATAACTTTAGTTAAGAAATCGAACATGAAGGAATAAATACATAATATTTTAAATCCAAGCGGCAATTATTCATATAGGTCAGATATACTTTGCTAGTAGATAATCTGGTTAGTAATATCGAAACCTTTATTCTCAGTCTGCAAGACTTGTGAATAGGAAACCAAATCAACATATCAAAGAAGATCAGTCAAGCCTCCACCCTGAGCACTACTCCCACGTAAACCAGTCCTTCTCAAGAGCAATAACCGTCACAATGCCCGCCTCGATCAGTTTGTCCATGATCGTGCCGTTGGTCAACAGGCGCCCCTAAACAGATAGCATTATTTGTAGGATATCAAAGACATAGGGATTTGGATTGATCTAATTTGATCTGATCATCTGCTGCACTTCCAAATCTCAGTACATCCACTTCTAGTTCGCGCAATGGGCGTTGTACTTAGAAGCAGCACTGATATCAGGCGGCGGATAATTATATCCAACATCTTCTGAAGGAGAGGCATTTGAAAAGTATGTCTGCAAGTTATAATTCCAAGCAAGGAAAATGGCATGCACAAGGGACAAAGTATCTAAGAGTAACGGTAGGTATTATGGCCTGACTGCGGCATAATGGTCATAGCAGAAGTAGTACACACAATAATATAGAAAATTGTTAGCAAGGTTCAGACAATTTCTTGTTTCAACCTTCCTTTGATCAGAACAATTACATAGACTCTGGACAACTTCTCAACATCTTCGCTTCAATACGTCATTTATTGACTTGGTGTAGTCTATTGGGTGACACAAAGTCATCAATAACACTGTTGAACAAGTCAGGATTCTCCCAGAACATAAAGTGGCTTCCTTTCTCTTCGCTTGTAAAGGTACGGCTCTTAGCCCCCGGAATCTGCGTAGCTGCCCATGCAATACCCGAGGCATTGTTCACACTATCATCTCCTGATATGACCAGGCAGGGAATGTCGATGCGGGGTAACACATCGCGCCAGTCAGCAAATGCATGGTTGATGAGCAGCGTCGCGGCGTTCTGATTGCTGATCTTGTTGTTCTCGGCGAGCACCCACTCGTAGTCTGCTTCAGAGACATTGGAAGTAAACATCTGTCTCACAAAGGGAGGAGTCTCGAGGGCGATATTTTTGGCAAAGGCGTATGTCTGGGCCGGTGTGAAGAGGGCAGCAGACCATGTCTCGGCCTCTTCCTTGGTCCAGGTGGGATCGGCGACGAGAACTGAGGACTGGTCGACAATGGCAAAGTGGTCGATACGCTTGCGCTCGTCAGGATACTGGTCCCAGAATGCCCAGGTCACGGAGGAGCCCATTGAGTGTGCGATGATGCTCACGTTCCAGAGGTCGAGGGTATTCAAAACATCGTAGAGGTCGGCGCCGAAGCGGTTCAATCGATAGCCAAAGTCGGGCTTCTCAGACTCGCCGTGGCCGCGCATGTCGTACGTGGTGACTCGATATCCCGCCTCTGAGAAGTACTTGACCTGCTTCTTCCACTCTGCTGCAGTTTGTCGCCACCCAGGTATGAACAGCAGATTCTGACCATCGACGGGTCCAGCTTGCGTGTAGTTCAGTTGAATTTCGTCCTGAGTCTTGACCCAGCCGGTCCTCATGGTAGGTTTCTCAATTCCGCTGTCCATGCTGGCTGAGACTTCGAATTCGGATCCCAATGGGGTGTTCGCGGGTCTCGTTTCTAGGGGCTCCAAGACTTCATCTTGAGAAGATTAGAGGACAGCAACGTACTGACTGCAATTGTTGGTGCCTAAATCTGACACCTGACCACCACCATTGAAGCGTTACATCCATGGTGTAGATCAACCTCCGTAGCTGGTGGTAGTTTAGGTTTGACATCAGCTATCAAGCGTCAAATGCATGTAGCGAATACGCTATGCATTCAATCGCCAACGTCAAATAGCCGATGTTGAGATACCCTGTAATATTTACGATAAATAAGAACAAGATGGTTCAACATGTGAGGCGTGACTCGCAGCCCACTGCAATATGGCCCAGGTGTCTTCGATGCCTGTCAGAAATGGGTGCTCTGAGGCGAACCGGTACGAGGAACATAGGACGGAAGCATTAAACAGCTGTGCGAGGGGCCAAGCGGACATGGTCAGCTTGGCAGGGCTCCCGAGGAAGAAGCCTCCCGGGTGGAACAGCACCATGAGAGGCTCGGGATTGGAGCCGGGTGCAGTCCGGGTCAATACAGCGGTGGAGTTGTAACCGCCACTCGTTGGGATCGTGTAGGTCTCTCCCTGCAGGCCTGTCTGAGGCGGGCCGAGAGCGTTTGTGGGCAGGCCGTCGGCATAATCTGAGATTGCGCGGCACTGTGGTATATCCTGGAAGGGAGGGTCCGGCCAAGGACTATTCGGGCAAGAAGCTATAGGATCTGTTAGGCTACTGTACACAATCTACAATGCGGCATGAGTTGTTCTGACCCGTAGAGGAGAAAGGGACATTGCGCACATGATTGCCTGGAACAAGGGGCGCTATCTCTCAAACGGCGAGCTTGGGCATCTTGCTACATTTGACAGTGTCCTGTACGTAGATAAGCTCTTGGACGAGATCGGGCTCACGGAGCACCGGAAGAAGGGCTGGCTGGGGAACATGTTCTCGCCCATCATGCCTGCTGATTTGGGCAGGGTGTGGCAGGAGTATCTCGCGATGCGAACCAAACAGTAGGCACCGATCTGCTAGAACAGGGACTACACGTATCTCCTTTCCCCAAGAGGAGAACTCAGGGTTTAAAAATGAATAGATTACTATTTGAATAGCGCTTCTAGCTTGATGTGTTCTGATACCGCGGTCACACTAGTATCCAATACCGAGTTCAGTCCCTTTCCTCAGGGGGAAGCTTGAACCCTCCAGGGCAAAGCTTTTGAAAGACTTCTTCAGGATCGTATTTAGACGCTGCCTCGCGGAGGACTTGGACGTTCTCCACCCCGTAACTCTGTAAAACGTCTTGGCTGGAGTGAGCGTAGTTGAGATAGATCCAAGGAACGACGCCCCCGTCGATTGTGGCGGCGAAGGCTCGGACGCCCTCAACTATACCTCGGACCTTCGGCCTGACCCATTCCTCAAGCTCATGTGTGCGAACACTCGCCGAAGCCTGCATGAGGATTGCATCATTCTTATTTTTCTCCAGGCCAAGCACATTGCCGCTTGGGTTCATGGCCAGAGACCTTTCCACGAACAAACGGGGAAGGGGCTGGAAGGCGACATGCGAGGTGAAATCTCCATCCGGAATTCTTGCCTTGAGATCCTTCGCTAGCTTTTGATGTAGCTCAGCCGCTCTTTGGATGATAGCAGAATCGTTCTTGAAGGTCATGGTGAACCAAACGTTGCTGTAACACGGTCAGTTACCTTCGCGATAGCTATTCCGAGAGACAGAAAGGGAGGCAAAGCCTTACTGAAAGCTAGTAGGCAATGATGTGTAGGTCAACATCTCCTGCAGAGCGGTCGTTTTGAAATTGCTCATAGTCTCTGGCAGCGCTAGGGTTCTCTGCAGAGCCGGCGGATTCTCGATGGCAGCCATGTTGTTGCAGAGGGTGATGACAACATCACCACCGAATCTGGGCTGGTGGCCTACTCTGTAGAATATTAGTTGTCAATAATTTGCACAGACGTCAATGCGATATCGCTTTCGATAGAAACCCACCAGTATCTGGACCTGTAACCCGTGACCGTTTATAACAAGCCTAAAACATAATATTCAAGGGACCAAGTGAAAGACCACAATACTCACATTAGTTGCAAATTGCTATCTTGATCCTTTTCATGGTTCTGAGTGAAGTCAACCAATGCGCCGGCACCGGCAGGAAGAACGTCCAGTGATCGCAAAGCCAACCCACCCCAGATAGGACCACTAGGTATGGTACCCATCCTGAAGGAAGTGACGATGCCGAAGTTGTTTCCCCCGCCTTTGAGAGCACGGAATAGGTCTGTCAAACGTCACTCTTCACTCTTTCGGTTTTCTCGTGCGAGGTGAGACATGACGGTGCCCAGAATGGGTTGGAAAAAAGAACGAACCTTTGTGCGCTCCCTCTACGTCCGCATTGACAATGCGCCCATCTGCCAGTACCACCTCGTATGATAAAATATTATCGCAGGCAAAGCCGTGACTCGGTGTATGATAGCTACAGCCTCCCCCGAGTAGGAAGCCACCAACACCGCACTCGGCCTCGCGTGCGCCGACGACTGCACGCCCGTGCTTTTCCAGCTCAGCATAGACGTCTTTCCATTTGGCACCAGGCCCCAGATGTGCTATCTGGTTATTGTGATCGTACTGTGTTGACTTTAGGAAGCCCAAGTCGATTGTCACACCATCATCGATGTTGTTACTGCCTGCCCAGTTCATGTGTCCACCCCCACGCACGGCAAATGCTTGATGATTCTTAGCAAGCGCTAGAAGGGCTTGCGCGACCTCAGAGGAAGATCGCGGCTGTACGATGCATGCCGGCTTCAGTTTCGCGTTGTTGCACCAGTAGGAGCCGTTTCGACTGGTGTACTCAGCATCCGTCGGTAGAAGGATCCGAGACTGGAGACCAGCAGCAACCAAAGACTGTGCCTGCGGGCAAATAAGGCTAGGTTGAACACTTGCCATCCCAGCTCAAACAGATAAAACCTTAACTAGTTCGAATATGCTCTTGGGATCAATTGATGGTTGCGATCGGGAGGGAGGTCATGATATCAAGAGAAAGAAGAGGATTGGCGTGTGTGCATTGCGCCAGTCATGCAAAGTTTGTTCTATCCCGGCTGCTTCTTTCCCCACCACGAAGCTTGTTGCATCAGGGATTGATTGAATGGGGCTGATTTTGCCGCATACCAAAATATAGAAGGGCATACAGACTGACCACGTTTGAAGATGTTGATTGATGACGACGAGTCGCCTTATCCGACGGTCTGCTTTATTTGCGCGCTGTAGGGGAATAAATGCTCACAATATCTAGATCTCCAGGACCTGCTACTTGGACTGTGCTTGTATTGGTTGCAATTGCTTGCTAGCCTCCCTCGCTTAAGTCATGGATGCTATAGTGGATTCGACGGGGATCTCAGCCTAAGTGTTTGAGACTCCAGCAGTCAAGAATTGTATGAATTCGAGAGAGTATTAATGACACGAGAAATTCCCTTGCTAAAAACAACAAGGAGGGGTTGATAAGAACAAGGAGTAAAGGAGAAGAAGCCACATGAAAATATTATGGTTGTTTGGGTTGCCAGAAACCCAGGATATACCATGTAGTTACTTGCTGTAGTAGATGGCCTGTAGACAGAAGAGATTAAGCCAAAGTAGATACCTGAAAGCCCTCATACAAATCGTAGGAGATTACAACATAGGAGTTTTAACCCCATAGGACGTCATCTTCCAAGGAAGCTATCGCACTGCAAACATGCCTGTCATGGCTGCAAATTCTTGTTGATGATTCTTGTGGACTCCATTTTGTCCACATATTTAGCTACTCGACCGCCAGTGAGAGCGAGTATCTCTAAAAGCCAATACTGAAGGCAAGTGGAATGATTAGATTCTCCCTCTCACAGGTAACACATTGTTGTCTTGCGCCCACTCGGCTTATTTACTACATAATCTTGAGCCCCCAATTTGCACTCAAAGGTTGTCATCAGGATGTCAATGCTGATTAGCCGAGTCCAAACAATGCTGTTTCGATTGGCGTTCGTCTGGGCTGGCGAGTGTAACGACTGAGTCTAGACACACACATACACAGTTGCAAGCTGTATTTGTGTTTCAGATACAGTTGTTGAGATACTTGACATCACAAACGGCTCTGCCATTGTGTTGCGTCATTCTAAAGCTGGACGGGTATGAGGAAACTGCGTACAGGGCTGGGTGTGCATTTGACGACCTCGAAGAAGCCTCTCGCGATGCTTTCGCCATCATGTTGGTCGACGGAGAGTTGTTTCGGTCTTACACAACTGCGCGGCGCCGAGCTTGTTTAAATACGGAAATGACGATCCACGAGACAGGGCTATCTAGAACTACCCTGGCTCCCCGGACAAGTGTCAGTATGTCATTTATAAACATGAGTGTGTGGTACGTGCCACGAGTCGGAAACCTCGGCGAGCCCAAACAAGGGCGACACACAAGGCTTAGCGTACCAAATCAGAGTTCCCGTAGCCGAGTCAGGAACAAGCCTGCCAATCAACCCAGTGAAAGCTTATTGCTCCTGAAATTAAGATGAAAAGCGAAGCTTTATATTTAGAGTTGATTCGAACCTATCGCCCGACTTCAATGTCGTTGACCTCAAGCTTCAACTGTCTGTCTGCATAGACGACGTCCGCTCCTTTGCACCTATCCGACTAGCCTTCGGGCATAATACACTCATTTATATCGTCATTTATCAAGTCACTCGTTTCCTCCTGTTTGAGTAATGCGACACTTTCTTGGAGCCATCGCTCCCCTGCTCTGCGCAGCTGTGGCTGGCGTCGATGCCCTGAGCGCAGAAGAATGGCAGAAACAGACCATCTATCAGGTGGTGACAGATCGCTTCGCAAGGACTCCGTCCGACGACACCGGTCTCGGTATCATCGGGTCCTCAAACTCGGATGAGGATTGCCCCTTGCCAAAACAATATTGTGGGGGCACATGGCAGGGTATTACCGAGAAGCTGGATTATATTCAAGGCATGGGTTTTACGGCAATCTGGATCTCGCCCGTCATAGAAAACACGGAGAACGCGTCGTCGGACTATTCATACCACGGGTATTGGCCTCGCAACTTCTACGCTCTCAACCCTCACTTTGGTACCGAGGAGGACCTGATGGGGCTCTCTGATGCGCTGCACGCCCGCGGAATGGTATGTGATCAAGGAGTGTTGTGTATGACACAGCCGCAAGTCGCGTGCTAATGCTTTGAAAGTATCTCATGTTCGACATCGTGATCAACCACGTCTTCTCGCCCGGCCCAGCCAATGCCACCAACTACAGCATGTTCACTCCGTTCAACTCAAGCAGGTACTTCCACCGCCCCTGCTTGATGGACAATTCCAACGAGACCTCGGTCGAAGTGTGTCAGCTCCGGGATGACAAAGCTAGCGCGGTCTTTACGCTGCCCGACGTCAAGACCGAGGACCCTGTCGTCCGAGATATATTCCAAGATTGGATCAGGGATACAGTCGAGAAGTACAATGTTGATGGCCTCCGTCTCGACACGTATAAGCATGTGGAACGGAGCTTCTGGCCCGACTTCCTCGATGCCGCTGGTGTCTTCAGCGTCGCGGAATATCTCGATGGGGACCCAGCAAATTATAATAGTGATTTGATAGCCAGCAAGGAAGCTGGTGTCTTGAATTATCCTACGTGAGCCTCCTCATCCTTTTCTTACTTCTCTCTTCATTCACATTCTCCGCCCTTCCTGGACTTGAACCTTCATCTGCCCCTTTTAAGAAGTTGGAACGCTACGCTTGCTTACAACGATCCATTTTTCGTAGGTTCTATTGGATACGAAGAGCATTCCAAAATCCGTTGACTTGGATGACCGAGCTTGTCCAAGGCGTGGAAACGATGCGAAACGGACCAAGTAAGTAGTCCAGGCACTTGGAAATGCCCAAACTATACGCAGTCATGAAGCAAAATAACTAACACATGGTGTCTTAACAGTCAGCACGAATCTCCTCGCACCATTCTTTGAGAATCATGATGGTATGTGGAGATTCCTAGTCCGCTCATGGCTCTTTCCAGATCCTGGACATGATCATTTCAGCCATTGCTCCTAAATACAATGCAAAGATCGCAATGTCAACGGAAAAGTCTGCTAACTAGGTACCACAGAGCAACGATTCGCATCCCTGGTAGGCGATATAGCCCTCACGAAAAATGCACTGGCATTCACCCTGTTGTTCGACGGCATCCCAATTATCTATCAAGGCCAGGAGCAGCACTTCTCCGGTCAGAACGATCCCTACAACCGCGAGCGTCTGTGGACCTCGGGCTACAACGAGGACTCAGAGCTGTACCGCTGGATCACGAGGCTCAATGCCGCCCGCGCGCTTGCCATCGATACGGACCCATCATTTGTCTCGTCCCAGGCAGACACGGTCTGGCCGCCACCAGCACCGTCTGCAGGGAACGCTACCAGCGGCAGCAATGGCACCACTAACGGCACCAGTTCGTCGACGTCGACTACCGTCTTGACGAACCATCATATTGCTATCAAGAAGGGCTCTATCATCAGTGTTCTGACCAATGTCGGCGTTGGCGGGGAAAATCTGGACGTCGTGCTCCCCCGAAACGCTACCAAGTATAATCCAGGCGCGGCGTACATCGACCTGCTAAGCTGCGAGACCTTCAAGACCGATCGTAGCGGAGCCTTGTCATTCGAGATGGGATGGTTGCCTCGGGCGTTCTATCCTGCTCTGGAGGCCCTAAGTTCGGGCTTTTGTCTGCTGCCGCAGAGCTCTGCCACTGACGACACCGAGACGTGTCTCGTTACCTTCAACATCACAACAGCGACTTCATTCGGACAGAATGTACAGATGTGAGTTTATTCATCCTCAGCTCCTTTCTATCCATAGAAAGATGGAAGCGATAATGACTAGGACTGACCACCATCTCAAAAAAGCCTCGGCGATGTTCCTCAACTGGGCGCCAAAGACCGACATCAAGCCGTCACCCTAGGATCCTACTTCTACACCAGCGATAACCCCCTTTGGACTATGACCTTCGAATTGCCTGCGGGCGAGAAGCTCTCATACCAGTACCTGAAGATGGACGGGTCTGGGACACCTTCGTGGGATGGTGACAACAGGGACGCGGCGCTCCATTCGTACACCATTCCAGAGGACTGTGTGGGCGGCAAGTCTGTCCTGGTCGTGGACAAGTGGACTGGGAGTGGAAGCAACACTACAGGGTCAACGACTGCTACTCGTTCTGTGCTGTCGCGCGGTCTGAAGAGGAGGCTGCGCACGGATCTTTGGGATCAGGCTCGGTAGTATATGGATCATCGGCTGCTGGTATGGAAGAGTCACATGCGGAGACTTTCTGGGGAAACCCAACAAACAGCGATCAATCATGACCACATTTATTCAAATACTCACTTACTCATCTTGAACGCTTAGCAAGAACAAAATGCCTAAACTAGTCCAAAAACACCAGGTCAGCAAGTGCTGATGAAAGCAAGCAAGATTGTGGTAGACAAAAAACAGAGGGGGGGGGGGTTGATTACATGTAAAAGACGAGTATCGGATGCACTTCACTCGTCTGCCTCCGGCCGTTCCGTCGCCCGATACTTCCCGGACCACATTTGCCCTGGAGTGGAGAAGACTGGAAAACCTAATCGAACTGTCGGGATGGGCGAAGGAAACAGATACCATGGCTGATCAGACGGCCATGAGAAAGAGGAAGACTGGAAGATCTCGACCTCACTACTGTCAACAGGAACGCAGCAGATAGACATATGCGAAACTATCCTGATACAGGACAGTCTCCTTGACCAAAGTACATGGCGATGCCCTCACATCTTTCTCCTTACCGCCTGGGGTTGTCATTATGTTTTATGGAAACGCTTTGCGCCCTCAGCGAAACGATCATTGCTAATTCAGAAATTCCATATGTTTCCCCCAGGTAGCACCCAGCATTAGTCACACCGGACTGACTGGACAATTAGTGCAGTGTGTGAACATTCACTTGTGTATACAATACAGTATTTTGAATACGTGCCTATTCATATGGTACTCAATAGCAAGCTGTGGATGTATCTGTACGTGAATTTTGCAACGATACACTTGTCACCAAGTGAATGGAAACATTCGTGACCAGCCAATGTCGAGAAATATCTATACCTTGCCCTCCGATGGCCAGCCAGCTCTTGCTTCCTTCCATCAACACCATCACCACTCGAGCTTTGTGACAACGAGATCACTAGCCCTCAACCCCAAGTCTGTATGATATACAAAAAGGCTTTCAAGGAGGTTGGTCTTGACCACTTTTTCTCATACCCTCATCACACATTGTAACAACTAAGATTGTGTCAGCCTACACACACAATGAATTACCAACAGCCATCCACGGCCCACGAGTTCGCCCGGCTCACCACCTCGATGGCTCCAGACATGAAGAGGTTCATCTTGCTCAGGACCAAGGAGTGTGGCTGGTTCACTACAGATGCAGACAATGCTAGTTTCGCAGAGACTACCTACCAAATGCTTTTCAACCTCTGCGACGGCCACGATGACGCACCTATTTTTCAAGTTCTTTTTGACAGCACAGCACGAAATGACTTCGCTCAACAACTATCAGCCAACTTCCTGAGCTTAGATCCAACCCCCCAAAATCCCCGTCTTCAGTCCTTCGTGGCCTGCATCTTCAACTTCTATCACGACCTTTACTGGATGGAATATTTCCGGGGTGATAATCCTGAGCTCAGTCCCCAGAGTATGGGAAATCAAGACCTCTCCATGGTTCAAATTGTCCAGCCGGCTGTATGTTCAAGGACTTAACCCGGGCTTCCTCGCTACTATTAATTGGAAAAAAGCTAATAGCCTTTTACACAGTTTGCCCCACAAGGCGATTTCCCCTTTTTCAAACTTCCGGGCGAGATCCGAAACATCATCTACAAGGAGACTCTGATCGTCCCAGATGGCGGTCTCGTGCGCAGCTTCACTCCACCCCCTCTGCTTAGTGTGAGCAAGCGACTGCGAAACGAGGCTATGCCGCTATTCTACATACACAACCACTTCGAGATCACCGTAAAGCGGTCAGCTGCCGATGAGCTACTAGCAAGGGGCCGGGAGCTGCCCAGCGTAGACATGCGGGTCTGGCGCCGCTTCCTCGACATGTGGAATGTTTTCAACGCTTCGGGCACCAATGGCCTCCAGTATGTGGAGAAGGTCACGCTGATTTACCAGCTCTCCATGGACAATGGCTGCTCCTTCGGAAGCGGTGAATTCGACAAGCGAATTGGATTCCGTTTCAGCTGTGGTCGTTTCAAGGAGGATCTTGACGACGACTTTGACGCAGACATGACCGATGGAAGCGATTGGGAGGCCAGCGAGAGTGAGCAGGACGTGGATGAAGATCACGATGATCTAGACTCCGAAGTTGACGACCTCATCGATGACATCCAAGCCCATGACGACGAGGATACCGAGCACGAGGTCGATGAGGGCCAGGAACAGGACCACGGAAGCGATACCGAGGAAGTCCCCGTGGAAGACATTGATCCTGTCGGGGTCTTTGAACTGAACCGCGGCATGGTCGAATGGGAAAATTGCCGCGAAACCAAGGAATTTCTATTTCACAAGATATGTGAATACGGTAAAGTTATTTATAGAATTAAAGGTCTCCCGAGAGGGTCTTCACCGGCCTTTCGAAGACGGAGACTTCTGTCCTATGCGTCTTAACAGACGACGTAGACGATATGAGCCAGTTGCTGACTTTCAATGTACGCAGGAACCGACAGAATGTGGGATGTCTACCCAGCTCGGAGGTTGGTCCAGATGCTCTGGCGCTGCGTCAGGGACTGCCCTCGTGCATCGGAGAACGTCGATTTCCTTTGTGAGGATCTGCAGTACTGGATGGAAGCAGGCCCAGGTTACACCCGTTACGAATCGGTTGGGTTCTACGACCCAGATGATGTGGACGAGTAGGGAGTCGAAATGGTACTGAGAGCGCATGGGACGATGTTGTTGAAGCATTTGGCCGTTTCGAGAGGCACCTTGACATCTCGGACATTGCAGTGTGGATCACCAGATAGGACTCTCAAGACTTGTAAGATGGTTCGTTACGAGTTACGGGCGGGTAACGCACAGGCATGCAACAGGGCGCGGCAGTCATATGCTCTTGTGCTTCCTAGGTAGGCATGCACTATTTCTTATCCAGTCACATGTTGTAAAAGAAAGGTTCACGGACAGGATGAAGAGAAAGACGGCCGCTGCTGATGTGATGCAAACGATTTCATTGCATTCCTCTCTTTGCTTCCCTAGAGCTGTAATATCAGGCCCCTCCAACGTCCGCCTACAAGCCTAGATTTTTACCGGCCACCCATATGGGTGCCACTTGTTTGTTCGGAGCACACCAGCGCGGACAAACTTGGAGATATCGAAGCTGAACGTCGGACACATGGGCTTGCATTGATGGAGAGACTTAGATGGTGGTGAGCTCCGGCGGACAGTATGATGGGAGTTTTCTGGTTTGCCCATGACGCGGACATTAGTGGCAGTCGATGACTTGGGCCGCTTAGGGGCTAGGCCTTCGACGACCCTGACACTGAGGAGGATTAGGCAATTGAGAGAATACCGACAGATGGCGGAAGAAGATGAGGGGAGGGCTTGATTTAGGGGATACGTGGCAGATTGTGTATTTAGGACTTTGAAACACAGCCTCGCAATCGGGAAGCTTCCTCTCAGAAAGCAGAAGTAAGGTGATCTGCGACTTGCGTGTTTTCGTGCTTCTTGGTGAGCCATAATCACCAATGATCTGATGGAGAGATGAAATATAGGAATACAGAACAAGCCTCCCTCCATATCTCAGCTCTTCCCGTCTTTTCCCCTGCTCTCATTTAAATCGTCAATACCCAGGAAATTTTCTAAAGATCTGTGTATTTTCTCATGGCCACTGGCACTCTAGACCACACTCTCGATTAACCTTCTCGAAGGGGACAAATAAGTGCCTCGCGTTCCGGTAGTAATTCGAGCACCCCTGATGGCGGCACCACAGGATATTTTCATGATTGCTTGACTCGTAGGAGTCCGGGTCGAGAGCTTGACACCAAGCCGCTGACATCGGCAGGGGTCTGCCGGCACTGATCGGCGCTAGCATAATCAGGTCCGGCGTATGTTCTTTGGTCACATAGGTTGGTACTATCTTAATGACGCGTTCGTACTTGATGCGCAGACACCGACTGGAGTTGTCGACGTCGCCCGGGCAGCAGTCCATCCAAATTCGGACGACAGACGCGTCTGGCGTTCCGCTTCTCCCACACATGGAAATTTTAGTAGAAGGCCCCAGAGGAAGCTGTCCCCTGGACTTCCCTTGTGGCCCACTGCCCTCGGAAGTCTGGAGATGGAGACAGCTTTGTTGGTTGCTAGGGTCCGTTCGACATATAGCTTGCTGACTCTGTCCGGGAGGGCTCAGTTGCCATTTGTGGCCGGGCAAGAGGTCACTGCCGCTGTATTGCAAACAAGAGCAGCGGTTCGGATCGAAGCACTGCATCTCCATGAGGCGGCCTGGGAGTAGTTGGGGCGCGATGAATTCGGCCGGGGACCCTCTCCTAAACTGCTCCAGTCTCTGGCGCATGGTATCAGCGGCTATTCGCGCTGACAACTGCTTGCTTGTTGTGTCATCGGATTCCGGGAGGCGGAGATGCCCGGTCCACCGCATATAAACTGATATGCCTCCTCCGAACTTCTTCTCAACACTGACTTCAGGGAATTCATCTCGGTGGAATATCTGTGGAGCATTGCTGCCGTGGTTCTTGGCGATATGATCTGGGTTTTCACATCTTACCACGGGCACGGAGACCCGTGTTATCCCCCGGCCCATTTCAAGCTCCCAAAGTCCCCTTGCGATTGAAGATACCTCGGCCCATGAAACCGTACGATGCTTGCAGATGCGCAGCACCCCTTCGTGGCCTCTACAAACCCTCGGCATGGGTCCCAACCCGCGTTGAGTTGGGCTGAAGAGGGCTGCTGGATGGTCTACCCAGCAGCCATCACAGTGGAGATATTCTGTGGTCAGGTACCTATAATTCCCCGCCCCGGTAGGTTCACTTCGCCCCTTCTGGCAACCGCTGCATTCGTGCTGGTTGTCTCTGGCCAAGAGAGGCCTAAGTCGTCCAGACGGTCTCCAGTATTCCCGCTTAGGGACCTGCCAGGGCTGGAACTGCCAGGGGTGAAACCGCCATCTCTCACGCTTTGTAGCGTGTGCAAACCGAAATTCTGGAGATGAGAAGAGGCGCAAAAACAAGCGGCTGGTGCGTCTCAGGCATTGGATGCTGAGTGGGTCGAGAAGCATCATAATAGACATTAATGTCTCCTCTGGCAGGCGACACATTGGGCTGCAGACAAGATTATGGAAGGCAGCCATCACGAGGGGATCCATGCCCGCGAGAGTCTTTTGGACGGCAGGATCGGTAAGACATCGGCAAAGGGCCCAGATTCGCTTTCTTTTCCTTCCATTGGACGTCTTCTCTGACGCTCGTCGTGCGACCGACTGGTCTGTTGACCTGTCTGGAGGAGGTTCGTGTGGGACGAAGTACACGACTGCGGCTATCAAGCACAGTACAGCAACCCAAATCAACAGTATGCAAAATAGAAACCTATTCCACAGATAATCCAAATTCTCTGTATCGTGAGGTCCCAGAAGTTGGTGGAGGTAAGTGCAGAGTTGCATTCTTGACGTCAAGCTGTTGATGGAAGCAGCCGTGCGACGGTTGTTGGTTTTTGTCCTGTGAAAATTTTGTACGTTCAGCGCACACAAGTTTGTCATTAGAGAGCAATCTCAACTTTCAAAAAATTTTGTCCCGGAATTCAAGAGAACAAGCTATGTCGGCTCAATTATACTTATTACACCTTTGGGCCTGGCCTCCAACGCAGTTAGTTTCCTGGTCGGTCTACAGTAGAGTGGGACAATGCATTACTAGAACAGCACCAGCATACACCGGCGCAATATTCGCATATGGGCCTTATCCAGGTAGCGCTAATGTGTAGATACAAGCTTTCAATAGAAGATGACACCTAGCTCAAGGTGACTATGCAACCACACCTTAGATTCTCCATCGAAAATTTCTCCTCAGAGATATAGAGGTTTATTATGGCTGCTATATCTAAGAAAATGGTCTGTTTTTACAAGACCGGCTTATTCTTCTCGATAGATCAAAGGGGCTTGATATACACATAACTCCTGCGGGAGACATGAACCATAGAAGTGCACTCTGATGTATTTTGTCCAAATTTTCAGCAAAGCACTGATGATTCCGAAGATTCGGCACTAGCATCTAGGAGCATAATTGAATGGGACCGGATATCAAGCTATACCGGTACATCACATGATATTTGACCGTGTGGGCCACAAAGCTTGACGAGGTGAGGTACACATGTGTGAAGCTACATGCGGCAGTGATACCAACACTTGTTCGGCAGACCTTGCCTCTGTAGCACTTAGCACTTTCGCAGGTACCATGTGGCCATCCGGGGCAAAAAAGTGCAGGCGAACCTGGAGTCTGCGAGGGAGCAATCCAAACTTGGTGACTTCGCATTGAATGAGCGAGACCTAGAGAGCGAGTGGTATGCTCTGGCTCACAGGATGGATGGGTGTGTCAATCGTGGCAGTCGGTGACCGGCATCGCTCAGGACGTCAGCCTTCCAGTTCCAAGTTCGAGTGGATCTGGCCACGGGCCTTGGAAGTGGGACGACGATCTCGATCCCATTGGACAGCCCCATACGGCCGTAGCAGTGGATGGACCATGTGCCGAAACCCATCGGGCGTTGACGTGATCTTTTTAAGTCTCAATTAGCTGCCGCTGTCAGTGCTGCGGCCCGCGCTGCAGGTGTTGGTGGCGATCATGGGGTAATTCGAGAATCATCTGCTGTTGTGCGTCAGGAACATATGGCATTCGGAGATTGATTGGTCTGTTGGGAATACTCGGTACCGTCCTTTTTTCAATTTGTAAATCAGAGGAAAGGTTTGCCGGCCCATGGGTTGGCACTGCAGAGTCTGTCTTGTGGCCGTTGTTCTCGCCCGAAAGTCGTCGGGGAACGGTCAGACAGCTCCAGTAGGAGCATTGGACTGGACCCGGATCGTACGATTCCGCAGGTGCTATCGTGAAGAAATCATGCGATAAGATGCTTAGACTAGATGAAGTGCCCCGAAAAGTGTCGGCAGCAGGACTTTGTGGATCATGTAAATGGATCTGATGCTGTGGTCGTTTGTTGAGAGGGAAAGAGTTGAAGAAAGGCGCACCTCCCCACTATAGTAGACCCTGTGGGCCTGTGGGGTCAGCGTCGGTCGCGTTTGTCCTGCCTCTTCAAAACAACAACACCAGAAAGTCAGAATCAGAGCAGCAACTGCATCTGCATCCTCCCATCCTGGCGCTGTTCTTTGGTCTACTCTTTTCAACATGGATGCGAACTCTCGGTTCTAACACCCATACGCTATTCAGCCCTTATTGAGCTGCAACAAAATGGACATCACCAAACCAGAGCGACAAACGGCAAGGTCGTGGCAGTGTCGGGCCGCCAGGCCGAAGCATTGATAGTCTTCGGTTTGCCGACAGGCCCGTTGAAGTCAACAGACGGATGGCTTCGTCGAAGCGATGCACCCCCAACGCCTAGCGAGCGAGCTGAACAATTGTCTGTGTGTGCTGAGCAGGCAAGGACACACACCATCATAAAATATTCGCCGACGTCCAGACCAGGCAGAGAGCACTGGCGCGCAATGCCATGCTCCAAGCACGTTGCAGTTGGCTGCCAAAGGGTTACACAGCTTTGAACTACGAGACGTCGCAACGCTCCTAGCTGAGCTCTGCGGTTGAGATCCTGGTTCTCAGCTGCTCGGCTCGACACACCGACGCTACATCTGGACTGCCCTGCCGCGTCCCCCCACCACCCGCCACCCATTCTTGCCCGGGCCCGACCGACCGGGACAGGGCGACAGGCGGGATGGAGGCTGTTTCGACTCTGCTCTTGACGGCTGCTGTCGAGGTAACTGCAATGGCTGCAGCTCAGTCGCGAAGTCAATTGGTCTCATGGTTCTGTCCATGATGCTAATTCAAAAGCAGTCTCCTTTCATCTCCTCATCGGCTGAGACAGCTAGTCTGCGCACCATTTTCATATCGTCCAGGCCTTAATAGGTGTTTTATGCTTACTTTTGGGACGTTGTCAGCCATCGTTTCGCCGGGTCCAGAGGAAATCTTGTTGCCTCCAGTGCAGGTGCAGAAGGTGCACGCGACGTCTTTACTGTGCCTCCTTGGCACCTCTTGATGCTTGTCCCGCCCTAGCATTGGCACCGGCATGGCCGCTGATGCGACCTTCCCATGCGGGACGACAGATTCGCGAGCCTTCGCTTACTTTTGCTTCCAATTGGAGTCCTCAGCAACCAGATCTGTTGTTCCCGCACGCTGCCCATTGGTGCCCCGCACCGCGAAGCAACCTCAACGTCATCAGCAGTTGCAAGGATCCTCGTCTGGGCGTCCTCACGCCCTCACGCCCCTTCCCAGCTACCTGGAGAGAGACCTCACCTCTTCGTTCATTTGTGTGCCACTTTCAGCAGGCATATTCCAAATACCATGAGGGTCTTGGGGCTGAGAGCCTGGCCTGCCACCCTGCGAGGAGCCATGTCTTACCCGAGAGCCCAATGGCACCCAATATGGAGATGCCCCGGAAAAGCGGCGGCCTGCAACTTGCTTTTTCTGGGCCATGTTGGCTCACGCGCTGTACCACGTCCGGGAGGCTGTGGTGCACCACAAGCCTTCAAGACCATCTTTGCGAAACCCACGATCTCAGCTATTGATCAATCCGGTGCTTCCGCGTGTGCAAATCAACAAGCTACAGCCATGTAGCCCCATGTCCTATCGGCGAGTGCCTGTTCTGCTACAACCACCACCCCTGTTCGATGCTTTTGGCAGGTCGGCAGGTTGCCTGCTGAGAGAGTTCATGTTCGGACGGCAAGTCAATCGGACACAGCTCCTGAGCCTTCATTGGGCCCCAAGAAAAGTTTCTTTAGCAGAGATGGCATTGCCATCTCCACGGGCTCCCTCACATTGACTTTCCGTCAATGTCGTTCATTGGAGGATGGAGCAAAAGCTGAGTTGCTTGGCCAGTCCAGATTTGGCCATCGAGAACGACATGCGTTGACAACCACTCGGGGCTTGAGAAATCAACGATGAGAGATCAGAAACATTGTTTCGAGGACCTCCGGGTCATGACTCTGATGCTGGCGCATTTGGGAGGATCCGTACCTATGGCGGCTGAACTAGAGGACCAGGCCGTTACACTACCACGACGCTACGCAGCCAGGGTCCCCATACCATCCATCTCTGTCTCCACCTGGTCTAACGCAGGATGGAATTCCGACGGTGAAGACCCCCAAGCTTAGTCACTGGTGAAAGGTAATCACTCTCGAATGTCAGAGAGGGCAACTTCCCCAGGGTCCTCTTGTGCTCCCGAACACCCATCAGGCCCCGAGGGGACGACATCTTTACACCCTCCTGAGAACAATTTACGACATTCACATCGACCGTCTTGCAGAGCTTCAGGATGAGCGGTAACAGCCCGGTCGATAAGCCGAAGAGCGGACGTTCCGCGACGTCCTGTCTGGAGTGCCAGCGGCGAAAGCAGAAGGTAGACCGCCATGAGAGCTCGCTCTGACATTGTGTCGACAGCGGCTGACGCCACACATTACCAGTGTTCTCGTGAATGGCCTTGCAACCACTGCCAGGCCCGGAAAGTACCCCATTTATGCCAGTTCGCTCTGAAGAAAGTATCAACTCCAGAGGACGACTCATTCCCTGTTCCCCCGAGGTACGAATGTACTCCTTTACGTTATTGGGCCATACCTATACTAGACAGGCGTCTTTCTGACCTGCTGTGGGCGTAGATTGTCCAGGAAGAGGAAGGAGGACAGTTTTGAGTCGGACACTTCTGCATCGGTCAGCGACCCTGACCATGGCCTCTCTGACGGGCTGGCCAAGTTAGGCTACATGCCTGGCCACGATGTCTTCACCCTCACAAAATCAACAGCAGACGTAAGTGCTCAGCCCCTCGATGAGTTCTGGGCACTGAGTTGACACCTCTCCAGGCCTCTCATGCTCACGTAGACGACGGCCAAGGCGCTCAATCCGAAGAAATCGAGGCAGCACTGAAGATCATACTTCCAAAACCGTACACAGGTGCGTGCCGCCCCATGAGGGCTGTGTCCGTCCACTGACATGCGACCCAAGACATCCTCGTCCAAAATTACCTAGAGACAGCCAATTTCCAGTACTATCCCGTCTTCCCAGAGCAGCTCCGAGGCCAAAGTGCAAAGTGGTGGGAAGCAAGGGCAGCAGGTCAAAAGCTGAGCCCCGAGCTCACCTGCCTCCTAATTCGTGTCTGTGCCGTGTCCACTCAGTACCTGGAAGCATCTCTCCTTCAAAGACTAGAAGCCGAACTTGGTGAGAAGGCACAAGTCATGACTGAACGCTTCCATGCTGCGGCCCAGAAGCTCAGTGCCTCGATTCCCCGAGGCAAGGGCGGTGCCGTACACGTGCAGCAACTGTTCCTCGAAGCGCAATGGTACAAATCTGAGGCTTGTATGGTCGAATCATGGCACTCTCTGAGTGCTGCCATCCGTGAGGCGCAGGAGATTAGTATGTCAACCCACCAGGTAGATCCAAAGCTGGTGACCCCTTGAACAGCTGCATCTGAAATAGTACTGACAGTATCATTGTTTAGATATGCATAGACCTTCCGAGGGCTTGCCAAACTTCGAACGGGAGCTGCGAAAGAGACTATGGTGCATCCTCTGGACCTGGGACTGGTAGGTCAAACCATCGGAGCTGACACAAAGGAGTACCATTGCTGACGAGCATAGGCAAATGTCAACTCTGCTTTCTCGACCGCTGATCATCGACCAAGACGACCACACGCTAGAAATACCGGATGGTCGACTTGAGAACATGACCGATCCCACTATTCCGCACGCTCTATCATCCGTCGCCCTACAAGCGGAACTTGGCCTTCACGTTTCCCACTTGTTCCAGAAGCTGGGCACAGCCTATTCCGTGGAACTCGTCCTAGAAATCGAAGAAGAACTTGAGAAGTGGATGGGCACATTTCCCGCTGCCCTTCGCGACCACCGACCCGACACCCGATGGGATCAGAAGCATCCCAATATTCCCTTCATGCGCTGCCAGCTCAACATTATCGCCTACGCATATCTGCTCGCGCCTCTAAAGCCCTACCTACTATCAAAAGCAGACTCAGAGATCATGAATTCGCCGCTGGGAACCAACCTGCGCACGAAGGGCGTCGACACCTGCCTCGACCTGATGAGGGCCTCGGAACAATTCTATGACCTTATATTTCCGGATGGCTTCAAATACTTCTTCATCATCTTCTTCATGTTCGACGCCGCTACCGTGCTGTGCTCTGCTATCGTGCACGATACCGAATACACCCTCCCCAAGCGGAGTCAACTAATCCGCGCGCTGCGAACCTCCCAGGAGCTGATGGACGCCGTCGCTCACCTTTCCGAGTCCGCTAGGCTGTCCGCCATGCTATTGCGGAAGCTCTCCTCAACCCTTCCCCTGACCGACGCGGAAAAGCAGGTCCTCGGCGTCGGCTCGTCTGCGCCCTCCTCGGCCAAGAAGATCAAGACCAGCCCCTCCTCATCCTCGCCGCCCGAGCGCCTCGCTGCAGTTGCGAGCTTCGGCGATGACTATGTGTTCAGCAGCGTCGGCACCACGTCTTCGAGTGTCCCGCCCTCGTCCATGGGCGCGACGCCGTACGACATGCCGCAGCTTACTCAACAAGCACAGGCACACGTGCAGTACGACGCCGCTCCATTCATGCCCCTGGCGGATGCCGGCAGAATGCCAGTGATGCCGGCTCCGGAGTGGCCATATGTAGACTATACCACCGGCCTGCCCGTCACTCAGCAACAGCAACAGCCCGCGGCCACCGCTGACGCTGCCACAGCGGCCCGGCAGCAGTTCCTCGGGATGAACCCCGGCGACCCGCTGTCGGGCACGTTCCTCGAGCCGCTCTGGGATTGGGACCACCTCAACATGGACCTCAGCCAGTATGCACACTTTCCCGCTAGTGAGCCTGAGTTCTGAGGGGTAGGTGCTTTTTTTTTTCGGTGGAGGGGAGGGGGGAGAAGAGCAGGCCGGCCTTTGGCAGGGCTCTGTTGTGATATTTCTTTTGCTCTGAACTTGGGGTATAGACTGTCTCGGCGTCTGAGTTTAAGGGCGCAACTGGGTTGTAATGAATCATGTCGGGGCCTAGGTTTTATATGCGTTGCATTGAGTAGCCAAAATACGTATTGATGACTCCGGATTAGCTACCGATGGGTGGCATTTTGGACGCTTACTGCGCATCGTGTCAGTGAGGTCCTGATGATTTTTTTCTGTTTCTCATCGTGATGTCATTTTGGTCACTTTATTGCTCCACAGCCTAATTACCTAGGTTCGTGAGCCCATATCGATGGCACATGTTGAAGACTCCGCTGAGGGAAGAGATAGAAAAAAGGGAGGAAAGATTGAAATGGAGAAAGAAATGAAGAGGAAGGGAAAACGAAAGGTGACTTTGTCCAGATTCTTCTACGATTGGATTATTCTACAACCAGGTTATGCTATGCCTAGGTTGTCTGACACCCAGGTTATTGTACTACCTTATTATGGGGGCACCGATCATGAGTTCCCAAAGACTGGTGCTGGCCCCAGCAGGCATTTTAGCTGATCTTCGCAACCAGGAACAAGGAAGCCACTTGCATTCAAGCTCTCCAAAGAAACAAGAGCTACCAGAGTCTGACGAGTGGACCGGAGGATCGATGTCCTTGATCTCCAAGACGCCTTAAGAATTACGAACGGTATGGGGGATGTTGTCATGACAGAGACGTCCACCTATGCGAGGAAGCCCATTACCTCCAGCATCCGACGGATTTCTTCTCATCAAGCGCTAGAACCGAGTCTTTTGCAAGCGTTCATGAAATTGGGAGGGAGAGTTCGGCCCATATTGACCCATACACTAATTAAGCCACACATCTCCAAGTGCGGACTTTTATACGACGGGACAGCTGGGCCTGGATGAGCAATTACCCATTCGGCCCGGCGAACGCCTCCAGCGCAGGAAAAGTGGGTTGCGCTCAGGTGCTTAACACCTGCAATATTGGTTCAGTATATGAGGCCTTCTTAACGTCAAACAAAACAATTGGGGCCCTGTGATCAGTTTGAAACCCACCTACACCAACGACGGGAGCGATTTACTCCGTCGTGGGTTAATACACGTATAGGATGTTCATCCGTATGTTCCTCCCCAAGCCACAAGACCCGCACGGGTCATGTGCGCATCTCCATCTGCGCAAAAGCGACAGAAACAGGTGCTGGCCCCGCGACCGTACTGGCTCTCTTGGGGAACTCATTACCGAACGCAGAACGGAACGGGCGCTCCGCCGCGCCAATCGGGCTATGAAGTCCCGTTTGTGGGGCCCTTTAATGTTAATTCGGACGCTTCCGCCTCGGGTCGTATTGGTTTGTACCGACTCTTGGCGGCCGCTCTGCTCACTGGCGACGGATGGCTGAGGCTCTCAATATGATAATGGGCAGCATCTGCTTTTTGGAGAGGTGTTTGTGTTTTCTTGTCATGCAAATCTGTGCTTCACATCATGATGCTCCCGACTGTGGCAAGCTGGTTCTCGTTGCTCCTGGCGCCATCCTTGGTGCTGGGGGATACACTCACTTACAAGGGAGCTGACAGTAAGTAACTAATTCGGGTGTACTTTCCCTTCTGGGCGACTCAGACGATGGCTTCATAACGTTGCAAAGGAAACGCCAGTTTCTAAGGACGTATTGACAGGTCTCTATTGACCGGGATCCCAAGGATCAACATACTGACATATCAAAGTTTCGTCCCTCTTGATGCTTGAGGCTCAAGGCAAAACCTACAAGACCACCGGAGGTGTCACTACGCCACTCGAGAAGATCCTAGCATCGTCGGGCGTCAACTCGATCCGTCAGAGGTTCTGGGTCAACCCAAGTGATGGAAACTACAACCTGGATTACAACTTGAAGCTCTCCAAGCGAGCCAAGGCCGCCGGCCAGAGCCTGTACCTCGATCTTCACCTCAGCGATACCTGGGCCGACCCTTCGCACCAGGTAAGACGAACCCAAGACAGCATTGCACCACAGTAAAGCCATCAAAGACTGACTCTCTCTTTCCACAGGCTGCTCCCGCCGCCTGGGATGACTCCACCATCGACAAGCTGACCTACACAGTATACAACTACACCCTGGAGGTCTCCAACGCCTACGCCAGCGCCGGCCTCAGCCCCAGCATAATCTCCATCGGCAACGAGATCCGCACGGGGCTGCTCTGGCCACTGGGCGGGACATCATCGTGGTACAACATCGCAGCACTACTGCACTCCGCGGCATGGGGCATCAAGGACAGCAAGCTCTCCCCCAAGCCCAAGATCATGATCCACCTCGACAACGGCTGGGACGCGGGCACGCAGACGTGGTGGTACAAGACGGTGCTGGGCGAGGGCCCGCTGGTGGCGTCCGACTTCGACATGATTGGCGTCTCGTACTACCCCTTCTACAACGCGCAGGCGACGCTCGCGAACCTCAAGAGCTCGCTCACCCAGCTCGCCTCCGCGTACGGCAAGCAGATCGTCGTCGCCGAGACCAACTGGCCCGCCAGCTGCCCGAACCCCCAGTACGCGTTCCCCGGCGACGCGGCGTCGATCCCGCGCAGCGAGGCCGGCCAGTCCACCTGGCTCCAGGACGTGGCCAACGTGGTCAAGGGTGTCAAGGGCGGTGTGGGTGTGTATTACTGGGAGCCTGCCTGGATCGGCAATGCGAACCTGGGTTCTAGCTGTGCGGACAACTTGCTGGTCGATGGGTCTGGGAAGGCCAGGCCAGGAATTGCAGCTTTGGGGTCCATGTAGACTGGAAGCTGAAGTCTTGGTCACGTTCTTGTAGATAAATTTGTATGTTGACTTTGTCAACAGGGTCTGCTCGCCTGCAAATATGCCTTGGATATCAATGAGTAGTCGCCTCGTTCAACCACATGACTATGAAATGAAACGCTGATTTAGGTACTCTATCGATCTTAAATCTGCCTACACAGCTCTTGCAAGACTTGGGTTCTTCTCACGGTTTGGAGATGCGAAATTGGAATTACCTGGCGACATATTGTGTGACAAGGAATAAGCTCAGTCCCGATGTCTCAATGAAAACTTGATTGTACTATGAAAAAGCCATTTTTGAATACGATCGACATAAAGTGGCGATAATTTATTAGCGGGAGCAAGTGTTTACTGAGATATTTAACGAATTGCCCACCTTAAGCCCCGAGACGTCCCACAGACCCCCAAGCGAAGACACCCACATGCGTCCAACGTTAAGTAGCAAAATCGTCGGCCATTAAAGCTCTCGTAAGGCTTCCTCACATTTCTCTTGGAGTTCTTGCTGGAACTCAAAACCATGCATTGCAGCTTTCTGAACCTTGACTCTGTAGTCCTCCTGAGAAGGGTCCGCTTCTCTCAGAATATCGGCAGCCTTCTGAATCTTTTCCTCGTACCGTCTTCCAGCCCAGTATACGACCTTGGCGCACTGTGAGAAGGGAAGCCAGATATCGTCGCATTTTTCTGTTTCTGTAGAGGCGTCAACATACAGACTGCAGGGATCTGTACCAACGTCCTTCATTTCGACGTCCCCTTTCCCATGCTCAGTTTCCTGTGTCTGCACACCCATCTCCCGGGTCTTCTTTGCCTGAGAATTTTGCTGTGGAACGTTTCCCATCGCTGTTGTGGGTATTGATGCCTGACTCTTGGACGCCAAAGAACGATTGGTAACCGCGAGATCACTTTCTGGAGATGCTTTGTCTGCGCCGGACTTTACGGCTGCTATGCCCTGGGACCTTGGATAGATGCACGGTCTCTCGTCTTTTTGACATGGGCCACATGTTGGCTTAGATTTGTCGCATTTGCGCTTCTTTTTTCTACAACGCATGCAAGCGCTCGTTGCCAGTTCCTGATTGTGCACTACGGACCCCGATGGATTTGATTTTGTAGCCGGTGAGATTATTGAGGACACCCGCCCTTGATCTGGAGCTGTATTTCCATTGCGTTGGGTACCTTGAGACATTCTAGGGCGCCTCGTCATGGCCGGAGTCTCGGATTGCTGGCTTCTTTCTGGGACCGAGCCGACTTTTCTGTTGCGGGCTGCCGAGGCTGATCTTTCTAAAACGGATTCAGGGCGGCTCTGACCATTGTCTGGCTGCTTCTTGGAGTTTGGTTCCTCTCTGTCATTCTCTGTGGTTGAATCCACTGTTTGCTCCCCGAACGGTGCCCGAGCACTTGCGTTCACCAGATCCGGCCTTTCACCTAGAGGAGGACGAGTTGGAGCTGTTGAGCTTGGTGGCCTCGGCGAAGAGGCTGCGGTGGCTGATGCGAAGGGTAACTTGCGAGGTGGAGGGACTTGGTCGGACTCATCGTCAGCTTGAGAATGAGATTCTGCGGAAAACAGCGATTTCGATCTTTCATGGTTGGCAGCTTGCGATGTCCAGTCCGGATGCAGAGGGTCCAAGGATGACCTGGGAAAATCACGTCGAGCTGACTGGTCCATATCCAACAGTCTGCGCTCAATTAAGAAGAGTGTTTCTCCTCGTAAAACGTCCTCTGAGAGGCTTTCTCGATCCTCGAGGATAGTTCCATCCCTGCTCTGTGCAGCCAGCTCTCTGCCATCCACGATGGTGTGGAAATTGCGACTCATGTATTGAGCGGCGTGGAGACAGACTTCAAACATCTTTGTCTCGGGTAGAAGACTCAACGTAAACTCCCAACGTGTCTTCGGCTGGCGATATGGATATTTCAGCTCATTAGAAGGGTCGAGAACCTGTATCCTGATGGGAAATCCGCCCGCTGAGGCGGCGCGAGATCGTGAACTCATGTCTTCGGAGGGCGCAGTCGATGAGTGGCGTTGACTGAAGTGGTAGGTTCCCGAGCTCCTAGCACTAGATGCTGGAGATGGGACACGACCTGCCAGGCTTACGGACTCTCCCCGAGACACACTGCCATAGGAAACGCCGCGACCGTTGAGTTGTGCGAGGCGACCTTGAGGCATGAAATTGGCCATTGGGGCACGATGCACAGGACGTTGATGTAGATGCGTCATGTCTCCAACACCTGCCACGCCGGGATCCCTTCTGGACAATAATCCTGGCTGGCTGTGACCGTATGGAGGAGGGAAGCCTTGACGTTCCCGAGGCAAACTCAGTGGGTCGTGATAGCCTTGTCGTGGATTTTGTTCGAGAACAAGGGCGGCACTTGATGATCGTGGTGGATCTACAGCCGGATCTCTAGGGACAAAGACCCCGTGGGGTGCAGTAGAGAATGGTCTCTGAATAGGTTGCGCCCGACTTTGCATGTGGTACCCGGTAAATGGGGCTTGACTCGGAGGCCGCATTGGAGGTCGCATTGTGGAAGACTCAGAAAAGTCGCGGGAACGAGGCTGTGCGAATGACTGCTTAGACACTTCTCTAACCATGATGGGTGCGACCAAGTTCTTCAGCGAAACATGTCGCATTCCCACACCCTTTGACAAATAGCTGACTGCGGTGTGGAAGTCCTGGTGCTTGACGAGGAACAGTTGAATTGTTCTCAGGATGTTTCTGTGTAAACTGTCCTGTCCCTCTTCCAGTAGCGGCAGTGTGAACTGGAGCATCTTCTGTTCGGTAATGCTGTAGAACTGTTCGCCCCCGGTGGACTTCCGCTCTCGAAGCATACCGAGGTCCCATTGTGCCTTGAGAATAATTAGTCTAAGGATATGAGTTTCGATGGGTCCCAACTCACCAATGTGCTACCATCGACATGAATCTGCATTAGATGTTCATCTCGATCCCCATCTTTGAGCGTGAGGGTGGCGACTTGAGTAATGGGCTGGTGGTCGCCTTCCACCACAATACGGCCCAAATCCATAGAGTGGACTTTGGCTTCTTCTGAAGCCATGCTCGAAGTGTCTGTTGGGATGGGATCCGGGCTCGTGTCGGAGGTGAGCCTATCAATTAAAGGAGTCTCCAGGAATGAGGAGGTCCAAAGGAGACTAAAGGAGGCCAGAGAAGCAAGAGGCCCTTCGGGTAGTCCTCTTGCCGCAGATTGTAGATCTCAATTACGAACTATGATTGAGAAGAAGAGTCAGGGTGGAAGTTAAGAGGTACAGATGCGAAAGAAGAGATCTGAGTTTACCCATTGGGTCCTGAAGATGAGAGGCAGAGGCAGACGAAGGGACCAAGCCCGTGGAAGTGGACTTGAGTTGTCCTGGCAAAGGGAGAGGGAAAGTTACAGTCTCAGGTGCACTTGCAATTCTTGCATTTTGGTCATGTTGAATTTTCAAATTCGATTGAGCTGCAGTGACTACTCGATCTGAGGCAAGTGCCTTCCTCACCTTGGGCAGTATCATACCGTATCATATCGCATCACTCTTTGCCGTGTTTAAAAACTTCTGGACTCGGGAAGGAGCTGCAGACAGAGGTGAGAGGTCAATGAGCGCCCAGGTACCTGGGTACATGGGTACATGGGTACCTTCGTGCATAGGTGACAGTCCCTTGACTGGATGGTCCGTGCCCCGCTAGTCCCAAAAGTCATCAGCCTGCCGCCGGCAGGCTGCATCTTTTTGCGACGACCCAGCCCATCTCCCAGCTACGCTCCATCTACACCTATCTGCACCTGTACCTGCTCGAGTTCAATCCATCAGCCAGGCGCGTCGCAAATCAGGGACGGCTTCTCATCGAAGCTAACGATACCCTAGCCCCGGTCTTCGCGATTGGAACGCGAAAATAATCACCGTTTTGTTTGGGAAATCAACAGCACTGCGCCCCTTGCCCCGCGCTGTGGGCAGAGTCGGCCGCGATGGTACCTCAACGGCCCCCCGAGCACGTTATTGATCGCACTCCCGAGTACGAGGAGTTCATCAACAAGCTGAGAGAATTCCACACCGAGCGAGGAACCAGGTTCGACCCAGAGCCCAAGATCACCCCGTACCAGCTTGATCTTCTGAAGATCTTCAACCACGTCGTTCAGAGCGGCGGCTATGACAGGATCACCGACGAGAAGCTGGCCTGGCGCAGGGTCTGCGCCGAGCTTGGAATCCGTGCCTCCAACGAGGCAGCCGCTGCCTTCAGTCTTAAGACCGCCTACTACAAGAACCTTGCCGCCTACGAGATTCGCACCGTCCATAACCAGACCCCTCCACCTCCCGAGATCCTCGAAGACACATCGGCCAAGGGCGGCTCGCTCCTGACCCGTACGCTCAGCAACTTCAAGCCCAAGGATCGTCGCGATACCTCCACCCAGAACTCTCCTGCACCATCTGGCGACGATGGAACACCGGCGCGCGAGAGCAGACCAGAGGAGCCCCCCAGCACCGGCCGCGCTGCTCGAGGCCTGCGCCAGGCCCCGCCTCAGAGGGTCATCTTCCAGCCCGAGACCGGTCCGACGCGCCCATCGCGACATTCTTCAGCGCAACACCACACTGGTTCCGCGACACCCCAAGGCTCCCATAGTTCTCACAACCACGGCCACGTCAACTCTCAGAGCAACGGGCACGGCCAGTTCCAAGGCTCGAGCCGCACGCCCTCGCACCAGATGGCACACGCGCCCCTTGGCCAGATTCCCCAGCCGCATATCGTTCGTGGCGGCGCTTCTGCAAGTTTCACTCCCCAGAACTACGAGTACCAGTCTCCCACCGTCGAGAGGTTTCGACCCCCAGCGAACGTGCCATTGCCCCTCCGCCCCGTCGAAACACCGTCAAATGCGCCAGCAAAGTTTGCCAGGCCCAGACGCCCGTTGGATCCTGCACCTCCTGCCCCGAATCGACAGGCACCCCTGCCTGGAAGTAAGTTGTACCAGAATCTGGATCCTCCGAGCATGCACTAACCAACTGCATTCCTAGGCTTGCCGATTCAACCGTCTCCCTTCGATGGTCCTAACATCTACGCCCGATGTCTATATGCTCTTCGTTCTGGAATACCAGAGGAACAGTCGTTTGCTCTGCACCACCTCTTGAAGATATCGTATGAGAGGGGAGATCGGTACAAGTTCGACGCCTTTCCTGGATTGGCAGAAGGTCTCGTGGAAATGGCACTGAAAGTCGGAAGCCTCTTCTGGGACGTCAACTTCACAATATCATACGATCCAGAGGCCGATGGCGATGATATCGGGGAGCTCGACGGTGTCAATGGTACATCGGACATCATCGAGCGGATCGACCAGCTGAAGGCTCAGCCAGGACAGGATCACATACAGCCCGCCGACTTCGTCGACCAGATGATTCTGATCACAGAGGCTTCTCTTGCCATTCGAAACATGCTTATGCTGCGGGAGAACGGAGAGTCAATGGCTGAATTCCCTGCCCTGCGGGACCTCTTGTGCATCATTCTTCATTTGCCGTCCAGCGAGACCACAGTCGAGCTGAAGCATTGTGCGCTGGACATCGCTGAACAGCTCACCCCAGAGCTGGCTCTTGGTGCCCACGACCCTCTTTACCGATCGCTCCTTGCTCAGCTGATGTCGAACGATCGTGGCCAGATACTGACATCTCTACGCGCCCTTGGCCGCATATCGATGAACCTGGCGGAGGCAAACAAACTTGGCGATGTCCCTCTCGATATCCTGGAGACTATCATTGACTGGCTGATGCTGAATGACGATGAGCTCTTGGATGCCTGCCTTGACTTCCTCTATCAGTACACGGCTGTTGTGTCCAACGTCGAGACTCTGCTCGGATTCAGAGCGACCAAGCCAGACAAGCCAGAGAGTCTGGTGAAACACTTGGTCCGTCTTCTTTCTCATGGCGCTAAGCGCGTCGTGAAAGAACAGGTCATCAAGCCCGAGGTCTGCATCCCATACAGTGAGGAGGTGGCGCCGTTGCCCCAAGATCTACAGGAACGCCTCCTGGCAATGGAGGAGCCTGAGCGATGTTACATGTGGCTTCGATGTCTTTTTGAAGAGGACACAGATGCCAGTATCACGCAGATTGCCATTTGGACCGCCTACCAATCGTCATTTAGTAGCCGACTGTCTCAGATCGGCAAGACAATGATCTCGCCTGCAGATTTCATCAGAAATGTGAACCACGTGTGGACGACCGCTGGCGCACAAATAATAAAGGCTCCCAACGGCTCGAACCAGAAGTTCATTATTAAGGGAATCCGAGCTCGTACCCGACCCGTAGACCCGGACAACGACGGCAGGGAGTACTTCCGTTGCCTCTGGACCTTGCCGCTGAATCCGGGCCAGAAATTCCAGAAGTGCAACAACTTTTTCGCCAACGCAGAGAAGATGTACGAGCACATCCTGTTGACACATGTCCAGGAGAAGCCCGACGGGGATGGCAAGTACTTGAACAAAGAGTCAGACTACCGCTGTCTTTGGGCAGGCTGTCACAAGGTCACCGGCGACGATAATATGCTCCTTGGAACATTCATGTCGCACGTCAAGACACACCTGATGGCCGTCCAACAAAACTTCGAGCCTCTCATCGCCCCGAACCAGAGCAATGGCGCCTCAGACGCCACATCTAACAGCAGTGGCCCCAGCCCAACCGCCAATCCCAACAAGAGAGCCAAGCGGGGGCACTTCGTCCCTGCCAAGTCCCTTACGCTAACGTACGAGGAGACCATGACGGCGCGAGACGAGCGCAACCCCAACGGCCCGCTGCAGCCCGCAGGTACACCGTTCAGCGCGGTGCTTGTCCTGCGGAACATCGCGCGTAACGTGGTCAAGACGGAGGCGCAGGAGCAGCTCCTCGAGGAGCAGAACAGCCAGGGCGTGGACGAGAGGGCGCGCGGATGGAACGAGAAGCTCTTCCGTGTGGTGCTACCGCGCCTGCACGAGATCATGACGGAGAACCGCGTGCTGGCGCAGCCCATCTCGACGTTGCTGGAGCTCATCGATGACTCGGGCTAGTGGCCCCGTGGATTGCTTTCACCGACGGCGTAGGGTTACCCGAGGAATGCAGGAGCTCCAGCCATGCCTTTATCGACTGCGACTACGCTGCTCCCAGACCTACAAGGTGTGGAATACGGGCGAAGTCCTTTAGACGATCGTCCTCATCACCGGGAGGCTACGATGATGGAATACGACACTCGTGTGACATACCGGGACCAAGCGAAGAAAGATCACGTGAGGGAGGTGTGGCCTGGCTGGGCAAGTGAGAACGACGATGACATGACAGGGACTCGAGCTGACCGGCTCGCATATGAGCACTTGTCTTCGTGGTCAACAGATGAAGGCCGCAGATGCCTTCTGAACCGCTTGGTCTGCCGACGAGGATGTACTTGGAATTAAGGTTTTGGACCATTTTCTTTTCGACGACGGCGTTGATGATTGGTGGCGCAGGGAAAGCTTGTGAAAAGGACTTGGTGCTCATGGAAGAAGAGGAAATGCGTGATGTATGGATTAGACAGCTTACCGTTACCCTTCCCTAATTCTCATTTACTTCACTTCTGCATTTGAGTTCGGAGGGTGGTAGGCAGATAGATACCAGCCTTTAGTAGCTCTTTTCATGAATGAATGGCTTGATTGACCAATGTCTCCGTTCGGTGATTGCGTTGTGGCTGTGACAATGCGACGTTTTCCAACAACTGCGACTTTCTCGTCCGTTCTATTCAATGCAAGTCCAGGAAGCGAGGGAGCGGGCAGGTTGCACTCACGTGCGCGACCTGTCCTAATGAACATTACAGATAACGAATAACTCGGACGTCAGCTCCGCAGCCACAGTATCTGTTGAATTAGTGAATAGAAAGGCAAAGGCAGCACTATAGGAAAATCAGCCATAAGACAACCAGCCATGGGACAACCAGCCTTAGGATAACCGGATATAGAATTATCTCCTATGGAAGAGCGTCTGGTGGGATAGCCGCTCTTTTGGTAACCACTCTTGGGACAACTTCCCTTGGGATACCCATTTGTATAATGCTGTCCTGTTGGATGATCTTCTATATGGGGAACTAATTAAGTCACAGGGATTTTCGCGACGACGGCTGCACTTTTGGAGAATGTAGCGGTATCATCAAATAGAATATAGAAATCCAATTAACTCCGAAGAAAACTGATTTCATGCAGCTCTAGCTGCCCACCTTCACCGAAGATACGAATCGTCATCATAGACCGTAAATCTTGACACATTTCATGATCGTGACGTGGATAGCGCAGGTTGGAGAGCAGGGGAGTGGCTGAGGTAGACAATCTGGGTGTTTTTGCGGCTGCCTGGCCGCTGACAGATGCGACGTGGTTTCTTCTTACGCGACCCGGTGGGCTATAAAAAGTGGCCACCCTGGATTTCATGAGGTCAACAACACCATGTTAGATCCAAAGCCTCTCTGATATATCTTTTCTGATATAAGAAAAAAAATGGAGACCCCGGGGTATTCTATCGCATCATCAGCATTCAGCGCTGCCTCACAAGATCCTCTTCCTCAACCGAGCTCAGCGTCGGGACCCATGTGCTTCCCAAGGCCCAGCATCGGCCACATATGTACACAATGTCGCAATATACCCTTGGAGCTGCTCTTGCTTGGGTCAAGTTTCTTCTCTAATCGTTGCAAGGCCAATCATACTGAAGGCGAACATTGCAAGGGGAAGCACAGCATTAGGTGTGATCACTGCCAATCGCCGATCCAAGATGTGCACCACCACTGCCATACCTGCAACGAAGGGGACTTTGACATCTGTTCCGCTTGCAAGGAGAAGGGCAAACACTGCCTGCGAGAAGAGCACAAGATGGTAAAGCGGGTGTTCGATGAGGGGCTTGTCCGCGAGGTTGATGAAAGCGGCCCCACGCGTTATCATCCGGGGATCACGCGGGAATTGATTGAGGAGTGGTCAGTGAGGCCCTATCGCTTACACAAAAGCTTTAGGGACCTTGTAGCTTCTGCTGATGGCGGTTGTCACTCGTGTGCCACACTCGTCACCCGGCTGGATGGTCAAGTCGACGACGCTCGGAGCGATAAAGCAGTTTATATTGAGAACCGGCCGCTATTCCTTCCACCCGATGTCCGACATGTCATTGGGATGTTTAAAATGATGGCCTTGGAGCCAGATCTGGACAATGAGGCTGATGAGGGCCTACCAACTGTGGTCGTTGCCGTTCGCGCCGAAAGAGATCCTGAAAAGCCAATTTTCTGGGACCCGACTCGAGATGTCGCTGTGGAGTATCTCTCTTTTGAGATACGAGGGGATGATCGATTGTACCACTCGAGGCACATTCATTGGGGCCGCGGAAATGGTGAGCCACCCACGATTCGTGCGCAGACCTTCTGAGAATGCTGACAGACAATCAGTGCGCCGGCAAGTGTCGCCCATAGTGGACGCTGGTGACAATCTCAAAGTCATTAGCTCTTGGCTTCAGTCATGTCAGACCAGCGACTCTAGATGCTCAACCTCGAATCAGGAGCTTTTCAAGCCTACAAGACTGATTGACGTGGGCGACCCTGGTTCAAGTAACGGAAACCCACGTCTGGTCAAGGGTGACGCCCTCGAAGGGGAGTCGGCCGCGTATGTCGCGCTGAGTTACTGTTGGGGCATTAAAGGGCAGCAGCATCCTTGGATCTTGACCAAGGAGAAGCTGAAAGTATTTGAAGATGGGATACCATTCGATGCGCTGCCAAAGACCATCGCTGACGCTCTAGCTGTCACGAGAGCGAACAATATCCGGTACCTTTGGGTTGACTCAATCTGCATTGTCCAAGATGACCCCGAGGACTGGGAACATGAGGCTTACCACATGAGCCGAGTCTACTCAAACTCACTCTTCACCATCATCTCGGGATCTGATAGCGCCACTGGCGGTCTTTTCCTGCCCCGTGACCAGCTCAAGGTCAGCGCAGCCGAGGTCACTATTGGCCCGGAAGCAGGATCACCAACACATCAACTCGTGATGTACCCTTCTTTGGTCGGCGCAACTGACACAACTGGAGGAGGGGCGACTTCCAAGCGTGCATGGTGCTATCAAGAGGAACTTCTCTCGGCGCGGCGACTGTATTTCTCCAAGAACCAATTTCAGTGGGCGTGTTTGTGCTCCCAGCACAACGAAGCTGGGAGGCACTGCCCCGGCGATTTCAAGTCAACATCTTACACTACGCCAACATACGATGCGGAAATCCTCTATTCTGGCAGCAGAGTCATTGGGGAATGGTATAACCTTGTTATGGAGTATACGTCTCGGTCGCTCACATACCACGGCGACATTTTTGCAGCCCTGGCTGGTATTGTCGCAGCTCTCAAGACCAAGTACTACTACGATGATACATGCAGGTACCTGGCTGGCATGTGGGAGGATGATATGATGCACGGCATCCTATGGCAGAGGGTAGGCAGCTCTCTTGCTCGCCCGTCCGAGTTCCAAGCTCCGAGCTGGTCCTGGCTGAGCGTGCAAGGCAGTGTCATCTATGGCCGGAAAGATCCGTTAGGGGCTTCGACGGATGCTGAATTTCTTGGTTGCGAAATCAGTACCCTGAACGGGAATGAGTTCGGGACAGTAGCGCCAGGAGGAAAGTTGCGCCTGCGGGCGCGTCTGTTGTCCTGCGAAGTCGCCGCAGTAAACGACGAGCAGGACATAGAGAAATTGCATAATACAATGCAAGACTTGCCTGTGGAAGAGACGCCGCTTCGCAGGAAAAAGGGGTCAAGCCGAACTGAAAGCCCTGACTCTGCCGATCCTGACCGCCAAGAAGCCCACGAGGGCGAAGATGTAACAGACCAGGGCCACGATACAATGGATGACAGCGAAGCTGGAGAAAAGGACGATGACGAGCCGATTACCGAAAGCGAAATCAGTGATTCAGACTCTGACACAGGTTCGGGATACGTTCTCCGAAGCGCGCCTTGGGAAGCGCCAGATCCAACAGGACCTGTCAGGCCACCCGGCAACCGTCTCGACATGATCGCCCGCGTCAGACTATCTACCGGCCGTGAATTCGCCACAGTCTTTTTCGACGGGGAGGAAGAAGCCCAGACGAAGCAGTTCTTCGTCGCTTACATCAATGCAGCGGAACGGCCCGCAGGTGTCATGGACCGAAACGGCGTCGCGCTTGTGCCCGCAGAATCCCGGACACACGAAGGGGCTGCGGTGTATAGGAGGATTGGGTTTGTGGCATTCTGGGACAAGTTACTAAAGGGCGATGGAGATCTGGCATTCTTGGACGAAACAGAGAAGACGGAGATTGTATTGGTGTGATAAGAAAGAAAAAACACTTAGTACACCCCTGCCACTCACCGAGGGAATATGCTGCGATCTATGCTACTTCAGCAATTTCGGGTTATCTTTGTCTTGACAATGACTAGACTCTGGTTAAATATACTCGAATGCTCCCGAGACTATACTTCCGGGCCGGACCCGTCCGACCAGACCTCCTGTGTAAATCTCCTGTAGGGTAACCTCCTATGGGATAACCTCCTATGGGATGACTTCCTATGGGATAAGTTACAGTGGGAGAACTTTATACGGAAAGTGAACACCTTACATAGGGTTCTAGCATGACTCATTGCAACTTTTGAGAGTGTGACGGTGTTGTTCCAAGAGTGTATGTAATATTATCGGTCACATGAATAGCTTCCCCGTGGTACCATAGGTTCCGCCGGTGGTATTGTGATATGAATTTGAAGTTGGGGTTCAACTACTAGAATAAACTGCGATCGCAGGCTCGATTACTCGCATAACCTGCGATCGCAGGCATAGTGATTCTCCTTTTTTTTTTTTTTTTTTTTTTTTTGTTATCCTCCGGCAAATTGGATCCATTGGCCATTTTGAGAGTATACTAGTTGTCCCTGCGAACCTGCGTCTCTGGACGATGAAACAGCGTGCCAGACACATTTGGACAGAAACCCTTATTATTTGCATTCTGCCGAATATCGAAAAATATGAATGGCTTTGCTGAGACGAGGATAGGAAAGCCCTCCAAGCTCCTTTGACGCGGCGAAGCATAATTCTAACCATCCCCATTTTTGTTTTCCCCTGTCACCTTAATTAAATCGCAGCTGAAACGCCCCATCTTTCCTCATTCACTTTGGTGAGATGCTGAAATACCAATTGGGAATATATCTCATCCTGTTACTCCCCCCCCTCGTTCCTCCCTACCTTAGTAGCGCAACGATACATGCTAACATCTAGAAGTCACGTACAAGACAGCCGGGTCCTTGAAAAGCGATGTCCGCACGAAGACTGACCAGGGCACTGAGACTGATGCAATTTGGCTTGGACCCAGGCCACGATCCTTGTCTTCGGGCATGGTTATATCTAGGTACCTCTTTCCAGCGGGAACAGGTATTTCGAAGAACAACGGCTCTGTACCAGCTTTGACTGTCCCGAAATTAGTCGGAGTAAAAGTTCCCGACACGGGTGAAGTACCTGGAGATATAGCCCTTAGTTCCTCTCTTCGGATGGTCCTCGACTGTTGGCTGTCTGTTTCATAAACCCAGATCTTGGATGCCTCGTTCTTGTTGCGTGCTCTGCGCCCGCTTTTCTCGCTTGTACCGGAATCGACTCGACTTGGTGACATATTTGATACGGCGTGCAAGGTTGAACTTGGCTACAGAAAATTGCTAAGCTTCTAGAGAGCCAAATTCAAAAAACACTCGACGATGTAGGGGTTGGTAAGCTTTCTTGAGTCGCTTGGTGGCGAAGTTCGCTAGCAATCTTGGTAATGGTGCAAATGATCATGATTGAGTTGTTGGGTTTTGACAGGCTAGTCGGTGCCATGGGCATTACCGGCTTTTTGTGCCGTCTGTTGTTACACAGAGTGGAGGCAGTGCTGAGATTTCCGCCCCAAGATGACACTGGTTGGCCCACGGGTGGGCTGTTAGGCAGCCAAGATGCTCGAAGATCACGAATGACCAGATTTCTGACGGGTGATTGTCCATTTGCGAAAGGAAGTGTGGCAAGCGGGTGCGCCATCTGAGGTACCACCTGGGCAGAAGACGGCCTGTGCAACGTACCATCGTCACCATTAGACATGACGGGGTGACAATATAAATCCTGCAGGTCTCTGGAACATTTCATGACTTCTTGCATCTGATGGGCTGACACCAATTCCCAGCTGCCACGTATCAAGCCTTCCCTTCCCTGGAAGCATCGGCGAACGAGACCTTCACCCGTCCAACAGCCTAGACATAGTCAAGTCAGGTACTCAATCTTGGGAAACCTCTACAGAAATTTCATCTGAAAATTATCTTGCGTTTGTCGGGAACTTGTTTCAATACTGACTCATTGTCTACAAAGCTGACATCGTATAGGCAGGCGGTGCAAATGACAAATATGGCTTATCTCTTGGACAGCGAAGTAAGCATCCCGGTGGGACCTGACCCGTGCAGTAAATCACTTCAATTACGGCAACTCGATTGCATACAGCATGCACGCAATACGCCTTTTCAGCTTGAAGCCCGAATCATGCTTTGCTGTCTGCAGTCCAGCCGCCCAGAGTTGTATTGGATATCATGCTGTTCAACCATACAAGCCAATAGAGCGATGCAAGACATGCAGGTCGAGCATACGGCCCCTCAATTCTTCTACTCGATGAAGAATGATTGCATAGGGGCCTTGCAAGTGGTTGTCAGCCGTTGATTGCGGAAAGACAGTGGCTCAATGCCATTGAGGCTCAACAACAAAACTTGGTTTAGAATGAATAGCATTCTCCCGATTCGCTGATATTGTAAGATTTCCTAAGAGTTCGTCAATACTTTTACTAGTCGCCTAGACGTAGCGCTCTGCCCCAAGTCTCCTGTTGACATCCGTCCTTTCCGATTGGCATCAACAGTTCAGACGCTGAGTGCTAGTCCACAATGACCAGCACACAGCCCCAATTTGACTCACAGTCCAGACTGATGGTCAGCGATCAGGGGAACGAGAGGCAAGCATGGGCTCCACTTGTTTTGTCCCTGGGTAAGCGTTCATTATCCCGTCCTCTATGAATATATGAAATTGTCCCACAAGAAGTCATCCCGCAATTTTCGTGGAAGTTTCTTACCATCATTTTGTGTCTGACGTTTATCAGATGGGGGAGGCGTTCGGGGCCTCTCGTCGCTCTATATAATCCGAGACATTATGCGAGAAAGTCCAGGAAATTGATGAGAAGAAGCCAAAAGAAGACAGGCTGGAGACGCAGCCGGGTCTGCCTCTCCCATGCAACTACTTTGATTTCATCATTGGTACAAGTACCGGTGGGTAAGTATCTTTACTTCGTTTTTCTTCGATTGTTATATCACTGCTCCTGTGATTGACTTGTCAAAGTCTCATTGCAGTGATGCTTGGACGACTGAGAATGGATGTTGAAGACTGCATTCAGCAATACTGGATCATGAGCATCAAAATCTTTCGACCGTATCATATACGCCTCATACGGATGTACTCTCGTAGAGTTGTTCAAGAATCGGCGAAGGCTGTTGTACGAGCCTTTTGTGGCTGTCACAAAAGGTCGCATTGTCGTGGTCACGAAGCGTTGCGGCAATACGACTTCGAGGAAGAGTTCGAGCAAGGCCCTCTGGAAAGAAGAAACAAAACATGCAAAGTGTATGTATATCAGTCCACCAGGGTTTTATTTTTCAACTTGCTAATCTAGCTGGATTTTGAGGGCTGTCCTGACAGTTCGAGAGCAGGGTATCACAGACTTTCAAGGAAGCCGTGAAGATACGAACATCTTGTTTCGATCGTACAATCACCGTCCTAGACTCACAGACAACAACCGAGATCTTAATCCGAAGAGTCTACATCACTCAAAACTAGCAATTCACGAGGCTTGCTCAGCAACCACGGCGGCTCCGACGTACTTTCATAGCGTCCGTCTCAGAGGAAGAAAATACATCGATGGCGGTGTCTGGGCAAATAATCCCGCTATGATTGCGTGGAATGAGGCTGTATCCATGGGGCGGTCACCGCATAGCAACAATGAAATATCAGTGATGCCAAAGATGCTGCTCAGTATAGGAACGGGCGCGCGGACCGAGGCATCAAGGTTGGGCCTCTCAATTGTGGGCTACGGGTTCCGCAGCATCACAAGTACTACAAAAGATGAGGGGCTTGCACAGGACGCAGTAACAAATAGTCCAGGATCTCACTATTTCCGTTTCGACGTACCGGAGACACAGAGAGGCGGAGGGTTGAGCAAAATTGGCCTCGCAGAGTGTAAAAAACAAAGAACCCGTGGACTATTTCGCAGGCAATCTTTTGACACCACAACGCAAAATGGCATATCTTTGGTGGCATCAACAAGCGAGACACAAGGAATTACAACATCTGACATTGCAATACAGAGCGCTCGGGATAGGGACAAACAACTTCAACAACGCGTCGCAGCCAGCAAGACAGGCAGCAAGACAGCCTTTGACCCACAGACTTTCACCTACAAGACATTCGACAGAATACGGGATCGGACAATCCACTATTTACATTGCTTGGAAACCGACCCTGTTTGTGGACAGACAAGCACAGAGAGATGTGCGCTTTTACTCTGGCAGACTGCCTGGGAAAGGAAGAACATCACTGAGACCAGATGGCTGGAGTTTAGGAAGCATCCAGACCCAAGCTTTCGAAGTGCAGACACTCCAGCAACTTCCAGTACCGCCTCCCCGCAGACAGCCCAGCAGTGATATACTGCTCATTTTTTGCTTGCTTGTATTCCTAACGCAATCACACGGCGTGGGCGTGTGGTGCTACTCTAGCGTAAAAGACATGAGTACGGAGTGAGAGATCGAAATACAGAACAATACCATTTTCTGCGCCCGTTCTAGGGGCTTCTAAGTCCCTTTTTGGAGACAAGTACTCGTATACCGACCTTTCTCACGGCATCTTCCTCAGCCTGGGCCTCTGAATTTTGTCTACTGCTGCCGTTCAGCTTTTAATAATGTGATAGAAGCACTGTCCAGGGGAGTGATTTGACAATAGGTGACCTGCGAGCCAGGTAAGACACGCTACATCGCCACCCTGCAGCCAAGGTGAGAGATACTGGCGACTCGTGGCTGTGACGAGCTAATGCCAGGCCCCGAGTCGTTGTCCCTTACCCGTTTGGCCCGTATAAAAGTAGCGTGCTGGCTTCTGGAGGGTTTTGTCCTGGTTGGCTGTGCTTTTTGCTGTGCGGGCCATCCATCTGCATGACGGTTGGGGGTGGTACTTTCTGGTTAATCACTACGTGAAGACCCCTAGACAGCTTCGACGTGGATTTCAGAATCCCTTGTCAGTTGCGTCCGAGCAGAGCAAGTCTTCTATGACCACAGCAGCAGGCACATAGAACTCATGCAGCTGACCAAGTTGCCATGCCGTCTTGTCGCAGTGTGTATGGGGTCTCAAGTCATAGCTTTGACGGTTGAGGTTGTCAGTGGCATCAGACGCGAGGAGGCGTGAGCCGGAGCTCCCGACAGACATGACAAAGCAGGAACTTTCTGTCTCCTGAGCACCACAAAAAAACATAGAAATTACATGCCATGCAGGCCCGAGATCGCCTGCTCGGGGAGCCCATCTTCCTGAACTGACAAGCCGTTTCACCGTCAATATTGCCAGGCCGTCCAATCTGGGAACCGACGAATGCAATTCCCTCAAACTACCCTCCTTGAGCAGGGTCCAGCAGGGCGGCTGTGACCCGCACGTGGGGAGACACACCAAGCATAGCATGTCAGCTCGGTGGTGACACTCACATTTTATTACGTTCTTTGTGGACTGGATGTTATGCAGCACAGAGCGTATCACATGTATCACGAGGATCTCACCGGGCCATGGATCAGAAGAAATCACCATGGCAGATGCCACTGGATAAATGTGCTCGGCCACATACAGGCCTAGACCAACGTAGCTTGCGGCTCAAAACGATCATTTCACTAGCACAGAAACAGCGCAGGACCACCTGTAGCGTATCGCCCAGAGCTGCAGGACATGCATCGGCTGGTGCGGGTCGGATCCGCGGGCACGCGGGATGGGCGTGGCATAGTGGACGATGGCGCGGGTGGTCCCCCGATTAGCTGGCTCACTAGGCCAGAAGGAAAAGGCTTCATCTCGTTGTGGAAAGATATCCATGTTCCATTTTTAGTGCCGGGGCTGCGCGTGGGCGGGTGTCTTTGTGAGTACCGCTCTCCCGTAATCCTCAAGAATCTCGGTTACGAACTGAACTGCCACCGGCTTCGTATGACCTCAGCTCCAGCCACTCAATCTCATCTCGTGATGAGATCTGCCAGAGGCCTCAGCACCGTGAAGGGTTTGCCACTAGAGCCTTTCTAACAACCCGTCGGGGTGAGTAAGCTGGTACTTCAACTCTGCGTTACGTGGTCTGGATGACACCAAATCCCGCACCCTCGGCGCCCCGGATCTGCAAAGTCCTCCTTCGACGAGTTCATGAGGGGCGAATGTCGTCCGTTGGTGACAGGGGAACAGGGCAATGGGCAGGGCTTCCCCACGCCTTTTGCAGGCCTGCCCTGCTCGCCTGTCACATTTGCGTCTGCAGCTCATCAGGATGCAGCACACCGCCGTGTCAGGGGAGCGAGCCCAAATTCCCGGGCCTGCCAGGCCGCCAGGTAGAGTGCCGAATGGTCTGCTCAAATGTGAAAGTTCAGAAGGGACACAGTGGGCCTCCGATGACAGTCTCCCCAGCTTCTATGTAAGGGTCCTCGTGGGGCCGGGCCGGAAGAACTGACCCACCCCCGACTTTTGGGCTCGACCAGCATTGAAGGGGGTCTGTTTGTAGAGACCCAGTGGGACCATCAACTTTATCCTGACCTCACTCGACGGCTTGTCAAGCGTCCAGCAGCCTCCGAAATAGAACATGACGAGTTCCATTCGATAGGTCTCACCCAGATGCCCAGGGTCCATGAACACCAAGAAGCCGTCCTAAACATCGCGGGTCCAATCCCGCCAGGAACAAAACACTGCTAGAAACGCTTGGCGTGCGGGAGTCCAGAGAATTACTACAACGGCACTGGTTCAGGCACAGGGTTGGGAGGTGAGTCGTCTTGAATCAGGCCCATCCATGTCTCCATCTCATCCTGTCGACCCTCCTTGCCTGACTGCGGGCCTGAGTCGACCTGTTCTTAAGCCCGTGACTGCATCATTGGATTGCTGTTTGTGTAAACAAACGTGAAGTTTCCAACAGGCAGACCCCCGAAAACATTATGATGAATGATCTGCAATGTGCTACTCTCTGGAGCGCAGTCTCTAAGCTTGAGATTGAGTGCACCGTTGAACCTTGCGTGTGTCAGATCCTCTCCACAAACGTTTGATGCCCTCCAAGTGTCCTTCAGATCTGAGTATTTCCGCGCGCACAGCATCTCCTACTCGGCTAACCACCTCGCGCATGCCCCGGCGCACCCGCGGCGGCCACACCAGATTCGGGGCTGGGTACGCTGGAATCAGCACTGCGCAGTCTCGCGGAAGCCCCATGACGACCGGCTTATTCACCCGCGCCGAATCTTCACTTCTAATCACAAGGGCTCGCATGGCTTGGGCGGAGACGGCCGTCTGACTGCAAGCCGCACTCAGCCTCGTGCAGTGCACCCTGATCTCGGGGCACGGAATAAGACCTATCACCAGCCTCATCTGGGGCGGGGCTTGGCTTCGTAGAGCTCATAACCTTCTTTTCGCGGGAATTTACCGAACTCCAGCGTTTGGGCAGTCCGCAGAACCATGAAAGACTTCTCCAGCACTCTGACTTGCAGCACATCCTCGTTTGTAACCTCACCAGAGACGGTTCTATGAGCTAAAAAGCTCTTGGCCGCAATATGAGAACTTGACACCAACGAATATCTAGATGTCGTTTGTTCTTTCGCTCAGAGATACTATGCACCTAGGCTCTAGAACTACATCACGGGAGATCGAAGCCGGAAGAGTTTACATGTGTCCACCAGATACTCCGCGCACGAGTTGAGCAATGTGTTCGAGTTACTCCTTTTGGCTGGGCGTACCCACGGTGTCAGCTTCTAGAAGCAGCATTTTTATTCCGCCAACCTAAACGTTGCAGACCCCTCCTTGACCGAGCTGTCGGCTTGAGCGGGCAGCTCGTCAATACGAACGGAGAAGCGAGGAGCAGAAGTACTACATGTTATTTACTACATTCGGCGAGCTGAAGGCCGGAAACCGAAAACGAAAGGGCCATGTGTGATCCATTACCCCCCACACCCCCACACCCTCATCTCGCAAACAGATCCAAGCAGCGCCATGCGGTGCCGCCGTGAACTCACTGACATCAGCGCTACCCACACCACAGATTGCTGTGTATCGATCACTACTGCTCGAACTTAGCTGCCTGACAGCGACAAAGGGTCTGGTCGCATTGCCGTGATCTCCACTGCCAGACACAGACTGACAAGCCCGGCACTGCAGCCCTGCAAGGACCCATGTCGATGTTTCCTCGCCGCCTTGACCGGCATCCGACCTCACTTCTTCTTCTGCTTTGAACCTTGGTGTACGTGATTATTTCACTGCTATGGTCAGCAGAAACATCCCCTAGTCACTCTTGTTACGCCTCCCCTGAGACATATGCCCAGACTACTATCAGCCCGACCGATTCAGATACTCCTGTCCCATGGAGCAGCTGAAGGAGAACTGCTGCACGCACGACTGTCACCCTCACTCTTTATCCCTCGCTCAAGCCTCAGCAGCTCTTACATATGAAGGCGTTTGTAGCCTAACCGTCATCATGGTCCTCGCGTTGTGTTTTGATCCACTGTGTTTATTGTACCAAACACCCTTCACCCGCTGCTACCGAGAGTCTAGAGTATACTTGTCCGCTTCATCTCTCACATTGTCTCGTTGAGCCTTGCTGCTTCTCAGTTGCAGCTTGAACACAATCCGCGCGCCAAACACCACCACACTGACTTGAGGGCACACCACGAAATTCCATTCACCAGTCTCGCATCCTGCTGAACGATCACTGTCTGCATACCCCTGGATTGTGAATTGTTTGTCCCACCTTCTGAGCTGCGCAAGTGAGGGTGCAGCGCAACTCGCAGGCAGCCCAAAATACTTAAAGCCTGTGAACCGATTACCAGACTTCCCTCCCATTCCTTACCAGCCACCAACTGTTGTCGTCGACTTTCAGACAAGACACCTCGCAATCGACCACAGTTTTTCAAGCAATCAGTCACTTAGCGATCTTTGCTATACCGAGTCTCGTTTGCCAATCATGTTTGCAGCACGCAACGTCTCGCGCATGGCGCGCTTGGCTCCTCGCCAGACTCCGCTCCTCGCGCGAGCCACACCCGCTTCGCAGCGCGCCCTCACCATCAGTTACCCCGTCTTCAAGGCAAACCCCGTGAACGAGACCCAAGTCCCGGCCACTGTCTACTCTCCTGAGGGCAAGATGCCCGGTGGAATCCAATTCTCGATCCCCGTGCGACCTGAGGATCGAATCGGCCCCGCCGTGCCCGAGACAAACGAGATGGAGATCCTGTCCACCCTCTCCGACGAGTCCTACAAGAAGCTCCCTGCGACTGTCAAGTCCATGACAGTGAAGGGCAAGGTGATCATCATCACTGGGTAAGTTTCTCACCACCTCACAACTGCAGTCCATTCACTTCACTTTCGTCTCACCTTCACCCTCCCACACCTAACCAACATTCTTTATTTCTGTCTGTCTGAAAACGCCTTAGTCTAACTCCTCTCCAGTGGCGCCCGTGGTCTTGGAAACTACATGGCGCGAGCCTGCGCAGAGGCCGGCGCCAAGGCCATCGCCCTCTTCGACGCCAACCAGGAGCTCGGCGACGCATCGGCAGCAGAGCTGCACCAGAAGACGGGCCTCCCCGTGACCTTCTATAAGGTAGACGTGCGCGACGGGGGCGCCGTCAACGCAGCAGTGCAGTCCGTGAGCGACACGTACGGCGTGCCCGACGTGCTGATCAACTCGGCGGGCATCGCGGACAGCAACCTGCCGGCCGAGACCTACGACGCGGCCATGTTCCGGCGCCTGGTGGATATCAACCTCACAGGGTCGTTCCTGATGGCGCAGGCGGTGGGGCGCGCGGCCATCGCGGCGGGCAAGGGCGCCTCCATCGTGCTGGTCGCGTCCATGAGCGGCAGCATCGTCAACTACCCGCAGGAGCAGTCGTGCTACAACGCCAGCAAGGCGGGCGTCGTGCAGCTGGGCAAGTCGCTGGCCGCCGAGTGGGCCAAGTACAACATCCGTGTCAACTGCATCTCGCCTGGCTACATGGACACGGCGCTCAACAAGGTCCCCGCCCTCGATGCCCAGAAGAAGATCTGGATGGGCCTCACGCCGCAGGCCCGCCTTGGCAATGTGGACGAGCTCAATGGCCTATGCGTCTTCCTTGCTTCGGATGCGTCCAGCTTCATGACTGGCAGCAACTGCATCATCGACGGCGGATACTCCCTCTACTAGGTGCCACTTTCATTTTGTCATTGCGGCATCTGTATTTGACCTTTTCAATCACTTTGGTTTTACGGCGTTTCATTTCTTTCCTGTCGTTTTTAAAAGACCACACACATACACAAGAAAGATACCCCACACCAAAAAGATTAGAAAGAGATTCAGGAGCGAGAGCGAAGTCTTTTTTGTCTGTTTTCCCCCGCGGCTATACTATCTCAAGTGCTGAGCTAGGGACCGCGGCAGTTGGAGTTCGTGCTAGATGGATGGATCGACTGCATGGAAACGTCTGCTTTCCTTTCTCACATGGTTTCGGCATGATCGTGGCTGGCTTCTTGTTTTCGGTGGTTTGTCATCTATGGCGCCTTTTTATTCTTCATTTCTCTTTTTGCAGCAGTAGAGAGCATCGCAAGCGATTTTCTCTATTTTTCGTTTCAGGGCGTTGGCACATTAGTTTTCGATTCGCTTTTACAAGGCATGCTCACACAATTTGAGTTGGCCGGCTGCCTTTGACAGCATATGGAATGCACATACTTCATTGAAATCCACTGGGTCAGAATGCATTGTTGTGACCTTTTCGACTTGAGAACAAATTGTCTTGAGTGGCGATTCATGGCTTGTAAAGGGGGAATGTGAGTTGTCCAGTGGTTGGTCCAGTATTCTATATTTGGGGCAAGGAGCGTGTGCTATTCACTTCGTGCGTCTGTTGAAGGTTTGCCCGGCTATTCCCCAATTATCTCCTGTTGGTATGCTTCTGGCTTTATTTCTCGGTGCTCCTGTGTTCTGAGGTATGCAATGTGTGCCTGGCCACCAAGCCCCAAACCCACATCACGAGTCACGAATTCATCAAATATGATAGAGATCACCAATTGGCCAAGCATTTTGACTATCTTCTCACTAGTTCATACTTGATTGTAATCAGGAGTCTTCGGACTGAGTCTCCTTCTTGCTTCGTGGTTCCCTTAGGGTGGTCACCTCAAACCTTGCAAAGGAGCCGTTATTGTACCTGTGGCGTGGGTTTGAAAGTTGCGTAGACAGACACCTAAGGCCAACAGTCTGTTTGACGTGCCAAGTAAAATCAAAGGACATTGATAAATCCCCCGTGTCCTCGAAGTCTTACATTTAGACAGCAACTGGTTGGCTGGCCCCTTTCAGTTCAGAACTCACTACTTGTGTGTCTTGATACAGAGGCGAAAGTCGAGACCCACACACAACCACACACCCCGCAAATGTCATCATCAATGTGGACCCTCCCTATCGGTAGAGTCCACAGCTTGGGTTCCATCAATCTCTCCTTAACTTGACACCCTTGGTATGAGTTCCGATGACATCAACAAAGGGTAAACAACGGCATAGGAATACGACAATATGGCAACGCAGACCGTCTTTAAAGCACCGCAGAGTTTGCTCTTATCAGGCCTTCTTTTTATCTTCTCCTAATCGACGAGATGTTTTGTTCCAAGTAGTCCAAAGGGGCTCGTTGGAGACATTTAGTCTATAGGATCCCCCCTGGATAGGTATGCTGCGCTGACGACAAGCAACAGAGATCTGCTCAATGTCAGCAGCTTCGGCGCAATTTCATAAGGGGAACCGCCGAGCTTCACCAAATTAATGAGAGCATACGGCGTCGGATCTGATGCTGTGTGTGACAAATGCATGAGGCAGGAGGCCAGCCCAGGTAATGCAGGGCCAAACACATGTTGTGCACAGTATTGGCTGCCAGTCTGGGACGATTGAAGCTAGACCTGAGCGACTGAGATGCCCTTCATATCTACAGTGGTCACCAGACCTATCACAAGATCTGAGAATCGTCCGACGTCGTCAGCCTTGTACTACGGTGCAGTGCCGGCGAGCCGTGGGAGTTACGCATCAGACGCCGTAATGGGTATAGAGGTATAGAGGGAGGCTACTGAGCTCAGCCAAGGCCAAGCAACATTGATACTTTGCACCAATCCCATCGGGGACGGAGCGCGTGTAAAGTCCATGGGCGGCGCCTTTTATAATGTGGACAAGAGCCGCAAACGCTAGGTCAAGAGAGGGAATCCAGTGGAGGAAATGCATTGTAATCAGGGAAAGGCTTTCCTAATGACAAGTAGCGCGGCCAAGCTCGGCGAGGCAGGATATTAAAGGAGTAGTTGTCACCTAAACAAGCAAGGCGGAGGCTGACAGGCTCGGAAGTCGGGCGTGTCGAGTCAGTTTATGGTAATTTGTGGAAACGGCCGCCTTGCTTGGTGTGGAGGCAAAGCCTCCTTTAAAGTTGGAGGTAAATGAAACCCCCGCTGGGAACTATTCCAGTCGTCAGGGGCGCGCGCGCTCTTACACAAATACTATGACTCTCACTACCACCTTGTGGTAGTATACCACATCAACGGCCGCTGGAAAGGAGACACTTTCTTGTCTGTCAGTGGCCAACAAACATGCCAGGCCCACGCACGAGATTGTTTCCGGGTCTGCCACCTGATGATCGGCGCCCAGGGTTGTTTTAACCGTTTTAACCTTAATTCAGTGACGGCCAATCTTGTTTCTAAGTATAAAGGGACCCCATTGCGACCATCATACCGTCTAAGTCAACAGCAAAGCAACAAATCCAGCCTTACCACTCATTCTCAAGTCTCTAAGCCATACACTCACTCTACTTTACAATACTTCACACTCACTCACTCACCAACCAATCCAGCCCACCCCGAAAAAATGCACGCCGCAACCCTCCTCGCCCTCCTCCCCGCCGCCGCCCTGGCCTGGGACCCGAAGCTGTGCAACGGCGTCGGCGGGTGCCAGGGCCTGACGTGGTTCTCCGACTTTGGGTACGCGTGCCCCAGCGGCGCGAGCATCGGCCTGCAGCCGTTCGCGCAGGCGCTGGGCGACATCGCGCAGGGCGGCTACGAGTACGTGGCGTCGGACGAGTTCCCGGCGTCGTGCGAGCGCTCCGGCGACGTCCCCGGCGCGGCCGCCACGACCCACCTCGTCAAGCACGCCACTGGCAACAGCAGCATCACCATCTATGGGTACATCACCGACTCGTGCACCGTGACTGAGGTCGCGAGCCCTGGGGACTGCTATAATGCTAACCCCAACCCGTCTCCGTGAGTTTCTCTCCGGTACTTTGTCACCCTGTGATCCTGTGCTGACTATGTGCCAACCTCAGGTTCACCACTTGCCGTGTGACCGAGAACGACATCAAGACCTTCTGTACCCAGGACCCGTCCCTTCACCTGTAAAGCAACTCAGCTACAGTTGCGAAGGAGATGGATTGGGGCTGCAAATTATAAGGGAGCGTAGTGGGATTAACATTGTGAATGTATTTATTCTGCCCGGCCTCGCAGGCTTCAGACACGAGGCGGAGTGTATATATTATGTAGCGCATCGGAATTGTTGCTACTTGACTCATGAAACCTACGCCACTCCTTGGCACGCTGTGAAATCCTGATGTCGTGAATGATGGCCTTGATAGCATGCCAGGACCCAGATTGAGAGGTGTCGGAATGCCCGTGTTGACTGACACGTGGGAGTGTGCTACAACGCTAGCACAACCGGCGTCCACGACGGAGAACATTTCAAAGAGAAAACGCCATACAATTTAACCTTAACCCATCATATGCAAGGTATGTAAATATATACACATACAAAGCTTATCCACCACAAGAATATACCGGCCCTCGGGTATTGGGCGCTTTATCCCCCTATCAATTTACTTAGGACTGTCCATCCCCCACCCCCAATGGCGCGCGTTTTAACCGGTCCTGAACAGAGCGATAGTACTTGGGTAGACGTTCTCATTGGCCGCGAATCCTGCCACCGTTGTGCCCGAGTTGTCCAGCATGCTGACAGACCCGATTGTGTTGAGGTTGTAGACGTTGATGTTGCTGTTGGTGCCTTGGAGGCCGACGATGCGCGCCTGGCAGGTCTGGCCGGCTGAGAAGGTCGAGCACGCTGCGTATTTGTTGTGTCAGCCACAGCAATTCACAAGCACCGGAGATTAGGGACTACACGAAAGGAGAAGAAAGAAAGGGAAAAACTCACTCGTAGAGTACTCATCGAAGAAAGAATAATGATTCGCGCCGTACAGGAATACGGCAGACGACCCAACGATCCGCAGGCCCCACGCCATGGCGCAGTTGCCGCTGACGCCAGTGCAGTCGAAGGTCGGATCGCCGAGGGCCGAGTTGGGAGCGAACGGTGACAGCGAGTTGGGGGTCGGCTGGAAGTAGGGCGTCTCGGTCTGCAGCTGCGACGCGTAGACGTTTGTGGTGCCCGAGAGCTGGTAGTTGTACAGCGTGTGGTGCTCCACTGCCGTGCCGACGAGCCACACGGGCCCGGCTGTCGATTCGATCAGCAACCCGCGTCCTGCGTAGATGTTGGTCTGCGTGTTGGACGCGTCGTCGATGTCGTGGTCGGCGGTCCTGTTGAGAGAGTTGGTTGTTAGCTGTGTCCTACTTCTCTGTCTCTCTACCCAGGGAAACAGGTGAGCGACGGTAAAAGGGGACTCACCAAAGCCACACATTCTCCATGTACAACCCACTGCTCGTCTTGGTGACGTGCATGCTCATATAAGCGCCAATACACGCATTGTTGATACTGGAAGACCCAGGAGTCTTATTGCACTGCGCAACCTGCAAATCCGAACCCGTGTACCCACCAATACGCGTGTGCACATCCCAAAGACCACTCGGGCTACCCGCGGGACTGGCGAGGTTATACTCGATCAAGATCGCGCCGGGCACCGCGCCTTTGCCGCTGACGATGAAGTCGCTGAGCGCGACGGACCCGGCCTGGCCGCTCGTGCCGATCTGCACGGCTACCTGCGGTGCGTTGATGTTGGAGAAATAGCTGCCCGAGGCCATGATAACGGGCCAAGACTCGCCCACGATCTTCGAGCCGGGCGGGATGCTGAGCGTGCTGGTGATCAGGTACAAGCCATAGTCGATGTACACTACCTTGCCCGCAGCCGCAGCCGTGTTGATGGCGCTCTGCAGTGCGGCAGTGTCGTCGGTCGCGCCGTTGCCTACGGCGCCCGAGCTACGAACGCTGACGAAGGAGCTCGCGCTGAGTGACTCGTACTGTGGCTTCGCCTGAGTGTAGTACTTATTTCCAGATCCCAGGAGCGTTGCGGGCCGTGAGTTCGGGGCGATGATGCCTTGGAAGTCGGTCGGGCCCGAGGTCAAAGTGTAGCTGTGGCCCTGGCCCCAAGCAGCGACTGTGGTCGTCCCGGTTGTGCCGGCCAGGACAGTGGATCCGCTCGAACTCACCACGACCGGGACATTGGAGAGGTTGATATTCTCCAAAATAAGACTGCCCGCGGTGTCAGGAGTCGCTGAAGCCGTGTATGCGGTGAGAATACCGACAGGGACGTTCGTAAAGGTGCTGTCGATCACGATGATGGAGCCGACCTGCTGGCCAGACGATCCACCAGCTGACATGTCGATACCGGTTCCACAATTGTTGACGGTTATACCCTGAAAGGTCCAGTCCCAATCCCAGAGCATAATGATTGCAGTGCCACAGTTGTTGAAGACCAGGTTTCGCATAGTGTACTGTTGGTTACCCATGGAAGCACCTGTCGCACCGCCATTGAAGGTGAGGTCGGACAAGAACCCACCACTTCCGGACTCTACACATAACAGGAGGGTCAGCAACGCCGCACTGGAGAACAAGCCAGGAAAGAGCCCTAAGCATAAAAGTGTCAAATTTGAACATACCGATGAACAGACCAACATGCACAACGCCGGAGGCCGTGGGCATGTTGAAAACTACATTTTGCAGACTTGTAGCCTGAGAAGTTGGCCAGTGGATACCAGTGCAGGCTGTCCCCGGGGCAACATTCGTCGTGTCGATGACAAGGTTACGAATCTGGCGGTAAAAGTTGTTTACGGAGACCCAATTTAGATCCGACGACCAGTAGGGGTTGCCATCAATCAAACCAAACCCTGCGAAGTTGGCAGTGGCTTTGAGTGTCGGAGGACTGGTGGCATCACCGATGAGCATGGTAAAGTAATAAGGGATGATGGAAGAAGAGATGAGATATGTTCCGGCTGGGAAGTAAACCACCGCCGGTGTGATAGTAGAAGAAGCCTGACGAGTATTAGCTAACACTATCATAACGGGTTGGCGCGGTGGGCTGATCTCGAGGCACGAGTGTTCACATACACATCCTTTCCCACAACGGTTCCCGCCAGCCGTGATAGCGGCATTGATGGCAGCTGTGTCGTCCGTAACACCGTCACCTGAGTTTTCCCGTCAGCATCTTCGACCAAGCACGATCTTTCGGGCCTCGACCTACCGCGGGCGCCATAGTCCTTCACGTTCCTGAACACAGAATATCCACTTCCAGCATATGGAGCGAGACCCTGGTGGGGGATTGATTCCATCCAATAGGCCGCTTGCACGGCCAGGACGAAGCTGGCGAGGGCCAGAAACAAAGTGGTGAAGGAACGCATGGTCAGCTTTGACCTGGGATGATTGGAAAAGTGAGAAACTCGGATGTCTAACCGCGCAAGCACGGGATTCTTGAAGAGAGGTCTGGGACGAACACCATCTTAATATGGCACAGGCAAGCAGTATATAGCTTTATTTGTGGAGCAGCGCTTGAGGGAATGACATGTCTGTCAGAGACATGTACCTGCCACTCCCACAAGCGTGGCCTCTTTTTAGCCTGTACAACTGGATACTTGAAGGCAGGGGGAAGGCTGGCATGTCCAGAACATCGTGGCATCCCTTAGCAGCCCACCCTCCCGGAGCGTGCGTGCGGGCCAGGGGGACAGACGAATGAAATTTGGCCGAAGGACCGAAGCGCAGATGTCATGCCCTGTCAACTCGGCCTGGAACGCCTCTTGCCTTGTGGAGAAGAAGGCCCATAAGAAATGAGGTTGCTTCGCCCAGCCGGCTAGTCGTGCCACTTGATACGTTGAAGACGTCCACGGGCTCTAAATCACCCCTTCACGGGACCCGGGAGGTGGATGGACGGATCATGGGCACATGATTTAATGGAGTTGCCTCGCACTGTCAGCATCTGTGGTGATAATCCTAGTACCAGGCCCTGACTCGCCGCTCCAGCTCGCAGATGGACGCAGGTGAGAGTCGCCGTGTCGTCAGAGGGTTTGCAGAATCACCATGTGCCTTCTTGTGGCGGCCTGGTAGTACCCGACGACACGGGAGTGATGCCGAGTGGGCTGGAGAAAAGCAGCCTAGGTGATTCGTTGTCTCAGAGGCTAAGGAATGCAGACGCAAGCCCCATCCTGGGGAATGTGGTGACGAGAATGGCCTTAGATGACTCTAGCACAAGTGCCCGTCCGGCCAACAAGGCAAGTGGACCGAAAAGATCTTGGCCGGCCGACCGCTTGGTGGGACCCTGGCGCCAATTAGGCGATCAACTGGGCCGCCTTGCCACAACTCCCGGTGATGATGGCTTCATCCCGGCGCCGGGATTGGTGAAAAAGGAAATTGAGCACCTGGTTCAGATTCTCTCAGGGTTACATTGGAGAAAAGGCTTGACCCTGATGCGGAGGTCGACGTCAAGTCCCAGCGCTGATGGGCCCGGGACGATGTCGGCCTTATTTCAGAAAAGGGATTCAACGACACGGTCGACGCTTCCGCCGTAAGAAGAAGGTGGATATCGGATTTCCTTCCGCATTACAACTTCGGACGTCAACGCCGACACTGCCAGAATCGAAGACTGCTATGAGATCGGGTAGCAGCCAGGCGAAAGACAAACTCACCTGCCGGCCGCCAACGTATGTTCAAGCGGCGAGGCGTGTCAGGCGGCTCGCTTCGCAGGGAGAGTTCGTCTGATCATAAGACAATAGAAGTGTTCCAGGTAAACAGAAGTAAGTCTACGAGTGTAGGACATGACAGCTTTGACGTTGGCCAATCTCTGCGGTCGAGATCTGCGCAGGGAATCTGATCAGTGGACGGCTCCGCATGGCCAAATTGCGGGGTGGGCTCGCTAGGCGCTGCCGGCCACATGCTTCGCGACACACACACCTCCTATCCTCGATGTAACCTTCGATTTGACGAGAAGGGAAAGCCCAGGGAAGAGTGAGAAGGTTGATTACCGGTTTCCATCATGTTGTGAGACATGCAGTACTGTGTAAGCCCTCAGGAAGGCTGACAAAGCCTCTAGAAGACGCAGTTTGTAGCCGCTCCCGCGTGACCAGCGTCATTGATCGGCGAGACGCGCCTGTCAGTTCAACATCATGTGCCTGTTCTAGTAAAAGCCGCTCGAGAGCCTTGTGACGGGTTGCTCTCGAACAAGTGGCTGGTATGGTTTGAAGCCACAGACGTTGCAACCTCGGCGGCTCATGAAGCCGCTTGCCCGAGGCTGCAGCGTGCTCCATCTGATAGTGGGCAAGTTTGGCCAGCAAACCTTCAGTACAATTCCGCTGAAGAGCGGGCAGGAGTCCTGAGCTCAGGCGCGGTTTCGGGCGCGGTTTCGGGCGCGATTGTGAGGGCGCGGGGCAGCGACGCATTCAGAGTCAAGCAATCGCCAAGCAATCGCAGCAAATCTGGTGGGACAAGGTTGACGACGGCCTTGAAGCCGGATACTGCGTATGAGCAGTAGACAGGAGGCAACAGAGCCCCGGCCTGCCGCGAGTGGTATGGATGTCTTGTCTGGGTCTTGCATTGCTGGAGAGACGCGTCGTACGGCTTAGACATCAAACTGCTTGTTGGCTCGCAATATTGGATCGAGGCTAGACCTAGATGACGGATGTTGAGACCAAGGCGTGAAACAAAAGCAAACGAAGTTGTCAGGTTTGCCTGTTGGATGCCGCCGTATGCTGACCGCGTTGTGGTTGTCGCCATATCCCGAGGTTGTTGGACATCCATGTTCGCCGGTTCCCGGGACAGTTGCATCGGAAACATGTAGCCACGGGCGCGACCATGCAGGACATAGACGTGCGGCAAAGTGTCTGGCCTGCCATTCGTGCACAATTTTCATTCGGCCGAGATGCATCGATAGTGGAGCGAGTGAGTGGCACCGCGGTGGGGGGCAAGGACGAGAGTAAGCTGACGCAAGAAACGGCGGTAGTTGTTGCTCCGGTTGCAAAGGGTGTGCCAAGCTGGCGGTTTGCTGGTAAGTCTGCTGGGTTGGGTAAGATGGACGCACAACGTGGAAAGAAGAGTTGGCAATCCCCTCATTACAGTACAGGCACATCTCGTCGTTGAGAGGGGGGGAGCTTGAGCTTTGAGCTTGAGGTGGACTGGTGGAGGCCATTGTGGATCCCTTCTACCTTCTCCACATGCTCATGACTGCAATTTGCGGCAAGACGGAGGACGGAGGACGGAGCGGGAAAGGCTGGTTGAAGGAAGGTGCAGGCCCTCATCTCCGTCTCCATCTCCATCTCATCTCCATCTCCACACCCTTGGGGGGGAGCTCCTTCCCCAGATTCCCCGGATTTTGTTAGAACTGGACAGCTCCGTCCTGCCAGCTTCTCCAACTCCGTTTCCCATTTGAGCAAAACCCTGGACTACAGTCTCCACAGCCGGCCCGAACAGCAATGGTAAGGATGAAAAATGAGAAATAGATAATCAATGGCAAACAATTGACTGTGCCTGCGTTATGGTACGATGATTCAGTCAGTGAGTCTGCCAGCCTGCCAGTCTCCCCACTTGAATGGACCGTCAGACCGTCAGACCGTCAGGGCAGGAGACTAGCAGCATCGATCGCAAACGACGACCTCGTCATAATGACCTGCTGACATAAAACCCAGAACTTATGAGCTTTATGATTGGCTGAAACACTATCAAGCTAGTCCAGGTTCGGCATCAAGCGAGAGCCCCGGTCCAAAGCATTGCCGAGGCGCCCCTCCTTTTGCCGTTTTTTGGCTTGCTGCCCCTGGACTGGGGATGCTGCCCGAGGCAGCTTGTTCCCTGCCCTGGCCGTCTCCAATGCGGAGAGAGGCTGGAGAAGTTGTGAGGTGGTGCTGCTCTCGTCGTTAACTCCAGACAATACTTGTCGGTTTGGTTTGCAAAAAAAACGCAAAGAAATGGGGATGGGCAACGTTATAGTTTGGGATTTGTGTAGGCCATATCCAGCCATATCTCAAATCAAGTGAGCCAAAGATTGCAGTACCTAACAGCAGGTTCCAGGTATCTGCCGAGTGGTTTTCTCTGGAGCGCTCTAGCAGCGAGCACCATCTCCGACAGCCCTTGGGCCCGTCACAAACCTTCTGTGCTTGTGACCTGGTATCGGTGTCCTGCTGCAACCGGAGTGTTAAGGTCCATGCCTGAGGAATATCAAATTGTCTACCACCTATTACCTACTGTGCAGTAGCAACAAGTTAAGGTCAAGCCAGGCCATGCAGGACACTACGTTACGTTACGTTTTACCTGCACCCAAAATTAATCCCGTCTGCTGTTTCTGGGACGGACTCCCGTCTTCGTTCGCCTCCACAAATCAAACCCCAACTCGAACCAAGATTCTCCTCCCTCCATTCTCCTCCCCCATACTCCCCTACTCCCCCTACTCCTCTCCTCTCGTCGCCTTCCCCTCTCCTCACCTAAGTGAGATTACCACCCAGCCAGCAGCTTACTGTATGCACTACCCGCCCACCGCCCGCTGCCCGCTGCCCGCCCAAAGTGCCCACTCACACCCGTTTGATCGCCCCCGCCTCCGCATTTCCTCCCACACCTGGCCATCAACGGGGCTGCACAATTGCGGAGCAGGTAGACGGTAGACTACAGCACAGCACAGAACAGGACAGCATCAGAGCAGACGCGCTCGTCTCCACATCTGCACTGCACCAGCAGCAACGACCAGCAGGCAAGAAACGCGGCGACACCTGGACGAATTGGCCTATTCGTTTGAATGGGAGACGCAGCGGACGACTCGCCGACCGACTGAATGACTGATTGATTGACTGACTGCGGACTGCCCACGTCGATCCTACTTTCTCATACCTGGGTTGACTGACTTTCTCTCACGCCTTTGTTCTCATTCTTCCACCGCGGTCGTTGTTTTTTTTTCTCCCACGCGACTCGCCTCCATTTCCCTTTCCCATTCCTCATCTCCAAACCCCGCGTTTTCAGTCGCTCAAGCCATCCACTTTCTCTACTCCTCCTCCTGCCCCATCAACGCCATTGAGGAAGGTCTCTCTCCAATTGAGCTGCCACAGAACGACATTTTGCAGTGCCGCACACTGCACTCCCTCCGGCACAGGCATCAATCTGTGGAGTCGATTTGGGATCAGCTTGGAGAAATATATCACAAGGAATAGATCTACATACAACAGGTACGTACGCCTTCGCCATGGCACGCCTTGCTGTGCTCTGCCTTGCCTCGCCTTGCCTTGTCTTGCCCTGCCTTGTCCATGCCTTTTCACGCAATGCCATGCCATGCTATGCTATGCCATGGCCGCCATGCCCCCCAGCCTGGTCGTGCCCATCCTCCCAGTCTTCGATTGACATTCCTGCAGTCTACTATCCAGCCTTTCCGACGATCGGCACACAAACAAGACTTCACTTGGGTTTCAGAACTTCTCCAACCAAGTCTCCTGTCCTGCCTTGTCCTGCCTCGCGCGCAAAGTAGGTGCCCAACCTGCCCTGCCAGCTTGCCAATCTGCCAATCTCAGCCTGTCTCTTGCGCGACCTCCTCTGCGTGTGATTCCCGATTTGCTTTGCTATGCCTTGCTTTGCCTGGCTTCTCCAATTCCGTCCCGTCTTTTGCCTCTGAATTCAGGGCGATATCATCACCTTCCGTCCGGTCATCGTCGCCAGTCAACGCATCTCGCCCGCCCGCTCGCCCACGACGGACGTCTGGCAGCATGTCGACTACCGAAACACTCCTTGTGCATCGTCGTCAGGCTTCCCCGCTCCTCTGTTGCCCTCTCCCTCCTACCTACTAGCAAACCCCCTCCCCTCCCCCCTGGTGCCGCTACCTACCTATCCTTACAAGCTCCCCCACGTTTCGGAGAATTTCCACATCGGCCCAATCTTCCACCATGACCCCGGGCACCACTCACGCTCTTCGTACCTACATTCATCCATACATACACACACGCGCACGCGCACGCACATGCACACACTCTCTCACACTCGCAGTAGACTATGTTTGACCTACTTACAAACTAATCGCTAATATGCACACAGACTATCATAGCAGCTCTATACCCTGCCAACATTCACCCCCCCTCCCCCTCACCATAAGCTCCGGACTTCAACGACATCTCTTTTCATCTCAAGTCGTCCCATCGGCATAGCGACCCAAATTGCTCGACCGCGTCTGCTCCTCCGCCTTGGCATCCGCACGCCTGTCATCGACCTTCCGAGCCAATTGGACCTTGGCCCTTGGATCTCGCGCCCAATCCAACCATATCTGTGCACCACAGGGCTCCCAACCCTCAGCCGCCCCCCACAGCTCACACGAGCTCCCGTCCCACCCTCTGGGTCTTTTGTCGGGCCTCCTTCGACACTGTCTCACTGGCCCCCAGCTGCAGTCCGTCCAGATACTTCCTGGTTGTGACGGGTCTGGAGTGCCTTGTACCTGCTACCTCACCTGCTCTGGCCTACTACGTCTCTGCCGCTCTGTCAACCCCTGTCCCGCCCCGAATGTCACTGCTCTACTTGGGGTAACAGACTCATCTATCAGTGCCACGTACGAAGCAGGTCGAGGACACCAAACTGCGGGCGCCACCCTTTGCGCACCAAAGCCAACCTGCCAAGTCCAGCCCATTCACTCACCTTGAAAATTGGGTTTCCTCGGCAGCCGGGACGGTACGCGCTCAGTTCGTCCCCTTGACGCATATCTGCTGTCAAGCTTTGTCCTCCCAGTCGACATACTCCGTTGTCCCCGGCCCCCCACACCTGGTACCAGCAAGCCTCATTTTGTACCACAGACACTCCTTACGTTCCGACACCCCAATCTCTGTGGCATAGTTCACACCTGCTGCCCAAAGATGCTTTCCATGCAGTCCGTAGAGGGGCCCAGTCCTCCTCGCACCGATGAGAACGGTGACATGAAGCAGCAAAAGCCGAAGACGCTACCTTGCAAATACTGCAATAAATGGTTCAGGTAAGCTGACAAATTGTTCATTTCCACGATGCTGGGACCGGCTGACACGGGTTTCCTTCAAACAGACGAGTAGAACATGTTCAGAGGCACGAGAGGACACACACCAAGGAGAAACCCTTCTCTTGTAATTGGGATGGTTGCGGGAAGAGTTTCGGCAGAAGGTGAGCTACATCCCTCGTCCTATTTCGTCCTGTCAATTGTACCTCCATTTGGGCAAAGGACACGACCTGGCCCTGCCCATCCACCAGTCACCCCTCGTACTCTGTACTCCATTGACTTTACCCCAATTGCATGTCGACATATATGGGTCCCGCATCCCGTGCTCTGCTCCACAACCGTATCGCGCGTCTTATCATCTTCCTCTGCTTTCCATCCGGTCTTCAGATTATGCTTACATGGACATCAGAGACCTTCTCGTCCGCCATGAGAAGCTCGTGCATCTCAGCGATGGCACCAAAGACACCAATGGCATCAACACGCAGCGGCGCAAGTCGTCCGCGGCTGGGACACAGTCAAGCCCGACTAAGAGCCACGGGGACACCGAGATGCTCGGTATGCAACAGACGCCAACACAATCGCACTTCGCCCCAGATGCCACAATGTCAGCTGTCGTGTCGAGCCTCCCCCCCGACTCCCGTATCGCTCCAAGGCCGGCAGCAGCCTGCAACCTCGACCTACTTTCCGACGCTGCCACCCATCTTGCTTCCGCTGGCGACGTGTCTTCGATGCAGAGCATGCTCCCAGATATGAGTCAGCAACAGCCGCCTCTGGGACGAGTTGACAGCTTGCCATCGTACGGTGACCGAGGCCGGGAGTCGGACCCTGTGGTTTACTCAACGAGTTTCCCAGTCACCTCAGCCCCTTATTCCGTCTCCTCTGCGACGTTCCCGATCACCTCGGCACCTTTTCCTGTCACTTCGGCTACCTTTCCTGTCACCTCCAACGCGCAACCAAACTTTGATGGTTATGACCTTTTCATGGACGACTTTGGCACACAGTCGCATTTCTTGCCGGCTGGGGTCGACACGGAGCAGTCTTTCGGTGGGTGGCGCGGGGGAACCTCCTCCTTTCCGTCAAGGTTCCCCTCACTGGCCCCCGAAGCGTCCACAGATGGTACCGGTAGGTTGCAAGACGAAGGAATGAGAGCACCGCTGTGGAGGATTTCGAGCAACGACCACAGCATCATTAAGAGCCGCCTGGACGAATTTTCAAGCGTGCTTCCGAATGACTTCGTTTTCCCATCGCGACATACCTTGACCCGATACCTTGAGGGCTACATCAGCGGCTTCCAAGAGCACCTCCCTTTTCTGCACATACCGACTCTAACCCCGAGTGAGATTGCTCCGGAGCTTCTTTTGGCGATTGCTTCAGTAGGCGCGCAATACCGGTTTGAGAGCCACCGTGGTCATGCTTTGTGGTATGCCGCCAAGGCCGTCGCCCTCGAGCAGATTCGGAGACGCCACAGCCACGAAGTGCATACTCTACTACCAACGCCAGCCGCCTACAGTCCACATTCCACGCGAGCATCCCCAAGCTCCGGTTTCCGCCACTCCTTCAACTCTGTCCATTCGGACCGCCCCATGACGCAGGAAACCCACCGTGAGCCATAGTAAGTTCCTTCTTCAGCTTTCTCCCCAGTCGCTTCCATTGACCATCACATAGCTCTCCGAACAACCCCCAGTCCCGTCTCGAGACCATCCAGGCCCTTCTGTTACTTTTCTCAGTGGGTCTTTGGGGGGCCAAGGCCATTTTGCAGGATGCTCTATCTTTGCAAAGCCAGCTCGCCCTGTTGATACGTGATGAAGGCCTGAACTCCAACCCGACGCAAATTGCCGACTGGGAGACTTGGGTAAGAAATGAGGGTAGCAACCGGACCAAGCTTATTGCATACTGCTATTTCAACCTGTGCAGTGTTGCTTACAACAGCCCGCCGGTCTTGTTCACCTCGGAGATGAATTTGTTCCTCCCCGGACCTGCCCGTCTCTGGAGGGCGGAAAGTGCATGGGCATGGCGGGAGGCTCGGCAATCCGTCCAATACATGGAGCTCTCTCTCCAGGACGCGCTGTCCAGGCTCTTGCACCGACCGTCCCAAGGGCCACTGAACGATCTCACTTCGCTTGGCAACTATGTCTTGATACACGCCCTGATCCAGCACATTTACTTACTTAAGCAAACGTCATTCGCCAACACGTCGCCGTTTGATATTCACAGAGGCCTCAAAGCGGAGGATGTAGAGGAAGTCACATCAGCGCTGCGGGTCTGGCAGTTAGGATTCGAGGAGCACCGCATGAGGATCACTCAATCAGCCCAGCAGATGGGCAGCGAAAACTTCCCAGGCGGGCCTGTATCATTTGACGCCACTGCACTTTCCCGGCTTGCGCATATCCGCTTACACACGGATCTCGTGCCCGCTCGGGCGCTTGAGAGTCGTGAGCCATACGCAGCCGCGAACATCTTCAACAACCTGCCCCTATTGCCGCGAGGCCCCCGTCTGAACAAAGCAATACTGCAAGCTGTCCATGCCCTCTCAATGCTGGTCAAAGCTGGAATCAACTACATCGCTCGGACTAAGTCTCTGGAGTGGAGTATGCAGCATTCTCGTGAGCACTCCTTTTCTTTTCCTTCCCTCGATGTCGATGGTGGTGAGCAGGGTCAAATGCTGACGGTCACTGTTGCAGTGTGCAACCTAGAATGCGCAGTCCTCCTTGCCAAATGGTTGATGACCATGGCCTCGATGAGCCCCACTGAGATGCAGACGGCCGAGGAGAAGTCGATATTGACTTCCATCCGAACGATAGTGGACGAGACTGAGTACGCTGTTCCCATCGATCCTAGCCTTGCTGCTCAACAGCCGTCGAGGATGGATGGGTCACTCAACGACTCTCAAAAGCTGCGTCAACTTGCGTCGGCCGTCCTCCGTATCTGGGCGAAGACGTTCAAGGGGGAGCACATTTTCGAGCTTGTCAAGACAATGGGACATGGCTTGGAAATCTATTCCAACATCTTGGACAAGCCGAGGGATCAGCCGTCTCTGGGACGAATGTCGTCTGGCTCTATTCTTGAATGATGTTTGCCTATAGAGCAGCACAATGGGCTATACAACTGCGTGGCGACATGGAAACGTGGTCCCTAGATCTAGGAGCGGCCTGCAGGCCACTGCCCCGGTCTAGTGGCACGAACCCAGCCTTGGGTACGTGGGAGGTGGTTTTACATCAGGCCCTTTCTGGGCATGAAACCGGAGCGTGGTGATTGGACTGTAGCTCCAGATTGGAACGTCTCAGACCCTGTGTCACTGCCGTGCTATCAGGTGGTGTGTCCACCCACAGCATGGGTGACGGAAAACGCAGCCGTGTACTGCACCGGAAGACTGCGTGTGAACGTGTCTGGATCTGTGAGAAATGAAGCGAAATGGTAACGGACGAACAAGTCGTTAGTGCTAAGTTTTCGAGGTGTGCTTGAGTATGTGTGTCGTTGAGGCATTTCTGCAACGGGCCAGGGCATGGAGTCGCTGTGAGTCTGGTGTCTCTGGCAATGTAGAATATGGGAAGCTCATGACTAAATCAGGCTTTGTTCAAGCCGCGCAAAAGTGATGTTCATAGAAATGCTTAATGATAATGTTATTGTATGATTCAAAGTTGCATGTGTCAATCGAGATCATTATCCTCCAGGCTGTCATTGATCTTCTTGGGCTGTCTTTTTGGGTTGTTCTATGGTGACCACACCAGCGACAGGCAACATAACGACAACTATCTGATAACATGGGCTTTCTCATCTGGTGCAATTTGTAAGGCATCTTCCCGTTGCTGGAGCTTTAGGGTCCCTTCTGCTCCCTTCTCGGCCTACATTACGTTCCAAAAGCCCGATGCTAACGCTCTTTCCTAATCGTGTCCTGGGAGGTGTTCACAGGCTGGGAAAGTGCACGCCTTCCCTTCCCATCTCCTTGACGCTACAACAGCACACTCCCCTCTCGACCAGACAACTGTTCACCAGCCCTCCCAAATTCTGTTACAACAGGTTTGAAATCACGACTAGAGTATCTTCTGTCGACTTATCTTTCTATCACTCACAAAGGAACAACTTTGCCCTGGTGGTTACCTCCTCCGCCCTCCTCGGTCGCCCTCCTCGGTGCCCCTCCACGCGTTCAACTCACCAGTGACGCGTTTTGTTCTCTGCGTATCTTCGTGTTTCCACTTGCCAGCCCTCCTGCACTGAAGGTATTGCAAGATTCGTTCACGGTACATGTGTTGAAAACGGAAGGAAAAGAATGGCCACTTTGTACAGACCCACCCTCACGTATGACCCCATCACCGACCCCGACGGCTTGCGGGCCACCCACTACCAGATAGAACGCTCCCCAGGCGACGGGTTTATCTACGAGGCGATGCGCGACCCGCACACAGGGACGGCGACCCCTTTCTATTACTCAGACTCGTTGATCATCGCGACTGCTGGTAAGGGCATACATTGCTTGCGCAGAGAGACCAACAAGCAGCTCCCAGGCAGCCGGGAACAAGAAGCCACATCGACAGATGAAAGCCTCTTTTCTTGTCTTTAAATTCAAGAGCTGACCTGAGCCTACTCCACAGGATCGTTTCGGCACGAGATGTTCTGCTACCCTGGCCCACGTGCAAGCTACGCTGTCTTTGTCGGACCAGGCAACGCGCTCAATGACGCGGAGAAATCGTTGCTGGCACCTCCTGGTACCTTTCAATCTCTTCACCGTGGGGAACTCTGGGGGATGGTTGCTGCCCTACAGACCGTCGTCCGCATACTCGAGAAAGGGCTGGTCACGTACGGCCCATTGAGGCGAGTTATTATCAAGACGGACTCGGAGTACATCGCCAAGGGAGGCACTGAGCGCATGTTAACTTGGCTGAGTAAAGGCTGGTACGTCTGATTTGTTCTTTTACACTTGGAGAACCGACACCTTCCTCCCTTCCTGCACGTAGCACTTCACAGCACACTCTACGACCACCTTGAATCATGCTGGTCCTCAACCCGCCCATGGGACACATGAGTCAATTTACACAGTCCTCGAGGCTTTCTAGTTAAGAGAAAAGGAAAGAAGTGCTGATTGAAGCCTATAGGATTGGAAATGGCGAGTCCCACATACGTGACTGGGACCTTTGGGAAGCGTTCCTGGCCTGGCTCGAAATTGTTAAGCGCACCTGGAACGTCGAGGTGCTCCTCTGGTGGGTACCAGCGCAGTGTAAGTCCCGATTCCATCCACAGCATCATTTCAGTGTGGTCTAACTTCTTCAGGGAACCGCGATGCCAAGTCGCTGGCGAAGGAGGGACTCAAGCTTCCTCCCCCCAGATTGGTACAAACCAGGCCTATGCAAAGAAAAGAGCTAGCAAGCTCGGAATCGATCGGGTCGTGCTACTAGGAGAGCCAATCGAACGAGGGGAGCGCGGAGGATTTCTCGACCCAAGGTAGGCTTTTCTTTAGCATCCAGGATATTCATGCGCGACTCTCGGGCTGACTCTTGTGTCTGAAAGCTGGAACGGCTTCAACTACCTCCACTGCCCCCAGCAGCGTCTCTATAAGCGATAATCCCTCGGACCGTCGACCGACAAGAAATGCTGCACGATATCAAGATCATTGTCAAAAGGAAGAGTAGATTCGAGGAGTCTCATCCAAGTGTCAGTTCGAACCAAGATGACCAGGAAACGGTCATGGTAGTGTTGTGATTGCCAGTAAGGGTTGTACTCTCTTAAACTCAAGTGGGGTATTGCCGAGGAACAGAAGATTGGACAGTGGTGCAATTTGTAACAGAGATGACGGCACACATGGATTTCACAGGGTTAGAAAGTGTCACTGGGCTACTTTGCGAACAGAAATTATGACCGCATTTGCACGAGGAAAAAGGCTAACTGGTGGCTTAACTACTGAGAAGGATAGATTCTTGGAGTCAGCGACGGCGACCCAGGGCGTCTATCCAGCTTCTGATATGAGTCTGTTAGGAAGCTCATGTTGAATGCCCTCAATCAGGACGGGCGCGCTCGATCAATACCCAAGCCGCCAATTACCGACCACTTCCAAAGATTAGCAGTATACTTTTTCTGCGCCCCCACACTGCCGCAATCATAGAGTAGAAATCAATTATCTCAATCCCTTCTTCACTTCCAACCACAATCGAGCTGTCTCCAACACAGCCAGCAAAGGCGGAAAACAAACATAGATACAAAGTCCGTCCCTGCACCACCAGATCGTGCCAGAATCAATCAGCTCGTACTCCTTGCTACTTCGCGTCCGAGAAAACCACTGCCGTCCCGTACCGTGCCGGTAAAATTCCTATGGCGCACTCACTGCCGCCGCTGGGACCTCGACGCATCGTCTGCAAATAGGGGGAAATATGCGCCAACGACCGGATGCCTCTGCCTCTCCGGCTCACCCCTTAGGCCAATGTTAATGCATACCTGTGTTCTGCCCGACATCCTGACTGGGCTGCGGATAGGGGTTGTTGGCTGGCTGCTGCTGGAGCCCCTGAGGCGGGTTGAGATGAGGCAGCTGGAACCCCTGAGGTCGGTTGATAGGAGGCAGCTGGAGCTCCTGAGGTGGGTTGAGAGGCTGCTGCTGCTGCTGCTGCTGCTGGTGGTGGTGGTGGTGCTGCTGGGAGGGCCACTCCTGATATCGCTGTTGATACCCCCCGTGCGGCTGATACCCCGTGTACTGCTGCTGGTTCACCGGGTGCCCCCAAACCTCCTCCACGTACCGCTGGTGCTGCTGCTGGAAGCGGTGGCATACCTGGCAATAGCAGGGAGAGTCCGAGATGAACGGATATAGCCGCTGCATCTGCTGCTCGTGGTGGTACATTATCCGCTCCCAATAGCTCTGCACAGGCGCAGACGAAGACGCCTCATTCAAGGTTGACGTGCCGCCGGAGCTGTTCACGACGAGGGGTTGTCCTGGCGGGAGCTGCTGCTGCGCCAGTTGGGGCCGTCCTTGTTGATCCCGGACAAGGTCGACGAAATGCGCCTGTCCCCTGGCGGCGGCCGCGCATTGGCGTTGCTGATGCTGTTGCTGCTGCTGCTGCTCATTCTGAATAGGCAGCTGATTCTGGCTTGATGTACATGTACTGCCGAAGTCGCCCACGACGAGGGGTTGTCCTGGCCGGTTTTGATGCTGCGCACTTTGGATCTGAATCCGGATAGGCACGACGGAATTCGCCTGATCCCTGGCGGGGGCCGCGGTCTGGCGCTGTTGTTGCTGTTGTTGCTGCTGTTGTTGCTGCGGCTGTTGTTGCGGCTGCTGCCGATACCCCTGATGTCTCAGTGCTTCTGCGTTTGCCGCCGCTGCCGCCTGTGCCATGGACCGCCTCACGGCTATTTGGTCGACGCGAACTTGGGACTCGTCCGAATCGTCGGAAGATGACATGTATGGTTCATATTCCTCGGAATCGGAAGAGATCATATGGACGTCCTGTGCGTCCTGTGTGTCCTGTGTTTCCTGTGCGTACTGTGCGTCATCTTCGCCGGAGGCTTCGTCCGCCTCAGAAGAGACCCCATTGATTTCGTCTCTTTCTCGGATAGGCTCGTTCGTGTTGGATAAGTCAAAATCGTGAGGTATTGGGTCATCTTCGTCGCTTGAGGGCACCTCGTCCTCGAGCGTGGCGCTTTCGGGAATGCCGGCTAGGGATAAGATGTCTGAGTCTGATGACTCTTCCTCATCAGACATGTCCATATTCACGTCGCCGTCTTCGCCGGCGGAATCAATTCCAGGCTGATCTTGCTCAGGGGATGCGTTGACGGTCCCAGTAGGAGCAGGGATGTCGGATGTGTTGCGCGCGATGCGCGGTACGGCCTGCTCAAGGAGCCGGACGGCCGCGTGGATGACATCCACGTCGTCAGCACTGGGTTGGGATCCGGCAAGCTGGCTGGCCATGTAGTCCTTGATGGCTTCGTCGATGGCTTCCGCAGCTACGACAACATGCTTCCTGGCCTGGTCGAGGCTCCAGAGGCGCAGGGCGAGCAGCCGGCGCGACTGTTGGTTGCTCCTTGAGGGAGACCGAGCAGCGCCGCTGGGCGACTGAGTTCTGTTTCTAGGCATTGTTTTTGTAATATCTTGAAGTGTTGGGATTTAAGATTAATTGTGAAGATGTTTGTGGATGAATTCGAGACAAGGCGTGAAGGTGTGTATTGTATGGTTTTGGCACTACGTGGATTCAGATGAGGGGGTCGGTAAAGAACACGAAGTGTGATGGGAATTTGAAGCCGGGAAAGGCTTGTATTTATCGTTTTGATTCTACCGTTTTAATTACGACCGATTATTTGATGTGGGCGAGCGAACCTTAGGGACATGGCGACCTTGATGGATAGCAACACCGGTGCGCAATGGCTCGCACAAGCGCGGCGCTGAAGGCTGGATAGCCTCTCGAAATTTTGACCATCCGCTATTAATTGCCTGCCGAAATTATATTCCCCTCATTACTTTTGTGTGAAAGTTAGCAGGACACTACGTGAAGCAGTTTCTGGGGAGACTTTCACGTTAAGCAGTAATATGCGTCTATGAAACCGGGACATCCAACTAAACAAATAGTTTGGACCATGCGTACCTGGCGGAAACTGGAGGGTAAAGGCTTGAGTACAGTCGCAACTCAGATAGAAGTAAGATTATAGAAGTATGTATACCCTCAGCCTAAAATGGAAATGCTGTGTTTGGACAGTTTTCTTGCAGACTTAATGTGCGAGTTGAGACATCCACTTAGAATTGCTGTAAAGGACTCATGCCCCCACCCACAATGCCTATGCACATCTTAGCTTCAGTATTTAGGCTCTTGATTGTTTTTGTGTCCGAACGACTCTTGGCGCTGCCTCGGGTTTTCGCAATGGCTGGCTCAGCGACGACTGGCGGCAGCGAATTTCTTTTTCTGCCTCTCCCTCCCCAAGTTCAGGTTTCTTGGTAGTGAGTTCCGAGGAATTTAAAAGAATGGGAATCTTTTTACAGTCCTTTCACACATCCTACAAGCCGTTCATGTTCGTCTGGAACCGTTCTCCAAAGTCTTCTGTCCTTGGATATGGCTGTTCATTGAATGCCGCCTTGCGACCTTGAAGCCTTCAAAACTTCAGACTTCCGAGGACTTGAAATTAAAATGAGTAAGTCCGAGTGCTTCACTTATCGTCTTCTTCATCCTCATCCTCATCCTCATCCTCTAGATCTTCCTCAATGATTTCCCCGTCGCTCCCTCCATCACTTCCACCACGATAGTGGCCTTCACTATCAGATGCAGGAGGACTTGCTCGTGTCGCCTTCCTCTGCATTCCCTTGCCCTTGGCTGTGCGCCGGGGGGCTGGTGAAGTTGAGCCTCCATGATAGCGCCGGCCAGTTTCCATTCTAGAACGACCAACCCTGTTCGAGCCAGTATCTTGGTCTGGTTGATATGTGCTTACTGGATTACGGTAGCTCTTTCTTGGAGGGGGCTCACCGCTATCTTCGTATTGCCTGAATCCATGCGCCGCCGCTCTTTCTCGGTCGTCGCCTCGTGTCCTCGTGATGTATCTCTCGAAATCGCTAGTAGTGTCTGCGACAGTTGCGAAGCTTGCGACTGATAACTTGATATATCGCGTGGTTTTTTCCGGCTTCTTCCCTTTTGCCGTTGCTTCGTCGATCTTCTTGAGCCTTTCGTATTGGCCAATCCCAATAGCAGTTTGAAACGCGTTCCTGATTTGCCGGCCATTCCACGTCGTCCCATTGCGCCGGTGTTCCCGGTAGTGTTTCTTGGCGAATTGCAAGAGAGCTTTCTCATCGAAACGGATCTTCATTTCGAGCTTCTCGTTGTCCTGTTTGATGCGCTGTAAAACATTACCCCATATCTCAATTGTTGATGCTTCATCTAGAGCAGGGTACTCTAGTGCAACATGGATACGAGACTTGAAGGCCTCATCGATGACGCCGACAATGTTGGTTGTCAGGAACAGGATACCAGAGTAATATTCAAGTTGGCGCAGAAAGACTGTGATGGTCGCAAAAATTGGTAAATCTTCTTCAATTTTGCGAAAATTCATTTACTTACTGGACACCATAGCATTCCTGTGCATATCGTCGTAGGTTCTGGACATCAAAAACACGTCTGCCTCATCCAGCAGTAGCACACAGCCCCACTTCTCAGCAAGACGAGTATGCCGTACGAGGTTTTTCTCAAGCTCCTTTGGCGTGGTACCCAGGTCGCCACAAGTGATGGCATATAAAGGACGACCAGTATATGCTGCAATCGTTTCGGCTGTGCTGGTTTTGCCTGATCCTGGGGGGCCTGCGGGCATAGTAATTAGCCACGTTAATCCCCGAGTTCTAGGTCTCGATAAGGATGTGTAAACCTCTCACTGCGTCTCAAGACCCGGCTAAGAGGTTTGCGCAATACGTGATTCTTGTAAGCAGGAGTGAAGATCCACCGCAACTTTTAGGGGCCAAGCCTGAAAAGAATTGATCCAGGATGTAGAGAACTTGCCATGGAGAAGAATAATGAGACCCCTTCCTTTCCCCCTGACAAGATCTATCTGAACAGCAGAATCATGCCGGGCGGTTGTTTCCCATTGCCTGATTCGCACATCCGAGATGTGATTACTGACCAGTGACAGTAGTAGTTCACTGAACTTGTGAGGGATCACGAGTTCTTTCCAGCCACTGTTCCTTGACGCTTCCGACTTGTCGATATCTTCGATATTGTCCAAGTCCAACCATTCTCCACTGCGGTCAGCAATTTCTTCAGGCTCTGGAAGCGCAGACAGAAGGCATCGACTTACCCCAATTTCTCGAATTGAAGACGAAGGCGGGGACCTGACCAGGTAGCAGTATAAGCCTAGCCTCGTCGTCCTTCAGGTTTGCTTTTGGTTTATCAAATTTCGTCAGGTGACGATTCATAGCGAGAAAACTCTCTGATCGAATAGATTCAATTTCGCCGTCGCTACAATTCCAGGTTTTGCCGTTGCTCAAAGTGTCAAGTGTGTCTGCAAGCCCCTGAAGCTCACCAGAAATCCTAGGTAGGAAGCTCAATGGTGGCGTTTTACTAAAGAGATTAGTATAGACAGCTTTGTAGTCAATGTATACGTCACTTCGAACCATTTCGAAAGCACTGTACATTCCATCTTCATCGTCCGACGAGTCGTCACCAAATGGGGGTTTTGCGATCATCCGCTTGTCCACAAACATCTCCAAAGATTTATGAGGTATCACAGATGTCCCAGTATATTTTTTGTGTCCAAAGCATTGGATGATTTTCCGTCCTCGTGAAGTCAGTTTTTGACGCAGGTCATACTCATCCGGGTGGAATTGAATAGGATACAGTTCCAAGTCTGTAACCCTCATCTTTCCTGTGAAGAAGGGAATCGTGTATATGGAATGTCTGGGACCTATATTCTCTCCATCCCATGCCATGGTCAAGCATGAGAGCCGGAGGTCCACCCAGGTTCCAGCTCTTCCATGTGCTCCACGTGGCTGATGAGGGTTAGGCATTCCTTCGGAGGTGGATGAGAGAAGCATCCTGCCTCCTGAGACCGAGAGAACCATGTGTACTTGAGAATCGCTAGTTTCAGTGGCAAGAACTAAGTCGCCGGGCTTGAAAAGATGGTAGATCTCCTCGAACGAGAGTTCGTCGATGTCGCCGTTCCGAATTCTAAGATTCAAGCCAATGTAGTTGGCCAGGTCCGTCTTTATGAAGTCGTGGATGCACTGAAGGCGGCGAATTTTCATTTCTTCGCTTGTCAAGCTATCCGTAGCAAGTGATGAAGCTTGTTTCAACCCCTGGAGCTTTGTTTCAATGTCATTCCTGTGATGAATTAGAAGCTTGAAAGGAGGCACCATTGCCAACAGCCCCGTCCGTTGTGTATCAGGCGCCCCTGTGATCTGCTGTAGTTCATGAATCATTTCTTTCGAGTGAATGAGGATCCTCTGAGGCCCTAAGCTCCTATTGCTCTTCGAATATGCCGCTTTGAAGTCGGCTTCGGACACATAGTCCCCGGCCGCTTTGATGCTTCCTGGGACTTCTGTGTAGAATGCAGAAGCGATTATTTGCCCACTGCGGTGTGGCTGACTATCAAGGAAGACCTCTGGATTCCACTTTGACATTGGCAATCGCTCGATATGCGGATGGCTGACAATGTTCCCATCGGCCCTGAAGCAACACCGTAATTAGCCTTGTCCATGTATTGAAATTTAACAAGTCCCATCCCCCTCGCTAGACAGTGGTCGCTTTATGATGTAGTCGGACAATCGAATGCAGTGCTATTCATACTGTCGTGCATCAAGCGCTTCTTTCAAAGGTCTTGAAAGAGACACATACATGTTTTCGGGCAACTTCTGGTTGAATGGAGACTTGTCATCCGGCGGAGAACTCCCGCTTAATGAGGAAGCTTTGGGAGGTGTCTTCAAGTTCGAAGAAATACTTTCCACTGCTGAAAGAATCCCCAAAATAGCTTGAGTTGTCGTTGGTTGGTCCATAGCTGATAGTGGTTGGTAATCATGCGATGGGTCCTTGACGCTGTCGTGCTCTGAGAAAACCACGGGATCTACAGCAGAAGCAACGGACAGATGTCGCTCCAGCTTCTCGGGGCTTGTCTCAGGACCTGCCATGCTCAACTGATTTTTCCTGAAAATCCAGCCGGCTTTGAGCATGAACGGGTCGCTACAGAGACTCCGGCGGCGAAAATACAGCAAAGAGGAAAAGCAAAGGAGAAGACGGAATTGGCTTGTTCAGGTTGAAAATCCTAAAGATAGACGCACGAAAGGCTCTGGTGTGCTCTCATATCCAACAGCACTCCAAGGTCTGACGAGACATGCTCAAGTGGGGTAGAGCCTGTAGAGCCATGGCCTTTTAGATCGCGTTGCCTACAGCAAGGCGATTCCCCTCCAGAGCTGCCACCCTAGCAGATACTGAGATAATGAGGCAGGCTCTGAAAGGCCCATGCATGTTTGTGGCTGGAGGCGGCACCCACACCTGCATTGTCTGGCTGATGTGTGTTGCTGTCGTATGACCCCAATATTGCTAAACATGCAGGTGTGCGCGAACACGACACAAACAAGTGGCCACCCTGCCAGCTGCGCCTTTGCGCCACCAGGCCAAATTAGGGCGCTTCAGCAGACTTGACCCTGGCTGATATATGTGATAGGCAGGTCGACTGCATATGGTGTGCACAGGTAAGCACTTATCGTCTGACGGAATGCAACCCAGAGGAGCTGGGCAAATATGGAGAAGATCCATGCTGTTTCTTTGGCCCGTCGAGATTGAGAGATATGTTAAATAGCACCTGGGATGAGCCCATCATTCATAGCCTCGTTCGGTCATAATTGGAGATCGGCGATTCCAATGTGAGTCTCCTCACTATGCAGCCTAATGAGACGCACAAACGTCGTGCTGACTGACTGATCTCTGAAGTATTTCTGGCCCTAAAAACATGTTGCACATTGACAATGCAATTCGACCAACGGGTCAGGATTGAGTGTTAAAGTATTTAATTCAGCCCCCGCACTCCCGCACAGCCTTGGATCAAAGCCCTGTCTATCATATCAATAAGACCCAAAATAATACCACTAAGGCGATCCCTTGCGATAGTCAAGTCCTACGCTCTTTGCCACCAACTTGATTCTGGGCTGCTCGACATGTCGAGTCTTACGGAGCTTTCTGAGGATGCCGCCCACGTCCGTGACTTCGAGGTCCGCGAATACATGGAGCAGATGGACCTCGGAGCCAATTCGGTTTTCTCACCGAGGCTGCTGCATATTGACAAGACGGGACAATGGCTAAGTGCCTCAGATAACATGTTGTTTTCGGCCCACCTCGCCTCTCGGGCCAATAAATACTAATACTGAGTTCAGGAACTTGGAGGAGGTCTACTCAGAATGCGCCAACGCCCAGCTAAATTTGACAGCGAGAATTAACAAGTATCTTGAGAAATCTAAGCAGCCCCCTATCAACCTCGAGGCCAATGGAAGCTGGGATGACGTCAAATCTCAAATGGAAAAAGCTTGTGCAGTACTTGACAGTGTTCTCTCCAAAAAGAAGAAAAGACCCGGACTGACAGGCGCAATCCGACGAGGATTTGATGTGCTCTGTCGGAATGCGGGAGCGGGCAAGGCCCTGATATCAATAATTCCTAGTGACTTGATGATTGCATCTGCTGTCTCCGGCGGCCTGAATGTAATATTTGTCGCACTCGAGCAACACGGCATATACGAGGAATCCGTCTTCAATGCCTTGGAGAGCTTACCCGAAGTTTTGAACACCAATGAAATGTACAGCAAAATCGCTGTGAATGATACGGGAGTTCACCGCTTGACTGCTAGACTGTACGCCCGCGTGTGCGAGGTTATTGATTACATCTTGCGGTGGATGATGGACAACATGCTTGGTAAATGGGCATACCCTTGAGAACTCGTGAATTCAGACACGCTGATTTGGTAATGCTCAATTAGTTTCCGGCGCGAAACAAATGTTCAGGCCCAATCGCTATGCAAAAGACCTCAACGACAAGATGGCAGAGGTGAGGTTGGCAGCGGAAGCACTTGAAAAGTGGGCGGCCACTCTCTTGCTGCAGAGCCAGAAAAATATACACAGCATGCAGGGTGGGATGTATTTTCAGCAAATGAAGTTCGGACACCAGGTTGAAAATATTGATGAAAAGGTTGACCAGTTGACGTCCAAGGTTGACCGAATGAACAAGCTTGAGCATGTTGTACCAATGGTGTTCAACAGTTTCCACATCATGCTCAACGACGAGTGGCATCGTAAGTCGATCCGGGACTGATCTATGAAGCCTATTTCTTCCATTGAAAACATGCTGAGACTATTGCAGGAGTCCACCAACATCACGACCTACGCAAATCAATACCCAAGCAGCTTACGCCTTTGGAAATTTCAGCAAAAGATGTCCTTGAGCAGCTGTTATTTGACCCACATTTGGTATTTCAAGATATGAAAAATCTGCTTCGACAAGGGACTTCGAGCCTCAACCGCAAGCTTCAACCACATCGGCTGCTAGCGATTCAACAAAATCCTCGTATCAAGGCGTGGCTCTCACTCGATAGTCCGTCACTTCTCCTATTGAATGGCAATTCTACATCCTACCTTGACCTATCGACTTCATTCTTCAGCGCCAAGGTCATGGACACACTGATGCAGCAAGCTTCAGAGTCACACAAGAATATTGAAATTATACCTCTTGCATATTTCTGTGGGCAACATCAGAATTACAGCCGAGATGTGGCAGCGAGCCCCGCCGAGCTTGCCATGAGCCTCCTCCTGCAGCTGGTAAACGGCCACAGGGACTTTGAACCGAATGTCTTGCAAAGGTGCCTAGATAAGACAGTCCCTTATGATCTTGGGTCTATATTTGAGTCGTTCTCACGACTGCTGAACCACCTTCCGGCGGATGCCATGGTCTTCGTTATCATCGACGGTATCGAACACTTCAGCAGGCCAGATGAGAGGAAAAGGGGTTTCTATGAAGTTCTTAGCCAGCTGGTGCGATTATTTCGGGAACAGCGAGAGGCCGAAGTTAAACTACTGTTTGCGAGTGCCCAGAGAGGGATCGTGCTCGAAGGTTTGGGATTGCTCATGGATAATGAGATTGTCGGCATTCCGAAGAGTCCACCCCCGAGAGCTGTGCCAAATGACCAGAAAACGTTGATGGGGCTCTGATATTAGGCGATGTTGAATTTTCATCACATGTATATTTGGAGGTGTCGAGGCTGAGAAAAATGTTACGGGCACAACACTTGTTAGTATAGGGAGCATAATCCCATTTCGTCTTTGAGCCCCTCGACATTTTTCTTTTTGGAAAGGAGGGCGAGTCAAGGAAACGAAAGAGGACGATTGGTTCGAGCGCAGTGGTAGGCAGCACCATCAGACGACATCACGACGGTAATCGTACTAGGCAGGAAAGTTAAGGACATACTGAGAAAGGGAGATATACGGAGAAGAACATGATCATTTCCAACCCTTAGGACCGGGACACATCATTTCGCTTTCACGATTTCGCAACACTGGGGCGTTCAGACGCTGCCATACTCCTGGCGTTGACGCTCGCAGTATTCTGTAAGCATAACCGGCTGATAAATCTCTATAAAACCTCAGAGGACTCATTATACGATGCTCAGAGAAATACTCAACATATATGGGAAATCACCACAGTGTCCATTAAGTCCTCTTTGATTCGATTCGTGCTATCTACCTCTGACTACCTAGACGGCGTTGTTTTAGCATTGTTTGCCTTGTTCACTCTGTGCTTCAGATCAAGCCAGGCTTGGCTCTGAAAGACAGACCTAGGACTACCTCGCCGACGACTGACAGGTACGGGCACAAGAGGACGAAGTGAAACGACCCTCCTCGAGGACACAGATATAGGTGCTGAAGTATCTGAAGCGGCTGTTGATCTACCGTAGCCAACGAAGAGGACTTTGACTTGACAGCCTTCATTAGACGCCTGGTCAACGAGCAATTGAAAGACAGAGTGGACTCTGTCAAGTTGTGCTACATCTTTCCCCAGAATTTTGAACATATCTTCAGCCTCCACAATGATAAAACAATCCTGAAGGTGTCTTAGAATCGAGCATAGCAAGTCGATCCACTCTCGATCGGTGTGTTCTCCCTGGAGTTTTATGGAGGTCAGGTTACCGTCCAGGATCCTTGCCATATTGACAGAGTCGAGTCTGATCAGCTGATAAATCAAGTTTTTGAAGATATCAGCCAGAGTGATACCTTCATTTCCTGAATTGGCAGTGGACAGGTACCAGCATAAACGCCTTGCTGCTGGTCGGAGCATTCCGATTAGCTCTGTGACAATCTCCTTGGCTTTGGTCTCTGCCTTTGGCCCAGCTTCCAAGACAAGCAACGATGGCTTGGGGAAGGCAATCCAGCTTCCTATGTTCGCAACGAGGTGGGCAATTTCAGAATTCTGGCTAATCCAAGGTTGGATTCTTCTAGCCAGGCGCTGCTGTCTCCTGAAAGCGTCCAGCGGGGCTATTCGGGGTGTGAGAAGGCCCATGGCCTGGCCGAATTGGATATCTACCACACGAGGTCTCATATCCCGAACATTGAAGTGGATCTCCTCCAAGATAGGTTTGCTCCCTATCCGATTAATTCGTCAGCTGGCCCATTCTCATCTCAATCGCGGGTGGAACTAACAGGTGGTCACTTCCAGCTTGTCATTCACGGAAAATGACAATCTATCAATTTGCTTTCGAACGTCGGATAGCTCGCCAGATAGTGCTTTCAAGAGGATGTGCATACTTCTGGTCTCCGTTTTGGTACATAAATCGACAGTCTGACTCAAGACCGAAGCACACCTTTTGACCTCATCAAGAGTATCTTTGAGCTCGAGCTTGTAAGGTCTGAAAAGAGATGACATTGCCCTCCGCGTTGAAGAAAGGTTGTACCAGTCGATAGCCTGTTTGAAGAAGAGAAGAATGTTTGCGTAGAATTGTGATATTGCACTCTTAAGCTGGTCGCTTTCGTATAGTTCAGCACTTAGCTTTGCTTGCGGCAAGATGACCGCGATATCCACGATAGCTTTCGAGAACTCGTTCACGAGTTCGGCATGGTTGACAATTCCCTATACTCTACTGAGTGTCATGACGCGCAGATTTGATAGTGTATGGATCACATACCGTCAAAATGAATCTGATCGAGCCCCAAACGATACTGAGGTACTCAGGATGTTGTTGAGCCAGTACGTCGAGGACTCCGTTATAATAGAGTACAACTGAGGAGATCTTCTGCAACCAATATTTAACCTTGGATTTTCCCGCGCTGTCATATCTCGCCTGCGCTTCTGTGGCCGTTTTTTGCACGTCTTCCATTGATGTCAGCGTCTTCAACCAAGACAAATCATGATCTTGTTCCCTGAGCTCAGTCTTTAGGTATTGTATAGCATCGTTGTATGCTTCACGGGCAACGTCTCTCGTCCTGTGCGAAGATTAGCAGCAGTACCTAGACATGCTGGAACGCTGGAACCATACCCCATGATATCGCCATGCCAGTCTTGCAACGAAGCACAGGCCATGGGAACAGTACCCCTCATCTGTTGTGCCATGTGGACCGGGGCAGTATTCCTGGCTACGAATATACGGCCGTGAGATTATCCGAGCTCGCTTTTCGAGGTCGCAGGGAAAGGCAGTGAAAGATAGTTGTTTGGGGGAGATGCTCCAAGAGTGATATAGACTAAAGTGTACGGGTGTATACCTAGGGTAGTATGCAGCCATTTTGTGTGTCGGCATGGAGCACATGGCGCAGCAGGCAGTGGAGGAGGCTTGGACTGCTGTGTTACAGTGCATCATACACTGCGCCTCACAGCTGCTGTGGCCCGCACCTGCCGATACCTACCTGGTTGATTTCCTTCAACAAAAGCAAACAAGCATGAACACCATCACAAACGGACTGATTTGCAGTCAATACCTTCAAAAGAGATTTGCCTGGTTTGTCCATAAAATTTTCCCTGCCATCATGTGTCCTCCACCGCTACGTGGACAAGGAAGGCTGCAGTAACGATCCAGTAAAGCAGCAATCGGCCTTCACAGGGGCTCCTAATTCTTGCAGTAGTGATTGACATCAGCTTCTGGCAAGTGGCTGATTCTCAAAACATAGATCATGTCAATTTAATTCTTTTTTTCTCACTATACTTGCTTTCTTCATTATATAATATTGAACATTTGAGGACGTCAAGCTTTCTAATGAGCCTACGCAAGCAACAATCTCTGTTTAGGACGAGAATCAGTGTATCTTACGTTTGATTTCGTGTTGGCAACGGTTTTATATCCAGTGGAAATCTCCCTGCGTTCGAGCGAGAAAACTTCAAATGTCCCTCAACTTGCTTGTCTTGTCTTTGCGAATGCCCAATGCATCTGCCAACTCCGCGTCCGTGTGACCCTTCGTATCCTCGATGTATTTGTCAAATTCTTTCGCTACACGAATTGTTTGCTCGAGATGGATGGATGAGAGGGCCTGTCCTCTGAAGAGCGCAAGTTGTCTGGCCGTTCGAATGGCATTCCGTATCTCTCTGCCATTGAGGGCATGCCTCGCAAGCTTTCGCACACTCCTCTGCAAGTCCTCTAGTTCAATCTGCAGACTTGGGTCTTTTTCCATATCTTCTCTAAGAAGATTGAAAAAATTCTCCCAGAGCTGTATCCTGTGATCATCATCGTGTGGAGGATAATATATAGCTAGCTGTATGCGGGACTTGAAGGCCTCATCAAAGATGCCCACTGTTACGATTAGCTCCTTGGTAGGTAATATGAAGATGGGCCTGTAGTGTACCTCTGTTCGAAGTAAGGATAAGTATTCCATCGTAATACTCTAGAGCCCTCAGGAACACAGAGACTAGAGCATTACGTTGTAGATCGGCCTGGGACCTCTCCTCGAGGAATACTTCACTTTCATCAAGCAAGACAACTACAGGAAAGACAGGTGAGTTAGTCAGATTCAGGTTCAACTAATGGACAAAAGTAGAAATACTCACCCGCTTGCCATAAGGTTCCCAACTGGAAAATCCATTCTAGGCTCTTCTCGACGGTCTCTGGATCCGTTCCGATATCTCCACAAGTCAAGCGGTACAGCGGCCTCTCTGCCAATTCCGCGACGCTCTCTGCCGTAAGCGTTTTACCTGTTCCTGGTCCACCATGCAGCAATATGATAAGACCATTACCCTTGCCCTCTATCAGGTCAGCTGAGTTACTAACAGTGTTCGCAAGGTGGTTTTGCACTAGTGCCTGGATAAGGTCTTTCTTCTCCGGGTCGAGGACCAGTCTTCGAAATGCACTTTTATCCCAATTCACGGCAAGAAGATATTCCACCGGTAGGGTCTCTGAATTTGTCAGCCCTATCATTTCAAATGGAGGTTGTTCAGAGGCCTTACGCCATTTTTTGTCGTGAAATCTGAAGGCTGGAATAGTGGGGGGTAACAGCAGGACGAACGACCCGGAAGGGGCTTCGTCACTTTCCATCGCATCTGGGCCCAAGTCATCTCTCCGAGGTGGCTTGGGCGGTGTCAGTTCTTCTTCCTCATCCTTCTCTTGATCTTTCCCATGTAACTCATTATATGTTGCCATGTCAATCATGTAACGGGGATTGCTCTGCACGGGTGCGAGAAATCAGTCTCCGCCACTGTCTGTGCGAAGATCTTCAATTGGTATCCGGCGTGGACTTACCAGCCTGATCTCGAAACCGCGCCTTGGGGCAATAGAGGTTACTAGTCCCCCCTTTCTGCAGTTCCAGAAGAACCTTCCGCGCCTCATCAACCGTTCTTCCAGGCCAGTGCGATCAAAGCGTAGAGGGATAGCGGTAAGAGATGAGATAGGAACTTTTTCCGACCTCGCCGGACTCATCGGGAAATGCACCATGATATCCCTTTCGTCTCTCTGAAAGCTCCCGTGGAAACTCCAGGTCTCACATTTCAGTGTGAGCATATGGTATTCAAACCGAGGGCAGTTCTGTACTGTGAGACCGATGTGATGGCCATCATCCTCGATGACCACGACGTCTCTTGGGCCAAAAAGCTTTTGGAAATGCCTTTGTGAGACATAACCGCTTTCGAAGAGGTCATCCGCCTCTCTATACTCCTCGCCGAAACTCGATTCCAGATAATGCATTAGTGCACCTATCTGCTGGCTCTCCAGGCCGCTTGAGCTGTTGACTACTTCTTGTAGGGCCTTTCTGCCAAAATAGAAAGGCAGATACGGAGAGCTCAGAGTATGACCGTCATGCCAAGGTTCAACGTCTGGTGGGAAGTCCACCTCTTCGATGGACGTCAGAGCATTGAGAAGGACCTGGGAAAATCGGCAGATTTGCTCGCTTGCCGGAAGAGCAGGTTGGAGATCTTCCTCTATTGCATACAAGAATGATCGCATGCTGCTGGGTATCCGGCGATATTGCGAAGCATTAGCAAGCCTCGTGAACATTCGTGAAATCTCCTCCGACTCATGGTAGCCTGCGCAGTTATATGCTCTCTCAACTATGAAGATGACATCTGGATTATCCTCGAGATACGCGTCAATGTCGTTCAGCGGTTGAGTGCCCCGCAAAGCACTGTTCCTCATGTCTCCTTTGAATAGGCGAGGCGGGTCCCAGAACAACTGCCCGGACAAGTGATTCTCGTGCATTGGCTTGGGCGGAAGGGGACAATCGACCCGGTGGAGAATGACGTATCGAGGCATGATATCCTCTACATCATCATCCTCGGTTCTGCGGCGCTTACGGCTACCCGATTCTTGTGTCTTCAACGATGCGTGGTACGAATGCATTGATATTTGATATGATTACAGACCTGGTGCAGCGCCTGCATTAGATAGGGGGACGTTGCTGAATTTTGGAAGTTATGCAGAACGGCTTGGTGGGATGAGGAGTAGTATTTGTACTGGCCTCTGCTGCTGTATCACTACACTGCTGCACAAGTGACGTATGCTCACCAGCCACGTCCTCATCAGCAAGTGCCGAGAATGACCACATAAAGGTCGAATGCCTGGACACGTTGGTTGAGGCCCAAATGGTGAGGAGACAACAGCTGCCCGTGATCTGCACATGCACACCCGGCCATAATTAGGTTGGTTTTTATATTTTTAAGTTATGCAACAGCTAGAACCCGCATTAAGCGCTATGTGCCTCAGAAACGAATTAGAGTATCATATGTATTAACTACTCAGTAGCTGTTGGTCTCAAGCGATTCCTTGCAGGTTGAATCTTGAAAGTGGAAAGTTGTCCTCGTTCTTGGCTGGCTTTCAAATCCGGGCGAGCTGATATCACAAACTTAGAATCAATCAAGCCCAACGAGATGGGCTTCGTTCGCCATAAGTTCAACCAAGGAAGACCGATAGTTGCCATTCCTTAGCAGAAGTAGATGCTTTTGACCGGGCAATCACGATTACAAAGCTTCCTTCGTACTTTCTGAGCCGACTGCCTGACCCAGGCTTGACTTAGAGCGCCCGACTCTCAGCTCTCCTCATCGGTCCTTCAGCCAATTGCTAAGGGCAAGGCATGACAACAATTCACACATGTATAACACAATTAGCTGGAATGGCCCGGTGGCTCGCGGTGAGGTCTGCGAGGTCCTCCAAGTCATATGGTTGAGGTCGCAGCTCCTCGTCATGGGATGATGTGTAATCATACTCAAGAGGTGCTAAAGCTGTTTCGGCCATCACCTCCCACTGGGCAGGTGTTATCGATGTCATCGCGGGCAGAGTCGCATTGTCCCCAGTCTCACAGTGCCCAGCCCCTGGGAATCTGAACTTCGTCGGCTCTATGTGGGTGAATTGCCGAAATAGACTTGAAAGTATTGTGGGGCTTGTCTCCCTGTGAACAGGAGCTCTTGGGTCGATGGACCGAATGAGACGTTTGGCGATTGTCGTGTCACTCGACAGCTCATTCTTCTGTAGACGATCAGACTCTCTTTGCTGTTCCTCTTCATCTGCATCAACTGCTCTCTGGTGAGCCTTAGACTGATAGTGGCTCGATTGGTCGGTAGATTACTCACCTGTCAAATCCGCGCGTGCTTTATCGTCACTATTCACAGTTGTGTCCGCGTCGAATCGCAGACTACCTAGGCGGAAGGCTCGTGGCGGTTCGGCCCTTCTCCAATCTCCCGTTATGCCCAACGGTGCTGATTTTGTTTGCGGTGCTTGGATGCTTGTAAATGTTCTTTGATATTCGCCACCAGAAATTCTCTGGGGACGAAGCCCTGGAGCAACTATCCCTTCAAAAGCGAGCATGCGCCTTCTCGTGACCTTTCGTGCCTGCGTGTGATCTTCCGATATTGTCCATAATGGCCGCTTGGACCCACGATCGTCTCGAGACTTATTGATCTTGGAACATGTTTTTGGGAAGAGTGACATCTGCGATTCATTGCGTGCGATATACTCGGAATATTGACTCAGTCTGGAAGTTTGGGTGTTCTCATCAATTCCAGGGCCTTCAATCTCGAATTGAAGCTGTTCTTGATCAGGACGCAGCCGATTACCGTAATATCCGCTACTATTAAATTGGTAACTGAAAATCGGGTCTCAGTTACTCGTAGGTAAGTAATAGTATCTTCTCGATCCCGATATTTGTGAAGTGGTAAGAGGGAAAATCGCGCTGCGAAGTAAGCGAACAGCCTTTTGCGAATTTGCCAGCCTTTCAAAGCATTCTTTTTACCCTTCAGATAAAGCCACTAAAGCTGACTGCACTGGAGCCGTATGAGCCTGGCAGTGCTGCTGGCTGCAGTGCAACCATCTCGCTGGTCGGTCCACCAGGCAGTGCCTCAGCTGGCGCCGCTTGGCTTGCGTTGTACATAACCCCAGAGGAGGGGGGAAAGGAGGAATGACTGGAAAAGAGGAACGCCTGGAAAAGGAGACTGCATGAAAACGACATTCAGTGCATCGCTGATTACAACCTAGCAATCCATGAACTGCCATTTAGCCCTGTCTAAGGCGTCTCTGGAGGCTGTTTTGACCCAGCCTCTGTGCAGGCACTCACATGCAGTTGTCCATTACTAGAACGGCAATTTTCATTCACCACCTCGTGTAACAGATCTGGTCTAGGCGCCAGAAATCAATTTGAAGTGCCAGAGCACTTGAACTGACATTAGATAAGAGGCTGCTCGTCTGCACAGCAGCGTCTTGCCCCGTAGCTGGATACGTTTTTCTTTTCGGCCGTCACGTCGCAAGCACCACCCGGTCGACTGACTGCAGCCCCAGGTTGCCATCTCGAATGGAAGGCAATTCGAGGATGACATCATTCAGCATAATGAACATGCTCAAATCTTGGTGGTTAGCGAGCAGTACCTTGCTGCACGATCTGGCGTGGATGACCTGCGAGCCCCTCACAATCATTCACCACACGTGAGCGATAGGGCCGCATGCAAAATTGTTATTGTCATGGGCCCAAAGAGGAGGTGCGACGCCATGCTACGCAGTAGTTCTGGCCCATACATGGGGCACAGGTCTACATCTTGGTCGGCTCATGATTGATCGTCCGGCCAGAAAGCGCCCACTCAGCCAGCCCCATCTGACGGCACCATGTGCGAAGTCTACCCGTTGAAATGTTCCTGATAGGGTGAGAGGATTGTGTCGCCTCGCGCAGGCCATGACTTTCATACTTACAAATGACTGACGAGGTCAATGGTGATATCCTGTCAGCGAGGGCTCCGCAGACGCATATCACGAAGTGCCACACAGCTCAAGCCCAAACCAACGTTTTCATTTTTGTCAAGAAAAGACCTAATGTCAGAGAAGGTATCTGAATCTGAGCCCGAGCCCGAAATACTCGATAGTAATAATAAAAAAGACATTACTCATTGAGCCCCTTGAAAACAGCTCCAGCCCACCACCCTAGACGCCGGCGCAGAGACGAAGAGAGCAACGCAGCAAAGACAAGGCTGTGAGTGTGCGAGTGTGTGTATGTGTAAAAGTCAACGGCCAAGCTCAAAGTGTATAGTCCGTCCTGAACGCCGTACTTGCGCGCGCGGGTTGCGGTTTCGGTAGGAGAGGATGGTGTGAATCAGATTTCGTGTGATGGAGGCCGTTCGTCTCGTCAACCCTCGTCCGTCTTCTTACGAGGTCCATATCCCCCGTTCGCCGGTACGGTAGCAGCCCCTTAGTATGAGCCCAGAGAATAGTCCTCAGGATCCGCCGGGAGTTCCGGGTGGTAGATGTACCGCCCCAGTCCCACTTCTAAGCCTCAAAATCTCCTCGTCCGGCTTGCACGGGAGCTTAGTGGGAAAAGCTCCTAAATCGACGTATTCCCCAGAAATGGGTTTCTCCATGGTAAGTGATTCCTTCGATGGTATCGCTGATCGCTTGAATTGTCTACTCCTTCATCTTGACGTAGTTGCTGGGGAATGTGCCATGTTTCGTCCCGATCATGCCAGTCCTACACGAAAGTCAGTCAGAATCTCAACTAATCGGCCTCACAACAGCATGGGTAAACATACCACCAATCATTATCACTTTCGGTCTTCTTCAACACCGTAATAACATCCCCCTTCTTGAAGCCCAAGTCGCCGGGCTGCTCCGCATCAAAGGTAAACAGCGCGATGGCCTCATTCTTCTTCATGAGCGCCTGCTTGCTCTGGAAGTTGGGCTTGGGCGCCGCCGGCCGGCCGGGGCCGACTTTCTTATCCTGCTGGCCCGTGTACTCGCGTGGCACGGTGACGTCCTGGAGGGTGCTGGACCGCGATCCCGCGCCGAATTGACGCGGGCTGTCGTAGATGTCGTCCTGCCACGTGGACGCACGCTTGGGGGCACCGAAAGAGTCCCGGCTGTTGTTGGAGGCCGCCGCAGCGCCGCCGCCGTACATGCTGTGTCTCGCGCTGGCACCGCTGTTGTTCACCTGGCCCTCGCCGTAGGCGCTGCCGCGCTGGCCGTTCCACACCACGTCGTCGTGTCGGTCGTCGTAGACGGGGACGTCGTTGTACATGCTGTCATCGAAGGTGCCGGACCGCGTGCCGGCGAAGGCGCGCGAGTTCAGGATGTTGAAGAGCGGGGCTGCCTGGGACGGCGGCCGCTCAGCGCCGTTGAGCAGGTCCTTCGCGCTGATCGGCCGGCCATAAAGCTTCGTGTTCGCATCTTTCCGTTCTATTATCGCGCTACCCTCCAAACTGACACCAGCGAACAATCCCTTGGTCTTGCTGTAGCTGAATATCCCCGCCACACTCCTCAAACTCGCTGCACCGGCTGCCTCGGCATTGCGGCCAACGGGACCCGCTGCGATGGACACGTTGCCGCCGAGGGTGAGGGAGCCGGCCTGGGCGAAGGTCTTGACTGCTGCGGCGTCGTTGAGGATGAAGACGAAGTCGGTGAGCTCGAAGCCGATCTGGCCGCCAAAGCCGGCGCCACCGGTCGCGATGGCCGAGGGGGCGGACCAGGAGCCGTCGGGCAGGCGGGCGATGACGAGGCCGGAGCCGAAGCGAGCGGAGCCGAGGAAGCCGGCCTTGATGACTGTGAGGATCGCGAGGCCCTGCAGAAGCAGAGAGCCGTTGTTAGTGGCGCGTCATGGTGTTTTTGGGGCGTGGTAACTCGTGGTTCGGGAGAGAACTTGCCTTTGCTGAGGCCAGGACGGAGGGTGGAATGACCTTGTCCGGGCCGAACGCTTGGCGCGGGTCAATGAAGGCTGCTAGGATCTTGCCACACTTCTTGCACTCCGCTGTATCGGGGATTCAGTCAGTTAATTTGTTTCGCAGTGCAATTGTTTTGTTTCTTGTAGCGTCGCAGCCTGTCGTTCCGGGACCCGGATGGTCGGGCATGGGGAGAGGAACACGGCCGTGGAAGAGCGACGAGAGCGGGGGAATCTCGTGTTGGAACTGGGTGGACTTACACGCCATAGACGACGGGAGCGGGTTGTTGATACCCATCTTTGCGATGCTGGTATCGGGACAGGGCCAGAGGAAGTGTGGAGGGTAGGAATAGCGGAGGAGATCTGGAGGTAGAGCAGGAAGAGACAGAGAGAGAAATGTTTGGATTGCCAAAGAGATACGGCCGCTATGTATGTGTGGTGGTAGGGATTGGGGAGGGACTGGCGGAGTGCAAGTGTGTACAGGTGCAGGGATGTTTGGAGAAGGTCAAGGTTGGGCAGCTTGGCTCTGGTCGTCTCCAAGGCTTCCCGAGAGGCGCAGCTGCAGCTGACGATGATGGGTGGCCGCAGACTGCAGACTGTGTGGGGTACTTACTACTACAGACAGTAAGTGTGCTATGCAGAGACTACTGTGCAAGTACTCACTTAATTGACAAATACGGGTACGAGGGGACTGCGATTTCCTTTTGTACATATGGTCCCCCAGTTCTTCTTAGCCCTCTTCATCCCATCAAGACATGGACACAAGGTGAACAAAAAGCAGCTGAAAGATGAGATCATGTACGTGCACATGTTCCGTCTCGACCTCAATTAGGTTTCGGTACATGATGCCGAAGAGTGCAACAGCAACAACGCCTGCATCCGTGTCCTCGAGCCGGTATCGACGTGAGACAGGTCACAAGAGTCACAAGAGTACAGCAGGTCTTGTCCCAACGGCCTCCCATCGCCACTTGAACGCGCAAGCTTTCAGTGTATGGGATTGCTCAGCTGGCTGTGCACTCTGGCACGTCTGGCTATCTAGTAGATAGTTCAGGCCGGCCGGCCTCTTATGTAGGCTGACTGCCTGCTTGCTAGCCTAGCCCTAGACTACAGTACATTAGAGACAAGACATACTTTGCTGCCAGGCACACACATCTCCAATCCCGACGCCGGGACTCCCAGCCTGCCAAGCTTGACGTCGTCACTGGCCAGTGCTTCTCTCTTCCTTTGTGATCGCCCTTTAGCGCCGACACCAAAAGCTCCCCACGTGCCGTCAGGCTGTCACGTCTGTCAGCTTCCGTTTCACACCTGGCTCGTGCACCGTACCGAACCGTAACACTTTCTCCCCCAGCCGCAACCCGGTTTCAACTTCAGCATCAATCATTCGTCGCTGCCTCCTTTCTTTGACTGCTACCAGACGAATCTGTCCTAGCGACTGACGAGACCACGATCCCCAAAGCAAGCCATTGCGCTCAATCCCCTCGACGCTTTGCACGCCACAGTCTCCCTTGATCCGCATCGAAAACGAGTCGAGGAAAATCGCCCTCCATTGACTACCAATTCCCAAACCTCAAACCTGCCAGCCCACCATGTCCGAAGCCTACGAGCGCGAGCGCCAGAACAACTCCCGGCTAGACGAGCTGTCAGCCAAGGTCTCCGCCCTGCGCGGCGTGACCATCGACATCTACGACAACGCAAGGGCCCAAGATGTCATCGACAACACCGTACGGCCTCTTCCTGTCTTCTAGTCTCCATTCTCCTCTTTGCCCGCAACCAACAGGCAATCAAGAATGGAAATGCTAACCTGACAATTCTCGCGCAATACAGTCTGACACCTTTTCCACGATGCGCACCCAGCTCACCGGCTCCGCCAGCCGCCTGGGCCGCATGGCTGCCGCCGGCAATAAAGTCGCCGTCATGAAGCTGTCCGCCATCCTCATCGGGACCTTCCTGGTGCTGTACTACGGGTGGAAGTTGTTCATCTCGGGCTAAGAGGGCATCGAGAGCCCCAGAACACAACAAAAACGCGCACACAGAGAGTATACAATATCGACGGCGGGGCTCGAAAGGGTTCAAAGGTGATATCTGCTGCTAAGCAGTGAGAGGAACTCAACGGATGCGGGCAACTACCTCGGGAAGAGAAGTGTGTCGAGCGGAGGAGCAGCAAACTAAGAGTCGAGATACCCCGCTGAGAGCAGGACGGCTGGGGACGCTGGTGAGTGGCGAAGGACAACGAGACAAGAAGAGCAGTGATCAGCTTGAGACAGTGACGTGATGATCTAGGTTCGCAAGAGGAACTGGAAGAGACGGGAAATACCGCGCGCCATATTGGGCAAAATATCAGACCGAGACGATCAAGAGCGCAGCGCCTCGAAAAGGCTGGCTGGGATAAACATGTACAAAGAGCGAGAAGACTTGGGGGGGCATAGCAACAGGCGTTACACGGGTCACTTTAATATGCCCGGGGCTGGGCGCTGTATATTCGGCAATGGGAGGCAAAGAAAGGCAGGGTCATGGGGGTCCTAATAATCATCCATTTATTTGTTTCGTCTCAGCTATCCTCGTCGCCCTCATCATGTACACCACGCACCACATACCACACACCGCAACACCATGCCATTTGATCTGCCGTTCTGTAGTTCCATGTTTGCTCCTAAACTACCCCCCAGAGACTCCGGGACTTTCGCCCGTAATCGTTTATAAGCGCAGAGCCTGTGCACTCGCGCATTCGAGCATCGCGGCCGTGACAAGTCTTATTCTACTCCCACACGTTTGAAAACAGATCCTCGCTCCCAGCCCCCTTAGCGCCGGTCGTCGGCGCCGCAGTGCTGCTCGTCCACCCGCCAAACTCCTCGTCCGCCGCCACCTTGGGCTGCGTCACCAGCCCGCCAGACGCCCCCGGCACGATCGACGTGTTCGCAAACGAGCTCATGGCGCTGCTGGCACCGCCGCCGCCACTGCTGCTGCCCCACGCCCCGAAGTCGTTGGACGGCTGCGGCGCCGGCGCTGGGATGCTCGCCGCGGGCTTGCTGGCCGGCGCCGGGTCGGCCCACGCGTTGCCTCCCCACACGTCTGCCCCCGAGAATCCGCCGCTGTTGCCCATTGTAGCGAGCGGGCTGGTCGTCGTCGCAGGCGCCGGGGGAGACTTGGGCTGGGTGAGGTTGAAGACGGAGTTGGAGGTGCTGGAGACTGCGGGAGCGGGGGCTGGGGCCGGCGCGGCCGCCGGAGCGGGAGAGGAGAAGTCGAAAAGGTCGTTCATGGCAGAGGATGCCGGGGCTGCTGGCTTGGGCTGGGCCGCTGGCGAGGAAAAGTCCCCGAAGCCCCCGAAGCCGCCAAACCCGCTGTTAGACGGTGTCGGCTTGCTGGGAGCGGGTGCTGCTGCGGGCTTGGAGTCGAAGAAGCCTCCACCACTGAGACCGGAGAATGCAGAGGACTGCTGGGGCTGAGGTGTCGATCTGTTGCTTGACACCGGATTCAAGTTTGAAAAGGCCGAGTTTTGAGGGCTCTTGGGGCTGGAGATGTTCGAGAAGCTCAGGTTGCTGAAGGCATCGTTCAATCCACCTCCAGCCGGCTGTCCTGCCGGCTGGCTCATTTGCGGCGGTGCCGTGGGCGATGCCAAGCTGCCGAAGGAGCCAGAGTGGGTGTGACCATGAGATGGCTGCTGTGGCCTTGGTGCCGTGGCGTAAAGTGATAGGATGGACTGCTTTAGGTCTGGCCTCGACTGGCCACCCACTCCACCGGAGCCAGTGGTGCTGGCAGGTCGAGGGGGCGGGGACGGTTGAGAGCCTAGGAAATCCAAGCCAAGCAGCGAGTTGTTTGCGCTCGTCGACTTTGGCGGCGCGGGCTCGGCCTTCGGTGGCACTTTGGAAGCCACTGGGCCGGCAGTGCTTGCGCGAGGGATGGGGTCGTCACCGCCGATTAGGTCGACTTGTGGAGCTGGAGCTGGTCGGGCAGAACCCGATGGTTGGCCGGGATGTGTCTTCAGGGACTGCTTCCTCTCGATGGTCTGCTTTTCCTTGACAATGCTGAGTGGCACATCGTCATCGGCGTCCGTTCCCAGTGTAGATGGATCAGGCATTGGCCCATCCATCACCCATCTCTTGAGTTCATATTTGGTTCGGATAAAGTTCTCGATCTTGGCCTCGGAGGGCACGTGGCCGGGTGCCAGCTTCGCCTCCCAATACTTGTTCGCTCGTGCATTGCCCCAGTTAAGGACACTTTGTAGTTGTTCGTCGGTCCAGGAATCGAGGTCGACAGACTTGACCTTGCTGATGTGGACTCCCATGCTACGGTGAATGCCTGAGCACCGGATGCAGATGAAGACGCCCAAATTCCAACTTGCCCATCGAGGATCTGTGCACGAACGGTGTTAGCAAGATTAAAGAATTTTGGAGTATCATGTTGATCGGTGTTGAGGTCGACATACGTTTGTTCCTCTTGCAGTCAGAACACATCTTATTAGGCTCCAACTTCAGCAGCGACTTGATGGTCGCTTGGTTCTTTGCCGCCCGCTCGGCGGCGGGGTTCGGTGGTCGCCTTGACATCTTCTTTATTGTGCAACGGTGGACTCCACAGGTTCCAAATATGCCAGAAGTGTCGAGGATTGAAGAAGAAACTGGTCTCGGCGGGAAGAAGTTTGTCGACGTTGGCTATTGAAGTCGACTTTGGGAGTGATGTTAGAATAAAGGGAGTGTTGGAGGAGCTGAGATGTGCGTGTGTGTGTGTCTGTACAGATTACAGGTACCAGAGCAGGGTCAGGTCCCAATGCGCTTACGGTAACAAATGGGGGCAGGCATCAGGCCTGGCTGGAGCACGAGCTCGCAGGGTTCTTAGTGCTTGGGTAACCGACCGAGTCCCGCCTTGTTTGGCTTATGGGGCCTTGGGCGCTGACGATTGATAACAAAATGCCCCAGGTACTTGGGTACTGAGGTACCCAGGCGCCGGGTAACGGAGCGGCTGCGGTAGGTCTTCTACGTTTCATTGAAACCGTTCCAGATCTGTGACGTACCTCCAACGACATTCCAATTCAGTGGAGGGGCGATACCCGGGCGCAGCGGTCGTCGATATCATCCATTTGACTACCGAACGCACCATCACCTAAGCCTCAAAGTATTTGTAAGTGGAGGGGCAAATCACTGCGCTGCTTCTCTCTGCCCCCAGTTGTCACAAGTGTGCAATTTGAATTCCATTAAACATAAATCTCACCAACCACCAACAACAGACTCGCAGAACTCAACCTGCTCTTCATCTCTTCTCCATGCGCTTCCAGTTTTCAAGTGTGCTGCGGACTCTGTACACCCTCTCAAATTTCACTCGAATCCGAGCTTCACAGCAAACACCACTGCTGAACTCAGTACCTCACCGAACCACTTCTCTCAGATCAATGCCAATCCCTCTGATCGGCGGTTTCTTCAGCTCCAAGGCCAGCGACTCCAGCAAGATGTCATACCCCGTCCAGAAGTCCGACGACGAGTGGCGCGCAGTGTTGAACAAAGGTAAGAACTCCAGACATCTTGAACATATCCGCCCCTGCACAATCTTTATCTCACACTCACACCAGAGCAATTCCGCATCCTCCGCGAGAAGGGCACCGAGCCGCCCGGGTCCGGCAAGTTTGACAAGCACTACCCGTCGGAGGGCGTGTACACATGCGCCGGGTGCGACGCGCCGCTGTACAAGGCATCGCACAAGTTCAGCAGCGGCTGCGGCTGGCCCGCCTACTTCGACAGCATCCCCGGCGCCGTCAAGCGCTTCGAGGACACCAGCATGTTCATGAAGCGAATCGAGATCACGTGCGCCAACTGCGGCGGCCACCTCGGCCATGTCTTCCAGGGCGAGGGTTTCCCCAACCCGACGGATGAGCGCCACTGCGTCAACAGTGTGAGCTTGAAGTTCAGTCCCGAGGATGCGCCGGTGCAGAAGGCTGCTGGTGGCGAGGAGAAGAAGGAGTAGAGTGTGTTCAGAGTCTGAGTTGGTTTTATGTTAGCAGGCGAGGCTGGTTGGTAGCGTTGTTTGAAAATCTAAGTCTGGTTCTTATCGTATTATTATGCACCTAATTATCGAGTACTGATGATGACGACGACAAGATTTTCCCCGAGTCCAAACGTCAAGTTGGCTCAAGCCCTCTTCATCACCAAGAAGACAAGGAATCTAGCACTGTAGCCAAAAAAACGGGTCTGAGATCGGTCGCCAGCTGCACACTAGACTACGCAGTCCAAAGGAGGCTTACTTTGATCCCTTCCTTCAAGATCTAAGAACGTGGGGAATGGTGAGGACCGTCACCTTGTGGGGATCTGGATGTATTCTATCAGAGATGTCAACTGGTCTGTTTCAAGATATAATTCGCTTGGTCTTCACCTGGCTGTTAATCATTTTTGTCCCTAGGGCCGGGCCTCGCGAGAAGTTTTGAACTTGTCCGATGGCTAGACCCTTCCCGGAGTTTACATCTGGGGTCATTAGCAACGCTGTCTTAGTATATTTCGAACGACAAGTGTATCAGCAGGTTCCATTCCTCACCTTGTCCCTGTGTTACGCCCGTATTCGGCTGCGTAGCCATCGAGTCAGCAGCTCCCGGATTCGTAGGCCAGCGAGTAACTGCCTGTCTTCTTCTTGCTTCATCTCGTGCGCTTCGTTCCACCGCCCCATTAGTCTTGCGCTTTCCCCGTTCCAAAGGTGAGTATGACGGCGGTGGCCGTGGAGGTGGAGTTGGTGACCGCGGTCTGTAACGATCTCTAGTTGAGTCCAAGGATGATGAGGAGCGTGATGAGCTTCCAGTAGAATACCCTCGATTTCTACGGCTCCGGCCGCGGTGGTCATAGCCCTACCAATATGTGGTCAGAAGCGCAAGCAGAAAGTTTTGAACCACATCGACCTCACCTCGTGCGAATTTGGCCCCCAGCTCAACCCGCTCGCCCCAGCGTGTCTCTTGAGCCATCTCAGATCCCGCGCAAGCTCGGCGTTCAGCTTCCTGACCTCTTTGCCGTGCTCAGAGATTCGCTTCCTTGCCCTGTTCATGAAAGCTTCCCCTCGACCCCTGCGGCCCCCTTTCCTGACAGCATGTTCCTCCATCCACCGATGCACGTACTTGCGAGTCCGGACCACGATCTTGAGGCCCGCCCAGCCACAAACCGCTCCGACTACTACGTGGACAAAAGCGATCAGGATGGCGAGCCTGGTGACGGCGGCGCTGGGGCAGGTGAACTCGGAAGTCGTGGGGCCGGATCCTAAGCAGCCGCACCGTATTGCGAGGCTCATGGGCCCGAAGCTGGCGACGCTCGCTAGGAGGATTCCGGGGAGGAACATGCCGACGAAGATACCGATTATTACGAGGAACGCGGAGTGTTGCCAGAAGGGGCGGGTGTAGTCATCGATGGAGACGCTGTGGGCTGCCTCCTCGATCATGCTCGCGAAGGCTGGATCTAGGAAATCGAATGGTGGAGGGGCGGTTGAGGTTGGAGGGTTGATCGTAGGGGTGTTGTCTGTTTGAGCAGCGGTCGGTGATGTATACATCCTCTGTGAGGAAGACGGAGTAGCTAAAGAGTGCGACATCTCGAACTTGCAGAAGCTGAGCTCCTGCGTATGACCTCTTTCAGGTGATGTTTTGTTGTTCTTTGAATGAGGAATTTGCAAAAGAAAATAGGATGGACACAGGAAATGGAGACGAAGGGCAACTAGTTGTGATATATTCATGTCTTGGAAACGGGGTCTGTGTCGGGCCGTGACAAGCACCCAATGCCTTTTCAGTGATTCAACTGTTGTAAGTGATGTTCACATATTTCCGTAAATCAGAAGCCATCAATACTGTGTTGGAAACAGGAATTTGTATACATTTAATCCTGAAGAAAAGTACGCCTTCGTTCAGATACAGCCGCTAACATGATCTCTCGCCTTCTGACACCTGGTAGAGGCATTGTTTTGTTCAGCATTATAGTAGCTGCTTAAAACTATAATTGGCTCACCTCCAGTACCATCACCTTCGTACGATTACCTTGCAACAGATGAGCAACATCATGGCAAAGTCCCTTAGGAAGATATATTTTACATCGCGTAGAACATACCACGTTCAACTGCGGTTCCCTTTCTGTGCATGGCAAGCATCTGGCGAATCTTGGGAATACCTGCGGGCTGTGAACCACTTATGGCAAAGTGATCTTCTCCCGCTGAGGCGGTGTCACCCCTCGACTTTCTTATCACAAGCCATATTCACAGGCTTCTTCAAAAACTCCTCCAGAAGGGCCGACACAGGTGGTACTACCCACGCCTTCGTGTTCAGGGACCCAGTGACCAGCATACTGGACGGAAGCACTTTGTCTGATATCAAAGTCCAAGCACATGTCGAAGTCCATGGAGGCTTCAAAACCCATGTTCTGGAATGAGTGCCCCATGGCAATGAGTTCTCCTTCATGTGCCAGGCTTAAGTCACCCCAGTCACCCCACGTATTGTTATCGTTGACTGAGACGGCCGATTCGTCATGAGCGAGCGGCTGTGTTGAGTCATGAACATCCAAGTTCCAGGAGGCTTCGGATGGGGTCAGCTGATCGAGAACCAATGATGAAGTGAACCCTTTCTCCTCTCCTGGATCTGTCTGTTCTCTTTCATATGTCCAGTTGGCTGGATTTGACCAAACTCCTGAATCTTTGTCCTCTTCTGAATCTGTGTCGTCCCCTGAATCTGTCTCCCCTCGTGGATCTTTCTCCTCCCCTGAATATTCAGAATCCTCCTCTGGGCCTAGCTTGTAGCCATACTCACGCCAATCCCTTGGTGGCTGCGACAGGTAAGGGTTTCTGGTGTCTGATCTATCAGCATCCTTTGTGTGCTGGCGTATCAAATCTGCGACCGCAAGGTGACCCTCCTCCTCCGCTAAAAGGATGGCTCCATCGTATCCAGTCTCACCCCGGCGGTAACTGAGTGCGTTGTAACTTAAAAGCAGCTTGACCATGTCTATGCGACCAAATTGAGCCGCGAATTCCAGAGCGTTACCAGCTGACTGAGCCCAATCATCCTCATCAGGCACTCGTTGGCCCTGCGGCGCGTTGACGTCGGCCATGGGGTGGCGGGACAGTAACAACTTTGCAATAGCTATATCTCCCCATCTTGCCGTCTCTTGCAGCGCTGTCATTCCCCACGTGCGTGCTGGAGCGGCATTGACATCAGCACCATGATCGAGAAGAATTTGTACCGTCCTCAATTTTAGCTGCTGTTGATCCAATGATGTTGGTTCAGCACCACAAGCGCCTTGAAGGGCTGTTCTTCCAAATTCCCCTCTGGCCGGCGCGTTGACGTCAGCTCCTTCCTGAAGGAGGAGCTCTACGACGTCCGTTCTCAATTTCTCTGCAGCTAGTTGCAAAGCGGTCTTGTGGTGACGTCTATCATAGGCATTTAAATCGACGCCTGCTTCTAACATTTTTCGAACAAGCCCGATTTCACCGTTCATTCCAATCCACGATGCCATTGGAGAACCAGGTCGAAGCTGCGCCCCATTCCGAAGCAAATACTCAAAGATCTTCTTGCCGTCAAATCCAGCGTAACAATCTTCCAAAAGCGATGCAGAACGACATGATGGAGCCGATAGGTCATAGCCCACGCCGACAATGTACTGCACTATTCCCAGCACGCTTTGGCTGTCGAATAAGCAAAATCTAACCATCGTATATCGCAACAAGTGGTACAAATGGGTCCTCCTCGTCGAAAGCCGAAGGGGCGCCCCTTTACTGACCAGGAAGTCGAGCATCTTTGGAAGGTCACCCACTTTTGGATTCCATGAACATATGACGTTGGCAATTAAGCTGATTCGGCGTTGCGCGGCGATTTTTCTCAAAATCACATAGTCTCCCGGGTTCACGTGAACTCCCCGGTTCGCGCTGGGTTTTATATCAGCATCGAGATTGACTCCAGTCTGGACCAGTTCCTCGACTGCGTCAAAATCGTTTCTGGCTGCTGCATCTATGAGAGCGATTTGCAATTCTCTCGTATCCTCAATGCCGCCTCGTGCAATATCGAAAAGGCGTGTGTCAGGCAGTCGAACCAACCATGACAAGACCTTGCCGTTCACAGTTGCCCCATTATCGATGAGATACTGCACAGCCTCCACCTCGTGTTTAGGGCAGTCCCTTCCAACTAATTCTGTGAATCGTTCCAGAAGGCGAGGGAAATCGCACAGCACCTCCTTAATGCTGACACCAAAGTTCACCAGCGCGCGCACTGCTTCCAGGTCTGTGACTCTCTTTCGGCCTTGCAAGTCGCAAATGAGAAATTGCTCAGCCAGAAGCCGCTTCAGAAATCTTTCTAGCCGCTCTTTGCTGACTCGAATAGCCAGACTATCCAAGTGTTCTCCGAGTCTCTGTGTGCCATCCTGCCATGAGAGCAGAACAGCGGCTCTACTCAGGCGGCCAACTCGGGCCTGAGCGGACGCCCATACAAATGCATGAAATAGTGGCCGATGAAAGTAGAATAGATAGTCCATAACGGAGAATCCCAGCTCTTTTGGGTATGCACGGTCCCGTTGATGACGAAATAGATGTGATGACCGCAGCATCATGTACCGTGAAGATTGAAAGACTGGTGTGTTGGCATCTAGATTGGCGCCCGCTTGTACAAATAACTTCAGACCTCTGTGAAAAATATTTCCGCAGCCATGAAAATGCAGAAGAAAGTAATCGAAGTTTGTCGCAAATCCGTGGGGCTGAATCGCTTTGTTGACGTCGCAGTGTTTCAAGAGCAGGTGCGCGCAGCGAAAGTTCTCACATTTCATTGCCTCAACGATCGCGGTTGTGCTCCAACGATAAGTTTTGTCACTTAGCAAAGAGTCCGGACGGCATCCATTATCGAGAAGTGTCTGCATGGAGCAGATCAGGTCCATGGAGGCAGCGAATATTAGGAACTCATGGGCTTTCGCAGAAACGGCCAGCCACCCGTAAGAAGCCCCAAGTACTATCAAAGTTTTGAAGGCTTGCGGCTGTTTATGGCGTCCAGATAGTATGATAAGGGCCTCAAATGCCGCCCTGATGCTGGCTAGGCGGCTGTGTAGGAGGTCTTCAAGGTACTTGCCAGGCACAGCTGCGAAAACCAAATCCAGCTTGGAAAATATGTCGTGGTAAAGGCTTCTCCGGTGAAAGCGGTAATGATCATAATCAAAACCCATGATATTGTTAGAAAGAATGTAAATAACAGTGAAAAGTAGAACATAGTTGTTGTTGAGACTTGTAAATGATGCGAGGGCAGTTGAGCGATGCCCAAACATCGCAGACAGATATTGATGGGTGACATTCCATCTAAGCTCCCTGTAAGCTGCATGATCTGTTGCATCGTGGACGGCTGGCAGATTGGCTGACGGAAAGGTTGAATCCGAGTCTTGCCGGAAGTATTGTAGATATGTTTCGGACGGCCTGGGCGTATTTGCAATATCTTGAAAACCCAATCAGTATCGAGCTTGAGACAGTTTCGTGAGGAAGGGAGCGGATGACGACCTTGGATCATCCTCAGACGAAGGGGAATGTAATACATCATGCATACCGATGGTGTAGTGAATGACAGCCCCTATCGGGAGCCCGGAAAGGCATAGCCTCCAAACTTCCTCTGCCTTAGCTTCCATCAACTCATTGAATCCGGGCCCAGACTGACAAGCTGGCACGAGGGGAATCGCTTCATCGCCTGTGGGGTTGTGTAATGGTCGACAGATGATGGCACGACCACCGGAAGCGGGACGATTTGCCGGTGGATCGATGGTGCTGAGAGATGATTCTCGGATATCGTCACGGGAGACTGCAAGGAAAGGCGGCGAGGTTAGAGTCGGTGTGCGGATTACGATGTCGGGAGGCAATGGGCTGAGAGCCTCTACGAACAAGATTAGTGTCGAAAAGCCCGCCAAACCTTGTCGAGACAGGTTGAACTGACCTTCCGGCTGTGGCAATTGACCTATAGCCTTCGCACTCTTCATGTTCTTCCAAGCCTGGTCCCAAGTGTATTTTCTGCCTCTGACGATAATCTCGGTCTCCTTCTTGGTCCTTTTCAGTTTGAGGTCACCTTTCTGCCGAGCCGGATTCTCGAGCCTTGGAACGACGTGTCGGTAAATCTTCCGCCATTCTTCCGATGTGACATTCTTCCGGATGTCGAGCTTGCCAAGGTTTTCAATCCAGGTTGGGACACTAGATAAATGTGTCAGTGGGCATGTTTCTGAGGCATGGGACGAGAATCACAATTGAGAGAAAAGAAAAAGGAAACAGAATTAAGGGCAGCTTACGCCCTTTCCGGGAAAGCCCCATTCTTTTCCATGATACGCTTCAAATCCTTCACAGAGTGTTTCTTGTACAGCTTCTTGATCCTGTATTCTTCACGACGCCAAATGTCGCCAGGGTCTGATGAAGACATCCGCTTTGAGGCTGGCATTTTTTTCAGGCCAATAGGCTGTTGTTTTCTTTTGCTCGAAAAGGAAACTAAAGATTGATTGCCGCTGGCGGGCACAAATGGGAACTTGGCTTATTAGGAAGGCGACCGACTTGGGCAAGTAGGTGGGATAATGTTTGGTGAAGGCCAGAGTTGCAGTGTCGTTTGGGAGTCAAAAGCCAAACAATGGTGGGCTCGCTCCCTCAATGTGGGCAGGGTCGCTTCGTGGGGAAGACTTGGGTCTGTTACAGGAGGATGATAAGCAGAATCTTGCTGCTCTTGAACGGAATTAGTGTGAGCAAAGACATCAAAAGTGAGGCAGACGGCATTCTCTTTATGCTCAGCTGGATGCACCATCCGCTACGTCGGGCCTGGCTTATGCCCAAGCCAGAAAAGAATGCCCCTCAATCAGCCAAAGTCGACCAGAGTTTGGTTACACAAGTCGCAGGGGTGAGCTGTTCACTTCCAGCGGCAGATTTCGGGCGTGGGGACATGTCGCACAGCATGCTGCCGGAAGCAGGCTGTGTGGGCAGCTAATCAACAGGAAGACGAATGGCATCCTTTCCCACACACCCTGGCCTTTCCCTCGGCTCACCACCACTGACCGGATTGGTTTTGGAAGTCATGCTCGACCAGACTTATGCACGCCAAAGACCCCTCTCGTGCACTGCAGTGGGTCTGCATCATTTGCGAAATGTAGTGGTGTGGCATACAGTACAGTCAAAGTCGACCAAACTTAGGTGACCAGGCGTCGATGCCATTTTCACGCACGATTTCATTGGTTATTTGGTCTGGTTTGTACTAAACCGCTGCCTCGTCCCCTTTCCTTCCTGTGCGGTTGTGCCTCGCGTCTCACGAGGACCCCAACAATCACGTTGTTAGCCTACCAGTAAAGTCCGTTCGTGCGGGTTATCGTGAACGAAAAGTCGACCAAACTTAGATTCCAAGTTCAGCACACATAACCTGGCCACTTCAATCCGTGGCAGCAAGGATGAATAGATAATATTTCTTATAAGCCTAGTTCCAAAAACTGAAGAATGTGCTTCTGAACCTCAAGATTCCACTGCTTCTGTTCTTATATCGTCATTGCGAACCAAATTGGGGCGACGACATCCTATCTTACAAAGTCCCTCTTAACACTTTTCCAAACTTCAATGCAAAGATGGCTTTAACGTCAAGCGCAACACCCTACTTTGCTCTCTTGAGCCTATTGGTGGCCTGTGTTCCTGGGCTCTGTTGGCTTTTGAAAAAGATTTCCCGATCCAGGAACAACAGACGCAGTCAACGACAAGCCTGCGACATCCTGCCAACAATTCTCCAACAATTGCCGCCTACCTTCTCGTTTAAAGAGCATCCTTTTCACCCTTCTAACCAACCATATTACACAGTCAACGATGGGAACCGCCAACTTTCAAACACAACTCGGGGAGCTCCAAATCATTTCAGGCCTGTTTCGGACCCCGGGAGTCACGCTGTCTGGCTCAATAACACGTTCATTGCCTCACATATGCAAGGACGAGTCAGCCTTCGCACAGAGCAGTCCGCGTTCCACAAATCCACGTGGTCTGTCTCTTCACATGAGCGCACATCCTAGGATGTCGTGGAAACCCATCATACATGAATGGAGGCTCCACGAATTCTGCAGTCACAACGATAGGGTATTGTCGGAATCTTGGTTGGAATCTGTTGTAGAGGGTGTTTGGGAGTGTGGAAACGGTACACGCTCCCTCTGGCTGTTGTTTACGGACCATTCGTACCATCCTCTGTTTAGAATCTTCTCTATAAAAAGTCAAAGTAAATACAATTGATTACGCCCCATAGTCCTACAGTTTCAGAATGACTTCGTATAGGAAGTCTGAGCTCTGTCACTTCAATCAGCTTTTAGTATTGTGGAAATAATTGTGAAGGGCACAGCGTTGACTGAAGTGGCTGGGCTAGCGGAAAGCACCAGATGAACAAAACTGCACTGTGCCACAAGTCCCGGACCGTGATAGGATGTGATTTACCAGCCAGGGCCCCCTTACGTTATCGGCACAGTTTGCCTCAACGAGCCCGATTACCCTTCCTCTCGTGAACATATCCCACGGCACACCTAACAGATGAAGCTGTAAGCACGTAGCCTGGCAGTTCTCGCCTCAAGATCCGATCAATTAACTCGATCTTCTCAGACGCACAGAGGCCGCTGCAATGACAGCTTCATCACAAGTCTAGCGTGCGACGCTTTTCATCCGGCCGGAAAGTATCATCAGAGGTATCACTCACTTCGCCGTGGATGTACACAGAGAGAATATTGTTTATGACGTCGATCACGGCATCAGCCATCTGTTCTCCTGTCTAGAGTTTTATAGTCGTCAGCTATGAAGCAACGAAGACATGTAAGGCTGATGGCAATAACGAGAGGAGCTTTTTAGACTACGAGGTTCACGCAAATGCTGGGGGTCGGACTGTGATTTCCTCCTTTTCAAAGAATTTAAATTAGGATGAAATTATTGGCCCATGATCATCTGGAGAAAGGCTGGTAAGGACTTTTAGATGGCTAATGCTACATGGTGATGGTTATGGTGAGAAACATCTCGCTCGTAAGTATTGCATCACTCAATATCAGGTAAATGTAGCATAATTTCGCATATCCCTGCATATACTCGTTTCTTTCCCTGTAAAAATATTTGATCATATGCTTGCCGGTAGAGAATTTTGGTTCCGCGCGATGTGTCGGATATCAGGCTCCTGAAGCATATGAAAGTGCTGACCTGTTTTCTTTTACCATCCTGCTGCCTTCGATCTCAACAAATTGTTCTCCTCCTGGAGTAAAAATGTCCAGTGATGTATATGCCTCCTTTGGAATAGCTCTCGAATTAGTATGTTCCAGGAGAAGACGTGAGAGTGGAGCTTCGATACCGTGTGTGAACACAGCCGATGCAGAGGCTGCCAGTGGGTTGATAAAGAGGCCGACGGCTGCTGTGAGCCAGCAGACCAAAATCGCTTATGCTGTGGACGCCTTGGCACCGCGCAAGTAAAGATTGGCATCTTATTGTCATTTCCCCTTAATTTGGGCGAACAGCATGAACACCACCTTCGGGGCGGCCGTCAAGACTCCCATTCTCTTTCGACATTGTTCAGCAATGAATGATCGTTACCATATTGGGTTTCATTCTACGTTATCACTTTGAGGCTTCTGGGCTTGTGACAATGTCATGAGCAGTCGGCTAACGTCAAGGATCATTAGTTGGCTGACGTGGTTTCTAAAATGAGAGTTGGGGTCCGGACCCTGCTCTGTTCTCAGCCTTCACGTGCAACCCAACGTGCAGCCTTGTGAGGTCTCATGGCAGTGGCGGAGGCTGTGAGAATGTATGATGGGGCCAAGATAAAGTCTTTCAGGCCACTAAATCCATCACCACTGTCGCCAATTACGTGCGGACCTCATGACTGAGGCCTCGAGGACCCCAAGAACACTTGCATCACAAGATAGGGATTTTTTGAAAGATATCTACCTTTGTGGTAGGAGGTCTGATCAAAGCCTCATCAGCATGAGGCTGAGACTACCAGATTTCACGTGAAGTCGGTGAAGAGGCTGAATGTGGGAAGATTAAGGTGGGGATGGGACTCATCAACAATACAGGTCGAAGACGGAGGTAACTACACTACTTGGAAAACTATAAAGAATCACGTTCACCGGCCTTTCTAGTCGCAATCATGCCTCAGATTTGTGGAGATCGAGCAACAGTCTGCATTTTAAGTCCTTGTTGACATGTTTTCTCTTCGTCCCTTTCGCCTCTTCGTCATCGTCGCTGCTCTTAGCACGGCGATGGCGACCAAGTTGAACGTCACCGCAATCGGCACCCACCGCAACAGCTCGCATTTCGAGTGCTGGGAACTGGACCGGCCGTTCACCTCATCAAACCAATCAGGACTGGTCAACACCAAGACAACAGTTCTCGGAGATGTCTCGAAGATGACATACAATGTTATCCCAGCCGGTTTTGACAGCGGATTTCATCCTGCGCCGACCAACCAGTAAGTTCGTCCGGGTTGAGACGAGAGACACAATACTGATACATGGTAGATGGGTGGTTATAGTCGGCGGACTGGGTGTGATCACGTTACCGGACAACAGCTCCACCACTTTCACCACCGATGGTGGAGAATTCGGCTTGTTATTCGCCACAGATACCGCTGACCTTACCGAACAAGGTCATGGCTCTTTTTTCCCCGGTCCAACGGAAAGCATTACTCTCCAGATCCCGACTAAGAACAACGAGATACCGAAACATCGGGTCTTGAGTGCAAATAAACCATGCACCGCGAATGAGGTCGCCGGATTGAGAGCCTGGGCAATTGGGGCCTAGGCGTAGTGCTCATAGTCGTTGATTTGCTAGGCTGGGGCAGAAAGTGTATTGCAGGACACTGCTACAAAAAGTTTGGGCCTGCAATTGATCTAGGCTTCACCTCACATATTAACATTGCGATGGCGTTTAGGTTCCTGTTTCGATGGTTTACGGGTCACATTGTGCTGGGAGGAGATTGACGCAATTTATTTGACAAGAAATCAGTCTATTAGACCGTTGTGTTCATGCACGTCTATCACAGAGTGTTATTCTGCAGCGTTCGCGGCTGAAACTCGTGATTTGTTTGAGAAGCCATGGTGAAGCTCTTCTTCTTTTCTCGATCGGTTTATTTCCAAGCTCTATATAAATCTTCGCGTTGCCCTATGTACAGCGTGGCTCATGTCATGCCTGAACCACTGTTCGCAACCGGTCGTGAAGTAGCCATAAAAGACTTTCTTTCTTTACTGATCTCAACAGGTGAAAGTGGCCGGTCCTGGGTTGACGTAAGATGTCGGGACAGGGTAGTTGATGTTGATCAAAATGCCGGGGTCTGTGGCACTGTAGGCCCCGGGGAAAGCAGCGAGGTTCGATGGTTGGGTGCTTCCTCCGCCAGTGACAGCAATCTGTCCGCAAGAAAGGTAGAATTGAGCAGCGCCCTCGCTTTGCGCTACGTGCAGCGCGATGTGCTCGTTGCGCATCAAGTAGTTCCCAGCAGGAATGCACTTCGGAATGGTCACGGAGATGGTGGACTTGCCTGTGCGGACGACGGATGTTAGCTCTTGATCATTGCCTGAAGTCTTGAAAGCTTCCCACTACTCACCATTGGATGGCCACGTCAGCTGGCTGCCGAACGTAGGCTGTTCTGCGTAGATCCTGAACCACACAGCGGTGGTGGGATCCCAAGTATTGATGTCTTGGCCCGTGGGAACCTTGGCCAGGTAGGACTGGAATGGACCCGGGTGGTAGATGTTCGGGTTAATGCTGACGCTGACTGGGCTTCCAGCAGCAACACTAACGGTTTGATTTCCGGCCTACATAATTTCTCGCGGTCAGCTATCTTCAGTAGAAAGTATTCCGAGATGACGTGATCTGATTGGACTTGTCTTGACAACGTCATACCGGGGGATGGGAAGGTGTAACAATGTACATACATAAAGCTGGTTGCAGCGAATGTCGTTGCTCTTGACATCACCGACGAAGCCGTTATCCTGCCAGTTCTTCGCCTGGCGGACGGCTGTCCAAGCGGCGGTATTCTGGATCGAAGGCAGAGTATCTGATTTATCGATGGGCGTTGGTCAGCCAAGACAGTTCAAGTGAAAACAGAAAGGGCCAATTTCGAGTTGTACTAACAGTGTGCGGTCACCGTGGACGCTGCCGCGAGGATGATAGTGAGGATCTGCATTTTCGAGTGCGGCACGAACGTAGGCCCTGCCGGTAAATTCAGTTCGAGAACAATCTTGAGGCTCTTCGGTTCAATAAAAGCCACGCGGAAAGTAGTGCAGTGGATCGTGGGAAAGATTCTTGGCAGAGGTAGATCCGGATCTTTCCCTTTATACGAGTGAAGTCTCCATTAGATTTCCCATGATATCCCCATGGTTGTCAGTTGACGCATGCCCACCTCGGGAGAATGGGCCGAACGGTCCTATTGAGCGTCCGTACCAAGTTCGCATATCGGGCCTCGATCAGGTCATTGGGTGGGTAAAAGCTTCTGCGTGCTTTAAATATATAGATCAATTTATTTTCGATAAAGCCGGGTGTTATAGGCACGGTGCGGATGTGCTCCGTGCCTCTCCCGCGTTTACGCTCGACCAACAGGGGGCAAGACTGCTCCAGAATGCCGATTGGCGGCGTCATCTTCTTTTACGTTGCTCTGAATGAATTTGAATTTTAGGATCACGATATCATTTTCAGGACATCGTCCACTCGGCTTCTTCATTTGACTAACATGTTCGACCGCGGTATTTTCTATGATTTCTTTCTTTACTTGTACAGATTATGCAACAAGCATGCTCTTTTATTTGAAAATATTAAGACATGAAAACAGCATCAAATATTGATACTGGTCGTCTCCTGACAGCAAAAAAGGATGTCTCCAGCTGATCATGAATATTTGTGGGTCTGCGGAAGGTAAACATCCGTCGCCATGGATGTCGTGCCCACTAACGGAGCCTCGCAAACAAACTCACCACCAGGATGGCTTGGCCATCCACTGGTATTTCTTGATTAAGCAGATCAGACGAAATGGTGGAAACAAATGTCCTTGCACGTCCATGTGCTGTAAAATCCTATCGAAGACCAGACTGGGCGTACTGGCCTTACCAGTAGCCAGACTTACTGAGAAGCGGCACCGTCTAACATTAGCGGCCGAGCGGGTGTCTGCCGGTGTTGAGTTAACACAACTATGACGCATTACTGCAGGTACGAGTTCCTTTTTCACTAGACACATCGGAAGCGTTCGTACACAGTAAGTGGGGCAACCTCTTTATCTCCCATCGAATCGTCTTCACCATATCCTCCACATATGCTGCTCAGCCATGAAAAGCGGGCAATACTGCCCATCCTTATACTCAGATTGGCTTCTCGGCCTTATCATGATTTTTGATGAGTGGTTCTTCCAGGTTCAACAGCAGTACAATAGAGCGGTCCAATCAGTCATGCATTCTGTACTATTCCTTATGTAAGCCCTTCCTGCTGCATGGATATAGTTCTTTCTCAGCTGCAACAAGGCTGCTCAAAACACAGGACTCCTACAACTGATATCATATCACAACTAATGGAAAAAACACCAATGTATGTGAGAAAAGGTTTCTCCGGCGGTCTTACTTTATGGTCGAAGAGGCTAAGCTATCCAGATTGAAACTAACAGAATAACGTCAGCTGACCACAACGACTTCGTAAACCAAAGAGCATACGCACAGATACAAAGTATTTTAGCGATTAAAATCATCTTCTGTCGTCTCTATGGAAAATTTAAATGACATTGTCAACGTCCACTTCTGCGTGGAATGGCGATTTGCACCGTCGTCACGAAGCAATGTTGTAGACTCTCTCTTGCATCACCATTATCATAAACTTGAAGCCGGAGCGTCGATTCATGTATTTCCAACTCGAAATCGACTCGCACACTTTTATACTCTTTGATTCGCTCATCACTCCCATCCCAGTGTGAGACAGGCGCCTAAAAACTACACCATCACGTGAGCTTGCCACGCCGCTTCTGCTCACATACTTGAAATGCTTGGCTAGCAAAAGCAAGTTTATTATTATACAAGACACTTATGAAGGGTGAAAACGTCGGCTTGTATTTCTTTGTGAAGGACTAAGCCACAAAATCGAATTGAAAATACCGCTATAGTAAATCGTGTTGGAAGCGATCTCTTCTTCAGCTATTCCGGGATTCGTCACATATTACGCAGGGAACCACTTGACCACCCATTTGAACAATAATTAGATATCAAACTAGTATCACTCCACAGCAATTTGATTCATGACGGCGAGTGTCTAAGCAGTCTTGTGCTCCTCAGGAGATGAGGCTTCTTGACCTTCCTCGCCCACCACAGACGGAGTTGGAGGATCTCGAACACAGTGCCTGGCAACCTCCCGCTCGTCATCAAGCCCACGGAAGACCAGTTTGAGCCAAGACAGTGGGCGTCGACTTGCGGATATGAAATCGCTCACCTTCGAATTCCACTGATTGGTAGTGTCGGGGATTTTCCAAACTTACCTGGCTTATATCGGCCTCCTCCTCATTGATTACGAAGTCGTTAGGATCTGGCATCTCGCCACCGCTTCCGAGATCCCGCATTTCAATTTCGTTGTTTTCGGGTGGTGGGGCTGTCCTTGATGTTTCGTCCTCTTTGGGCAGGTTGAGGATCAGCGGACTGCAAACGAAGAGCAGAAACACTATCCCCAGCAGTGCGCCGAGAATATAGCTAAGCCGTTCAGCGTCATCGAGCTGCTCTTGGGCTTTGACTAGAGCTGAAACGCAAGCCGAAGTGCTGTTGCAGATGAGAGTGGTGTTTAGTACAGGGGCCATAATTGCAACCCCCTTCCTAACTTTGGTCTATTGACGAGATGAACAGAGGGCTCGATTGAGTGACTGGCTGGAGATCGCAGTTTTCCTTGAAAGTGGTTGAGATCCGGATTTCCAGCTTCAGCGTGGAAAGCAGTTGCCTCTCTGGTAACATTACTGGAAAAATTGACCTTATATATATCGTTAATGGTCTTCCTCGAACCGCATAAGCACAAAGACTTGAACAATCCACAATGATAACTTCCAGCCGAGTGAGCGGGATCTTTTCTTGGTCTCTCTCGTCACAATACATAACAAAGACACATGGCTACAAGATTAATTCCTTTCTTCGAGCTTGAGACGGCACAGTCAAAATTCCAGTACTACATGTAACATAACGAGCAAGACTATGTCGATGCAACATTGTCAATGATGGCTTGTTAATAATCCTGGTCACGGATGTGGCATGTCTCCACTACGCTCAGCTTGCAGCTCCGTCCTGACCTCGAAAGCCGCTCTGCATCCCTCTTCAATGGCACCGTCTATGAAGCTGCGCCATCCAAGAGCCCAGTCCGAGTTTGCAAACACAATATTACCGTGCCGAGATCTCATGTCCTCCAAATGGTTGGCCAGCAATCCTGGTGGGGAGAAGAACCATGCTCCCTTTGAGAATTCATCCCTTGACCAGTTGTGGAAGACCAGCCGAGCAACGTCGGGAGACCTTCCCTTATTGTTCTCAGGTGCGAACAGACCTTTGACTGCCCCCAATGTATCCTCCACATTTTCTTCAGCGTTCATGTGGTTGAATTTGCCACCGAAGGCAACAATATGTGTATTCCCGGCTGGTGTCGTGCCGTCACCGATGGCGTAGAATAGCTTATTGTAAGGATACGTAACGCCTGTCCATGATCGGAGGTCTTTGTCTGGGATCTCAGCGTGAACTTTCACGCACTGGTTGACATGGCCAATGTTGATGGCAGATTGCTTGCCGATTGGTAGAGGAGGGTCGAAAGACAATGCTCCCAGTACATTGAGCGGAACAGTCGAGATCAACCGATCTGCATGATACTGCTGCCCTTCTCTTGTTGTCACTGTGACATTGCTTCCAGTGTCCCTGACCGACTTGATGGGGCTGTCTAAAGCATAAGATAAACGCTTCGTTGTAAGGGCCTCGTTGAAGAATTTGATGGCGAAGCTTGACTGGCCGCCTCTGCGATACCTAAATTAGCTACAATCTTTAACAAATAAAACCGCCCTGGACCAAGACCATCTGTGAGCACCCCTCTCCTCACCCAGGCCACACAGGAAAACAAAATAAAGAAGAAAGAAAGGCTTCATCGGCTGACGACCCAGAGAAAAGGAAAGATTCATAATGGTGTTGCACCTACCGAAATTTCCATGTAATGAGGTAATCAAGACAGCCTTGATAAGTGTAGCCACACATAGCCCACCAATGTACCATCTCGTGGAAACTCATGGTCTCCAGCGTGCCGCCGCTGCAAAGGAGTATGAACGACTCCAGGGCAGCTCGCTCATCGAGTGTGAGTGAGTGCGAAATCTGGTTGATTCTGTCAAGTGCAGAGAGCTTGTCCAGGTCTACCGCCTTCTCGATTTTGAAGGTATCATGTGGCAGAGGCATAATCTTCCGCCCAAATGATCCATCAACGTTAAAGAATTTGCCCAGCGCTGACGCCATGAGTTCGTCCTTGATTTTATTCAAATTGTAAGCAAATAACGCCATCTTCGGGGAGAAATTTATGATACGGGGGTATAAATACCTCCTGCTCATGATTCATCTTAACATTGCCCTGTGCAGTGTTGAACTCGAAGTGGTTGACTCCTTGTGAAAAGTCGAATGAGTTCACCAACTGGTTGGTCATTTGATACCTGGCAATCTCCCGCCACACGTTCGCCTGGCCCCAATGCACCCATGTGCCTCCCATCTCAAACGGATAGTCACCGATGTTCGACGACCATGACCGTCCTCCAATACGGTCTCTTCCTTCCAAGAGAAGGACTCTCAGGCCCTCAATTGCAGCATTTCGAGCGGCTGTAAGACCACAATAGCCTGCACCGATGACTATCACGTCGTATTTGGACTCGGAGGTTGATACATTGGTTGAAGGGAATATGACACCGATGGACGGTACGCCCTGCTTCAAGCCGGAGGCCTTGGTCCAAGAGTAGCCGTCGCGGGAAGTCATTTCAGGTCAAGGATAATCTTCTTCAGCTTGGGTTAGGGAGGCGTCAAACACAAAATCAAGATGCGGAAGAGGGAACGAAATTTAATTATATTCTGAATTAGCAATCACACTGACGTCCCCCCTATAGTCACCTCTGGTAGGAAATTTTGATTTGCTGCGGAGATACTGGCTGGCTTATTCCAAGCTATCTGAATAGACAGCTGAAGGTAGACGAGGTTACAAGGGAATGTTGAATATGCTACTATAGTTCGAGAAGAAGCTATCGTCCAACGATCATCCCCTTGCTCCTCCCAAGATCACTAAGAAGAATCCCGTCCCAAAAGGGGCAATATTCAGAGAAAATACCCCACTCAGGTTCCCGGATTGACCAATTGGCGCCTGAGGCGCAACACAGTCCCGGATCTGGCCGGGATCTGGTTTCTATGCAAGTGGTTGTGGGGAAGAGCTTAACCTGCGTTCCACCGGCATTGGGTGCTTGGCTCTCAGATTTCTCCCATCAGCAACTGCTTTTGGAACTTCTTCAAGTCGTCCGGCGAAGCTCGCCATTGCTTTGCTGCATTGTGCCCACTACCACTGTCTGCTCGGCTCGATTTGATAAAGCTATTCGAGTGGATCCATCATGGCCATGCCCGTTTCAAAGGAGCCGCACCAAAGCAAAAAGGAACGAGGTAACGTGCAACGCTTTCCTTTATTCGAATTCAAGACTGCTGTGGTAAGCGAGCCGGGAGAGCTTTGCTGATGTTGGCGCAATAGGCTGCTTCCAATGTTCTAGGAGAAGGATCGTTTGTGACAGAGTTGAGCCCTCGTGTGGCAAATGCGTAAAGAAAGGTGTTGAATGCTCCGGTCTCGCTAGGATCCGCTTCAATAACGGTGTTGCCCGTCGCGGTAGATTGAAGAACTGCACAATTCCAGTGGTTGAAGTCGCCGGCGCAGATAAGCAGGACTCTTGTTCACTGCCAAATGAAGTGAAATTCTCTGAGCTTCGATGGCATCCACACAGTTCACCACGGAATGCAAGATCCGGCAAGGGCCAATATCAGGCCCAGACCGGGAGTGTCAATGCCTCCAAGCGACGGGCCAGATTCGAGCCGTTTCCAACACAACCTGTGGTAGATCGGCCCGATGATGCGCGATGCTCGCCTTCAAATTTTCCAATTACAGGTCTTGATGATGCATTGTCGTCAACCGGGTCAAGTTTCTCCCAAGATCAGCAGCCAGAAGAATCGGGGTCATCAACGCAAGATGAACAGTGCAACAAGGAATTAGAGATGAGTCCTCGAAGCAACCTCGAACGAGAACCGAATCAAGAAGTAATACATCCACATGGTGTTGCGCCATGGATCGCGCCCCTTGCCCCAGAAACACGAAGGCTATTGTATCACTGTAAGCAAGAAATTTTCAATTCTCAATAGCACCCCAGATTTAACCTGTATGTAGTCTCGGAAGCCGTCGCGCCTGTCATGGTAATTCTAGACAAGGTTTCAAATGGATACCGCGAATTCATTTTGCCTATGGCACTTCAAGACGAAGTGCTCTGCAGGGCGGTTGCAGTCGTGGCGGCCCAGCACCTTAGCCAGGGGCTGCCTGCGCTGGAAGTGGCTGCTGAGAAGGGCCGCGCGGCGGTGATCTCACGACTCCGACGGGATGCATCATTTGAATCTCAAGTCTTCAACGAATTCACATGGGCCACTTTGATAGTTCTTCTCGTGGGTGAGACCGTTACAGGAAATGTTGACTACGGCCTCCTTGTCCAGATGCTGCTATGCTTGTCAAACAATCATGCCGTCAAGACGAAGCGATCGCCATTGACTCAATTCCTTGAGGCTCAGACACACATGTTAGTTGATGAAAATGTGCCTCCTGACTTCTTAGCCCTGAAAGTTAACATGCCTGCAAGGTTCACAATGTTAGGACAGCCTTTTCTTGGAGAAGACGATGGCGTCAAGTTCATACAAAGGACATTTGACGGCTGTACAGACTGGCTTCCATGCGAAGAACTTCCTCTACATAGCGAAGATAGGCGGAACGTGGTTCTGATAAGACAGTGCTTCGCAGAGGCCTGTAACATCTACCTTGGGCGTGCCACTACCAATCACAAACAGGAAGTGGTCATCGAGCGTCTGACACAACTTCTACTTCAAATCGACAGCGATGCACGGGGTGCTCACGCATTGGTATGGGTCTATTTTATCGCGGGAGCCGAGGCCAATGATCCGCAGCAAAGGGAGTTTTTTGTCACCCGCATGAACGAGACCTATCAACAGACAAGGTTTCGCAATATTCCAGCCGCTGTGCAGTCACTCCAAAGGATATGGATGAGGAGATCGAGTCAGAAGTGGACGAGCTGCCTTCCGGAGCTGACGCGGGTTTTGGTCATGTGAGTATTTGTAGCTAAGCAATAGGCAGATTAAAATATCATTGGCTTCGTCAGCATGTTATCTGGATGGCAAAACCTCCTTTGTAGCAATACATGATACCCATGATGGCGAAAGTAATATAATGTGGAAGTATACAGTCCTGTCATTCACACCTAAATGCAATATGACTCAGAGTCAGAAGCAATGTCAAAGAAGAAACGAAATGAATTGGTATTATCAGAGAGACGCATGGATCTAAAAGAAATCAATCATCACTTGATGAGAGTCGGATACGCCAAATTTATGAATCTCGCCGACAGAAAAAGGAGAGCCATCACTTCACACTTGCGAAGTCAGGTTGCGGGCGACCGTCGGCCTGGAAGGGCCCTCACCACAGTCACGGTCACAATGGCCAGCCCAGGTACAGCCCCTATGGACTCCAGGGCGAGCACCAACTATCGGAAATTCATGCTCCTTGTTCATGATATCATGGTCTGGAGGAGTGACCACGGGATGGTCCACGTCAAGCTCCGTGAAATGTGCGTCTCTGGGGCCTGCGGAAGCCTTGGGCTCAGCTAACCAATCAGGCAAAGGCTCATCAAAGACAGCCTTCGCGGTAGCAGCGGCAGCAGAAAGCGCCGCAATGTCCGGCGCCTTCTCCTTTCCCTTACCCTTGCCATCCAGCGCTTTCGCCTTCCATCGGAGCACACGCGGGCCGAGGGCCAGCAAAGCGCCCATGGAGACGGTGCCCTGTTGGGCCGGGGGCGGGGCCTGGATAGGGTCCGCAGAGTCCTCATCAGCCAGGTCGAACGCGTCGGGGTGCGGAAGGTCGGGTCCGCGCTGGCACCCGAAGGTATCATCATCATCGACATGCAAGCCGCGCGAGACACCACCTGTAACGGGCACATGGACTGGTTCGGGGGCCCTGACGGAGTCTGGGAAGCGGTCCCAGGGGTTGCCAAAGATATCGTACTCTTCTGGGCGAGGCAGCTTGCGCAAGCGCGCACGCTCGCGGTGGCGTTCGCGTTTGGGGTCACCGAGCTCGAGATCGCGCAAGGCGATGTTCCTCTGGCGCATATTAGACCAGGCACGTCTCGGCGGAGTCAGAGCCAAGGAAAATAATAGCATGATACTCACAGTAATGACGAATCCAATTACGGACATACCGCGTACCCAGCTTTTGTCAACTTCCCTCATTGTATGCGTGTCCTGCTTCGACAGTTGCTCAAGGGATTTCAGATGCTCACTTTTGTCGTCAAGAGCTTATGCCGTCGAGTAGGAAGTTGTTGCGGTTAGTTGTTCTCAGCTTGGTCGTTGGCAGGAAGTCAAGAGACCAAGACTCAGTTCATGCTTGGATCGGCGCGGCTGGTAATTATGTAGTGTTTAATTTAAGAGCCTTTGCCGAGCCGTTCAAAAAGGCGTTGTTGCTCCCATAATATTGCCTTTGCAATCACATACAAAGATTGCTCCCAAAGAACGCGGAATCTACAGAGACTTTTGAAAGGCCTTGATAGACTGACGTCTCAGACAAAGACTTCTCGGGAGACAAGGACATTGTTCCTTTGTGTCCATTCTGACAAATCAGGCCAAGCTAGTGCGCTCTGTTCCATGTCGTGAGGAGCGGACTTGAGATTTGTGGCTCACAGAAGAATATTCGCGACCTCTGGTAAAATGTGGTAGAGCTGACCTGACCGAGGCCGAATAGTTGAACCGTATGACCATGATGACGTGGCCGGGCCAGGGCTGGTTGTGTATACGGTGGGCAAACTTGGTTTTAGCTGTGAGACACATGAGCTGCTCGACAGGAAAGAAATTAGGTCGACTTTGGGAGCAGCAGTGAGAATGCTATAGGGTAACCAGTGGCCTAGGACGACCTGCTATGGGACATGCAATCTGAGGCGACGTGGAACACTTAGTATGCCGGCTCTGGGATGGCGTAGAATGGAACGGTAAGTGAATATACAAATCAAAACACATCTTACACAACACACGCATGGCGTTGGATCTCACCGAGGTGACCAAGACAAACACTTGTATTACACTACGGTTGAGGTATCAATGATCTCGCTTGACGATGAATGAACTTTAAAAAATAACAAGAAAACAAAGCCTACTAAACACGTCCTTTCCCTTATAGCCTCAAAAAGCAAAACATTTGATAGTGGAGAGCGGCAACCACCACCACCATGACGTTACCGACGACGACGACGACGATGACGGTGCGTGCGTGCGGGTTTGTGGTGGGCGCAGGTTCGGCGTCGACTTGTTTGACCCCGGAGCAATTGGCTGTCTAGTCGACCTTGGCATTTGCAAGCGTCCTCGCCATGGGGCTGCTGATGTTGTTGACCTGATTCATCGAGAGCTTCTTGTACTTGGACTGTTTTCGCAGTTTTTTTCGGGCAACCATGACGGGGACGGAGCTCTTGGTCACCAGGTAATTAGAAAATGAGCCAAGAATGACGCTGCGGATGAGTTGTTAGCTATGTTTCGTTCTCAGGCAAGATTTGGATGGAGCCGCCGGTCACAACTTACCCCTTCAGGGCGCTCTGTCCCCGACTGCCCAGGACAACAAGAGTCGGGTTGACGACATCGATAATCTCGAGTATCTGATGCTTAGGGTTCTTGCAGTGCAGAACCTCTACGATCACACGGACCTGCAGCTTTGTCTTGCGGAGGAGCCTTTCCACCCTGTCGGTGATGTCCTGAACGGCCCTGTGCCGTTCTTCCTCGGCCTTCGATTTGATTGGAGTTGCCAAAGACTCCGAGCTTTGGTCGGCTTTATGCACTTCTAGGGCGCTTCCACCGGGGGTGACAGGTGCTTTGCTGTCGGCAACTACGTTTAGCGCAGCACCTTGATCCTTGATGGACTTGGCGTCGTCAGCTGGAGCAATGCCGGCCTCCTCGTCAACACAGTAAAGGCAAATCATGGTATCGCCATCTCGGAGTACCGTGCCAACTGCCCACTCGAGGGCATGTGTCGCCTCGTCACTCAGATCAGACGCAACGATGTACTTGCGCAGAGTTCTCTGCTCTTCCTTGGCTTCCTGCGCGACCTTTCGCCAGTCGCCGCGGTAGATGATGCGCAGAGCTCGAGCAGCATTAGGTGTGTCCTTGATAGGAGTCTGAAACAATGAGAGCTTCTGTGCTCGCCTGATATCTGTGAGATCAGCCTCCGTGTCGGAGTCCATAGGCGTCCTTGCTCCCGAGGGCGGGCCATCGTCGAAGCTGGTGGCTGGATGTATTGAAGATGCTTTCGAAGACTTTGTCCTCTCACTCTGGCCAGCGGGTCCTGTGACGGTGATTTGGGGTTCATCGAGAAGTGATCGGTACTGGTACTTGACGTGAGGGTTCTTCGCAACCTCAATGCCTGTGATATCTGTTAGAACGGGCTCTCTGCTTCTCAGGACAGAATGTGAATTTTTCCTTACGTTCTTCCTCAGCAGCCGCTAGCAGGCTCAGTGCTGTTCTGTCCTTGTCCGCCTTCGCTCCTGCCTTGTCGGAGTCCTCAAAGCTCCTAGCTGCCTTACGGCCACGATCTCCCTCCTCCGCATTCGAGTCGTTGTCGTCGCTGCTATCGTCGAACAAATCGTCGCCGTCGGGGCTGAAGTAGTCTTTAGCCAGCCTGCCGCCATCGGTGTGCTCTTCGCTCTTTTTCTTGCGCCCAATCTCTGCAAGGGTCCCGCCAGAACGGAGGAGGTTTGCGTCTGAGAGCCGCCGGTACGCGTTGCTCATGTCCACCCCGTACGTCTCCTCCACGAACGCCCTCCCTGCCGGGCTGAGGTGCCTTCCTGACAGCAGGTTCGGGGCGGGTGAGCTCGACCGTATGCCGAGACGGGAGTGAGGAGACCGCGACTTGCTCCCAAGGCGCATTCCAGGCCCCGCTATGGAGTGGCGACCCCTGGTGTCACCAGGGAGCGGTATCCTGCTGACATCACTGCCGCGTACGATGTGGGACATGGCAGAGGGAGGCTGGGGCACCTTCTTGTTGCCCTGCGTAACACGCTTCGGGAGGGCAGCATGGCCGGTATTGCTCGTGATGATGTCGGAGAATTGGTATTCGGAGGTAAGGTCTCGGTTGCCGTCTGATCGGGGGCCAAAGCCCACAGGTCTTGCCGCAGCATCGGACATGTGCCTGGGGTGGGAGGAGTTGGCGGCGCGGGCAAGCTGGTTGGACGCCAGCACGGGCGAGGACGGGGTGCTGAAAACCTGCTTTCCTGCAGAAGCAGATGTTGGAGGGCTGTCCATGTCGAGCATGCTCCTGACGGGGCCAGCTGGCGGGCTATCAACGTCAAGCATACTTTTCATAGGGCCTGCGCGAGTGAGACACATGGTTAGTTAAGGACTGATTCTGGTCGTGCGCGAAGGGGCATGTTTACCTATATCCAGCATGCTCCTGACAGGCGACCGAGGGGTGAAAGGAGACGAGGAGCGAACGCCGCTGAGAGCGCTGGGTGGGCGAGGGCGGTTCCTAGCCGCAATGAGGGCCTCTACCTCGCGCCTCTCCTCCTCCAGCGCCGCCTCCATAGACATGACTTTGTGCGGGCCAGACATGCTGGAGAGTCCAGTGCTTTATTTCGGTGGTGATCTGGTGAGACGGGCAATCGAGTGTGGACGGGCTCGGCGTGGGAGGACAATCGGACAGGTTCGACGTAAAAAAAGAAAACCGCCAAAGTTGCCCAACGGCAAGTCGTCGCCAAGATGTATTCGGTCGCGCAAGAGGCTGGGGTGTGATGCTCGATCGAGAGGTGTGGTATTGTAACTCAAAGGTATGGCAGGTTCGAGCTTAACGTGGGATGATCTGTGGGCGTCGTTGTGTGCAGGATTCGAGGTCAGGGACAGGAACACACAGCATCGTGTGTGTCAACGGAGGGGGTGAGAGCGGGACGTTGCGATGGGTCGAGTGGCCTTCAGGTCATGGCTGCGCAGAGGGTGGCCCGGTCAGTTGCCAAGAGAAGTGGTCGCCAAGTCTGAGTGCTGGGTGCTGCTACAGCTCCTGGTCGACTTGTGTGTGTGTGTGAGTGTGTGTGAGTGTGTGTGTACACGCAGGCAGGCAGGCAGGCAGCTCTGTACTGTAGAGACAGGACGGTGTGGGCGTGAGTGGGCTGGGCGAGAAGGTCTGACTGACTGCCAAGTCTTTGGCGCAGTCGACGATCAATGAAAAGGAGGGGAAGCTCCCTGTGGTGTTTCTGCTGCGCCCGCTGTGGACCGCGTGGGCTGAGATGATGTCAAGTCAATTCTCCAGTCCGCCCTTGATGGTTTCTTTTTGGGTCTTGACCAAAAGAAAACGTAAGGATGGGCGGAGGTTGTCTCGGGCGGGCTGGTTGTCTCTCTGTCTATGATGTTTATTATTGTTCATTGGTTTCATTCATTAGGCTTTTTAGCCGTGCCGCTAGGCTGCGACGATGATCAGTGCGTGCTCAACATGTGGCATTTCTCCTCTGTCACCTTTTACTGAAGCAGCACGGATTCTCATGCTCTGCTCCGCTTGGGCATCTGTCGGAAATGAACGAGGCCAGACCAACCCAGACCCGACCTGTTAATTGATGGGTCCTCGGATACTCGGAGACATTTTGAGCCTCTTCTTGCCTTGCTGTTCAGCTATTCCCTCAGATACTTTAGTTTTCTGAGAGAGAGCGATAATAGCCAATATCCATCTTCAACGTCTAACATATGTACTGTGTCCGCGCGGACGTATCACAAGCCAGAGTTCAGGGCCCAAAAGCTAAAGGGGCAGGGCTGGTGGGCAGGCAGATGGGGAACTGCATCTGCAGTAATGCCTCCTGCGGCCCTTGACCACCCTTCCTGTCTTCTAGGCCTTAAGCGCTGCCCCACACGCTAGTCAAGACCCCGCCGTGCCCGCCGTGCCCGCCTACGTTCAAGGTTGTAGGTTAGCCGATCCCCGACAATTCTCATCCCTGCCCCAGACGCTGGGAGGGTCCAGGAGTCCAGACGACCAGACGACCAGACGACCAAACGACGAAACAAGCCGGCGGCCAAGAGCTGCAATGTCATGACACAACACAACACTACACAGTACGGCAAATCTACATGAAAACAGTTGCCAGACCATACACAAGACTGTGAACATGACTGGACCAATAGCGCATAGTGCTCCTTCTCATAGAATGAAATTCCTATGGGACAACATATTTTGGGATAACCCACTACGTCTTGCGGGTTAACCTGCTGTAGGATAACCTCCTGTGGAATGACCTCCTGTCGGATAATATCTTAAAGGCTAGGAGCTGTTTGTCCTTCTAATCCATTTCTACGCCCTTGGGCAACTCAGCAACCTCCAGGATCCCCTGCCAGATGTAGTCGAGACCGGTTCATGCTGAGCCTCAGGCCAAGACCACAGGAGTTGTAGTCCATCGGACTGTCTCCGTCCAGTGCATTCCAAGGTGGTGTACCAGGTATTTTACATTCATATTTACAGCCTGCCAACTGCCAACTGCCAAACCACCATCACTCCGGCATGCGACCGGTTCTTTGAGTCGGCATACCTACACCAGCACAACCAGCCGCATAGATAGCCATACAGGTAGTCAGATAGACTGGTAGATAGGCCGGAAGCGGGCGAGACCGCAGGCGCACGCATCCTCTTCAACGCGTGCTAGAGTCCATACAACAGGCGCCAACACACCTAGCCGACCCTCCTCTTCATCAGGGCTGGCGAGCTAAGATTCGCCCGGACACTCGTGCCCAACTTGTGCAGCTGGTTCCTCTTATCCCACACACTGCTCTTGCCCTCGATCACCGCCACGATCTCCTCGCCAATCCTGTGCGCCAGCATCTTCTTGCCCGAACCGTTCGACGTCTTCTTCTCCACCACGTCCATGATCCACGTGAACGCAGTCCTCCGCCGCGCCCTTCGCGAGATTGGCACCGGCACTTCCAGCGCCTTACCACCACCCGCCAGGCCCGTGAAGCCGCGGATCCGGATCAGCGGTGCCACCGAGTCAACAGCCAACATCAGGTAGAGGTTCGGGTTCAGTGGGAGGTGCTCTGCTGGAGGAGACCCAGGCAGGAGCGGTCGTTGGGGGTTGATCTTCGGGGCGGGTGATGTTCGCAGGTAGTTGAGGATCATGGCCATATCCTGTACGGCTGTTAGCTTCTATTCTCTCCCATTTTGACTGTCGTGGCTCCCTCGTAGAGAATTGCGACTGTACAGGACTTACCCTTTGTGCCTTGCTCAGCTTGCCATCGCGCATGAGCAGCTTGGTAAGCTGTATTATACCCTCCTCGTAGCGGTGCTGCATGTGGAATTTCGTCTCGTGAAGCTTGCCTTGCGGTATCTCTGGCGTCTCGAACTTGAACCCGCCAGAGCGCTTGTCGAAAGGGTTCAGGCCGTTCGCCGTGAGCTCCAGCTGCGCCAAAGCCTCCTCGACGGGCGTCGGTTCCCGCATCTGCACATCCTCCTCTCTAATCGGACCTCGTGATGGTGGTATAGGAAGGTCGCTTGATTGACCAGGAGTCGCTCCTTCAGCAGCACCGGGTATGTTGGGAATGCCGCTCGAACGAGGCACTCTTGGGTCTGTGGAGAGCTGTCGTGCAAGTGCTGTAATTGCGGGTCGCTGCGACTGTGCCGGCCGTCTTGATCGAATAGCGATGGAGCGGCATGCGCCCCATAGGTTGGAGGTCGGAGGCATTGTGAGGTGTGCTGGGCGACTGCAATAACAAATTGCAAATCACGGGCGCCAGTAGATGGCAGTGATGCGCGGTCGAAGCGATCGCGAAAAATCGAAGCCACTTCCGGCAGGCATGGCGCGGCTTATGTAAGCTCCCGCAGACCTGCCAGGGGCATCCTCTCTTGCTCCAAAAGCTCATCCCAAGCTCCTCTTCAGGGCTTCTTCCATTTACATACAACCGTTCGGCTTCTTGCATGTCGATCCCTGCGTCTTTTCTTATTTTGTCATGCTTCATCTCAGCTTGAGACTTTGTTCTACGACTTCACCGCCTCGGTTTTTGAAGGCGAAGCCGCACAATTCACGCCTTTGTCTCATCTTGGAACATCACAGCGAGCGACCAGCAGCTTCGTACGATCAAGGGCAGACACTGACTATTCCCATTATTTCCGCGCGCCCAGCAATCGGGCGTCGATGATCTTACCATGGACTGATATGCACTTTGAACCATCATCGCCCGGATTATCTGTTCCGCCCCCATCGAGATGGAACCCATCTTGTCCGACCCGGTTCACCGGTCAGCACCAACACCGAGGGCTGGATTCCATTGCGACTCCATTGCATCAGGCCGCTTCAATGAAACCCAATTGAACCCCCTCCTTGCTGTCCGCCTCGCCGAAAATGGGATCAATCAGGTCTCAATGCGAGACTACACTCGAAGCCGGTCACTGGCACCCTTTATTTTCAACGCTCAACTCCACCGCTCGTGTCATACTGTAAACCGATGACATGATGTCTCGCTCGGCTAAATTGCCCCCGTCTCCCCGTCCACGTGGTGGTTGGCATGCAACAGACTGCAGTACAGTCAGCACTCAAGCCCGACACTGGCATGCGCGACATACATCCGCGGCCCTCGGCCCTCCCTGGTCGGTTCCTCAGTGGATCGCCATCGCTTGTGATCACAGGACTCTGTATGGGGAAAGCAGGGGAGGGAGGCTTAAACCTGAGGCCTCTCCTGCTTTTGTCATGTTGTCCAATCCCGGATGAAGCCGCAAACAAGCCGGTGGGCCTCGCCAGCGATGTCCGAATGCAGGGTTGACAGCTCCGCCTGGCTGTCTGCCTGGTACCCGATAGACAGTTTATTCTATGCCTTCAATATGCTTGAGGGTGTACAATGACCCATGGCTGAGACAAGGGTCGGCTCCTCTTCCCACACGAGCATGTCCTGCAGGTGTCAGGGTGTCATTGGACTTCGACTACTTTACTTCCCCAAAGCAACCCAGCCCTGTAACAAGTGTTAGCCGCAGAAACAGCTGCATGCCAATCTGCAGTGAGAGCCAGGTGGCCGCAGGTCGTTGGGAGGAATAAGACCGTTTTTTTTTCTTGTCGTTACTCTAACAGGGTTTGCTGGCCTCGGAGTCGAGGGCCGGATCAATTGCCATGGTCTGCATTGCACGAGAAGAGGAGACTGGAGCGAGGCAGAATCCTGCCTCAGCATGGCGAACCCGACCGCAGTGTGCTGCTTGTCCTGCACCTCCGAGTAGTCTACGTCGAGTACACCGGCTCTCAACGCTACCAACGTTCAGACCCTTGCTCGCAGATCTTGGCCCAGATTTCTGCCCCCGATGGTCACTCAACCATGAATGAGCTGTCATCTTTCGAGGCCTCATTGTGAGCATTGTTCATTATTGCTTTTTGTTTCCAAAGTCAGAAGGCCAGAAGGCCCAACGTCGCATGTCACAAAAAAGTTGAACAAAAGAAGACATGTAATATCTGATTGGCATTATTATGAGACTGCTCTCATCTGATCTTATCTCGAGATGCTAGTGCCAAGAGCAAGTACAGTTATGGAAAGAGATGGGGAAAACCACTTTCCCATGGACTCCGTCATGTGAAAACGTCCCTCACTCCATTTTTTGTCTTTCGCAATCTGACTTGCTTTTCCTTATCTCTCCCCATGTACTGTTGCCGTCCTTCCTCCCTTCGGTCAAAGATGGAAATGACGAAGTGGAAGTGCCGTTCTGATCAAGCAAAGTGATGTCGTAGAACAATTTCGACTACCCAAGCCCTGCACAAACACAAACACACACATACACACAGACACACAGACACCGCTTCCCACCGGGAGTTTTAGATCTGCATCCGCCTAGATCCGGCCCACTTGCCTAACCCAGCCCAGAGGTGGGAAGAAGAAGCAAACAGGCGCACCCTCGCCCCGGTCATTTTGTCAATCTCGCTTGTTCCCGCATGTCTTGCCCTCTGCCCAGACGCCCCCATCCGGATGGATCGCCGTGATCTGAAGGGAGAAAAGAAACCCAGACAAGGAGAGAAAAATCAAGAATCAAACGGGGGTGCATAATGCTGCCAAGAGTACATGCGCGTGGCGTCACCAGACATTCCCATCTTCAGCTGCCGGCAGGTTCTTTTTTGTGTCTGAATGCTGGACTCTGATTGTTTGTGTCCCCAAACAGGCGCCCGTCGTCTAGGGGATGCCCAGCCCAGCCGGCAGTGATGTAAGATGACCATGGAGTACAACAGGATAAGAACATGAGCAAAAAAGAGAGAGTGAACGAAAAAAAAAAAACCACCAGGGGTTGGAATGAGGGAAGAAAAAAGAAAAACCAGTAGGTGGAAATACAACGCCAAACCCCCCAAGTGCCCTTTTCTCCCTTGCCGTGGGGCACCGTTTCGGTGTTGTCTGTTGTTGCCCGCTGTCTCTTTTGTTTTTTTGGTTTTTCCATGGCGGTGACGGACGGTATCAAGTATGGTACAAGTCGAGTCGCACGAACCGGAGCGGACCCCGGGGGTAAAAAGGTGGCAGTGGGAATAAATTGCGAGGCTGATGCGTTTGGTGGGATAGGAAGCGCCAGAAACCAAAAAAAGAGGGAAAAGAACCAATAGTACAATGAAGTCCGGCAGGACAGAAATGCACGCCCAGAGTGCTCGATAGATAGGTAGATGAAACCTTGTCGTGGCAGCCCGTTTCTCCAAAACGCGATCAGGCTGCGGCAGGCAGGCAGGTAGGCGGACGATGAGGTTGGACAGATCAGACTGAAGTGCCGTCACCCTCGCCACGCGTCAGGGAACCACACGCTGTGTGCTGCGAGAAAGTGAGTGTGAGAGAGTCAGAAAGAAAAAGGGAAGAGGCAGGAAGAGATCTGCAGCCTGTGGCTTGTCAGAGGTAGACAGATTCTCGTCAGTCGCTGCGACTGCGCCTCCCTCCCCTCCTCCTGCCTCTCTTCCTCTCTCACACACATTCGCGGGCCGCGGCGGCGGCTCCCTCCTTGTTCCATGGGCCGTTCTACCACCTCCTCGACGTCTGTGGCGACGCCGCCATGGAGATGAAGCTGAGGGCCACCTCGGCGGCGTCCTCCTTGGCGTTGTTGAGGTTCTTGCCATCGTACCAGAACCGGGCCTGGTGGATCGCGCCGTTGACGGTCACGCGGCTCGACCAGGCTGTGCGACCACCTTTATTATTTTGATTTTCTGTCAGCAATGGCTTGGTCCTCTCCCGTCCGCCCTCCCGTGGGGTTCTGCGGCGGTTGCCCCGGGGATGAGTGGCTGGCTTACCTCTCCTGTCTGAGACGATTTGGAACGAGGGCGAGGCGATCTGGTACTCGCGGCATGCGTCTGTCTTGTGTGTTAGCGTCTGGTTCTTGGGGGGAAAGGTGGAAGAGGGAAGTAGTCAGGAGGCCGTGAGGCTGTGTGGGATGGTCGAACCTTCAAGCTTGCTTTGCCAGGCGCAGCTCTCTCCGGCACTGCTGGCGCTGTGGGTTCGGGAGCTGTGTCGTGAGGAAGACATGGTATTGTGTGGTATTGTGTGTTGTGTGCTGTACTGTGCTGTGTTGTGTTGTGCTGTGAAGCGTTGCGTTGCGTGTGTGGTCTTGTGTAGTGCGGTGTTGCGCTGTGCTGTGTTGATGCGGCAAAACTGGAGATGGGAGTGCAGTGTTGTGCAGTATGATGATCCCGGAGGACAAGCGTGGAAGAAGGCTTTGAAATCGCGGGCTGAATCAACGACAGAGGTTGCAAAGCAAGGGAGGAAGAGTGATGTGAGATCGATGCAATAGTGGTGGTTCGATAATGACTGAAGGGAGAGGGAGGCCACGATGCTCTTATACCCGGGCCAGTCCTTGAGCAACAGGCTTACGGGCAGGTGAAGTTGATTGGCGACAGGGTGTTGTATTGTGAGCTGGCAGAAAAATGAGTGACGGTTGGGTAGGTATTGCTTCGTCCTCACATAGATTTTCTACGTCGTCTTGTTTGCATCAGACGTTGCAGGTAGACGGTCGGTCGGGAAATAAGTGTGGCCTCGGATAAGTGCATTGTTCGTGGCCTCCTAGGATGGGGGCCGGTATTGCTACGCAGGCAATCTAAACCTGAAAAAGACAGAAGTGAAAGGGAAGTCTCAGGCATTTCGAGGCTTGGGTAAGTCCATCTTTGCTTTTTCACAACAGAAGCATAGCTGAAATGGGGGACACATACTGAGAGACCTTGCGTGCAAGTACTGCGATTGAATCGTCATAAAAGCGTCTCCACAATAGGAAAAGAGCCAGTGACAGCTTGTTACTGGGAATCAGAGCGTGGAAAGGATGTACTAGCATCCATCAGAGGAGTGAGGTGGTACAAGAAAGGTACTATGAAGTAAAGGTGCAGCGCTCCAGGCTGTGTCTGACGGAGTGTGACGACTGTCTTGGGAGAAGGAGTCGACTAGACCGGGCCGTATGAGATGGCGAATCTACCGAAAAGCAAGATGAAAGCATGCCGCATCATTACGACGGTGAATTTTTGCTATCGTGGATCCATTCGAATTTTGTTCTTGCTTCATCTGCGTCATGTAAAATGACGAGGTGCAATCGCGGGCTATTCAAAGAGATCCACGCAGTCAGGTTAGGCTCAGATCTCTGTCACACCTCAGATACGCCTGAACGTAGGCGCAGGCAAGGTGGGCAGGGCAGGCAGGGTGGTTCGAGATGCCAGCATGCTGTGAGCAATCATGCAGCCAGGGAGACCTCAAGCGGGCGTGGCACCTGCATGCGGAGACCGGGGGCTGCATCCGTTGACAACCACCCCGGTGTAGAATCGGGGGGGTCGGGCAGCCTTCTTCCACACCGGACATCCCTCTTCTGATCGAGTGGGTGTCGACAACTGCAGCTCTCAATCTGTTGCTTCCACGATCTTGGGGATTTCTTCTCACATCGGTGTTTCTCAAAATGTTTGCTCGCCCTGGCGATCCTATATGCAATGTCTGATCTCAGCCGTCCGCTCCAATGGAAGCGGGACCAACGTCGTAGCGTCCCAGAAACCTGGGCCGAATTCATGACACCCGAAGGCGACAAACGACGGCTTCACGCCTGAGGCCCAAATCTGGCATGATTGCAGGTCTCATGCCAGGCACGGTAGGCGAATGCCACCCACCCTCGAGTACTGTACCCGACTCACTCTCATTGGGTGCCTCTCCTTTTTGGAGTGAAGCTTGACACCTGAAAATATGCAGGTGATGTTTTGTTGAGCGGCCTGCTTAGTTCGTGATGTGTTCAAGGCATGCCGCTTGCAAGCCACACCCGATGGACGACGTTCGTGAGAACAGGAAACTGCCCAGTTTCAGCTGCCGATGAGCTGGCTCCCCATGATCGCGATTGTACTGCCACAGTCCCAATGAACAGGGAACGGTAGCATTCCTGGCTTTATGCGAGTGCGAGCTTACGTAGAATAAGCACAAATCAGACTTACAGCCCAGTTCATGGGCCATACGCGGAATGCAGCCGGCGAACTTGATAATACTGACCATGTACGTATACTACCTGACCAGTCGACTCAGGCAGGGTCAGGAGATTGCCAAGAAACAGCTGCTGGCCTTGGTCAGTGGAGTATTGCAGCAAAAGGGCGCAGTAATGACGCTGTGTGCATCAGTGCGATGCTCCTTGCCTTGATAAGCTACCAGTGACCACCCCGAAGACTTATGTAGTTAGCCTCAGAAGCACAGATCTTGGTAATTCGGACCATCCCATTCCTATCCGCTCGTGTCGTGGACTGATTTGTCTAGATCCAGGGTGGCAGTGATAATGGTGTAGCTCAGGCTCGCATTTACCTGGTCGGCGGGTTGAACGAGACGGGGCTACCCGTGGGTGTTACGAGCAGAGTAGTGTCCTTTCTCTGGTCGTACAGACAATCTTGGTTCCATCAGCCCTGTTGCAGACTCGGTGGTGTAGGACGGGAGTTGTCCGGGCTTCGCGGTATTTGGAGACTGCGACATGGCCATGGACTGCGCGGTTTTTTAATGAGTTGGCCCCCTACAGATTATCAGACGCCGAAATGTTTTCCTTTTGCCTTCATGAGAGGCAAATTGTGGCTCGAATGGCTGTGATAGCTTATGGACGTTGAGACAAGGGTCAACTTAGACGCGGCTCTTCGAGCGATCGTTGTCATCTGCTGCGGGTGCCGAAGGAAAAGCAAAGCTGTATCACCCGGAGTTGTGAAAGTGTCCCCAGCTTGCCACCATCCAGCAGCATAGCAGCATGCAACACCCAATCGGTAGACCTGCATGCCTTGTTACACCAGTGATGAATATCCCGTTCGGGCATCCCGCCCGCAGCCCGTCGGGCTTGACGTGCAATAGAATAGTGTCCATTTTTGTGGGAGAAGTCAGCCTTGTGCAGTCGTCTTGTGACTGACATATGTCGTGGCCAGCACCAACGCATCGTTCCGAGTCCAAAAGCTTCGTATTACTCTTGTTGCGCCTTCAAAACGGTCTCGATGGCTGCAGTGGCTTGATTTTTCTAAGTCGAGTCTGAGCCAGGGAAAATGGCGCGCATCCGTCATATCACTGTTTTGTGAAGTGCGAACTGTCTTGATCTCAGGAAATGGCGTGCGCTATCTGTGGCTGAAAGCCTGTAGACTCGTCCACATGGGAAGTGTTCCTCACGATGGTCAAAGGCGAAGCTTTGCGAATGCTGTGGCTGCGAGTTCACGGGATTTCACAAAAGAGGACTGCTGAAGAGGTTGATGCGGAAAAGGTGCAAACGCAAAGCAGTTGGCCGGCCACCCAGCGCTGCCAGCCAGCTGCAGCCGTCTTGTCGATGGTGTTAGGGCGACTTTGATTTTTCTACGGTCAAACAAAGCTTTTTCAGGCCTCTGATTCCTCGGACAACTGCATTCGGGCAGCCTGCACGGCAGTGCCAAAGGGCCGGCTGTGTTGTTGGCTCGGACAGGCGCATTGGACAGGCACGGGAAGCTCACACGATGGAAAAGGTTGGCCTGGATGGGCTGTCGTCCAGTTCGATTCTTGGTCAAAGAAAGGTAGTTTTCTGGTGAGGCTGCGGTGAGTGCAAAGAGGCCCAGCGAAGGCATGTCGTGGGCGTCGAGACAGCGCACAAGGAGACACAAGTCGAGATAGTCTGGGCCAGACCGACGCTGGCGTGTTCAACGTGGCACTACAGGGCGCCTTCAACCGACATTCTGAGGGCCGTAATGGAGAAAGTGGCGGGATTCAGGCGGGATTCCCTCGCTGCATGTCCCAAACGCTTCCACGGCATTTTCAGCAAGACTGAGTTGATGGCGTGGGAGTGACAGGTAACGGGTGATGGTTGGAGGCAGTTTGGGAGCTTCCAAGCGCGCGTGACGTGACGTGACGGCAATGGGGTCTGCAGTATTTTGTGATTGATACAGACTATGCTGACAAAGTCAGGGGCTGCATCAACTGTGGGGTCGCCAACCAACAATGAGTACCCAAACCTTCGCCCAACTTGAACAATGGCTTGGGCTTGATCCCACCCCGGCCTCGAAGCTGAGCTGTCCGGTTGACACTGGGAAAATTTCAATAATCACACAGGGACTCGAGCAAACAAAGATATTTATCAAATGTATCAGACGTCACCCAAACTACATCTAAGCAGGATCAAAGCATTACGATGGTTTCGAGGAACTCGCATCAAGCCATACAGTTTCAGAAACAGAGTTGATTGCTTCTACTTGACTTTCTTTAGTGTAGGATGTTCGGGTTTGATCACAAATCAATCTTTGCGCAGTCGTGTTCATGGCGATCTTGGGTTCAGTCGAAATATGAGCGAGCTCTTCGAGATACCGAGGTAATTTAAGTTGCAATTTTTATTAATGATCAAAAATCCATTTGAAAAGAAGTACGGTTATATTTGGAAAACAGTTTGGGTTGAAAATTGCATGTCATTAGATAGTGATCCAAGAGTCATCTGCAGAGAGTCTCCTCGCTCTTGCTCTCAAAGGGAGGCCACGACTGGGGAAACTCTGATTTCGGGCAGCCAGGTCGTATGTTTAATAGTTGGTAATCAGAGGTAAGTACATGAGAGCATAGAGTGGGCATCGCAGCTCTGATTATGTTGTTCTCTCAAACATGTGTATCGTCGAGTTGAGGCGGATGACTTATCGCTTTCAGCTGTCAGAAGATGTCATCGGCGGCTGAGCAGGGATCAGATCTCCGCTTTCCCCAGATCTAGGGTCAGGGGTCCGGATGAGGGCCCCCATTCTCCACATTGGACCTCGGCTTCTTTGACTCGGATGACCTCCCGAGGTCGACCTCCGCCTCCGCCTCCTTTCACAAAGACGGCGTCTTCATTCACCATAGAGTAGAGCATTGTTTCAGCGTCTTTCTCTTCGTAGACTACACTTCGCCATACTAGTGTTTTCATAGACCACCACTCGGACAAGAACATCGGCTTCGTTATCTCCCCTTTGCTCCCGCAGAAGACCAGCAGCATGCCGTGGAACACAGAGCTCACGCGCCGCTTAGGCATCCGAGGTGAGTCGGCTACTTGAGAAGGACGAGCCCATGAGGAGACGAGAACAAGCCCTAGAGACACAGTCAACTGACGAGAATCACAGTGCCCGTCGTGCAAGGAGGTATGATGGTATGTGTCCTGTCCCACGTCCGGCCAGCTTTCAGTGTTCCTATGGTCCGACTCATGTCACCAAGATGACATGCCGTCGCAGCGGACGGCTTCAACATGGAATCGCGATGAGATACTGACTCCGGACTCCTCTTCCAGTATGTCGGGTACGCCGAGCTGGCCAGCGCAGTCTCCAACGCCGGCGGGCTTGGCATCATCACGGCTCTCATCTTCCCAACTCCAGCCGACCTGCGCAAGGAGATCCAGAAGTGCAGGAAACTCACTAAGAATCCCTTCGGCGTAAACATCACCCTCCTACCATCCCTCAACCCGCCTGATTATGGCGCCTACGCCCAGGCCATCATCGACGAGGGCATCAACATCGTCGAGACGGCCGGCAACAGCCCTGGACCAGTCATCAGGAAGCTGAAGGAGGCCGGGTGTATCGTGTTGCACAAGTGCAGTAAGTCTATTCCCATCCAGGCTGGGCAATCTCCATCTCTCTCTTTGCGTGTGCGACAGAAGCTGACCGAATGCCACCTCGCACAGCCACCATCAGACACGCACAGAGCGCGGTCAAGCTCGGTGTGGACTTCCTAAGCATCGACGGATTCGAGTGTGCAGGGTGAGTGATGGCACCGCATGCGGGCCCCGTCATGCTTCTGTCCCCGTGATTAGGCTTGCGACGTGGTGCTTGTCATGCCACGGTCCTTTCTCTTTGCTTTTCGTACCGGCCGACGCACGTCATGCAAGCCGCGGCTGACGGCTTCGTCCTGCCGGGCAACGTCGCTCAAGCCCGCGCGCGGGCCCTTGTCTGCCTTGTACTCTACAGGTCCCGTCCGGCCGCTCAGCATGCGGCCTCCCTCATGCACACACCAGCCCCCGGGCGCTTGCTTTTCTCTTTCGTCTCGTGTTTTTCTTTTCTTTGCCCTCCGAGTATCGGAACGGACACGACACGAGGTTCACGATGCTGACGCGCTTCTCATAGTCACGTCGGCGAATCAGACATTACAAACTTCATCTTGCTTAGCCGCGCCCGGCAGTCGCTCAAGGTGCCCTTCATCGCGTCGGGCGGGTTCGCGGATGGCCAGGGATTGGCGGCCGCGCTGTGCCTCGGCGCGAGCGGCATCAACATGGGCACGCGCTTCATGTGCACTGTCGAGGCGCCCATCCACGAGAACATCAAGAAGGAGATTGTGAAGGCTAGTGAGACGGATACGGCCCTCGTGCTGCGCAGGTGGACAAACACCACTCGCTTGTACAAGAACAAGGTCACCGAGGAGGCGCTCAAGGTCGAGCGGGAGAGCAAGACCGGCGAGTTTGCTGAGATTGCGCCTTTCGTGAGTGGGCAGAGGGGTCGGCAGGTGTTCATCAACGGCGATCCGGACTATGGCGTAAGTTTCTCCATTCCGTTTCTGTGGATTGCTTGGTAAGAATACCGTACTGACGCGGGTCAATAGGTCTGGACTGCTGGCCAGGTGATCGGCCTGATCCATGATATTCCAACATGCAAGGACCTCGTCGAGAGGATCAGTGTGGAGGCCGAGGGATCGCTTAAGGAGAAGCTAGAGCTTGTTTCACCGACACAGAGCAAGCTGTAGATGTGTTATAGATTTGTTGTACAATTGACGGTTAGCAATCTGTTTTTAGAAGTTCCAAGGTTGCGATGAAGATAGCGAATGTCAACGTTAGGCTTTCGACGAATAAGGTCGGACCGAGCGCTCTTCAACACATGATTATACCACCTTTCCATCGGTGTCCGTCCTTTTATTTGTCGCAACCCCTCCGTCCTAGTCGTTCACTCCTTGTGGCAACGCGTTCGACCTTATTCCGGAATGATGGAGTGCTGGAACAGCTCTCACCTTCTACTTTCAACATCCAGAGCCAGTCTGGGCTGGACCCTTGTTACAAAAATCCATTGTCATAAAGTAGTAAATCGGCACATCGTTCACGGTCAATAGTCGTCTTCCCAAAGTAACTGGATGAGGGGAGATGGCAAATTCATTGTGGTCAACCAATTGAATCTTGAAATTGGTCAACATTGAACCCTTGCCGGCAGTCCGATCCCTCCCTTGATGGATATGCTTTTCCATGCCCGCGCAAGACTCCAAAATCCATTTCAGAAGAATGCTTTTTATAATACCTAGCCTATCTCCCATCATCTTGACCAGCTTTACCCCACGAATTGGTTCTGCCTTGACATGGTCTATGGAACAGTGGCTCTATGGGGGTCGTCATCCGGCACCACAGTTCACATTGGCTCGAAGAGGTCTCATCGTCCAGCCCAAGTGTTTTCCTCTTCATATACAACTCCAGTAATCAATTCAATGTAGGAGCTGGCCTTTTCCAATCGCTGTTGTATGTATCAACCCAGGCAGTGTCCTCGACAGTGTCTCCGCCAAGTGCGTCTATGGCATCTTGGCTCATCCGATCCCGATTGCCGCCCTGGTGATACATGAACGGTATGGGCTCGCCATGGCGTCGCAAGGGATGAACCCGCTCTGTACTGCCCACAGGGCTGAAGGATCCGCAGATCATGGTCTTGGCTGCCGGCCTCGGCATTTCCAAAAATGGCCTGCGGGAGTCACTGCCGTGCCAGCTTTTAGTTCGAATAAACGTTTTAAATATTAACTAAAATTCGAAGGCCTCCTATGGCCATATGCCGTACTCGAACGGGTCGACGTGCGGGTAGTCGGCTCGCATCCCCATAATGATGCTGTATTCGTCTCTGAGCAGATCGGAGCCCTCGTTGCCGTAAGCCGGGTATTTGCTCATCTCGTGCCTCCGCAGCGCCACGTTCCACGGGAAGCTGGAGTGGGCAACGCCCATGAAGGCGCTCGCCTTGAACATGATTAGAAAGTCCACCAGGGCCTGCTGATCGAACGTCATGCTTTCGAGCTGCTTGCGGGCGGCTCCTCGAAGCAAGTCGTATTTTGTCACTACCGCCACATTTCCTTTCACCAGGCTCGACGCTTTCAAGCGCTCAGCGAACACGTCGACCACCTTCTGGTCTCCTGACGCGACGTAAACGACGCGGAGGCCAGTTCTCGCTAGGTTCTCGAACTGTTCCCTGAACTGCTCCTCCATGCGCGAGTACCGCCACTCCTCCGGCGGCCATGCCCAGATGGCGTCCTCCTCGAGGCGCAGGTGCGCGCCGTAGTAGGCGCCCGGATTGATCGCCTTGGACGGGTCGATGGGCAGCGAAAAGCGCTGCTTGAGCTCCCACAGGACCTTGGCCGCCATCGCGCGCGTGTCGTTGCGGAAGGACAGGATCTTGCCGAACTCGTTGACGAAGGCGTCGCCGTCGTCGTGGACGGGGTACTCGAGGAACGACTGGCCGAGCTTGACGTGCACGGGGGCGTCGGGTTTGACATCGAGTTTCTGCTTCCCGAGCCACTCATCGAAGAAGCGCCGCCACTCGCGGGGAAACTCGAGCCCCTCGCGTGGGTGGTTCGGCTCGAACTGGTCTCCTATCAGGTCCACCTCCACCCGCTGCTGGTAGGCTGGGAAGTCCTCTACGCGGTCGTAGATGCGCATCCCAGGGCATCCTTCCGACAGGTGCTTGACGAAGACCTCGCGTTCCAGCAGGTAGTCCAGCGGCACCTCATTGGTTGTCTCAATATCCGTCAGGTCGCTCGGGTTGCGCAGCGCTATCGAAGGGACGACGAGCGCCCCACCACCGTTGATCGCATACCGCACGCATTTCAGGATCTGGTTGCGTAGCATGCCGATGCCGCCGTGCTGGCCCTCGCAGGTGAAGAGCAGGCCCGGCCTGAAGTTGGACGGGTTTCGAGCACATATCTCCTTTATGGGGCTGTAATCGATTGGTGTAGGGAATTCGGTGTCGATCGCCTGTCGGACGAACGCTCTCTCTGCCTCGTTTTCGTGTTTACTTGTGTCGGTTCCGTCCTGCGCGAAGAGTAGCACTGCCACACCGTCGAAGTCGCTGATTATTCGAGTGCTCCATATGATGATAAGCAGGGCCCCCATAAACAAGGCCGCCACCCACGGGCGATCTTGGCACAGCATGGTTGTCGTCAACGAGCAACCGAATAAGAAAGAGAGAGTGCCTTACCGCCCGCTGTAAGGCAAAGCCAAGTGATTGACAGGATGCAGATTTCTTGGGGCCAAGAACGAAATCTGGATGTTCTCTCGCAAAACGTCGGACGCCCAAGGCCAGCTCCGTCGAGGCGAGCTAGGGTGAAACCGTTCGTGTCGGACCAGGGCGGCCAGGGGCCCTGAAACAGGTTGCGAGCACTGGTGCTTCGACGGACATGACAGGTCTTATCAAGCAAGGATCTAGAATAATTGATCATTCGGAAGGATTCTGGAAGAAATCCCCTGGCACTTCGAGTACCGCTCCCTGTTGTTGTTAGTCGCGCGATAGTGTAGCTTCTCCTTGAAAAGTGATGAAGTGTCGGTTGAGCTAGAAAGCGCGCACTAGTCAGCACAAAACAGAGGACCCCTTACTCCAACTTCAAGTTACACATTTACGCGACTTGCGAGACCACAAGGTATGTGTGAAATGATCTCAGAGATCTCAGCTGCTTTCTGCAAATTGATCTGTATTGTTGTCTCGCTCCTCGACGCGTCGCGATCGTTGCCCTTCACCCCCATCCCCCGAAGCAGATTGAGCTCTGATCAAGGATTGACTCCTGAAGTCCTGCTTGCATCTCGGCCAATGTTTGTATTTCCAACCTTGCATGGTAACTCAGCTAGAGCTACAATCAGTCGGGAATGACGGTACGATGCTTTGAGACGTCGTTGATGTTGGCGGGCGATCTTCGAGCCATTGGTGATGGTGGTACGGCGGAGATCGGAACAGCCTCCAGAGGGTCGAAGCCTTCGGTTCCTCTGGTGGTCTTCGCTTGCTCAAGTGACTTGGTCTGCCACTTTACGTCAGGTAGCGAAAGTTTCGCTTGTATCGTAGTTGGCTACTACCGCTCGCGACGGCCTCTTCGCCGCGTTTGTCGCCGGCGGACATGGACGGCGAAGTCCCTGGGAGCACAAGACAGTTGCGAGGTAGAAAACGAACAAGGCTGAAAACTCACAGTGATAGGTAACCATCATGATGATGGTGACAGTCAATGCCTCATCAATATTGAGGCGCGAAGTATTCTTCGCGCTGCGTCTCTAATTCCTCCACCATGACCACGAAACATGCCGGTCCTCCGTAGGCTGACGAGACCCGCAAGACGTCGAAAATTGGTTGCTGTTGAGCACGCCCACTCATGGCTTCTTGATTTTGCCAAGGGCGTCACCATTTTCCGACGACCAAACGGGGACGTTCGCTGACTCTCCTTGGGGGGATCCGGACTCAGTCGCTGCATCGCACGCCCAGTCACAATGGGGCCTTTCTCGCAATCATAGTAATTCAAATGCCTTGTGAAATGGGTTCAAACCTTTGCATACCTAAAGTGAGTTGGTGTGCTTGCCACCATCCTGTCTCACGAGCAAGCTCCCAGCGATCGCAAGAGTCTTCCCAAGTTGCTCTTCGAGCTTTATGTATAAATGGGACGGACCACAACTCATCTGATTCTGTGTCTAAGCGAAGTTGGTTCCTGCAGGCTCTGGCAAAGGAGGACTGCTGATTTGAGATGCATCCGGAAATACAGGAGAAATCGACAAGGGAGGTATCAACTGCGGCAGAAGGGAATTGAGTCCAGTCTTACTTCCACCTCTTGATTGGATAGTTTGTCCGTATCTGGACCTTCGTGTAATCACGTATCGGCTTGAAGCATCCTTTTGTTGGCCTTCGATATGTTTTCCAATGTCGATGGACACGGCCACACCTTCATGACGTTGGAAGAGGTATCGTGACACTCGGATCGCAGCCCTCAAGCCCGGTGTGCCGCTCGAAATTGCGAAAGCTGTGTTCCAAATCTGGTCAGCCATTGTTACGATATATTGTTTCCTGGTTGATGGGAAATTGGGAGATCTTGGTCCATAACTGCGCTAAAGATCGATCAAATGTCAACACCATACACAGGCGTTCGAGTGGGTTGGTTTGCGTCGCGTCTTGAAAATCGTGATAGCTGAGCACTCAAGAAATCGAAGCGACGATGGTCTATGTTGCCATCAGTATGGACATGCTCAGCTGTGTTCCGTCTGCTGCTCAACTTGTAATCCACGAGACAAGAAACCGCCTCGTCAACCCCGACGAAAACGACCGCGACCCAGATCTGATCGGAAGAGGTCGAGGAATCGAAGAGCGCACTTTTTGTGAGTGCTTTGGTCCCCCAGTCGACATTCGTTACTAGCAATCTCTTGCCCAGTTGCTACCGGCGCACTTCAAGGGACAGTGTGTTTCCCCAGGACCCAGCTCGGCAGCTTTGTCTTCAGTGACCAACGGATAGACGATGACTGCGGGACTCAGTCCCGAGCTAACTCCGTTTGGATTCCGCAACGACGCCGAGACTAGCAACTGTGAAGCTGGCACTGTACTTTGGGATGCTCAGCGCTTGCGGAATGTGTAGGCAACAGCAAAACAGAGCCGCAGCAACCAATCATCTCTGCTTCAGTCTTGCAGTCGACATCAGTAGGCAGAGAAAGTCGGCTAGCAAATCATCTCAATCACAAGAAAGTCATCATCAACTTTTCGTCATTAAAAAGGCTATCATCTTGTGTCGTTTGTTTCTAGCTGTGCTCTCCTCTCCTGCACCTCGCCTCAACCTCAATGGCAAGAGACACTCAAGCTTCGCACACCTAGACTGACACTTTTTGTGACAACTACCTCATCAGCGAGACCTTCACTGCTCAACCGCATCACCTGGTCCTTCACAACCCCAAAATATCAAGCCTTGATTAACTCATCTTCTATCTGACTAGCCCTGCTGACGAGGAACTGCCTACATCCCAGACTCACTACGTTGCCTCCACCTCACATGACGCCATGTGCAGACATGTGCGTTCCAGGTGACAATCGCCCTCCGTACAACACTGGCCGCTCCAACTCGGCTGGCTTCTGTCCAATAAACGGAGCTCGACTTATTAAACAACCTGACGCAACAGGTCGTGAGGCTGTCCAAGCTGGGGAGCTCGAGGCCGTTCGACCACAGCGCATCATCTTGCACCAAAATAGTGACGCCTCAATCGAAAGCAACATTACCTAGATGAAGGTAGGCAACGCTGGGCAGATCCAGCCAATTGTCCCAGATGAGTCTCCAACAGTCAAGGCTTCCCATAGGTTCCAGATCATCGATCCGGGGGGAACATCATGACGGCAACACTTGTTGCTCATCATGAAGATGCAGCCCGCGAGAGCCCCAGTTCTGGCACTGTTATGAGCCACCAGAGCACAGGCTTCAACGGCATTTTGGGGGCTCCTCCCAGTGGACCCATTTCCAATGCCAAGGGTGACGCGACTAGATGAATGACCACAATGAATGCGGAGTAGGAATTATGGTGACATGGCGTTCACCAAAGCTATGTCAACAGATACCTAGGGAGGGCGGCGCCAATGACGACGAGGATTCAGGATCATCAAGCAAAAGAGTGTTGGTCAGCGTATAAAGTGTCTGGTTTGAGGGTGGCTGATATCATTTCTAGCTGTACATAGTATTGTAAAGTTGAGAGCCTTGTTTTTACAGATTTGAAGACGTAAAATTCGGAGCGAACTGTATATAAATCAATGGCCCTTGAGACTGAGCAAGACTGCCGTTCTGCAAGATCCTCGCGTCTTCATCACGTAGAATCACATTCACTTCGATTCTGCATCCATACTGCGATTGACAAGCTAAGGGTGAAATTGGAGCCATTCACATGGTCGCGAACTTGCAACAAATAAATACGGTCGCGGTAGCAGACAACAAGCATTTCTTCCTTTCCTTCCGACCCGACAGAATCCCCAACTCCTTGGTTGATCAACAATTGAAGATATACCATCTTCTATCAAGCATTTGTGAGTAATTCCATTGTCTCTTCAATTCGATTGATATCTCAATCATAAAACATCTTGACCTCGATAATCAGCTACCGCGAAGTTCTTTTCCCTGCAAACAACAATCACCTATGTATCTCCAGCCATCGATGAAGCTCGCCCTATCCAACCACAGCAACCATCCCCTTCCTATGCCTATTTCCCAATTGAAGCCTCCATCTCTGTTCAATAGTGCCTTGTTTTCATACAAGGGTCTGATTAACTACTAAATACCTGCTAACTAGGATCACGACGATGCGTCCTTTGCGGCACTACAACGCCGACGCCGACGAGGCGCTTCGTTTGGCTGCCAGCCAAGATGGTTATCCGCTTCGTCAGAATCAGCGACTTGTCGTGAGTACTAGTCGCGAGACTGCAAACATACCAAGCACCCATCCACAGATTGGATCCAATAACTCCTCGATGGGTCCCTCCGACGTGAGTCTTAACCCACCTCAAGGCCCCGCTCACGAGGGCCTCATCATGCCTCGCGACTTTGCCAACGCTCAGGGATCGTTTGTGGCCTCTGGACGCGGACACGGACACGCCGACGCGGCTCAACCGCAGCCAGGCTTTCAAGCCTCGTCCAATCCTATTGCCAATGAGCTGCCTGTACCCCAACAGGCGAATGCCCAAGACCAGAACGCCGCAGAGGCCTCGAACGGATCTTCGAAGGAAGACCGAGTCGCACCCCGCAAAGCGGAAATGAGGGTCCTTCTCAATCAGAGGGGAAGTCAATACAGTGGAAAGATCCGAAGCCTGGAGGACCTCAAGGATTTCGAGGAGGTGCAGAAACTGGTTCATTTGACGCGAGTCCGTGATCTGTCTGCTGGTTTCCCTTTGACCGAGGCCGAATACATGAAACATTCTCGCGAACTCTTCGACGCAATGAAGGACCTAGTCGACATCCACGATAAAGTGGGTAATACGGCGGCGACGGTAGAGTCCGATGGAGATAGCTTGGCTGTCAAATTCGTCAAGTCCAAGTCACCTATCGAAGTTGAGATCATGGCGGGGAAGATGATGGTAGGCACCCTTCCCACTGTGCAACCCCTGGACAAAAATTGGCCGCTGATAAAATTTTCCAGAGAGCGATGCTGAAGGCGCAGCGTGGCCAACTCCATCTTCCCAGGTTCAAATTCCAGTATTACAGCAACTTCACACTACGATTCAGGGCTGTTGTAGCCGCAGTACAGGTGAGATGATGAACCAACTATTTCCAGTGCTCGCGAAGTGCAAGGCCAATTGACAGGGGTCATATATTCAGTTCTGCAAGCTTCTAGTACGGAGTGCCTTTGACTCCGACGAATGGGTCGAACGCATCGTCGCGAATCCAAAGGTTGAAATGGACCAGAAGATCAAGAACAAGTACATCAACGATGGAAGAAGCTTGAGAACGAGGTATGCCGACAATGATAAGGACTATAATCTTAAGATGAATACAAGGCTGACGGCGACTCATAGACAAACCAGGACTACCCTCGCTGCCCTTTCAGCTGGTACTGGCCAGGGACAGCCCAGTCAGGGTCCTGCCGCTCCACCTGCTCAGAATCAGGCGGCCCCAGGCGCAGCACCGGCTGAGCGTCCCTCCGAGCGCCCTTCCAAGCGCGCCAAACCATCTCAGGAGCAGCCTGCGCAGCCTGAGGTGGCGTTGCCTTCGTCGGCTGAGGAGATCAATACACCCCAGGACCAGCAGCCAATGGTGGGACAATCATCTCATCCGAGTCATCTGGGTCACGAGGCTTCTTAGTACGGCAGCCTTAACCATGGCTATCAGGATCGAGTACTCCCAGCAGTGAGCAGTGAGAATTTCCAGCAGTTGATGGATGAGTGTACCAGCCTTGACGAGCTGAGCATGTTCCCTTCCGTCATGTCTCCTTACGCTTTCCCAGGTGGAGGCGATGGCACCTATGGATTCGATGGAAACATGTACGCCGCTTCGGCGCAAATGTTGCCTCCTTACACGAGCCAGCCCCAGGTCCCTGAGCCGATTGAGTGGTATGGCTTTGAAACGTACGTTCAGCCAACTGGTGGCGCGGCTGGAATGGAAGCCACCGAACTGAACCAAGACAAACCTCAAGACGAGGATCAGGAGGAGAAGGAGCACGACGACCCGACTCATCACAACGCTTGATGTCGAGGCCAGCTAATCCCCTCAAAATTCCTCGGCGACCTGTCATGGAAGAAGACGGCATTGATTTCGCCTCTGGCGACGAAGCTGTAACCGGGCATGTCGGTGGTATGAGGAATTCATTGTACAGGTTGAAGCCTCCGTGATGGACATCGTGAGGCGAGAGTGCCAGGGTGAGAGTGCCTTGTGGTATTGACTCTTGGAGTGCTCCGTATGGATGGTTATCAAGTGGTATTTGATTTCGTTTTTGCTCTACGCATCATTATAAAAATTAGAGCCTTCTTCTACTGGACCCATCAAGCTTGCAATATCGTGCAAGAAGTGACTGGAATCATCACCAACCCTTAGCCCAAATCCAGGAGGACATCCAGCAGTGTGTTCTATGCCATTACACCGTGAGATTCGACTCAGATTATTGCGAAAACCAATAGTGACTCTATATTGCTATTACCCGCCTAACCAACTCCTTTCCTGAATTTGCACTCATCTCTTATGGTACCACATTCTCTATCTGCTAGAACGCCTATTCGTCTCTAGAATTAAGACGACAGGAGATTGGCTATCATAGCTTATCATTTGCAATTCTTGCAGCCTCGTCGTTGCCCGACGAATTGGGTTGAAGGGACGTGAGGCTATGCCTCGCCAATGTTTCTAGACGAACGAACGCACACAACAGCAGAAGATCGGACGTCACAACAGGCTGGACGCAACTGCAACTCTAATCGTTGAGAAGTAGCAAGGTGATGAACTGAACTTGACCAGCATTTGACTGCAATCAATTTTGGCTTCCGTCCATCTCTTAATGATATATGGCTACTGTCATGACATCTCCGTTCGTCCACTTTATCTGATCCTTCAGATGCCAACCCCCCGGCCTCTGATTGCGGAAATCGCAGGACCTCACACGAGACATTATATCCCGAGCTCCATGACCCGATGCTTCACATCATCAGGGGTTGGCTGCAAATACCCAGATACGCACAGAATCAGGGGTAAATAGTATTTCACTAACAACACGGCCCTGTCTTATGTAATCGGTACCACCTGGCAAAAGCAAGTTCTGATACGTTTGTCAGTGATATGTTTCTCACATTAAGGTTCACGCAGTTGTTGCGCTTGTCTAGCATTTGAAACGCGTTCTCAGTAGGGCGCTAGATATCTACTTCGTGGCTCGTTGGATCTTGGATCGACCACAGCGTCGCCCGGCCGAGACAGATATCGAAACAGTTATTCGCTCTGTACAACCTCAGTCAAAGATATCACTTCGCTCCCACGCGTGACATATAATTCGACACGCCGCAGAATGGCTTCGAGTCTGGCACTCACCATCGAGCCCCGGCAGTGCCAAGTCTGCCACAAACGCTCGGACATACAGCGCTGCGGCGGCTGCAAGGTCGTCTACTACTGCAGCCGCGAGCACCAGGTCAGCGATCGGAGAAGTCACAAGGGCGGGTGCGCCGCCGTGAAAAAGGCCCTTGCCGACCTGGTCCGGGAGGAGGACCAGCTTCGCAACACGCCGGGCGATGGCTTCTCCATGCCCGACAACGTCTTCGAGGAGGGTGCTGGTCACTTTTGGGGTATCCTAGGCACGCGTAACTACATGCGCGCGCGCTACGGCGTCGTGGACAATATGCTGATGCACTTCTTCGACACTATTGATGCCGTGCAGACCTCGCTCGACCACCTGATTGACATGCTTCACCTGAACCGCTGCGACGACATGGGCTTGAACACCATTGCGCCTGCCCTCTACCTCCGCCTCGGGCGCGATCAGGAGTGCTACGACTTCCTCAAATGGTGGTCCACGGCAGAGCATTACGACTGGGACGATATGGATGCGCCGTATCTCGACGTCAAGGGTGCGGATGTCTTCGAGCCGCCCGAGGCTTCCTGGACTAGCCAATCCTTCTGGACCAGCCAGCCCTCGGACCTGAGCCACTTCGTCTGCTTGACTCTCATCAAGGTGCGCATCCTGCTCGATTTGCAGCAAATGCAGAACGCGACGCGTGCCTTCCAAGGGTCTATGCCGCGTGAGCTGATCGACAAGGTCCGCGGCCAGGAACTGGTGAGCAGCGTCGTGGCCTCGAGGCAGGATATCGTCCAGGCTTCAGCGGAGGAAACCGCAGAGCTGGTGCGGCTAGTCAAGAAACAGGTTAAAGCATTGTTCGACACTGTCTCGCGTGTCAGCCCGACTTTCTGGTCTCTACTGGTAGATCCAGACAGCGTTCCTTCTAATAGACCGAAAGCGTACTCGCTAGGCTCCATGGAGGTGGCCTTCGTCACGCTCACGTACAACTATGGATCGTGGAAGGAGACACCAGGCTCTATTGAAGTTATCAAAGGATTGATGGAGGCTGCGTGAAAGTGCTGGTATCATTTGGGCCGTTGGAGCTAAACTTGCTTCCGCCCGCGATAATGGCATCAGACTGTATGGATGATAAATGTGAGTTTTCAAAACACTATAATATACTGATTTAGAAAAAGCAAAAGCAAGATGATCCGAGTAATTTCTGCGTTCTACGCAGTAGGGGTCTGTCTATCATTGTTGCTCGGCAACTGCAGCTGTGCCGCATTGCCTAGATACCACCCCAACGCGGAATGCTGCATCTGCGCAGAGTTGTAAAATTAGTCTGTAGTTTTAGTCAAACTACAATTAGTTTTTAGTCCTTTAGTCTTAGTCAGCCCTTTAGGAAGACTACACTTAGTTTTTTAATCTTTAGTCCAAAGGCAGGACTAAAACTAAAGAACTAAAAACTAATTGTAGTCTAACTACAAAAACTAAAAAAAAAAAAAAAAAAAAAAAAACTCCCAAATCACCACTTGAACTCACGACCTTAAGCACATTACTAAGCATATTATTTTTTTATATAGTCACAGCTAGGAATTTTACAATTACTACAGTATTCACTTAATTACAGCAATATTAATTTTAGAATTATTTAACTATACTATATATACTACTAATTACAATATCTATATAAAATAGAAACATTATATAAGCAATTTAAAGTTTATTATTATATAATATGTAAACATCACGTAACACCCCTTATAAACACCATATTGAAATAGTTTAAAACTGCTTATTTACTATTAGTATTTATATTTAAAGTATTTTTAAAGAAACTTATATAAAAATTATATATTTGTAATTTATAAATTTAGCTCTATATAATATATTATATAAAATAGTTGATTTTAAATATATTATAATAAATTTAAACTAGGTTACTTAAACTTTAAATTTTAAGAAAATTAGCTACGAAATCGAGCTAATTAACTCTCCGAATCGGCGTAATTAACTACCCGAATCGGGTTAATTAACTTCCCAAAACAAAAGAATAAACTATCCGTTTTTTTTAAATTTTTTTAATATATATAGACTGCTTTCTTCTCTTTTTTTTTTTTTTTCCTTCCTTCTTTTATTATCACACAAGCAAGCAAACACTTAAATCCCAAGCAACAAATCACTAAACCCAATACCTTTTTAAATATATTTTAAATATATTATTATTTTTAAAATATCTCTTACACCATCTTCCCCTAAAGATTCTTCTATTATTTCTACTAAAAATATTTCTTTTTCAAAAGATAATTCTCAACAATCTTTTAAAAAAAGTAAATATAATTCTATTGATTTTCAACTTAATTCCCCTAAAGAAATAAATATTTATATTTTTAAAAATAAATTATTTACTTAAAGTTTACTTCCTATTAAACAAGATCAATATCAAAAAATTTTAATACAATATACTCAGTAAATTATTTTATTTATTTTTATTTTTATTTAATTATATATTATATTAAACTATAGTTAGCCAAGTATAGTATATAACTATATTTTGGATTAGTATCTATAATAAGAATATATTCAACAATATTCTTTAAGAGCACTCTAACTATATAATTAATATATAATATATAGTTTTAGAAACAATTTTTTAAAAATAAATATTTTAATTTATTTAATTTTTAAACTAATTTTTATAAATATTCTTATAAAAAAGAAGATACTATACATCGATTTCAAGCTTCAAATTACGCTCGGCATTATAAAAATATACACCCAAATATTGCTTATAATAAAGAAACTGAAAAAACTCATTCAAAAAGTAAGTAATTATTTTTAAAAAGAATTTTAATAATAAATATATTAATAAAACTTTAGAACCTAATTCAACAGCTTTTCCTCAAGATTTCTTTCTTATACCACAAAAAAAAATAAAGTTAATTTTACAGATAATAATACATTTAAAAAGATTTTAAATTTAATTATTAAAAATAATTTATCTTTTAATATATTAAATTCAAAATCTTTTCAAAGTTTATTATTATATTTAAACCCATAAGTTTTTTTAAAACTTTTTAATATTTAAAAAATATAAATCTAACTTAATATAGGGCTGCTCTTATTATAAACCGTTCGAAAATTAAAAGTATTCTTAATATTACTTTTAATAAAGATTTAATAAATTTAAATACAAATTTAAAAGAAAATATTACTAATAATAGTAAATTTTCTTTTACTTTTAATATTTAGACTTCTAAATCTAATACGGCTTATATAGGAACAATTATTTCTTATATTAATTCAGAATTTCAATTAATTTATAAATTAATTAAATTTAATAAATTAAAAGAAAGACATACTAGCTTATTTATTTTAAAAGAATTTCAAAAAGCAATTAAAAGTTATCCAAGTATAACTTTTAATAGTATTTTTAAATATTTATTTTTTTTACATTTAAATTTTACTATTATTTTACTAATAATTAATATTATTTAGTTTCACTCAGGATAATGCATCGAATAATAATACATTTTTAACGAAATTTAAAAAAGAATTTAATTCTAAATTAAATTTATCGTTTGAAAATGATATTCGGTGTATAGCGCATATTATTAACTTAATAGCGCAAAATATTTTAAAAGATTTTACTTCAAATTTAAAAACTAAAGAATTTCTTAATGAATATATCAACAATCCAGACAATTTAAATTCTTTAAATAATTCTATTAAAAATAGTAAGTATTTTTATATTTTATTAATTAAATATATATATATACTAATTTTTATAAATCTTATTACTTGTTTACGATGAATAATAATATTAACTCAATATAATATTGAGATTAATAAATTATTAGTTAAGGGTATAAATAAAGCAATAAGAGATAAATCTTTACTAGAAGATTATAAAAAATCTCGTATTCCTTTAAGTATTTATTTTAATTTAATTTAAAAACTTTTTTTTAAATATATTTACTAATATAATTATAAATACTCCTACACATTAGAATTCTACTTATAAAATGTTAAAGGTTTTTTTAGAATTAAAAAAACCTTTAACTTATATAAGTAAAAATACTTCTAATAAAAAGTATAAAGATATATTTTTTAATTCATTTAAATTATTTATTCTTTCACAAATTAAAAAAACCTTTAAGGTTTTTTTAAGCCTTTCTATTAAATTACAAAAGGAATTATATATTACCCTTTCTCAAGGTTTATTATATATATATCAAATATATAAAAAACTCAATAATTTAATAAAAGAGTATAATAAAAAAATTCAAGCAACTCCAAACTTAATAAGTTTATTTTTTAAATTCTTTTTAATAAATATTTATATTAATAATTATTATAGAAATCATACTTATTTAATTTTATTAAAGCTATTAAAACTAGCTTAAATAAATTAGAAAAGTATTTTCCTCAAAAAATAATTAAAGATAATTTAAAAAATTATAAATCTTTTATTTTAGCTTTAATTTTAAATCCTCAATTTAAAATAACTCATTTTCAACCTAATAGGCTATTATACTTTTACCCTAATATTAAAATAAATATTAAAGCTATTTTAAAGGTTAAATTTAATAAGTAAATTTTAATTTTATTATTATTTAATTTAAGTTTTTTTATTAATAAATATTAAGCTTAAATTAAACCTTACTAGTTTAAGCAAAGATGATATATATAATGCTTCACCTTTAAATTCACCTCAAAATAGCCCTGATTCTGATGAGGAATTATATATTAATTCTTCTAAAAATAACAAAGAAGAATATATAATTTATCTTCAAAAAAGCGTTTACAGCTCTAAGGTATTTATTAATTTTATTAATTTTTAATAAATAATATTTTACTAATATTTTAATAGCTAGATCCATTAGATTATTAGAAAAATAATAAATTCCAATACCCTATATTAAGTATATTAGCTCAAAAATATTTAGCTATTCCAGCTACTTCTGCTGCTATAAAAAGAATATTTTCTATTACTAGTAATATTATTACTAAATCAAGGGTTAATCTTAGTACGGATACAGTTATAAAATTAATACTATTAAAAAATTGAAAATTTAATAGTATTCAAAAGCTAGAAAAGAAAATATTAAATTTAAAAGAATTAGTTGAATAGTTTATTTTAAAGTTAATTTTATTTATTTATTTTAAAATATTTAATTGTTTATTTAAAAGTAAGTTTTATTTATTTTTTAAAATATTTATTTAATATTTTATTTATTTTTTAAAATATTTAAAAATTTATTTTATATATTTAATTTATATTTTATTTATATTTTAAAACATTTAATAGTTTAAACTTTAATATAATAAAAAGTAAATAAGTATTTTAATATTATAAAAAATAATATAGCTCCACTTTTATAAGCTATAAGTTTAAGTTTATTTATTTCAATATTAAAAAGTAATATTAAGGTTTTTTAAAGTTTTTAAAGTATTTTAAAAAGATTTTTATTAAAAATATATAAAACTTTTTATTATTTTAAATATTTTTAATAATTTAACTTTTCTTTATTTAAATTATTTTAAAATTAAAAAATAAAACTTATTCTATATTATATCTATTATAATATAATATTATAAGTTATTATTACTCTTAAATAATAAATATAATATATATATTTCAACAAATTTTTAAGAAATAAGTCAACACTATTAGCCATTAAGCTATAACAAGAGTAAATCATTAAAAAGAAAACTAAACTTTACTATTTATATTAAATATTTTATTTATATAAAATATTTATATATATTAATTTTATTTATATATAATTTAAAATAAATAAATATATATTATAATTATTAAAATAGTATTTTATTTTAAAGTAAAAAAAATAAAAATAAAAATAAAAATAAAAATAAAAATAAAAATAATATTAAATATTAAAATATAATATTAATTATAATATTTTAATTAAATAAAATATATATATATATAATATACTATTATAATACTTATTTTTTACTTTATTTTTATAAACTTATATTATTAATAATTATATTTAATTAAAGGTTTAAGTTTAATTCCTAGTAGTATTATACAACTATAGTTTTTTAAAATTGTTTTTTTATTTTTTATTAAATTAATATCTTTACTTTTAATTTATATATTATTATTTTAATTCTTTTAATTATATATATATTTTATATACTATTTATTTATATATTTTATATATACTATTTATATATTATTTACTTATTTATTTACTTTTTTTAATTTTAGCCCCACTTTTTTTTTAGTCTAACTAAAAAACTACAGACTAATTGTAGTCTAACTAAATGTAGTTTTAGTCAAGCTAAAAACTACAACTGATTTAGTCCCAAATTTGCTAACTAAAAGTTTTTAGTCTTAATCAGGCCAAAAACTAAAATTATTCAGACTAATTTCAACCCTGCATCTGCGCCTCCCCCCTGGGATTTCAGGGCAAACCAATTCAAGCTCCGACAACATGCGATGCAGTGAAATTTGAAGTTATTTTACCTCTTCGTGTGAAGAAAGCCTGGAACAATGGCAACCCTCGTTCTCGAGACTCAGCTGGAGAAGTTGTCGGTTGATGTCGAGCATCAGGATCGAGCTCTGCAGAAGGCGAGGGTAAGTGATCTCCCGTCTGTCAGACCTGCTCGAAATGCTAATCCCTCTCCTAGGCCACAGCTACGACCAAATCTCTCTCCTTTACCTCGTTCTGCCCGAAGCTTCTGAAAATCGCCCTCCAGAATCAGATAGACAGCGCGTCCGCCGTGTCACATCACCAAACAACAAAACGCCCTTCGTCAATCCCGAAGCCAATCACTTGGACAAATAAATTGAGCGATGAATCTGAATTAGACCAAAAGCCTGTGCCGCTCATAAAACAACCCGCCGCAAAGACATTCAACCTAGGCATGTTCGAGATAGGCAAACCCCTGGGAAAAGGCAAATTCGGCCGGGTATACTTAGCGCGCGAGCGCGAGCACAAGTTCATCTGCGCCTTGAAAGTCCTGCACAAGAGCGAGCTTCAAGAGGCTCGCGTGGAGAAACAAGTACGGCGCGAAATCGAGATCCAGAGCAACCTGTGCCACCCCAACATCCTCAAGCTGTACGGCCACTTCCACGACAGCAAGCGCGTCTTCCTGATTCTCGAGTTCGCCGGCCAGGGTGAGCTGTACAGGCACTTACAAAAAGCGACCCGGTTCCCTGAGTGGAGGGCGGCTCAGTATATTGCGCAGATGGCGAGCGCCCTGGTTCACCTGCACCGGAAGCATGTGATCCACCGCGATATTAAGCCGGAGAATATCCTTGTTGGTGTCCATGGCGAGATCAAAATCTCGGATTTTGGGTGGAGTGTGCACGCACCCGGGAAGCGACGGACGACGTATTGTGGGACTCTTGATTACCTACCGCCGGAGATGGTGGCGTTAGGCGGTATGGATAGTTCCTATGACGAGAGGGTAGATCTCTGGTCCTTGGGTGTGCTGACCTATGAGTTCCTTGTGGGCGAGGCCCCTTTTGAGGACACGCCTGCAATGACGACTAGGAGGATCGCAAGAGGGGATGTGAGGATTCCATCGTTTGTCAGCCCCGAGGCTAGGGACTTAATACAAAAGGTCAGTGTCCTCGGGCTTTAAAGCTATCGAGAAGAGTTGTTGAGAAGAGTTGCTAACTTGAAACAAGCTACTCGTTGTCGACCCCAGTAGAAGATCAACCCTGGAGCAGGTACAGAAGCACCCTTGGATTATCAAGCATTGCAAAAGCGAGGACTAGATTGCCGATTGTGCGGGTGTATGATCCGGGCTAGACGGCATACTTTGTAAGGCGCCTTAACGATGTATTTGTGTGAGTTTTCAGGAAGTCTATAAAGTGAGCCTTGCGGCGGCAGAGCAGCAGCTCAGGTAGTCTACCCTTTCTACTCTATGCAAAAGTCACTCTCTATTACCACCTCCCGTTCGCCCGCCCCAAATCCACGTCGCCAACAAAATCACCCTTGTTCTGATACCGCTCGTCTAACCGGTTCCTGCGCCTCCGCTCCAGAGGCATGTTCTCGTACTCGTCCTTTCTCAACTTGTTCCATCCCTTGCCCCTCATGGGTGGCATCCGCACACTTCGCTCGTTCTCCTTGTACATCAGGCCGTCGCCTGTCTCCATCAGGTTCGCTTCAAGGGGCATGCTGGCATACCCCGCGCCGAGGTCCTCCTGTCCCATTGTGCAGCCGAAAATCGGGTCAACTTCTAGGGAACCACCAGTAGTCGCGGCCGAGAGGCTTGCCTCGACCACGCCACCCGAGATCCCGATGTAGAAGTTGGGGGCGAGCGAGGACGACCGGGCCAAGCTCCACACGCCGGAGTATAAATCACCACGTGGGAGGGACTTTGAGAAGAAAAACGTGCCGTTGGGGCGGTAATACAGGTCTCGAGACAGCTCATGCCAGTTGCACCAGCTGCCTGGAGACTGAGGATGGCATTGACGACGAGGCTTGGTAGAGACTTTTGGAGCGGTGAGGAAAGGCTGGCAGGGATTTGGAAAAGGCTGCTCAGAGCTGCATGGCATCGCTGCGGTGTGGTAATAGTCCCTGGACCAGCGGAAGTCGAATACCTTGATCGTCGCGCCATGAGCGCCGCCGCCGACGAAGTGGGTCGTGCCAAACGGTAGGAGTGATTCAAACTCGGACCAGGGGTCGATATTATCGCAGTAGACAAGGTCAAAAGGCGACTGCGTGCGAAGATCCTGAAGCCTTACCGAGCCATCACGCCAGGCTGTTAGCAGCAGATTCGTGTTCCCGCCAGTGACGGACGATGCTTCGACAGGTGCCAATGAGTGGGTACACAGTCTGCCTTTGCTGTAGCTGAGGTCAAACTGTTCCTCCAAGGCGGCATTTTTGTAGGGTGAGAGGCTCTCGATACCAGTCGGAGTGATTGTAGCATATCGGAGCTGGTACCGGCAGCCTTGAAGGGCTAACGCTATCATGTCCTCGCCCATCCATCGCGCGTGACCTAGGGTCGTGTTTGGTTGATCAAAATGGTGGGTCGCGAGATCCAGGTAGGCAGACGGAGGCACATTGACACCAGATTCCTCAGGTATGTGGTATAGCTGTATGCCTGCCTTAGTAGCAGCAGCCGCAAGCCTTTTCCGAGGAAGCACGTCGATCGAGTTGATCGTGCCCTGGTTGAATTGTGTTGTAAGGCTGACGTCCCCAGTCTCATCGGCGGCGGCGTACTCGGGGCTCAGGTCTGCCAATTTCTTACCGAAGCCCTCCTCGCTCAGATCCAACAGGGCCAAATGGCCATTGTCTCGACCTACCAATGCTCCAAGACCACCACCAACGCTCTCCACAATCGAGACGGCCTTGATGTCATCGGGACCAGCCGAGTAACCCAAGTCTTTCCCATCGAGTTGATGCCAGACAATCTTGTCTGGCTGATTGCTTCCCTGCCCCAGACTCCGCCTTCTCGCGACGAAGTCCTCGCCAGCACCCCAGACTACCAGTTCCTGATTGCTCGTAAAGTCAAAGTGGGCGTCCAGGACGGCGTGATAACGGGCTCCTTGACGGCGCCGTGGCGCTGAGCGCTGATTGTAAGCGGCAACTGGTAGTATAGAGCGGAAAGACAAGGAGCGACGGTCCCAAGCATGGGACTGCCAGGTCAGCGATCTGGCGATCTCCCCCCATTTTGGATAACTGTGCGAGCTCGACGAGGGGGCGAAGGGTATGGGTGTGGATGGGAAGCGGGAACGGACGAAGGCACGCCAGCCGCCGTCATGATCTGAGAGGATGAGAGACTTAAGACGCCTGTTGGCCAGGAGAAGGGCTCGAATATCCTTTGCGGTCTCCAGGTGGACAAGAATGAGGAGGAGGACATCATCCGGCAGGGAGTCGAGCATCGTGGGGGAGTCGACCTAAGGACAGCAAGGCCGGATGAGGGCCAGCCAGGCTTCTGCAGGATGTGATCGAGTCGCGAGGTTTCAAGCCTTGATTATATGAAACAAAGGAAAAACATTTAGGGCTCGTCAAGGGAAGGGGGTGAGATAATTGGTGTATGAGTGGTTGATACAGAAGCAGACGAGGATGTCCAAAAATGGGCCTCTCCAGGCAGAAACGTCAACGGTCATAGCGATGAAGTCATCAGGACCCCTGAAAGTTCTATCGCGTAGGGCTGATTCGGTGCGTTCAGCACCCAGGGTTCATCTTAGTCAGCCCGTCGATGGGGGAAATCCAACCTCACTAAAGCTCGAGCCGCCTGAAGGATCCTCTTTGGTTGACACGATGCTTTTGTGACTCACAAGACCTTCTTTGCTCTCCAAAAGTTCCCACGATCAACTCATGGCAACGGCACATTGTGGATCACCGACAATGCTGACACACTGCTTAACAGCCTATTCGCATAAAATGCTTGCTCTTGAATACCAGGCTCATTAAGCTCAAAATATGAGGGCGCAGAAACTGAAGGGTGTCGAAATCAATTGCGGCGTCCACAGGACTGTGGTAGTGGCTGGCCTACCCCATCTAATGCCTGAACCACGAACCCGCCAGAACCTCCTTTGCCTGAGCCTTTGCCGATGGCTCGAACTTCAGCATGCTTGCGACAAGATCACCGACCCTGGTAATATACTGCTTCGTGAATTCTGCGTTACGGTTTGGATCAAAGGAAATCTCCTCCAACCACTGTTGTAGCAAAAACGGCGGGTCTTCACGGGACGTGTCCTTCTCCATTCCCAGCCATTTTTTCTGCCATCGATCTGGAACCCCGTCCGTGCCAAGGTCACCGGAGCACAGCCATTTCCACTTTCAGAGTTCATAGAAATGCAGCCCACTCACATTAAGACTCCTCCGGAGATCTTAAAGGAGATGGTCTCGGCAGGAGACGATCTGAATTCGGAATATGGGCATGGATGGCGGAATTCCTGGGCCTTCCACACCCGCGATATATTCCTTTCGACGGCGAATTTCCCAGAGTATTCCGAAGAGCACAATGATTCCGTGCTGATTTGGACGGACGCTGCTGAGAATCTCCAATGATACTGAGAAGGCGGCGAACTCGACTTTGAAATGTTAACGACGGGCGAAGCCTGTCTGCGTATATTGGCCGGGCGCTGCTTCTTCCGCGCGAGCGATGGGCATATTGGGGTTGGCCAAGTGAATATAGAGACGGGTGATGTGGTCTGCGCCATTCTAGGTTGTCGAATCCCGATGATCTTACACTCACTCACAGCTTCTTCTAGTATCGACACAGGCACTGTCCCTCGTCGCTACTTGTTGTCGGAAATTGTTACTTGTCTGGAATTGACCACGGCAAGGTGAGTGGGGAATGAGAAATACCCGAGATAAAAACATGATCACAGACAAGTCACAGCTCCTGGAGAAGGTCGGCAATACTGTAGCTCGATATCAGAAAGATCCGCACATTTTGGAAGGGTTGCCTGATACTCTACGACGGAATGGTGTCGAACTTGAAAATTTCCATTTGCAATAGTTTTCCTCTCGTTCTTTTTCCACACTTTTTCTTTGTTTGGAAGAAGAGCCGTCGTACTCCATTCGTTAGCTTGGTTTTATTGATTTTCTTATTGTCGATGGCATTTGCGTTTCGATGTTGGTGTGGGAAGCTTGTGTTCGTGGGAGAGGTGATGACTGCTCCCTCACTTGGTTTTATTGCCATTTACTAAGGTTTTCTTTTTAATTTGTAATTTCAACCTATGCTTATGAGCTGAGAAATGTATAAAACTTAAGTGTCTTAAGTTGAGACTCACGCTCTTCTTCGTCAAATACACCGTACATCTCCAGAATTACAATGGGATATGTCGTGGAAAAGCCAGCCAGCATGGAGCCAGCCAACATGACAGCCTGGACTAGTATCTACTCCTTGACTTGTATCCACGGCAGCTGTACCTGAGGTGCAGGCAGGGCTCACTCACGGTCATATTATCCAAAGTCCACAACTCAGCTTTCAACAATGCATCTTGGCAATTCTCGGCAGAATTTTCTTGGAGAGCGTCATCCCTGGTGCTCAATGTGACTGTTGGTGGCTTGATCCGTCGGGAAGGCGTCAATTGGACCCCTTCATGCCGTCGGGTCAATGTGGTAGCGGTTGAGAGAAGGACAGAAAAGACGTGCCAACGGGCTGAATACGCTGCCTGCGCTCGTAGCTGAGACTTTGCGTCAATGTTCTGAAGTGAGACTGAGCAATCCGATGAGGCGAAGATCCTGCGGTTGAGGGCGGCTACTTACCTGCCGAGCATTTCAGGGCCAATGAAAGGCCAAGTGAATAATGAGTTCGCGCCGTCCTAGTGTCATGCACAACACGGCAGATCTCGTTCGGAAGAAATCCCCTAGTCTGATAGCACGGAAGCTCTGGACCTGCCTAAATTCACTATGATTGAGAGCCGCTTTTCGCGAGCCCCTGAACCATACCAATTCTGGTTTTACAAGCCCCTGCAGAAAAGAGATCCGGCAGTGTGGTGCGCGTCATGGACCCGGGGACCGTTTCTTTTTGAGCCTCTTCAGCGCCTTACCAGTCCTCAATCGATGAACACATACCCCTGGTCCGGGTCTCTATTCCCCGAGCACAGACAGTAAAGTCGTGAGCGTCATAACCTCTTTGAAATTATGGCCGATATCAGAAACAGGGCGCAAGTAGCAAAAATATTACAACAGCCAAGAACAGTTAGGTATGAAGATTTTGTATTCTCCAATTACCTTTTTGTCGCATCAGTTGATTCGCCAATATCGACACGTCTTACAGCCAACGCGGTGTTGATCGGTGCTGAGAGGTATCATGGCATCTGCGCCAAATTACTACGTGCTTGATTTCTTTTACGATGATGAGGACAGTTGCGCCCTCACTATCACTCGGAATGCGGTCAGATTCCATGTCATTGCTGACGCCAAACGTCTAAAGCATAAATCTGACGCGGAAGATGGCCGGGAATACTTTCAACATCTGAAAAATTTGCGAGATTATGAGCGACGTGAAGACGGGCAGACCTCAATTGACAGTGGCGTCGATGTGCAAAGCTTTCACACGACTGACTCCGTGTCCGAGCGGAGTGGAACGACTTGTGAAGATGCCGAGGAGAAACTGCACAAATGGATGTTAGCACCCCTGTCTGTACGACTCAACGATCTCGCTCCTGAGCCATCACGGTCCGATCAACACATGCAGACTCTCGAGCAGTGGTACGCTTGTAAGACTCACTTTTTCGAACTCGAAATTGACGACCAGACCCTTCGGGCCGTCGAATTGGCATCATCAGAGGACCTCGAAGAACGGATGACGAAACTCAGACCACACCTCGCGCCTATACCAAAATACATTAGCAACATTGACGTGCCTTGGTACTCTTCCGCCGACCTCACGGTCCTAGAATGTGCGGACACACCAGGACCGTACCACCCGTGTCTTGTAAAGCACCACCAAAGCGGTGAACAGATGTTTTTCAAGACAGTCGACAACAACAACACCCAGCCCATAAAGCGAGAGATTGAAATTCTGGACAAGATAGAAAGGAAAGGACTAAGACAAAAGTTTAATTGTCCGAAGCTCTTGGGGATCGTCACATGCGCCACGCCCACTCAAGCTGAGGAGAACAGCAGGAGCTCCATCATGGGCTTCCTACAGACAGCAATTAATCAACCAACGCCGCTGACCGTAAAATTTGACTCGGCAGTACCTCAAGATACAAGAGACGCCTGGGCTCGGAAAGTAGACGAAACGAAGAAGGTTTTGCACGAAAACGGCATTATCTGGGGAGATGCCAAAGCGGACAATTTCATAGCGGACGCGGAAGATAATCTGTGGATTATAGATTTTGGCGGCAGCTATACCGAGGGCTGGGTTGACCCCGAGATCGCAGAAACAAAAAAGGGGGACAACATGGGAGTGGAAAAAATAGTCAATGCCTTGAGAGACCCCGACGAAAACGTTGCTGGCAGCGAACCCAGCGAAGATGACGAGGATGCGAGAGTCGCATCGGAAATTGGCCAGACAAAGAAGCGGGTGATCGGATCTCACGGCACACGCGATGGGAAGAGGCGCAAGACGGGTTCGTCTAAAAAGGTCCAGAAGGAAGAGGAAGATAGATATTGTTATTGTGGGGGCATAAGTTCTGGACAGATGATAGGCTGCGATGGCCAGGACTGCGAGATGGAATGGTTTCATGTCGAGTGTACTGAAATCACGGCCCTGCCCGCAAAGGAGGAAGCCTGGTATTGCAACCTTTGTCAAGCATAGAATACTACCAAGAAATGATAGATATCCGCCAACGGAAACCGCATGAGATAATGACAGGCTGCAGGGAAGTACTCCCCATCTACCTAGACCCAGTCTGACAAGGTCGGCACTGACCAACGAGGGACTCCCTGTGCTAGAGTGACCGTCGAAAGCTGAGGCGAGTGGCTACACATAAAATGCTTTGGAGTCTCGATTGTGTCAAAACAACAAATGAATACAACTTGGAACTTTTATTGGCGCGAAGACCGGGAACTGACGGTCCGGCATGACTGAGGTATAATATACCAATATCCTAGCGGTTGCGACCACTGCATGTGACCCTGAACAAGATACCCAAAATTATGTGCTTCTGTCAGGCCAGGCATTGTACAGACCCTCAGTGACCGTTACATCGCTAAAGCTCACGTCGCCAGTTCCATCGTGGAAGAAGCTTATGTCTTTGGAGGTCTCATACCACGATCTATTGGAGTGTTAGTGTGTGTTCCGAGAGTTGCCTCAATTTTTTTTCACAGCGGGCGGCAAATCTCTTACCTTATCCAGGTGCCAAGAGCAAACCTCCCATTGGCGTGTATCTCGACAATGGAGTTGTCGACCACAATCATCAACTCTAGAGTTTCTATCTTTTCGTCCCCGCCTTCCACGACATCAAAGAGTCGCAACTTTCCTGCCTCGTTCCTAACATCGATACCGGCAGATGACTCCGCAGCGGCACTAGAGTTGCTCCTATCCACAATTATCGACTCGTTGGAGAATTGGTAGTAGATCGTGGTCGACTCGTATTCTGATGAGAGGATCTTAAATCCGGCTTTAAGATCGCTCTCTCTTGCAGACTGCGGGAAGCTCAAGTTTGCCATCACGACGAAGAACTTTGTGTCTGGCGATTGGGCAAATGCTGTCGAGCCAGGGCTGCTGATCGTCTGGCCTGGCTCAGTGAACGAGGTGTTGCCAGCGAGCAACGCAGCCAAGGGTTCTCGCGCGATGTTCTGCTGCAGTGTCCTCAGTTGTAAGAGACCGCTTGACGTATCGTTGGCAGAAACACTCCAGGAACCAGTCTCTCTTGAAAGATCGTTGTCGACGACGTTGCTGATAGTACCGAGACTGAGCTCGCGAGGTAATAGTAAAGCTCCCGTCCAGGTTTGTGCAGCTGGAAAGCTTTGGGTTCCGTAGAAGTTGCCCGTGAGCCAGACGTACGATATAAATCGGTCAGGCGCACCACTCTTCGTGGATGCCACCGAGGAGGCGGGCAGGACTTTGCCAGCTGCGGCATAAGCTGAATGACCCCAGTCAAGCTTTCCTGCCATAGTTGGAGTGAACTTGGCCTCGCTGGTATCAGACAGGGACAGGTTGCCAGCTGCCCAGAGCATTTCTCTGTAATCAGAGACCTGGGGCACAATTGGCTCGAGAGACCACTCGGCACCGAGAGTGACGAAAGATTGGCCGTCCTCGTTGTATCCCTCCTCGTCAAGAGTGAATACATTACCGGTTTCAAAGTTGAACCCCCACCGGCCTGCAAAGTCGCCATTGCCCCACGTCGAGTTGGCAGTCTCGTGCCACCACTGGCCCATTTCTTCCCAGTACTGGAAATCAAGATCGTGTTGGCGATACAAGAACTGGCTTGGGCCGTCGCCGTGAACACCTCCCGAGATGACAACGTACCATGATCCCTCCGTGCTGTTGAGGAGGGTATCTAGCTGTGCACTTTGGAACACGTAAGGGTCGCGGAATCCGGTCACGTTCACCGCAAATGGAGGGGAAGGGATGACAGGTCCCTGCTCCAACTTCGTGAAGTTTTTGCCTCCATCGCTCGACACTGCCAGGCTCTGAGTCTCGCTTCCGCGCGTGTAGGCGATCGTCCACTGAATTGGCAGATACGAGACGGAGGTGTACAGCAAGGTTGGCAGGCCATTGATGCCACTCGGGATGACCGACCCATCGAACACGGCTAAGGGGTCATTGATGCCGCCAGCCACGATGAACGGGTTGCCGTCTGCATTGAGATCCGTATAGGTGACAAGATCGTCTGTAGTAGCTCCGGATCCGCCGTTGAAAAGATAGCCAACATGGAAGAGGCCCGTCGACGGATCTGTGTAGTGCATGCATGGATCGCCGATCTGGCCGAAGGGCGGTAGCACGTGGGCTTTCGGCCTCCAGGTCGAGAACAGTGAGGTATCAGTGAGCGTTGACAAGTTGGGAGGCGCAGAATTGTAGTCGAGCTGCGCAGCTGCCCAGGAGGCCATGCTCAAAATGACTGCCGACCTCATCATGACAGCAAAGCCAGCGTACCAAGTCTCTACTGTGAGGCAAAGACAGGGAGGTAAGGCGTCAGGTACAGAAAAATACGATGCGTCAAGGCATCGTGAGATCTTTGCTATACCGCTACATTGTCGCTCCGATAATCGACCGTGTTGTGGAGAGAGTTGGACCCATCCTTACTAGCCAATTCGGGGCAAGGATCTATATGTCCTCGGCATTGAGGCCGGAGATGAGGGCTATGTGGGGGAGTGCAGAGAATCTCCTCATCCTTTACTAGCCTGGTTTTCATACCATTCCGGGTGGGTCTGCGAATCTGCAGGTGCGATGGCACTATATGCACCTGTTAGTGGCATACATGTAGCGCGAACGTTCGTCGTTGGGAGGTATTGCAGGTCGTCCACCACAGCCGACATGCAAAGCTGGACTCAACGAAAAGGGTCAGGCTATTTGAGAGAGACTGTGGTGTACGAGTTCGCACAGCAGGATAGACAAGTGTGCTCAATCGAGTTGAGCCAGAATCAGATACCCTTAGAGTGAACCCTAGAAGGCTATGCGTCACAAATAGACGACCCAAGGCGGAAAGATAGCACCAATCAGCCTCGACTGTAGCTTCTGGCAGTCACGATTTCAAAAATTGAGTTTTGCTTGTTTATCACCCGCAATATCATATACACTATTGTACCAACACCGCCACATCTCAAAATCACGACAACATCTTTCCGTAGCCCCGAGTGGCTTGTTTCATTTCTCATATTGGATCATATTACAATGCAGAAAATCACCCCATAAGAGATTATCCCATGCGAGGTTCACTCGATGGCTTAGGAGGTTATCCCATAGGAGGTTATCTTAATACAAGAGTCTCCTTAGACCGATTATCAAATGACGGGTTATCTGATAAGAGATTGTTATTTCTCTTATAACTCCCCCTTGTTGTTTCACTTATTCATCACATGAGTATTGTAGCCGTGAGGCGGACATCCAAGCTTAAGCCCGTGTAATCAACATATCTGGAGGCTTTATAGCTCACCTACTTGACACGCCGAACAATCTCACTGATTTCAGCCAGTATGTTCCTCCTCCATCTCCGGACAAGCAAAATGTGTTTCCGTATCATCATTCCATCCCACAGAAATCGTAATCGTTGTCGGCCTCAGGCTCTTGTGACTCGTCCGAGCATTGTGAAGAGATGCAACGTTCCCAGAACCAACGAGCCAGGCGGCATGCCCCAACATTGATGTATTGCACCGCTTCCACCCCGATCGTCGCTTGTCGTCCCCACATGTGACGGCCACGAATTGTCTGCCGCCCTTTCCCGCATAGATACGGCTCGTCTGAGATCGAGTAAAGGGCGACAGCCGTGGAGACAGACACAACACCCCAGAAGGCTCTGTTTATGAAATTCGGCGCCCAAGGCCTGTCTATCCAGGTGTCGAACAGGCGGTCAACGAGATAAATCCATTCGATGCCTAGCTGAATCTGACAAACTTTGCATGACCGTATAGGCCGCTCTCCAACAGGTTCTGTCTGGATACCTTTGCTTGGCATTCTCAAAATATCGCTGAAACCGATCAGAATGAGATCCGAAAATCAGATTCTGTAAAGGTCTTACCGGAATTGAATTGTAGAGTGGACTTGGTGCGCAGCTTTGCAGGAGAGTTCGTGTTGATGATTTGGTCGAGATCAGCGGATTTGCTCTGAGCTGAGGTTTGATATGATCCTTGTCGGAAGAAAGATGTGAAATGATTGTTCAACTGTCGGGATAGCAGCAGGCCTATATATGCTTGTGGGCGCATCTCCAAAAAGGTCTCAGAAAAAAGAACGTGCCGAACAAACACTTGGATCACAGGACGTATTCATGCTGAAGTCTCATACTAGCCATTAGTTTCCGCAGTCTGTTACGGAACTAGGCTACCTGGGCTTGACACTTTGAGTGAATACTACGTCTAGTCGATCAACCAAATGAGCAAGCTGCAACCTGAGACTAGTCGGACATATTTCTGCAGTTCGTCTAGCTTCTATCGGACCATTCCATTTGAGCATGCGGCGGTTGAACGCCATCCTCACCCAGGATGAGTGAAGCTGCAAATCGTTTTTCTACAACAAAAAGATAGACATCCGGGTTATGTCGAAATTTTATTGATAGTTCGCTTTCGCTTTTTCCTCAGTCAGCAGAGTGTTGAGCGTGCCTTAAGAAGAGCGCACTTTACGGGCTCAGCAAACGAGGTGGACAGCGCATGACCAGACTGAAGCCAAGTATGAATGCCCTACTCAATCCACAGAATCTCGCAAGGAGACAAGTCCCATGCCTGTCCGTACATTAATTCATGAACATAACACTCGCCCACTATTTTCCAAGAATTGCGGAAGGTATGATGTACGAATGGCACATCTGAACCCTGGAGGAGGACAATGCAGTCAGCCGGCAATGTATACTTTGGGCAGAGGGCCATGGACCCGCCCCTGTTCCTGACGATTCAGCGACCAAGGATTCCAGGCTTGCCTTTGAAGCCGTCCATTGTTGCGGCAACTGGACTGCCAAATTACCCTTTGAATAATCAGCAAGATCACAGCTGCCCACAGCAACAACCAATTTGTAAAGGTGATCTGGCGTTCTTTGGGGGCAAGTGTCCCGAAGCGCTGGACCAGCTCGATCAGCACTTCGAGTCGGTCGCTGCTCTCTACGTCGATGACGTCCCACTGGTCTGTATTGATCGTTGACTGTTTGTGGCTCAAAGGGTCAGGGCTCCGCAGCGTCTCCGACAGACTGCACTTGACTCGCTAGTCTGAGCATGGCTCTGACCCGGCTCGGGCTCTTGAGTCGTAGGTAATCAGTTGGCTCTGGTGCTTCGTTGTGCTCGTAATCTTGTCTGGCAACTCGATCTCGAGATGCTATCATAGAGGCAGAGGCAACTTGAACGAGAGAGATGGAGGCGCGAATAACAACCTAGAGCAAAGCTCGCTCAACGCCGCCAACCAGGATGCTCGCAATTATTGGCGGTTTGCGATGTGGCTAACTAAACACGAAAAGCAGGTGCCGGTCCCAAGTTGGAGGTTCGGTGGACGTTGTTGATGTTGATTCTATGCGGACATGGCCATCGTTCAAATATCCAGTGCCGTGGTCCAGCTGGGCAGGTCTCTACCTGCCCGTACCAAACGGCTCTGTCCCATCTAGAATCTTAACACGACATCATTGGCGGTGTCCAGAGAGCATCTCATCAAAACCACACGGAAGAACTCCCGGGGCATTACCCGTAGTTCGCAGTGGCCCTTTACGTCGCCTAAAGTCACCGTGCCGGGAGCGCTCGGTAGAGAGAAACACACAGAAAAGCACGACCAATTGACGTCTGTGCTCCGAAATTTTGCACCTCGGTGTAACCGTCCCGACGCCACGGGTCCGGTGCGGAACTAAGTGGGACCTAGTCTATCAAAGGACAAGCGTTGCAGACACTCAACTTCTTCTTCGTGCTCCTTTTCCGTAAAATTGCCGGCCAGAGTTGGTCTAGCGTCTGAGCGTCTTCCCAACGGGCTTTTAGGGTAGTATCCCCATGTTATTCCTCTACCGCATGTCCCACGTTCGGGGCGTGGACATGTTCTCCGGTAAATCGCAACGGGATCGTCATGAGATCTACACCCTTTTCCAAATCATTTAGCATTATAGTAGTATTCATCCTTGATCTGTGCTCACGAGCCACCCCGTATTGTTGTGACAGAGTCAATGGCCAATATAGATCTGCAAGCCATCCGTACCCGTAAAAAAGAGTAGATCTTCCCCCTCCGTGACTTCGTGAGCCTACATGTTTCCTGGCCATTCACATTCGCGCCCTGCACCTTTCTCGTTCCTCGACCACTTCGTTGCCAAGTCGACAAGATGAGGTCCGCGCCCATTGCCATTGCTCTCGTTGGCCTCGCTGGCTCAGTCATTGCTGCTCCACCTCCCGCCCCACAGGTCACACCCCCGCCTTCGCTCGCAGAACTTGAAGAGAGAGGTCTCATAGGTGGTCTTCTTGGTGGTGTCCTGGGTGCTGTTTTTTCTGATATCAATTCCGCTGTGAGCGCCGGGAACCTGGGTGCCCTCACTTCGGCCTTGAAGAAAGTCACAGCTACCGCCACCCCTACCGACGTAGCCCAGGCCAGCGCTACCCTTGCAGCCATTCAATCAGCCTCTCCTTCCAGTCTTTTTGAATACGCCGCTGCCCTTGCTGCCAACGGTCTTGTTGTCAACGACATCAACTCACTCCTTACCAGCACCCTCGGCCAGTTCACTGGTGCCAACAGTCTCACCAACAGTAACCCCAACCCAAAGACATCTGTCTATCCTAAGAAGGGCACGTGCGACGCACCTTACTCCCTCTCTGAGACTGCCTTGCGCCAGGCCATCCATATTCCATCTACTTTCACCTATGGAAAGAAGCCCCCTGTCATATTGTTTCCCGGCACTGGAAACACTGGTTACCAGACTTTTTCCGGAAATCTGATTCCCCTCTTGACCGGCGTCAGTTACGCAGACCCAGTCTGGGTCAACGTCCCTGGACAACTGCTCAACGACGCCCAGTTCAACGCCGAATATGCGGCGTACGCTATTAACTACATTGCCTTTTTGACCTCTCGCAACGTCTCCATGATCGCCTGGTCTCAAGGAAACATCGATTCTCAGTGGGCATACAAGTACTGGCCGTCGACCCGTCTTGTAACCAGTGACCACATCGCCATTTCCCCCGATTACAAAGGGACAGTCATCGCCAACGCTGTCGACTTGACTGGTCTTACTAGGGACCCATCTGTTCTCCAGCAAGAGTACTTCTCCAAATTTATCACCACTCTCCGCTCCAACAACGGTGACAGCGGCTATGTCCCAACTACTGTCCTGTACTCTGGTTTCTTCGACGAGATTGTTGAGCCACAGCAAGGTACGGGTGCATCAGCTTACCTGCTCGACGCACGTGGCGTTGGCGTCACTAACACCGAAGTCCAATTAACATGCCCCGGTGCCGTGGCCGGCTCCTTCTATACTCACGAAGGAATGCTCTACAACCCCATCACTTTTGCCCTCGTTCAGGATGCTCTAACTCATGCTGGCCCTGGTGAGACCAGACGTATCAATCTACCCACCCTATGCACGCAATACCTCGCTACTGGTCTAAACCTCGGCAATTTCCTTGCCACTGAGAACTCAGTCGTGATCGCTCTTCTCTCGCTCCTGCTTTACACGCCTAAGTTGGCCGCTGAGCCCTCTATCTCGGCCTACGCCACTGCTACAAGCATATGCGCGACCTCTGTTCCTATTGTTTCTCACACTTCTACTACATTGAGCGCTGCCGCGAACAAGGGGGCCGCGGTTACGACTTCGAAACTTACGACTATCACTACAACGCCTCAGAAGCCAACTTCTTCTGGCACTTCCACTAAGAAGGCTACCACCACCAGCAGCTCCACAAAGAAGCTTTAAAACATCAGGCCGGCCAAGAGGACAGTTTCCACTACTACCACCACTGCACCTGCTGGACAAAAAGCACTACTAAATTAGCCTCCTTGGCCTCAAATTTCTGCCTGCTGGCACGCTCGGACCGTCATTTATTCGTCCCGTCGCCTGCGTAGAATGAAGACACGGTCAGAGGTATTAGACCATCGCTCTAAGATCAGGAAAAATCCCAAAGAAATCAAGAGTTGATACATATACTGGTCATCTCAAAGTTGCACATATAGCGCGGAGGAAAATATGTCTTATATCATATAGAGTATTTCTAATTTCTAATTGTTTTCGTAAAGCCGAACAACAATCATCATCGTAAACCAAGAATTACAACATGAGAAAGCACAATCATGTCGTCATATGCATGGCTAAAGCTCACTTTTGCAGAGCCATTCAAACAAGCCGAATTCATTACTTGGCTCCACCGATATAGAGAGTCGTGGAGTTTAAGATGATTCTCCCTGTCAAGCATGGTAATATTGTACTGCCCACTGCTGCATTTAGTTGAGTCGTATATGATAGAAATCTTCATTTATTCTGTCAGGCCTCTTGCTACTGCATTTTATGTACCAGTGGTATTGACCCGGCATAACCGCCCATTCTCACTCGGCAGTGTATTGGCCGTCACCACATGCCAAAACTCGCTCCCAACAGCCGTAACAGCGTAAAACACATCATTCGGATCATACTTCCTCTTCAGCTCAAGCAACTTGGGGTACTTGCTCCCATAAAACGCCTGCTGGAAGTCGGGCTCGAGACGGTCCGACTCAGCAAGGTAGCTACCCGCGCCGGGGCTGATATCGCGCCACCGCTGCATTTCGCCGAACGTATGATTCCTCCGCGCCTCCCAGATCTGGTCCGTCGTGGCGTTGACGTTCCAGCGGACGGACTGGATGGCGAAGAAAACATTCTCGCGCCACGCCGGGTTCACCGCGTTGTCCGGATCGTCTGGGGAGACCGCCTTGATGTTGAAGCCGACGATGACGCGGTTCCGCTCCGACGAGAGGCGAATGTTGGCGAAGGTCGTGTTGAGCAGCTCCGGGTCCTCGAAGTTGGCGCGTGGGAAGAGCCTCGACCCGCTGGCGGCGTTGACTTTTTGGATCACTTCAAGCGGGAAGGACTGTACCCAGGCAGGATAGAAGGAGTCGTAATGGGTGATGTTGGGATCGACCTTGATCCCTAGGGCATCAAGTTGAGTCAACCACGGCTTCAAAATCGCCTCAGTCTCTGCCAGAGTTTTGTTAGGCGCAAAGAAAGGAGTCATCTGGAATGTCCAAACTCCTGTTTTTGGGTTATTAGGAAGCAGCACGAAGTACGCATAGGTCCCAAGGTCCGCATTGTTGGGGAAGTAGTCGAAGTAGGCACGAACACCGGCCCAGAAGGTATCATTGCCAACCGTGGTGGTGTCAAACGTAAATCTTGATGCTGTAGTCTGTACGTCCGGGAATGCCTTGACGGTCACAGACGTGGCAACGCCGAACGTGCTGCCACCTCCTCCACGGAGTGCCCAGAACAGATCTGTGTTCTGAGTGAAGTCGGCTGTCACGAACTTTCCATCCGAGGTCACGACTTCGAAGGCGAGGACCTGGTCAGCTCCGGTGCCATAGATGGAACTCAATGGGCTGTGCCCGCCTCCTTGGATGTAACCGCCCATGACTCCGACAGTCTGAGCCCATGATTTAGTCACATATATCACAGTTTGCCAGAAGCATCTCACATACCTGTCCCTCCCCACCAACCACCACTTTACCCTTCTCACTAGCAGCCTTGTAAGTCTCGAAGGCCTGGACACCCGTTCCGCACTTGAACGCGGCACCAGAATAGCCGCTAGCCTCGCCTTCGTACTCAGGTATGTACTGGATCTCCTTGAAGTGCCGCGTCCAGATGCTCAAGGACTCAGCCCCACCAGACTTGCCAGAGAAGTCGTGCCCAGTGTTCTTGACCACCAGCCGCACGCCAGTATTACGTGCAAAGTTGATCCCAGCCTGGACATGCTTCGGTGTCGTCGCATTAATCACATACATCGGGAATCCGCCCATTGTGCAGCCCTTGCTGTCATAAATGTTGGGCGGGGAGCAAGTGAGACCCTGGTAGACAGGGGAGAACATCTCGATCGAGTCTTCCAGGTGGATGTACGAGTTGGTCCAGTTGGCTGAGATCTTGCTGCACTCGGCTGCATCGTAGTATGGGCCGTCGTAGCAGACCGACGCCCGCGGGTGCGGCTTCAAAAGGTTGCCGTCCACGGCTTGATTGAGGGCGGCCCATTTCTCGTCGGAAGGCCAGTCGACATCGCCCGGATAGACTTTGCACGAGCGGTTGGCAGCTACACCGCCGGACAGGGAGCCGAATTCGAATAGGTGACTTGAATCAGCTGGCAGTGCTTGGATGTCTTGTGGAGTAAGTTGCTCTTTCTCCGACTCAAAGAGCTCGGGAGCAGCTTGAATACATTTGGCGAGCAATAGGCTAAACCACAATGAGACCCGAAGAACTTCCATGGCGGAGCAGTTTTGGCTTCTAGAGATGGCGATCAGGTATCGCGCAACAGATTAGTATGCCATGAACCTGCCCAGGCGGGCAGCGTGATATTTATGAAAACATAGTCAACACCTGGGTTCGCCCCCTTGTAGAATGGAACCGTCGCCTTGGCTTTGCAACCTCATTTCGTCCTACCTAGACTGCCTACATTATTTACCCATAGTTTTGAGGCTCGCTCCGGCGCCGGTCAGCACTAGGACGAATCTCGTGGCATTATGGGGCATGCGAGTCCAATGGCAGGGCTGCCCCGCCGCTGATCTCCTCGGTGTACAAGACCCTTTATAGCCACTTTGCGCAGTGTACTAGGGTCGCCTTTTGACTCTAGCAGTAATCGGCAAGGTAGAAGTGTAGAGTATGCAGGCAGGACCGGCACTTAATGTGCCTGGGTTCACCAGCAAATGCCACGGAACTACATCATGCATTGCCATGCTACACCGCATGGGAATTACTGCATCAATGGACGCAACACGCAGAGTACGAGATTTCAGCTACGCTACTTGGTCCAGGACTGGGTACTTCCCATCCGCTTGCCAGTACAAAATTAACTAGGAATCATTTCTTGTGAGAAGCCGTATAAACAGCGAATAGTACGGGTGCGTTCTGGAACCAAAGCCACATGGCGATAACTCTTAGCAAGGTTCATCAATTCATGCAGGCAAGCAGGAGGACCACTCCTGTTGCTTGGTTGGTTTTAAGAGCACCATACGAGCAACGAACACCGGATGGGATTCAAAGTCTTCCATCGGTAAGTTTAGTCTCAACTACAGCATGTATAGTCAGTCACTCTGTCAATGCTGGCTCAGTTTTCAGCTGTGCCCAGTGCCCCCAAGGTAATTGGCGACTAGATTCGGGGGAATGCTTGATAACCAAGAGTCACAAATGTCCGTCGTTATTAACCTGTACTCTACCTAGACCGAGGCGATGATCTGATTGAAGTTGTTACTGGCCAGCATCATGTATCGAGTTGGCAAACATCCCTCACTTCCGCCAGAGTCTGGCCATTCCGAGGCGAACCATCTCGCGCATGCCAGCTAGCTTCAACTGTCAAGATTGGGGACGGCCTATGCCACACTAGTCTATCATCTTGAATTGCAAGTCTCGTACGCTCTCAACTCCTCGGATAGTCCCGCATCAGGAAAGGAGGTAGTCAGTATTTCTGGTTGACAACATCTGCGCTGTTCGTGGCGCTCTCGGGTTGGACGCACGCTATGCTGCCCAGGCGGCCTTGGAGGCCCGAACAAGGAGCGCGGCTAAGCAGGTACAGCAACCACAGACAAGGCCAGAACGACAACAGACGATCCAGGGCTGACAGCCCAGTGCGGGAGAGTGTTCTCAGGGTCTTCCTTCCCCCTTGTTGATGACGTCCCCTCCCTCTCCCGCGTGGCGGCTGGCAAGAGTCAGCTAGACTAGATTATCCTTATCGCAGCAAGCACTCAAGCGGGCAGAAGTTGGTCAGGTGCCCAGTATCTAGTGAGAGAGCTGTCAGAGTTGAGCAGCGCAGACAGGGGGCGGCAGGCAGAGGGACAGACGGCAGCGGAGGGAAGGGAGGGTGGTAGCGCAAGGTAGCGTATGCATGCAGTGCTACGTGGTGCATGAAGAGCCCATGGCTGATCCTTGCATGACACTTGCCGGGCGAGATCAAGAGAGGGAGGTTGAAACTGGGTGAACTACACTGCATCAGCAGCATGGCGTAAACAGTATTCATTGCGGATGATATTGGTACAGCAGGATATATGACAGACTATGCGGCCTAGCAGGTGGCCGTCACAGCCCAGACAGCTATGCTAGCAACTTGCTGTCATGTTTCGAGTTGTCTCGGAGCGGGAGCACTATAATAGCTTAGGAAAACCAGACGATCATGTCTCTAGCTTCCGCGTCGGCCAGCCGTTTGTAACCATGGGCGCAGTCTGCTAGGTACGCATGGCAATACACAGTACGGACAGACATAGGGTTCACAAGCAAACACGAGGAAGATGGATCAGTCGGACCCCTTTTAGCGATCCAGTGGATCTCCTGCAAGCAGTCAGGTGGACAGATGAGGTGGGCTCTGTGGAAGGAGTGGAGTGGGGACCGCGGGTTTTGGGGGGTCTTGGACAAGAAAGATAGATGATGGCAGATGGGCAGATGGGGGGAGGCAAGCGGGAGCTGCAGCTGCATCGTATGCACATGTGCAAGCGGGCGGGAACTGCACGGGAGGGACGATTAGTCTAAGTGCTTGCATGGTTGGGTCTCCATCTGTTGGGTCCATCGTACAGCTTCTCGAATACACACCAAACACGATGTGGTCTGGAATAGTAGACGGATGTAATTATAGTATCGAGGGAGGAGAGAAGCTATTGTACGCACGCACAGGTACTGGCCCGGACCCGACCAAAGACATGTCTCAGGAACCCGCCACTATTTGCATGGCCCAAATGTCCGGGAGAAACATGGGAGAAGCTGGGCGAGACATGGAGGACAAGGCATTTGTTCACGTTGAGACTGGGCTGCCAGGGTTGCTGAGGTGGTATCGGGGTGGTAGAAGAGGGCGAAGGAGGGGGGTGGCAGGAGGGAGGAGGAGGGACGGAACACCAAACCACACACATGGTGGGGTTTGAGTGGTGGCTAACGGTCGAGGCTGATTGGCCCGACAGGACGGTCTCCAAAACGGCCGTTCCCTTCCCTTGCATGGGCTGCAGGGTGCCAGGGATGTCATTTCGAGCCCTCCAGCCCTCCAGCCCCTCCATTTTGCATTTCGAGAGTTGAGCTCCCTACTCACATTCCCAGATGGGAGCTCTCCCCATCCCCCACCCCCCTCCCCTCCGTTCACCTTGATGTCCACCTCCAGTCCGTTTCCAGTCCCAGTCGAGTACATGAAACCTTATGACAGATGAGTGTGTGTGTGACTGTGACTTTGGATTTGACTTCGAACCTGACATGATTTGACTTGGTTGCAGCTTGCAGCTGATGATCAATTACCATCTATCAATCTTTCAATCGATCTGTACATACAATCAGTCAGTACACGACAGTACAGTAGAGGACGGTTTGGCAGGGGGCAATCGGACAGGAAGAATAGGATAGCTTCAACCCGGCAGCCAGCACCGCTCGAACCAGATCGGATGCACTGCCCACCCCCCAATTCGCATCCACATCCACATCCACATCATCCACTCCTCTCCACTCTCTTATCCTCCTCCCTACATCGATGACTGCCCTGCACTGCGCTCCGCTTTGACACTGTTTGTCGCAATCCTGTTCCTGTGTCGGATCCGCATGACCATCAATCAATCTCCATACCGACCTGCTGGAATAGCCTCAACTCTACCTTACCTTACCCATCGCATCATCACCCGATTCGACACCAGCTGTATACTCCTCCATGCTCAAGGTTAATCCGGCCTGGCTATAGCTCCTATCCAATATCCAACCAGACCAGACAGACCACTCAGAGCCTGTCGCGACTCGCCCCAAACATCGAGCACTCAAGTCAGCTCAGCACAGCTCGGCACAGCGCAACACAGCCCAACTCTGTCTGTCCCAGATCACATCATCGGATCAGATAGACTATCTCTCGTCGCGATAAGCGGTGAACGCAGTCACCCTCATCTATGATTCGAAACAGCAACTAGGACTAGAACAGCGATCAGCCTGCGCTACACACTCACTCACTCACTCACTCACTACTCGACTCTACTCCTCCAGACCTCCAAGAACCCACCACTACCACCCCCTCCCTCCCTCCTCAGCTCCCCTGTTTCCCGCGCCACCCGCCCTGTCCTCTATCTTGTATCTATTCATTATCTGTCTATCTACCTTTCAACGCTCAAAACACCCCGCGAGGCACTCAATGCAGTCGCTTCTGACTGTCAACAACAACGTCAGCCTCAGCCTAGTGAGTGTGACAATCGCACCGAGCACAGCCCTCGCCATCTTCACCATCGCCTTCGTCTTCCTCGCCTTGTACCTCCCGACCTTGCGATTTCGTAGCGCGAGGCCCACCAACAAGTCCAAATCACTCTCCAAGTACAACTACTACGACGACATCACCGACGAACCTACTAGCGACTTTCGCAGTCGCTTTGCCTCGTACTTTGACAACAGCTGGTACCCATACTGGAGTCGCAACAGCGCGCCTGACCCCATCGAGTTGCGCGACCACCCACCCTTGATCGAAGGCCTCCCCCAACCCCGCGCGACACTCGCACTTGAGGACAGTCGTCGCAGATCAGGAGCAGCATCGCGCATAGTCTTGCGCGCCACCAGGAGGACTACCGTTAGACCCAAGACCATCGAGAGCGACAGAGGGAAAGAGAAGCACAAGGACAGGCGTAATAGTGATGCCGTTCGACCCCCACGATCACCTGGACGCCTCTCTGCAAGACTTCGAATCGGTCAGTCGCTCGCCACCGCCTTTTCGCTACCCTTCGACCCACAGCGGATTCCTCAAGAGCGACACAGAGGCGGACCTGAGCGAGATGGAAAACTCGACGGTTTCCGCCGGTGGCTACAGCCCTCCAGCCTGGAGGCGCCTCGGAAACGGTGACCGGAGCAGCGGCTTCTGGCGCAAGGGGGACAACCTGCTAGGATACGGTGGACTGCCGCCACAGTGGCGGAGTAGGGAGTCCAGCCCGGAATACGACAGTGTAGACGAGGACTGCGACGACGAGGACATCCTCGCCGCGGCCATCCGTACGAGGTTACCTACTGGTAGCATGAGCCCCGAGAAGGAAAGGAGCCCCGAGCCAGACTACATGAAACCACGCTTCAACGGCAAGGCCGCGAATGGAAATAATGGAAATGCGAAAGGGAATGGAGAAGTTCGGATTAAGAGCGAAGAACCCTCCATGGAGGACATGAAGGCGACTCTCGCCGCACTGCCGCAGAAAGACGATCCTGAGAACTGCATGTTCCCCTGATCTCGCGGGAAGTGAACATTTGACTAACTGACTCTTGCTCAGACATACGTTTCGCCGTCCGTGCAGAGGTCCAGCAGCGGACCGAGCCGATAGAGGCTGCGATTAACCTAGTGCGTTCGACCTACAGGCTCGTTACAAAGAGCTGGTCGTCTATAATCCTGTCTGCCCTCGTCGCGTTTCTCTCAATATCAGCAACGCGCGCCCTGTTCGAGCCTGCCTACGGTCGCCCGGTCCCAGACCTTGTGAAAGTCGCCGGCATTGCGCGCAGCTTTGAGCCGTTGATATACTATAGCGAAAATGGCGTCGCGCAAGTCGGCGATCTGCAGGCCACCGGTGTCGCGGTGTGGGATCTCGGCGAGAGCGTGCGCAGCAGCAACCTGACCAGCGCGCCCATCATCGTCAAGGAGTTGGATGAGTTGAGTGATAGCCTCAAGACGCTGGCTATTGAGCTCACCAAATTCTTTGCGAATGTTGACGGAGACATTGACGGGTATTTCGCACTCATCTCTCAGCTTCAGAGAAACAGTGCTGACGTTGAAAATATAGTATCCTGATTGTAATGGACTGGGCTCGCCGCGAGCTCTCTCAGGTAGCTTCTCTGCCCTCGGCACCCTTGACCTCGGCCTTCGACAACATCCACACGATGCTCACCACCGCTGGCGTGCTCGAGACGCCTACCGGCACGCCCACCCGCCTAGGCGCAATCGCGACGTCTGTCTTCGGCATGTCCAACCCGCAGCGCACGCGCCAGACGCTGCAGCGCACATTCAACGAATTCCTCGCCGTGCTGGAGGAGGCCATCAACAACGAGCTGCAGCACAGCCTGGCGCTGTTCGGGCTGTTCGAGAGCATCGACCATCAGTTCCTCAACCTAGCGCGTACGGTGGTGCGCGAGTCCAACGCGCAGGACGAGCTGCACGCGGACCTGCTGTCGTCGCTGTGGACGCGGATCCTGGGCCCGCGGGCGAGCGACGTCAAGAAGTACGAGCGCAACCGCCTGCTGCTGCAGAACGTGCGCGAGAAGACGGTGCGCAACAAGGGCATCCTCGTCGAGCACAACCACAAGCTGCTCGCCCTCAAGGCCAACCTCGAGAGCCTGCGCCGCAAGCTCGTCAGCCCCCTCGTGCGCAGCGTCAACTCGTCCACGCTCACCGTCGGCGAGCAGATCCGCGGGCTCGAGGACGTCGGCGTCTACCTCGAGGGCGTGCGCACCCGCCAGAAGGGCAAGCTCATGGAGATGCTCTACGGCGGGGGTAGCGGCGCTGGCAGGAACCGCCTTATCGAGCAGCAGCCGGTTGGGGAGTAGAAAATGGCTTCCTTCTGAGTTGGGGACTGATCCCGTGATATGATGAAGGAGGCTGCGGACGCAGTTGAACCGGACAGAGCTGTTCAAGGCGGCTCCTAGACCCGGTTCAGTATCTGACATCTTCCTCGGTCCTCAGAAGATTTATTGAGGTCGTCCGCAATATCGTAGGCGGCTTTGGGCGGCTCACGATATTCTCTCTGGCCCTCTTTGTCTTGGATTGAGACCCATGGTGAGTTCGCCCACATGACAATGACTCCCATCTTACCACAATTCAATTATTCTGACTGACCCAACTTTTAGCTGTATTGCATGAGAGACTCTAGCCCCTGACATAGTCATCTTCCGCCTAGCAGCTCCAGCCATTGCCGTGATATCATGTAAGTGATGACACGGCCTTGACAACAATGTCAAGCACTTCAGTGTTGGTTGCCTCGTGCATTCGGAAGCCACTGCCAGGCGGTTCGGGACGCTGCTTTGACTTCAGTGTCACAGCGCGAATGTCTATCGAGAAAATTCTGTGACCAGCTCCTAGAGACTGTTGGCGTGAACTTTCCCGTCAGTATAATAAGGACAATCACCATTCGACGCTGTTGGGACTAGTATAAATACTCGGTTGCAGACGGTCTCTCTTCTCCCAATATTTTCCTGGCAACCAAAGCAACCATCAGCAAAGAACCAAGCTCTCGAGGAATGAACCACCAAGTTATCGAGAATACAAGTCTATCAGCAAATAATTACCAGCGCTCGATTTCACCCAAACACAGCTCGTCTGGTTGATTACAAACACGTACATACAGAGCCCGTCAAAGAAGCCACAACGAGCCACCAGCACCTGATCACCGCAAGCCGAGCCACGATGTCTTCTGAAGAGGGGAAGCCTTGGAAGTGCAAACCTTGCGACAAGTGGGTGATCGGGGACTACGTCAAATGCCCAGTCTGTGGTAAGGGCCGCGGCGAGAAGTAGGGCGCACGGTGTCAGGCATCGGACTGAGTTCTGGAGGGGATTTGGTGGAGAATTGGCATTGAGAGAGGGGAGAGGAGAGATTCCTACTCGTTTTCCAGCTGTTGGAGGATGGAGGATGGATGGATGACTGATTCAGCGGCGGGACGAAGAACCTAGGGTGCGGACTTGTTGAGTACACTCGTTCGGAAAGTACATATTCCAATCAATCCCTGCCAATCCACCGCGGGTTCTCTCTGTTCTCTTGTACGCCTGCCTTATGGATGGGAGATTTCTGTCGTGCATGTCGCACTTCTATATTCAATAATCCTGTTAACAAGAGGGAGACGGACAAGAGTCACGGCAAGCGGGCCCAATTCTACACTTGCTTAGGTGTGCTGCTCGTTGCAATATCTCCCCTTTTTCCATTTGTTCTTGACGGGCAGCAGCAGCTGACTGCATCGTATCCGGCGCTGAGCTTCGGCGTGCATTTGATTTGACCTAGAATCGCCATTCTGCCTTGCCCGCACATGCAGGCTCCCGCTCAGCGAATCGCTTCATCATGAGCTGGTGGTACGCAGCACGCCACATGCACTCCATGGAACACGTGTCAGACTGAGCCCCGGGGCTCTCCCGAGGCACAGTAAGGCTTTGCGGGGCTGATTAAATTATTATCAGAAATTCCCCTCGAACGCCAGACCAAGAACCATTCCTCAGCCAGCTGAGCAAGTGGCCGACGACATACTCAGCGACATAACCTTTGGCCTGGTTTCACCATGGAAAAACATTCACTAGATCTTTCAGACCTTAATCCATCCTCTAAACGTCAGAGACAGAACAATGAACCTTGTCTTGAAGTGCAAGCGGCGCCTCGGCAGTCACTAGAGAATCAAGTACACAATGAGGGATCTCTTTGTGATGAATGCAAAGCCGTGGATTGGTATTCCCTTCCCACCTTGGCAAGTGATGGCTTATTGAAAGACAAGAATATGACATTGCGATCCTTGAACGCAACTTCTGAGAAACTCAAGAATTCATCCTGCAGGATTTGCGCCATTCTCTCTACCATCAAGCATCCCTCTCTTGATGGGAAAAGATGTGTGCTTCAGGCTTTACCGCTTTCACGGCACTTCGCCTACCATGGCCCGGCGCTCTCTCGCGCATTATGCTTTGACTACCCTGTCCCGGATAGTGCGTCTCGATGCACAGTTTTAGTTGTCACTGAGGAAAAGGACAGGAACCCAATGTGCTTTGACGTACGGAGTCTCGCGGTCGCAAGACTCGATGACTTGGAGTGCAGAACGATAGCACCGAACTCAATCGACTACAACAAATTGAAGGACCTAGTGAGAATCTGTGAGAAGCGGCACAAAAGATGTTGCGCGGCCGAACCACGTCCTAAAGTCTTGGGCCTCGAGGTAATCGACACCAAAACACAGGAGGTCATCAAAGCACCAGATCAGTGCAAATACCTAGCCTTATCCTACGTGTGGGGAGAACAGTCGGGTGGCAGCCCTGGTCACAGCATACAAAGTTCTCCACCTGTGATCAAAGATGCGATTTCAGTTACCAACTCTATGGGCTACAATTACCTATGGGTCGATAGATATGTGAGTCATAGTGGCCCAATACACGCAGAAACCATCATCTAAAATGACGTCCAGTGTATCTCGGATCCTGAAGAGCGGCCTCGAATAATCAGCCAAATGGACCAGATTTACGCAAACGCCTCTATCACAATCATTGCAGCAGCGGACAGGGATACCGAGATGGGTTTGTGTGGGGTCTCCATGCACCGCCAGCTACAGGAACGGGTCGATATCCAGGATACTGCTTTACTGGAACTACCCTTTGGTCATGAAAATTTGACTTCCAGCAAATGGGCCTCGAGAGCTTGGACGTATCAGGAAGGCTATCTTTCAACAAGACGCCTCATCTTTACGAATACTCAGATTCTGTTTCTCTGTAACGGGATGTACGCTGCAGAGTCTTCGCAGCAACTTTTGAAAGCCAACTGCTATAGTGATCACACAGATGAGTTCAAACATCTCATCCCCGGGTTCACAGTCTCCAGACGCAGATTCACAGTACGAGACCTTCTAAAACAGGCTGAAGAGTATAGCAAGAGAGAAATTACGCGCTCTGGTGACTCTTTGAACGCGTTCCTTGGAGTTTTGAGTTACTACGCAAGGAATTCGGCTAAGTTGACATCGCCGGTGCTACAACTCTCCTGGGGCTTGATCGCCAACAAGCACGCGGAGGAGAACACTTTCAGTCTATACTTATTCTGGTCACATACAGGCCCTGCGACTAGACGAGCCGATCTTCCAAGTTGGTCTTGGACAGGATGGGGTGGACCACTGAGGTTTGCGGAATCAGAGATAATATTACGGCCGGACCAAGTGGTTAAGGGAGGCCCCTCCTCCTATCTTGACTGGGAAATATCCATGCGAGATGAAGTTCTCGGTGTTGTGAAGGTGTATGATCTGGCCTGAAAAGAATTTGAAGCGAGAAGGCTTAGGCATCGTCTATACCAACCGGGCCCAAAAACTCTGCAGATATCATGCATGGTCATACCTATTAGCTTCCATGACTTCAAGCTCACAAAAGATCAAAAGAAGGGCAAAACTGAGGTCTTGATTCATGATACTGGTGAAGTTGTTCCAATCAGTCGCAACTTCTTTGATGAGGTGCATCTGACTTTGCAGGTCTGGGAAGGAGTCTTTGTCGGAAGAGAAGAGGCCGATCTGAAACTCGATCAGCAGGTGGGGCAGCAAGATTGCATACTTGGCCTCATCTCCCCATATCGAGGTGAGAAATATGATTGGGATCGGTATCGTTGCCTTCTGGTACGGCAGGTCGGTGAGGGCTTGCATGAGCGGGTAGGGCTGCTGTACGTGAGATTGAACTTCCTATTCGAAATGGTTTACCTGGATGCAATGGGTAATATTCTGGACAACTTCACAATATCTGATAGGCAGAGAAAGCACCCGTTCGCTGATACTGCTGAGTCAAGAACGATCTGTCTTGTATAGGTGCATCAAAGGAGGGAAGGGCTATTGCCTGCACTGTCTAAGATGTACTGGAAAGAATACCTGTTCAACACAATTTGACCAAGGCAGGGGCATATATTCCAGGTAAATAACATACTACCAATGTAATTACATTTGTAAATACTTGTTCGGGAGTAAGCAGGTCCCATGCGTTCGCCTTCAAAACTCTCACAACCTATTCACTTTGCTTCTCTTAATTCCTCTGCAAGTTCCTGATTCACCTTATCATCTGTGTGACATGCCATGGTCAAGTGAATTGAGACTAATGTGTGAGCATCTTTACTTATCAAGCTGTCTTGTGGGACGGCGCTCATATGCTTTCAATAGTTGTCATTTGTGGAGCGTAACCTTGAATGCGCTTGACACCAACATAATTGACGTTGTTCTGTCCAGGATTGCTTCTATTTTTTGAAGGACTGAACAGTTTGGTATAATTTAGTACTACTCTTCTACCTACTTTAAACATCTTGCAGTCTATTTATGGTTCTCTGTACAGATGTATCTGCATAAATGATAGATATCGGACAGTTATACAAGGTTCAAATCCGTACCCCTGGCAACATGGTCCTAGATTTGATACAATCAAATCTTGATTATTAAATGATTCAACATATCGTTCACTAATTGAAAATGATCCATAATTTTGATTGGTTGTAACTTGCCCATTTGCAATATGTTAATCATCCTAGCCATCTCGGAAACAAGATTGTAGGGCGGCATTCAAACAGTTGCTGTTGCTCCGATCTATTGTGCTTCAGGTGATTAAGGGCAGCCATGTCGAACCCTGACACAGCCGAATCTGTATAGCCTCCCCACGGTGGTGGATGAAAAGTTCTACTAATCAGACTTCAGAGGGACAAGTTACCTGAGTGATGATTCTCCCTGGCTCAAAAAGCTACCGCTTCATTATTGTCAGACCCAAACCGCGTGGGCTTCTGCATGAGTAAGAGCTTCGAGGCTGTGGAAGTACAGTTTGGGTCGGCAAAAATGGTGAAATTCTTTGCCTTCGAAGCGAGCATGGCTAGGACTCTAAGCAGCAGATGGCTGCCCAGAGGATCTTCCTTCATGTGTGCGTAAGTGATTTGTGCGTTAAGTATTACTGGGTTCCCTTCCTCGAGATATTCTGTTGTCCCGTTAATACGAAGATACAGTGTCTGCAGCAGGCCAAGGAAACCCGTACGTCATGCAAATTAGCCTGCTCAAGAACAAGGACGCCATGATCAAGCTTGTTCAGAGTACCGAAGGTACACTATCAGATAGTCTATATATTACAGATTATGTAAACTTCGTTGCGGCCCACTCTGCGACAGCATATAGTAATGATGTCGAGTGGCCGGCTACCTGAAGTGGAATCACGCTCAGATCGACGACACGCACATTACTTGTTCCGTAGACCATGAAATTGTTGTCCACCACGCCTCCCATATCCCGAGGCAACATGGCACACGAGCCGAGATGATGGGAATTGGGCCCGAAAGCGGAGTTCTTGATCCAGTTGAGCCATAGCTCATCGCCCGCATCCTCCGGAATTTCTTCGAAGCTGGGTGCGAGACTTGCCAGATCAATAAGGTCCGACAGCGGCGCGGTGGTCAACACTCTGCGGCTAAACCTCGCCGTCTGCACCGCAGCCAGACCGTCAAAATCCGACTGGAAAAAGTTGGGATTGATGGATGGCGACGTGGTCTCATTTTCACTGACGATGTGCACATTTCCTCGGCTGAGTGGTTGCAGGGGCCAGAAGAAGACACCGGCCAGGTTCCCCAAGCCTGCAGGTACGACCTCCGAGGTTGGTGTATTCGAGTTGTAAAGGAGATCCAACTGGCTTTTGAGCAGACGATGTTGAACGCTGGCGCTGCTCGCCCCTCCATTCTGCGCTGCGATTTGTTCAGCATAAGCTGGGAGCTGTGCTATAGCCGTGTTATATACCGACGTGGTATTGTCGCCGAAAAGATCTTGCAATGATGTATGTGAGACGAAATTGGGAAATCCCGTCTCAATTCGGCTGGTGAAGTTGGCCGTGACACCAAGCACGGTCTGATCCTGGAAGTTCTCACCTACGGCCGGTAAGTTGATTGTGGTGTTAATATTGTATTTCGATAACACTGATGGGTTTCCGACACCAGAGTACTCCAGGATTGCCGGGCTTCTGATAGCGCCCGCCGAAAGAATGACTTCGCGATCAGCATAGATGGTTGATACCTGGCCGTCCTGGCGGACAACGCTAGCTGCCAAGGCAACTGCTTTCCCGTCCTCATTGTTCTTAGACCAGATGATGCGAGTAGCCGTCGTATTGACCATGACGTGGAGGTTCTCACGATCCTGGATCGGATAATAGTATGCTCTGGCGGCATCCTCTCGTACGTCCAGCACACTGTCCTGAGTCACTGGCTGGCATCCAAACCCTCTCAACTCTCCCCCTTCAAAGTCCGCGATTGGGGGAATCCCCAAGTTCTTCATTGTATCGTTGAACACAGTATGGATATCACTGGAGGGCATATGCTGGCTGATGCATGTATCCAAAAGACCATCGAAGCCATGGTTTGCCGCAACATATCTCCCCCCAAAGGCTTGAATGCTCGGCGAGGGAATCGTGAAACGTTCGGACTTCTTTCCATATGCGAACAGCTTGTTCCAGTCGAGATCCAGACCCAAAGAAGGCCAGAGATCTATCTGAGAGCTGGCCGGGCGAATAAATGTCATCCCATTGATCAGACTCGAGCCACCGAGACCTTTACCCGCACTCCATCCGATGGTCTGGTTGGCAGCATAAATCTGCGGCGCGCTTTCGTATTGCCAATCGACATCAGTGTTCGTGGCTATGCCCAACACAGTGGTGTTCTTGACAAGGGGATTGTCGTATTGAAAAGTACCGGCCTCAACGACAAGGACAGTATTATTCGGATTCTCGGACAGTCTGTTCGCAATCACCATGCCAGCAGTACCCCCGCCTAGGATTACGTAGTCAAAATGAGCATCGCTGTAGCTGTCCAGCGATTGCCTCGTCGCAAACGATGCAACTGTCAGCGCCGACCCTATGAAGCAAGCGATGTTGGGGAACATCATCTTCCAATTCAGAACGAAGCAACAGCCGAAAGAGGAAGGACAAGGCGGTGGTTTCCACGAAATGAAGGCGATGTAGGGATTGGTATCCGGTGTGATGCTGACATGCTGATGCTGACATCCTGATGTTAGATACTCAACCAATAGCGGAGACGGAGGAAAATTAGCCCGCGTGGGCCACGATACCTAGGCACGTTTTACTAGTGATGCACTCAATTAATACAGTCGATTAAATTTTCTATGAGCATCTCATTTACATAGCTATAAGTCATGATTATATACTACATTTTCTATATGATTTAGTCTTTTAAGAAAGGAAAAGAAGAAAAATATATGATTAGTTAAGATTAACACAAGGGTTACTTATTTATAAATATGATTACTTTACTTATTATACCTACAAAGGCCTCTTCGTACCTTATACTATCCAACAGCCAGGCCGCTGAAAGTTGTACTATTTCATTGTACCTGAATGATGGATAGGAAATAAAAAGAAGCGGTGCAAAGGTAGTCCAGGCCCGTTAACGTGACCGTTTCCGGGTGCCTTTTTCAATAGCGGCCCAGCCATCGGACAACGCACCTAGGACTCTCTCACGACTCTTAGTATTGTAATTGCAGCAACGCATGGAGGGAGCATTGACGGAGGAAGCAGATTTCTAGACAACAGCTTCGGGCAAGTAGGACAGCGACAAGATCTCAAGATGAATAAGAGAATTGATTGGATCATATAGTTTCATTCGACATATTTCAGCACATGACAGGTTTTTTGGTGGCACTTCTAAATTCTAGCATCAACTCAGAATAAGAGTGGCACCAGTCCTTTGAACCATCAATCTCCAGATACTAGTCAGTGGCTGGCCTGGACAAGGGCCCTGTTCCCACAGAGCCGAAAGTACATCTATTCCCGTTCTCACCCTCTCAACACCATTGGAGTTCTGAGTCAGTTTATGTGTCTTATCTATTACTGTTCCAGTGACAAAAAGGCACTCGTAGCAAATGATACTTAGTGTCTGTTAATGTGCGAAGGTAGAAGTGAAAGTTGATGCATGTTTGGGTGTTAGGACTTTTCTCTTAAGCATTTATTTCGAAGCTCATTCAGACTTTGTAGCAATGCGGCGCTCTATTAGTTATCCGACTTTGAGAGCATATTGCAACATATCGCTGTGGAGATTGTCTGGAAAGAAGACGGGTGGTGATTATGGAATCAAATCTCCCATCAGCTCTGAATTTTGATACGAAGAGTTTTTGCATCGTGAAGACGTAGGCTGAAAAAGAAAATGCACGGCGAAATCCATGCTATTTCAAAGTCGCGACAACCCGCCGAAGCTCAGTCCCTTGATAACCTCTTTAGCTGCGCGTTCGCCGCTTAGGACAGCACCCTCCATGTATCCCTTCCACTCGCCCGAAGTTTCCGTTCCCGCAAAGTGCAGATTGCCCGTGGGTTCACGGAGGGCGTTAGGGCCCAGCGAGTCGAGGACACCTGGCGGCAAATAAGCGCATGGGCAACCATAGCCGGAGAACTCATCGCCGAGCCACTCGTATAGCACCATATCTACGAATTCTGAATTTCCTAAATCTTGCACGTTGAACAGTTGCTCGAGCTGGTGGAGCAGCTTCTCGATACGTGCCTCGTTGGGTAGGAGAGACCACTCTTGGGCAGGGGGCCCAGCCATGAAACAAGTGAGTACCGCAACGTTATCTTGAGGGCTGCAAGAGTCGCGAACGACAGCTGCAGGGCCAGTAAAGGACTGCGCCAGACCGCAGAAGCCCTTGGCGATCCAGAAAGGTGACTTGAAGACCATCATGGCTTTGCAGTAAAAACCGTATCCAGCAGCTTCGGACCAGGCGAGCTTCGCAGGGTGAAGTGGAGGTTGCCATTCGATATTCTTTAGGACTGGGCTAGGAACTGTGGAAATGAGTTTTCGGCCGCTGAAAGCAGAGCCGTCGCCAGTTGTTACGACAACCCCGTGTGGACCGTCCTGGACGATCTGTTTGACCTGCGCGTTGAGGCGAAGGGAGTGAGGCGGAAGGATCGAGGCGAGCTTTTTCGACACTGTCTGCGTTCCTTGGCGGATGCGCAGATGTTGACCGCCTCCTTTGCGGTCTGAGCGCATATTGAGGAGGCCGCCACCAGACTTGCAGTAGTTGAGGAAGAATAAAGTGGACAGGTCGCGAGGGTCAACGCCAAGCATAGCGCGAGTCCAAACAGTAGCCGTCAAGATGGCCTTTTCCGTCGCACCACGAGATCTCAAGTAAGCCTCAAAGGTCATGCTGTCCAGTTCAGTGCTCCTGGGCTCCCAGCAGTCAACAGCTTGGCTGGCAGCTTCTGTCCCATCGCGAATCATGATGACACTTTCGACGGAAGCGGCATCGAACTGTTGATATCAGTGTCGGCGATATTTACCTATGGTGATGAAGACACAAGGATAGATTGTACTTACATTAGGAACTTCGCCGTACGCAAAGGACGAAACGCTACCATCGGTGTCCTGGAGAGCACAGTTGCCGGTGGTATTTTGCTCGGTCGTCTCAAGACCAAATTCGCGGACGAGGCTAATCATACGAGTCTGGTTGACGTCGTTAATCCAGGCGGCGCCCGCCTCGATAACACCCGGTCGGCCATCAGGGATAGGTAGACTGTAGGTCCTGCCGCCCACGCGGTCACGAGCTTCGACAACCACACACGAAAGGCCAGCCTCTGTCACTTTTCGTGCAGCTGCAAGTCCTGCTAGACCCGCACCGACGATAATGACGTCTGTGCTTTGTGTAGGCTGCGATATAGAGAGCGGAATCGACGGCGCCCGGTTGGGAATAGCGATGACAGCGTCGATTTCGACCAGCCATGACGGGTGCGCCAGCTGAGTAAGGGGCACCAAGGTCATGGCTGGTCTGTGTTTTCCGTAAAAACGCTGCATTTGGCGAGCATGCTTGCGTGTCTTAGGATCGTAATTCACGACGTACAAAGTCGCTTTGGCAAGGTCCTTCACCGATGCCCCAGCAGCAATCATTATTTTGCGCAGATTGAATATAGCCAAATGAAGCTGGGACTCATAGTCAGCCGGAACATAGCCCGACTTTGTCGCGCCAATTTGGCCAGAAACATGGACAAGTCTGGTATTGGGGCTGGTGATGGTTGCCGGTGAGTGATACACCTTGGACGTGTGAGACAAGTCCAGAATTTCGACGTGCTTCGTCATCTTGACTGGATATCAACGATTTCAGGGAAGTGGCGGTGGTGCGAGGGCAATTGTGTATTGCGTGTTGCATCGGAGCGAGGCTCTCTGTTTATAATTATTTATCGATCAAAAACGATCCAAGCTGTAGTATTCTACTCGGGCTGTTGCTAAGCTTCCAATGGTACCATTCCTATCGGACCACTTGCCGCAGTTCGTGCCCGGAGTTCTTTTGCTACTTATCAGACTGCCGGAGCCAACTTCTTGATGTGTCATCCTGAATGATAGGTTATCGAGGGTTAAAAAGCAAGATGCAATGGCAGAAAGACCGAGCGAAGGAAAGGTGGAGCAACCCCGCCAACTCCACCTTTTATGGCACGAAATGCTCTTGAGTCTCGCTAGGAAATGGCAGATCCAATCGCACGGCGAGCAAGAATAATTTGATGGACGAAAGCTTGAGTACAAGGCGAAAGGCAGGGCCGACAGCTTGTAATCTAATCATCGTTTAGGGGGAGGATGCATGCGATTTCCATACTAGTCTCATTCATGCAAAAGGTGCAATCAGTCAGTCACTAACGCAGAATATCCGCGCAAGCACAATGATATAGACTGACCTTTTCCGCTTTGGAACCAATCCGAGGCTTCTTTCTCGATCAATCTATCATCGCAATTTCGACTTCCCATTTTTTCCGCAGAACATTTGGCGTTATTACAGCCTTCCAAGCAAGCGACCCTGTTAAGGCGCTACAATGTCTGAGCAATTTCGTCTCCGCTGCCCTGCTTTGCCGATTGTCAGGAACTATATCAATGCAGAATGGCTAGAGTCTTGTTCTGGCAATACTTTTGAAGTACATGGTGCGTTACAGATGTGACGTTGTTTAGTGAACCCCCATAATGCACAGGTAGCCGAGTGTGCTCGCTGTTTACTTCCGTTTTGGTTCCACTGTATGTCCGAATTCGCCAACAGCTGCACTGTTTGAGTTATCGTCTTATCTTCGTCGACCTCTGCGTCCCATGGTTTGGAACCTCTAATCTGTAACCTCACTTTCACCGTGGCCGCTTAATTCTGATTTCTGGAATCCCTCCATAATGTCATCCTCGAAGTCTAGAGTTCTGCTAGTAGGAGCGGGAGGTGTTGGTACCTTGGCCGCTTATGCACTGGAGACTGGCGGAAAGGCTGAAGTCACCGCTGTCATGCGCTCCAATTACGAGGTCGTCAACAGACAAGGCGTGAACATTGATTCAATTGAATATGGCAAGATCGTTGGATTCAAGCCATCTCACAGTAAGTATTCAGCCGCAGTTGTCAACACGAGCGTTGGGATACTATGCTGACAATGACGGTTGCTTCAAGTACTGAAAGCCGTCCCGAATGTGGTCAAGGAGGGACTGCCGCCATTCGATTACATTCTTGTCACCACTAAGAATGTCCCTGATGTATCGCCGACGGTTGCGGACATCATCGAGCCTGCTGTTACTCCCGGTAAAACTGCGATCGTTTCTCTCAGAATGGTCTCAACGTTGAGAAACCCGTTATTGCTCGCTACCCTAAGAATATCGTCATAAGCAGCGTCTCTACGATTGGTACGACCGAGAGGTCTCATGGCGACATCCTCCACGACGACACTGACGAACAGAAGATTGGACCTTTTCACAACCCTGAGATACCTCAACACGTCGCTGAGGCCGCCGCGCGCCGCTACATGGAAATTTACAACCCAAATGGCAAGCTTGAGCTTACTTTTGAACCAAATGTGTTAAAGACGCGATGGCGCAAGTTGGTATATAACGCGAGCTTCAACACCGTTGCTACCGTTCTTCAGATGGATACATCACGGATGAGAATGTCAGTATTCGTTGTTGATGAGTTGCTGAAGTCGATCATGCGGGGAATCATTGCTGCGGCCAACGCCGCTGGTTGCGATCTTGACCCGAACCTACCCGACACTGTGGTCTACAACGATGGCTTGGAGGACTACTTTCATCCCAGCATGATGCGGGAAATTGAGAAGGGAAATTACTTCGAGGTCGAGGTTATTTGCGGAGAGCCTCTTCGAGAAGCAGCTGCCCTAGGAGTACCCACGCCGACCTTGAAGGTGATTTATAGTCTGCTAAAGGCTTTGCAGCTCAAGACAAAAGGGGCCAAGGGGGCATGGAAGCCACACTGGGCAGATGGAAATCCTTATGGCGAGAAAAGATAAACGCTCACTAAGATTCAATATATATTTATTCTTCTACAGTTGATGTTGATGTTTCTTGACATATACATTCTCCATCGTTCTTCCCTGACATTTTGATTTATTCGAGATGTGGTGCATCGCTTATAGAATCGCAATAGATCCGACCAGCAAATATCATGGGGAGATTGCATTTGATCTACGCGAGTTATTACAGGCAAACTTGACGATGGCGTATTGCGCCTTGGAGTACATATTGAAGGAAGTAATGCAGGGGACTTCGTGCATGTATAAATCTATGATGATTCGCTGAGACAGATCAATTTTCCTTTGAAGCCCGCATGGGCTTCTGCATAAGTATGACTGTGTTTGTGGCCAACTCGCGGAGTCACTATACCTGTCCCACTAAAGTGGCCAGCTGCCGAATAGGGGACAAAGATAAGCCGCAGTAGGGTATCCGACACCTTGACAATTTGTCTTTCCTAGTTGTAGCGCTGGTCTTCATGAGCCACAGGTGTGTGACGACATATTTCTATAAGGCCCGTCTAGGCGTTTTCCTGGTCTGATACATACATGACCATGAACATCTCATAAAAGATCCCAGTGGTGATACTCTATGCCACGCGAAACTGCTGCTTCATTATGTTCAGATCATGACATTGGACTCTGCCTTGTTTGACGGGTCTTGCCCCTCGTATACATTGGTATTGTGGCCATTGAAACACTTTTCCCACTTCTTGATCGTGGCTTGAACCCTCGACTTCACCGTGTTGACGTCTTCGGGTTCTTTGCCCATCATGAGCCTCCTTTCCACGGGATTCTGGGTGGCAAGGTAAGCCTGAAGCACCATGGGTGGGCCCGAACTCTTTGGCTTGTTTCTATATATACAATTCTGAACATAATACTCTCCAAAGTGTTGGGAGTCTTGAGGAGCAATACTTACTCGGTATCTTCAGTCAATGTTGCTGATTTTGTAGATCTTCGCGACATCTTGGGCGATGCTTATCAATTAAAATGTCAACTAGGTCAATGGCTTTTTATTCAACCTTCTGGTGATGTATTAAGAACTTCAGAATTCTTTCGACGAGTTGCAAAAATGCGCTGAAGACTAATAATTTGAACTGCGAAAGGAAGTCTTGGGTATTATTTATACATCACTCTTCTGGTGAGAACAACATATTCTCATCTTCACATTTTGGCCCTGTGAGAAGACGCATGTAGGAAGACACGTTTGTGTGTATTTTGGTCGCATGATCAGGATTCTCCGCTGCCTGTCGTGTCTTCGTAGCGTTCCTATCCGGCCCACCGCCCGTCGTGAGATGAATACCAAGACACGAACTACACGGCAACATTAATCTAACGAATTCCGGAATTCTGATGTCGAATATGGCCGAACTAGGTGTCTCCATAGACATAGAGACGCGTTGACTGAACAAATCCAATGCAAAGACACATGTTCAACCCGCACTTCCAGGGGTGTGAAGCTGCCATGCCGGAGCAACCAGTCTCACTTGAGCATGCGGCCGTCCGATTGGCGCCACATTTGACAAGGGCACATTCGTGTCTTCGGAGAATGTGGGTCTTCCATGCAAAGATGTGATTCGCCATTCCCCACTCACCCAAGAAGCAACGAGTGGCCTGGGGAGTTTTGCCTTTTCAGCCGCATTCCGCGAAGATATCCACAACGGTCCTTGATACCAAAGCTCACAATATTCTCCACACTCAGTATATTTATCTGTTTTCTGTGATTCTGAATATTAAGCCCAGCAAGTTGACCCTTCAGTAACCAGCTGGCCATGATGGAGACGAGCCTCGTTATCAATAGAGGGGTCGAAGCCAACAGCACAACACCCTCAACAAGCGATGGGTTGAATTGGAGCCGAAACCATCATCTTCCTGGTGCTGGATACGGAAGCCGTCTGCCGACACCCGAATCTAGCTCGAGTGGAAAGACACAATTTGTGCCAGATGCATCAGGCTTGTCAGCTCAGTCTAGTGATTTCGACACTACGGGTCAAATTGCGCCCCCAGGAACGAAGCCACGAGTAACAGCGACATTATGGGAGGACGAGGGTAGTTTATGCTTCCAAGTTGAGATCAGGGGCATCTGCGTAGCACGCAGGGAAGGTAGAGAGTCTTACGTATCTAATGGTGCAACCGCAACGGAACTGATATCGCTACAGACAACCACATGGTTAACGGCACTAAGCTGCTCAACGTCGCAGGCATGACGAGAGGGCGACGTGATGGCATGTTGAAAAGTGAAAAGGTGCGCCACGTAGTTAAGATTGGTCCAATGCATTTGAAGGGCGTTTGGTATGTTCAAAACCGAGACTCTACGTGTTCAAAGTCTCTGATTCAGTAATAGGATTCCCTTCGAGAGAGCACTTCACTATGCAAACGCGGAGAAGATCACCGAGCTCCTTTATCCATTATTTGTACACAATATTGGAGCCCTTCTTTACCACCCAGTGAACCAGAACCGAACTACGCAAGTTATGCAGGCTGCTGGCCGTCGCCAGCGGGACAACGTCGAGCATCCTAAAGCAGTTCCTCTCCGTTCTCTGCCGCATCCTCATGACCATCCAGCAGACGGCCTCCCGTCACAGCAACCTCCGTCTTTCATTAGCCGTCCTTTATTAGACAGAGCACACACATTCCCCACGCCTCCTGCTAGTTCTAGCACAATAATAAGCTCGATCTCAGAGGACTATTCCTATCGGCCACACATCTTACAATCAGCTGAGAACCACAAGACTGAGATGCAAGAATTGGAAGTTAAGGTTGAGGACATGAGCTCTCCAGAGAAAGATTACAACAAACAACCCTCGCTGATGATGCGACGCGAAGACGAGCAAACCCAAGGGAATTATCCGCCAAATACAGTGACCGAGGCACTGGAGATCGCGCGTGACAGCCCAGACGGGGCGTCAGACCCAGTGGTCAGCAAAGTTCTCGAGTCGACGCTCGAGCAGCTGTGGGGCCGCGTCACGGCGCAGCCCGAGAGCTACATCATGTCGAGGGACGAGTTCGCTGTATTCAACTTCTACCAGCACAGGTTCGTGGGCAACAAGCTAGCTTTCGCCGCGAGGATGAGATTCTGGGACAATATCTACGCAAATCGAGGCCCGCTTACTGCCGACAGTGTTAGTACTAGAACCAGCTCCGTCAGTGAGAATGAAGGAACTATCTACGATGGAACCACATGGTATGGACCTACGTGGTTGTCCACGACCTCAGATATGGTTGTCTGTGAAGCCTATCTATATAATCCTTTGGAATCGGAAGCAGTCAAGAAGGTGATCCACGCTTTCCAGGAGCATCAAGGCAATTCTGATAGGATCGGAGGACCAGGCTCCCAGTCATGGAGCCCTTCACCTTCTGCCTCTCAGACTGGTCAAAGGGAGGGTTCGAAACGGAAGTTAGGAGATGACCAGACGCAAAGAGACCAAGGGCCAGTGGCAAAGAAGGGCCGAAAACAAGTACAAGATGGACAACCCCGACTTGCTTGTCATTTTCAGAAAATGGACCCAGTTAAATGGGCTCGCTGTGGTATGCGTGAGGCTGGCTTTGCCAGAATATCCGATATCAAACAGCATTTCAGGAGACACCACATGCGAGACCCAAACTACTGCCCTATATGCGGAGTAACATTCCCATCGGAGGAATTGAAAAACGACCATATCCGGCAGTCTCGTGCCAACCCCGGCATGTGCCCGGAGCGCTCCACACCCCACCTCCCAGATGGACTCTCACACGATAAACTTCGGCTTTTGACTGAGAGAGTCAAGGCATCATTCGATATTTCTGAACAATGGTACAGCATTTGGGCCATACTATTCCCAGATGTTGCGCCACCACCGGCCTACACATACGATCTCTCCGACAGACTGCACAATTCTGTGCGAGATTTGTGCTTATTTCTGGGAACTGAAGGTCCTGCGATTGGACAGTCCGTTTTGGAACAGGAAAATGTCATCATCGGCCCCTCGAGTGCTGCCAATGTCGATTTGGCAGATTTCAACATGGAATCGTTTACCAGACGGGTACTTTCTAGGGTATTTAACGAGACTGTGCAAAGCTGGATTGCCCAAGAGAGCTCTGAGAGGAGTCGGCAGACTGGCCGCCGCCTAGACACCGGATCCGCGGGTCAAGCGATTATGGCTATACCACTGACGCCTGTCTCGGGCTCGAGCAACAGCAATCGTGTTTCAACCTCCCCTAGGAGATCAACTCCTCCAGGATGACATCCTATAGGGTAATCTCTTACAGAATAACCTTCTCTAGGGTAATCCCTTTCAAGACTTTTTACGTTTCACTATATATTGTGGCAGGCCAGGTCGATTGCCATTTTACAATCAAAAGAAGGATGGCATGTACAAAAAGACAACATGACGCTTTCGCACGGGCAAAGCACGCAGAAGATAGTTTCACAATTGACATCATCGAACAATTGATCAAATAAGTTCAAGAACTTTTCCGGGGAGTCCATAACTGTACCTAATTCCTACCGACCGTTGCCATACCAAGAGGGCAAAAATCAATATCGTATTCCCATACCCTTGCCCTCATCCTCCTCCCTTCCTAATAACTTCATTCCCTTCCCTTGATGAACGGACGTAAAGTCAGTCGTACGGCCTCGAGAAAGTCGAGTGGCCAGTGACGACGGGGGTATTTTTGATCTCAAAGCTCGGCCACCTCGGGAATGTTCCGAGCGTGGAGGCCCCCTGAGTGGGCAAAACGAGCAACCGGAAAGAACCTATTAACGCCAGCAAAAACCGCCGAGGAGACCATCCGACAAGATCATGTGTGCGGGTCCATCCTAATCGTCCAAGCCGTGGTTCATCGTCCATTGAGTGGAAGAAAAAAAATTACAAAGAAAATCGTCGAACAATGTATGGTAGAAGCTTCAATGCTAAAACCATGTAACAGAACCAGAGTACATTCTCCAAGCGCTGTGGAACACATAATGAAATGGTCCACGAAGAATGATCTAAAAGCGCCACCTCAGAACGACCAGAGATACCAGACTAAAGGATGCCGAAGGTCCTCGGTCATAACTTCGTCATCAGATCGTGCTCCCCTGTGAGAGCCGCCTGAAGCAGCAAAGAAATGGTGCCGACACCGAAGAAGGCCGTGCGGGTCATCGAGCAAGAGAAGTAATCAAGGGTATCATATTGTGAAGCGCTTGCGGTGGCCGGTTCAGAGTGTGCTGAGTTCTCAGACCCTCTAGGCCTTGGACTCTGCCTTCTCCTCCTTCTCACCATCATCACCCTGGTTCTTGACATATTCGTCATAAACATTCATAGCCTCATCAACCTTGGCGCGCAAGGCGGTGTCATCATCGATGCTAGGTTCATGTTAGCGCTACTTCCCAGAAAAAACAAGCTGGCCTGTGAAACTTACAGGTTGATGAGTTCCTGGTTGTCCATCTCCAGGAGCATACCAGTGATCTTGCCAGCCAGTTCAGGCTGCAGGTTGGAGATCTTGGGGAAGATTGCCTCGCCAAGGATCTGCTTCTGCTGAGGTGGAGGTGCAGCAGCAACCTGAGCCTGGAGCAGTGAAGAGGCACTCAGGTCAGCAGGGGCGCCCATCGGACCGCCGCGACCACCCTGAGGGCCAGGGAAACCTTGGCGTCCGCCCATGTTGCCACGGCCAGGACCGCCTTCAAACATGTTAGCAGGGGCAGTTCCAGACGCGTTGGGGGTCGAGGTATTAAGTATACCTTGGACATTTCCAGGAATGCCTCCCATACCTTGAATGGGCCCGCGACCGGGCTGGACGCCGCGGCCGCCGGCGAGAGCAGCGGCTTGGTGCTGGACCTGCTGCAGGGCCTGGATGAACTGAGGGTTGTTGGGCTGCTGGTACGCGCCAGGTGGGTAGTTTCCAGGCATGCCGTACATGTTGGGGGGGATCTGCTGAGGGGGGATGCCACCACGGCCACCGCCAGGCTGGCCTGGGAAGGCGTTGGGGAACTGGCCTTGACGGCCAGGCTGAGCACCAGGCATGGGCATGCCGAGCTGGTACGGCATGCCACGCCCACCTGCGCCGGGGAATCCGCCCTGCTGACCCGGAGCGTAGAAAACGGGTGGCTGCATGAAGTGACCAGGCATGCCAGCGGCGGCCTGCTGCATTCTGATCTGATTCCGAGCCTGGATGCTAGCCTCAAGCTGGGACTTGCGAACGTCTTTGCGCTGCGCCAGAGCAACATAGAGAGGCTTGCCATCGATCATGCGCTGGTTCATGTCGGCAACGGCCTTGGTGGCATCGTCAGGGTTGCTGAAGCACACAAAACCAAAGCCCTTGCTCTTGCCAAACTTCTTGTCGGACTTCTTCTCGCCCTTCTTCTCGCCGGATTCATCCTCACCAGAGGTGTCCTCCGCCTCCTTCTTGTTCTCCTTGTCCTTGCCCTCGCTGTCTTCCGCCTCGTCACCGGGCTCAATCGCATCGCGCATGACCTTGGCAGATGTGATAGGACCAAACTCGGAGAAGATCGAGCGGAGCTTCTCGTCATCGACGTCATCGCCCAAGTTCTTGACGTACAGGTTGACGCCCTGGTACTTGCTGGCCTTCTCCATGCGAGCGGCCTCATACGACTTGCGGAGCTCTTCCTCACGCTCGTGCTTCTTTTGAGCACGTCCGACGTACAGATCCTGGCCCTTGAAGTCCTTGCCGTTCAACTCCTCGACTGCCTTGAAGGCAGCCTCGTGGGTGGTGAAGTTGACGAAACCGAAACCACGGTTCTTTCCGGTCTCCTGGTCACGGGCAAGCGAAGCCGAGGTAATATCGCCATACTTGGTGAACAGGTCACGGAACTCCTCGTCGGTGCTATCAGTCTGGATGTTCTTGACGTAGACATTTGTGAAGTTGGCCTTCATCTCCTCAAACTTGCTCTGGCGGTCCTTCTTGGGGATGTGATGGCCGACGTAGACTTTCTTCTCGTTGAGCAGCATGCCGTTGACGTGCTTGATGGCCTGAGAAGCAGCCTCATCGGTCTCGTAGTGGACGAAACCGTAGCCCTTGGAGTTGCCGTGCTCGTCCTGGGCTACCTTGCAGCTGAGGATGTTGCCAAAGGCAGCAAAGGTGTCGTGCAGAGCCTTATTGTCGATGGCGACATCGAGGTTCTTGATGAAGACATTGCCAGCGCCAGTCTTGCGCAGGGCAGGGTCACGCTGCGACCACATGATGCGGCAAGGGCGGCCCTTGATGATGGTGTAGTTCAGCTCCTCAAGGGCCTTCTCGCCATCAATGGTGGTGTTGTAGTTGACGTAGGCGTATCCAAGAGATCGGCGGGTGACGGCATCACGGCAGACGCGGATAGAGGCGACGGGGCCAATCTGGGAGAAGAGCTCGAAGAGCATGGCCTCGGTGACAGTGGGGTCGAGCTCGCCAACGTAGAGCGAGGCGGACGAGGCATGGTTGCCTGGGGCGGCAGAGCTTGGGGTGGGAGCGGCGCCATCCTCAGCGCCCTCGGATGGGTTGACGGTGGTGTTGATGTTGGCCGGGGTCTTGTCGGAGCCGTTGAGGCTGGTGTTGCCGAGATCAGCAGCGAGCTGGTCAACAGCGCCGGTGGAAGCAGGAGCGGCCATTTCGAGGGATGAAAGGTTCGCTTGACGGAACTATGTAACGAGTGTTGCTGGTCAGTAGTGATCGGCGGTCAAGGATGCGAGAGAGAGGATATGGCGGCGCGGTGGGAGACAGATCGCGACCGGTGGATTTTTTTTGAAAATTTTCAAGGGAGGGCAGAAGTGAAGTATTCGGTTCGTCTGCTTCGTTAGGGGCGAACACACCTAAGTAAGGGGATGATGGGATGGGGTCGTGCGACGACGAGTGAGCGAGGTTGACCAGACGGCGACCTTGACTGCAGACAAAGCAAACCAGGGAGGTCAAAGGAGGACCGCGTGATGTTGGAATCCGTCGGATTCGGAATCGGCAGGTCGCAGGGTTTGAGGTGGTCAAAGAAGAAGACGACAGGTACTGCGTCTTGACTTGTTTGAGAGAGGGAGAGTTGGGTGATGATGGCGGGGGAAAGGGTTTGTTGATTTTGCTGGTTTTTTTTTTCTTTTTTTGGTATGGACAGGTAGGTTGTGATTTGGTCTTTTTTGGGAGAGTTTTCAAATTTTTTTTGTGGAGTTTTTGTGGTTGGGAAAGACGAGAACAGAACACATGTACGAGTGTGAAGTCGTACGTAGGGAGTCTGAAGCTCGCGCGACCTTGAAGGGGCTTCTTTGGGATAAGAGGTTGTTCGTGGGTTGAAGGAGAGGAAGGGAAGGCGGAAGGAAGGGCCTGCGGAGTCGACTCGCCTTTTTTGATGAAGTTTTTTCCTGCCGTCGGTTCGCTGGTTTGCTGGCAATTTGGCTGGCTGTCAGTCGCGCGTCACTTGCGCTAGTGCGGAAGTACCTCCGTACCCCCCGTGCCCCTGCACACACCCCCGTGCCCCGTATCTAACACGTACAGTATAACACTTTAGACCAGACCGCGCCTGCTGTCGCGCAAACCGGACCCGATGACAAGCAGTGCTAAAACGATGGGTGCATGAACAAGTACGGATAATTATGTTGCTGTTACCAATCCACGATCTTCTGCAAATTCAGAATCTGCAGCTGCCTAAATAGGTGCATTCAATGCCGTTAAGACCTTTTGTCTCAGTCTCTCTTTGCACATGTACAGGCAGGCGTGCACATTATCCATCTGTTTGTTTGCTGCTGCTGCCGAGGCTACCCAAGCCCCTTCCTCAGCGAGTACACCGATGTGGTGCACTTGCTCAACTGGCAACGAAAAGACGGTCACCCCATCCCCAGTGAAGGCAGGTGCGGGGCAGCTATCGCTTATGGGAGAAGGTCCTCCTTATCTCTTATCGCCCAAGTCCAACCCGCTCGATGCCCCTCTATCTACGTACCCGCGCACCAATCTAGGCACTTACGCACTTAAAGTTGGTAGCATGGACGAATGTTTCATCTAGGCCCAACATTGGGGAGATAAAGTTGGATATTCCATCTCTCAGTTTCCAAATCGCAATGTTCACAGACCGAAATCTAATCTTTTCTATATACAGTCTTGAAAAATGACAACTTTATACAGGGCCACACCTCGAGCAGCAGGACATCTTGCCCGTTCTGGTGGGGTTCCACTCCGGTCTTGCTCTCCAGCATCTCTAATCCATCACCGCCCACAATTCACGGAGACAAAACTCTACGGGCAGCTTCGTCCCCAGTGCGTCGTGGTGTCGCAGCAGTCGGCACCGTTGCAGTCGAAGCCCTTGCAGAAGTCCGCCTTGTAGGAGTCTTCATCACAGGGGCAATCGCCAAAATTGCCAGCGATGCCCTTGCAGCTCTTGTGCTGGTTCCTGCAGGCGTCCTCATTGTTCCAACACTAATAGGGATCAGCCGAGTTCTAAGTAGGTCCGAGAACGAGTGTTTCCTTACACAGCCTTGTGACGCTGTGCATGCGAGAGTGGTGGCAGCAAGGCCGAGCATGGTGAGGATCGAGGTGCTAAACTTCATCTTGGAGTTGTGGGTTGAGTCCGAACACAGATTGCTTTCAATTCAACGAGAGTCTTGAAAAGACAAGAAGTTGACCTGAGGCAGTCACATATGTGAGATCAACAACATCCAGCATCCTTTTATATTACGAGCGCGAGAGAGGCCGGGTCTCCATCCCACAGGACCCAGCCCAAGAACGATGAGGACGTTCTCAATCAGGATGTGATGCTGTAGAGGTGTGCCCCGTGGACCGCCGACGAGTCAAGACTCATCTCGATTATCTTGGTAATTTACCAGCGAGGTCCAAATAGAGTCATGATCTTTCTGGAGGAGGCTATTCTGAGAAATCAGAATAGTTTATCCTCTTGCTTTCACAGCCGTGGCTCTGTGCCCACACTCCCTTCCTTTGAAGTTGGAGCTGTTGGCCGCGAACTGCTGGTTGGGGCGGCAGGAGACGATCGGCTCTACCGGGTCGACCTCATGACACACCCAGGTACCCCAGGACCCCTCCGTGGGCCTGGAGCTAGACCCAAAACGCCCGTCTGTCCATCTCACCTCGCTGACTAAATACACGAACGCTCTGAAAGTTCCAGAAGCTCAGCCGGAACCCATCTCTCCATGGGTGTCCTAGGCCGCTAACATCTGATTGCCTCGTCGCCTGCTTGCCTGCCTGCTCGCCAGCCAGCCTGCCAGCTACCCACTGCTTGCCACCGATCCGGAGCATCATTGCCTCCACGCAAGGCTCGACACAACTTTTCCTTCTTCTTTCTAAACAGTCTTACGGCCTGTGGCTGCCCTTTCCTTCTTGTTCTTTACGGCCAGCGTTGAATCTGTTCTACTCGAGTTTCTGGCACACTGCAGCTGTGCCGTGCCGCCCTCCTTACCGTACCCGCGAGCATCCCCACACCTTCACCCGGCTGTCGAGCTGCTGCTGCTGCTGGTTAATAACCAGCCCAAACCGCCAACAGAATGTTTCCCACCTTCTCTGGGAACTCGCGGCGGCCGCGAAATGTAAACATGAGCGGCCAGAAGAATCTCAATCCCTTCGCCGCCACGTCCTGGACCCCGACGAGCTCCTCGAGCGCATCCAAGACCGTCGCTGACGCCCAGGCCGAACGCAACAAGCGACAGCTCGAGAGGGAGAAACTCAAGGCTGCACAGTCCATACAAAGAACATGGAGGGGTCACACCGCGAGACGAAGCTTAAAGGACCAAAGACGGGGGACTCTTGACGCTCTTTACAACGATCGATCACATGCCGATTCGCGGACAACAGCATCTGAAGCTCTTCCCTTGGTTGTTGCTGCCCTCGATCCCCGAAGACCCGACGACCGGGCTCGACTCGAGCGTTTCGCCCAAGATCTTCTTCAAAGCGACTGCTCCCTTGTCAAGTCAGAGGCAACGACAAGCGGGTCTCAAATAAAGAGACTAACAAGCCAGCTGCTTGTTCTTCTGCGAAGGTATGCGGCCTACATGTTCCTGCCTAGATACCTGAGCACTCGTGCCTGACCATGGCGTCTAGTTCCGGCTACGACCAAATTCCCCGTACCAGTTTTGAAGTGATAATACAAATCCTTTCCACGAGATTCGAATCCGCGCACGATTGTCTGGACAGTCTGTTCGATATCATCGCGAATTACTGTCGCAATGGAGAGATCAGGGATGCAGAGAGTCTCTCGTTGCTAGAGCAAGCTATCTTGGTGCCAATAGTGAAGGACACGGGACGGCGTGCCTCGACCGCATTTGCTCTGTGCTTCCTGACCCAGCCAAATCTTGAGCTATTTGAGGGCAATGTTAGTGCATTTGCAGAGAGAATCGACACAGAGAAGGTGTCAGCTGGCATAGTGGAAGACTTCGCCGCAGGTTGGGCCTCAACGCAGCAGACAGATGCACGTTTATGGCTTTTGGCTCACTTCATTGCCCTGGGTAATGCCACGGGAGACTCTTCACTCGGACCCTCGTATTTGCACGCACTGTACACTCAGCTCTCAAGTCTGCACATTGAGTTGAAGAAGTACCATATTGGCCACGCGACAACAGACTCTGCCAACCTCAAGAAACGCCTTCCACATTTCATAGAAAAGGCCATCCGGTCTTTGGTTGAAAAAGATGAGATTTCCCATGTCCTTGAAAGGTTCACTACGTAAGTACAGGCCTGCTTGCATTGCCAAGCTTCATTTGCAATCAATAGCTCACCAGACTCTAGGAACTTTGCCGGATCATCTCAGGAGGAATCCAAAGAAGCGAGTCTGCTTGCCGCATACATCCTGACTTTGATTCGATGTTTCCCAGCGCTCAGCGACGACATCCGCATGAGGTTGTACCTCGCTGACATACCGTCGTACCCGAACTCCGTCAAATTCTTCTGGAACGCAATGGCCCGTACGAGGATGTTCTTGAGTGTCATGACAGACGACCGAGGCACCACTCTTGATCTACTCCAAGGAAAAGCATCGAAACAGCTTACCCCTGTCAAGGACGATGCAGTGTGGGATCGCGAATGGAGGACCATACTGCTTTTCCTCGAACTCTACGTTTTTGTACTGCGGCTCACTGACGATGAAGACTTCTTTTCTCCACTTAGTACAGCAAACCTAAATTCCGGAGAGATGTCTCGATTACGACAATGCATGCTCACATTGGACGAGCTCAAAAGTCTCACTTTATTCTTGAGGAATCTTGCTTTTACCCTGTACTACCACGCAAATGAACTGCGCCAGCATGCATCGAAAATCACCCCGCGCCAAAATTCGACTGTACAAGATTTATTTACGGCCCAACAGAAGACGCCGCAGGGGACGGGCAAAACACACGACACGTACAGCGTGATATCCGGGGTGGACTTTGACACCTTCCGGGGTACTATAACACAGGCGATGCGCATGGTCTATGAACGCGATTCCCGGCGGCGCTTCCTTCCACGCGACCATTGGCTGATGACCTCCAGATTTGACATGGAAGGTTTCAAGTCGGCCGTCGTGGCAGAAGACCAAAGGCAGCGGGAGCTCCAAGACGCTGAGAGTGACGATGAGGACATTAAGGTCGACGACGACAGCGACAGTGACGAGCAGGATGCGTATATTACTTCGGCCTACACGTCACAGGCCTTACGCAACGCGCGCATGGAGAGGATGAGGGCAGCCCACAAGCAGGAACAGCGAAAGTTGCAGGCTGCCACTGTTGCGCCAAAACTTGAGATTCTTCGCAATATGCCCTTCGTCATACCCTTCGAAACAAGAGTCAAAATATTCCGCGATTTTGTACACCTTGACAAGATCAGACGAAGAGATGGTCATGTCGAAGCAGATCAATGGCGCATGAGTCTGATGCACACCGACCGAAGTCGAGAAGTCATCGGGCGGCATTCCGCCAAAGTGCGCCGAGGCAGGGTATTCGAGGATGCATTCGAGCATTTCTACAAGTTGGAAGATGGCCTAAAGGAGCCAATTCAGATTACATTTGTCGACCAATTCGACATACCGGAGGCAGGTATCGACGGTGGAGGTGTGACTAAGGAGTTCCTGATGAGTGCCACCAAGGAGGCCTTCACAGACGATAAAAGCCTGTTCGCCGCCAATAGCCAGAACTCACTCTACCCGAACCCGTGCGCGATTGACCAGCGGCAACAGAAGCTTCGGGAGTCTGGATCAATCCCCGAGTCGGAGGAATGGAGAGACACCATGTCAGGCATACTGGAGCAGTACGAGTTTCTCGGCCGAATAATTGGCAAATGTTTATACGAAGGCATCCTGATTGATGTTGTATTTGCCGGGTTCTTTCTGCTCAAGTGGGCAGCATCAGCATCTGACACAGGGTACCGGGCAAACATCAACGACTTGAGGGAGCTTGATGAGGATCTTTACACAAATATGATGAAGCTGAAGAACTACCCTGGCGACGTCTCCGAGCTCGGACTAGACTTCACCATCGACGACCAAACCTCCATGCCGAACGAGCCAGTCCGCATCACAACGCGCAAGCTAGCACCAGACGGCGACAAGATGACCGTCACTAATGAGAACAAACTCCTGTACATAAACTACGTGGCGCGGCACCGCCTGGTCGCGCAGCCCTCGCGTGTCACAAGAGCCTTTCTGACTGGACTGGGCGCCATCATCGAGCCGGCGTGGCTCAGCATGTTCAACCAGTCGGAACTGCAGCGGCTTGTGGGTGGCGACTCGACCGAGATCGATGTGGAGGACCTGCGGCGCAACACGGTGTACTCGGGGCTGTACCAGATCGGCGACGACGGCGAGGAGCACCCGGTGATCAAGATGTTCTGGGAGGTGCTACACGGGCTCAAGGACTCGGAGCGGCGCGACGTGCTCAAGTACGTGACGTCGACTCCGCGGGCGCCGCTGCTTGGGTTCGGGCAGCTGCGTCCGGCGTTCAGCATCCGCGACGGTGGGCAGGACACGACGCGGCTACCGAGCGCGAGCACGTGCGTCAACCTGCTCAAGCTGCCCCTCTACAACTCGGCGGCGCAGCTGAGGGACAAGCTACTGTACGCGGTGAGCTCGGGGGCCGGGTTTGATCTGAGCTAGAGGAGGCGGCGTGGTTTGTCTGCATTGCCATGCCTAAGGCGGACAGTGTAATCGAAGACGGCGGCGTTGATTGAGGAGGAGCCTTGCTGCCCGCAAGGAGTAATAGGCAGTAGACGACTCTTTTTCGTTATTAATGTCTTCGGTGAACAACAGGACGACATTGGCATGAACAGGACATGAATCATGAATAGACAGGGCTTAACAAAGCCAATTAAACGAATAATATTCGTCGTGAGATCAGATTTTCGCTTCTATGCAAGATAATGCCTGCGCTAAATATTAAGAAAGGGTATCGCCTGTCCTCCAAATCCTCCCCATCTGCCACCCACAACATCCCAGGCTGGCTAGCTGAGTATCCAACCATGTCATGACTTGCCCTTCCCCTCGCCCTGGAAGCTACTCTTCAACACGGCAGGCTTCCTCTCGGCGAGGTCGAGGATCATCTGGCCAAACAGGCCGTTGGCCCAGCTGAACCAGGCGCGCGTCCACATCCCGGCGTTCCAGACGTTGACGCTCTCGTGCATCAGGCCCAGCCCGTCCGTCGACGCCACCAGCTGGCCCAGCATCCCCATGATCTCGTCGTCGTCGTCGCTCGTCATGATCCCCACCACCAGCGACATGGGCCACGCCATGCCCGGGCCGATGTGGGGCCCGCCCGTGCCGTTGATCACGGGCCCGTGGTCGTAGTAGGGGTTCGCGTCCGACAGGGCGAACTTGCGCGTTGCCTTGTACACTGGGTCGGTGCGTGCTACGTAGCCTGTCAGGGGGCTTGAGAGGAGGGATGGCAGGTTCGCGTCGTCCTGGGCGTATTGTTAGTTCTGATTTGCTTTGAGTGTGTGAAGATGAAGGAAAGAGACTCACCATCATGTTGGTTGAGTAATACCCGTCCACCTCGTAGGCGTAAATCTCCCCGAACTGCGGGTGCTTGATCTTGCCGTACGTCTCGATGCCCTTCTTGATCTCCTTAGCCATACGCCGCATCCTGTCCGCGAGGGGCTCGTCGTCCGCCTCGTCCTCGTCCTCATCCCCCTCGATGACCTCCTCATCGTACTCCTCCGCACCACCCACGACATCCTGGCTCGCAGAGCCCTTGGAGGCCGGGGACGACGCAGCCGCAGCAGCCAGCGCGGCAGCGACGCGGGCCTCCTCCTTCTCGACGCGGTCGACGATCTCGGCGCACAGCCCCATGTACCGCGCCAGCATCATGTTGGCGGGCACGAGGAACTGGAACGTGGTGGCGTCGTCGCTGGGGCGGAACGCGCTGCGCACCATGCCCGTGCCGCCCCTGACGGGGCTGCCGTTGCCGCCGTTGGGCAGCGTCTCGGTCGCGGCGCTCGTGACGCGCGTGAAGCGGTACGGCGCGTCCGGCACCATGCCGTCGTCCTTGTACGTCGGCTGCCGCATCCCCTCCGCCGTGTCCAGGACCGCCTCCACCGCGTCCTTCCACCCGTCCGTGCCGGGCCGCCTGCCCCTGCCGCCGCCGCCGCCTTTCCTCCTGCCGCCTTTTCTCCTCCTGCTGGTGCTGCTGCTGCTGCCCTTGGCTGTCTTCTTGCTGCCGCCGCTCTTCTTCGACGAGGAAGAAGATGACGAAGGCGCAGAGGTGGGGAACCCGCTGCTGCTGGCGTCGACGAAGAACCGCGCGTCCTTGGTGCGCGAGTAGTAGTCCCACGACAGCTGCAGGAACGAGGCCAGGCTGTCCAGCTCGTACTTGCACTCGAAGACGACGTCGTGGTTGTAGGCGGGCGAGACGAAGTCGGAGCGGTGGCCGCCGTCGGCCGGGTCGATGCCCGACTCGGTCGGCGGCTGGAAGGCGTTGCAGTGCGGCGACGCCAGGATGTACCTGCTCTGGAGGTTGATGGCGCCGCGGAACAGCGAGGCCAGCTTGCCGCTGCCGCTGCTGGACTGCTGCTGCTGCTGGTCGCTGGAGGTGGTGGATTTTGATGAGGAGCTGCTACTGCTACTACTGCTGCTGCTGCTGCTGCTGCTGCTCTTGTCGCTCGTGAGCGGCTTCAGCAGGCTGACGTAGCTCTGAAGTTGGTTGGCCGAATCACGCAGCCACATGGCGTGGATGTCGCCTGTTGTTAAGAAGGTGAGCTGTGGGAGAGTGTCAGTACTCTTGATTCGGCGCATAGCGCAGGTAAAGGGGAGGAAGGGCAAGCAGGCGGTACCTCTTCTTGCATGTTGGTGCTCGACACGCCCGTCCACGTCACGGAGGTGTCAAGCGTGTTGGGGAAGCAGTTCTCAAACAGCCTGAACAAGTCCGGGTCCTTGATAGTCTTGTTCATCTCGCGGATGGCCTCCTCGACCTCGGGGATGACGATCTTCCTGCACTCTGGGGCTGGCCTCTGGTACGGCAGCCGGTACTTGCCAGCAGACCTCGGCTCGTGGGGATGTGCAGCCCAGCGGCCATACTCGGGGCAGTCGCCATCGTCCGTGACGGAGACGGGCTCCTTGTCGTAGGCGAAGGACGGCTCGATGTCCGAGAGGATGGGCAGGGGCAGGTCGGCGACGGGGAGAAATGTGCGGGTGGTGGCGAAGATGGCGTAGAGAATGAAGACGCCGGCGACGAAGGTGTAGGTCTGCTGCCGCGAGCGCAGCATCATGTTGCGGCGTGGGGAGGGCAAGCCTCCTGGATACCGAATGCCTCGAGGCGTCTGGATGGCCACGCGCTTCTTCATTCCCGTTTCAGGCACGGCCGATTTGGCATGTGACGGATAGTGAAGGGTTGAGTAGGGGTTATGAGTGAGAGTGAGAGTGAGAGGATGTGTTTATGATGGAGGCTGTCTGGTCATGTCGACACCGACCACGACGCTGCCCCAGGGGTTGAATCGTCCACTGCCCGCTCAAGAGGTGTTCGCAGTGTCTAGGTGAGTGAACCAAGGTGCTCAGCTCACTCAGAGGAAAAGAAGTTTGGTTTTGGAGGGCACGGCACAATGATGAAACCGCCTACTTCAAGCGTCTCGATGAGTGAGTAGCAAGTGACCTCGGGACTGCAGGTGGCTTTAGATTTAGTAGCGAGGCGGCGTCTGTGGTCCCGCCCGCCAACAACAGAGGATAGGTACTTGGCCGGATGTACCGCTGTGTAGGCAATGATACAATTGCAGAAGCTTGCCAATGGTTGGAGTGTCTCAATGACTGATTGACTTTGATGGTCTCAAGTTGCGAAAGGTAAAAGGGTTAACGGCAGTCGGCACTGGTATACTGAGCAGCACAGAAAGAGAGTTAAGAAAGATAAGCTAGGTTGATGTCAGGTCAGGCACAACGGATGCAGGGCAGGGTCAAGGAAGGCAAGGGTCGGGTCGACGACTCGTAATAATTTCTAACTCTAAACGCCCAGAAACCCGTCCTGGCTGGCTGGCTGGCTGGCTGGCTGTCGGCTGGCTGCTGTCTGCTGTCAGCCCGTCGCCGACGGCCTCAGCCTTAAATGCGGTAGTCTCCATACGTTAGCCCATCCTAGCGTCGGCAGAGCTCAGGGGAAATGCGAGAAAGAGGGGCGTGCCAGCAGCACCAGCAGAGAGCTAGCTGAGTGGGAAGTGGGCGAGTGTGTGAGCGACGGGGATCATCCGAATCCGAGTCCAGGGGACTAGAGTAGAGGACCAGGGGGCAAGCAACGTCGAAATGTCGAAGTTGGGAAATCTGGGGGATCGACTGCGATTCGCCCTTGACCGCATCGGGGGGCGAACAGGAATACAACATCGAAAAGGGCATCGAATGCGCCGAACGGGCACGAGCACAAGCAGTGACGAGTCTCTGCTCATGTACCGCAGATTGTTGAAACAGGAGCCCCGCCAGACAGACAGGACAGGCAGCCACCTGTGGGAGACCTGTGGGAGCCAGTGTTTGACCATGGCGGCGACAGTGAGCTTCGTCCCATCATGCCCGCTGGGCCCTGTGGGCCCGATCGAGGGATTCCCACGCCTCCAGGTCTGGCAGGTCTGAGTAGTCTGGCACGTCTCTGACAGTTGAGGCTTTTCTGGAATGCCTGGTGGAACTCTGCGCGATGCAGAGTTTGGTTGATGTCAGAGTGAGTGCACACACACACATATACATATACACACGTACCTCGCTGTCTCTTGCTCGCATCGAGCTGTTAAGACCAGAAGCAAAGCTGAGACTGAGACCTGCGCGGCCTGCCAAGCCGGCTCTCGTGTCTCGAGTCGCCTTGCCCGAACCGGCACCGTAATTTAATCGACGCACTCCCACACTTCGGAACATGTGCGAGGTCAGGTAAATTCCACTGCTGATCGTCAATGTTGGGGCAGCCCGAGACAATATTGATGTTTTGTTGCCACCGTTGATCTAGTGATGGGTGTTGTTTCTAAATATTTTCCTTCCTTCACGTCACTGTGTCAGCAAGAAAAAGCCCCCGACGGCCCGTTCCTGGCCTTGTTTCTCGTTTGACCGATACCCGCGGGGGAAAAGTGTCTAGGACTGCTGGGGACATGCGGCCCGCTTCTTCTTCATCATCATGCATGCGCTCATGCTTGCTTGCTTGCTTGCATACATGCATGAGCCTAGGGGGATCTGACACCACGCCAGATGCCCGCTAGAATGACGCAGATGCATATGTGCCAAGACCGAGCTGGTTCGAGTTCAATTATTGATCAGTTGAATCGGATTCAACATGAGTTTGGTCACCAGCTAGGCTGCTAGGCCGAGAGGATTCGAATCTGATGTAGATATTGACAAGAACATCCTCGCCCATTGGATGACCTTCAAGAGGGTGACCTCTACCTAGGAACCTCACCTGAGATAACAACCTCTGGGAGAATCTGCGAAGGCTGACCTGCTGTCGGGTATACTGGGTGTGGGGTAGCTTCTCTCTTGAGTTCCCGCCTGTGTGTGCCATCAGAGGAAGGTATACCACACAGTCCTCAGACTTTAGATATCAAGCTTCACCCTCCAGAGCAGCTTCTCCCCCAGTACGAAGACCGTCTTCTCCGTCTCACCAAACCCAAAGTTGGCCGCCCCACCCTGGACAGTAATCTGCCCGATCAGATCCCCAGCCTCGTTCCAAACCGCAACGCCGCTGCCCGTGCCAGACCACACGTTCCCGGCCGCATCGACCTTGATTCCGTCCGGAATCCCCTTGGGCGCAAACGCAAACACCCGCTTGTTGGTCAGGAACGTCCCGGGCGCGTCGTAGACAACATCGTACGCGTAGATCGTCGCCGGGCCCGCGGGGTTGTCGTCGGATGCATTCGCGTCCGTCACGAACAGCACGCTCGCGTCGGCGTTGAACGCGAGCCCGTTGGGCTGCTGCAGGCCGTCCGCGACGACGCGCGTGGTGTTGGCCACCGGGTCGTACCGGTACACGTGCGTGGGCAGCTGCGGTGCCTCCCGGATGCCCTGCAGGGACCCGTACGACGGGTCCGTGAACCAGATCGAGCCGCCATCGGCCTCGTTGACCGTCACGTCGTTGGGCGAGTTGAACGGACGCCCCAGGAACGACGTCACCACGGGTACCGACGCATTGGGGTTGTTGAGCGGGTCCGGGATCGAGAAGATGCCCGCCGCCGCCGTCTTGCTCCCCTGCGCCGTGAAAAGGATCCCGGACGATCCTGTGTGAGCCACGCCGCCGTTTGGTAGGTTGATGGTCGACGTGTCGAGCGACTGCACCGTGATGGCCGAGACCACGTCCGGGGTGATCTCCGATGACACGTTCGTCACAGCGTGCAGCTTGATGGTCTGGTTGGACGTGCTCTCGTCCACCTGTCCCACGGGCAGCGGGATGCGGTTCGAGCTGACGTAGAGCGTGTCCCCCGTCGCGTTGTAGATGCCGCCCTCGTGGAAGAGCGGCTCCGTGGCGTTGTAGATGAGCTCGATCGACGCGCTCTCCCCCACGATGTCCAGAAAGCTCGGGTCGTACACTGCGAAGTCGGCCAGATCCGGGTTGGTCGAGGTGAGCTCCGCCAGGGCGCGGGAGCCCATGGCAGCGAGAGCTGTTGCCTTGAGGAAGCCAGGCATCTTGCACGAGTTTACACCACACTACACGCAGCTCGGTCTGATATAGAGAATGGCGTACTTGTCTTGCGGGAGGCAAGATCAAGGTTCAAGTGTTAAGACCGCGAAAGGAGTGTTGGATGAAAATCTCTACTGCTCAATAGTGCCTCAGCTATAGCCGGCTGACGTACGAGGCTCTCTTTGACTTTATACCTAGCGCCTTGCGTAACATGGCCGATATTGAAGATCGGCGCGAACCTCATCTGCTATAGGAGGCTCACGGCGAGTCAAACATCTTGGCGCCGAGACATATAGGTGTATTTTCGGCGCCCGGTCCTTCTGAGGTCGTGAGACCACTGCTAACCAGCTTTGCATCATGCGGGGCCATTACGGCCCTATAGCTTGCATTGTCAAGCTCTCCTTGGCAGTGGGTCTTTACAACCTATCTGCCGGAAATTTGAAGGTAACATCGGTATGCTACCATAGAGTCGGATTGTCGGAGATTCCAGGAGAGAGCAAATAGATAGTTTGTGTTCTGATATGAATACCCAGATCTCTTTTGTTTATCGTGTATCTGCGGGCGATGTGGTGCTGAAGCATTTAGTGGGATGTCTCATGAAATTATCGCGAGTCTTGGCGGCGGGCAACATCAAAGTCCTTCCCTCTCGACATCATGAGTTGTGACCTCGGTACTTCCCGAGCTGTCACGATCTGTTTCAACCGGTAATCTCGGAAACATGAGCCAGACCAGCAGCGCCACCACGAGTAATGCGAGGATGAATAGTTGAAAGGTCTGGATCCCCAGCAGCTGCACTAGTGAGCCAAGGGCAAACGGCCCGCAGGCCGCCCCAAGCTGGCCGACAGAAGCAACGAAGGATACAGCGCCCACGTGCAGGTCCTTGGGCAGCAGCCGCGCCAGCACGACGATGCCCGAGGGAAACAGCGGTCCCAGGAAGAAGCCGACGACGATGACAGCGACGATCGATACGGCAGCGACATCGACAGCGGCCAAGACCGCCTGCGCCACGATCGCGATCACAACGTAGACAGTAGCCGCCACGCGCACGCCGACCTTGTCTGTCACGAGTCCAAGAAGGAGCCGGCCAACAGCCATGCCGATCCAAAAACCCGAAGACGACAGACTTGCGACGTACGTCGACGCGTGGCGTGCGCGGAGCATAAAGGTGACGACCCAGCCAGATATGGCGGACTCGGTGCCCACGTAGACGAGGAAGTAGACCGCGCAGATCCAGGTGACAGCGTGCCTCAACGCCCCTCGACCAGAGTGGGACGCCAGCGGCGGCGCCTCCGAGACGCGATCAACCTCAGCAGGCTTGGCCGCAGCCAACGCCTCGCGATATCTCTGCCCGTTCTCGAATCGGAAGACCCAAATCAGCACGACAGCCTGCAGAGTTACCGCTCCGAGAAGGACGTAGTACCACGACCACCACGGCGCACCGTAGACAGAGAATAACGTCCCGGCCAGGAAGGGCCCCAGCCCCGCGCCGGCGGAGAAGCAGCCGTGCAGCAGGCCCTGGACGAGATTCCGCCTCGCACCGCCCAGCCCGCCGGCCCACGCGCACCACGACCCGTCCAGCAGCCCGTTGCCGAAGTTGGCGAACACGGTCGCCGCGAGGAACACCTCGAAGCCGCCGCGGCGCGCGTCGTGGAAGGATGACGCCGTGGCTGTGAAGAGCGCCTGGCACACGGGCGCGATAATGGCGATCCCGCGCTGCCCTAGGCGCTGGTGGATCGGGTCGTTCAGGTACGCGCCCGCGAGGTAGCCCCAGGGCGCGACGAGGAAGATGAGGCTTGCGCGCACGTCGGAGAGGTGGTAGTGTGCTTCGAGGTGGGGCAGGATGACGCCCGGCGTTGAGATGATCATGCCTGTCTCTTGCGTTAGCTGTGTGTGACTGTGTCGGCGGGGTTCTCTGTGGTGTGAGACGAGGCGCTACCGGGGCGGCTTGGCCTTGCACGTACCCAACACGAGGAAAGAGGTCGTCGTGGCGAGGATCTTGGCGACGGTGCTTGTCGTGCGCGGGTGCGATGTGTCGTGCTCGTGGGCATGGCACAGATCGTCGGGCAAGGTGTTGCTGTCTTCCTGGATTGGCACGGGGGCAACGTGTCTTAGCAACGGCTGACGCTCGCCTCGAGGTTTCTTTGAGGCGTTCATGTCCGGTGGTTCGGCTCGCTGAAAAGCCTGGATTTTGGCCTTTGTTTGCTCGCCTATCAGGTCATTTATGGCCCAAGGATGAATTAGTCACGAGTTTGGCTGTTTGAGGAGAATGTGAGCTTCACATGCCGCCAGCCCCGGCGACATATGCCCGTTGACATTGGGGAAGGGCAAATGCTAGGGAGCCCCTCCCTACCTAACCCCGGCACAAGCTCAGGGATTGGATGTTATCAGTGTTGACTGCCGAACCCTCTAGGAATAGTTAGCTTCCGACGTTTGTAAGTAGGAATTTTCATCTGCTGTTGTACATCGATCACGATTACTATTGACTTTCTTTCTGCGAGCATACGTGGTATTCTACCATCATCAAGTCAAGACCTATCTATATACTAAGTGTCTGTAGCTGAATAGGGCAAATACGAAGATCATGTCGCCCGGAGCTTCTTGCTTACCGGGCTTCAAATCCACAATGGGGTCCGAAAGCTGCCGTTATTGAGATTATGCTGGCCTCTTTGAGTCATATCCTTGTCCATTTCGAGTACTGGCATATTTTGGAAGTGGCCGGCGTACCTATGTGTTTCTAGTCACCTGTACTCGCAGTTGGGTAGCCTTTGGCAGCGCCTCATGCCAGACGAAGCAAAGGCTATTGAGATTTGTGACTGAAACAGGTGTGTCCGTCCGGATATGATTTGATTAAACTACAAAACTAAAGAGGGAGTTTATTCAATATCTCTATTTCAAATGCATTTATTCTATCAAAAAGGACAAGTTCGTCACTGGGGGGAGGGGGGTTCACAAGACATGTATAGCTTCACACTACAACATATGAAATACCGGTGCACAATCACGAATGGGGCTCGCTCCATCGCCCATCTCTCCATTTTGTCAAGTCGTGTAACTCTCATGAGAGATCAAGAGATTCTTGGAAATCTGCCAACATCGCAAAGACCTGCTCAAAGTCCGTTTTTCTCAGAACCGCCCTTCCTTCTTCCCTGCCCTCTAGCTTCAGTTCTGTAAATCGATAGTGTGCAAGCGCCATTGCGTTCGAGAAAGCTAAGAAGTCAGAAGCCGGTCAGCTGCACGCCATCAAATATTACAGAGGAGCCTGATTCGCTTTCACGTGTCGGACAAGCTTACCATTTCGTATTGCTCTACCGTTCTGGGCGATGTGCTTCTTTTCCGCACTTTCAATTACATCCGGGCAGATATCCCAATCAAACTCCACTTCCTCGCGCGCCCGGTCGAAGAAGTTCTTCCATACACGTTTCCGATCTTCACTACCCAGCTGGCTGTAGTGAACGACTGCATGCATGCGAGACATGACAGACCCATCAAATTTACCAATCCGATTGGTCATCAAGAAAAGAATGCCATGATAAGTATCCATGCCTTTCAAGAACACTTTTTCCTTGTCAGTGCATATCAGGCATATATTCCAAAGGAGATAGAAAGCACCAACCTGAGACTATGTTGTTTCTCTTTACGTCGACTCCTCTTGCTTCCAACAGTATATTGGCGTCGTCCAAAACCATGACCGCGCCCTAGAGCTCAGCCAACCGGAACCAATCGGATAACTTCTGCTCCACTGTTGTTACAACGCTTCCAATGTCCCCACCATTCAATAGTAGCAGTGGTCATCGGGTGGTTTGTGCTATCTGCTCTGCAGTCTTTAGTGAGAACTGATTAGTACAGGATTACTGAAAGGGTGAGAGAACCTGGCGTGCTCACAAGAGTTTTGCCAACACCAGCAGGGCTGTGCAATAGGAAGAACAGCGCGTCACTTTCGGCACATCTGTGGACCAGCGCCTTGATCATCATCCTTCTATCCTCGGGCATAACCAAGTAGTCTAGTCCATGATTATTGAAATGAGGTTCCGCACAACTAGTAATATCACATGTCACTAGAAAGGGGGTCAGCGTAGCTTTCTCTTTATTTTCTTATAAAAATTCTTATAAAAAGCACTAGTTAAGACATACCCTATTTCAAGTATTTCAGATTAAACACTATAATCTCTGGAGGAGATAACATTAAGTAGCAAGGCTTGATATTCATAGCTTCTTCCATATCAAATTGATCTCTGAGTCCCTTAATAATCTCTGGCAGTATTAGACAATTACATTAGTCAACGATTACATTTTGTGGTTCTGAGTTCTGTACAAGGTCAGACACAAAGTGGAGAGCAATTGAGAATCATGTAAAATATACATACCTCGAATTCACCAGAGCCTTGGACAACATGCCTTTTGGCTATGTGAACCTGTTTGTGGTGACTTCCGGAACCTATAGACTAATACAGCCGCCCTTAAGTAATTAGCTCTCCTTAACTAGTGACCTTGTTTAGAAAATATTTGGCAGGAACATGCACTAATATAGCTATTTCTTAATATCCTAGGAAATATAGCACCTAAAAGTTGCAATATACTTTATAAATATAAGTTCTGTTATAATTAATAGATTAAACTTAAATTTTTAAAAAGTTAAATATTTTAAATAAGCTCTAATTTATACTACTTAAATTAAATATTATAAAAGCTTAAAAATATTTCTTATTACAAGTATATATAATGCTTTTAAGAGTATATAGTATTAAAAGCTATATAAAACTAATTTTTTAATAGCGCTTTTTTTAAATCTTAGTAAGCTATAGAGATATTATAAGCTAGCTACTCTATATAAAGTTAAGAGAAAGTGTGCATTTAGGGCTTACTTAATAGTTTTAATATATTATAAGTAAAAATATACTTTTTATAGTTAAAATTTAAAGTTATAGGAAACTAAATATAAGAATTATTTTTATAAGCTGCGTTTTTATAAAAATATATAAATAGTTAACTATTTCTGCTCTTATATTTTAAGTATTTAAGTTATAGTTTATAAGATTATTTACTTTACTAATAATAATTAAAATATATTAAGTTTGCATTTTTTCTAGTAAGTTTAAAAATAATGTTTAAAAAGCTTAAGTTATAAATATTATCTTGCTTATAATAAAGGATTTCTTATACTAGGTAACTAAAAAATTCTACTAAAGTGTTATAATTGTAACAGAAATAGGACTAAAGAGAACTAACAAACTAAGGAAAGGTTTACTAAGCTAGTAAAACTAGCTATATATAAAAGTAAAGTCTATTTAAACTATAAATTATATAACTAGCTGCTTATATAAAAAAGGATTATTTAAATTATTAAAATTATTAAATAAGCTAAATAAACTAAATAAGCTAAAACTTAATAAATTACTAAAATTACTATAATAAGCCTATAAGTATTATAAGCTAAATTAAAAAAATAAATTATATAAAATACACTTATTACTAAATAAATAGTATTAATTTAAAATAGCTTTTTAATAATTAATTTAAATATTTATTCTAAATAGTTATAAAGCTTTTAATTAACTATTATTATATATTACTTAAAATATTACTATTTTAAACGCTTTTTAAATATAAACTTATTTATTAAGTTTATTAACTAAAAACTAATTATAATTATTATATTTTAACTGCTTTTATTTAAATATTTTATATAAACTTTAAATAATAACTTATATAATTATTTTAAACTTTAATTTTAATATATTTAAATTTAAAAATAATAATATACTTTAATAATACTTTTAATAAAAATTAAATAATATACTTAATAATAAAACTTTTAAAATTAATACTTAATAATTTTAAAAATTAATTAATAAAATAAATAAATTTTAAACTTTTATTAATAAATAAGCTTAATAAAATAAAAAAATAAAATAACTTTAAAAAAAAATTAAAACTTTTAAAACTACTACTAATATTATTAATATTTTAATTTTAGTTAAAAATAATATTAAACTTAATAATTTAATTTTATATAATAAAGCTTTAAAATAACTATAAGCTTATTTTATATAAGTTTAAGCTTATTAATGCTTTTACTAAATAAATTATTAATTAAATAGTAAAAAAGTTATATATATAGCCTTTTTTTTAAAAAAAAAAGCTTTTATATAGTTTAAACCCTACTTTATAAATTATTTAAAAAAAGATAATTTTAAAAAATATAAATAAGAAATTAAAAAAGTTTTTAATAGTTATAAAAGCTTTAAAAATACTTTAAGAATTCTTTTTTAAAATTTAAATAAAAAATAATAAGCTAAATAAAAACTTATAAAACTTAAATAAAAAAAATTAATATTAATTTATATTATAAAATTTTAATAAATTTATATTTAAATAAATTATATTAATAATATTTAAATATTTATATTTTATAATAGCTTAAATAAAAAATAAAAAATAAATTAACTAAATAAAATTAACTTAATAACTTTTTATAATATATTAAGCTAACTATTAAAATTAATAATAGGCTTTATAAATAATATTTAAAAAAAAAAAGTAATAATATAAAAAATATTTAATAAAATAATAATAAAATAAATATAAAAAAATACTATTAATTTAAAATTATAATATATAAGTAATATTTAAGCTTAATAAAACTTAATATTATTTAAAAAAGAAATAAAAAAAATATTAAATACTATAATTATAATAAAAAAAAATACTTTATAAAAAAATATAAAAATAAAAAAAAAAGAAAAACTAAAAGCTAATATTAAAAATATAATAAATTAATATTATTAAATAATAGTAAATATTTAAAAATTATATAAAAAAAAGCTAAATAGAATATTTTAATAATTATTATAAAATATATTTATTTAATAGAAAGACTTTAAAATAGTTTTTTAAAATACTTAAAAAACTAAAAAAAATATTTATTATAATAAAATAAAAACTTATAATAATAGCAATTAAAACTAATATAATAATACTTTTAAACTTATAAAATTAAAACTTTTATAAGTATATAAGTAAGGTACTTTTAATAGTATTTAAAATAAATATTATTTAAATTATAATTTTAAAATAAAATAAAAGTATAATAATAATAATAACTTATAATAAATTATTTAAATTATTATTTATATATTTTTTAATAAATAATTTAAAAATATATAACTAGTATTTTTATTATAAAAATATTTTATAAGCCTTTTATATATTTAATTAATATAAGATATATTATATTAATAAGGTTAAAAAGAATTTTTTTTTTAAATAATATAAAATAATAAAAATAGTTTAACTTTATAAAAAAAAAGAATTATACTTTTAAATAATATAAAAATATATATTTAAAAAAAAATATACTATTTTAAAATTATAATAAAATTATTCTTTAAAATACTTATAAAACTTTAAATTATAATAATAATACCTTTAATTAAATTACTAAATTTACTTTAAATTAAAACTTTAAAATTAATATTAATAATATTATATAAATATAGTTTTACTATTTAATTTTAAAAATATATAATTAAAAAACTTTATAATAATAATAACTATACTAAAAATAATATAAAGGCTTATTAAAAAAGCTATTAAAAGAATTAAAAATATTTTAATTTAAAATTAAATAATAAAAAATAATAATAACTATTTTTAAATAAACTTTAAATAGCTATAAAAAAACTTAAAAAAAAGGTTTTTTATATAATAAATAATAAAAAATATAAGTATATAAAAATTATAATATAAATTAAATAAAAACTATTTATAATATTTTTAAATAGTAAAATATAAAAAAACTTTATTTTATTTATAATAGTAAATTAATATAAATTATTATAATAAATAAAAAAAAACCCTATTTATTTAATATAATTAATAAATAAAAAGTATTTTATAAAAATAAAATTATTAATAAAAAAACTAATTATTTTTAAATTTTTTTTAATAACTAAAAAAAAACTATTTAATTTAATATTATAAATATAATAAAATATAAACTAATATTAAAAATATTATAATTAAAAAAAAGTAATTTTTAAATTAATTAAATTATTAATTAAATATTTTAAAATACTAATTTAAAATAAAAAATAATTAAAAATAAAGAATTAAATTTAATTTTTAAAAATAATAATAAAGCTTATATTTATATAAATTTATATATATAATAATAATTAATAATAAAATTTAAAAAAAATAAAAAATAATTAGTATATATAATATAATAAAAAATAAAAAAAATTTAAATAATAATAAAATAGCTATATTATTTATTAAAAATTTTAAAAATTATAATAATATTTTTAAAAAAAACTTTAAAATAAATAAAATAATAATAGCAACTTTTATATATAAAAGCAATATAATTATTATTAAAAAAATTTATATACTTTATATAAAAAAATAAAAAAAATAATAGCTTAAAATATATTTTAAAAAAATATTAAAAATATTTAAAGCTATTTTAAATAATATTTAATATTAAACTATTTAAATATAATTAATAAAATTATAAAATATTCTTAAAAAAAAACCTAATTAAAGTTTTATAAAATTTATAAATTTAATAAAAACTAACTTAAAGTATTATAAAACTATTTAAAAAAAAACTTTAAAAAAAAATATATTTAACTTTTTATATTATTAACTAAATACCTTATTCTTTTTATATTTAAAAAAAATAATAAATTACACTTATATATAAATTACTAATAATTTAATAATATTATAATAAAAAATTGCTATCCTCTTTTACTTATTAAAAAGCTATATAATAAATTTTAAAAAGCTAAATAATTTATTACCTTAAATTTAAAAAAAATATATAACCTTATTAAAATAAAAAAAATAAAAAAATAAAAATTACCTTTAAAATAAAATATAATTACTTTAAATATTTAATTATACCTTTTAGCCTTATTAATATACTAGCTTTATTTTAAATTATAATTAATAACATTTTATAAAAATATTTTAACTTTTTTATAATAACTTATTTAAATAATATCCTAATTTTCTTAAAAATACTTAAAAAATATAAATAATATATATACTAAATTTTCTAAACTTTTTAAAAAACTAAGTTTTTAATAAAACTAAAAAAAAGTTATTTTTATATATAAAAAGTTAACTTTTTTAAATATATAATTTAATTAAAAAAAATCTAAATATAAAACTTAAAAATCATAACAATTAAAAATTAGCTAATCCTTACTAATATTAAAAAAGTTAAAAAATTTTAAAACTATATTAATTTTTATTAATAATTTATTAAAAACTATAAAAATATTTTAAAACCCTTAATAAACCTTATTAAAAAAAACTAATTCTTTTATTAAAAAAATAATAAATAAAAAGTATTTAATAAAATTAAAAAACAAGTTATATTAAAAT